ATAAAGAAGTTACTATTAAGGGCTAATTTATTATATATTTATTATAACTATATTATATATTTACTATATCTTCTTAAGAACTTAGGTAGGTTTAAGAGGGGTTTAAAGTAAATAATTAGAGGGTTATTAATAGCTTATTCTTTTATTATAGTAAGTAGTATTAAAATTAGGTCTATTTTTATTATAGTAAGTATTATAGAAAGTACTTTTAGGGATATATTATATTCTAAGAGAGGTAATAATAATTACGCCGCTTTATATTAATTAACTTAATTAATTAAATTAGCTAGTTATTCTTATAGTAAGTATAAAGCTATTTATAAGCCTTATTTTATAATATTAATTATTTAAGCTTAGAAGGCTTTTACCTAAGCCTATAGGTATTTATTTATTATAATAATAAACCTATTATTAATTTATAATAAGGTTAATATAGGTTAATATAAAGTCTTAGATAATATAAAGGGCTAGACCTAATAGGTAAATATAAAAAGGTAACTTTATATTAAGCTATTTAAAACTAAGGAAAGAAAAGAAAAGAGAAGTCTAGTTTATAATAAGTTTACTATAAAAAAAACTTTATTTTATTTATAAACCAGGCTAGGACTTAGTTCTATATATTTCTATTAATATACTAATAAGCTAGGTCTACTTAACTACTATAGCACTATAGTATAAATAGAACTACTAATACGGCATAGTTACAAAAGGTAGACTATATACTTACAGTTAGTTAATTAACCCCTAGTCTCCCTTAGTCTATATTACTAACCTCTTTTATAGCTATTACTTAATATAATAAGTCTTAAAGTTATAAAAGTTTAATATAATATATACCTTAATCTTATCTATAAGTAAATTAATAATACTTTTAAATATTATAATAAGAAAAAATATAAATAATTTAAGTTTAAAATTAAAGACCTTAAAATTAAATTAAAATAACTTTCTAATAGCTATTTTTTAATATCTTTTTATAATAAATAAAATAATTATAACTTAATTAAATTAATTATCTTTAATTATAAGCTTTTAATACTTTTTTATATAAAGAAAATTAAGCTAGATTTAAGGTATATAAAAATATAGCTTAAAAGCCTAAAAAGCCTAAGAAATAGGCTTTTAAAAGGCCTAGTTTTTAAGACTAAAATCTCTTTTATTAAGGTATTTAAAATAAAGTATAAATATTAATATAATTAATTAAAAATATAGGTAAAATAAATAATCTAGAATAATAAGGGTAAGAAGGCCGATAAGGGTAAGAAATAAAGAGAAGTTATATATAAGGCGCTAAGGGGCTATTAGAGGAGTATATATTCTATAAATAAGAGTTAAAGTTAAGGCAGCCTTTAGGCCGAGGAATTAAATTAAATTATATAACCTTTATTAAAATCCTATTATACTTACTTCTATAATATAATATATAATATTATTAATTAAGGATAAAATATCTTTATAGAAATAACTTTATTAAGTTTATTATAAAAAGCTTAAAGGTAATAAAGGTAATTAAGGTTAGTTAAAAGGTAATACTTAAAAATTAAGATTAAAAAGAGGTTAATATTAATAGGTATTATAATTAAAAGAATAATAATTAAATAAAATTAAAAAAAAGAATAATAATAATATTATTATTATTTAAAAATAAAAAGTAAATAAAGTAAGAAATAGTAAAAAATAAATATTTATAAAGTTATAATCCCTAGTTAATAATACTATTAATAATATTATATATTATATTATAGAATAGGTATAGTAAGATTTTAATAAAGCTTATATAATCTAATTTAATTCCTCGGCCTAAAACTACCTTTAACTTTAGGCTACCTTAACTTTAACTTTAACTTTAAATATATATTTATTTAATATATTTTAACCTTCTATCTTTATTTTTACCTCCCTCTAGTACTTTATATATAACTTTTCTTTACTTTATATCTTTACTAGCCTTAATTCCCTATTTAATTTACTTTTTTAAGTAATTATATTAAACTATATAGTTAAGTTTTAATTTAAATATCTTAATAATAAAGGTTTTAATTTAAAAGATTAACCCTTTTAAAAGCCTTTTTTCTAGCCTTTTTAGGTTTTTAAATTAATTTTTTATATACCTTAAACTTAATATTTGTATTTAATAAGATTTCTAACTTAATTATATATAAAAAAGTATTAAAAATTTATAATTAAAGGTACTTAATTTAATTAAATTATAGTTATTTTATTTATTATAAAAAGATATTAATTAACCTTAAAAATTCTATTTTATTTTAATTTTAAGGTCTTTAACTATATAAATAAGTTATTTATACTTTTCCTTATTATAGTTATTAATTACCTTATAAATCTTATTATAAATTAGGTTGAGATTTATATTATAATAGGTATTTATTATTTAGATAGTATTTATTATAATAATTATAAAAAAGGTTAGTAATATAAACTAAAAAAGGACTAAAGGTTAATTAACTAATTATAATTATAAAGGTTAATTAATTAGTAAATATTTTCTTTTTTTAACCTTTAACTTTATTAAGCCTAGGCTTTTTAAATCTCTTAATAATATTAATAATAAGAATAACCTCTTTTAAGGTTAAAAACTTAATATAATTAAGATATTAAATATTATATATAGTAATTAAACTTTAATTAAATAAATATATATAATAACTATATATAAAAAAGCTAGCTTTCTTTTATACCTTTTAACCTAATCTATACTATAAGTATATTAATTAATTAACCTTTATAGCTATAATTAATTAATTAACCTTTAGTTCCCTACCTTTTAGTTTATATTATTAATACCTTTTATAATTACTACTTAATATAATAAGTTTTAAAATTATAAATATTTACTATAATATAAGCCTTAACCTAATCTATAAATAAATTAATAATACTTTTAAAAGCTATAATAAAGAGAAATATAAATAACTTAAGCTTAAGGCTAAAGTAAAGACCTTAAGATTAAATTAAAATAACTTTTAAATAGCTATATTATAATACCTTTTTATAATAAATAAAATAATTATAACTTAATTAAATTAATTACCTTTAATCATAAGCTTTTAATACTTTTTTATATAAAAAGTAATAGGCTAGATTTAAGATATATAAAAATATAACTTAAAAACTTAAAAAGCCTAAAAAATAGGTTTTTAAAAGGCCTAGTCTTTAAAATTAAAACCTCTTTTATTAAGGTATTTAAATTAAAGTATAGGGATTAGTATAATAAGTTAGAAATATAGACTAAATAGATAATCTAGGCCGATAAAGGTAAGAAAGATAATAAGGATAAGAAATAAAGTAATAGAAATTATATATAAGGTACTAAGGGGCTAAGATAGAAAGGTAAAAGGTTAAAATATATTAAAGGAATATATATTCTATTAATTAGAGTTAAAGTTAAAGTTAAGATAGCCTAAAGTTTAAGGTAGCTTTAGGCTAAGGAATTAAATTAGATTATATAGCCCTTATTAAAATCTTATTATACCTATTTCTATAATATAATATATAATATTATTAATAATATTATTAACTAGGGTAATTAATTAGTATATTTATAATATAAATTAGTTTAAGGGATATAAAGGAAAAGCTAGTTTTTATATATATAGCTATATAAGTTATATAAATATTTATTTAATTAAAGTTTAGTTATTATATATAATATCTATTATCTTAATTATTAAGTTTTAACCTTAAAAGAGATTATTTTTACTATTAATATTATTAAGAGTTTTAAAAAGCCTAGGCTTAATAAAGTAAAAGGTTAAAGTAAAAAATATAAAAAATAAAGTTATAATATTAATATTAAAGAAAAGAAAAGGAAATAAAATAGAGAAAGAAAATAAGATATTTATATTTATTTAAAAGCTATTTTTATAATATTAAAGTATAAATATATTACTAAAGTAATTATAATACCTAATCTAAGGATATTCTTTATTTAAAATTATAATAGTAATTAAATATTATTATTATTTTAATATTTATAAAATATTAATAGTTTTACCTTTATTTATAAGTAAAATTAAAGATAGTTTTTATTAAAGGGAGGATAATTATAATACCTAATTAATCTAAAAGGTTTAATTTAATAATAGTTTAATTAAATTAAGGATTTAAGCTAGAAGACTTTATAACTACTTTATAATAAAATCTTATCTCTTTAAGCTTTAATATAATATAACTATGTAACCTATCTAGCTTTCTAATTAATTATTATTACTATAATACTTAAAAAGCCTAGGCTTAATAAAGTTAAAGGTTAAAATAAAAAGAAAGTAAAAAGATTTAATTTATAAAAGATTAATAATTTCTTTATTATTAAGCCTATTTATTTATTAATATATAAAGATTATTATTTTAAATAACTTAAAGTAGAAACTTCAAGCTTATTATAATAATAATAATTAATTAAAAACTAAATTAGTTAAATAGTTATATTTTATTAAAGCTTAAAAAAGAAAGATTTTATTATAAAGTAATTATAAGGTTTTTTAAATTAATTCCTTAACTTAGCTAAGGTATTACTAAACTAAACCCTTTAGGCTAATTAGGTATTATATTTAATTTAAATATAATTACTATAGTAAAAATATATTATTTTTATTATATTAAGTTCTTAACCTTAAAAAATATTCTTAATATTATTAAAAAGTTTAAAAGCCTAGGCTTAATTAAATTATAAATAAAAAAACTTTTACTTTTTATTATATATAATTCTTAAGGGTAGTATTTTACTTTATTAATATTCACTCTTTTTAAAACTCTCTTAATTCTATTTTAGTTTTAAGTAATTATTATAATAACTTAAAGCTTTAATTTATTCTTTACTAATACTAAAGCTTTGTAGCCATTCTGGTTAATTATTAATGAGATTAACTTATTACTTAAAAGTATAGTCTCTAGTCCCTTCTTTTTATTACTCTGCCCTTGGCATTGCAGCGAAACCTGTTTCGCCCTCGAGTAATACTCAAGAGCAAGATAGTTAATACTTAGAAGATGAAACAGGCGGCCTATGTTGTAGTAAGCCTCTGCTTTGCTGAAATTATCCGGAGGCTTAGATGACCCGAGTTTGGCATATCGTGACAAATAAGACTGGCCTTGCAATAACAAGTATTGGCGATTAGTCGACTGACGCTTGAGGCCGTAATGAACATATGCTAGTCCTAGACTTAGGTTCACCATAGGATTATGGGGATCTAGAGCTTGCGATCTCAAAAAGTAACCTTTCAACACGTTAGGATTCATGTCTCTAATCACATTCTTCTCATACCTAAAGCATATGTGTAACTTGTCGAGGTGAACAAAATGTGTCCATACAGCATAAGAACACAGGCGTCCAGGCCCGGTTCTTTGTTTTGGGTCAAGTCAGCGCCAGAATCAGCTTCCGTATGAGCGTCATCCATGGCTTTGATTTGGCGAAGGATGTACTTTTGTGCAGGCCCTGACGTGTACCATGAAACTGGAGACTGGCAAAGGTTGGATAAGAGAGCAAACATCCGGTACGAGTCTGATGTTGCGCCTTCACGCATCAACTGGCGAGCTGTTGCGATACACCTCTCCTCGTCGCTTGTATAAATTGCGCAAACTGGTCGAATTAGTGACTGTGGCAACCGAGTTCGTGGTCAACGTACCACTCCAAGCAACGTAGATGATGAAGCCGTGTTCTGGAGCTTGAAAAGCGGTCGAATCTCGGGCGGCTTCGCACACCTGATATGCTTCATCGCGACGGTGTGCGATAGCCAACCCGATAGCGTAATCAAGAAACAAGTCTAGCCAGTTGTTAAAGGAAATCCCTTGATGTGCGTCGACCTCTGATGTCCCAGCTTCTCGGCTTTCGTTTCCAGGTTGTGGAGCAAGAGCTATGAGCGTTGTTAGCAAGCCGAGCACTACCATCACTCATATTACTCACTCTTTGCCAACCGCTCATACATCTGTGAAAGCTCAGTTTGGGGTTTATCTGCTTCTTGTTGTTGCACATGGCTTTTTGGACCAAGGAAGTGCAAATACTTATCCCAGGTATAAAACTTCTTGATTGATCGGAAGTCGTCGACAAGCTCTTTTGAAGACGACATCCATTCCGGAATCAAATCTTGGCGCCCTTCTTTAATCTTCTTCCTCAAATCTTGAACGATTTCGTACTGCTCAGTCAGTTTCACAGCACGAGCTTGCTCTTCTTGTCGACGCTTATCAGCACCAGCTAGGCGTTTAGGCCTGTACCGTCGTGGAATTAGCCGCTTCCCAAAAGCGTCAGTCCTTCGAGGGACAGCTTGGACCCGCCGAGGAGCCCGACGGTTAGACATTTCAGGATCCACGCCTGAGTCCTGATTCACCTCAAGACTTTGATCTCGGGCTTCTCGAAGAGCCATTGCCTCAGCCGCCAGAATGAGAGCTTCTTCCTCTTCCCTGGCCTTCTCATACATGTTGGCCAGTTCAATGCGTGCATCAATGTTATCTTCGTCTGCGTCAATTGCAGCGAGAAAATACTCTTCGGCTGTCGCATTCTCTCCTACCGCGGAATGGCATCGTCCTAGTTGCAGCAGAATGGTCGCATCAGCATCGCCAGGTAGGTCGCGAAGTATCTGATAGTATGAGATTGCCACTGGTGTGTGGCCGCGGTGAGCTAACTCTTCAGCAAGATCGAATGTCAAGAACGGAAAATCACTAGCAAATTCTTTCGTGTGAACAGACTCCGGATCAAACCATAGCAAGTGTTTCTGTCATGGACTGTCAGCAACACCATAGTTGTAGTATTCAGCGGTCCTACCATTGCTTCTTCTTCTTCGCCAAGCCGGAACCTGTAGATAGCCAGCCGAGCACGAAGGTCCCAAGGGAATGATTGGCCATAGAGATCCGAACTCCAGGCTTCAGCAGTGAATTCCGGGACGCATGCTCGTCTTTCATCTTCTATGTCCCATTCGCGGTCGTCCGAGTTCCAGTCATCCCAGTACTTTTCATCCCCTCGGCCCAAGAGCCATCTAGATAGCGACTTCGATTCTTGGATGGCCTCCTGGTAGCGACCTGTTGACGCAAAGAGTTCAACATAGATTCCAATATCGTGCCACGGAGCCTCTACAAGTTGAATAATGGGTGTGGTCTTCTCATGATCGAAGAACCGTTTATAGGCTGCGATGGCACTGGGGACAGCCGCCTCCGCTTGCTTGTTGTCAACACAAGCTTCCGCAAGCTTTCTGACAATTTCGAGGTCGTAAGGTCGGTGGTCCAGAACGACTTTGTAATCAGAGATGGCAGCGGCAAGATGGCCTTGTCTGTGACATACCAAACCCTTGCCCAGCCTAGCGTCCAGGTTTGTGTGGTCGGCCCTTAAAGCAGCAGAGTAGCATAGTCTTGCGGTATTGAGATTTCCGGCTTCATCATTACCGATACTTTCCAGGGCAAATGACGCGCATTGGAGCCAGCCATTCACGTCTTTCGGGCGGAGATGAGCAGCATAAACCATCGCCGAGAGCGACTTACTCATGTCGCCTTGTTCTCGTAATATGGAAGATAATGTTGTCCATGCCTGGTGCGTTTCCGCGTTGATTCTGATGACTTCGAATACAAGATCTAATGCTAACGAATAGTCGCCGCCAAGGAAAGCTTGGTTTACTTTGGATAACCGTGCGGTGATGTCTCCTCGTGGTTTGGCTGCCTTCCGTGGACCTCGAGCTCCCTTTCCTCGTGGCCCTCCACGAACTGCAGGTGATGGTACAGCCTCACCACGTTGCTTAGCTAGGAATGACTGCACAGTCGCGTCGAACCTGGCGATATCGCCTTCAAGCTCTTCAAGGTCAGAATCTGCATCTGAAGCATCTTCCTGGTGCCTGGTTTAGTCAGCAGATAGTACTCAATTAACTGGGGCTCAATAACAACCTTTCCAGCAGGTCTGGCTCGTGATATTCAGACATGATTCAGATCATGAACGGGTTCGAGGTTTATATGAAATGTTCTGGTGTACTTGGGGAACGATCACAGTGCTTATCGTTGATTGTGGTTATGATGTGGCGCAAAGGTGGCTCGTGAGTAAAACACGTGATGCGGATTGTTGTGAAGTAGGTTAGTACCCAGGTGGAGGTGGAGGTGGTTCTTGGTTTGCCCTTCGCAGGACGGATTGTGTTTAACATACAAGGATGACTGATGTGTAAGCTCCTAAGCCAAATATGATTAATGATTAGGTATCTAGGTATGCAAGTCAACGCAGTCACATGGATGTCTTGTGATTAGTTCGTGGCTTATTTGTACCACTATGGGGGCGTTCAAGTTTGTTAGTTTTACTTTGAATGGGTTCAAGAGATAGAGAATAGGACATAAGAACGTGTCGTGATTGTTCAGAGCCCACCTCTCTTCGAAGGTTTTTGGTGCAGACCGTCAGAGGTAATCACTTCTATGCTCTCACATTCCGTTCAATAATAAGAATGGGTCATTATGTAGCAGCATCCAGGATCGCGTACACAAATAGACTACGAGTTGAAGTCAACAACGGAATTGAATCTCATAATTACAAAAAGACATGACTTTCCTATCGACCACACAGTCTACTGAAAACTCGTAATCTCCGCGCTCGAGAATGAAATGGGGTCCCAGATCGACTTCCACCTTTCCGTATGATAATAGACTGATTCTGCAATGTCGCACATGTCCAGCAACATACGTGAAGAAACAACACACCACGTCATAATTTTGTAGGTCTATATATAGGCGTGCCCGGCTACAGTGTTTCTAGTTCAGTTTTCCATCGGCTTTAGCTTCTGTGAGAGAGTCAGTGCATGTTCTGAAGGGGCAGGAACTTGGCATGAGCTTCTTACCTTTGACCTGCTCAAAGACCTTGAGCATCTTTCGACGTGCACCAAGAGCGTTCACGCCCCGTTCTTCCAGGGCCTTGTCGTCCAACTCAACGAGATCTGTCCATTTCATGTCTTTAAGGTTGTCGGTGTACTTGTGAAGACGAAGGCTTCGAAGCCAGCTGGGAATATCTTGCAAAAGCGTTGGGTCGGTAGGATCCTCAGGGGGCTTGGAGCTACCTCGTCGCCCGCGAGGGGATCTGCCACGAGTCATATCAGAATGGTCAGACAAGTAGCCTTCATGGCCACCCATACCAAGACCACTCAGGTTGACAGACTGCATACCACCGGTCATCAAGGGCGAGGATACATCATATGCACTAAGGAATCCATTGTTTTGCGGCGAGGTGAACGGGGCCATATGAGGCAGTCCGGGCTGCATAGCAAGCCCAGGGGAACTTGGGCGAGAACGCTGACCACCCATTCCCATGTTTTGTTGTGCTTGAAGGGCCATAAGCTGCTCGCGGCTAAGCACCTGCCCATGTTCATTTATCATGACAACGTTGGCGTTTGGTAGATTGATCCCATGTTGCGAAACAGCAGAGCCGGGATGCTGGCCATTGCCAGGTGTACCGTCGTTAGATCTAGTACGGCGGTATTTGCGAACGTCATCCAGAGCAAATCGGTTATTGACAGTGGACAAGGCTGCAAGTTTCATGGCGGTGGCATTCGCAATCATGTCGGCTTGGTTGCCTCCAGTATTGGCAGTGTTGAAGGTACCTGTCATGGGCGTATTGACCATGGAAGCCCAGTTACCACTGCCAGCGTTGTATGGTGAAAGTAACGGTAGATCCGCAGCATTCTTCTCAGGGGCATTGAGGGTCGTCTGCTGGATCGCGTTGCCACTTGACATCTGAGGACGCGGGGAGCGTAATCCACCCGAAGGTGAAGGCTGAACGAATTGGCCCATAGGCGGCTGGCCAGGCGCTTTGGCAGATGAGTCTACGTTCCCGCCACTGTTCCAAGGCGAAGAACTAGCAGGTCCGGCATCGCGACTGTCCTGGGGAGCGCTGATGGATGGGGCAGCCATGGATGAGCGATGGTCTAAAGCCGCACTGTTTCGGTTCGACGATGGCGGGTTTCCAGTCTGCTGAGTGAACTTGGCCTTTTCCGTTGCAATGGCAGCCGCAGCATCCGGGAACATGGCGCTGATGGTAGACGGATCAAGCCCCGAGTGTCGTTTGGTCGATGGAGCAATAACCGAGTTGCGAGCCATGGAGTTGCGGGCAGAATCGACATTCAGCTTGTTCATAGCATCGCTCAGACGGTTGGACATTGGATCTAGGGGCACATTAGACCTCAACCGAAACCCGGGTCGGTTTACAACATACCTTTGTCGAAGCTAGCGGGGGACAGAACCCCTGACATGGGATGATTCTTACCCATCTGCTGGAGCACCTGAATAAAGAAGCGAATTTGGACCTGGGTCGTCTGTTGCAACAAGGCATATAAAGCGGCGGTACGCTCGGCCTCGCTCAGAACTCGAAACCATTGCTCGATGGCGCTGAGCTCGTCCTTGAAATCCTGGTCAAGGGTAGCAGCAGCCATCTCCTCCAATGTCGTCTCGTACTGATCGATGTCGGCAATCCACTTTTGAGCAATCTTATCCTGAGAGTCCGACTCAGCATTGTTTGGGCCAAGGTTTTGTTGAGCCTGGCCATAGAAATCGGAGGACGGTCGGATGCGGCTAGAAGGGGAAGGGCCAGTTAGAGACGCCATGTCGGCTGAGGCACGAAGAGAATGCCCGGACCCAACGGCTCTCGAAGATGGCGGTCGCAAGGTTGAGGTGTTGTTAGCCTCGGGTGTGCTGTTCCTGTTTCCGATGACGTGGTTTCCAGACATGTTGAGCATTATCGAAGGATGAAGTTGCCAGGTGAAGGTTTGTTTGTAACGGGCGACGTGCGCAGAATGTGACGGTGGCAAGCAAAAATGTTACAAGAATCGTCTTTCGACTCCTGCAGTGACCGGCTGACCTCAAAGGAGCTTAGACTTGAAGTAAGGCAGGGTATTTATAACATTATCTGCCAAGGGACGAATGGTGCTACCAAATGGTTAGTGGATGGTTGAATCAAGATGATCTCAGGTTGGAGAGTCGGAGAGCTTCCTCATCTGGTACGAGGACTTAGAGGAGCGGTTGGGGGGGGAGTGGTCATACCGAGTGCAAATGATACCTACAGGTAAGCAAAGAAGGGACGAAGTCTGCTTCCAGGCAGGCCACAGAAACTCTGATTAAATCCCGCCGCTGTATAAGTAACGGACCGGCGTCCTTGAGCATGAAGTCGTCAAAGGACAGAAGGATGATCGATAGCAGAAGTCGTTCGTGTTTCTCCATCCATTACGAAGACCTCAGCCCCTGGGCTTACCTAACTGGGACTGCCCGCTCGCCAAGGGCCCACGGGCCTATCAGTAACCTAAAGAAAAGGCCATTAATCCTTGCTAATGAACATGGTTGCCTCAGGCGTTTAGGGATTCGAGCGTGGCAAATGATTAGATTATCCATGAACAGGACCAGAAACATTGATCAAGCGTCCAGAAGAGGATTTGGGATGTGTAGTCCGCCCGAAAGGTCTTAACTAGCAGTCCGACTATGACAACCTACCTAAGCAGTGTTGGTGCATCCACACAATTCCTCGTACACGTTGGGCTTGTAGTCGCCGTTGCGTTCGATCAAACAGACACACATTCTAGCAATGATAGATAGTTGACAACACGGTTTAGTTTAGCCTTGAAACAGGAGCACAACATAGGTAGTCAGAGATCAAGAACGCATCGGTCACGGTAGCGATTTTTGACAGCTGTAAATTACATGGGTAAAACGAGGACATTTCACCGACAAGTTCACTTGAGCGAATAAGCTGGCAACTCTGGTATGGAGTTCAGGCAGAAGTTTTTCCGTTATCTACCCCATGTTCCTCGAAACCAAGCAACATGATTGACTCGGCACCATCACAGTGTCATACGCCGAGACGTATCGGCATGCACCACCTTTTTCGTCGGGCTAACCGTTTGGTATTTCCATCGTTCATTTGCGTAGGTTCTATCGTGTGTGTGCCGTAACCGAGCAATGCGAATGCTCCAAATTGACGCCTCCGTTATCCATGACCGATTTCTTAGACAGTCTCACGCTTGCCCTCCTTAGCCTCCTTCTGTAGAGTTGTTAGCCGTCTGTCCAATGTTCGCAGGTCGCGTTTAAATCGAGGTCAGGGCGTACCAGGGCCTTCATGTTGCCGTGAAGAGCATGTCGATGGTTTCGTCGGAACTTGGGGTCGGTACCCTTGAGGGAGGGGTAGCGAGAAGTCTTGGGCTTCTTGATACTGAGCGGGAGTCAGCGACGTCGTCAACGACGGAGATTTGAGATAAATACCCGTTCCTGTGCGCCTTGCGCGACTGGTTGTGCTGGGAGCTGTTCTTTGACTCTGCGACAATGTCAGTGATCTGGCAGTTCCCTCTGATACAATCCTATAGTCGCCACGTACTCGCCATTGCTGCTGATTGATTCCCTGTGTCGACGGAGACGGATCACGAAGTTGCTGAGGGGAAGTAGAATTGTGTGCGAATCCAGCCTCAAAGCCCTAGAGGGAAATGCTGTGGGGCAGTGTGCTGACCTAATGGGTGGGGTTCGCACGTGCTTTGATACCCGGGCACTGCCCGGTGTAGGTACTGACTCTACTAGGTACTAACCTAGTAGGTACTGTACGTAAGGTAGTAAGTACCTCTAGAGGTAGGTAGTAGTGAGTGGATGGTCTCAACAATCAAATTTCTAGACTTGCTCTGTAGTATTGATACCGTTATCTACAAGAGTTGCGATTCGTCCGCCTTTGATGAACCTGTAAATTCTGACGATACGTTGGTCGGTTCCTTTCATGCTTCATATGTGCTCACTATGCTCGGTATGTTGCCAGCGCAGTACGGATACGAAATCATCCATTAGGGAGTAATAGTATATGTTTACTACTATCAAAAAAGTTACAGACGCAAAACACCTATTTGTTTCTATTCCCAGTTTGCAAAACCCCAGTCTCCCCAACACCAATTACTATTATTTCCTAGAGTCAGTTTTTCGCTGTCCTAGGTAGTTGTTGTCACTGGCTTAGCCCCGACACTGTGGGCTGCTGCAGCCGCTGCGGTGTTCTCTACAGTCTTGCCAAATCTCTTGAGGCGAATTGTCTTAATATACCGGATCAGAAGGATGAATATCAGCTCAACCCTTAGAAATGAGTTAGTCATGGTCAGTGCGTTAGGGTTAGAACCACTTACCTCTCCTTTGCTGTCATCAATATGCCCTGAACAAGAAGTCCTTTCAAGATCTGTGGCCCGATGCCTTTGAAAAGTCCCAGCATACCCTCATGTTCTATGATAAACCTCATGACCTCTACGAAGCTGGTGAAAGGTTTGCCGTTTCGGGCGGGGGGAGGCTTAGACTGGAGGCCAACCTTGGCCACGATAAGTGGCTGAGTTGCGATGGTCGCGAGTGCTTTAGACATAGCACCCAACACTGCCAGGAACATTAGAGCGTGTCTAGATACATCATCGACGGTACAGACTTACGGAATGCTTCACCAGGCCTCAGGCTCGTCTTGCCTGGAAAGAGTCCTTCCTTCAACCGCTCATATGCGCCGTATGTAATGGCAGGGTTGACGACAAGAACAAGGCTAGCCTTCAGACCGCGCCAGAGACCTGACACACCATCTGGGCCATCAACGACCTCGCGAGCTGTAGCTATGAGCCCCTTTCGGTCGGCTTTGCTGGCAGTCTGCTGGCGCGTGGTTACCACCGCAACGGGAATTGTGAAAACTTGAGCGATGGCTCCCGCGACAGCACCCAGGGAAAGCTCGATGATGGTCGAAGGGTTCGCGTCCGTCTTGCGAGACTTCAGATACAGTGTTCTAACAATCGTGTACCAATAGAAGTAGGCAAAGTTGGTCGACGCAACGCCGAGCAAAGAACCGTTCATACCAGCATAAAGACCCTTAATTCCGTCATCGGCAACAATACGCGAAATCGCATCCCATGTAGACGTATAGTGTGGTTCATCGGTAGGAAGTGGACCTTTCGTAGGATCGGGCTTGATCTGAACCTGAAGACGAGTCTTGACGCTATGGTCTGGTTATTATATGTCCAGAAAAGGGTGTTGAAAGCATCCGTGTCAACTTACATGTCAAGAGGATAGACCAGCGCATTAGCTAGAACAGCTCCAGTAGCTCCGGCCACGGCGCGACCCCAAGGGGAGATCTCAGGCTTCGATTGCGCAGCCATGATAAGTTATAGCCAAGTTATCGCTTTGTCGAGACAAATTTCTGTATTGCGCGCCTCAGACAACTCTTAGACCCAGTTCACACTGATGTCGATTGCGATGTTGGGCGTAACCTGGGCCGGCGCATCATTATCAAAAGATAAACGGACCGCGACCGGTTCGGGGCCGAGGTAGCCCACCGGTCTCGGCAGATTGATGGCCCCGCCTGTGATTTGATTGACCCGCGGCTGGGAACCTCGGTTAGTGAGCTCGTGTCTATCCGTACAAATACCACAACATGCACCTTGTATTCTGGTTGAGGGAACAGGGTAGCAGGGTTTACAAAATAATGTATGACGTTCGGGGATGCAGCAACAATGGTGCACATCATCGCTGCTGATCGCTCCCCGTCTGTCAAATTCTAGCACTGAATGAAGTCCCTAGCTGGCTTATCATGCTTGGGCCTTGAGATTGATATTGTTTAAGCACGTGAATGGATGGCCGGCCTATTTGGAGACTATCTTGGGTCAAAAACATTTAAAGCAACGGAAAGCAGACTTACCTCCACTCTATATTATAAACAGCGGCTATATGCTACATAGTGTTAATGTTCACTTCACCTTCTTTTAGATAAACACTTCGTCACATTTTGACTATTTAATGCAAGCAACATGATGTAGACCTCACCTCACGTAAGTCATAAGTGGAGCAGATAAATACAAGCTACCTACTGAGGCGCAGCCATCAAGTAACCCCACCGCGGGGTTCTATTAAGTCTCTCCAAAGTTTGTTATTTCGACTCTAATCGTAAAAGAAGCCTGGCAATAGTTAGAGGCAATGTTTCAGTAAAACAGCGATGGAGAAGAGAGCTCAGGTAAGCAATGGCATATACATAACCCTCATACCTTGGTTCTCCCGGTCTTCTCCCCTTCCTTGGGTTGGAGATAAACGATAGAACGCAATGGTTGAACTGTTCGACTAACCCTATACCTCAGGCCACTGAGTCTCTCATTCAAACATCGAGTGGCCAAGTGGCCCTCGATCATGCTGTTCTAGCTGCCGAGCTGTACATGCGAGCCGCTGGGGAGGCTGCTAATAAGAAGGATGCTGCACGTCTGCGACTGAAATGTCAACAACTCATAGCCCAGGCAGAGAAGCTCAAAGCCCAGCTCAACCAAACACCAAGCATCTTGTTGCAAACCTCGCGCCTGCATGCAAATCTTTTCCCTCCATGGTCAAAGCAACCCTCCGATAGAGACTTTCAACTTGTTCCGGGAGAGGAGCCCTTCACGTTAGGAACCCCGAAAGTGTCAACCAGACCATAGCTGATTTGGAACAGCGACAATGCTACTTTCACTTTGTCACCCAGGCAAACTGCTACTTTCGGTGGCTGGAAACGCCCACAAGATCTTCACCCTGGTACTGAAATGGACGACGAGGCTTTCATAAATTCCAGCAGCGGCTGTGACCTTGTTCAGGACGTGACAACCGACTGTTCCGTAGTCGCCAGTTTATGCGCCGCTATGCGCATTTTGACAGGTCGAAATTCGGTAAAAAGCATCGAAACATGACTTCTCATCACGGCTGACTGACAAAATCCATCAGGTTCTCTCGTCTATCTTGTATCCGTTTGACCATACGAAAGGCATGCCTAAGGTCTCTGCTTCTGGCAAATATGTGTTGAGGTTATACTTCAACGGCTGTTTCCGCCGTGTTGTAATTGACGAGCGACTCCCATCTTCCACCACTGACCGAACCCTTTACGTGGTTGACCGGCTCAACCCCCAACTGATTTGGCCCGCCCTTTTAGAGAAAGCCTATCTCAAAATTCGAGGCGGATATGACTTTCCAGGGAGTAATTCAGGGACCGACCTCTGGGTACTTACTGGATGGATTCCAGAGCAGATTTTTCTACAAAGGTGAGCACCCCTGACCACATCATCCCCAATCTCCCGTCCAAAACTCCTTTTTTACGTTAGTTTAAGACATAAACTCACCTTCTAATTGCTCCGATAGGGAAGATCTGGAGATGGACAGACTGTGGAGGCGAATCAAGAACGCACATGATTCCGAGAACGTGGTAGTCACGCTCGGCACGGGGCGAATTTCTGCTGAAGAAGAGGACCTCCTGGGTCTCATCGGAGAGCACGACTATGCCATCATGGACCTCGGGATGATTGGCGACAGCCGACGCCTCTTGGTGAAGAACCCTTGGTGCGACGGTCCAGTTTGGAAAGGGGGCGTTGGCCAACCTTTCGATGCTGGCTCGTTGGCCTCGCAAACATCCAACTCCCAGTATAAACCGCCTCCATCTGCTGCTGGCTCGTTCTGGATGACCTTGGAAGATGTCCTTCAGCACTTTGAGTCGATGTATCTGAACTGGAACCCGACGCTTTTCCCCTGCAGGCAAGATCGCCACTTCACGTGGAAAATGCCTCCTCAGGAGCTTTCCTCGTCTCTAATACGCAATCCCCAGTATTCACTGAAATCACCCGGTGGTGGACCAATCTGGATCCTCGTAAGCCGGCACTTCGTGGACGCCGAGTTGGAGATTGCTCGGAATAGGAATGGCACAATGGCAGCAGTCTCTGGGAAACTCGGCTATATGAGTATTCTCGTCTTTGACAATGACGGCTATAAAGTCCAGGTTGGCGATGGGGATATATATCGCGGGCCTTACGTCGACTCACCGCAGACCCTCGCACGTCTTGACACAAGTCCAAACAAACGATATACTATCGTCATCGACCAGCACGAATTTCCGCTGCCAGAATATACACTTACTCTTTCGTTCTTGTCGCAAGACCAGATTGTGGTCAACGAGGCCGAGGACGCCATGACGCACGTAAAAGAAGTCGCTGGCTCGTGGACGCGGCGGACCGCAGGAGGCAGCGCGGCTTGCACAACATACGCTACAAACCCTCAGTACAAGTTATCGATCGCTCAAGCAGGGCCTCTTTCCATTCTGCTTTCGACTGATATGCAAGACATCCACGTACATGTTGATCTGGTTTGGTCGCAAGGAGGACGGGTGCAAACACTCAAAGTTCGAGATCTTGCAGGCTCCTCAGGCGAATATCGGAGAGGCTGTTCAGTGGCAAACATCCCTCAAGTTGATGCTGGGATATACACTGTAGTATGTTCGACATTTGACGCCGGGCAGCTTGCTGAGTTCGTCCTTCGTATCTCATCCATGACAGCCGTAACAATACAGTCCGTCCCTGCTGATGCAGCTGGGAGACTTCGCAAATCACTCACCCCTTTCAGACTATCAGACGGAGAAGAAGTTAGGCGTGCGCAACTCTCGGCTACCTGGTTGACTCGAATGAGCGTGACCGCAAGAAGCGTCTCCAGCCCAGGCTTGGATCCTAACAACCGACCCTCATCTACCCTGATGATACGAGTCTCTGTAGCTCATGGATGGGACCCTGAACGGGCCACGATCGCAACATCTGGTGACGGTGAGTTCGAAGAGCTGAAAACCATAGTGCGAACTCCCGAACTAGATATGGAGCCAGCTAGGATACAGAGGGAGGGTATGTGGTTAGTGGTTGAAAGCATGGGCACGCCACGAGCAGGAGAGTACATTGAAATTGAAATCCACAGTGATGGGCCTGTCAACATAGGGTCTTGGGCGCTTGTTTGAACAAGTTGCTAAATGACCTCATTGAGAACCGCGCTATACAGCTGGCCTACCACATCACTCTTATATACCAACCTACCAAGTTCAAACATCGAGATACAACGGCCAATAGTCAACAAGTATATGCTAATAAAACCACTGTGCTAATACCGATAATTGAACATAATGTACGCTATTTCGCTAGCCAACGCCACTCTGGCCTGAACGGCATACTCTTGAGAGTCAAAATGACGAACGAAAACTGACCCAATGGGGTATTTGGGACCCTAAACGCCTGGTCTGCAGTCCCCCAACCTCGCTCCGACTGAAATGACATCGGGTAACACAAAAGAAGTCTTAAATCATTCAACTTATCCATCGCTTCGTACTCTTACAAATAACGCCAAAAGGGGGACACCTCATGACAATTGAGTTCAACGTAAAATCGTCTCGGGCCTGTATGACGCCGCTTGTAGTATCCAGAATGTTTGGTCCATGGCCGTCTTTCCTAGGAAGGTGGACCACGTCGTCTTCGACCGCGGTTGGGTCCGTCAGGTCGTTGAGCGAGTACATCCCGAAGTTGTGGATCGTCTTTGTCTTTGTCTACATGATGAACGCGGACATGCCTATCAACGGCCAGTGTTAGTTTACTTTCGATGTATCAACATCATTAAGATCGAGCATACCGCTGTAGATTATCTGGGCGTGGGTATTTATGTTCCCTATCAGGGCAAAAGGGGCAAACATAGCCTGGTGAGTCATGAACCAGGCCATGCCTTATCATTTCATTTTTTCGCTTGAAGCCCTTCCCCCCTTCGCTCCTCGGGCACCCCTTAACAGGACAATAATGCGGCCGTATGGATGAATGAACGTTCATATGAGAGTTGAGAAGATATTGAGTCTGAAACGCCGCAGCATTACACCCGGGGACTGTGCATGTATACGAACCAGAAATAGGTTGCGGATGCGTGATCCCGTCAATACTCATTCGATCTGTGATGGATGTTGAGTTTATCGAGGTGGATGTGGCAGGCGTGGAGCCAGAATGATCGGTATTCGGGGTTTCACCAGCATTGCTACTGCTGTATTCTGTCGGGGCACGAGGATGGGCGCCATTTGTTGTGTAATAGTGAATCCCACTCGTCGCAGAATGCGGGGATAGCGTTCGATATCCCTCTGGTGGTGACCGAGGTGATGATGGCAGATTAGTAGTCAAACTGAACCGATGTCCTAGATTTCCAACAGGTGAAGTAGGGAAAGTCGGGGATGGGCCTGATGGAACACGTCCAAGATCTGGTTCAGATAGGCCTTCGGGAGCTAGCTCTCTAAAGTCACCAAAAGTGGAACGTAGGGATGGGAGGGATTGTGATGTGGGGGTTTCTTTGATCTCGCCTGCTGGTACACAAACTCCGTGCTGAAGTGGTGGCAGAGGACCGCTGGAGGGAGCAATTAGTGGTGAGGCGACGCTGTTGCCAGAAATATATCGCGGCGCAGATACACTGGTCGTCGAAGGCTCGTCGTGAATGGAAAGCTGACCGGTCGGTATAGATATATCGGGTATTGTCTTGGGGACTGAGGCTGCGAGAGATGGCGGTGCCGTAGCCAGGGAAGCAGCTTGAAGGGCGTCTGCAGCAAGATGTTGAAGTAAAGGCCCGCTCATCAGGTTGTTGTCCACGGGCCTGTCTTGAGGCGGCTCTTCGTCTGGTGAGTCCTCATCGCACGGAAGACTTTCAAGGCCGGCTGCGCGAGCTATCTCGGGGTCCCGGTTGTTGTCGAGATATGCGACTAAGACGGCATCCCCAGACGTTGGATGAATCTTGTGGCGATTAGACTTGTCGCGACCGTCGATAAAGGAAGGACTCAGACTAACTTGAGTTGCAGGTATATCCGGGGGAGGGCTCGGAGAGGGCTCGAGCTTAGGACGGAGCGGGGTCATGAGGGGACTTCTTCCAGTAACCACATCATCCGGGTCGTATGTATCGGCTGCGAAGCCGAAAGAAGGCTGCGATGGTTGGTGCTGGTGCTGGTGCGTGGCTGTGGTCATGGTTGTCGCGTTGACGGCGGTTGCTCAACTCGCCATGGCCCCTCACGGGCGTTGAAGCTTTCGGGGGGGGGGGGGGTGCTCTCAGTCGGGTGGCCGGATCATGCACCGGGGCAAATAATCGTGGTACGACGTAAACACTGACTGCGCAACCAAATGAGCTTCAACAGGTCGGTAGATGCGCAAGAGAAACCGGTGGACCAAAAGGCCGTGAACTTGGCAGTAAGTGCGCGCGCAACTCTATGCAGACGGCTCGTGAGTGATGGATCGTACACTAACGTTCGCCTCTCTCAACATAAATGGCGAGCGGCCGTTTAAGGCGACGTCGAAGTAACACGAAGACTTCGACACAAATAATCGTCCGGGCAAATTGAGGTTGGATGTCAGTCGCGAAAATGGCTGTAAGCGCAGATCATGTGGGATTTGCGGCGTAAATGCGGTGAACTTTGCCCAGGCTGAATGCGAAAAGGGCGTGCCTAAATACGGGTGGTGTTTCTACTCGTCGCGGATTGCCTGGCAGACCCTAACTTTGTCGACTTGAGATTTGAGACTTGTTCCAGATGATAACTTGCGCGACAATCGAGAGGAGAAGCGGAGGTGATATTCAGATTTCGTTTGGGCCAAGTGATGTGACCAGTAAGAGTAAGAGCAAGACCAAGCGTGTGATAATACTGCCAAGGTACCTATGTCTTGATTGGCAAGGATACCTTGAGGTCAGACCTGCAGCAGCAGCAGCAGCAGCAGCAGCTAGTAGGTAAAGCGAATCACCGTAAATATTGGAAGTGAGATATGAGGGAGATTTACGGCTTTCTGGATTTATGGCAGCGGAGCGCCATGTATTGAGTTATTTCAAAGAAAGAGTGCGGAGTATGGAGTACGGGTCACGGAGCAAAAGTCTGGGGGGGACTGGATGTATTTGCTATTCCTGGGAACTGGAGCCCTATCTTGCTACCTATGTGCCGTACCGTCCATTGCTACTCCTCCTTCCTAGTGAGTATGGAGAATGCCTCCACTCGTTGACACCAGGTTACGGGGTATAAAGCAGTTAGTCTAGAGGAGACCCGACACTACCTACGGATACAGACAACGGTACAGATGGAGAGAGAGCAGACTGACTATACTACGGTACAGCGTGCGGCACGTACAGTGCCAAAGTCAACAAGCTACGCCGCGTTGAAGCTTGGATTAGTCGGGTTGAGGAAGCGGAAGCGGAAGCAGAAGCAGAGGTGGAATTGGAAGTGGAAGTGAGAGTGAGAGTGAAAATGGGAAAAAGGAAGGGGACTCGCCGGGGCTGGGGTCTTGTGGAGGTTAGAAGGGTTCGAATGCCCACATTCATGGGCCATGGCATGGGGGAACATGGGGATGGGGTAAAATGGTGGTAAATAATCGGCCCTTGGCTATCTGTAACATGTGGTAGGTCGGCTGAGAACAGGGGGCCCCGGATGGGGCTCTGCTCTACGGGTACGGAGTACTGTGTTGTGCTGCGGTTCCAGTTGTGATTGCGATTAATGTTGCTGCTGCCGCTGTATTGGGCCTGGCACCTGAAGCAGGGTTACTGTAGTTTAATACTAATTAACACAACGTATCAGTGCAAGCGATGCAGCGCCATCAAGCCTGTGCATAATTATTCACTAGATCCCTTTGGGGGGACCTTTAGCGAGAAATCAACATGAAGGTTGTGTGACTGAGTGACTGACCTCGACAATTCGAGTATATATCATTAGTTGGGTATTGCTCGTACCGCAGACCGACCCTCACTCTGTTCTACGTTGACAGGCCTAGATATTGTTCTCTGTCTCAGGAACATGAACAGTTTATCCGTTAGTAGGTGTCATGGCAATATATCCCAGGCTGTTCGCTGCCGTGTGCTTCCCTTTCTAGTCCCTGGACTAGACAAGACAAGACAAGAGCATGCATGTGCAGAGTAGAATTCAGGATGCATCCGCCGAGGCCTCCCTCCCCTCTCTCCCCATTCCCCACTGGAGTCACCCTTCTAAGCCTCAACGTCCACTGCCGTGTCGACATGTGTGATGCATCAGCGCGAGGTCGAGTTGGCAAATATTAATGGTTATGTCAACTCGTCCCTTGCCTTGTTGCTACCAGTGTTATTGTCTCTCTTGATAACCTTTGTCTCTTGTCTTCCTTCCCACCACTGGGTGGATTAGAGATGCAGTCGGTGCATTGAGGTTCCCCGGAAGAATTTAGGCGTGATGATCTCTGCCGAGCCAAAAAGAGCCGCCTCGTCTGACACAGAAATATCTCACGCACTCAAGAATTAACGCCTTCTAGCGGACAGTCCCGCCGTAAAACTAATGGTCTTATTGGTCAACCCCGGAGACCTCCTCCACTCCAAGTTCGACTTGCCCCAGCCGCAAGACGAGGGGAAGTGGATCACAAAGTGTCCCTTGTGGGGTATAATCCCTACTGTGTAGCATCATCTCAGCACACTGTCCGCGTCTCGACTGGGCCTTTCTTTTCCCAACTTTGCGACTCGAAAAAGGTCCCGTCTTGTCTTCGCCTTGTCATTGGGCCCTCCAAGATCCGCCCACAAAAGGCGGCTCTCATCCAATCCTGGGGGTGACTGCTTCTGCGTTGCCGGCCGCGGGACTGACTACAGCCAACACAAGGCAAGCCCCGGTGTAATTTTCTCTGCACAATACATTATCAAGCCAAGGTTCTATATGTGTGTAGGTTGATCGCATCGTGGAGTTTATCTTCTAGAATTCCTACCGAAACCCGCGCCAAAAATGACGCAGTGAAAGAGTCCCAGTTATGTTACCCTAAGCTCCACATCGAAATTGGGCGGAACTGTCAGTTGACATTTTGGTGTGACCAATAATTTAGCTTCGTCTTTAATCAGGCACACCCATATCAACTGCCTAAGCCTAGTTGAGAGTGTCCCGGTATTTAGCTTGCATTCTGATGTGATGTGACTGACTCGACTACCACAGGGTAGTTGGCCGAGAATTTACGTAGCATTTATGAATGGATGGAGTCGACCGAAATGACCGATTGTTATACGGTAATTATCACACCCGGGGTATACGAGACGCCATATGTCATATTAACTGAATTGGTCGGTTGTTGTTCTGGATTGGAGATCGAAATTGATATCAGAGCGCAGGAGGTCGAGTTAAATATGTCATTGACCTCATTGCACAGCTTAACCTACCTGTCACAATAACACAGAGATAAACCATGTCAGGTATTCTGATAAGTTCTTCTCTCTTATCCATTATGTAACTTCAATTATATTATGCTTTATTGTAAAAACACACTAACATGCTTTTGTAGTATGGATTTATACATCTCTTTGTTATTGCGGGAGAACTTGACGTATCCTAAGTAACCTTACTGTCAGGACTTCTACATGGACATATTAATGGATCTTTTGTGGTTCTCCACCAAATGCCAAAAATCTTTGTCCATCTTTTTGCCGATGTCGCAGTCAACCCCACACTGCCCGAGGAACTCAGCTATAAAGTCCTACGGTCATTTACTTGGCTAGATCGCGCTTCACTCAAGTCCGCGATATCAGTTACCAGAGCCTGGTTGTTACAGTGGAAGAGATTGACGTCAAACGAACCGTCCTATCCAAGCATAGTCAGCTCCAACCCACAACATTATCGCTCCGTTATACGTTTCAAGAGCAGCCTTGACAAAATGTCTCTACCACAGACAATGAAAGCTGTTGTTTTCGACGGTCTATACAGGGTTTCGGTTCAGGACCGACCAGTGCCTCAGAGTTAGTTGTCTAAATCACTAAGCCTGAATTCCTATTGTACCTAACTGTATAGTAAATTGACCAGTCGACTTCACATAGTTTGCGATGAAAGAGATATCATTATCAAAGTACATGCCGCTGGCCTATGCGGATCGTAAGGGCACCGGCGTACTCAAAGAGTTGGGTTGTTAATTGACCCACATCATAGTGAGCTTCACATCTATCGTGGTCACCAACCTTCAGACACTGGTTTCATCATGGGACATGAGTTCACTGGAACTGTTGTTAAAATTGGCTCAGCCGTAAGAACCATCAGCATCGGCGATAAGGTCGTTGCCCCTTTTACAGCATCCTGGTGAGTCCGCTTGTTATCACCTGGCGGTCATACTCATTGACGACTTTAGTGGTAACTGTTTCTTCTGTAACAACGGTTGCTCAGCCCGCTGTGTTGAGAGTCAACTGTTTGGTTGCGAGACCCTCGACGGAGGACAGGCCGAGTACGTTCGGATTCCTATGGCTGATGGAACAGCAGTCAAGGCTCCGGCCACCGTATCGGACCAGGCTCTTTTGCTCATGGCGGACATCTTCCCCACAGGTTTCTATGGCGTTAAGAGTGCTATAGATTTGGCCCCTTCACAAAGCATTAAAGATGCTACACTCGTTATTATCGGTTGTGGCCCAGTCGGACTCTGTGCCATTCTGGCGGCCACTCATTTCAAGCCTCGCCACCTCTTTGCCATTGATAGCGTGGACAGCCGTCTAGAGCAAGCTCGCAAGCTTGGCGCAGAGCCACTCAATTTCGAGACCGATAGAGCAGGATTGGAGGCTAGAATAAAGGAGGTGACAGAAGGGCGAGGCGCCGACATGGTAGTTGAAGTTGTTGGCCAAGCGCCAGCTTTGAGAACGGCATTTGATATCGTGCGACCTTTCGGTGCCATTAGCAGCATTGGTGTCCACAATAAAGAGGTCTGTTGCCAGAGAAGGATATTGATCATGGAAATGAGCTAATGATCATCTACATAGATTCCATGGACAGGTGACGACGCGTATACGTATGTGGTCCTTTTGATAGTTCTGACTACATTATTTGATGAAACGGCTGAGCTGATGTTGTTGCAGGAAGAACATTCGAGTGCAGATGGGTCGCTGCCCCGTTCGCAGCGTGTTTGACGAAGCTCTTAAACTGCTGGAGCAGAAGCAAGATCAAATTGGGTAGGCCCCCGAATGACTTTCAAAGACGTCTGTCCCACTGACGATAATGTCAGATTCCTGTTTGATCATATCATGCCACTTGAACAAGCCCCGGAAGGATACACACTCTTCGAGCAGCGCAAGACGCAGAAAGTGGTTTTCACGCTGTCACAGGAGTAGGCAGCTCGGAAGAATGAAGCCGATGATCAATTTTGTCGAGGCTTGACCATGCCCTCGTGCATCAAATAGTAAACAACTGTCGAATCTTTATGCACTGTTGCCAGCACAAGTCTCTTCTCTCGCGGGCCTTCATGCTCTATGGAATCAAAAATCTCAGAGAACCCTCTGATAGACCACTTCTCTTCAGGATGTACTGCCAACACCCATTCGCTCTCCGGTGTTTGATCTAGAGGCTCTCCGGTAGCCTTCTCTCGTTCTAGTGCAGCAATTTGATCATCAGGATGGATGTAGAGTCGTCGGGGCGGCAGACCTCTAATCAGAGGTCGACGACTTGCTGTTTGATGAACTTTGAGAGAGACCCAATCATGTTGGTACTGTAGGTTGTAAACAACCGTCGAAGTGACGTTTGCTACTGGGCCACTTTGAGGATCCATGTTGATTATATGGGTGGCGTTTAATATGTCCGCGTAATGAGTGCCAAGGAGAGGCGAGTAGCAAAACGTGTATGGATCAGGGTCCAGTGCATACGCGGAAGATGTGTGCACGGAAAGGGGCGAAGAAGTGTGGCTAAGTGGTCTCAGACACAATGATGACAAAGGAGGGAAATCGACGAGTATTCCAGGGTACGGCAGGAAACGTCGGAGTGCTAGCAAGCCCGGTGGTGAGAGGGGGTTACCATCAATGCAGGTTCTAGGCCTTTGCTCTTTGATGAAGTAGAGATTAGCTTTTTTTTTTAATGGATCAAGCGATAAACTGAAGGTGGCAGGTGGATAATGTTAGGGATTCTTGGAAAAGTGGAGAGTTATAAGCGACTTGACTTGGGGACTTCGTGGAGGTAGCCGATTAGCCTATACTGTACTTGCACTACCTAGGTACCTTAGAAAAGCGTGTAGATTCAACGCGATGCGCAACTAGACGAAAAAAGATGCTCGTCTTGCAGTATAGTTATTACGTGAGATTAGACTTTTCGCATCTCGGCTCGCTGATAGCTCACTACATAATGGTCGTAGTTCCGTAGATTGCCCTGAGGAAAGTTCCCCTCAAGCTCGGTAGCGCCCATCAGACTACTCAGGTACTGCTGATCGCTGATCTAGGTACCTTGGATAAATGGCCCAGTCCCGCCGTTGCTGGGCGCTTTCATGTGGATCACAATCGCATTCCGTTTCTTCTATATTAATACCCTTGACGTACATCTTCACTTGCTACACCACTCAGCAGTTGTCATCTTCAATATCACACTCGTCATTCAATAGCAGCTCTCTACCCTGATTGAGTCCGCCAAGGTAGCACAGCCACAATGGCACCGTCTGGGCAACCTTCCTCTAATGGAACTGGTACCGAGCCGTTCCCAAGTCTCGACAATACATCAACCGGCATCAATACAACAACTCAGCCTCCTGTCGAAAACCGTCCAGCAGCATCTTCATCTTTGAGCGGTCGCCTTCGCAGAGTTTCTCAAAGCTTTGAAGTTTCCGACCCCCCCGGAGGGTTTATGGCTGCCACAGGAACCATCGCATCATCTATATTCTCAGGACAGACCGTGGCGCGTAGACCGTCGGAAACCTCGATACCGATGCAAACAGGCCGCGCCCTTGGGGATTCGTCCAGACAGAGCACATTTCCTGTCGTCAACGAAGAAGCTCCCGAAGAGAAGGCCAGCGCGAGCGTTGTTTCTCCGAGGCGAAACCTCACTGGAGAGCCCACTGAAGCCGCCCCTTTTAACAATGGATATCACTTTCCGCCCAAGCATTCAACCGGACAATCTACCAAGCTCGGACTGATTGCCTCCTGGAACTATGTCAGAACGCCTACAGGCTTTCTCGTTACGCTCTATGGCCTTAATGTTGTCGCCTGGGGAGGCATGCTCTTCTTGCTGCTTTGGTAAGGATGCTCTTTCAACCATGTATTGATCAGTGACGTTTTACTAACAAATTACCTAGCAATGCCTCACCAGCGATGTGCGTTCCGACTTGTAACGACATCAACTCGCCCAGACGGAAGTGGATTGAATGGGATTCTCAAATCTTGAATGCTCTCTTCTGTGTTACTGGCTTTGGGCTTGCGCCCTGGCGCTTCCGTGATCTTTATTACCTCCTCCAGTATCGACTACAGAAGAAGGAAGTCGCTCTTCGACGCTTGGCAGGTATCCATCGAGGATGGTTTCGCCTTCCGGGGTCTGACCAACTCGACCCTCAGACAGGCCCCCATAACATCTCGTCAACACCCGAACTTAGCTCATCGCTTGCGTGCCCATTTCCCGAAGACAAGATTCCCGACGCTCCCTTGACTGGAGTACGCGCCCCGCCAACACCTATCAAGAAATTGGATATCGTCATATGGTTGATGGTATGGAACACGTTTTTGCAATGTGTTTTGTCCGCTTTCATGTGGGGGTTGAACCGGTACGATCGTCCTAGCTGGTCCACCGGTCTATTTGTTGCACTCGCCTGTATCGTCGCTGCCATCGGAGGCATCGTCATGTTCATTGAAGGAAAGAAGGTCAAGGGTATTGAAGGTGTCCCTATCAGCGATGAAGATCGGAAACTTTTGCAACAAGACCGAGAACGTGGCGTGTGGCATTTCAACAACATCAAGGACAAGGACCTGGCTGCTGAGGAAGAAAAGAAGAACAAAAAGGCAAAGAAGTGAGGCATAACATACCCTATGTCGACACAATTAGGCGTATTGGTGCATGATTAGTTAGATTTTACTTTGATGATTTTATTGTTTTCATGTACGCCTTATTCATCTACACAGTAGCAGGCAGGGAGGTGTTGGATAAATATACTGTCGAAGTAATAGTGTTCGCGTGCAAGACTTGAACACCCAACATGGAACTACTACGAATGTTTCGTGATAGGTATCATGGTAGGCCAGGCGCTTATCATCAGTCTAAGTGCCTACCCTACCTAGGTACCTATAAAGATATGACATGTGAAACCTTGTTAAAGCACAACAGGCACAGCATACCTTAGGTTTGGTTGCAGTTCAGCAAACATCAGTTACTCGCCGCTAGATCTGGGTATATAATACAGTCCCGACCGAAAACCACATCAGGAAGAAAGGAAGTTCCGTTGACGTTTTTGATTCCAAGCTTCCCATTGATCTTGACCAAGTGAGAGACCCTTATCCTCACATCAGACTCCACTGAACCCTGGACGGCTCTTGGTGGAGAACGCCTCACTTAGAGGGACGTGCCCGCCTTACCTGACTCCGGCCTCATGACGTGCCATTCCAGAGTTACCTAGTCCACACCTCAGTAACTACCTATTCTCCACTGCCAACCATCACTTCGCAACAGTGGACCATCATCTCCAATATCAACTCTCCATCACAACATCTCTAGTTTTCCGAGCATTCGACACTTACTGCCGCCTGTTAGACACCCCAGACCGAAACCGCAACCTGCTTCGTCGTAGAGCCCCGCATCATGGGGCTGGCTTATAACACCTACCTTAGCAGCAGTAAGATCTATGGCTGCAAGGCATGCAAAGCCCATCTTGCTAACCATGAGGACATTATCAGTAGAGTATGTGCTCCCAAGCCTCTTCATGCCCCCGCTCCATTCAGAGGACTGTCGCCGCTAATACTAGGTCTAGAATTTCCGTGGTCAGCATGGCAAGGCCTATCTCTTCCACAATGTTGTCAATATCGAAACAGGCCCGCCGAACGAACGCAACATGACTACTGGTCGACATGTCGTCCGCGATATCACATGTCGCCAATGCAAGGAGACAGTTGGATGGAAGTACGATAAAGCATACGAATCATCGGAGAAGTACAAGGAGGGCAAGTTCATCCTCGAAGCTGAACTACTTTGCAATGTTACTTGATAGCCTGGTATGTCAGGCACGTACAGATGTGAACGTAGGCTGCTGTTTGGTCTCGTGAAGTTTTTCTCGGGTATGCGTGTTAGGGCGTTGGATGCACCTTGGTAGGCTTAAGCACTTGTTTCACCTTTGCAAAGAAGGTTTATTGGGGGGTTTGGGGCTGCTCTTTACAAATTCCAATACTATGAACTATTCAACTACATGCTGCACCCAAGATCCGGACGCCAATGTGAACAAATTCACAAATAAATGACTTCTCAACCATAGACTGACCCTGCATGCTCAAACATGTACCAAGGAAAAATGTCGCTTCAGCGATGTTCGATGGGTTCCTCAGGTAGCAGCTCCTCGATCTCTTCATCGGGGACCTTCAGGAAGTCAAACGGAGGCTGGACGATGCCGTTGAACAGGAAGGTAAAGTACACAAGCAGGGCGAAACCGACGATCTGTAGCCACTTGAATGTCTCCCAGCCTAACCCAAGGGAAACGATCCAGATGAAGAGTGTGCGACAGGTATCAATGGTAGACCGCGAGGTAGCACTGACGCTTCGAGTGACAGACAAGCCAAAGAAGTTGAAGCCACTGTTGTATGATTAGTCGCTGAGCATTTATTCCTCGAGAGAGAGAGAAGATACTTACCCAATGCTGATCATGATAAGGAAACTTGTCATGAGGACCTGCTTATTCTCAGTCATCTGGCGCCAGCCCTCAACAATGTCAAAGTATCCATAGCGACCAGCGTCAGTTGAGCCGATAGTCGCATGCAAAACAAGCATTGCCAGAAGCGTAAAACTGAAGCCAAAGATACCCTCCCAGCCAACTACACGAAGCGGCTCGATCGAAGATCGTTCGAGAAGCCATTCTTCAAGCACGAACTGAGTGGCTGTGAAGATTTGAGCACCTGCAATAAGTAACACGCCGACGATGGCCCTTGTAGCGTCTGAGAGGCCGCCATCTTTCAAGGAGTCCTCCTCTGGTAGCCCGATAGAATTCTCAGGTTTCTCGTCTGGCCAAATGGCACCAGCCAGTCCAACAACAGCCACTCCCATGACAACACCCATGAGGGAAAGCCACTGGAAGAGATGCAAGTGACGCTTCAAGAAGACAACGCTGAAGAGGCCGACAAATAGAACCAAAGCACCTCGAGTCATTTGATAGATAGATGCAGCCACCATAAGAAGTCCAGCATTCATTAGTGTAGTGCCGCAGATGTCGCAAATAGCAGGTAGAGCAAGCAGAGTGATGCGGTATCCCCTCAAAACTGATGGACCAGTGTGCAGTAGCTTTGTACGATCGTTGACTTCCACTTCAGAGGCGGGTTGCTCATTGTCTTCGACTCCAACAGCTTGGTAGCCCCGTTCTTCCGGAGCAGAGCCCTTGAACCGTCGCCAGAGCGCCATCATACCGACAACCAGCCAGCAGCCCATCTCGCCGACAAACATCTGCGCCGTCTGAAGCACTGGCTGGTTGAAAAAAGCGCGCTTCCTCGGGTTGTCATCGGGATCACAGTTGCGAACACATTGATTGTCCTACAAGAAAGGTGAGTTAGTTGCAGCTCCGGTGAGAACTCGCAGGATGGATAGCGGATGCCCATGTCGTCATACCTGATATTTAGTCAACAGGGTGTTGCAAACACCTGTGAGTAGCATCATGGCTACAAGAAACGGGATGAGGCTTCGGGACGCCATAGTGATGAGACAGCCGGTCGGCGATGGACTGGCTTCAGCGGTTGATACTCGTGAAGAGTGTGCGGGATGGAGGATGGACGAGGCGGCAGAGAAGGCCAGGCTGATAACAGTCTGAACAAAGAGCTGATAAGCTCAAAGCCAGAGTGGGGCGAGGCACGTATCAGCGGATCACAGCGTCAATGCAGGGTTCAGTCTCCTAAGCTGAACGCGGAGGTCTCTGGCTTCACTAACTGCATGCACAATGTTTGTGCATCAGACGCTCGGTCCATCTCAGGTGCTCAGGTGCTGCTTGAGTGCGACGCGTTACGCGTTACCTCGAGGTACATGCTCCAAAGAAGTCGAAGTACCTCCCCTTTGGCCTGTGGGGAAACCGGGGTTTAGCTTATGTGGGTCAAGATGAGACCCCAGCCACTTCAGTTCAAGGTTCTCGGAGAGTGACTTGTGCATTGGCTGCTACGATGTACCGTATCGACTTTTACCGAGCCATTACATTGCCCGCTCAGATGGCCCCGGACAATTACCAGCCTTCACACGATACGTACTAGTCTCCCTCAGTGATCGACTTCATCAAGAAGCGGGCTTCTAGGTCTCAGAGCAGAAGCTCAAGTGATTGAAATTTATGGGGAACAAGAGTCAGCACATTCGGTCACCTGTTGAGGTGATTACTGGGGTCACAAGATCACTGGCGTTGAGAGTCTGATCAGAGGTGGTTAGCGCAAGATAAAAAACCACAGCACCTCTTGACTTGCGCAACTCACAGCAGGCGAATGTCAGATCAACCTAGAGAACATGGTTGGAAAACTTCAAAGCCCGTAACTGGGTATACAGTTGATATTTTCCGAGGCCCTCTTGAAGGACTCTCAAGACCCAATCAGAGTTTGTGTGGACTACGCAGAATCCCACTTTGACATATAACATGTTCACAAGAACGCTCCGGAGCACATTCACACAAGGGAAGATTATTAATGGCCGTTATATATTTTGGTAATATTCGGTGAAGGTCTCGACAGGACCGGGAAAAGAGCGTAGATACACCTCGATCTAAAGTACAGTACATGAAATTGTTCTCAAAAGGGAGACTTGCATAGCAAGATGTCCAAAGTAGGACCGGAAAGATTCGAAACCTGAAAGGTCTCTAAGTTCAGAACAGAGACGCACCAACGCTTAAGGACATGGGAATATTTGGACTGGGCTAACCAGGAGATTCCAAAACTCCCCAACACTGGGTATTCCAGTGTATGATTTACCACGTAAATGCTTCCTCAATGAAGTCGATGTGAGATCGCTCTTGGCGGTTTCGCACAGCCAAGCGCACCTCATCGCTGAGGGCACCTGGACCGCACACAGTGACAGCCATGGCACCAACTTGATGCTCTTGCTCCATACCCAAGAGAGTGTTGATGTTGGGCCGTCCTGGGAACATCTGGACGGTTGATGAAGGGCTGTGAATCTCTTTGGTCGAACGAGGTTGGCTGACAAAGAGCATGATTCGGAGCACATCCCTCCTCTTGTCCATGCCCAGAATCTCTGTCATCCAGGGACGGATCCACTCAAGATGCTCTGGAGTCTGAATGGTCCAAACAAGCAAGACTCTTCGAGTGGCTACAGTACCCTCGGAATAACCCTCAACAAGGTGCTTGATATAAGGTACAGGGTGTGTGATGCCGACACCTCCAGCGAAGAGAACAACCGTTCCATAAGAGTCGAAGGAGTGGTGGCCACCGTAAGGTCCTTCGGCGAAGCAGCTTGTCTCGAAACGTCCTCCGGGAGCAGCGACAGCCTTCTGGTATAGTGTGTCGGTCATGCCAGTTCTGCCTCTGATGATGAATGAAATTCGGTGCTGCTGCATGGCCAGCAGATCTTGGTTCGTCGTGGCCAGTCGCTCGTTCTTAACATCCTCAACGCCGTCGTGCCATGCAACGGAAAAGGGGTGAGACTGCCAGTAGCTGATGCCAGGCAAGTAGAGGTAGGCGTGCTGTCCGGGGGCGGCCTTCCAGGGTCGAGCAAGAGTCATGGTCAATCGAACAGCGTTTCCGGGGAGAGCTTCGACAATTGTTCGGGAGCGCGAACCTCCAACGTGAGAGCGAATGACTCGCCAAAGACGGTAAGATCTGTCGAAACTCCAAAGGGCGATCACACCATAGACGTAGCAGAGCCACTTGAACAGAGGTGGCGAGGCAGATAAATGATAGTACAGTCCAACAACAGCGGCACAGGCTGCGAGAATGTGGAGAGCCTTGAAAATCTCGTAGAAAGCATGTCGAAGGGGGCTGGAGGCTTGGATACCAAGGAAAACAAATGAACATGTCGCCTGTTTAGTGTAAGTAATGGGAATCGTCCAAGGCTATCGTGACGAAGAGCAGTCAAAATTCAAGGAGAAAGGTAGGTTATTTACGTACAATAAAGCCGGGCAGGATGAAGCTGCCAGAGGGGGGTGTGAATATCCACCCATTCTTGCCATAGTGGGAGACGGTATGAGCAACAGCCTCAAGGATGACAATGCGACCAAACCAACGATGGATCAGGTTGTAAGTGTCAAAAGAGATGTTCAAGAGAGGGATGAGAGGGTTGTTTCGGCCAGCCAGCAAGAACAGGGGGACCTATTGTCTTGTTAGTACCAAGGAGTTCGCCAAATAAAGGGACAACCAAAGTCGCAGAGAGCATAGTGACTTGGTTGTTCGTGGTAACCATACCATGTTGACTGTAGAGAGAACACCAGTGCGGTTGCGAATAACACCACATGCAGCCGACATATCGGCAGAGAAGTCGATATCGATAACACACCAGATGACGTTGGAGACAAAGTAGGCGATCAGGAAAAACAGTTGAAATCGGGTAGGGAGACAGCCGACGTTGATGGCCTTGCTAAGCTGGATTTCGCGGTTGTGTCGCTTGCTGAATACGGGAGCATAGAGGAGGTTGCGCTTGAGTGATGCGAATCGCTGCGAAGGAATGGCGAAGTAGCGCTGCTTATCGTTGTTCAAGCAGGCAACATGTCGAGTGAGTCTGATAATGCGTTCGCAGACCTTCCAGATAATAACAGCGACCGACACCGAACCGCAAACAATCATGAGGTACTTGGCGAGGTTTCCATTTGTGGCTTCGGCGGCATCCTTGAGTGCTTGTTGCTCTGGGGTGAGCTCATAGGCTGCTCGCGGCAGCATTGAGTTTCCGGCACTCATTGTGATCTAAGAGGAAAAAAAGAATGACTGGAAACAAGAGAAACAACAAGGTCGAGGTGTCGAAGTAGAAAGTGAAGAAAAATAAAAAACCTCTCCAGGAGGAATCGGGTTGAATGGTCGAAGTAGCGGCGGCAACGAGAAAGGGAGAAAAGAAGAGAGTGTGGGAAACCGTGACGTGATAAAGGGAGCGTATTGTAGGAACAGTGAATGTTAGGAAACCGGCTCCGAAACAAACAATTCCCACGCCTTCTCTAGGAATGAACAAATAATTAATCCCTAGACAGACGAAACGAGATAGACAAGGAAGAGTTTTGGAAAAACGATTGCGGAGGTCTACCAGCAGCAAGGGATATTAAGTACGGGCAGGGGTAGTGTTTACGGCATATATGGGTCAGTTGCTAATTCCCCAGCAATCATGGCTCTTGCATAGAGTAAATCGTGTCAAGGCCGCGCGTGGAGGTCTTGTCATAGAACCAGCGGCCTCAAAGCATCCCCTGCACTCTCATTTGCAGCTCGCTGAACACCACTAGGAACCCCATGTATCGCGCTCATCCCGCCCGCATCCCACTGGACGAGGAGTCCTAAAGAGGGTGCCAGCTGGGAGGCCGCAGAACTAGGCTCAGGGGTAGTTTCAAGATATTCATCGCTTGCATTCAAGATTAGTTGATCCGTGTCTATCATTGGCGAACCAACATCAACTAGTCCGAGCGGCTCTGCCAAGGTGTGGGCTACGTACTTCAACCCAACCACATAGTAAACACAAGCCTAACATTTTAACTCATTTTGAATCAGAAGACAAGAAGTACTTGAAAACTTTCAGTGTTGACTGAGCTAGTATTTTTTCCGTCATTTTTTGCATCTCCTTATTCGAAACAGATAGATTTTCTTTTTTAATCTTTGGGTTGAAATGCTCCCTATCTTGGCAGCCAGCGTTTACGTACCATAGTCCAAGTACCTGCAGAACACGAGCCATTGGCAGGGGAAGCTCAGTGGCGCCCATTCCGAGTGGCGGAAGGACATTTAATATCCTGACGACGCGGGGCTGAATGGAGATTCTGAAACTAGGGGCCTCCCTGGTAGCTGGAAATCAACGTTCTTGGCTTTCGAGAATTATTATTAGTGGATGGTAATTTGGTCAGGACCGTATGGATACTTCCACTGATTATACCCTTTCTTTCCCCCATACTTTGGAATAAAAAGCCGGTACTCACTTATAACGGGTGGAAGTCTATTTCGTGTATTTGTTTTGACCGTTGGGCAAGCCATGGGCCCTAAAATGGCTAGAATGGCCCCGCGGCAAGCATAAAATTACGGGCCAATTGCAGATCAGTTTCTTGACAAGTCATTCGCAGACCCGACAATGACATCGAACGGCGGTTTCAAGTGCCTCTTGCCCCACTTTGGCAGATATCGTCATCCAGTTCCCAGCTTCTAAGAGGCGGATGATTATTCTCCAGTCAAAGCCTGAGACGGACGCTGAGACACTTTCGCAGACAGCATGTGCATGGTCCCGGTCATCAGCTGCCAGGAGTGCAAAAAAACAAAACAAAAAGAGGGCTTCTACCCGCGAGTCTAACTTACAATACTAAACATATCAGATCGTTTCGAGCATACTAAGCTCGTCGTCCATTTCATCTCCTCCCTGCAGTATCTCTGACAATCCCATGGCAGCTCTACCCAATCTGCGGTCCGGCCATCTGCGTGTAATATCCAAGCTTTTGACCTTCTTGACAACCTTGACCTTCGTCCTCTTTCTGTTGGCGCTGTGATCGTAATCATCTTGTCCCAGTGCGCTTCCAAGATTGTGGCCCATCATCCGTGCACAGTCGCCAAGTTCATCCCCGCTGTCTTGCCGTTCATTAATATCCGTAATGCTAGTATTTTCATCCTCGCCGTTGGTGCTGTCCGTGTCGTCCACGGCGTTGTGCTTCCCCATGTCCTTGTCGCTCTCCACAGTGCTATCTTTGTCGTTGCTGTACCCGAAATTGCTACTCCGGTCGGTCTTCTTCTCTCTCGGGCCTGCAATCCGGTCTCGACTTTCTGGTTGGCGATCCGGACATATTCCATAGTTTGCCCCGTCACGACCTTGATCTTGCTGTCTCAGCTCACGCCCTCTTTTCTGACTAGGGCTTGGCAGAACCCATTCGCCGATCCCCTCTTCCCACCGCCAACCTGCAAACATTGTGCTTGCTTCCAGGGTTCCCTTGCCAGAGGCAGGAAATCTTTCAGCGAAAGCAACATCCCGGAGATCTTTCGTTTTTTGTGCCAGAACAAACGCTCCATCAGATACCAAACCGTGTTGAAACCATGTTGGAAGTCCCAGTCCATTGAGCGATGTACGGATCTCAGACAAAACGTCGTGGCAAGGCAGGCCACACGCTCGCCCCTGGTATTGTGCAGCAGAGCAGGCCAGCAAGAGGGTTTGTTGGTACTGTAATTGAGTTGGGCAACCGTTTCTAGCTGTCGCCAGCAGTTTCATAGAGTCATAAATCGAAAGGTTTTTCGCTAATAAACGAACCACATCGTTGTCGATCATAACTGTGGAAATGAACTGAGCCAAGACAAAAATGAAACACCCGCTGGCACGAAACCCTCTGCGACGGATTGGTTGCTGAGAAACACAAGATTCGAGAGTGAGCAGCAACCGTCGAAGGGCATGGGTTCTCCATGGCTCTTCACCATTCATCTTAGCACCTAATGTCCAGATCGCTGCCGTTATTGCTGCTAATACACTAACAAGTGTCTGCTCCTCTGAAGGCTGATTAGCTCCCCTGGCTTTCCAATCATTTAGCAGGAGTTGATTAAGGGCTGTAGACATGAAATCAATAGTCGAGGGCACAGGAGTTCTGCTATGTAACAGAATCTCGACTCCTCGCATCCAAACTGGCTGGAACGCGCGTGACGTTAGCCAGTTTAGCGAGAGCTTCTTGTTGTTGATAAGAGTTGTGAGGCAGTCCCAAGACGGACCTGTCACCTCCTGGTTTTGCAAACTCCTTAGTATAGCCCCTAAAGGCTGAATCGTACTATTTTCAAACAGTATACCCGATGGACCGCGAGGTGCTACCAAAGGAACGTTCAGGCTTACAACAAGTCGGGCTGCTTCCTCTTTGCACTCCAGGCTGAGACAAAGATCAGCCAGCAACCGCACATATGAAGACTCGAAGAGGCCTTCTTTCACAGCTGCTGCTAGAAGACATAGAGCATGTGCGCGAAGAACAAGTTTCAGGGATTTCCAGCCCAGACTCGTGCTACCAAAACCCTCGAGTTGCTCATAGAGCTCGGTGGATGCTTTTGATGATATCCACTTGGAAGAGTTGCCTGCCTTCGCTGCACTCTGACGGTCCCATTCTTCTATCACGGCCAGCGCATCCGGAACCTTACGAAGGCACATACCCAATAAAGATTTGGGATGCGCGGTTTGGGACAACGGTTCAGTTGATCTCAGCAAGCCATTCAGCGACCCGAATATCGTCTCGTATATACGGTACTGACTTTCGGAGACGATTCGGCGAATGGATTGTAACTCTATTAATAGTGTTTTTGTATTCGTACCGGATTCTTTGAAAGATGTAGCTGAGGTATCGAAAGTTGAATTGCGGTGGTCTAAGTCGCGTGCGGATGGTTTAACGAAGTCAATTCTTCCCACTCCTGCCGGACTCCGCTCGATCTTCATGCTCCCAAGAGTACGAAATGTCCGTGGGGGAGTTGATAATGGCGATACAGTAGGGTTTGTCTGAGCTGGGGCCGACCGGCGCCTTCCGTATGTATGTCGCGCTCGCTTTGAGGCCCTCGTTGGTTCTTCATCAGTGTCGACACGCTTCGCTCGTGTTGTTGTTGTTATGGTTGCTGCTGCTGGTTGCCGAGTCTCGTTCACAAGCTTTCTCAGAGCTACTAGGCGGCATTGAAGCTGCCGAAGTAGGCGTTGACATCTTGCTGCTGTCCAGGGTTGTTCGGCTTGTTTCTTGTGTTTTTGGCCTCCTGCTAAAAGGCTATGGGCTGGTAATGTAAGGGGCTGTTCGCTCATGATATATCAACCGGACTTCGATTCAAGGTAGCTAACAGTGAGCCGAGATCTTATTGCGAAAGAATACACGATAAGCTAGAAATTGCCAGAAATAATCATATCATATAGAAGGTCGGGTTAAGTTGAAGATGATGTAAACAGTGCCGTGAACGGTGGTGGGATGAAGGTCAATTATTTACATACATCCAATTCTGGTCTAGCGCAGCCGTAAATCTTGGGGTCAACCGGCTTCGGGGGTTACAGTTGAGAGGGCCCTAAGATGGAATACCCAGATAATACCCGTCTAACCGGCGAAACTACCTGAGAACCGAAGTACTATCGCTGTCGCGTGTCCAGCGCCGGGCTCAATGCCGGACCATTGCCGCCGCACCACAACTCCAATTAGTAGTGAGCCGTCCAATTTTTTCATTCTCCCCTCCGTCACTACTTCCACCTTCTTCGACGAACGTCGTTCAATTGATTGACCTCCCCTCCAGTGCATATCCTATGTCTGGTTTTCTCCCTCCCTCCATATTCTTCTTTTGCTCTTGATTTCCTGAACACTCCAATTCGTCAATATGGCTTCGGAAACCACTCCTCCCGCTCAGGCGCCCGGTACGTATTCATGTTAAGCTAGACCGCCCTTGTCAATGCTTGTAAAGTCCGGGGTCTTCTTCAGCCTTGACTTCATCGTCGACAGAGCTATTTTGTAGCTTTGGTCGTGGACATGCAGGATTCTGCTGGAATAGCTATAGTTTCTGTTATACACAATCGAGCTAATATGTCTCAGCCGCCGCGTCCGAGGAGCCCGAGACCAACACGGAGGTCGAAGCTCAAGATATCGATGTCGGAGCCGAAGGTAGTTAAGATTGCCATCCGATTAGCGATATATGACATGGATATCTAATCTTGTGACAGCGTTAATAAACCTTACCGTTACCTTGCCCGATGCCAATGCTAGCAAGATCCAGATCATGGTCCGTTTTGACTTATACCAAATTCTTCTGAAACCTTGAGCTTACCAGAATTTAGGTTTCGCCTCAAGAACAGGTTCATGAGATCCGACAGTCCATCATTGACCTTCCTTCTGCGTTTCAATACACCTGCTTCCACCTGGAGTTTAATGGCGAGAAGATCAACGACTTCATCCCTCTCGCCGAAATTCCCGAACTCGGCACCACGCCCGAGTTTCATGTGGTCGAGGACCCATATACCGAGAAGGAAGCTCGCATTCATTTTGTTCGCATTCGGGAGCTTATCGGCGCCTCTGGGGATCGTTGTGACACTGCTCAGGGTGTTCTTCCAGGACTTTCCCTTTTCGAAACTGTCGCTACAGAGGCCCATGGTAGTAACGACGAGTCGGCTGAGGAGTCGCCTATACAGAACTACGACTTTCAGGCTGTGCCTTCGCTCACCGGGCTGGTACCTCCCCCATCCGAACCCGCTCCTAAGACAGTGAAGCAGATCTCCTTGTCATCATGGAACCCTCCCCCTCCTCACCTGCGACAGCGTGGCCACTTGCTCTATTTGGTTGTCTCCACTAATGAAGGCGAGCAATACCAAGTCACCTCTCACGTTTCGGGCTTTTACGTGAACAAATCTTCCAACGCCAAGTTCGATCCTTTGCCTCGTCCAGCGCCCAAGGGCCAGTCTGCTCACTCCTTGTTGAGTCTGATCGAGCTTGTCTCACCTTCGTTCACCGAATCCTTCACGAAGCTCCAGGACTACAACAACCAACGAGACCCTCTCGCCACTTTCCAGATCACCAACGCTATCCCTGCTGCTCCTTGGGTGGTTCCTTCTCCGAACTCGTCTCTTTGTACACATCTTCCCGACCCTGCACGATCCCAGGAGACCTACCTTCTCAACGGTGTCGAAAACACCGACACTCTGCGAGACTGGAACGAAGAGTTCCAATCAGCTAGGGAGCTCCCCCGCGAGACCGTTCAAGACCGTGTATTCCGCGAAAGACTCGTTTCCAAACTATTTGCGGATTATAACGAGGCTGCCACTCGAGGTGCTGTCATGGTCGCACGCGGCGATGTTGCCCCTCTAAACCCCACAGAATGCAGGGATGCCCAAATCTTTGTTTATAACAACATCTTCTTCTCTTTCGGTGCTGATGGTGTTGGTACCTTCACTTCCGAGGGTGGCGACGAGGCTGCCCGTGTTGCCACTGGCAAAGATGTTGCTGGCGTCAAGCTTGTCAACCAGTTGGATATCGAGGGGCTTTTCACACCTGCTACTGTAGTTGTTGACTACCTTGGAAAGCGAATTGTTGGTCAGAGCATTGTTCCTGGAATTTTCAAGCAACGCGAGCCCGGCGAGAACCAAATCGACTACGGTGCTGTAGACGGCAAAGATACCGTCGCCGCTGACGAGAGATTTGCTCCTGGCTTTGCTCAGCTGTCCAAGGCCCTCAAGGTCAAGAAACATCCTGTTTGGGATAAAGATGGCAAGCGATTCGACCTAGAGGCCAGCGTGGAGACCAAGGGCCTTCTAGGTACGGACGCTCGCAAGTACGTGTTGGATCTGTACCGTATCAGCCCCCTGGACATCGCCTGGCTAGATGAAGATGGCCTCCCTGAGGATGGTGATGCTTATCCTCACCGCATGACTGTGCTTCGACCAGAGCTCGTCGATTCTTTCTCACGGTACAGATTGAAACAGTGGGTAGACAAGGAGGTCGCTCGTCGAGCTGAACAGAAGAAAGAGAACGAGAAGGAAAACGGCGAGGCCGAGACCGAGAAGACTGAGAACGCCGAGAAGACCGAGAAGACCGACGAGGCCGGGAAGGACGACGAGGCCGGGAAGGACGACGAGGCCGAGGGCAAGGACGAAGCTTCTAAGGAGGAGGAAAACCAGCCTAACCTTTCGGATTTCAAGTTTGCTCTCAACCCCGATGCTTTCAGTGGCCAGGTGCCCCAAACTGAAGAAGAGAAGGCTGAGTTCGCTGCTGATGAGGAGGAGGTCAGGGCAGCTGGCGCCTATCTTCGGGAGCAGGTCATCCCTGACTTACTCAAGGAGCTATCTGATTCAGAGATCAGCTTCCCCATGGATGGTCAGTCATTGAGCCGACTTCTCCATAAGCGAGGTATCAATGTGAGATATCTGGGCAAGGTTGCCGAGCTTTCTACCGATGGTCGTCTGAAATGCTTGCGCGAAATCTGTGTTCAAGATATGGTTGCCCGAGCTTTCAAGCATATCGCTTCTACATACCTCCGCCACCTTCCGGTACCCGCTGTCCCTGCCGCTGTTGCTCACCTCCTCAACTGTTTACTCGGACACAACTTCAACAGCAAGCCTGTTGCTGAGCTTGATTCTTCAATCCGCAGCCTCTACACAGACGCTGATTGGTCATTTGAAGAGGTCGCACCCGAAAGCCTGCGAGAAAACATCGAGGAGCAAATTCTCCAGCGATTTCGACATGAATTGGATGAGGAATGGCACAATCAGGTTCGCCCAGTCCAGCTACTCCGTGAGGTGTCGTTGAAGCTTGGTATCCAGGTCCAGGCCAAGGATTACGCCTTCACTGTCGATGCTGCCGATGCTGCCGCTGCCACTACAGCTGACGCTCCTGAAAAGACCGAGAAGTCCATTGCTAACCAAACCAATGGAGAATCTGCCAGCAGCAAGAAAAAGAAGAAGAACAAGACTCGTGAGGTTTCGCCTCCTGAGACAGTTGCCCCTGCCAATGTTCACACGTTCTGCCCCGACGACATCGTTGACCTAGTTCCTTTGATCAAGGACTCATGCCCTCGTAGCGCTCTCGCTGAGGAGGCGCTTGAAGCTGGCCGCATCTCAATTATTCAGAACCAGAGGAAGCTGGGTCAGGAGCTCCTCCTAGAGTCCCTTTCCCTGCACGAGCAGATCTACGGCATCCTGCATCCCGAGGTCGCTCGTGTGTATAATAGTCTGTCTATGCTCTACTACCAGCTGGATGAGAAGGAGGCTGCGGTTGATCTTGCTCGCAAGGCAATTATCGTTGCTGAGCGAACTGTTGGTGTTGATTCCGCCGAGACCCTTCTTAACTACCTCAACCTGAGCCTGTTCCTCCACCAGGTTGGTGACAGTAAGGGTGCTCTTGTGTACTCAAAGCACGCTCTCAAGATGTGGAAGGTTATATACGGCCCTGACCACCCTGACTCTATCACAACCCTTAACAACGCTGCTGTGATGCTTCAGCATCTCAAGGCCTACCATGAGTCTCGACTTTGGTTCGAGGAGTCGCTGCGTGTATGTGAGTCTGTCTTCGGCAAGCAGTCGATCAACTCCGCCACACTACTCTTTCAGCTAGCACAAGCTCTTGCTCTTGACCGCGATTCTAAGGGAGCCGTGACTCGTATGCGCGAGTCTTACAACGTTTTCCTCGCCGAGCTTGGACCAGAAGACAAGAACACCAAGGAGGCAGAGAGCTGGCTCGAGCAGCTTACTCAGAACGCTGTGAACATTGCCAAGCACGCCAAGGACGTCGCTGCCCGACGACTTAAATCCGGCATTCGATTCACCACCAACACTTCGAATCCGGCAGGAGTTGTTCCCAGCGTCGCCGTCCCTGGCCGTACCGGTCCTGGCTCACAGGTCGATTCACGCAGCATTGATGAGCTCATCAAGTTCATCGAAGGTGGTGAACATCAACAAAACAAGAAGCGTACTGGCCGTGGTAACCCAAAGAGACGAGGCCAGGCCGGAGCGCGATAAACTGACCTGACGAAACTCTCTATGATGCTGGTATGTGCTTGGGATTTTGATTCACCGCTGTGTAAAAATAGACGGTTAGGAAAAGTATGGGAATTCCGTTATCTGTTATGTGGTATGAGTGGCTTGGTCGAACAGGACCCCCGGTTCAGGGTTTGGGATGGTTGGCGGCACGGTGGCGTGGTCACACGTATTTGCATCAAAAGGCGCGTTTTCAGCATTTGTATATATCCAAGGCTCTACTCCCGGCTACTCGCCAGATGATCTTCACTCCTATTTAACACGCTCACATTTGGAGCTCTATGCCTTGTTTGCTAAGAAATCATGCAAATGCTGCTTCGTTAGTGATGACGAGTTCAAGGAACGTGCAGTGAACCACGAGGATGTTGAGCTGGAAACGATTGCGTTTCTTCCTTGATGCATTACACTCGTTACTATCGTTGGTAATATTCCAAGTTAAAGAGCCAGTGCTTGCAAATCGCCAAAATACATGGTATCAGGGCCAACTCCGAGCTTGCCCATCAGAAACAGTAACGCCCGAGTAAGTGTGTAGACTATGAGTGCCCTTGCAAAATGGATGTACTCCCACCAACTGGTGCGTGATACGAACCGATACTCTGGAATCCCCTTCGAAGCATGTTAGTTTTGGATCGCAAGAACAAAAAATAAGAACTTACTTTGTCAGGTCGAAGCCTTCTTCCTCCTCAGCCTCTGCAGGTTCAGCAATAGGCTGCGGGCTTGACCTTTGAGGCCGAGAAGGGCTACTCAAAGGCGACTTATCTCCACGCGGAGGACTGCTACTTTGCGGAGGCAGCAGACCTCCAGCCTTGGTAGGACTTATATCATAACCACCGAGAGGTTTCAAGGGTGTGCTGCCAATATCTGCGTATTTCCAAAAGGGTGCTGGTGAACTGGTTGGCATGTGTTGACTGGGTCGTTGTGCCGTGCTTGGAGGTGCGAGCTTGGGATGCACCCTTGGAGGTGCTGGGGTCACGAATGACGCGCCATCTTCTTGATAAGATGATGTGAGTGTGGGTGATTGAGGATTGTATACTGAAAATGATGAGTCTCTTGCTGGTGTCTTCCTGGGGCGTGGCAATGGGCTTCCGTCAATTGTCATGGTCGCGCTTCTGCCGAAAGATCGATCAGGTGTTGACTGAGCAATAATCAAGGATGGCCTTGGGGGAGGTGAAGCTGGAGGAGATCCTCTGCGTTTGCGAGCGGAGGGGGGTTCTCTTGACGCCATGTCTCTCGGGCCATGTGTTATGTAGGCAAGTTGATTTGGAGACGAAGGTGCAGAAGATCCACGGTGGCCACCACGACCAACTCGATAAGCATTTTTGATCATTTCATCTCTAGCTTCAGGAACAATTTGCCATTTCATGCCTTTGCCAGGCTCATCAGTTGACCTTGCGACCTTGTCAAACGATTTGTTAAGGGAAAGGTTATGCCGAATAGAGTTCTATAAGAAGTGAGTAACCGAGCAACTCCACGGACAAGACGGCTGCCAAACAAACTTACCTGCCAACCTGCAGCTTGCTGATGACGATAGTATGCATAAGTGTTCATGATATAATTATATATGCCATTGAGATTAAGCTTCCCATCTGGTGCGTTCAAAATTGCTTGCGTGATCATCTGAGCATAACTGTATTGAGGTTTGATGTGTTGGTTCTCATCCTGGCTCAGATCAACGCCATTGGCCCCAACCATGACAGCAGGTGTACTTGTAGCCGGTGATTTAAGGACACTATGTGCTGAAGTTGGGGTTCCCGGTCGCTTGTACTCGGCGGGCGCCGGCGCAATGAGGGGTTGTCGACGTGATGTTCGGGACTGTGGTGTATGTACGCTAACACCGGCTCTTTGGAGGTAAACGGGGTAGACAGTCAATGGAGTGATTTCGGACGGCAGTACGAACATCATCTCAACGTTTCCAATCTCGATGACCTCGCCGCTGGTGAGAGGGTGGGCTTGTCCAGCCTTGACAGGCTGAGTGTCTACCTTGGCGCCATTGCGGCCTTTGACACGAAGAAACCACTTCTCATCCTTGGAGTCAAAAGAGATGGTAGCATGCTCTCGCGATACCATCTTGCTGGGCCCTAGATCGATATGTACGTGTGACTCGTCCTCGTCTGAGCCAGTGGGTTGAGGGTTATGTGACGTTTCGGGAGCTCGGCCTATGTTGACGTTGAGTTTGGTGATGTAGAAGGTCCAGTCCTGAGCAGCCACTTTGGCGTAGGCCTTGACCCCGTCGCCTTTGGCCTCATGAATGACATTGGCATGGTCTTTACTGGCTTGAACATCCTGACTTCGAAGGTGTTGGGTAATTTGCGACACCAGTTGATCATCGTTGGGCGCGGGGGTGTCTTCTTCCTCTGGGACCTGCGGGACAAAGCCAAGATTAGCAGGCGGAGGTGATAGTATCGTGAAAACACAATATACCTTCTTTCGACGTTTGGACGGGCGACTGGGCGAAGATTCTTCGACATCAACTGGTGAAGTAGCTGTGGTCGCAGTCGCAGTCGCGGCTTTACGCGGTTCGCGACGAGCCCTAGAGGCTCTCTTTGCCGACAGTGGCATGGCGTGTGCGCAGACCTTGCACGTTCAAGTATAACGACAGAGAGTTTAGAGGGCAAGGACGGGGAGGTGGAGTTTTGAATACAGGATACGGTTGTTATATTGTCTCCCTGGCTGGCGAATATTTACTGCCCTTCAAGTTGGCGTCGGGACAGGAATCAATCAGATCAAGTAAAGTCGTGTCGTCAATCAATGTATCGTTTACTAACGTTAGTGGAGTGTAACAAATAGATGCCCTTTAAAGTTCGTACCGCGTTCGCGTTGGATTTAGTGTCATCAAGTGGCAGGGCCATGACAGGGCTGTGGGCTGGGGTGGGTACCTAAGTGTATCGATTCGTGCATACGCAACCCCCCGGGCCCGTTGTATGAATCTGGAGCACCATAAATCAGCAGAGTAGGGGGCTGACAGTGGCTGTAGTTGCCTGTAAGGGGGTCCCACTAGCGTGTGAGCGTCATTGCAAACAAGGCGGTTGGGGCCAAGAGTGAGAACCATGTCTTGCTTGACTGCGTCTCAGGGGACGAAAGTTTTTATTTATCTATTTATTAGTTACTTGATAAGTGAATATCGAACGTGGATGTTGTTGGGCTTGATTTGTTCACAATCCGTTGATGTTCAAGACCATGCCCTGGCCTGCTATGTAATACGATAAATGCACATGCCTTGTTTTTAACCTTGAATAAGCCCAGCCTTGTGATATATTCTTGCATGGCATTCAGCACTGGAACATTGCAAACAATGATTCAATACTAGATGCTGATGTTGCTGCCGTTTGACAGGTATTCAACACACTCAATGAACAAAGGTTAAACACCTCCCTATTGTAACCAAGAAAAGAGTCTACTTACTACCTACCTAGGTACAGTAGGTAGGTAACTTCAAACCATTCACGACCAGGTAAGCAACTTATAATATTAATAATAATAAAAGCCCTGGGTTCAAGTCTCCGCTTAATGGCCCCCACTTATCTCAATTACCTGCATCCAATACAACTTTCTGGGCCACCACCGCGTTTGTGCAGCCTCGCGGCGCCTTGTAGTAATCAGCCAAAAAGCAACCAACACTCTCTTTCATAACCAAACACTCTGGTTCCTTTCTTCATCACCCAGCGAAATCACCAGATATTCTTTCGTTTCATCCCTTACCTGCGTGAGCCAGCCATCCTTAATATTTCTCCCCATACTAGAGCAACAGCACCCTCTTGTGCCCGGCCTCTCCCTTGCGCTGCCCTTGGGGAGGCTTGAAAGCCTGGCTACCTACGGATACCTTCCAAACAAACAGTTCTTTGTTTGACTTGGCTGCCATCTCATCGACATCTTGACGTCTGCGATCCTCCCCCGACACTTCCGTGTCTGGCCTCGGCCCACGTTGCCGACCAACGCCGTTTGTTAGCCATCAATACATTCCGAACCGAAATATTCAATACTGGTTGCAGTACTTGCATCGTTGAAATCATGGCGTCTGAACAGGCCTACGGCGTCACGCCCCCTATCTCTGTCCAACTTCCCACCGAAGCAGAATTGCGCCAATCCGATGCTCTCCTTGAAGAACTCAAGCGCCAAAAGACTTTCGAGAGTCCGGCGGAGACAGCCAAGAGGTTGGTAAAGTGTCTTTCTTGTCAGAGGAACAGCATCTAATACATTTACGACAGAGAAGAAGTACTAGCCTCGATTCAAACCATTTGCGATGCGTTCGTCCGCCGAGTTGCTCAGGAGAAAGAACCTAAGAATGAAGTTCTCATACGTAATGCAAAGGGCAAAGTCTTCACTTATGGTAGCTACCGATTAGGCGTTTACGGTCCTGGCTCGGATATCGATACCCTCATTGTCGCGCCCAAATATGTCACCCGCGATGATTATTTCAAACACTTTCCTGACCTGCTCATCGCGATGGCTCCCAAAGACGCCATTACCGATATGGCTGTTGTGACAGATGCTTTCGTGCCCATCATCAAGTTCGAGTATTCTGGCATCAGCATTGATTTGATCTTTTCCAGGATTATCCAAAAACAACTGTCTCCTGATTTCAAGGATCTTAAGGACTCGGGCCTCTTGCGCGGGCTGGATGAGCCAGAGTTGCGATCCCTCAACGGCACACGAGTAACGGACGAGATTCTTACATTAGTACCAGAGCAAAGCACGTTCAAGAACGCTTTGCGCGCCATCAAACTGTGGGCGCAAAGGCGCGCTGTTTATGCTAACATTATGGGTTTCCCTGGTGGTGTCGCCTGGGCCATGCTCGTCGCTCGAGTATGTCAACTATACCCGAAGGCAACTCCTTCCGTCATCGTGAACAAGTTCTTCCTGGTGATTAGCCAATGGCGCTGGCCGCAGCCTGTACTCCTCAAGCCTATCGAAGGCGGCCCCCTTCCTGTTCGAGTTTGGAATCCCAGAGTAAGTCAAAGTTCGAGGCAATTGTACTGGGTACGTAACAATTCTAACTTAAACAGGTCTATAAGGGTGATACTTTCCATCTGATGCCGGTCATTACTCCAGCTTACCCCTCGATGTGTGCGACGTTCAACATCACCCGTTCATCCATGACCATCATCAATCGAGAACTTAAACGGGCACTTCAGATATCCGAGAGTATCATGGTGGGCAAGCGGCCCTGGAGCGATCTCTTTACCAAGCACACATTTTTCACCGCAGGCTACAAGTATTACATATCCGTTATCTCAGCCGCAAAGACGAAAGAGAGTCACACGATCTGGTCTGGCTATGTCGAGTCCAAGGTTCGAATGCTGGTTCAAAAGCTTGAACAACACCAATCCATTGCTTTGGCACATGCCTTCAACAAGGGCTATGAACGTCATCACCGATGTCATAATGAGCAAGAGATCGAGTCGGTACAAGAAGGAAGCCTTGACTATCTATGCAAAGACGACATTGATGGCCCCTCTGTTATGAGAATTGAGCCCGCGGTTGCCGAACTGCCAATCAAGACGGAAAACGGGCACAATGGTCAAGTTGTAAAGGCCGAGAACGGGCAAGTCATCAAAGCTGAGCCTACAGAAGACAGTGGTCCCATCGCTGCTGAGCCCAGTAAGGCCGAAACGTCTGAAGATACTAAGCCCACAGAGCATGGACAAAGTATCAAGCCCGAGCCCACAGAAGATAACAGTCCCATCACTGCCGAATCTATCAAGGATGGGACATCAGATGATATCAAACCAGCAGAAACTCCTGCGGCAAGCGGTATAACTGACGTTTACACAACTACGCACTATATTGGACTTGAACTGGCCCCGGGTATGTCTAGCACCTGAATGTGTTTCACTACCCCCCTGGTGATTTCAAAGTCTGTGACACTGACTCTCTAGGTGCCAAATCGCTTGACCTTTCTTACCAGGTTGATGAATTCAAGGAACTTTGCACCTCGTGGCAAAGGTATAAGGACGATCTCAAAGATATTGTATCAATCGGTGTTCAGCATGTCCGCAAGTAAGTTCTGTAGAGCCTTTTTCTTACACCAGGACTGGTTTGCTGACTGTTTATAGCTTCAACTTACCAGATGATGTTTTCGACGCCGGCGAGAGGAAGCCGCAGAAGAAATCTGCAACTAAGAGCGCAGTGAACGGCAAGAAACGCGGCCCTCAAGAGGTATTTATTCATCGCCGCCGAACTCCCATTACCGGCCAAGATTTGCTACTCCAGATGGCATGTCCTCCCAGAAGTTCTAGTATACTAATACCATGTGTAGGAAAATGCACCCTCCGCAAAGAGGCAGCAAGCATCGGTTGCGGCCGCAGGCTGAGTATGCTGGCATATTACATACGCCTGAGAAGGACATCGACTCTGGAAATTGCTTAACTATCACCCATCTATGCAATTCGCACAGCATCTTAGAACTTCGGCAAGTCCAGTAGCGGCTTGACGACTAGCCCATCGCCAATAACTACACTAAGATATAATTAAAAAAAAGGTCATCCTCATCTTGACTGAACTGCATCAACTTGGTAAGTTGGCAGTCGCGGCCTGATGTGTTCATGCATTGCTGGCGGCGTTTCATTGATTTGAAGATTGAATAATCTACATTAACAACAACAGAGGCGCGCGTAGTGTACGCAGAGCAGCTGGCTAAAATGACATGTCGTACTACGAAACGACATAACCCAAAACCAGGGGCTATCTAGGCGTTAAATCGCTAAAGTTTCGTCTAAAGCAACATCATAACATGTGTACTTAGAACTATGAATTTGCTAGATCAATACAAACTTTTGGGGGCTCGATGAGCCTCGATGGACTTCACCCCAACGTTCCTCAATTCTCACAACGTGTGTTGCCCAAGATCATATGCAGCTCCGCTACAGAATCTTGAGCCAGATCCGTCTAGATTCTGATATATATATATAGACGCTCCTATAAATCATCATCATCCTCGTCACTACCACTGAACCACCCATCTTGATATGCATCCGCCAGCTCCGCCAATCCATTGCCAAGATCCTCTCTCTCGTTGACGGGTACAAGACGTGCCGATTCCGTCCGCAGTGTTCTGATGCGTTGAACCATAGAGCTATTTGTTGAAAGGGTAGTCTGCATGCCGATATCTGATTGCCCTGCCAGCTGGGGATAGATCTGGGGATAGGAGTCCAATAACGGAAATCTGAGAGATGAGTCGTACCTATTGAATCATTAGCACCTATATTGAGCAGCAAGATGGCTGATGCAGCAACGTACTTGCGCATAATTGAATTCCCTATTACAGGTCGTTCGCCAGGAGCAAGCTGTCCAGGGGTGCCTTCGTTGGCATTCTCCAAGGGGTCAAGATCTCGGTAAGACTTAATCTCGCCGAAAACGTGATTCTGAGTTTCTTTTCTGCCAATATACTGTCTGCTCCAAGCCCGGCCAACTTGAAAGAAATTGACGTCTATCCGGCTGTCCTCTGATGCCTCCTTTTCGGCAGCTAGAGACATACGCATGCTTGCAAGGGGCTGGTTGCCATTCACATTCAGGCTCTCGGCCATGATATCTAAAGAACTCTGCTGCACTGAAGGTCCCTGCGCTAAGCGCGAAGGTAGAGTCGCCGTTTCTATCGCGGCGGCCATAAGAGCAGATGTGTGCCATGGTGAGCGGCGATCCATGGATACTCCAGCTGAAAGGTCCTCTTCAGGTAAAGCCATGGGTACAAGCGTCGATGACTGTGTGCAGAGCTGCTCAATGCTGTGGGCAGTATTAGCAAGACGAAGCTGGCGCTTGGCCCTGGGTATATCAAGCAAAGGACTTTGTAGGCCCCATGTCCAAATAGTGGTCTTTGGAAAGTCGTCTCTCAAAGATTCGAGATAGGAAGATGCGAAACCGCCCCAAGCATCGTCAATGGTGGTCAAGACTTGTATTCCCTGCATTCGGTCGCACTCTTCTGCGAATGGTCTAAAGTCACGATCAACCAGGTCATGCTCCTTGTCGAGCATTGAGAAGAGCTCTGTTCCCATGGAGAAGCGCTCAAATGGCATAGTTGTTGAGTTGAGCTCAAAGTCATAGAGTTGGACCAGCGACCTTGGGTGAAAGTAGGCTCGTGAGAAGTCAGACCAGTATCGCACATTTGATGTTGTCAGTTGTGCAGGTTCAGTGCCTGCATCTAGACTCTGCTGGTATGCGCTGGGGTCAATCGGAGTCTGCTTGTGAACAACCGATCGGCCTGACCTGAAGGGCAATTAACATCATAGAATTCCAAAGTTATCGTCAAAGGTTGGGCCTCATACCACAGAGCCTCTGTGTTTGCCTCTGATTCGGCCTCATAGAGTGCGTTAATCTTGCGTAAAGAGCCAAACCCGCCTTTGATGTCATATATGACTGTTCGTGGAAGAAAGGTCTCTGAGCCATCGGCACCCAAGCCAGCACGCCAGTGAACATCGTGGTCAATAACAGGGTTTTCATCGGCTGAGTATGTAAAATATGACTCCTATATATTTGTTAGCGATTGTAAGCTGTACGCAGGTGACGGAGGCTACCTGGGCATTCCAGAAATGGGTGGCCGTGTAGTTACCCAGCTGACCTAGCTGAAGGCTGACGATCTCGCGCATGAAGACGCTTCTCGGTGGAACACCACGATATAAAAGAAAATAGGTAATGTATGATAAGAGATGTCCTCAACAACTATTAGATTTGTGAAATTTCCAAAGTAAAATGTAGAGTTTCATCTGGAGGTAAGCAGTCTTGCAAAGTTACCCTATAACATGGCTGTGGATATTTATGGGTTTGAATCATCATACCCTAAGTAGGTACTAGCTTATCTAATCATCAACTTCACAATCCGGTGAATTGTTTAACAAATGATTATTCTGAGTTGTTGTCTATTAATCTCGTCACGGTAGCTGGTATATGACCGAGGTTTCTTTTTGCAGGACCTTTGGCGACTATTTCGGGGGGTCAACTATTGTCGGTTATGGCGGCAGAAAGTGCATTATGTCATTGGCAGATGTCGCACTTACACTCCCTTCAACATCACGAGACATGGATATGCATAAGTTGTAACACTCATATCTAATCAAAAGCATCAACACCACTCCTAAACACTCAATCAATAACTTCAAATATATATATATCTCGTCACGTCATGTCTCAAGAAACTGCAATCGCCGATGCAAATGCCAATGCAAACGCCGGCTTCTGGAAAGAACTCGACTCATGGAAGACACCCGCTGCTAAAGAGGTTGGTCCTACGGTAGAGGTTGGATCCAAGGCGCCATGGGCTCAACAGCTTCGCCTGCCAGATGGCAAGCCTACTCTCTTAGTATTTCTTCGTCACTGCGGATGTCCTTGTACATATTCCTATTCATTTACTACTCTCAAGTTCCACTGCTAACTATTACAAGTTGCTGAAAAAACCTTCAAGTCTCTTGCCGACCTCTCAGATAAGGTTCCCAATGTCCACTGCGTCGCCATCTCACACTCATCAGAGGAGGCTACCGACAAATGGCTGCCCCAGGTTGGCGGTACTTGGAATGTCGACGTTGTGATTGATGAAGAACGCAACCTTTATGCTAACTGGGGTCTCGGTATCTCGTCCACATGGCATGCCGTCAACCCCCTTACCCTGTGGAATGTCTTCAGTCTCGGCAAGAATGAGGGTATATGGAATCGACCAACCGAGAGCGGTTCGCGTTGGCAGACAAGCGGCGCTTTTGCTGTTGACCGTGATGGGACTATTCGTTGGGCTCAGGTGGCGAGAACGGCAGATGACCTGCCGGATCTCAAGGCGGCTATAACTGCTCTTGGATTTCCACCACCAGAAGATAAACGCCACTCTAAGCATGAATTTTAGGTATTGGCAGAAGAAGGCACTGCGAGAGTATCAGGTATTGACAATATGACATCTTATCTTGCGTGTCGATGTTATGTAATATGACAGCAGCCGTGTAGTATTTGTAGGGTATCTCGTAATCGTGATGTATCGTCCCATCCTATCATGGTAACTCTTATCTAGACCTGAGTGCCGGAGCATGATGGAATGATAGGGGCGACGCAACTGGCATGTCCGGCTTTCAAGAGAAACTGAAAGACCATGCCTCGTCCTCTAGAAAGACAGAACCATGCTCAACCGACCAACTTCCATGCCCCCTCTTCCCGATCCAACAACAGGGCACATACCGTTAGGCAAGCCGGTATGCATGATCTTTGAAGCCACAAGACCGACTAGTCCAACACTGCTCATCATTTCCAGAGCAAGCATACCTTTCTGCTTGAGACCGCCACCTATGTCTAGCAACCCGAGAGGGTCCTGGTGAGTGGGCTTCGGATCTTTTCTTTTCTTAGACGCTTGCTTTTTGCCGGTCTTGGGAATATGGACAAGGCTCGATTCTCGCGCAGAAGCACTAGTAATAGCTCTCGCTTCCATCAGATGGTACAACCTCTCGGACTGAAGACTTTGGCGTAGGTTATTCGCCCAATTATACAGCTCTAGTCTGTCCCAGCTCGGAGTTCGTCTAAAGGATTGCAACCTCAAAGCCCTCTCAGGTATGGACCGAGAGACCATGGTTCCACTGGACAAGGCATTTTGAAGTAGATTATCTCCATGATCACGTCGCCATTGTATACATTTGACAGCTGCAGAGTGGCGTAGTCGAGCGCTGCCGTCCAGAGAAAAGATGTGGTCAACAAGACGGCCCAAATCGGTCGGGACTAGCGGCGGGGTGTATTCGGAGTTCATAAGAACACTGGCATCCATGGTGTCGTAATCTGGCCGAGATTCGGTAGAAACGGCGTATACGCATGTGGTCTCACCTGATGCATCAGGGCCATCAAAAGAGAAGAAACCAACATCCCTGTCGACCAAACTCTTCATAACTTGCTGTTTGACCTGAATGATCTCTCCAGGTGCGAGCTCGTCGGCTCGGTTTATAATCGGAATCACGTTGGTCATGCGTTGAGCGCGTTTGATATATTCAACATCTTCGTGTTCAAGCCCTTGGATACATCAGCAGGTGTCCATATCAAAATGTGTTGAACAGACATACCGCTATGAGGGACGAGGTACAGCAGAGCGTCCACAACTGGTTCACCACCAGAGTTAACCAAAGTGAGAAGGTCTAGGTCAGCCATAGGCTTGTTCATGAGGGATGTCAAGTGTGACTCAACATAATGGAGATCGCGCCAGGGTCCCTAAGTTGTCGTCAGCACAGAACGATTTCGGGCAGCGCAATCGCATTTACATACAGAAGCGCCATGCTGATGGCCAGGGCTTTCTACAAAGCACACGTTTCTATCCAGGACGTCACCAGTGCTTGAAAGTCGCCTTCGTGTTGTTACAGTGAGCTCAGAATCAGAGCGCCACCAAGGGTGTGGACGTGAACTGGCGTATGTTTCGGTGGCATGAACTGCACTGCGGTTCTCTATTGGATCCATGTGGACAATATGCTCGCAGCGCTCCGCCAAGGTCCTAATAAGTGAGGTCTTGCCAATACCTTTATAAAATATTAGAGACACTGATGCAGCTGAACTTGGACATCTGTTACTCACCACTTTGCCCAGCCACCATTATCTTCAGCTTGCCCAGACATTTGCCCACCTCAGAAAATGGACGACGTCGGGGAACTGTTAAGCTAGGCATGATGAGTTGAGGCACTGTACTGCGACTGTCTTGATTATCTGCCAGGTCCGTTACGGGCAAAGATGCATTATCGTGAATCAAATCGCTATGGGCATCGATGGAAGGCCCTACGAGGGAACAGCTTTGCGAGGACATGCTGATAACAGACCCAGAATGCGAAAGTCCGATCAAAGAAGGAGTGCTTGGTCGAGAGGGAAAACCCAAGGGGTCCTGTTCAACTGTCGGTTCCTCCGCCTCGTCTGACTCTGACGCAAGAGATACAGGCTTATGGCTGGTACGAGGGGGCGAACGTCGTTGACGCGGGGTTGACGGTCGGCGCGAGCTGCGACTGCACTTGTGACGATCGCTTTGCTGGCGAAATCGCGGACGGGAGCGGTCTCGGCGAGCGTCAAGGTCGGCCTCTGTGGTAATGAAACACGCAGTAGGCACAGCTGAAGTACCGCGAACCAAACTATCTGGTCGGTCTGAAGCCCGTGTATTGAGGGGATGGTTCGTAGGCAAGACAGGTCTCATCGTTATGCTTGAACAAGCCTGAGGCAGCGCGCTTATACTGGATATAGAGATGCTCAAGGTGTACGGAGTATGTACGTATGGATTGTAGTTATGATAAGGGGCGAGTTGTCTTGTCTATGCCACTGTGCCTCGTAGGATAAACAAAGACGTAGGCGATCGCATTCGATAGTATGTGTAAGCGACAAGAGAGATTAGAAGCAAAGGCCCAGTGTTGACTTGGGGATGCGGAATGAGCTGTGCAGCTTGATACTTGTTGTTTGATGACGCTGGGTTGAATGACTTCCAGGTCAAAGCAAAGTCGATGTGATAAAGTACTAAAGGAAAGTCAAGCCAGGTTCAAATTCATAGTCTTGGTACTACCTAAGGTAACAGACACCCTCAACAATATCCCATTCATGGCTAAGATTAGGAGCTATCAATACTCTACTCGGTAGGTGGGGATGTGTGGGACGCGGCCGGGTGCGCGTGCGCGCAAGTGGGAGACACTATTTGTACTGCAAGAGGGGACACATGACCCCTAACAAGCTAATTGGCACCCGCTAAATGCTTAGTTGATCCCTCATTGCATTATCTCTGGTCAGGATCTCGTCCGTTTCTGTCGGACGATCTTGCATTCAATGGACCCCTCGCCCCTTCCCCCCAAAGAACCCGGGCCTCCCTAGAGAGTCCCTGGAGTCCCTGCCGTGTCTGCCTCCGCCACTCCCTGTAACTCCTGGCCCCCAACTCCCAGCTCCCTCCATCCAGCCTTCATCCCCCCTCAGTTCTAGGTAGGGTAGCCCCTCCAGGTAGCCCCTCCATCTCAGGCGGCAACAAGGAATAATACCTAACGTTGACCATCGGGTTTGGAAACATTACTCTTGCCCATCTCCGACATCCACTTGCGGCTTTGTGCGTGCGGATAGGCTCAAAAGGCTGCGACCCCGAAAAAAGTTAGGCCAATAGGGGCAGCTTTTTGAGTCAGTCATCGACAAACTCAAACACCAGGAAGCACCATAGAAGGCCAGCGGATACCTAACGTTGCCTAGCTTTTATCTTTCTTGATTCCCCTCCCTGCTACGGACACTTCCACATACATTCGACATCCTTCACTCAAGTCGCAGTTCCAGGTACCAGCCCAGTCGAAGTCGGTGACAGGTCATTCTCAGCCCATACTCAAACATCATCGTTTGCTTCCAACCTCTTCTCGCATTAGAGCCTCTTCGATAATTTTCCGACACCCATCCAACCATGGACGGAAAGCGACACCCCAGCTCGTTCCAGCAGCTCGAGAAGCTGGGCGAGGGTACCTATGCTACCGTCTTCAAGGGCCGTAACAGGCAGACCGGCGAGCTCGTAGCACTGAAGGAAATCCACCTTGATTCCGAAGAAGGCACACCATCGACCGCTATCCGAGAAATCTCTCTGATGAAAGAGCTCAAGCACGAGAATATTGTGGGACTGCATGATGTTATTCATACCGAGAACAAGCTCATGCTCGTCTTCGAGTTTATGGATGGCGATCTCAAGAGGTATATGGACACACACGGCGATCGAGGCGCTCTCAAGCCTACTACGGTCAAATCCTTCATGTATCAGCTTCTCAAGGGCATCGACTTCTGCCACCAGAACCGCGTTCTTCACCGCGACCTGAAGCCCCAAAACCTGCTTATCAACGGTAAGGGTATTCTAAAGCTCGGCGATTTCGGTCTCGCCCGCGCCTTCGGCATTCCCGTCAACACTTTCTCCAACGAAGTCGTCACCCTCTGGTACCGCGCTCCTGATGTCCTCCTCGGTAGCCGAACATACAACACCAGCATCGATATCTGGTCAGCGGGCTGCATCATGGCCGAGATGTTCACAGGCCGACCGCTGTTCCCTGGAACCACCAATGAAGACCAAATCGTTCGCATTTTCCGCATCATGGGAACACCAACTGAGCGTACCTGGCCCGGCATTACACAATTTCCTGAGTACAAGCCGACCTTCCAGATGTACGCCACTCAGGATCTTCGAACTATCCTCCCGGCGATTGACCCAACCGGTATAGATCTGTTGCAAAGGATGCTACAGCTTCGACCAGAGTTGAGGATCAGTGCCCATGAGGCCCTTCAACACGCTTGGTTCAACGACCTTCTGATGCACCCTCAGCAGCAGGCTCTCCAAGCACAGGCACGTGCATACCCCCAGACTGTTCCCAGTCAAGGTTATGAGGCGTATTAGAATTTCCCACCAAAAACCAGTGAGATTCAGTACTGAGATTGCAAGCGCTGCTTCGATGCTATATGTTCAAGCTCTTTGGATTAAGCTGTGTTGATAACACATTGTCTTTTACAAGAAACAAAAAACACGGGATTATTATTGTGTGATGAATACAAGCACTATGGAGTTGGGGGCCAGCATGAATTAGACCGGGAACAGAAAGTTATTGGATTTTGGGACTGCAGCGTGTCTGGTGTCTTTATATTCATCACTTGTTGATTTTTTGCAACTAATATTGAGTAGTCCAAGCGGCTTGTGCTTTCGTGTTTCTTAAGTCTATTATTCTACATAAGCGATATGTATGTCTTTTATTCTTTTGGGTGGTGTTTAGGCCCGTGTCGATTATTAAGACTTCCATCGACAGGGCTCTTGAATTTGGTCTCACGGGGTTCTCTGGCCCATGTTTCTGCGAGAGCTGGTGCTCCATCCTGCTCTGTCGGAAAGCCCAAGCTTTCCCTCAGCTTTTCAACCTCATCTCTCACTCTTTTGGCCACTGAGATTCTTATTTCGGCAGCTTCTGGGCTGTCTCGAAGGAGTTCTGGATCGCCTTTGGCAACAAGCTTGCGCCATGCGGCCCGATGGTGACCAAAGACTTGATCAACGTCGGTTGGTTCACCTATCACTATCCTCACTGTCTTTCCCACACGGGGCGCCCACCTCGGCCATCCTCTGTCCTCAGCCATGATATGTTGAGTACCGTGGACGAACATGGGAATGAACTCAGGAGCCGGATCGGACTCAAGAATCAGTCGCGAGACGCCCCATTTGAAGTACCGCAAACCGCTGTCGGGACTTTGATGACAGCAGGCTTCAGGAAACACGTGAACCCAGGCATTTCGATAAGATGTAAAGGCGGCCGGTGCCTGGAACTGATCCGCTCCATTGGTAGAGAATATGAGCGGGTGGGGAACAGGAGGAGGTTGTGTTGAAGAAGGAGTAGCAGACAGAGGGGAACCGGAGGCCGTAGACCATGAAGCCGGCGATGGACCGGAGAGTAGCCTGATGGCCTGTGTTATAGTTGGTTGGTACAGGCCGCCATATGGGGAATACCATAGCCTGTGAGTAGGAAGTACCTGGCCTAGGCTGAAGAATGTTGATGTGGCTCTATTTTAGTTGCGTTGTTAGTTATTGTTCACTCTCAGTTAATACGATATATACTTACTTGTTCTTGAAGCATATATCATGCGCCCCAAGACCCCATCTCATATTGACTGCGTCAAGGAAGTACCGTAACGGCAAAATTCCCCAGATAAGAGGATCGTCAAGCCTGCGTATACAATAGTCTCATTAGCAGTTGGTCTATCACTATAATATGAATAGATCCCAATTTTCACATACACTGCCACATGATTGCATACAGTGAGCAGGCCGCGCTCACGCCCCTCATGTTTTCTCCGATCAAGAACGCCCAGAAGTCCCTCAAGTCCCGTTACCTCGAGGTTATTGAACCCATTCATAAAGCCTCTTGAGAGCGCGCCAATTGTGCCCATAACGGCCACCGAAGCTACGCGCCATGGCAGGCTTGGTTGTGTAGGAGGATCGGATTCGGACATGATAAAAAAACAGACACGGGCTAATACTAGAACATGTTGTAGCCAGTACGATTCAAAGCTCATATAGGCAGTAGTCGTCAAATTGAAATACTAACAATCCAAGTGCTGTATACCACTCTTGATCTCGGCGAGAAGCGGCGTATGATAGACCCACCTCCAACTTTTTTCCTGCTTGTCTAGGTACCCTGTAGAGATGACATGGCCTGGGGCAGCAACTACCAACCTAACTTCCTTCAGCTTTGACCTCGAATATCCTAATATCTAGATATCTTACCTATCTAGCATCACTTATTTCTAAATTGTTTGCAACAATTCTTTACATGCGGCGATACCTCTAGCAAACCCGACTTATTTCAGTTGAATCCCAGCAACATCTACTCTCACTTTCTATTGTCGACGTCACCACCGAGCTTCCTGACACAAATATCAACCATGGTATCAGCACACAGTACGCATCTAATGTAACAATCGCAACCCGCTTAACTCACATTACTAACGCAAGCCGTAGGCAAACGAAACACCTCCCGTCCGGTCTTTACATCCCACGAACGCGCCCTCGCTAAATCCCACTGGGCGTCTTCATCCGCCCGTCTACACCGCGACTCATTTCTTCCCTTTGGCTCCTGCGGCCTGTGCCTCAACATTGCCCGCGATCCTGTCTCGTGTCGCCGCGGCGATATATTCTGCCGCGAATGCGCGCTCTCAAACATCTTGACACAGAAGAAGGACATCAAGCGCGCCCAAAAGGCCCGAACTGCTGCTGAGGAGGAGGCCGCTAAGCAGAAGGCGCACAAAGATGAACAGGATCACGAGCGCGCCATCCAGGACTTTGAATTGACACAGGCTGGTCTCGACCGTAAGAAGAAACTAAGCGCAATTAGAACGGACGAAGAAAAGGTGGATGCGACAACTGGTGAATCAGACTCTCTGGCATTGGTGCCAGCGACAAAGCGCAAGTTCGAGCTTGACAAAGACGAGCTGGATCGCATTGCGCGCGAGGACAAGGTCAAGGCAAGAAAAGCACTGGAAGATGAAAAGGTAAAAAAAAAACTGGTAATTGGAAAGCCAACGTCCTATGCTAACTCGCTAATGTACAGGCCGCGAAACCGCATCTCCCATCCTTCTGGACCCCATCGCTTACACCAGACGCCCAATCAAGCAAACTCCCACCCGTTGTCAAGAAGGACAAGGCCGTCCCATCGTGTCCAGCGTCTTCACCAGAAAACCCCCATCCTATCACATTGCAAAATCTCGTTACAATCAACTTCAACGAAGAGGAAACACCAAAAGGCAAGCAAAGAACTTGCCCTTCATGCTTAAAAATGCTCACAAACGCCTCCAACCCCATGATGACCAAACAATGCGGCCATGTTTTGTGTCACAGCTGCGTCAAACAATTCATGATTCCGTCCAAAAAGTCCTCATCAGAGGATGCCCCACCGACCTGCTACGTTTGCGACGTGCCTTTGCCTTCCAAGTCACAAAAACAAGATGGTGCCACAGACTCCTTGTTGCCTGGCCTGATCGCTCTTCAATCCGAAGGCACAGGCTTTTCTGCTCGCGGTGGTAATACCGTAGAACGATCGAGCGTTGCTTTCCAATGTTAGAGCTCTTAGACCGACTCCATATCATATCCCTTTTATTTTACCTGCAGCCTTCGTTGTCGTACATAGGGCAGCAGTACCATGAACCATATGCGAACAACAAATCTATGGATAACGCCCTTGGTGAGCATTGTCAAACCATGACTGAAGAAGCTCTTAAGTAGCTCGCCTTGAAGTCCAGCGTAGAGCGCTCTCACTCCTTCGTTGGCAATAATGCGAATAATGACACCATATATGGATTGGTTCAAAAAATCAGCAATCCTTCTTAGGATATGCTTCGACTTCCTTGAGCCCTCTTTGCGTGTTTTCTCATGGTTCGTATCAGCCACGTCGACCGAGCTACCCGCCATTTGAAGACGTGTCTTGCCAGTTTGGAGAGGATACGTGAGGGCAGTAGCACTAGCCTTGCTTGTGGCGGCAATCAAAAATGCGACCCATGCTACTGGGACGTCTTCCTCTTCGAGCGCTGGTATAATGCGTGCTGCTAGCCGTCGATTGACAAAGAAGGTGATGCTGGGGTTGAGTGTAAGCATCAAAGTAGCTGAATACCCAGACCAGAGACCCAGCAAACCACTCTCACTTCTGATCTCGGTGAGAATCTCCATAAGTGACTGATCACTTCTCAACATCTGCTTCCTCGTTACAACATTAGAAATGGGAGTAGTCAATGCACGGGCACAGCCGCCCGCTACAGCACCCACGAGGAGCTCTTCGACGATCTTGGGCTTTCGATGCCGAGGGCGTAGATAGTTGTAGAAACCAAAGAATAGAAAACTGTCAACGACCGACTTGGCCACATCTGTCCCCAATCCACTGTAGAGAGCTTTGATTCCACCTTCGTTTGCCGCAATTCCTTTGAGCGCTGAAACGACACCATCGTAATCACCGGGGGGGCCTCCTGTCTTTCGTTGCGCCTTCAGTCTAGTGGTGACCAGGTCCAATGGATATAATGATGCAGTTGATATGGCTGTCCCCACGGACCCAGACACGGCATGGCCAAGGGCGTCAAGAGCCTGTTGAGACGACATTGCAATATTAATAAACGCTGGTAGCTTTACTCAATGTCGCAGAAAAAAAAGTAGCTGTTCGTAAGCACGCGCATGTGTATGAGGTAAAATATAAGTTGCGAACAAGATAACGCCTTGAGCCGCGACGATGAGCGACGCGCGCTATCGCATTCACGACGTCATAAGTCGACCTCGGCGAGGCCCCACCAATCGCATGTGACCCATGTCCCGAGGCATCACGGTAGGTAATAAGCGAGCTATGAATTGGTAGCTCAAGAATAAGGCTTGCTGAAATCGCTATTCGTAATGATATCTTCACCAGAAGACTAGCTGTTGCTTGAAAGTCCCCCGTATAGCCTCCTTGTGGTGGAGGTGAATGTCATTCGTGTTTGAGAGGCCTGTGATTGTTTTTCACCTCTTGGCTATGCTGCGGAGGCTCCTATGCTCTGCTTGAGACGGATGGCTGCCTTTGAGATGTGAAAGTGGCTGTTGTCCGTGCTGCATTGCCAAAACCTGCCACGCCGAGATCTATCTCCCCTGGCGCATCTTCCACAGCTGGTTGCAGTCCAGGATGGCCTTCAGGAAGCTTCTGTGCGCCAAAACCATTGACGGCAAAGATGTTTGTTCTCCCACCATTTGTAGCCATCTGGAGCTGTTCGTGTAATCTCGCGAGCTGGTACTGCCGTTTTATTGGGGCGAAGGTAGGCTGTGGCAATACTGGTTGAGGGCGCCATTGTGATAATGCACTCATCACGGCTGCCGTTTCCTCATCCGAGTCAACAGGTCCGTTGTTCGCCTCGTCTTCATCCTCTATTGGCGCGTTGGCATCAAGTGCCGCTTCTGTAGGTGGAATTCTGGTTAACTGGGGTTCCAGAACAAGTCAATGTCCAGGTAACTATCGACTTACTTTGTTGTTTCGCTTGGTTCTTCTTCTGGTATGCGGCAAGAAGCATGTCATATGGCAAAGATCTTCCAGCAACTGCACGTTTCGCACCCATACTGTGACTCTTGCAGGTCAGAGATCGCGCACATGGTTGTCCGTTCGCCAGCAAAACACCACATTGACGTTCCACATCCACAGGACCTGATACTCATGTTAGTGCAAGTCCCATATATCAGTCTTCACGAGAGCTTACCCTTGGGCTTAGGGACCTTGGCTTTGGGCTCGTCCTTCTTCTTCTTATTCTTTGGACCCTTATCTGGATCGCCGTCGGCCTTCCGCTTCTTTCCCTTCTTGTCGTCTTCGGGCTTTTTCCCAGCTGCTTTCTTCGCTGTTTTGCTTCCAGTAACCTTCTTTTCTGCTGAGATGCCGTCGTCGTCACTATCGTCGTCGCCTCGCTCAATCCCGTTTTCCTCGTCCTCTTTACGCTGTTCTTCTTGTCTCGCAGCCTCCTTTGCCCGTTCTCGGGCTTCTCGCGCCTCCTTCTTCCTTTGTGCCTTCTCTTTCTTCAAGCGGAGGCATGCGGCGATATGCGCTTTGGCGGCAGTTTTCAAAACACTCTTCCTGCAGTGCTTGCATTGTTGTAGATCGGGGCTATCTTCGAGTGGTCGTCCGGTCGCAAATGTTTCACGGGATGTTTCGTCGAGTTCGTTAACTACGGGGCCAGGTGAAGGTGCGCCTACAGGTGAAGCGCCATTCTTCTTCTTGTCTTTAGAACGTTAGCCGTTGTCGTTGTCCGCGTAGTACCCAGGGATGAGGTCAATACATACCACCCTCAATCACACTACCATCCCTCCAATTCCCAGGTTTGCTATGTCTAGGCGCTGGCTTCTTCAGCTTTATTTTACCGCTCTTGTTCTTTGATGCGACTTTTATCGTGCCGTCGTCACCTGCAAGTTGCGGTTTAGTCTAATTCAATGTCGCGACCATGGAGTCGCGTTACCTTTTCGGGCATCTGACCCCATGATGGATGAATATCTTGGTGGAGCCTGGACGCAATCCTTATGTAGACTACTTTATTCGTATCAAATGTTATTTTCGGCTTCGAGCGATGATCGTTGTGTTGTTCAGCTCCGTAAGGGATGGTTGTCGCGATAAGACTGATGTTATGGCGGAGTTCAAGGTGTGGCGGGTGCCTTGCGATCGCGGCTGTCAGTGATGCACGTGCCTGGGCTGGTGTCGGCTCACGCCCACCCATGACTCCGGGATATCCACCAACGTCTGGGGAAGGGCCATGGCTACATGTAAATCAAATACTAGGTGCTTATACATATATGATCTACATGTGTAGCTACGAGGGATCGCATCAACCAGGTCGGTGAATTATGGAAATAGTGCAAGAACTAAATAATTTTCGTGTCTGGCGTAAGCACGACAAAAGGAAATGATGGTATACCCGTTAATCGTTAAACGTAGCCATTTATGACCCTGACCCTAGCACTCCGAAGTCACACCCAAACCCATCCAACCAACTCCAACTCAGGGATATAACTATGCTAGTTTCCCTGCCATGTGCCTCAAAGCAAATTTTGAATGCCAGTACACCTGCCCAGCCGACCAAGAAACACCGAACAAGATGCATCCATACTGTCCCAGATATGCGCTGGGCTTGTTCATTGCCAAGCCTGTGGCTTGGAGATATAACATCACCGCACTTCTTTTTCGGCCACCTCTTCCCTGACCGATAGCGAGTCCCGATGCAGTTTCAAATCCTCCATCATAGATTTGGCATGCAGAATGCCCATGTCACTCCATATGCACTCCATCACTGCATAGGCCCAGTCCCAGTTTGCAGCAGGGACACCAGGGGCACATGCAGCGGCTTGGAGGTGGAATAGAACAACAGGCAGCCCAGCCGAGCCCGAGCCCGCTCCTCCCATCATCTCGACGGGCACGACCGATTTTTCGGTAAGAAGGGGGTGGCGCCAATGCGTTGGAGTGCTCACAAGGGTTTCGTGGGCGAGATCTTTTACGATCTCATGTCGACGTCCATATTCGGCCAGGGAGAATAATGGCGAACTGGATTTGGGGTATTTTTTTATAAACTCAATGATAGACTGGTTCAGAAGAGTCCGCGCCCATCGGAAATGGTTCCACATGCGGGCAATAAACATGTCGTAATAGATGTGATACATACCGTCGAATACCGCGGACGACGGTAGATGGTCAGCTGTTTCTGTGCGGTACCGCCAGGTAGGGCCGAGTTCACGCTCCCAATCTGCAAATAACTCGTCGGTCTCTATCAATTGCTTCAGAGCGGAGAGTGTAAGAGGCCGGCCGTCAACAAAAGTATGGGTTTTGGTGTAAGTCGATGCCTGTATGAATCGACCAATTAATGGACCCAGATCCGTGGCTGGGTGAGCTTCAGGCTCAAGTAGGGTTTTTGCAAACGCTACCCATTCGTAGAGGGGGTCTGGCAGAGGCATTGCTGACATATAAGCAGGTATAAACTGTGACGTTTTGTTAATCACATTCTATTGGGAATTGCCAAGCAGTGTGACATACGAGAGTATAAGCCATTTGCACCATAGCACGAACGCCTAGATGGGCTGCTGCGGGGATGGGCAACCATCTCCGTAACAAGGCAACGCCGCCCATAACGTGTGCGTGGACGTGGCCCATGCCTTGATGTGCTCCCTTGACAAGCTACAGAAGATGTTAGTATGTTGAACTGAAGCTACCCCCATAGAGAGGAAACAGAAGCGTCAGGCTGACCATAGGGGAGTGACGGATGGCATTGGGGGTTAGGGCACACACCTCGAACATGGCAAGCATGACGACGGAGCGCATTGTCACCTCAAAATCTGGCATCTCTGAAGTTTGTATGAGGTGCCTCGTCTGACGCAAGGCCATTCCATATTTTTGGCGGGCTATTGTCATCATGTTGGGATCACTCTTGAGATTCGAGAGACTAGCGAGACCAACAGCAGCCATTACGTCCTGTACAGCAGGATCCCATAGCCATCCAGTGGTTGACAAATCAGAAGACGACCTGGGTTCGTCGGGGTGGCCGATGAGGTAACGGTTGAGGTAGAACTGTGTGCCCTGTTCATCGATACTTAGATCAACAGGTGTCGGAAGCCGAGGCGGCTCGATAAAGATAGACTGTATTGTGCTGGTGGTTGAAGATCCATCTCGGTATGGATAAGAAGATGGAGATGGGGGACCTGGTGATGAGGTTCGCTGGCTGGAGGTAGACACAGGAGACGCTGGCCAGCCGGACTTAAAAGAGATGGTGGAGGATACATCCGACGAGGGACCAGAGTGGTTGTGCAGAGAAACCATAGAGGAGGAGGCGGAGACGGACGAAGCTTGGGTTGAAGCACTAGATGCATAGGATGAAGCAAGAGAGCTGGACGAAGTTTGTGTTGTGAGTTCCTCGGACACAGCATCGCCAACACCCCATTGCGCATGTGCCTTTTGTATAACCTTGCTGCTCTCATCGCGGAACATGAGAGACAGCTGATCGCGATACCCAGGACACTTCTTCGCAACTCGAATACATTGCGAGCATTCTGGCTTTATTTTGTCACACTGGCGAATAAATTAGCCACTTGACATGGCAATTGGACCGAACGTTAGGTGTTGAAGGCCAGCGGCAAGTGTGCGGAGGGGGTTTATCAATCTGACTATCTCACCTTGATACGTCGTACACGGCAATTCTGGCAGCCCTGCGAGGCTTTTCCACAATACACCATGACGTTTCGGGGCACGACGGCGTGCTGCCGTGAAATGGACTCCGGTGATCACCGGTGATCCGGGGCAGTGTGGTTGATAGCACAGAGACAAGACCCGGGGAGAAACGCAGGTAGAAATGCAATTGGAACTCCGGGATCCCAATGTGTATAAATCTCCAGTGGCCGAGATACCAATCGTATTCGTGCAATATCAACGAGCCATGAAACAAGCAGCGAAGTGTAGGAGGGAAATGTGGTTGTCAGCTTATTGAATTATACCTTGATTGGCCGGCAGCGAGTGAAGGTTCAAACAATAGGGGCAATAGACTGAAGGGGCGGTTAGCTTAGTGAAGTATTGCCCACGTCAGGGACTGACAGGTATGCACAGCGGATAAATAGTAACAATAGACCAAGGTGGAAGGAATTGCTCAAGAAACAAATCTCATCACGAGCAGACCACGCGATGAAGCGCGTTTAGTTTGGCTCTGTGCTGTTTGCGCCGATTGCGCCAGCCGCCTCAGCCACTCGTCCAGCAAGAAGTCCAGAGGCTCACTCTCAGGTCTGGCGTACCCGCCGTGGCGTATGGCCTCAAACCGATAGACGAAGAAAAGGAAGGAAGGAAAAACGTCGCCGTTGTTGGATGAGTAAGGATAATCGTAATGGGGGTGCGGCCGATGTTCGATATCCCGGGTGGTCCTAATGGGTCGACAAACGTCAGGCAAGCCCGTTGTGTTTCCGATACGTAGTAGATGTAGGGGTGACCCGGAGCCTAGGGAACAGAGAGAATAGGAAGGGGGGAAGGACTGTATGGATGGATGTTTAATGTGAAATGCGCGGGGTACCTATTGTGGTTGAATTAGGTAGGTAGGTATATTTATTCGGCACATGTGAATTGCTCCCGTGATTGCAGCGACGACCAAGACCAAGACCAAGACCAAGCAAGGACACGACGAAAGACCCTGAACTGTCCTGTACTTGTTCTGTACTGCACGGGCTGTAACTGTACGTAGTAGTTGTGAGGGAGGAATGCTAGGTTGGTAGTGTGGAGAAGGGGAGGCAAATCGTGTTTGGGAATAAAACTAAGACGAAATAGAGACGATAGCCATCCCAAATCGGCACAACATATACTCCGTCGGGCTTTTTCAAGTAATTATAGACGGAAAGTGAGGGAGATGTTCACAGATTAAAGAGTGAGCAAGGGTGAGGGTCTAAGTAAAAGACAGAAACGGAAATCGAGACCTAGTCGAGAGTCAAGAGGTCGTGAGTCGAGCCCAGCCTGTAAAGGTGCTCGGACAGGACAGCCCAAGTAGTGGACCTGGCGTCTTGGTACTAAGGTACCGTTCCTTACCTTACCTGACCTGGTATAGTGCTATCCTAGGTACTAACCTAGTAGGTAATACCTGGGCCTGGCTTGTATACGGACGGATACAATACCTGACCTCCGCTCCGGCGTAGTCTACGATAACGCAATTGGAGTGTTGATTGATGGGTGGGTACGGATACGATACAGTTGAAGAACCAAGAGAGCGGCTACCATCGATCTCGTCTGATTTGGGAGATCTTCGACCAGCATTGTCCACGCGTGGCAGCATCCAAACGGTAAATCCCCTCGGGTCCATATCGATACCGAAGCAGTAAGAAGGCACAAGCAAAGTCTGGAGTCTAGGATGGTTATTGACTCTCAGTATACGGATACCAGGCAGGTCCTTGAAAGTCACTGTATAGAGACTGCGTGAGGTGCGAAAGGTGTCATTCTGAGTGGTCCCGGACTTCTAGTTGACGCTTGACAGGGACCACCTTGTCACGAACCAAAAACTGCCAAGAGAGGGGTGATAGGAAGTGGTGACTGATATAAAGTGATTGAAGAACTGGAGACCCTGATGATAAAGGGGCGATACAGAGAAGTCTGCAGACAGGACAATCATTAGATTCCCGAAGTGGTGCCCAAACTGTTACTTCTCATATATCTATGAATTACTGTTGTTTCCTCGTGCTCAGGGGCAAGCTTTACAGCCTGATCTGGAAGATACATCACTAGGTACGTAGAGGTACCTGGACTTATGGAAAACTTTATCCGCCCAAGTGGAATTGGAACAAGAAGGAATTCGTGGAACTCTGTAGGCGGACTAGACGGAGAAGGTTTAAACTCAGAGCGTCAATGCTTAGTGGACAGGGGCTTCATGCTAAGATCCATGGATGCCTGTCCAGCGTTGAATCTTGATTAGTGATTACAACATCAAAGTCATTTCCCTTCCCTCTTTACTGTTACGATGAGAGTGGGTAATGCTGCATGACAGGTAGGTACAGTCTCAGATCAGATGAATATCGGCAGATGCCAACGGCGGTTGCTTAGATACTGTATGTTTGTGCTGTACTCCGTAAGTTACAGGATGTGCACTGATGGTTCATTTTAGCTCAACAGAGCCTTGATGTGTGAGACACCTAGGATCGGGCTCCAGCTAACATTAGCTCTTACTCAACCCAACGACCCGTCTCCCAACACATCAGCATGACTTTTCACGTGCACACATTTGCTTGGTGCAAGGCTGTGGATTTTCCCTTCGACACATGATTGGGGAGAAGAAGGACTTCCGAGAAGAGAAGCAGAGAAGTTCAGATAAACCAAACAAGCATATGTCACCTGTTGAATTTATGATCGATTAACCAATCAATCAATCAATCAATCAATCAATCACCTTTATCGCGGAGGCTCATTACATACCTGGGTAAGAGCCGGCCGGCACTCGGCCGAGTCAGCGCTACAGGGCTGCAGCTTTCTGCTACAATTAAGGCTGGCCTGCCTTTACGCCCGTCGTATTTCAACGAGCTGCCTAATTCGTAAAGGCTTGAGAGCAACAGATCCATCGCGCTAGAAGCTTGGTGACGCGTTTATCTACGGACATATTATCCGTAACAAGAGCCAGATTGGCATTGATTCATGGCAGCGTCGATTGATTGATTGATACCAAGAACAGCTCAGGGGTCATATGCTTGTTACCTATGATGCCAAGATTTCAGTCCATGGCGCGATTTCTACCAATGATCATTTTCATTACCACAATCCATGCATATATATATAATGGTCCCCTACGATCAATGCCTTCAGGAACGTTTAATGCCAAGCCGGAACTAATAAAACGCCATCATGAATCTTTGCGATATGGCGAACCTGTCTCACTCCGTTTAATATTAATTGCTTTCTTTCTTCTATAAAATATTCATCTTCCCCGTGTCTGCTTCCCGTCCTACAGGCTTCAGCATTGATATGATCCCCTCTCTGATATCAAGTGAACGATGACGTAGTGAACACATACAACTAGATCTCGACATTTCCTACCTAGCCCAGATAGGTCTGCCCGCCAGGAAACTGGTACACACTCAGTGCCTTGGTAACATAAATAATGTTTGTTGGTTCTCGTTCTTTGGCAGGTTTCTTTCAGGCTTCAGCCATCGATCTTCGTGATACCTTAGTGAGCCACAGGCCCACAGCCATATTACCCTTGTACTTCTTCCTGCGTGTAGAGGGCAGAATAACGTCATACCCTACCCTCTTTCCAGCCCTTCCAGTCCTTTACATCATCCACCAACCTACCTAATCCTAGCTATCCAAGCCTGGAAAGCAATTGGAAACATGCTGGAATTGAGCCGGCCTTAGCGTGCCACATGTGGGATGGTGGTCACTCTTTTCCCATCTGCCTTGACGCGGTTGGGTACTTTTGGTCATATGTAGTGCAAAACAGGTACGCAGTGCCCAGTGAGCACAATAGGAATGGATGGCTAGACTCGGCGTGTACCTTCTAAACATAGCACTCATGATGAATCGAGGCCCATGGAGCTGATTATGACTATGATGTACGGAGTAAGGACACACATCTGCCCCTCGTCCGTCAAGCAAGCAACGACGTCAGAGCTCGCCAAATCACTTCCCCTCCTTCGATTCCTGTCATTCAGAAGCTGACCTGGTTATTATTTAAACTTCACTTATCCCCGTGACACTTCTGCCTTCCCTGAATCATTTCAGTTCTTTATTATACCCATTTTACAAACACACAAGATACCACGTCAGACTTCAACCTCAAGCCAGATACTACCAACACAATACACTCAAGCTTAGACCGCACTTACACACACACACATAAGTCACAATGGAGACCATCAACAACCTTACTGCCGCTGCCACCAAGGCCGTCTGGGGAGATAACGAAACCGGCAACAAGGAGCCTGTCTCTGGGGTCAAGGGTGATACCGCCCGCGGCGAGCCCTACGACGCTGGTAACCTGGGTATGAATTCAATACCTGCACTATGCAGATGCTTGCGCCTGATTGATATCGCTGACACATCATACTCTAGAAACACCTCTACAAGAGAAGGCAGCACATGACTACGGAAGACACGGTGAAGAGCGCACAACCGACCTTGGACGGGAAGACCCCATTTCAAAGCCAACCGAAACCACAACTGCCGGTTCGACCACAGCACCGGTTTCCGCTCCTGCTCCCGCTCCCAACCATGCCAAGGACACATCTGCCGGCCAGAACGACACCCGCACCCCAGACCAGGCGGACAAGGGCAACAAGGATCTCCACGATGTAGACGACACCTCTGAGGGAACCGATGTCAAGCTTGGCGAAGGCCCTGGCCCCCGTCCTATCGAGAAGCTCGCCAAGGAGTTTGGGGGTGATGCAGGAAACGCTCCCGTAGAGGGAACTTCCCATGCCCCTGGTACAGAGGTAGGCTCCGAGGAAGCTGCCGATTCATCCAAGAAGGAGAATGCGCCCCACGACCCTAAGGAGGACGAGTACGTCACTGCCTCAGGTTTTGTTGCTGATGGCGGCGACTTCGACGCCTCTAAGCCTGGAGCTGGACAAGAGGCAGACCGTAAGTTGAAACACTTTATACTTCATACCGATGGATGGTGACTAACAAATATCAGGTCTGATGGAGCAGAAGGGTATTCATCTCGGTGAGAAGGGCAGCTCAGAGCCCTCTCACACTGAATCGCACTCCAGCAGTAAGCACCACGGCTCTCACGATGACAAGGCCGACAAGAAGGACAAGCCCAGCCTGGGAGAGCGCATCAAGGCCAAGCTTCACAAGCACTAAATGGCAGTTTTGATACTTCAACACACTCAGAAGATGCGAAGTTAATGATAGGGAATGATATCCTGCACGGCCGTTTTTTTAACGTTATCCTGGAATTATGTTAAGTTAGCTTAGGTCGTGTTCTTGTATTATAATATTATTTGGTTAATGTCATCAACGTAACCTCTCGCACATGATAGATGAGATGAAAGATACAAGTCGGTACCACTGCCTCTACGAATACTGATTGGTTTTTTCTATCCGTCGCTTCGTTTCACTAACAAATGGGGTCAGGCATGGATCCTTGTTCAAGGGCCTCTGGATGTAACCCAAAGTTGATACTGGGGTAAATCGCTGACACTCAAGAAGGGTTGTCACAAATTCGTTTGTTTAATTTGTATTCCAGGCATGCAACCTACCCCAGCTGCTGCAGAAATGCTCAAATAGGTCGAATATCAATGCAAAATAAACAACCCTCAGGTGCCGTGTAGCATTATCGCCCACTCGCTCATGGTATATATATATATTTCATATACATCAACACACAACAATGTTTGAAATTGACCTTTCGCTCTCCTAGATGCATTCATTGATATCATGCGCCCTACTTCCATGTCTTCCAGGTATATTCAATCCTTGTGCGATCAGCGTACACTTGCAAAAGTCACCATTCATGTCCGTCAAGATTTTGAACCCTTCCCATGCAAGCTCCTCCCTTACGATGCTGGTACGCCGAAAAACATCATCAAAATAAACCCCATTTTCCTTGAGGGTTACTTCTGGCCTCCGTATGGAGCCTTTGCCAGAATGCCCCGTAAACATCATAGACGCCCCGGCATGAGCAATGTCCTTGCTGAGGATCTCCGCACTTTTGAAACCCCTGTTACCAAAACCTACCACACCAACAGCTTTTCCGGGCCGCTTCCCGACCGCGCGTGGCTGCGTTGTGCCGCTTCCTGCCACTATCAATCTCGGGCGACGTTGCTTGCGCAGCATGCGCCGCAAGTTACGGCTACTCGGGACCATGGCGAGCTGTCGAAATCGCCAAGGGGAGTGCAATATCACCCATCCCGGCTTGGTTTCGATTTACTCATTTAGCCTTGATGCTTGCAGTTGCATATGTGTTTCGAACAGTTGCAAGGGTTCATTGCTTATAGGAACCCGGACTCGGCCAAAACCCTGTAATTAAGAAACCTCAGGTAAGCATATGTCTCTTCATCTTAACCAAGAAAGAAAAATGTTCAACGCGCTAATGCGAAGTGGTCTCCCTCGTTGCGCCGACTCAACCAGCGACCTAGAAGAAAGAGGACACCGCTCCATACGATGCGGGCGTGTTCCGCAAAGCAACGTACCTCACAATCTTCTCATCCTCTCGCTCACGTGGCTCAACTTGCAAGCTCTTGTCATACATCTCATGTACATCTCCAGCAGCCTGCATGTTGTTCAAGATGTAGTCTTGCAGCTCAGGCACAGGTTGCAGCGAGTACCCCACATTCTGATACTGCTGAATATCTCGAATGACCTCAGCAGTCTTGGCACGTTTAGCAAAGTTGATGAGGTTAGTCTTCTTAATAATGGACGGAATGCCATCCTCGATAAAAGTCAAGTCGGTCAAGTAGACACCTTTACTAGTTGTGAGCATTGCCATCTACCACCAGCTTCTCAGGAAGGGGGGTTGCGTACCGAAGAAAGGAATACAAGGGGGGTTGGCTGCATGGAGAGCCTCTCGGTACTCGCCGAAGTTCTTGGTGCTTGCCATGACCCTCCGCATCGATTCTAGCGTCGCATGTGTACGCTGGGGTACCTGGTCCCATGTTCGCTTGAGACGAGCGATAGGCGCGGTGCCCAATGCGGAAATGATGGAAGTTAGCGTTGAGAAGTTATTCAGGGAACGACAACGCTAGGACGTAGTTAGTGCCAATCAAGAAGGGGAAAATGCAAAATTTGGGTTACTCACATCAGCAACGGAAACGAAATGCTTGATAACAACCACTCGCTTCTTGACTTCCATCTGCGCCAGGATCATTTCGGCGACCCAGTTGGTCATTTGATTCGAGTGGAGGATAAGTGCCTTGACATTGGGAGCCAAGTCGGGTTCACCTTCAGGGACCTTCTTTTGCCACGTCTTGTTAAGACACTCTGTCGCCTTGACCTTGCCGTACAATCGGGATTCAACAATCGTGAGCTGACGGGCAAACTCAACCACGTCGATATCAAGGAACTTGAGCTTCTTCATGTTCTTGGGCATGATCGGGGCAGGCGTGTTCTGATTCACCGTTTGGATCATCCTTCGAGCACCAGCCTCTTTTCCGCTCAACCTCTGATCAAGGACAGCCATCAAGGGCGCTGAGCCTGGAGTCTCTGTCGATTTGACCGTGTCCTTGGCAAAACTGTAGACATCGCGAACAAGTTGTTTCGACTCGTCGTTGTAGTCCTCCATCCAGAAGTTGTCAAACCAATTCTTCAGAATGTTAACCACACGGAAACGAATGAGCTTCTGTTTTCGATCTCTCCAAATCTCAAAGTCAACCTGGCTTAGACCCTCTGGCGGTTGGATGTTAAATCGCTTGATAAGCAATTCAAAAAGTTCTCGAGCCGAGGTGAAAGATCGATAGGTAAGGAGGAAGGTGTTGTTGAAGTTTGAATCGAGTTTGTCGTGACGAGTTAGCTGCTCCACAAGGGCAAGTAAGGATCCTCCCCTGACTGTAGGAGTTGTTGTCTTGCTATCCCATGCCACTTCATGTTCGTAATCAAGAAGTAGGAATTCAGGGGTATCCTCCGTTACTTGAACCTGAGGCGAAGGGTCTTCACCAAATATCTTCTTGACCTTGGAGTAGTCACCCCTGCGCATGTTGCCGGGTGCAGGTTCGCCTTCAGTGAAAGACTGCGACGTAATCAAAGGTGGGCGTTGAGGAGCGGTCCTTGATTCTGTACGTTGGTGTGGTCGGTCGTAAGGCATGGTCTCGCCTCTTTGCAGTGTACTTCGGACAAAGGAGTTCTCCCGTGGTCGTTGATCCAGGTGGTGTTGTTGCATATTAATTTGAACTTGTTCAGACAATAATTGAAGCGAGAATCCAATATGCGACGAGTTCGTTTCCAACGCCCGGGCACATTGTCTGACATATTCCATGCGATTTTCCAATGCTTCGCCACGGATTTCAGACCATTCATCAGCCAAGGGTCCAGCAACAGCCTGGCATCCTAGAATAAGATCAGAGATGTTGTCGTATAGACTCTGCTTGTGAGTACCAAGGTCGGATAGCTGAGGTGTCTGAAAGCTGTTCCCTAGAGAAGACAGGTCAATTGATTCAATCATGGCAATCCATGGCCTGAACGTGTCGAGCACCCGACCACCAGCAAAACAAACATTATTGCCGATAACTTCATGTCTGTAAGGAGTGATGACCTTTTCCAATACGACCAAACTCTTGTCGAGCTCCCGGATACTGGATACAAGAATGCGCTTCTGCTCATCTAGTCGCTCCAGCATCTTGTTGTCTAGGATTGCAGTTGGTTCTACAACACCCTCTTCATCTTCGAGGAAATTGGCTGTGATTTCGTCTCGAGGGCCCAGGCCGTTATTTTGCCAACTGCCACCCGTGGTACTTCCAATCACGAATCCTGGGAAGAGTCGAGGAATCTCCTCGCCACGCTGTTGTCGAGCCACTTCCACGTAGCTGTAAACGCCCATCAGAACTCCGTCGGCTTCCTGTAAGCATTTTTGAATAGATTCGGCATTGGGCCAGTCTGCAGCTGCTATATGAGAAGAAATGACGAGCTTGGAGAATTTAGACATCATGTCCCGAAAGTGGGGATAAAGGGCTTTGTTTGTTGAAATAATAGATGGCTGGCCAGAGTGGTTATCGGTAGTCCCTGACCCAGCAGCGAGGAGTAGGCGTAGATGGTCGGATATGTCTTCCGCCTTAGCGACGTACTCTGAGCGATTGTTGTTCATGATGGCTTCGCGATAACGGTCTATAGCACGTCGCATATTGGAAACAAGTAGTGTCCAGCTGAGCGAAGGTGTAGAGCCATCATCAAAGAACGATCGAGGAACAGTAGCTGTGGTGGGAAGGTTGTAAGTGGTGCTAGTAAATGAGGTTGCAGATGCTATATTAGGGACCTGTCCCACGGTAAGGAGACCATTCGACGAGGCACCATTTCGGATACGGCCAATTGGCGATGCGCCGTTGATAGAATCCATGGAGGTTGATGGCGATAGTGCGCCGAATGAAGCACGGTTGCGGCTCTGGAGAGTGTTAGTGACTGTATACTTCGAACATATTTTTCATCTGACAGCGTACCTTTAGACGACGTGAGGCCAGTCTTGAAGAGTCGCCTTCGGCTTCGGATGCAGAGGTTAACGATTCTTCATCTTCATCTTGAGTCAGACCGCGAGCCATCATCTCAGGGGGTGGTCTCGTTTTATCGGGGATATTGACATTCATTCGATCTCGCGGTCCAGTTTCGTTGGTGGATACGGGGGACTCCAGAGGCAATTCCATACTACGGTCTCCTGTCATCATGTTGTAGTAAAACAAGCGCCCGTCGGGGGTAGCTTGAGGGATCCAAAATGAGCTGTCTCCTCCATCGGCCCCCTCGAGGGGCAGCGCAATAGGTCCATCTTGCTCAGAGTCGTCGTCTTCATACTGGTCGTCGTAAATCTCAGGGTCTTCTACATCGTCCTCCACAGCGTCGAAGGCCGTGTTGTGGGCATTGTCGGGTATATCGTCGGGACTCGTGATGATCTGACAGTAGTTGCTAGGAAACCAGCCTCGAACGCCGTTTATAACACCATCCCACCAGCCGCTCTCGAGCTGGGTGATGACCTGAATCACATCGCCCTCGTGGAAACTGAGACTGGTGCGGTCGTCGGCCTCGTAGTCGTAAAGGGCGCGGACGTACATTGCGCCCATAGGGGCGGTACCGACAATGCCGTTCATGAGGCCCCGAGCGGGATCAGCCCGAGTAGTTGAGAATTGTTGATCGGATGCTTGAACGGAGGCAGACTTGATGCGCACGGAAGCGGACGGTGAGTCGCCGGAGGGGTCGTAGATGCGCGAAGAGTGGATACTTGGCGGCACGGCGGCGGTCTGTATCTTGAGCATGTTGCGGCTGCACAGCTCAGCTCAGCGCATGGTAAAAAGCGGCAGGCCCTATTGCTGATCAAGAGGACGCCGGTTCTGGATGATGGAGTTTGTGACACAGAAAAGACGACGCAGCAGCATACCACGATAATTACAAGGAGTCGCAGGAGACGCGGTAGGTTGCAGGCCTTGCTATGGAAAGCAGAGCACGGAGTAGAGGGCCAAGAATCCAGGGGGGCGGCTGCTTAGAGGGGTGACCGCGCTGGGACCAGGTTGTGATGCGAGTGGACGGCGAGGGGCTGACAGGAGCAGGAGAAAGGCCAGGGAAACCCCCAAAGGAGAGAACGGCGGCAGGCGATTTGACTGAAACGATACTAGAATAGACAGAGAGAGAACGGTGGCCAGTCCCAGTATTGTCGAAAGGATGCTCCGTTGGTGAAAAGACGGTATAGAAGACGGTCAGAACCAGAAGGTTACAGTAAACAGGCGGCGACTTGTCTACGGGCGTAGATAGGACTCAGGAGTGGCGCATCGATGGCCTCTTACTGTTAGACATTCGCTGTGGTCAGCTTCAGGTCGCTCGCTGTCAATTGCTGAGAGCACCAAAGAGAAGCAGCCAAAGCCTTTTTGGCGATTGAGAATTGATGTTGAAGAGGGAGCAATAGACATGACTCTCAGGAGGGGTCCTATTGTGCCTTTCCTCCAACCCTTAACCCATTATTATTACTGTTCCGTACCTGGCTAACATAACATGCACTAACATCAATATTAACATTACCTTAATACGTAGCATCGACAACATTAGCTGCAGCATTAAGCAACGCGACGGGAGAAAAAAAACCATTGATTCCTCGACTGATAAATTTCTCCACTGGAAAACCCACGTCGCAATGAAACCCTTCAGGTCCCGTCCAACTGCTCTTTTAGGTAACTGGCTGGGTATCAGATTCTAGATTCTGCTACGTACATGCAAAAGCAGAAACGGGGCCGATACAACATGGACATACAGCAACCGATTTCGCCAAAGGTCAATCATCCTCAGGTTGTGACAATCAGACATCACCATGTTAAAGGATGAGGAACATCCCTCCCTCTCTGTGGGCGGGTTGGTTACTAACATTGACGTTCAAAAGTCCACTGTTGGTCCTCGCGTCTAGATCTTGCTTCATAATAGAGTTTCCTTGCGTGGTGAATCACAAACTGCTTCAATTCGGAATCGCTTGATGTTTCTTTGTCAGGTTCTGCCAGGATACGGTGACAGAACATCCAATTGGAAAGGTGAAAGACAGCAACATAGCCACAGCAAACTTCATATCCTTTACACCCGAGGCTTCGTCCATACAGGGTATGTGCGATAAAGGAGAGGAGAGCGTCGGGAGGGACCCCTGCGAGTCGCTTCTGTGCTTCCAATAAACTGAAGTGTCGACGAATTGACAGTACGGGAAGTCATGTCATGCAGGCTGCAAGTGATGAGTGCGTGAACAACAAGTTAACAGCCATCATCTGGCCAATGTTTGCAAGTAACGGCGTTGCTCGGTTTGTGCTTAGAGTATATCACTTATGCGAGATGTTGGCTTGTAAAGCCCCTTCGGTTGTGTTAACGAGGTTCTTCAAACAATAATTAAAGTACGTAGATAATTACGGATTAGGTACTAACTCTGTAATCAGGCCAGTCCACTGAAGGATCGGAACATCCCCGCTTCAGTACCATAACAAGATACTAACGTGATAACGTTGTCGGGCAGCGTGTCTTCTGCTAAGCTCGAGATAAGCAGCGAGGGCTGACACCCCTGTCTTCCAATCTTATCCTCATTTCCCAGCCCTCTGGTTCTGACCGACCAGTTGCTCCAGCAGCCTCCCAGGACAATAGCACTGTGCACGTCCACCGGCCCCTCCTCCCACCACCATCCACTTAGCTGATCCAGATGCGGTGCATCAGACATACGCAGTAGGATGGCGACTTGGGTATCAGGGTGCATGCAGTTGATAGCCTCAAAGCTTCAGTGCAGCTGCGGCTGATTTTGGATATCTGGGATCTGTATGTGGTATTTGGGTTGCATTCCGTTGATATTTAAGTTTGATGGAGAGTTTAATACCATCAACGAGCAATCTCACAAACATTAAAATCAGAGGACAAATGTACTCCACCACCCATTCTTGACACCACGTGGAGCATGACCCAAATCATGTCTCCCTACACCGGGAGGCTGCCGCGGACCCACGCGCTATTGGCGTGGATATCGCAACTTTTGCTCTGGAAACGTAAATGCAAGGGTCAGAGGAGAAATTATGCACCGTCTTTTAGAGTTCCAGACGTTTTACTACACATTTGAGTATCCATAGGTAAATTAACTTGTCTACCTAGTTGTGAATGCCGTTGGAAGTGCAGTATGTAGCGTCCCGAGCCGTCCCGCCTGAGCTGAGCTGAGCTGAATTGAGCTGATTTGGCCCGTATCAACAGATGGAAGGGGAAAAAAAAGTATAATTAGCTGCATCATGTCAAACGGTTCCAACGCCTCTAATCAATACAAGCAAGTGCTGTAAAGTGTAAACAGACGACAGCCCCGAGAGCCCCTCACCTCAGGCTCACAACGATGAACTCCCCCTCCATCCTCTTGAGCATGTGGTGGACTAATATTAACTGAGGGATCCATTCGGGCGTCAGTGCCGTCCGACCGCTGCGGGGTACAAGACCATGGCAAGACAAATAGGTTGCAGATCCGAGGGGACCGGAAAGGTCGCTGAGAGGGGCTCAGTAGTGCGTTGTCTCTCAAGTTTCCATTCTTTCCATTGCGAGATGAACCCTTCTAGCTCGCGACTCTCCTCCCACTCTTCTCCCTGAAGTTGACTTGACGGCCTTGTTCATTCCTCTAGCAACAAGTTTTACATTGTGGCTTAACCCCTGGCCTCTGTGCAAATGTGGATACGAGGATGAATCATTTAATGCTCTTGCTCTTCTAAAAGGAGAGGATGAGAAACACGAACCGGATACCCTCCGTTCCCGCCATAATTGACGGAGCTTGTCGATTAGTTAAATGTGACGCCTGCGACCCTTCAATGATCGCTCATGCTCCTGTCGATCTCGCGGGCCAGATTCATTGTTCATTTCATGAGAGGCTGAATGACGAAGTTATACATACCATTTTGCCTCTTTTGTGGAACGCTGGCAAATCTCTAATAATTCATCATGGCCCCTTGCATGCAGCTTGGTATTTGATACAATATGCAGCTCGTTATCTCATACTACTTGACTTGTTGCACACAATAATGGCAAGCCCCTCGCATCGAAGTGAATTACGGAGCTGCCGATGATAATCTATCAAAGTTCCCCTCGAGCTTGGCGAATCTTGCAAAAGAAATGATGCGGTCTGTCTGAGTACATGACTGGTGACTGAAGCGCCAGGAGTGCTCTATTTTAATAGGCAGAGTCAAAAGGTGGACGAAGCAATGTGCCCGAGCAAAACATGGATGCCACGGACTGAACTGATAGAAACCTCAGTGGCCGTCAGAAAGTGATAAATAGTCGATGATATAAAAAGGTCGATGAAATTAAACACCCCTAGTGAAGAGATTAGACTGTTCCAGAAATCGTATTGAAGCGGCAAGCCGTGCCGACGTCTGTTTGAACACTATGTGCAAGGTCCGTCCAGACGCGTAGACGCGTACAGTGTATCTTGGGTCTACCCAGGTGTCCTGATACAGGGGTAATTGACGCGAAGTCGACTGGAAGTCTCATCAGCTTCCCCGTGTAGTCCGTCTCCCACTAGAGCTAAACACGCTTGACTGGGGAGCTTCGCATGAAGTGGGGCGCGGAATGCAAATCGCGTCCGCGACAAGTGTAATCCCAGAACTTGCGCCGGTGCGCTGGGAGCGGGATCTCTCTTTGACAGGCCGCCGTGCTATGACGCTACGCCTGAATCGCGCTGGTAATGATGAGTTGAAGACATACTCCGTACTCCCTGATGCATTGCTGGGACGAAATGCCTAGATATATGGAGTACCTTGGGCACATAATAGAGGGCGAGCTGCTGAGGAAGACTGCCCAGGGGAAGTACAGTAAAAAGCCAGAGGTTGCTGGTCACGTTATGGTGATGATGGAGCTTGCTTGGATTTCCCCGCCTGATCGCTTCAGCCTGGTCCGGATGATTCCATGATTCTGCCAGCACGATTCCACGATCCGACTGTTTTTGGCTCCTTAGCCGATGCGCGGCGCCTAGAAACCGGCAGCCAACTTTGCTGTCATCAGACTCGCTCGTCTATTGCTGTCACCGTTAGTGGCCAACGATAAAATGCATGTCTCGTGCCTCGTCCTTCGTTTCTTGTACCTCATCGATTACGCTGGGCTCCTTGATCAGATACTTGCACCCCTGTCCTTATTGGCTTCCATTTTCAGGCGTCTTCCCCTGTCACCTCTGCGTTCTTGACATGCCCCCTGGGCCTCCTCGTCTCCGTGGTTGATGGGCTAGTGGGCCACTGCACTCGGACCGCCAGTCTTCGAGGCGGACACGACGGATTACGGAGCGAGTGGATAGCCATTCCCTGTCTATCGAGCAAGGCCTCTCGACACCGACTTTGACTCCGACTTTTGGTGTCCGTCACCGACTCTATTACCGTCAAAGATACGATATATCGTTCTTGACCGACGGTTTCGCAAACGGAATCGCGCCCGTGGCTCTGCGTTAGGGTAATTATGCAAGAAAAAAACAAAGGTACTTCCCCGTTGTGGATGTCTCCATCGGCCATCCATTATCGTCTCAATATTGGACGGGAGTCCACTCCAGACTGACATAATTCGAGAAAGCCAAAAAAGTATGGCTTGCACCGCTGCAGGAACCCACGTATTAGTTAAAGAGAGAGCAGAAGAAAGATTTATGCAAGTATGTATCCTTTCGCCTATGTCAACGTGCTGATATACCTTGGCGATCTTATGCTCTCATACCTTAGCCTGCTCGGTAGTCTGCTCCGTGCTAATCATCGTAAAGTTTGCGTGCGTGCTGTACTATTTCGACCAATGAGTATAATTAGGTCGAGTCCTTATCTAGGATGCCAGTGCTGCTTTTAATTCACGGATGGCGTTGGCTTCTGGGTTCTCCTGACAGAATTTTCACATTTAGGCTTGTCAGTGCTCGCTCGCCTCGCCTCGCTCAGAAGCTGAGGTGCTTGCTTCTTCCATTAGGTATCCGTACTCTTCCCCAAACAGGCTAGAGCCACAATCAATGGCTGAGATGCCCCTCGTCGCCCCTCCACCAAAACGGGCCCCGCTATTGCGCCAGTGGGGCTTGGTATGGTATGGTAGGTACTCACCTGCCCGTTCTTCGGTCATGCTCGGTAAGGGCTGCTTAGAGGGCACAAGCCTGGACTCACAGGGGTGGGATGGGGGCTAACTGGCCTAGCATTGCTGGCCGCGCGCTGAAAGTTGCTGGTGCATAGCGCTGCATTCGTTGCCTGCTCCTACTAACGACTTGCTCACCACGACTGCCCGCCAAGGAAGGTCCAACGTCCCATGCCACATTATGCAGCCATGGACCTCTCTGTCTCTCTCCCTGCCTAGGTCTCCGGGCTCCAGGTCCATGCTTTTGTGCTATGCTATGCTGTGCTGTGCTGCGCTGCGCTCCGCTGTGCTGGCACGAGTGCGTACTGGTAGCCCAGCCTCAGCCAGTGGGTGACTCCTCAGCCACCCCTCTCCCTCCCTCGCTCCTTCCATCTCTCCCTCGTCCCTCGTCTGGTCTGGCTGTTAGACCGTTCCCTCTTCTTGGTTTTCTCAGTCCATGGATGTTCCCCTCCTTCCCTCCCCACCCAGAAAATAAGTGCCCCCCCAAGTCCCGGGTCACTCTCCCCTCCGGATTTCTCCCCCTCTCTCCCGTCCGCCCCTCTAACTCTTCTACACCTGCTCCCCTCGCTTTTATTCCCTTCCTCCCCCATTCCCCTCCATCACCAGCTCGACTCTTCAGCAAACATCCCACCTCTCCTCGCCCGTCTCATCCGACCGGTTCATATTTTCGAAAAGGCCATCCAGAGCCTTCGTCCCCATCCAACACACACAACTCAGCATTTCCATGACCATCGATCAATCATATCCAATGACCATCTTCACATTCAAGATCACCGCTTTCACCCTTTAAACCCCACGGGAGCGCGCGCGCAAGCGAAGAGCTAGCAGTCGAGAGCGAGAGTGAGAGTAACAACATCCTACGAACCAGACGATATTCAACCATCGTGCTGTCGGGCCCAGCCTAATTGTCCGATATCCGATCGCAAACTTGCCGTCGTCCCTCGTCGCTATTCACATCCAGGAAACGCGACCTGACTACGTCAAAATGCCCGGTGCAAACGTAGCAGTCCTCCCGCCCCCTGCGGCCTCGACAGCGTCTTCGCGAAAGGCCTCGCTGGCACCCGAACGCAAATACAAGTGCCAGTTTTGTAACAGGGCTTTTAGCAGGAGCGAACACAGAAGTCGCCATGAACGATCACGTACGTGCGCAGCGTCCCCTTGCCCCTTGATCTATCTCTCACCGATGACTCCTCAGCCCGCCATATCAGTAGCTAATACGTTCTGTAGATACCAAGGAGCGTCCTTTCAAGTGCATGAAATGTAGGAGTACCTTTGTCCGTCGCGACCTTCTTCTCAGACACGACCGCACCGTCCACGCCAAGGATGGCGGTGTTCCCCTTCACAGCGATGGTAAACGTAGGGCCGGTCCCAAGACTCGCGCTGTCGGTGCACCTTCAAAACCCCCTATCGCGATTGATACCTCGACTCTGGAGCAGATGGAATCTGGTGCCGACAGCATTTTCGACGTTGAAGCTGCTGCCATGCTAGTGGCCGATCTTCACAACAAAGCCACAGCCGCGATGCGCGAAGACCACTCTTACGAGGACAGCCCCTCGATGGCATACTCGACTCACAACTCCTCCGCGATGGAATCTACAGTTACTTACCCATCTGGCGCTATCGCACTACCTCAAGTCCAGTGGGACGGTTTCATGTCTCAGCCGGTTGCCGAGCCCAAGGCACATTCGATTACATCCAGCGCATCCGGTTCCTTCGAGTCTCAACCTTCCTTTGCCAGCGGAGCCACTCTCCAGCCTCATTCCAACCAGCTTCCTCCCATCGGCAGCCAGAATTGCAACGGTCTCGTCCCAGCTCTGCAGTCAATGATCAACTCCTTGCCCAATTCCGCCGCAGCGCCAACATCTCCATGGGTTTCGGAGTCATCCAAGTCTGGATACAAGGCCCCTGAAGTCATGGGAGATGATGAGCGCAACGCTATCTTGGACAACATCCGCACATCGGACAGCGAACATGCCATCCCTGAGGGGTTCCGTCTCCCCGGCCTGGGCTCGTTGAACCGATACCTGTCGACGTACTTCGGTTTATTCCATCACCACCTACCATTTTTGCATCCTGCCTCATTTCACCCTACCAAAGTCTCTCCCCAGCTTCTGTTGGCGGTCCTTAGTATTGGCGCCCTATATGCTTTCGACCAAGAACAAGCCTACATGCTCCACATTGGCTCAAAGGTTTTGGTTAATCAGTTCCTACAAGGCAAGGAGAACTTCAGTTCCCGCAAGTGCCCCCTATGGACTATGCAGAGCAACCTCCTCAACATGATCTTTGCCAGCTGGAGTGGTGACCCTAAAGGCCTCGAGTGGACGTGTTCAATCAAGAGCCTACTCGCCAACATGGTTGCTGGTAATAGGTACGAGCTGAAGCTTCGCCAGGAAGCTCGCACAGAGGCCAAGCCAACTCGTGCCGAATGGGTTGAAGATGAGGGTTGCCGTCGTACATACTACGCAGTTTATATCTTCTTCGGCTTGCTGACTCTTACTTATAACCATACGCCTGCTATCAGCTTCAGCGAATTCGAAGACCTACAACTTCCTTCTACCGAGACGCTGTGGAACTTGCAAGTTTCTGATGAAGCGGCGTGGCAGGAGCACCTTGCAGCCTCAACCACTGTTAGCTTTATGGAGGCACACGATAACCTTTTCCAAGGCGAGACCCTTCGATACAGCACATTTGGTACCCGTGTTATGATAAATGCCTTGTTTCTTGAGGTCTGGTATCACAAACGCAGTCCCGAGGCACTGCAAGATGTTGTGACCGAGTACAAATTGCGATTGGCGCTCGAGACATGGGAGAAGTCTGTTGACATGTGCGAGGTCGAAGCTTTTCCTGTGCCGATCAGTGCCCCTCATAAGGGTCACCCCTTAATCTTCAATGCCAAAGCCATGTACCGTAATGCTCGTGCCCGCCTTGAGGTTGATCTTAAGGCGGTCCAGGAGGCACTTCGTTACCATGATTCTTATGAGGTCGCCGCCGCGATGACCAACGCCCGAGATCGTGTGAAGCGCTCAAGCGAGATGATCAAGGTCATCGAGGAGTGCTACAACTGCTTAGAGACTGTCGTCTCTCAAGGTGTCCGATGGATTGCACGTGTATCGCCTACCAACTGGAGTGTGGAGCATGCTCTCTGCGGAATGGATCTCATGATCATTCTCTCGCTGTGGCTCTACCGTCTGGAACATGACGAGGAGCCGGCGACCCAGGAAGAACTGGCCATGTACAACAAAGTACGACAACTTTTAGTCAAGGAAATTGACGACAGCTACATGTCTCAGCTCAGCGCGGTTGTTGCGCGACTCTGGGGCTCGATCCTTGATGAAGTCGTTGTTTGGGGGTATGTATCAAATGTTCAAACAGCTCTTAGAATTGTATGGCTAACATCCGACACAGCATGACACGACTCATGGGCGACTCCTTCAAACTGCATTCTCAGGCTCTCGTCGGCTATGTCGACGACCCTGAAGCTTCCTCTAATGTCTCCACTCCTTCGATGATCTCGCAAGGAGTTGATGAGGATAGCGTGTACTAAAACTAATTGGCGATGACTGAAACGACTTTCCTTTTTGTTTGCCCTCTGGCAGGTTTGGGCTTTTCCTTAACTCTTAGGCATATACCTCTTTTGCTTGGCTCTGTTTTGCTTGGTCGTGGGTTGATCCGTTTCTACCTGACTTTGTCGGCTCCGGCGCGAAAGGCTCGGGAGGGAGTTGGACTCGTATTACCTCTATGCATTTCTATCTCTTTATGGTTGCTATTTCATTATCTCCTTGGCGATACCCGAGACAGGGCGGGTGGTCGCAATGTCCATATCCAGTCCACTGCGGTTTTTTTATTGCGAGTTTGTTGCTTGGCACATTGGGTGCCTTTTATCTCGTTTCTCTACATCTCTCCTTTTTGCATGTTCGTTAAGGGTCAATCGGTATTAATTGGGGTCAAGGAAGGGGATCGGGAAACGGTTTTCGCATTGGGCTTCTACCCCGGACAGAGGGAACTGGGTCATTTGCGCAGTGACAGCGCAGGCTAACGACTGCGAGGGCAGGACAGTTGGCTGGTCCAAGAGGGCTAGTGTTGCCTTCTAATTCCTCTGTTCTATATGCCATGGCACCTACGTTGTTTTTCTCTTAATATCTGCGTGTTTACTGCAGACTTGCTGTTATGAATACTCGGTCTTGGTTTGCGTTACTTCTTTTGCTTCAATTTCGCTTCTGGTCATATCTACTTACCATTTATTCTTCGGCTTGTTTACTTTGGTTTTCAGATACCTTGTTCGATATACAGATTGTTTGTTTTGCGGCCACAGACGGTAATGACACGGCCTGGAAAGTCTTGGATGCCCCTTGGGCCCATGGCACAGCGTCGCATATCGTCAAGAGGAGGCTGGCCCATACTCGTGTATAGATGAATAGTTCGCTTGAATAATCAGCACCTGTCAAATCTCAACAGTATGATATTTCTAAATAATCGTGATTCGCTACCCATCACTGCCTGGAGTAGTAAACAGTTGTGATGCCTAGAGACCTAGTAGGCAGTGTTGGTGATAGGTACCTCACTCATGCCTAAGTATCTACCTACCTAGTAGGTACCTAGTATGAAGGTATGATCGAGAAGGTGTATATGTAAGTGCAATCGATGTGGTGGGTCTTGAGGGAACCATTATCTTTGTTTGATATCCATAATCTTTCTGTTCAATCTGTCACTGTCCTTTGGTCCTACCCATTCGAATTGCTTATTTGCTTTGTTTGAAGAGTACCACAGATGGAAGGTTCTACCATTAAGTAGGTACCTGCCGGATGAGCCTCAAGCAGATACCAAGGTCATGCTTGTCAGAAGATTGCCCGGCAAGCGTGTCTTCATGTTGACCTCTAATTCCGAGTTGCAGCTGGTGATTCACAGTCGAGAGGAAAATACTGCAGCCGAATTATTCCCCGTCATGATTCTCCTCCTGGTACCTCTTCTTGCTATCGCCCTCCTGGTTTCCGCGGAGTGCGAATGCGGCTATGAGATTGGAAATAATGAAGGAGACGGCTTTTCGTTATTCATGGATCGACTCGAGACCGACTTCAACCAACTCCATGACCTCTCTCAAAGCCATGACTGGGTAGCTCAACAATTCACAGTGTCAGCAAAGGATGGTCGAGGTAACTACAGCAAAGCGTTTACGCCCGCAAATGTCTACATCCCTGGAGGGGAATCACAAGATCAATCTGACCATGGAGATGGCCTTCAGTTACGTGTGAGTAGCGATATTGGCAAAGACAACAAAGTACCAGCAAGCGAAGTCGATACAGCAAGACTCGACCTTCACTGGGGATCTTTTCGAGCTGGAATGAAGTTGACAGAGACAAAGGGCACGTGTTCCGCCTTCTTCTGGGTAGGTGAATGAGCTCTGAGCTTGATGGAGGAAGCTGATAGTGTAACAGTATTTCAACGACACTCAAGAGATCGACATCGAGTTTCTTTCGCGGGAGTTCGATTACGATAAGGGTGTATATCCCGTGAACCTTGTCGTTCAATCCAAGCAGTCTCTGGAGGCTGGATACGATGCTAGTAAGACTGGAACTTATAAACGAGTTCACTTGGACTTTGATCCAACAGATACCTTTCACGAGTACCGGTTCGACTATCTTCCAGGCCAGGTCCTATTCTACGCCGATAGCAAACTCCTTGCCCAGATGGAGGGGGACGATATGCCTTCTACGGGAGGGCACCTGATTCTTCAGCACTGGAGCAATGGCAATCCGCTATGGTCAGGCGGTCCACCAATGGAGGATGCAGTAGTCACTGTTAGCCATGTGAAAGCTTACTTCAACTCATCAAACAATCAACGTCAGTCTTTTTTGAGCCAGAAATGTCATGAGTATTCTGAGGCCTCAGTATGTCTGATTAGAGACGTAACAAACCCGACATCGCCTGGGAAGTCGTCAAACGGTAGCAACCTCCCGCCACACGACCCAGATGATGAAAGCAATGGTGCAGTCAGTGGGTTAAGGAGAGCTGGGCAGATAAGTGTGTCTGGGAGTTTGAACTTTATCTTGGCCATATCCTTTGTAGAATTGGGCCTTGGTGTGCTACTATTGTGACTGGGCAGCGGAATGTCCATAAATCGACCTGGAGGCTTGGAGGAGTTTGTTGTACGAGATGTTTCAGTATGAGCACGAGGATGATGGAACCCCAAGTCAGAATTAAGAGAGAGTTTTAGCTCGGTAATGCAGGGAATAAAAACATCCAAGATAAGCCACTTACTCTACTGTCAAGCAAGACCTTGGCTTGTATGCCTACTATCGTGTTGTACCTTAGTGTAGGTATCGTGTGCTGCAGAAACCTGGAACCAGAGAGTGCTGACGTATTCGAATCTAGGTTTCAGTTTTTGCTTCTTCCAGGCCAAGAAACCAATAAAACTGGGCCTAAAACAGGGCCGAGGGGTTAGGATATGCATCCATTAAGTAGGTATATAATTATATCTCCCCTCGAGCTATGTACACTTAGCCTCTGGTTATTGTCTTAGTAGCTACGCTGTCCTTTTGATACTACGTTATTGGTGTGAATAACAGTTCATCATCATGCCTACAGAGCCCTTTCTAGATATCATTCTCATCAATCATACGAATTCCGAGTCGCTCTTTGCGCACGTCACTGGCCGGGATGAACAAGGCGTAGCGATCCTCCTTGCAGATGGAGAGACAATCCACCGGCCCCAGTCACCCTCGGAGATCTTACAGCCAGTCGGAGCAGATATCGCCATTCCTGTCGGAGGACCTGGAGCTCAGAAAAAGGTGCGGATACCGCATATATTCGGAGGGCGGATCTGGTTCTGCAAAGGAAAACCGCTCACATTTCTACTCAACCCGGGACCAGCTGTGGTAGAGCCATCTGTGACAAACCCAACCGACCCTAACTTTGACGCCGACTGGGGGTTCTGTGAATTCACCTACAACAACGATCAGCTGTACGTCAACGTGTCGTATGTTGACTTTGTAAGTCTGCCAATTGGTCTGGAGCTCGAGAACGAGGCCGGCAAAGTGACTCGCGTGCCGGGTATGCCCAAGAACGGGCTTGACCGGGTCTGCGACGGGCTGAAGCGTCAGGGTGAAAAGGACGGTGCGGGCTGGGAGAAGCTCGTGGTCAAGTCTAAGTCCGGCTCTAACCTCCGAGCACTGAGCGTCAACGGCGGCGCAGAGTTGCACCCGGGCTTGCTGGAGAACCACTTTGTAGCCGAGATCGACGCGGCGTGGAAGCGGTACGAGAAGGAGGATATCGAGATCAATACGCAAGCAGAATGGGGCGACGTCAAGGGTCGCGTGCACCACGGCAAGCTCGTCTTCAAAGACGTGGGAAAGGACAAACTGAAGTTCCACTTCGAGAAGCCGTCAACCCGGGATGTCGCGTCGTGCAGCACGGGGCCGTTTGCGGGCGGGCCGGACGTGACACCGGCGCAACTCAACATCGGTGCCCGGATCGCGGCGGCGCTTAACCGGACGACGCTATCGAGCAACCCCCGGCAACCCGAAGGCGAGAGTGTGGATGCGTATTATGGCAAGGGAGACGTGAACACGAACCATTACTCGAGAATCTGTCACGAGGTGACGATCGAGGGCAAGGGGTATGCGTTTCCTTACGATGATGTTGGTGCAGCTGGGGGAGTAGATCAGAGTGGGTTTTTGAACGATGGGAGACCAAAAGTCTTGACTGTTCATGTTGGAGGACAGGAGCAGCAAGTATGAGACAGACAATATAACACAAGGAGCTTCGCCAGTTTGAACTGTTGGACAAGCTCCAAACGATATCTAATTGCAACCACTAAAATTACAGGGCGCCTCCACTACCTGCATCAACTGCATTGTAGGTACTAACGTCGGTCACCCCTCGACTAACCACCCCCCACGACCGACCACTTGGGATTTTAATAAGTAAGAAGAGCGTTTGAGCCTCAGGCATCACGCGTTTTTGTATGTGGTGGTCGGTCGTGGGGGGGTGGTCAGTCGAGGGGTGACCGACGTTATGTAAGACATGCGGTTGTGGCTGTTAATAGCATCTGCCACAGCCGCAATCAAGGAACGAAAGGGTTGCACATTAATCTTGAATTGAGACGAGACGTTTAAAGGTTCCTGGCGCTGGCCTCACCTGGCGCATGCTCTAACTGATCGTTATTTGGTTCGTCATCCGTTATCAGGTAGTAGAATGACTACACTTGTCGAGTTGATAAACCCGTTAGGTATGTAGGGTGATGATACCTATCCTACCCTGGATTCTAGGTATTGCATCCATCATACCTACCTTCCTCCAAAACCAAGACTCCAAATAGGGAAACTTGAACTGGTGGACCGAGAGAAGGAGCACAGCCATGCCCGCGCCTGCCCACCCAATCTGCGGCTAACAAGTTGCATCACGTCCAATCCAATCGTTCCGCATACAAACCCTTTTCTTCCTACCACCCGACACGGCACATGCATCACTCTGCTCTGTTTCCCCCCTCTTGCATCTAAATTAATCTTGGTATCCCTGCTCTTCAATCTCCTTCCTTTTGGTTATTACCTCCCGATATCATTGAGCGCTCTCGCCTTTGTTCCTGGTATCGACTTCTAGCTTTAATGATTGATGACTGACGACGATTTATGTAATAATATCCCGGCGAAACAACACCACGCGGCACTCTGCAATTCCCAAATTCTCAACCGCCCCATTCATCCCTTATAACTCAGTGGAGTTCGTGTCGTTAGCCAAGACCTTTCCTAACAGCATAATCTCTGACGTTGTCGGGATACTCCAATAGCCAATAGGCGCCCATCATGTCATGACCTGCCAAAGCGCAATCATTTTCACTCGAACTCTGTGTCCCTGGCTTTTGACTTGGTTAATCTGAGCATTCAACTGCGAAGCCTTGCCTCTTGTATCTAAGCCGCTATGGTTTATTGCGGGAAGCCCTCAGGGGGTTGCTCCAACTGCCGTCGCCGTAAGATCCGTGTGAGTTGGCCCATCACTATTACCCGAATCCTTCCCGACAACGTTCATGACAACTTGCTTTGTCAAGGATGTAGTCAACTCGGCTCAACACTAGATATTCTTGCTGACATGTGAACCTCATGATCAAGTGTGACCAAAAGGAGCCGGCATGCACACAATGCGAGAAGAAGAACCAGCCATGTCCCGGTTATCGCAACCTTGTTGATCTTATGTTTCGGGATGAGAGTTCCCATGTTATCAAGAAAGCTGTCAAGACACGGGCTAGATCTAACGTCCAACAAGCCCACAAGAGTCCTGCCGGCCAGGAACTTGGCTCTGCATCTACATCGCCATCCACCGGATCCGTTACCAATCCATCACCTCCGTTCGCCATTGACTTGAGGTCTAGTGCAGCCTCCGCACCTGCACTCAAAACAGAAAACCCCAAGAGAAAATCCGCTAGACGTACACGAAAAGCTCACACTCGTTGCCGAGCGCCCGTACTCTCGGCTTTGATTAATGACTGGAGCCGGTCCCCATCGGAAACTTCGCAGGCAAGTCCAAGTGATGCTAATGACGGTAACGGATCAACTGAACAGCATGTTCCCTTGGGCGACGCGCTTTCTCCTCAACTCCAGGATAAGGGTACTGCTTTCTTCTTTTCCCGCTACGTAGTGGCGGATAGAGGCTCTCATCAAAACTATGCTTTCATATACGATGTATGGAAGCCCCCGGACACGGCTCAAGCCCAAGTTGACCCAGTTACTGTTAGCATGACAGCTGTTGGACTTGCGGGATGCTCTCAAGTTTTTCGAGACCCTGAGCTTATGACGCGGGCACAGGAGAGCTATGGCATTGCTCTCGGATTGACGCACCGTGCTCTTCGCGACCCGATTGAAGTGGTAAAGGACACAACTATGCTTGCCGTTCTTATACTTGGCACATTCGAATTCGTTTCAGGGTTCAGTTCTCATACAATGCGTGCTTGGCAGGATCACGTCAACGGAGCTGCTGCCCTGGCGAGTATTAGAGGAGCCGCCCAGTTCCGGAGCAAAGCCGGCGCTCGAATGTTTCTTATGCTCTGCCATACCGTTCTTATCAGTTGCATTCAAAGTGGCCTCCCTATGCCACAAACACTAATAGATCTTCGACGGGAGATCCAACTTACCGAAGAACTAGAAGGACCTGACTTCCATGTGGCATATCCAATATACAAAGCACTACAGGTACGGCATGACATCAAATCGGGGAAACTTGACAACCTCGATGACATAGTTACCGCCATATCTGATGTCGAGGAGGAGTTCTCTTCGGTACTGCTCGGACTACCAACATCCTGGAAGTATCATCGTGTACAGCTAACGCAGCCGGACCCTCGAGTTCTAGGCCAAACCTGTCATGTTTATACAGGACTCCTCCAATCAACCACTTGGAATATGGTGCGCGGAATACGGATGCTCCTGTTGGAAACACTCGTTGAGCGGTTGTGTAAAACTTGTAAGCCGCAAGGTAGCTCTGCAATATCAGAGAGTCATCTCAAGTTACTGGCACAATCTATTAAACTGCTGGATATGCTAGGACGAGCGATTGCGGCAAGTGTTCCTCAGCACCTCGGGGTTGTTAGCATTCGGGACATCCACGATAACCGGAAAGATCAAGTGCACACAGTATCAATCGCTGCGAAGATGCAAGCCTGTCGTGTCCTATCCTCACCACTCGTACAAGACTCACGGACTGGGGAAGAGACATCAAATAGCGGCGGTAGTCCATTACTACTTGATCCAACACAGTCGGCGCCTCAATCCGCTGATGCTACCCGGTTCATGAGCCTTGCTTCGGCAAACAATACCATCATTTGGCCGCTTTTCATGCTCGGCATGTCGACGGCCTGTTCTTCGGAGACGAAGCAGTATGCTATCGAGGGATTGCAAGCTATGCATAGAGAGGCTGGTTTGGAACAAGCACGTGTTGTTGCGGAACTGCTGCAGGAAAACCTGCGAGAGATGAACGACTCTTCTACTCTCAGGTCATCACTTCTTGGCGAGCTTCCACCGGTAGACTTGAAAGCCCTGCCTCTGGTGGTCTAATACGCCTAGCACAGCTGGATATGGGTTTGGCACTGAGGCAATTCCGCAGCACCTTGCCCATGTTCTATTCAATGTTTGGTTGGGTATCAGGTTGAGACTTATGACGGCACGTCGTTTGCCATGGTTGTAATACCGAAAAGCTTCCCATTGCTTAGCATGATTCTCTGTTGGATGAGACGTAATTTAGACGTGCACATACCCAGCACCATTGCACCACGATATGCTGCAATATAAGATAAACAATCTGGGTGTCAATGCTTAGTTTACCACCCATCGAAATTCCCGAAACCACCTCCCTTCATCTTCTTGCGTGCTGGCTCCTCCCAGGTGTCAACGTCCTCAATATCCGCCTCGGCAGTTGCTGGTGCGCTCTGTTTAGTAGCGGCTTTTAGATATTTTCCGACACTCTCCCCAGCACCTGTGGTCTCGATACTGCCGTCGTTACGTATCCGTTTGCCGGTCCACGTCGTTCTGTCATCATCTGTGCCACCTTGTAGCCGAATCTTTTCCTGCTCCTTTGTCTGACGCTCATTTTCTTGTTTCTGTTTTTGAAACTCGGCAAAAGGGTCGTGAAATATGACAATGTCTTTGATGACAATCTTGTTCAGAGGTCGATTAGATCCATCAGTGGGCACATCTTCCATCTTGGAGAGCACATTGAGATTCGAGACAACTTTCCCAAAAACCGTGTGTTTGCGATCGAGGTGAGGTGTTGGCTTGTAAGCAATAAAGAACTGACTTGAGTTTGTGTTCTTGCCCTTGTTAGCCATAGAAACTGCGATGTGAGGTTAGTATAAAACAATAAACGGACAAGGCACCACTTACTCGTTCCTCTGGCATTGTGTGACATGGGACCGTCGAACTCATCGTCAAAATACTTGCCCCAAATACTCTGACCACCTCGACCACTGCCTGACGGATCGCCGCCCTGAATCATGAAGTTGGGAATGTTTCGGTGAAATGCCACGCCTTTATAGTAGCCAGTCTGTGCCAATCTGATGAAGTTCCATACCGCTTTTGGCGCAAATTCTGGATATAGCTCGATCGTCAAGTCGCCCAAATTTGTTTCTATTCTAGCATAGCCAGTTGTTTTGACGCGCTTGGGCTTGAGCATATACTCCTCGTCCGACAGTAGAGCTCTTTCGCCGCTTGTCTCAGGGGTCAATCCCGTACTGGTGAAACTAGCTGCGGCCTTGCCTGTGGTGTATGCAGCTGAGTTAACAGCTAGCTTTTTGTCCTTGATCATGGACTGGCGGACCACATTGCCAGCAGCTCCGGGCTTGGTCAGAGCAGTTGAGCTACGATTGACATCGCCGCCCTGCTCACGAGCTTTGCGCGCCTTCTCCACTGCTGCTTTTGCGCGCGAGACTTTGTCGCCCATGCTTCCCAAAGCACTAGAGTTGATATTGCCAGCATTGCGCTCCTCCTCCTGCTCTTTGGTCAATTGCGCTTCGTGTCCTTCTTTCAGGTACTTGAATTGATCTAGATTGCGACTGGCAGCGTTCTGGGGGTCTTGGAGTGTAATGATATCGGCGCGAGTAAACTCTTCGTCGTCGACCAAGTCGCGCCATGATTTAGGTTTGATGTTCATGCGCTCGACCGTATTCCAGGCAAACACGTTGGCATAAGTGCCATGTCGAATGGCGACAATATGTGTGTTATCCGTGAAGACCTTGTATGTGACCGGATCAATCAGGTCGCCTCTCCCGTCACTCAAACCAGCACCAAGAGAGTCCGATTCCGAGTTTCGAGCAAAGTTGAGGCGGATTAAATCTTTTTTCTGTAGAGGCTCGCCAGAGACGGGGTTCTGGTTGGGATGCTTCTCAAGCCAGGCGCTAATAACTTCGACGTCGAAAATTGTTCCATCTGGTGTGCAGACGGGGTTCTTGAAGGGCTGGAGACTGGCGGCGCAAAAGTTGAAGGGTAGACGACGGAATGAGGCGCCGGCATGGTGATTGCGAGCAGACGCGCCTGCGCCAACACTGGGGGAGAAGGCGTCGGCCGATGACCACTCAGAGTGTGTAATCTGAAAGCAATTGGGTTAGATTAGTGAGTCAGAGTGGAGTTGATGAAGTTGACTCACATAGAGCTTGTCTGTTCCCTTACCCATTGCTGTGCTGATCAAACGTGAACTAAAAAGAAGAAGTTATGATGATGGAATTTGGACCCAACTGAACTTATGATGCGCCGCGCTAGACTCAGAGGCACCTTAGACGCTAACATGGTGCCTGAGACGACCTGGGGCTTATCGCTATCGGGTACACTTTGACCAATCAACAGCCAGGAGCCCTTGGCTTCTCGTGCTGGTGGTGCTGACCTGGCATCACGGGCGACCAATTACGTATACACGTTGGCGACTCCCTTGAAACAGTAACTCAAGGCATCTTCCTCCGTTAACCTCGACTTTGTTCATTTATCATCCAATTCTTCGATTTGAAAGAATTCGGAACTCTTTCACCGACCAAGACGTACTTCGTTGCGCAAGAAGGACACTCGACAGGCTCGACATGCTCCATAATTGAGAACCTCCCACGCCACCACTTAAACGTCCCCAAGCTCCCTTTGCTCCCGTCTCGACGTGAAACCTCGACCTGTTCTTATTCCAACATCATTCCCTCTTATCTCCCCACAACACCCGAAGCTTCCGCCACGACACGCACACGATACAGCAATCATGAGGTTCCTCACGGGACTGCTCGTGCTGGGCATGTCCCTTTGGACAACCCAAGCTTATGAGATTGGACTGGTACGGGCGGCCTCCAGCTATACGAAGCGCACAGGTCGCAATTGTGCTAACGTTACTTTCATCTAGAGCAACAAGGAGGGTTATCAAGAATACTGTACCGGTAGGCTATATCTCTGGATTGTAATGCGAATTTCCCTTCTGACTGGTCACAGGCATGTACAGCAAGTCCTCATGGGGCGGACCCGTCGACCCATTCATCCTCGTCAAGTTCCTTAACGCAAGCGACGCTGGTGTCAAAGATCCAACTGCGAGTCTTGTGATATTTGAGTGGAAGGACAGAAACCTCGTTGGCATCCCTGACCCCGATACTCCCGGCAACGTGAGTGCTTGCGCAATCGTTCACAACCCCGTCCTCCTCTGACGAAGTAAATTTTATAGCGACTCGGCGTCTGCGGTGATGATTTCGTCAAGCAGGGCTACTGCAACAAGACCGATGTTGGCAAATTCATCTTGCATCCCGATGTCGATAAGAAGTCCAGCAGTTTGGTCCTTACCAAGGCTGTCCATCTCAACAGCGCTGCTCCGATCAACTATGCTATCAAGAAGACCGGATACTACTGCGTCCTCACAGATGTGGTGAACACTAAGAACTACGACCTCGTAGTCGAGTACCGCAACGCCTATGGCGAACTCGAGGCTACCCAGATTCCCAAGTTGCCCTTCTATGGTGGTATGAGTATTTTGTATGCTCTTCTTGCTGCTTACTGGGGATTCTTGTACTACCAACACAGACACGATATCTGTAAGTTCACCCGGCAAAGGTCTTTGGATCACTTCCATACTGACTTTATTTAGTGGCTGTTCAAAACTACATTACGGCCATCCTCGTTTTCTTGGTTGTCGAGATGCTTATTACTTGGGGTTTCTATGGTTCGTATTCTCCGGTCTTGTGTAGCTTACTCACTCTAACTCGGATCTAGAATACCAGAACCGTCACGGCTCGAACATCGGCTCCAAGATTTTCCTTACCATTGTTGGAGTTCTCAACGCCGGCCGGAATTCGTTTTCCTTCTTTCTACTACTCATCGTCTGCATGGGTTATGGTGTGGTGAAGCACACCCTTGGTAAGACCATGATTAGGGTGCGCTGGCTTGCTGCAGCTCACTTCCTGTTTGGGCTTGTCTACTCGCTCACTTTCCTCTCTATTACTCCTGAGACGGCTGGTAAGAATATCTCTCTGCTCGTTTACTTGACCCTGGCTGACTCGATACAGGCCCATTCGTGCTCTTGATTGTACTTCCTTTGGCAGGTACATTGACTGCCTTCTATGTGTGGACCCTCAACTCGCTCAACTGGACTCTCAAGGATCTTCGCGAGCGAAAGCAACACGCCAAAGAAGCCATGTACAGGAAGCTTTGGTGGGCTATCCTCATCAGCGTCATGGTTATCTTCGGCTTCTTCTTCTTCAACAGCTTCACATTCGCCTCGGCTAGCGATCCCGACTTTGTCCCCTTCCACTGGAAGACTCGATGGTTCATTCTGGATGGCTGGTTAAATGTGGTTTACTTAGCCGATGTCGCATGGATCGCCTACCTTTGGCGTCCCACTTCCAACAACCGCCGCTTTGCCATGAGTGACGAGATTGCGCAAGATGACGATGGCAACTTTGACCTTGGCGATATCGGCGTCCCAGGAGAAGACTCGGACGATGAGGAGGCTGAAGTGGGCAAGCCTCGCAACGACTCGAATAATGCCAATGGATTGTCATTCTCGAGCACATCGCAGAGTGTTGCTCAACAGCAAAGAAACACTCGTAACGCCCCACGCGAGTCACTGGAGAACGAGACTATCTTTGCTATTGGCGAAGATGGTGATAGATTTTCGGATGACGGGAGCGACGAGGAGGATGCGAAGCTTGTGAAAACAAAGTAAGAAAGACAACGGCGTTGACTCGGGTTGAATCTGCGTATGACCGATACTCGGCGTAACCTTTTTGTGTATTTGTAGGGCTGTCAAAGGGATCAAATCTGACTGATGAATGAATTGATTTTTTGATTATCCAATGCTAGTTTTCCTGGATAGTGAATGTACAGTATAGTATAAGAGACTTGAAACGGACCAGAGTCGATTGGCATGGACACATTGGCCTAAACAATTTACATACTGTTACAATATTTTCTTCATCTTTGAGCTCCCTGCCAAGGCCCAATCCCGTTTCAGTGGATTTTCTATATCTAACCTGAGACATCACCTCCGAACCCAACTGGACGTCTTCGACCATCGTTCTCCGGCAGAATGGCTAACACCTTATATAACTTTCCCATGCCATCAGGACCCTTGTCAACTAGACGTTTCCAAGCTCCGTCGATCTTGTCGACAGTTTCCTTGGCTACGCCAGGAGTCTTGGTCAACTGCTCAGCGCGCTCGCGAATACCCATAACCTCTAAAAAGTCCCCCTGGTTTACAGGGCCGTGGACCTCAACGCCTTCACTAGCTGACATGGCCACGTCGGCGACAGCGGTGAAGTCGACGTCGGCACTCAGGTCAACTAGGCCAGGCGCAGAAAAGGGACTTACGCGCTTGTGGTGGCGGATACCACGGAGAGAGTTGATGGGGACAGTATCTGAAGTTCCGTAATCGAGGATCAGGGCAGCACCGCTAGGCTTGGCCTTGGGATGCTCTTCCGAGCCACCGATGCGGGTTGCAAAGTCTGTGGCGAAGATGGACGCATCTGGGCAGACTTCGATAACTGAGTCGGGCATGCTCTTGAGCTTGCGGTACCGGGTTGATGTCTCAGGGAGGAAGCGAGAGTGACGAGTGGGGGTAGAAGAGAGGATGAGTTGGAACTCAGGAGGTGGCTCATGCTGCTGTGATTTCGGTGTGCCGAGTTGAGCGTGAGTAACACCTGGTGGTGTTGGCGAGACCATCATCTCTCGCCATTCCATAGTGGGCTTGTTGTTTTCAGGTGGTGGTTGAGGAGGAGAAGTAGGCGAGTGAGCCTTTGGTTGGGGAGGAGCGGGCGCGGACTGGAAGCTATGGATAGGGAGAGCATCAAAGAACTCATGAGCGGTTATAAAGGGCATCTTGTCAGATCCTGTATCATGGGTTAGTTGAAGTGTTGTGTCAATACTGCTGGAGTTACTGACCGATTGGGATGGATTTGATTGAGTCAGTCCAGACAATGTGTTTGCCGTTATACTTGCTGGGACAGCTAAAACCCGACTCTGACTCTGTGGATGATGCATCAGATCCGCAAAGGAGTTGTTTCTGAGCATCCCGGAGCTCTCGACTAGCCTCAACCATGTAGACAGAGTCGATACTATTGGCCATAGCAGGGAACCTTTGGATAGTCTATAACTCCAGTCAGCATATGAGTCTCAAATAGTCATTCATATAACATTCAACATACTCGAAGCATATCATCCATCAGAGTGCCACGACCAGGTCCAACCTCGATGAGCTGAACACCCTGCTTCGGGCGACCCTGGCTGATCCATTCAGCGATAAACCAGATGCCCATGAGCTCGCCAAAGATTTGAGAGATTTCTGGTGACGTGACAAAGTCTCCCTTTGTACCAAATTGATCTCGACCTTCGCCAATGGCTCCTGTGTAGTATCCTCCAATATCACCAGTTAAGCACATGCGCATGTAGCTCGCCAACGGAACAGGTCCAGTTGTCTATGGTTAATGGTTAGCATGAAGAGATTGATTCAATGTATATTGGCCTACTGAAATAGCAGCAGAGAGTTGCTTGGCTAAAGGTGTAGACCATTTTCTCTCGCTCTCGACCTCGGTCTCAATATCAGTCTCATTCTGGTATCGACGAATGGTGGATGAGAAGCTCCTGGCCACGCAAGGGTTGAACAAGCTTGTTCGTGATGCACAGCGACTACTGCTTAGCCTTGTAAAGGGCCTTATCCCTATCGATCTAAACATGCTGGGCTTGTCAGAACCCAGTGAGTCCAATTGACTATGAACACAATATATGTCGAGATGTTCACCCGTTGCAGCACAATCCCACATGTAAATGTGTGTCAGTGACGATGCTTTTCCCAAGACGAAGCTGCCTGCTGATAAGATAAGAAATTCCCCATCCTTAACTACTACAAATGCCAACTTAGACATTCCTCCCCGCAACCGAAACGTCGTTTAATATATATAAAATTCCATCGCGAAGCTTCCCTCTTCGCAATTAAACTCCAGAATCCTCTATTGCTTGTATCGACGCCACAGACCACTCCCCTACGTAAGCAACGCGCCCACCATGTCCAGCAAATCGCGGTGGGCCACCACCGAAGAAGACGCCCGTCTCGACGCCAAACTCAAGGAAGAGAAGAGGCGAAAAAAGGCAGAGAAGGCACGAAAACTCGAGGAGGAGCAAAAAGCGCAGGCGGCCGCGAATCAAGCCTCCCTACAAGTCGACGATGACCGGCCCTCGAAACGGCGGAGGACGACGCCCGAACCAGGCGCAAAGCTAGACGACCAGGCGCCTCCAGCGAAACTGCTGCGCTTTCCGGCTGGGAGCTGGGGGAAGTGCAGAAGTGTTGAGAACTACGACAAGCTGAATGATATCGAGGAGGGAACTTATGGTTGGGTTGCACGGGCCACGAATAGAGCTACAGGCAAGATTGTTGCGCTGAAGAGGTTAAAGCTGGAACCTCAAGACCGGAACGGTTTGCCAGTTACAGGTTTACGAGAGATTCAGATATTAAAGGATTGCAAACATCGGAACATCGTTACCATGGAAGAGATCGTTGTTGGGGACGATATATCACGGCCAGACAAGTAACTGCATATTCGTTCATGTTCATTCTTGTTGACTGACAAGCCATCCTTCTAGCTCTCTATTCCTTGTCCTCGAATTCGTCGAACACGATCTTAAATCCATTCTCGAAGACATGCCCGAACCTTTTCTCTCATCCGAAGTCAAGCGGCTCCTCCTCCAGCTTACATCAGGTATCGCTTACCTGCACGACAACTGGATCCTCCATCGGGATCTCAAGACTTCTAACCTCCTTCTTAACAACCGTGGCCAGCTCAAGATCGCTGATTTCGGCATGTCTCGCTATGTCGGCGATCCTCCACCCAAGCTCACACAACTCGTCGTCACTCTCTGGTACCGCGCTCCAGAGCTGCTCCTTGGCGCAAAGATGTACGGCGCTGCTATTGACATGTGGAGTGTGGGCTGCATATTTGGCGAGCTTCTCACCCGTGAACCTCTTTTTCAGGGTAAGAATGAGGTCGACCAAGTCTCGCGCATCTTTGAGCTCTGTGGCGTCCCTACAGAAGAAACATGGCCTGGTTTCCGACGCCTCCCAAACGCTCGCTCATTGCGTCTCCCCAAAACCCAAGTTGCCACCGGCTCTGTCATCCGTGCTCGCTTCCCCAGCCTCACCAGTGCAGGCGCCGGTTTGTTGGGCGATCTACTCTCCCTCGATCCTGAACGAAGACCGTCGGCGAGTGAGATGCTTCAGCATGAGTACTTCCGCCAGGATCCCAAGCCAAAACCGGAAAGCATGTTCCCAACATTCCCTAGTAAGGCGAATCAGGAGCGGCGTCGACGAGCAGAGCCTCATGCGCCTGTACGCGGTGGACAGGCTGCGTCTCTGGGCGATGCTGACTTTAGTGGCATATTTCAGGGGCGAGAAAAGGAAGAGAGGGGAGCAGGGTTTCAACTGCGTATGGTTTAAGTTAAGCCTAATTCATGAACATCATGCTGGCTGTTTTAACGCGAGCGTTGTTGCAGATGTAGCTATTCGAGCCAGTGCTTCACCGAAAAGAATAAATTCAAGATACGCAATACTGCCTTCACAACAAACTACCTAGGACAGTAAGTAATTGGCAGGCGAGACAGTGAAGATGATCAATATGTAAGGGCGCAAGGCAGGGTTGTGGTTGTCTGAATAAAACTCGCTACAGTCGGTTACCAAGGACCGACGAGATTAAGATATATATAATATATAGAACCATTAAACGATTTCAGCTAGATCTTGTCCACCACATCATGAGCACCCAAACTGAGGGGTTTCCGCTTTCTCGTGAACTGACTTGACTACACAAAGACACCAGCTGCCAATACCTTCACTAAAGTGACATATCAAAGACACAAAAAACAATGAGCAATTTTTCTCCATTTGATGCTCCCCGGGCCGTGAACACGTCCGATAATAAACTCCAAAATCACAAAACATGACGGGCAAACTTGATACCAATGGTAGTAATAACTTAGTTGTCGCAGATGTCGCAGTTCCATTGAGGATAAGGTGTGTAGGCCGCGGGTGTGTACATGCCGAACTGGAAGGTTTTCTGTACAGCCAAGTAACCTGGTGAGGGAATGTCGGTGACTTCAGAGTCGGAATCCTTGATGATAAGAGTATACATGCCGACATTGAGAGGAGCGTCGGGGTCGTCAGCCTGCTTGCTGGTGTCCCAGACATAAGTTGGGTTTGACGCAAAAGTCATGTTGGCTGTGAGGGTGTATGTCTCTCCAGCAGAGGACTGACTGACAAGCACGTCGATGGCAGTAGGGGTACCCTCAAGCGACGTGTAGTTCCAACCAAACGTGGCATAGTCACCAATCTTGAAGAGTGGTGTAGGGACATACATGGTATCGGGCTGTTGCATGCTCACACCACCGGGTTGCACGTCGGCAGAGAAAGTCGTGCGCTTAGGTGCAGAAGTTCCGGTCTTGGTACCAGACTTCTTCTTGCCAGTCTCTGTTCCAGTCTTCGAATCTTCTTTTCCAGTTGCAGTTCCTGTTTCGACCTTGGCTGTGTTCAAGTTGGTCTGCTTGGGGCTGCTCTTTCGGGTGGTTGAGGTCTCCTCTTCCCCATCGGTCTTCTTGTCATCCTGACGAGGCTTGATCACAGCAGTTTCCTGAGGAACTATCACGAAGTTAGCAAAAAGGGGGCTTGTTGGCTATGGAAAGGAGCCAGCATACGATCTTGGTGGGCAACTCGTCGGACTACAACCGAATCAGCTTGAGGAAACCAACCAGGCCATGCTGTAGCTAGAGGAGTGAGGGACGAGAGGCAGACTGCCAACTGAAGGACGTGGGACGTGGGACGCATCGTAAATTTGTTGATGGCAGTTGTCGAGTCTGGGTGTGGAAAGGGGTCAACAAGTGTTTAGGCGATGACCGCAGAAATTGTAGTCAGTGCGGGATCGAACAGGGACAAATGAGTCTCGGTGATGATGATGCTGGTATGAATATTCAGTTGGCTATGTTCGAAAGTACGTCGTGTATCGTGTTCGATAACGGATATTGATGCTACAAGATGCCAAGCGTGTCCAATTCGACGAGAGCGAGTGAAGGGCGAGATAAAGTGGATAGCGAATGTTGAGCAATACAAAAAGCGATAGTCGATAGGAGTTGATGAAACGATAGCAAAGACGATATTTCGCTATTCTTGACAAGGCTGGAATAGATCGATCTCAAAGAAAATAACGAGAGGAAGAGCAAAAGCGAGAGAAGAGGACAAGAAATCAACAGGAGCAAAAAGAGAAGCAAGGGTCAAGAGGGAAAAGCGTTGGCGTTATGTTGGGTTGGCCCAGCAGAAGGAGCAGGGGGGCTGGCTATTGGCACATGCTTCACGCCCAAAATGAGTACGTACCTCGTTCCCGATTGACTTTAAAGCCAAAACAGCACATGCAACTCCTTTTTTTGGTGGAGGCATGGGCTGGAACCGTTAGATTTTTTGTTAGCGGGTGCTTAATAAAGAGCTGAGAGTCTCCTGGTCCCCAGGTGGCGTGCAGGTGTGTTTACACAGCCTGCGTCAGCTCCCGCCCGAAGTCCGAATTATTGGGTTAATTCCCCATAGTCAGACATGGAAGTCACCTCGTGTTGGAGAATCCAGATCCTTCCCGTCTGGCAAGTGTCTGTCTACCTTGTTATATGTAATACTGTCCTGCTTCTCTAAACAGAATTAATATCGTCGCTAAGGGTGGTTAGCTCAGGATGAATGGCTCGCAATAGGCAAAGCGAAAAGCCAAAGATCAAGAGAGACACCATCACATGATCTCGTGTTTATCACCATTCTTCACCTAAAAATAACAACGCTACCCCTGCTGATTCCCACGTCCTTGTCGGAGCCCCCTAAGCGTACCCGCTATTTCTCGGCAATCATGCACTAAAGTTGGTACAGGGCTCCATCCCGTCAGTAGATGCTTGGATGTGTCAACTGGTCCCGATGCAACATTGGATGACATTCTTCTGTGAGCTTCTCGTATCATTTGCTGATCTCGGGTTTCTGATGTTGCACTTCTGAAGTAACCAGTCACTTCAAGAAAACGAATAGAGGAGCGTCTTTGTCTTATTAGAAAATACCATCTTACCCTTTGTCTCCTAGTTCCATAACTCAGGTAGTCAGACTTGATGATAGGTAGTGTCTCAAACTAAAGTACCGGCCCTTGTTAATTTACATATTACCTACCTCTTTAGCCTGTGTTTGCCATGCCAACATCCAATCAGATAGGATCCAGCACCCGCATCACGTGTATACCCGTACTGTCGGCTGGTGTTAGCTGATAGGGTGTATATTAAACCACCACAATAGCACCTTTGACATAACGACTCTCTGCAACTTAAGATCTGTCAGACGGATCGCCGTGTACGCATACTTGCTTCAAGATGATTTGTGATACTGTTGAATGTTTCTAGTTCTAATATAGCGTAAACTCAGAGCCCGATCAAAGGTCATCAAAGGTCATCGAGTGACATCTGTGATACATGTATTCTAAGCATTCTTCCGACCATGGCCTTTCACACTATCTTGTGTTAAGTGTGGTTACTATTGAAGTGTTTTTGTGAGTCTCGCGGTTCTTTGCTATTATGCAAGATGTTCCTTCAGCTGCAGCACGACCTAACACAACTAGCCATGCTATGTCCTGATGGACCTATGGTGTCTCTTGTCACTTGTCGCATCAAAGTGCAGATGAACAAGCGAATCAAATCATCTGTACTGTCATTATTGTAGAGCTTACCATATATTCATTCAAACCAGTAGCGGAGAATGAAATATCTGTCGCATGGAAAATCACGCCCGGGGACTCACAGCTGCCAGCAGTGGCACGTGAATCAGCCGGTTGGTTCACCTTATGGCAATGGGCGCCTGCCTAAGGCGATGCCGTAACCGTGATGAATTGTCGCTGCATGCTCCTTCCCTTTGGGCCTGAGAATTGTGAGGTAATCGCTCTCCCCAGATACTTCTCTGTTCGAGGATTCTCTTCCTCCATCATCTTCAGAAAAATTCCATACTCAACCTCACCAGCTAGGTAATCTATCAGGATGAATATTACACAGTAAGCACAGGATCCTGCAAAACCACCAGAAAACGATGTATGGCTAATACGCCAAATTCTGACAATTGCAGGAACCAAACCGTATGCTCCCTTTCTTACCCCTTATCGTGCATGACAGTTCATTTTGTGCGCCACCAGAACTCTTGCCCAGAAACTCTTACGTCGGAGCGTCATGCAACCCGAATCAGACTAATCTCTACTCAAGGGCTCCGAGTCTCCAATCAATGAGGCCCAGTGCGTGTACATTCGCCAGGAGGAATACGACAGTCTGCTCACAATTGCCCATCAATATGGTAAGCTTTGAAACGACGCAATAGTCAAGTATAAGAGTACTGCGATGAGGATCTCTAATGCTTGCCTAGTTTGTCTGCGCCAAAGCCTCACTGATCGAGGGGTTGATGATGCCACTCTGAATGTAAGTTGTAGCCTCCCATCAAGTGCGGACTACTGATGCAGCCATAGTCTCTGTGTGTACCACCAGCTGAAAGTTCGCCGGCTTGTACCCATGATCAGCCTGACCCTTCGACTCCGACTTCTTTCGTGCTCAATGCCAATGCATATCCCTATCAGAAGCGATCAAGCGCAACCATGGAACTCCGCAATGAGAAGCAAGGGCTACACAAGAAAGAGAATCGACATTCTAATATCTCGGATCGACCTTCCACCAAACCAGGTGCTCTACGTATCTCGACAAGCGACCAATCACCACTTGGTGATCTTCAGAAAAACAGCAGACAAAGAGAGTCCAGCCGATGGCTGGATTGTTCCGCCCAGAGGTCAGTCCAACTCCTGAACTTGACTCCTGGAGTTACATATGGAGATGTATCTGCAGTTGTTCGAGGCGGCCCTCTTCTGGAGATCTTCCTTCGATCAAAGGAGAATTCCGCGACAGTCTCTTTCGTTCAAGAAGCTGACGCCGTGGCCTTTCTCGAACACTCTCGGACGTATGGTCTATACATCAAGGACCGTAAAGTAAGTCAGGCCAAAGGAGCACTGAATATTATTCTCAAACCTTCTCGCAGATCCACACCAGATGGTCCGACCATCAGTACGTCGTGAAGGGCCAAGTTGTCTATCACGTCACCAGAGGCGCTTCTCGAAATTTTGTCATCCGCAAGCGGGATCCCAATCTCACTACACAGGGCATTCGTGATGATCTCGAGCATATTCATAACCTCCACGTGATTGGTATTGAAATGGATAAAGACAACTGTTTTGTCAGCACAAGTGCGATTCACGCTGCCATTTTTGCTCGAAACTGTCTACAGAGCCGGCTGTAAGTTGTGTTTGCCCAAGCTTGAACATTAAAATCCAAGTCACTCATGCAGTACTAACTCCGCATCTTCTAGGGAATACAAGAATTCCCGTATTGAATGGGTCGCCGATGAATGTGCTCAACCACTGGAAAGTTTATCATATCAGACTCCAGCGCCAGCTTTGGCTCCAGCCTCGACTTCAACCCCTGAGGCAAAGTCAGAGACGCTACCGTCACGCAAGAATCTTATGGGCAATCGATTTCGCGTACTGAATCTTTCCGACACCGACGGAAGTAATGGTGATGATTCTTCAGACGATACACTCTAAGCATATCGCAGTTGGGATCGATCCTTTGATCTGATACCGCTGGATGCTCCTTTTGTGCTGCCATACCCCACATCTTTGGGTTGGTCTGAGTTCTATCTGAAGGTATTTGCAGGGAGGATTGCAGTGCAAATAAAGGGACTTTTTCTGTTCTGTTCTAAATTGTCGAGGGTAGTACATATTCTAGCTTATGGCCAGACCAGAAGGGTTTACAATACACTGTCATTATATCGTATGGTAGTTATGTAAATGAGTGACTTCCCACCGGAACAAGGTTGGAATGTTGTGGTTGAAACAGGCGATCGTCACTGTTCTAGTTAGCATTTGACCTCGCAAGTCCTCAAGACATACTCAGTTTGACACACACCCATCGCCTGATCACCACGACTCGATACTTGCTACTCGAACAGCCACTCAACAGGGAAAGAGTTGAATGTACTTGCCTCTGTAGCGGTGTATTCATGACACAAAGGCCATATTTTGAGGGTTTCTCGCCATGGTAGTACATGATTGAATCTTGGATCATGTTGCCCCTGCGGTAGTATAAATGTTGTTTTATTTATGAGCCATATGCACTTCATAATGTTGTATAATACCCAATAGTGAAATAGCGATTTGAAGATATTTGTGTTGTGTAACGGACGAGTCCATGTATCAGTGGACCTGGAAGTTGTCAGTGATAAACCTTTATCGCCAGTTGCCGGTTGCCAGCCTGCCACAACTCAGCAGTCCATAATACCCATTTGAACAGAGTTGGAGTCCTATCTCGACAGGTTTATGGGACTTTCTTTCATATAATTTTGGTGGTGAATCCTGTTATCTGCCAGCCTGCCAAGTGTTTCGACAGCAGAGACCAGAGAAGGGGGTCTACAAACAGTCTGGATGAAACAGCGACAAAACATAGGACGAAGGGGTTCGAAAAGCATAACATTATCATCTGTATAAATTAGAAAAACTTTGCAAATAGCGAAAAAATGCGCGCTGTAACGTTCGTCTCAGGGGTGTTCGGTCAGAACATGTTGATCCTCAGTTCTGTCGGCATGTTTTGGACCATTTGACCACTCGACCACATCCTTTGATTCCCGTTGTTTTAGCAGGCTACGTTACTCTTTTGACTCATAAAGCGATGCCACGTTCTGGAAGGGGGCGTGGGGGGTGACGAGGATCGAAGTGTTAGCCAGGAGGATGGCACTGGCGAGGCACTGACAGTCCGTCACTGGCACTCGAGAGCTACCCAACAATACACGAGGGCTGTTCGATGATTGGAATAGCTAATCAAGTTTATTTTGGGAATTCGAATGCTTCATTAAGCAAACGGAATCCATTATTACTATCCACCTAGAGAATCGCTTTACCCCTGAGCTACCAGGTCGTGGTGTTGTGTAGCCCGATTCAGGCCCACCACAACCCTACCTAGTCTTCAAGACCACACTTAAATGTCAGTATTCTAAACCTTTAAGATAATTTGAGATTTCAGCTATTGTCTTAAGGGACAAATCTCATCGTTTAACTAACACTCTGTGACGGTCACGTTATGATGTTGCTCTCACGTAACTACCCTTGAGCCACTTCGGCATTCTCCGCAACAAGATAATTGAAATGACCAAGGACAAGCGAAGCTTATGCGTACCTATGTTCCAAATTGAAATCAAAGAAAGCAAGAGGGTATTGAGAATATGCGTTATGGGGGGCGGCGATGTAGGGGTGAGGCGACATCATGGAAAACCCCCCCTGGATATCATATTTCATGCAGCATTTTGCCTTTGATACAATCACTTGATATTCACTTATAGTTCAGACGCCACATCTACACTCGGGATGATCGAGTATTCATCTCGTACCGATTCGAAACAAATGAGACCAGGGCGATCATGACAAAAAGTGTGGAGAGATAGACAAGTACCTACCTATCTAAGCACCATATCAGGACATCATGTTCATGGACATGGGCATCTGTGGTTGTGATCCTTCCAAGAAAGGCAATTGGGAGAGTAAGCTGCGTCATTCTGCTGTTGGGAAGATGTGCTTGCTCGGCATCAGATCTTCCGCCGGAAAAGGGGCTGGAGGTGCACGAAGAATACGTGAGTTCGAAAAAGAAAACACCAAGAGCCAGAAAAGAATCAAACCACACAAGCATGCCTCCCTGAGCAGGTAAAATCACCAAAACAGCTGGAGTAACTAGCAAAAAGCCAGCTGTTGATACATCTCAGAAACATGCAAAAAAGAAACCCTCGTCAGGCGAGAACAATGAGGCTCGATGCATCGCTGCAGAGACAACCCAGATATCTACGAGCGTGAGTCGTTGGGAAGTGATCGAGCAGTTAGACCGCTCAACCACCCTATTGATAGATAGATGTGCGTTTAGGATTTATATAGCTATGCGCAGGCGAGTGGGAGTTACGAGTGGTGGCAGCTGTTGACAGCTGTCGAGGCGTTGAAAGCTGAAGGGGCATGGGGAGGAGGCTGCTGGTAAAGAGACCGCGCTTAACCCTCTTCTTACCTAAGTACAGTAGGTACCTATCTACTATGTATTGGTAGGTTAGTACTTTGATGCGGGACAAAAGACGGCGGCTTCTTTTCTTTGGGGTGTGGTTGCTACCTATAGTACCCCTATTCTCTTCAACCTCGTCGCAAGGACTATCCTATACTCGGCGAACAGTGATTCAAACACATGACCAAGCGAACGCCTTTAACAATTCAAATTCCAGTCGCATACAAAGCATAAGTACCTAATATACACACCAACGGGCCATTCCCTCCTCTTAGTTGTCGGCAAGGTACGATGCAGTTGCTCTAGGTCACCACTTACACGTACCAAAGGATTTCACCAGCATTGCGAACGATCAAACACCATCACAACATGGAAACAATTAGACTGCAATTCTCCAAAAGCCTAACCTGCGATAATCATCGCGTATCAATTACATCCACTACCTAGCTAACCACCCAGCAAAATCATAGATACTATCCCAGACAAGGCTCCGTTGCAATGCTCCCCCGATCCTAATGATACCAAATCGTACAAATAGATCACTTCTCCAAATGCCCTTCCTTAGTGGTTGGCGTTTTTGGTGACAGACTGCAAGTAATCCAGCAAAAAGGTGCGCTCGGCCGGTGAGATGGGCGTCTGGCTACCGCGACGAGAAGGAGGGCCAGCAGGCTCCTCCACGCCAGAGGCCAAAGAAGCAAGACGAGACCTGGGCGTCCCGCCGATAGCTTCCTTACCCTTGGCCGCCTCCAGGCTAGCAGGGGATGGCTGCTTGCCAAAAAGTGAAAGCAATTCTCGCTTCTGGGCCGGACCAGACTCACGTCGCCGACCGAAAGAAGGGAGTGCTTGGCTAATGCTGGGACTAACACCAGGAACTGCGGTTTGCAAGTGGCCAGATAAACCACTTGGCGAAGCAAATGATGTTTGCGAAGATGCAGATGCTCCCCCAACGCCAAGGAATTGTTCGTTCTGTCCTCGTTGAAGAATTCGAATAGGCTGAGTGGGCTGCGGGGCAACTGGTGCATGTGCCTGAGCATGAGAACCATATTGCTGCCCATAGTCACCTCGTCCTTGAGACCCAGGTGTGCCAGTCTGGGCCGGCCGCGGTTGCAGAGATAGCCCTTCCAATGATACAGGCGGGCCGGCTTCCATGCCAGCTTGCGGCGGAACCTGGGCCCTGGCGTTGTCTCCGCCAACCGAACGTAAAAGCTCGCTCATCATACTGCCAGGAGCAGGTTGCTTGGGGCCTTGAGGGAGAGGTGCCTGAGCAGGAGGCTGGTTCTGGTCTTGGTCATCCTTGCGAAACATGCCCAACAAGGCAGAGCGATGATTGTTGGCAGGGGGGCCAGACCCGACCCTCGAGCCTGCCAGCTCTTTAGGGCTGGGTCCAGGGCGAGCTTCACCTCCTACAACACTAGCTGCATGTGCAGGAACTTGTGGGATCATCTGCTGAGGCGGTTGAGGTCCGCCAAAGTTGTTGTATCCGGGGCCTTGGTTCTGAATGGGGAAATTAGGGGGGAAGGGAACCTGCTGAGACTTCTGTTGAGGCTGTGGTGCCGCATTTCCGCCTTTGAAGGCATTCAGAAGAGCCATGGACTGTCCATTCAACAGTTGCTGTCTTGGCTGTCCACCTTGAACAGGAGCTTGGGGAGGCATCTGGCCAGGGTGGCCATATTGAGCTTGCTGTTGGTTAACGAATTGACCGGGCGCACTGTTGAAGTTGGGCTGGTTGATGTCCTGGAACACACTTCGGTTGAATACAGCTCTCTCCACCTGTGGCGGTAATGGCTGAGGATGCACCAGGGGAGCTTGGTTGCTCTTGTACTGCCCTTCCTGAACTGGATATTGGGGGCTGTATGCCTGAGGGTTCTCTCCCTGCTGGCCAGGTCCCATATTCCAGTGAGCAGCTTGGTTGGGCGGGAACGCGAATGATGGTGGTGGTTGCTGAGTACTTATAGATGGCATCTGATTGTGGTGGTGCGGTGTTTGAGGCTGAGGAGCATTGCCAATCGTCAAGTCCAGAGGAGTATGAGGATAGTGAACGCCAGATTGAGGCACGGCACCCGAAGGACCATCCTTTGCCTGGAGGATAGAGAGCAAAGCACTGCCCTTGTCCTGTTGAACCGGTGCGGGAACGGGAGCGGGCGCACCTTGCAGCCCTTGAGTCGGGGGTTGGACCTTCAACAAACGCTGCAATTCGTGTGTGGCACCTGCGAGCGTCTCTATTGCTGGGCCTTGATCTGTCGTTTCAGCCCCGGTGTCGTTCCATCCCTCATCCTCATATTGCGCCTCGCTAATAGGTCCATAACCATAGGGGCCGGTGGCTGCTTTGCGTGCTTCAATCTTTTTCTGCGACACAACCCACTTCTTCAGGGGCACCAAGAAAGGCGCGACCATGTAGAACTTATTGGCATTAGGTGTAGCAATCGCATCGTTATTTGAACCGTTCTTGCGGCGGAAAGCTGGTAGGTCGGATAGCTTGTACCACTGAATTTTGCTAATTTCCTTTCGAGTTTTCGGTTCGAATGGCGTGTCCATTGGAACATCGCGGAAGACGTAGAGCCTCATATGCTGTTCGCGCATCGCGATCTCAATATACTTGGGTTTTTGTTCGGTTGGCACGAGGCCAGCTGCTCGAAGATCCAGGCCAGTCTCTTCGTAGACTTCGCGAACGGCGCAATCTAGATCGTCCTCGTCCTTGTTGATCTTCCCTCGCGGGAAACTCCAGTTGGCGCCTTTTTTCCATCCCTTTACCAGGACCGTCGAGTCCATAGCTTTATTCAGCATGATGGCACCCCGTACGGGAACACGAGTCTTGTACTCTAGAAATTCCTCAAACGCTTTGGTATGGTTTTCAACGGAAAAGCTGGCTAGTAGTGGGCAGTGTTGAAATATTCGGAGACAAAAGGTACGCAGCGTCATGGACGGCAGAGCCGGGTCTAATGGACGAATGAAATCTTCGTAAAACCACTGAGCTTCCTCGACCTGAAAACATATTCGAGCGACAGAGGAGAGATCCTCCTGGGGAAGGTTGATGATGAAGCGGACGCAGAGGTCGTCCAGCCCTAGGTCGGTCGTGTTAGTCCTTGCTCGCAAACGCGCAGCACCCACCAACACATACAATCCTCTAACTGCATTTGTGTTCCAGACATGATGATGATGGAATCCTTCGGCTCATGCTACAGTGGAAGGTATTATAAATTTTCGGTTGTTGTTTCTCTCTTTGGTTTTTGCTTATTGCTCTTCAAGACTTTGCGAGACGATGATGCGGACGTAGCTGCGAAGGCGAGCTGACCATGGTTGAGTCGCGACAGCTCCAAGATGACGCAAAAGTACGACTGTGACAAGCGAAAAGACGCGAGCGGTCGTCGAGATACCTAGCCTAGTCGCAAGTCACTTGACAGAGTCAAAGAGATGCTGCTGCACTACGGTGAATCTGAGTGAAATGCCACGCAACGTTTCTCTTTGAACCACGCGGGGTCGATACGGCAGTGCAAAAGCCGAGGTGATGGGGTTTTCAGGTGATTTGTTGGTGTTGTTGTCAGGTTTGGTTTGACAGCATAGCACTGGATCGCAATCAGACCAGCCAGATCACAGACCTGTTTGCGCCTTAGCTTGGGTGCCCGCTTTCAGGTGTCGTGGTGTCCCCCAACAACAGCCCAATTCAAAGAGAGTGGAGAGCTAAGCTAGATGTGCTGCGCCACAGCTGACAGCACTCGCCACATTCCGGGACAGTTTCTTAGTTGCGTGTGTGAGGTGTGAGGTGTGAGGTGTGAGGCGGTGCGGTGCCGCTCATGATCTCCAAGTTGGAGAGCTCGAAGCTCCAACAGGTTCCCTCCCGTCACAGTTGCATGTTTCAAATGCAGGTGGAATTGCCACTGGGAGAAATGCCAGCGCACATGATAATGATCGGCGTTGCTGCAGCGCTTTAGCCGGTTTTGTTGAGCAAATTAGTCTTTGCATTAATGCTTCCAGACCGCAATAGTTTACTTTTACATACATTGCAAGTTCCAGAAACTCGGGTGGTCGCTGGTAATTACATCATCGCCATATTGGCTCCCTCACCCATGGTCATCATAAATACTTGAAAACCGGTAATTGACCAGTCGCACATCAAACCACAAGCGCGACCGCTGGTGACATCTTCCGGGGATTTTCTTGTCCTCCCTCCATATAAAGACAGCTGCCCTTTTCTTGCCCACTCATTGTCTCTCAAATATAAGCAGTGACATACTTTCTGGTAGTCGTTGACCATACCTGCCACTTCCCGCCTCTGCCAAGCTCGACTTTCAGCACTAGGTACTCATTATAAAGACCTGCTGGTCAGCTGGGGCTTGTTCAACAACAGCGCTGTCGCAAGTCAGTTGGGTTCTCCAGTAGCAAACCATGGCGTCACTTATCGCAAAGCTTGTTACCAAAAAGATCTTGGGAGAAACGGTCCAGAACAAATTCGGAACTGAGGTATGCAAGCGAACACTGACTTTATCGTTTGAAGGATTGCGCTGACCCATCATCAACAGGACCCTTACTTTGAGCATATTCCAGCTACTCGTCTAGATGGAACGCCAACTGGTAAGGTGAAGAAGCGTAAGAAGGCGCTTCCGCCAGGCATCTCCGACAATGACGCCAAGGTCTTGAACAAGGTCAAGCGCCGAGCGTACCGCCTTGATCTGGCTCTCTTCAGTTGCTGTGGCATACGTTTCGGCTGGGGCAGTGTTTTGGGATTTATTCCTGCGTAAGTTTAATTGCATTACCCTAGTCTGACTATTTGTTCGAAAACTAACATGTATCCTTTAGTGTTGGAGATGTCTTGGACATGCTGCTGTGCATTCTGGTCATGAAAACATGCATGAAGGTCGATGGAGGACTACCATCCTCTGTCAAATCCAGAATGATGTTCAACATCATGATCGATTTCGTCATTGGAATCATCCCGTTTGCTGGAGATATAGCTGATGCAGCTTTCAAGGCGAATACTCGCAATGCCGCGCTCCTCGAAGCACATTTGAGGGAAGTTGGACTCAAGAACCTAAAGAAGAGCGGACTGCCAGTGCCAGCCGTCGATCCTAGCGACCCCGATGAGTTTGATCGACTTCAAGCAATGGAGCCGCCTGAGTATGTTTCGAACCCACCATCAAGGAACGCATCCATGTCGAACCGCCGTCAACACAGCCGCAGCCGAAGCCGAAGCGGAGATCGCCGCCGTGATGATCGCCCCGTCGAGCCTGCACCAGCGCGTGTTCGCGAGAGCCGTAGATACTTTGGCCGGAGCAAGGCCAGGCCAAATGATGTCGAGGCAGCTGAACCCGTACGCGCATCTCGAGGCGAGAGATCGCAGCGAAGAGACCGACACTAAAGTCGGCAAATTGGATTTATTAGCAAAGCAAGGGGGAAAGGGACCAAGCTGACGAGAGGGCGGGCCCTTGTGAGTCAGGATTATTCACGATGGGGCGATGATGGGATTGTTGGCTTGTTAGTAATGCTTGCATGATGGGAATATGGACACGCGTTTCATTTTATCATGTTGTCAACGAATTATGTACATTACGAAATTCTTTAACCGGTGCCTTGACCGTTCTGATTGATTAGGTAGAGTGGATGCAGACGAGTGGGACATTCCACGAATGAGATTAAAGAATAAGATCTGATAACTTTACTTGGCGTTTTCATCGACCTAGCAACTGGCCACAGTGGGGTGAAGAAAGAGATGAACAATCTTCCAAGCCTCCGATCTAGGTGTCTGAGAAGTTTCAGCTTGCATGAAATCACTCTTAGCCTGATTCCAGCTAATTGAAAGCTTGACTCCCAATTTAAGTTAGTGCGAGTCTGTATACGTAGTAGGGGGCCAGCCGGGTTGGAAAATGATAAGGAATCAAAGCTCTTGTAAAAGCAGGAGACATAAAGCTTGATCAGATCTGCATGCCTGAAAGATAGTCCAAGTAATTAAGTCTTTTAGTCATCTTGCTCGAAATTCCCTACTCCGTACTATTCTTTTACCCACCTGGGGGGGCGTGTCAACCCCAGCCAGGCCTAGGCTGGTAACGTCAGATTCAGGGCCCAAGCCTGAACGCGGTGTAACCCCAGAAACGCGTTCCTCACCCTTGAGGCGAAGAATAAGTTGACGGAAAGTCAATAGCCGAAGATGACGGAATAATTGGACTGTTCGGGTGAGATGTTTGGACTGATCGATCAATGGAAGCTCGATTATACAGTGGAGGGAAGCTCATCATGACTACTCAACTCATATTATCAGACGTGATCCAACATCATCGATGAGCCCAGTCCCGCCAGACACCGCACCACGTTCATGCTCTACACTCACTACAGCTCATTTCGCGAGCATTGGCCCAACGACGCGCATGGGTATGGATCTTCAAGTCTAAGGAGAAATCGTGCTGATTGATAAACGCTTTTCATGACGTTAATCCTGACAAAGTCTGAATCATCACTCCCTGCAATAAAGCAGGTACGGATACAGTACAAAGACAGTGGAGCAATTGAGAAAATATCACAAAGCATAGCACTTGAACCATTCCCAAGACGAACGTAAATCCGCCCAAAACGCGCCTTTACGCGTCTCACTTGCTTAAAAGATCCTGGTGGCTGGAGATTCTGATGGCACCAGCTCAATCACTAGCGTCTTGGACGCTGCCAGTTGCAGGCCGAAGCCCGCCGGAAAGGCCCTGGTTCACCCAGTGACGCGCAGTTACACCAAGGCACTGTAAAGTGGCCCACTATCACGATATCCACCGCGTATTGCCCAGCGCGACGCGCTCTAGCTCCACGTGACGGCGGGACGCATCGAGAACTTATAATACAAAAGCCCATCGCCTTCATCCCATTCTTTACTTTGGAACAGACCATCACTACCGCAACCACAACCCCTTAACTACCAGAGTTCAACGTACATACAAAGCCTTTGTCTTGCTTCTGTATTACTCTGATCACTTTCAAGTTACTTCTCTCTTTCACTCACATACATACTACACAATGGCTGCGCAAATCACTCCTTCGAAGCAGGTATGTGACCTCGGGCATCCAACATTTGAACTCAATTGATCGCTAACAAACTGACTGAACAGGCTGCTTCCGGTATTCAAAACCTTAACATGGAATCTCCCGTCAAGAAGCTCGACTTTGGAGTCGCCAACAAGGAGAACGAGCCTCACAAGAACATCGATACTACACAACTCAAGACGAAGATTGTCGAGGAGACCAAGGAGGAGACAAAGACGGTTGTCACTGCCAAGACTGAGGAGCTCGACGAGCCCCTCCTCCAAGAGAACCCTCAGCGTTTCGTTCTCTTCCCCATTAAGTACCATGAGGTATGTGACGTGCATTTACGCGTTTTGACGCGTTTTGACGCGTTTTGACGCGTTTTGACGCGTAAAGTGGCCCCCCACTAGGACACCCACACTAACATATCGTCACAGATCTGGCAAATGTACAAGAAGGCCGAGGCTTCCTTCTGGACCGCCGAGGAGATTGATCTCTCCAAGGATCTCCACGACTGGAACAACCGTCTGACCACTGACGAGCAGTTCTTCATCTCTCACATCCTTGCCTTCTTCGCTGCTTCCGATGGCATTGTCAACGAGAACCTTGTTGAGCGGTTCAGCGGCGAGGTCCAGATCCCTGAGGCTCGATGCTTCTACGGATTCCAAATCATGATGGAGAACATTCACTCCGAGACCTATTCCCTGCTCATTGACACCTACATCAAGGAGCCTGCCCAGCGAACCTACCTCTTCAACGCTGTTGATACCATTCCCTGCATCCGAAAGAAGGCTGACTGGGCCATTCGATGGATCCAGGACAAGGACTCTACCTTTGCCCAGCGTTTGGTTGCCTTCGCTGCTGTCGAGGGTATCTTCTTCAGCGGTGCCTTTGCCTCCATCTTCTGGCTCAAGAAGCGTGGCCTCATGCCCGGTCTGACCTTCTCCAACGAGCTCATCTCTCGTGATGAGGGTCTCCACACCGACTTTGCCTGCCTTCTTCACTCCCATCTCAAGGGCCGTGCTAGCAAGCAGATGATCCAGGACATCATTTGTGATGCCGTCACCATTGAGCAGGAGTTCCTCACTGAGGCTCTCCCCTGTGCCCTGCTTGGCATGAACTCCAACCTCATGAAGCAGTACATTGAGTTTGTCGCTGACCGTCTGCTCGTCGCTCTCGGCAACGAGAAGGTCTACAAGGCCACCAACCCCTTCGACTTCATGGAGAACATCTCTCTTGGTGGCAAGACCAACTTCTTCGAGAAGCGTGTCGCTGACTACCAGAAGGCTGGTGTCCTCCACAGCGCGAGCAAGAAGGCCGACGAGGAGGAGCCCCCCAAGGGTGAGAACGGTGGTGACTTCACCTTCGACGATGACTTCTAGATGTCTCGCCGTTGTTTCTCTTTCCTTTGACATGGGCAGCTGCTCATGGGCATGCGCGCACATATGAACATATACCCTGTTTTTCTTCTTGTTTGTACATTCGAGATTGGTCTGGGGGGCAGCGATGCTTGGTTAATTCTACGGTTGGCAAGTGCGCGGTCATACTTGGTGTCCGGAAGCTGGATTTGCACGGACATAAACGGCGTTTCGGGATTTCGACTCTGGGTGGATGAAAATAGCATTGACGGTTTAATCGTGCTAATGGATGACGATAATATTATAGCACTCTCCACTGGAGTAGATAGAAATGAATTGACTAGATTAGTATACCTTCTTATTCACAGTGATCCTTGACGCATATTTCCTTCGTCATGCATGGTAGATGACTCCGTTAAATCATTGACATTCAAAATATGTCGCACTCATATGAGCCATGCAGCGTCATCCTTTGTATTGGTTAGAGGAAAGATCCTTGAACTACGCATAGCCACATAGAATTGACTAGGCCAATGTTAAATGCTTCGTGCTCTATCGTGATGTTTGCTACCTTTTTTAAATCAGTAATACTGATATCCACGGATATTCGACTCGCAAACCCACCATTTCAACCCCTTCCTCATCTTCTTACTTCCCCTTTATTTCTTGCCCTTCTTCTTCTTCTTTCCACCACCCCCTTGCGACGCCTGCGGTGTCGGCGCAGCAGCCTGTGACTCCTCCGCTGGTGTTGCACCCTCTCCTTCTGCCATCGTCACCTCAGGCACATCCGGCACAGCGGCCATGCTCCTCCCCAGACGACCGAGCGAGGCGTGCACCAAGCGTGATACCTCTGCGGCCTTTGACGTGCGGTACTTGATGGTTGCGCCACTGATGGGGTCGAAGGCCTTGAGGACCAGGGCGCCGCGCGGGGGCTTGGTCACTGCTGTGTCGCCGTCGGCGTCGGGTCGTGAGGGGCCGGGCCTGAGCTTGTATGTTGTGGTGATGAGTGTCTATGGTGGGTTAGTCGTTCTCCGTGCCTGGGCGGTTGCGTAGTGGGCGCGTGGACGTACTGTAGAGGGTCGAGCTTCAAGAAGCGCCATAGATTGATCGAGCCATTCTTGGCTTGTCTTGAGGTATACCATGTCGTAGATATTGAGGTATGGTCTGCCGGAGTATTGAAGTTGATGTCGTGTGCTGGCCTATTGAGGCTCGGAGAGGACAGACTGCGTCGCTGTGTTCAATCGAGTCTTCGAGTACTATGAGCTCTTGTATATCTTCTCGTGTATGCAATCTAAATCGATGCTGAGATGGTGGGATCTGACGCCTGTCAATCTAATGTTGTTGGCTGTCTCTATTCCTGGTATGGAGAGTTGGATGAGATTGGAAGGTAGGATTCTTGTGGTGGGGCGTGAGGGGAGGCTGAGCGCCACAACACCACAAGATCCTTTTCAAATGGCGATTACCCGGTCGCGAAAAGCCTCACTTTGATTTAGCATTCGTGAACACGCTTCATGCTCAATGCGGACTTTTGTTATTTCTAATTAAGTGCTTCAAGTGCTGCTACAAAACCCAGAGTATCAGGGTAAACATGTACATCTGCCAGCTTTGGACTTGCCCCTCCCTGCATCAAGAGTATACCAATATCTTGCCGCCCTTTCCTGATGTAATGCCACATCGCTGTATGACCGTCAATGACTTTGTCAATATTTTTTATCTTCTTACAAATGCGTCGGGCAATGTCATATTCATGCCTCGCATACCACGGGTTACTATTAGGGTTAGTGAGATGCATGACGGGAAGTTCGTCACCCTCATCCTTTGTAAGGTCTGCCTCTGGCGTCAAGTAGGGTTCGACTTCAGCCCCTGCCTCCAACAGTATCTCGACAACGCAGTGGTTTTCGCTTCGCTTCATGGCATCGACAAGTAAGAGTCTCATTTGCCCGGTCTTTGTGTCGGTGGGGTTTGGCGAAGCACCTGCTTCCAAAAAGAAGTTTAACAGCTTCGCCGCATCGTGTTTGTACAGCTTTCAAAAGAGGGCTACTATTTTTTATCTCTTGCGCAGAAATGTCTGCCTTGGCGTCATTAATGGGATATCGGATGCTACCGAGGAAATCGTGATGAGTATCTGATGTTTTGAGAGCACCTTCGCCTTGAAGCATGCTGGGCTCTTTTGCCCAATCCTGGTTACCCATTGAGGCCAGGGTTATGAGGTTGGATAATGGTGTCACTTTGTTATAGTTTGTGACATTGATGTCAGCTTCTTTTTCAACAAGTGGTTTGGCCTTATCATCGTGTTAGCTCGGATATATATCAGTTTCAACTCCTGGTACAACTCGCAACGTCTTCATCTAGGTAGTTAGTGCGTGTGTCAAAGAGGTGGACCCATCTCCGTCGACAGTATCAAGACGAGCTCCTTCATGTATCAACAACTCGGCGACTGCCGTGTTCCCACGAACACATGCCAGGTGTAGACTGTAGTAGGCTGCTCCTAGCCCCCCAGTGCACGTAGCCATGAGCTAATTCATTTGGTCTTCCTTTACTTTTGACCGACTGATAAGGCAACTCGTAGAGATGCTTGTTGTTGAAAGGAGTGTTTATCTTTTTCTCGACGATCAGGTCGCTCTTTCTAAGAGCTACTAGAGACAGTTTGGTCACCTATATTGTGAGTAACTTGCCTCACAAGTGTGGAGGGCCATCACTTTTGCCTGACATCTCGACTGTAATCAAGGTCAGCTTTGCTGATTCGGAAGATAAGTAAGGGGGCCGACGAGAAATACTGAACAATATAGGGGAACTTGTATTTATGGTGTGTTGTGTCGAAGTTACCTATCTTTTCAATGTTGGAACTTGAAGTTGGAATTACATTCGCTTGAGCCAGGCAGGTATGCACAGAAGGAAGAAGGGAAGTATGACTGGATGGCCAATGCCTAGGTATTTTCTTCTGCCTGCGCATCTGCCTGCAGCTGTTCCGTCCAACACTTGTTGGTTGAGCCAAAGGCTCATAAGCTAGATACTTGCTTTCCAAAATTTGCTAATATTCTGTATTGATGTAAAAATAGTCTTCCTAATACAGTAGTACTAAGGTAGTGGTTGTAAGATTTGGGCTTACTATATACAGTAGTACTTTTGTGTTTGAAATAATATCATGGCTGACAGTTAGCAACATGCTCTACTCAACCTTTAAATCGACATTATCACAGTGTTAAGTTATGTTATAATGCGTGGGTATCTATTGCTTACTCTGGCCATTCTAAATTGTCCAGGTTATTATTTACGTTCTATATCTGCTCCCTTTGTCTTTTTATAACAACCATCGTTTCCCTCCTTACTCACGCATGAGGATCGGGTAGCCAAAACAACAATTCTTGATCAGCCGTAGCGAAAAAGTTGTACCGGGGATTGAATGCTAGGACAGCAGCCTCTCTCTTATCAGGCAGTGTCCAGCTTGGTTCCAGAACTTTGTTGTCGTCCGGGGCTGCCATAGTGTCCCATACGAGGACGTCCTTCTTGGAGCCGCTCAGGACATAACGGCCATCAGGTGCAAAACAACAGTCGCCGCTGCTCTCGATATTAGATGCATCAGACGATACGCCACTGGTTGGTGCTGCCTCTCCAACGGCCAGTCGCCGAGTTCCGCCGTTTGGCTTGTGGAGGTAGGCTTTCAGCGTACCTTCAAATGCGTCGAGTAGGAAATGGCCGTTACCCCGAGTTCCAACAAGTAGCGACTTGCCATCGTTGGAAAATTCAAGTTTTGTCCAGCCCTTGTTGAGGCACTGCGAATCCACCTTCCTACACTGTTCCACAATATCGACTGTCGCGAAAGGAGCCTTGTCGTAGTTGCGCGCATCGTACAGCAAGACTGTACCGCTGCTTGTGCAAGCCACAGCGAATACAGTTCCAGACGGGTCGTATGCAGCGAAGTAAGGCGATCGAAGGAAGAGTTGACCTTGGTAGTTCTTGGTTTGCGTGTCCCAAAGACGCACGGTATTATCCTGCGAGCATGATATGAAGTTGTCGCTACCAGGGTGTACAGCTAGCGAGGTCACAGGCCCCTCGTGGCCATCAAAGTATCGAATAAAAGAGTTGTCGTGCGTAGCGAGATACCGAATGGCATCTAGGAAAATAAGAGTCAGCGTCACGTCTGCTTGTTCTCATAACATAAATGAGGGAGATTACCGTTTTGTTTTGTGCTGGCGTAAATAATACTTGAGTTCGTATGCGTGAACTTGGCCAGCTTGACGCCGTACTTCTTACTGATCAAACTCTTATCATGCCGACCTTCTTTGACATGGTAGATCTGTATCGTCTCGTCACTGGCCGATGCCATGACAAGCTGACCTTCGTCGTCGTAGTCGAGGGACAGCACATGAGGCTGCGGGCGATTGTCCTTGATGTCATCGCGGCGGAATAGCTATTTATGGTAAGCAAATAAGTTAATTGATGCAAAGTTTTTGAGAAAGGTGAGATATTAGGCATGTTGGTCGCACCTTGGTTGGACGGAAGTTGCCTATAACATCGGACAAGTTGGAGACAGAGGCGGTGGTGCCAATGGTGCGATGGATGTTGAGCGAAGCGCCGTTGGGTGTATTAGAGCGGTCGATATCCATCGGTGTCGAAGCCATGGTGGGCAGAATAGTGAGGCAGCGATCTAGAGAGCAACGTCACAAGTGGTGTTATGCTGGCAGCTCTCGGACGAAACTCGCGAGTCGCGTTGAGTGAAAGAGTTTGTCGATCGCCCAGGTCGCAAGGTGTCGCAATTACAACTGGCGACGTTGAGTGAGTCGCAATCAATATTTTTGATCAGTGATTATATCGGTAGGTTCACAGTGAAAGAATGTGATGTTGGTTTAATGGTAGTTCTGTTAATATGGCGCCGAGTCTGGTGTTTTGCGATGGAGCTCTGAGCTGGAGGGGTGTAACTTTTGCGGGGTGCAGCACCTCGGGCATGAGCCACGGGCAGGGTACGTACCCAAAGAGGCTGCACTTACTACCTCCTTACATGATGGAGGTTACCATCCATATTCCCTCATGCGTCTAAGGAATACTGTCTTAAAAGACAAATCGTCGTTCTTATTCAATGCACACATCGAGTCTCGAGAGAACATCCATAGGCTATGGAGCCATCTCCACGTCCGATAAACCCAATACTGGCAATACTGGTGGGTTCGGTAGGTACTATCTTAAGACGGGGACGGCATAAACGCCCAAGCCGTCCATAGCAAGCCGTAGCAAGCCGTAAAGCCGCTCAGAGCAAGGAAACGCCGGCCCAACAGGCGTTGTCCCATTGATCCTAGCGCCATAGCTGTAAATCACTAGCTTGACAAATCAGCTCTCTCTTTCATCCTCCATTTTCAGGGGCGCACAGCGGCCTAGCGGGACCCTACACCTAGGTACGGAGTACTGACGCAAAGACCCGCAGCCCTCCCCGCGAAAAATGACCGCCGACGTCGGCATATCAAATGCACTTGGTGCAAAAAAGTAGAAATGTCCCCCAGCAAGCACAAGTTAGATTAAATGGCAACGAGACATGGATGTGCTGTACTGTACTATGCTGTACTATGTGGTACTACACGGATACTGTAGGACCATAGATTAGTACCCTGATTACGAGAGCATCAACTCAGAAGCCGTTCCAACTTGTACTCTGCTTATATATCATCTTGTCAGCCGCTGACCGAGGACATGTTGAATATTACTTCCCAAGTAAGATAGATAGCAGTACCCAATCATTCATATATCGTCAGCCCCATACGAAGGCTCCATGGTTCCAATTCATTACGTAGGAAGCTTGTACTTTTCCAGTGTAATTGCGCAAGAAGTGGTAGCTCTGCGCTGACAATTTCTCCCGCTCCCATAGGTAGGGTCCGAAGCCGCTGGTGACGGATGTGAAACCCTTCTTTTCCACGCTCCCGGATCTTCCTCTCGAACCTAACTCAAACAACTTTCTTCGTTCTGCGCCAGTTAATTTTCTCGGGCTGCCGATTGTCGAGAAAGGCTCTTTTGCCCGAGCTCTCCGACCCTTGACTTCCTTCGTTTTCCATACCTTACTTCTCGCAACTGCTGGCCGCCCTCCTCATATTTGGAGAGCTCGGGGGTCATGTCGACTACCGTTGGGTAAGCTTTCTGGTTATTTGTGCCTATCCTTCGATCCTCCGAGTTCGCCAGAGATAAGATTTGCGGCAATGTTCGTGCGCTGACCTCGCCTCAATAGCGCCTTCATTGCTGGCGGCATCGCCGCCTGCGGCGCTGTTACTGCGACACATCCGTTTGAGACGGTCAAGATTCGGTATGTTCTGAGCATTGTGGCATCTGCCGATTCGCTATCAGCTCGAAACTGACCAGTTGTTCGTCTGTCAGTATGCAGTTGCAAGGCGAGCTTCAAAATAAGGGCCACCAACCTCACCATTACAGAGGACCGATCCACGGCGTGAGCGTCATCGTACGCAATGAAGGCTTCCGCAATATCTACCGCGGTATCGGCGCCGCCTACATCTACCAGGTTCTCCTCAATGGCTGCCGTCTCGGCTTCTACGACCCCATGCGCAATGCGCTCGCAAGCTTCTTCCTCAAGGACGGACAGGCCCAAAATCTGGGAATTAACATGTTCTGCGGTGCTGCTTCGGGCGTAATCGGCGCCGCGGCTGGCAGCCCATTTTTCCTGGTCAAGACCCGTCTGCAGAGCTTCTCGGCCTTCAGGCCGGTTGGTACCCAACACCACTACCGAGGCGCATGGCACGGCTTCAAATCTATTTACGGAGCCGAGGGAGTCGGTGGTCTGTACCGTGGCGTGCAAGCTGCTATGATCCGAACTGCATTTGGCAGCTCGGTTCAGCTTCCCACTTACTTCTTTGCGAAACGTCGTCTGGTTCGCCATCTCGATATGGAGGAGGGTCCCGGTCTGCATCTAGCTTCCAGCGCTATAAGTGGCTTCGTTGTCTGTTGCGTGATGCATCCTCCTGGTAAGGGTCACTATTGCCAAAATATCACTAAATTAGGTGGCTAACTTCTCTACTACAGACACGATCATGTCCCGTATGTACAACCAGAACGGTAATCTTTACAGCAGTGTCAGCGATTGTCTCGCCAAAACCATCCGTTCTGAGGGTCTCTTTGCTCTATACAAGGGATTCTTCCCTCACCTTGCGCGAATCCTACCCCACACCATCCTCACTCTGAGCTTAGCCGAGCAGACCAATAAGCTGGTGCGCAAGATCGAAGATCGCGTTCTGCCTGGCAGACTGGAGATGGCGGCTTAAAAAGACGGCTAAGGCGTTTATAGTACGAGCTGGGGTGAGTACTCGATAGGCAAATGGGCGGTACAGCGATTGGCAAGCATCAATCGGAGCAAAACAGATCTTGTATTTGATGGGGAGAAGGCAGTTATACTGGTCCACATATGTATGGTCATCTAGGCAGGACGATAGGAGCATTTGGCACCGCCTAGGTCATGGGTTTTAGCAATTAAAAGGCGGCGGCGTATTTGGGAAGTTTTCAGTCATAGTCTCAGTCAGGATAGATATTGCGTTATACCAGAACATATCAACATAAGCATTTACTTAGTTTTATTGTCCAATTAATATTGTATAGGCTATCCGTGGATCGACCGCTTACAGCCATAGCATAACCGGCCTGCGCCGGCTGCCCCCGGCCCGTCACCGGCATCGTCGCCTATCTCTCCCGCCCATCGCGAATCGCCCTCGGCATCAAGTGACATACCGCAGCTACCACAGAAGCTCTTGTAAGGAACTCGCTCGAGCTTTCCAGCCGTGCGCACCACGTTGGCAACGATACCTGCGTATCCTTCCTCAACACTATCAAAGTACCGTGCCATCACCTCTTCAATGCTCAAGTCTTTGTATGAGACAACGTTGGCTCCGGATTTGGCACCTGCTTGGTCAACAGGGACAACTTCCTTGAGAGACGATACCAGGTCGATATACTGGACAAGTTCGTTGCGAAAGATCTCTCGTAAGGGGTAGTAGACCGGAAACTCAAGTCGACTGGCCTCCTGTGCGGCGCCACCTTCGACAGCCTCATACGTGCATACTGTGGTCATACCGTCAGCAACCTGCACTGGAACCGCATAGCCTCTTCCGTTGGCAACCTCGGATAGGGTCAAGGCGGCGAGTGCTGTAGTGCTGTGGCCTAGGAGGAGCGCTGAGCATGCGTGGTCTTGAGCTTTCTGGAGGAGGAGATGGCGAATAAGTTGACGAAGAACATCAGTGCGTGATGTCAGTGTTGGTAAAGCATCGAAGAGCCTCTGAAGGCGAGCTGATGGATCCTCGCCTGGTTTGGCGGCATCAAGGGGTAGAGTCGACCAGTCGATGCTTTTGACAGAGAGGACATCCTTGAGAGGAACACACTCAAATACAGCATGAGGAAACACACGGCGGTACTCTGCCAGTAACTTTTGAGCTGGAGAGCCTCCTTCGGTGTGTGATAGCTCCGTGTCAATATGGACAACGACAGGTTCAAAGGGCGAAGACGCCTTGTTCTCTGAGTGGTGCAAAGCCTGCTCACTGAGCAGTTGTGTAAGGACACTTGATGAAGGCCCAAAGGACAGACCAGCCAGAAGCCGTCGTGTAGTGAGCTTCTTTGAGGAGCGAGTGTCTCTGTGGAGAGCACCAAGACGTCTGTTCAGCTTGTAGGCAACAAATTGAACATAGCAATCGCTGACTCATGTGTTAGTATAAAGGCCCAGAACCATAATATTTCATAAGTATCAGCAGCAACTTACCGGCATGTCGGGTCAGTACGTAGTCGATAAGGGGCATCTTCAGCCTTGCATCGCTTACAAGGCCGGCTGGTGTCCGAGGCAGGCATCGGGATGCGGAGATGGGTTACGGAGTCGGAGACGGGGTCCCGGGTGGCTGATACAGGGTAGATGCCGCACGCGGGGTTCAAATGGTAAGACGACCAGCCGGTTGTGATTATTCAAGGGGTATCAAGTTTACCAGAGGATAAAGACTTAGTTGTCGATACTGTGCAATATTTTGTTGTATGTGGATAAGTGCGTTGGGCAGCAAACATGTGTCGGAGTCAAGTTTGTGAAAAGTTGAAAATTTTGCCCCTCTGAATGGCCAATTACGAACGCAAATTAACCAAGATCAACAACAAAGTTTTGTCTCGTATGAAAAAAAATTAAAAAAATTGACACAAACTCCTAATTATAATCATGTTGCAGACTTTTGAATTGCGCCAGAAGAAGTGATTAATAGCATTTTATTTATCTTGTAGTGTTTGATCACCTTCTGCCTCAGTCCTAGCTGACGATGGGGCCACTTTCACTTACACCTAAACTCTCTGCCACGATATCGCCAATGTATGAAAGACATGTCTCAGTCATTAATTTTGCCAGATCATGACCTCGGCTTCTAAGATATAAACAAACTACCAAGAACATGCTCTTCAAAGTAACCTCGGTCCCTTCCCCATGCTTTAACCATTACTTCTTTGCCTACCCTGACGATGTCTTTCTGCTGCTTAGCATCACCCCATCCCGGTGTCTGGGATCCAAAGCAGATTAGATGTACAGCAACATGAATGATTACCCGGTAGGCGAAGTTGTCGTCCATTGCACCGTAGCCGGCAGCGAAAGCTCGGATAAGCCACTCGCTGGCATCGATGTCCTTGTACAGCTTCAGCTGCCAAAGCTCGGCGATGACTTGACCGAGATCAAGTGGCCGAACACCAAGCTGAACCATTTCCCAGTCTATAACACTCACGGGGTTTTGAGTGCTCTTGCTCATAGGAGTGTTAGGCAATATGATACTACGTAATGTTAGCTAACAATAATCACATGTTGTAACTATCAAAGCCATGGCAACTTACTTTTCAGTCCAGAAATCACCGTGAATAGGGTAAAGAGCTGATTCATCTAGAAGCTCTCTAGCCGCCAAGTCACTGACACCCTGCAAGACATCCCTTGCATCGCCAAGAATCTCCGGATGCTGATCGGCCCTCTGCAGCAACTGCTGATAGTTGACCATGTTTTTGAGACCCTGCATCTCTCTGTTCCCCGCAAGCGTCTCCCGTAGCGCAGCCTGCTTAGGTTCTTGGCTCCAGCTGTGGAACGCACGAAGCCAAGCTCCCAATCCGTGGCCGAGTTCGTCACATTGTGGCTTGAGAGATGGGGACGTGGGAGCAGCGTAGTGTCTGAGGGCGTATTCCTTAAGACTGAGAGCGTCTGGGAGATATTCTTGAACTTGAGTGTTGGTGTCACGGTTGAAGTAATATGGCTCCGGAGTTGATATCTTGCAGAATGATGTCTTCACTGGAGGCAATGTGGTGAGGTGAACCAGAGATTCGTACTCAACGGCCTGTAACATCGTTAGTCTGAGGACGACGTGTTTATGAGAAAACTGCACTCACACAGCGAGAAGCTGCAATTTTGAACGAAGGGTGTAGTGCAACATAGCCTTCGCCCTGTTTGATCACGAACCCGTTTCGATACTTTTCTTCTGTTGAGGGCTTCTCAAGAGTACCATGATACACAAAGTTGGCAGTACCGCCTGTGAGTTTGCGTAGAGTTGATGCGGCAAATGGCGTGCCTCTGAGGACTCGTCCTACCTTGAACTGTATCTCTCGTTCTGTGTTGTGTGAAGACATATTGGGCAGAAGTATATAGACCGTTGGTGGTGATGTGTTGATTGGTCCTAATCACTTGAGAAAAAGGTTGTGGCACACATTCAGTTGGAATTCTTAGCTACTTATGCCAATCGTGTGAAGACGAGATACGGTTTCTATTTCTTGATTGAATAGTTGAATATCACATTCCTACACTTGAGTACACAATAATGTCATGCAGCTAACTACTAACGTACCTTACCTAAGGTACTCCGTATTAGATCTTGCATTGGCCGATGACTCGACGTAAAAAAAAGAGTCATTAAACTAAAGCGTAACACCAATACAGATTAGGTCCCGCGAAGGGGTGACCGTATTGACGATGATTATTACTAACCATGCCATTAACTTGGCAGCATGAATTATAGTGGCCCATTCAACGAGTGTTTCGTCTAGATGAGAACCCGCCAAGTCTCTTAATTCTCCACCAGCAAGTGTCTGTTTCGGCTCGGAGCGAAGCAGGGGGAGGATTTTGGAAAAGAGAAACCTGATGCTTATTAGCATGAAACTTTTGAGATTTCGATATTTCAGCCGCTGGGCATCGACTCTTTGTTAATAATGGCTAGGGCCTGGCCCATGAAGCCTACAAGCAAGTGGACTTGTGTCGAACCGCTTTGTATCAGATTAAGCGACGTAGGCGATTGATTGACTGACCGACTGGTCTGGTCGGACTGGACCTTGTGGAAACATAATTTTTAATTATTAGTATCCGTCAATGGATATTATTAGCAACTGCTGCCGGGTTGACGCTGTTGGTTAGCAACATATGGAACTTACTTATTCAGTCATCTACGGATACTGATCTAACGTTAGATGACCCGTCCTTGGTGGAAAAGTGGCATATGCAGCCAGACAGACGCATGACATGAAAATGGCTGTGGTAATAAACTCTCCCCAACAGAAAACTGTAAATGACCTCAAACCATCAGATTCACTCACACAACACGTTCTCTTTCGTGCTCGTTTTCGGCTGCGGATTATGCGGGCGATTAAAACTCAGCCGCTTTATTTGCACAGCCTGTTTTTACTGGAAAAAGCTTGAGGTAACCACTGTCATCATCATCTTAGTTTCTAGCTGTTGTCTGTTGAACGCTGATGGAGGGGGAGGACGTCAGGCGATACGTAAGACTGATGATGATCCCCGTAGCTTGTGTAGATTAGGTTATTGAAGGGTCTCAACCATCATCTCCGCCACCTGATGTAATTCCGCTTTGGACGACAAAGATCGTCAGGTGAGAGAACCTTAACCAAAAAATGTGCCCTCCTCATTCATTCCTTGGTTTGTAGGTCACTTCCGCATGCAAAAAGGGATTGATTGATTATTTGGACCGTTTTCAAGCATGTCCATGCGTACTGGGGAGTCCGAGGTACCTATCCATGAATGTCCGTTCAGTACTCCGTATATCCAAGCTCAATTCATTCAACTTGGCCGAGATCAAACAAGACCTAACCTTTTGATTGTTGCCTTGACCGCTATTGACCAGGCACCTAAAATTGTGTCCTCAAGTCCTTTGATGCTCAAAGAGCCTTGCCGCCGCGCATTGTCTTGTTTTTGTCTGAGCGCAGCAAAGAAACATCCATCCTTTTTCTTCCATTCCATCCCATCCCTTTCACAACCGCTCCCGTGTTGCCAGTTGGTAAACCAGAAGGTCCCGTCCCAGTGATTCGATAGGACTGTCGCTTCTCACAACGCCTGAAACGCCCGGCCCCTAACACCTTAGTGAACGACCAAACCTAGGTACCTAGTACCTACTAGGTAATAGTAGCATCGGACCCCCCCAATGCCAATGCATGACACCCGCCCTGATACTTGGCATGGAACTAGAAATACCTGGACTGTCACTGTAAATTAGCGGCAGTTTCCCCTTGTTGGCCTTCGTCGCTCCTTGTACCGAAAAAGTACCGGCCCTGCAGATCTGCGACTTGGTCTTGGCCTATTGCTTAGCCCTGAGCCTCTTTAGGTGACCCATCCCCGTCATTCATCATTCATCCAATCATCTTGCAGTCCTCCTCTTGGTCCTTGGTTTTGGTTTTGGTTTTGGTTTTGGCCTGCGACGACCTGAACGTTCCGTAGCTGATCAAAACACCTTTTTCCTTTCCCTCCTCTACTTTCCATTCCCTCGCACATCTTTAGCACAAAAGCCGCAATACCATTCAATCGTCATTCAAAATCCTTCCATTTCGTCATTATCTCTCCTTCATAATACTTCCCATCTGTTCGTCTTCTTTCTCCATCGCCGTCCTCTGCTATTTTCCCCTGTCACCACATACAGACGTACATAACTCAAAGATCATATAATCACAACAATAACAACAACAATCAACCTACGGATACCGCGACAAACACTACCACCACCGCATGATCCAGACTCATCTCCTCAAGTCTCACCAGAATACACTCCGTACCGGTATCACGTCCCACCCACAACGAAACCATCATAGCGACTCCCACGACATTTTATTCTGGTACTCCCTTTCAACCGCTACGACCTGATTTCGCATCCCTGTTCGTGACACCATCATTTCAACGCACGAGCGGCCACTCATTCTCATTCACGTTCTACAACGAGACTTTTACTTGCCATCTCTCGACACCTGAACTCTTACCCCGACTGACTACTCGAATCGGTTCCTTGCGGCGCAATTCTTGAAATCGAACGCCATCTTCTCTCTTACACGCACCGTCAATGTTCGTGACATCTTCGTCGTTCTTATTCTCAAAATCGACACCATCCACCGAAATATAATTGACAATGGCCGGAACACTTGTTGAGAGGATCGTCCCTCAGACTTATACCTCCCTTGCCACCAAAATCGATAATTCCGCTCGACCTCGCAGCCAGTCTAACCTGGAAGCTGCCTTCTCCCCCGTCAACAACGACGGTTGTTTTGATTTTGATCGCGTACTGAAAAGCGGTTACGTACAGAAGCGGACACAAAAGACGAAGGTTGGTTTATGCTCTTTTCCTATCATGGGGCAGGTCTCATGGCAATTAGACATATTAATACTGACTCCCTTTTGCAGAAATGGAAACCTGTTTACCTTGTACTGCGACCGAATACTCTATCTCTGTATAAAAACGAAACCGAAGACCGACTTCGACACCAACTTTACCTCTCTGAGATCACAGCTGTTGCTGAGCTGAAGGATCCCAAGCACAAGCGTGAGAATGTTTTCGGCATATTTTCTCCTTCTCGCAACTACCATTTCCAAGCCAGCTCCGCCCAGGATGCTCGGGAATGGATGGACTTTATACGGAGAGATGCACGCATTGACGAAGAGGAGGACGAGATGTTCCTAGCTAGCCCCCGGGCCGACCAACAGCCCAACAGTGGCATCAAGCCAGTTTCCATTAACGAAAATGCGCCAAACGAACACGAGCGCTTCCTTTCCAGCTCCCCAGAACCAATGTCATCTGCTCCCAGATACGTTACTTCGGCAGGTGGCAGGAGAAGATCGTCGGTGCTAGAGTCTTCGGGAATGTCGGGTGCCGAGTTCGCATCCCACTCCGATCTTTCCGACAACGAAGCGTTCCGTCCCCAGGATTCTTCCTTTGACAGCTTGGCTGTTAAATCGCCCAGCAATGTAACTCCGGATGCGGCTCGCCCTGCAGGTCAAGGCATTCGGTCGCTGAGCCAAACAAGCGTGTCTAATGTTGAGCAGGATCCTGACCGCGTCATATGGCAAGGTCGACTCTACCTGTTGCGTCACAGACGTGGTATGCGACAGTGGAAGGATATGTGGGCCGTGCTTCGACCACGCAATCTCATTCTCTATAAGGACGAATCTGAATATACCGCACGATGGATTCTACCACTATCCGCCGTCGTCAACGTGGTCGACCTTGATCCTCTCAGCAAGAACAAGAAGCATTGTTTGCAGGTCATCACCGAGGAGAAGAGTTATCGCTTCTGTGCTCACGATGAGGAAGCCCTCGTCCGCTGCATTGGGGCTTTCAAGAGTTTACTCGCCAAACGCCGTGAACTTGAGGCTCGAGCTGCTGCCACAGCCATATGACCCTGGCACAAAACTAGGTCTCTTTGCACCTGTCCTATGGGACCCTGACGGTGCACATCACCAAAAACGAATCACGACTACCAACGCTTTCCTTTACCGTTTTGCTTTGTCTATTTTGTTTTCCATGCGCCAGCGGCCTTGCTGATTTTTCCTTGTCTTCCATTCATAAGGACTATGTTCCCTTTATAGAAGAAAGAGGAGGAAAAGCTCTTGATGAGCTATATATTTTGCTCAGCGTTTGTCCATATGGGGCGAGCTGTCTGAATTTTGTACATAAAACATGATATCCGTGGTACTTGGCACCATCCCTGCAAACTATTTCAATCCCAACATTGTCCTTGCGTTCCGACGTGAAACCAACTTAATTGCCAAACGCCTTTTCATCCTTTAATGCATTCTCAACCATAAATAACTCCAAAACAAAAACACACAACTGTCAAGACTCCGCAAATCTAATCTAACGTGCAATAACCTTGCCGTTGAGCGTCAATATCCAGCTCCAAAACCTAATACTAGAGCCAAGCTGCATTGCGGCTGAGTTGAGTGCAAGCCCACGCTCTGACATATGCACCACAGCCTTATCTCATTGCTTGACAGTTTCTGGCTTTGCCTGTTTCGCTTTCGTGAGGGCCAGAACAAGACCGTCATGGCATATCTCGGAATGGAGGTAGTTGCAAATAATGATGTAAAGTTGTGAACTGTGAAAGTGGCACCAGGTTGCTAGTTCCTCTTGATGGGATATCAGAGTCGGTATGCAGCGTGTCTCGCCGATTTGAGATGCTTGAAAAAGATCATCACATAGGGTCTTGGAGAAAGAAGGCTTCTTCGAAATCGTCACCCCCCAGGTAATTGAAGTCATCATCATCGCGGTCATTCATGAGGTCGTCAAAAGTAGGATCACCCGTTCCATCGGCAAGACCTCCTCCTGTGTCGAGACCATCGAAGATCTCGTCGTCAAACACAGAATCGATGTTGTTTGTCGACAATTCCTGTGGCATTCCCTGATTCTCTGTGCTCATTAAAGGCTCTGGCCTGGACACACTCTCAGCAGAACCGGCAGACATTTGAGGCATATCGTTTGTTTGCGAAGTGTTGTTATTGGGAAGTAGGTCGTCAAGTCCCAAGATGTTGTCGTTGCCCTCAGGAGGAGCAAACGTTGCGAGATCAAAAGATGTTTCTTGAGTGACAGATGAGTTCTGTGGGTCATTGTTCCCTGGGGCCAGAGTGAACTGCATATTTGTGAAGTTGAGTTCTGAATGAGGTGCTTCATTAGTTAGATCCATCACGTCATTGTTGTGATTATCTGCTGGCTTTTGTTCCATGATTGGCATTGGGGCCATGGATGCGGTAGCAACAGTCGACGGTGGTACGGGAGATGTGCTGGTCTTCATCCTGGATTGTTGTTCTGGAACCGTATTTGAAACAGTAGATAAGCTGGCCTCATTGTTCACTGCGTCGCTAGATTGGTCGACCTCGGGAAGTCCCATGCCCATATCAGGAAAAGGGGCGACAGGCTTATTTGCCTTGATCTCTGTCATGGGCTGGTCTTGGGGAGGCGGTGGGGGCGGTGATGATTCAAGGTCAATGACCATAGGAGATTTGGATTGAGACTCAACCGGCTGAGGCTGAGGCTGGGATTGAGGTTGAGACTGAGGCTGATTTTTCGTTTGGGGCTGATATTGACTCTGACTTTGAGATTGAGGAGGCTGAGGAAGCGCTGGAGCCCGCTGCCGTTGAATCTGCTGGCTTTGCTGGCTCTGTTGCTTCTGCTCCCGAAGCCGCTTGATATCACGCATGAGGACAGACTTGGCGTCAATCTGATATAGTGTGAGATTTGACGAAACGTGAAGACACCGTAAAGCCAGTGACTTACAATATCCGATTCTAGCTTATGCAGGGCTTCCCGGAAACCATCAATGGACTCGGGTAACTTGGACTTAAGCGTCGCCTGAGTCGCCTGTGTGTTGCCTTGAGTATCTTTGCGGGAAGCTCTAAGAGCCTTGCCTGTATGAACCAGCTAGAATTGAAGTGTAAGTGAGGTTTCTGAAATTCTAGAGGTGAGGGAGAGGGTCCTTACGACATCGTTGACCATGGTCTGTAGGACGTCCAGCGGGTCCTGGGATGATTGAGATGCCATGACTGAGGCTTATGTCAGAAGCCAAAGCAATTCGAGCCCGTCTCTAAGGGATATGAATGGTATGTCTAAGCGATTTGGAGGGGCGTTATTACCAAAACAGGCCTCGATGAACGGAGAGATGTCGTCGATGTTGAACAAAGGTCGAGAGATGGACGCTCACCCCTGGCCCCCTAGTAAAGCGCGTTTGTCCGTTGGAACGACATCACGTGCACCCACCCCCAGGTTTAGACTCACTGACCATAGGCACCTAGGTTTCAACAGTGAAGTACTGACCAGTTGAAAACGAGAAGCGAACTTTACGTGATACTGCTTCTGATCAGTGAGAATTAAAGCTCTTTAGAAATTTGACATCCTAACGTATCTATCAGTCTTCTGGTTTGCTGAGCGGTTACTAGATCTTGAGAAGGTAGGGGAAAGTCTCGGAATTCCATGATTGAGAGAGACCCAATCTTTTTCACTTACACTCTACTCCGTACTACTTAAGGACTTGAGTACGTTTACTACTACTATGTAGTACTTCTTTGTAGACCACCATAACGCCCTCTAATCATTTCTCAATTTGATCTGCGAAACTTCAACAAGTCTATTATGGCCCACTGCATGTGTGATTAAGTAGGAAGGGCCTGATATCCATTGCTTGTTAGTCTAACAAGTCCACGAAATCCCCAGCAATTTTAACGCTATTCGTACTTATTATGAGGAGAACTAGGAGCAAAAGATGATGCGCCCAAGTACTTGATATGATATTTCTAACGGTTGAAACATGCAGGAATTCACACCTTCAAAGCGTAGATGGACTAATTTCAAGGATTTCAACCGTCTCGTGTCTTAACCCAGTTCATACTGTTTAGAGCTTCTGCCCGCTCGTCCTTGGCCTGATGCTGCTTCACTTAATCTGTATCCATATTTCCCATCCCATTCCCTCTCCTCCCTGCGTTCTGACCCTTGACAGTGTGGTCAAATCAGGTGTCTAGAACTGTAAAACAGCCAATCGTTGATCAGTCCAACTGCAGGGCCTGTTGAGTAGTAACTTGTGACAGTCGGTAAAGAGAAAGCGACGTGAATGGATGGATGGGATAGGTAATATCAAGGCTGGAGCGCGCTATCTCACTGTACAACAGACTGTGCAAAGCGTCAAAGCCCCTCTATTGTCCCCTTCTCATCAGCTTCTTCTTCTTCTTCTTTTCTTATCCTCTCAAGTATTCACACAATCGTTGGAGTGGTTCTTGCAACAAGGGTTTCCTTTGGGCTTTTACGGTTCCTTTTGGCTCCTCTCTTCGATTTCCTTTTCTTTCTTCTCGCATTCTCCTCTCTCGCGCCTCTTATCTATTGAACTATTTCCTCCTGCGGATCTCTTATAACTCGTCGCATCCAGAGTTCGAGTCGTTTTCTGCCTTCTTCTATATTTACTGGGCTTTGAGTCTTTGCGGAAATACCGACCACGAGATTGCGCTGTCTTCATCCTCCCTGTTGAGCAGCCTCCATTTGCATCAAATTAACCTGCCTAGGTAGCTCACGTCTCCGACTGACTGCAAGCTCCTGCGATCACAGTTAAACCTCATATACTTCTCTACAAAGTGTTGCATAGGTAACCAAGCTGTGCGCATACCACAAATTAAAGCATACCTCTTCAGTAGGTATCTCCAGAGCTCGACCAAAACGTTGGAGTTTCCACTATAACCGTCCGACCCCAGTCTCCGTGCTTCTCGGCTTTCGTCTGGACCCCGTTGTCAGACCAGACCGTGCAGACCCCTCTCTCCCTCCCTGTGCCCACCGTGTCAGTTAGCTCCAGGTTCGACTCGTCCAGTTGGACCCCTGTCCTGTCCTGTCAAAGGCTACGAGGTACAGGTACATATTGTCACCGACCGCCGACTCTCCACCTCGACCGACCGACTACAGCACAACACAGCTCATAGGTAGCCTCCAATTCCTGTCCTACCTACCTCTGCTCTGTCGTCCATCTTCGTCCGTTCCTCGATCCTCGTTCAAGTTATCATCTACGACACGACATCATTCAACATGGCCGACGCTGGTGCTCCCTCCAACCAGGGCCAGCAGCTTCCTCAGGCTGGAGCCCCTGGCTTTGAAGCTGGCCAGAATGGTCAGCCTATGGCCCCTCCGCCTCTGCATATCCCGCAGAACAACAACCCGATCCCGACTGCAATCACCTCTCCCAGATCCGCCGACCAGGGAGGCATTATGTCGCCTACCAGCGCAGGTGGCTTCCGCCGTGCCGCCCCTGAGCCCAACAAGCGTGCCCTTTACATCGGCGGTTTGGACCAGCGTGTCACCGAGGAAGTTCTGCGTCAGATTTTCGAGACTACGGGTCATGTTCAGAATGTCAAGATCATTCCCGACAAGAATGTGAGTTTTACTCTTAGGACGCCGAAATTTCGAGCATCTGATGGGCTAATGACATGCTTGTAGGCGCGCGGCTATAACTATGGTTTCGTCGAGTATGACGATCCAGGTGCCGCCGAGCGTGCGATGCAGACCCTCAACGGACGACGAGTTCATCAGTCGGTACGCTCTCTGCATCAAGAACCCAATCACATAGCGAATCATAAATGCTAACACTAGCATAGGAAATCCGAGTCAACTGGGCCTACCAGTCCAACACGACGAACAAAGAAGATACCTCGAACCACTTCCACATTTTCGTTGGCGATTTGTCTAACGAGGTCAACGATGAAGTCCTTACCCAGGCCTTCTCCGCTTTCGGCTCCGTTTCCGAGGCCCGTGTCATGTGGGATATGAAGACTGGTCGATCTCGAGGCTATGGTTTTGTTGCTTTCCGTGACAGACCTGAGGCCGAAAAGGCCCTGAGCTCAATGGACGGCGAGTGGCTCGGTTCACGAGCTATCCGATGCAACTGGGCAAACCAGAAGGGTCAACCTTCTATGGCCCAGCAGCAGGCCATGTCGGCAATGGGCATGACCCCCACCACTCCCTTCGGACATCACCAATTCCCGTCGAATGGCGTCGCTAGTTACGAAGTTATCCTGACTCAGACCCCCAGCTGGCAGACAACTGTCTATGTTGGAAACCTTACCCCCTACACAACCCCCAACGATGTGGTGCCTCTGTTCCAAAACTTTGGCTTTGTCGTCGAGTCGCGTTTCCAAGCCGACCGAGGATTTGCTTTCATCAAGATGGACACCCACGAGAACGCAGCCATGGCTATATGCCAGATGAACGGATACAACGTCAACGGCCGACCTCTCAAGTGCAGTGTATGTTTGCCCATGAAGTGAACCCTGAATAGTGACAAGAGACGACAGCTAACGATTGCTCGCAGTGGGGCAAGGACAAGACACCTACTGGCCAAGGCGGTTTCGACCCTGTCCAGTCTTACAGCCCGCAGAGTGCCCAGGCCCCTGGCTTCCCAGGCACGCCTACCTATTATCCCCAGTACGGTGGTAAGTGCAACATAAATAGGAGTTGAGTTGAATAGTAGCTGACGGTGACGATATAGCCCAGTACGGCGGCCAACCTGGCAACTATGGCGGCCCGCAGACAGGATCACCTGCCGGCTATGCTGGATCGCCGATGGGATATGCTGCTCCTCAGAGCGCGGGTGGGTATGGCAGAGGCCAGCAGCCTCCCAATGCCGAATGGGCCCAGCATCGCCCCGGGCAGAACTTCAACAATGGATTTGGCGGTTATCAGGCCTAGGGGGCAGTGACCAAACCAGAGCAAGACAAGTCAGAGAGCTGGACAGAAGCTGGACAAATCGGTGGCATGTGCTGAGGTGTTTACCCCTGATGAGCATGCCCCAGGCTGGATCTCTCTGTGTCCGCTTTTCATAATTCCCTTTTCTTCTTTCTCACGCTTCTGTGGATTCTTCTCTTGCGCTTGCTTCTGTTGCTTCCATTACTCTTTTCTCAGTATCTCCAAGCATCATTACAGTACAGGCCTGTGATACCCCTTTTCTGTGTTCTGGGGAAAAGGGCATCCCCCCATCTTCTTTTGCTTACACTCTTCGGTGTACGCAATTATTTCTTCTCTTCTTGTTTCGTTGATAAAAGTCAGGGAGCGCTGTGTTTCTCAAAATCTCCTAAAATCTCTCAAAATCTCTCTGTATGAGCGCTGATTCCAGGATACCACCCACGTTTCACCTTGGCTTGTTGCATTGGGTCAGGGACCAGGCTGGCATTTCAGTTTTCCCTACGTGACGAAGTCATGAGCGTTTCGTTTCGTCTATTATTGTGTGCCATGCAGCATCTGATATTTCAGTGGCTGGCGAGGGGGTGGCAGTCCTATCCCATGGATTCTCATCTATGTATTTAGCGACGACTTTTTTCTTTAACGGGACTTTTCTCTCTTTCTCTTTTTTTCATTAATAATTCTTGCTTACGACATGATGGAACGACGACTTGATGACTATGTAAGATTGATGACAAAAGGTGAGAAAACCAGGAGGCTCAAGGAACGAAAGCTTGAACTGTAAGAAAGGCTACTCAAGGGGCATAATGCTGTTTTCATGGAGGTTTCTTGGGAGACAGCAATAGTTTCTACGGACAAAACACAATGAAATGGAATAAAACGCATTTCATCATGCAGTGTTACGTGCATGTCGGCCTTAATAAACCAACTGATGGCATAATGTGACACCACAATCTACTTGTTCTGCTGTGAATCGATTGACTGACAGATTTGATCTTGCGATAATGCCGGTTGCTCCATCGGGATTGGCATAGCAACAGCACTTTAGGAGTACGTGCTGATTATTTGGCACCAGTAGACCCCAGTAAAGATGCCAATATAGACCAGTGGATGAAGAGCCACGTACGATTGTCTAGCTAGCTAGCATGGCAAGCTTCATGAAACACCAGGCAAAATGAATGGAGACAGATCGTTGAGCCTGTAGGTCTGTAGGCCTGTAGACATGTACTACTAGATACGGTGAAAAGGGCCGGAAGCCGTTTGGAATGTGAAACTTGATTTTTCTTCCGTCGTGATTCCCCAAGACCCTGAAGGATAGACGTCATTTTTGGACATGGTGGATTAATTGGCTGGGGTCCATCATCAACGAGGGTTGTGGATTAGATTTGGGATAGGGATTGCGATGAGGTGGCTGGGAAGAAGCCGTGCTTGATGGTATCAGCGCAGGCAGATTGGGCAACATTAAAGTCTAGGAGTGTTATGTCCTGTCATAAGCTGACTTGGGCATTGGACTTGATGGCAATTTCCGGGGTAAGGGAGTTAGTTTGTGTGTCAGAGGAAGAGTCAGAAGCTGGACTCCGTATACTTAACAATAGAAGCAGACGATAATTACCCACCGACTTAATGCGCTGATCAGAGACAAGCATGGTTTGCTACGCTGATATTGGAGGTAAGTTCAAGAGTGACTGCGTGATAAAAGGCAAAAATATAATTAAAAATACAAGTGCATCGTAGATCGTTGTATTCCGTAGAGTGCGTGATATTGAAATGGTGTTGATTCGACGATTGATGGAGGGGGATCATCATGGTTACTTGCCTACTGAGAGCTGTGGTATACCCCCTTCAGCCCCTTGTAGGTAGCAAGCAGGGTAGGCCTGGCATGCTTGTGGGAGCAGCGCCGCAAATCTTGCTCGCACGTTTTCCCCAGGGCTCTGTTTTTTTCTTCTTTTTTGGCTTTTGGCTAGGTTTTGGGCCTTGGCTGAGCCGAGCCGAGTCAGTAGAGAAGGAAAAGGCTCTGAGTCGACATCTTGAAGTGTGACGGTAGATTATGTGTGTTATTTACTCGCCAGGAAATTCTAGAGTACTAGTTCAATGATGAAGATGCCTACGAGCATCTGTACACAAGGTTAGTAGTTAGGTGCTAAGTCATTCATAGTTGTAAGAGATTTGAAAGTTTGAACGTAGCCAGCTCGTATGTCGGCACCATTGGCCGAAAACAACAACAACATTTATTATTAGCTCGGGCTGTGATTATCTGCAGCAAAGACACGAGTTGACAGCTGCAATGTTTAATGAAGCCGCATGCGCAATGGGCTAATACTCCCAAAGTATGAATTATCACTGAGAGGATATCCAATTAATCTTGGTTGTATCCAAAAATCTGGTTCTAAATGGCTCTCAAAAACCACATAAACTGGATTGCCTCGACTAATACTGGACCTTCCTTCCTCTACTTTGCCCATCGACATTCTTATCCTACTTCTTCAGCGACAATTGATCCTCCAACACCAAATCTTTTGTCAATAATGGGTTCATACATCAATTCTTTTCCCCTGACTACTAGTTAGAACATAGTTCATACTTTTCTACTTAGTACCACTCTCTTCTCTCCCCTTCCTCACATTTCAATTTCAATTCCAATTACATTCCCACTCAACGTTTCCGTCCTCTTCCTGACCAAAACAAAACCATACCTGACTGACGTTCCTGGCCTGTCCATATCCGTTACCCATTACCCACCACCCCCAGGCCTTGGTTTTGGGCCTCCACTGACTGCCCAATCCTCCTCCCGCCCCCTCATCTCTCTCTACGGGACGGTACGTTGCCGTCTTCACCAATTCTGACAAATTTGGCGCGCAAGTTGTTGCCTCTACTTACAGCACTGCGTTACTAAAACTGTACGCTACCTTACTTGGACGGCCGGGGTTAGCCCGCATTTCCTTAGGTACAGCATTGGACCAAGTTACTGTACGCGACAAGACCCAACTCCATCCATCTCCAACTTGGGCGATTGCACAGCACCCGGCCCAACCAGCAGCCAGCCAACCAGCCAACCATCCGTTTGCTCTCTCTGTATTGGATTGTAGCTAACGTTAGCAACTAGCTACTCGACGCTACACTGCACAAACAGTCCAGAGCAGAGCCCTTTTCTCCTCTTGCTCTCATTTTTCTTACTCCCCATCCTTCATCCTTCCCCCCCGTTGCTGGGATATAATCGACCGTCGACATCATCGTCTTGGTCTACGCCCGATAACCACGCATTACGCATTACGCACCTCCTCCCGCGACGACATCGACTGCCACTAGAACAAAAACAACAACGATACCGCTGTTGACTACCGGCCGCTTCGATCTTTCCACGGCCACCACCCTGACGTTGTCGCTCCAAGCTGCTTTACACAGCTTCCATAGCAGTTGGCGCCATGGATTCTCAGTGGCAGCAATATCCCGCCGCAAACTCGCCGGGTTCATCGAGACGACAAAACAGTAATACCCAGGCCCCTCGAGACTACACCAACCAGCCCCCTCCCCAAGGCGGATACAAATACGATCAGTTCCACGGCGGCGCTCCTGTCCATTCTGCTGCTGCTCCGCCCGCTTCTGCTCCTGTTGGTAACCCCAACTCGGCCACCTCCCCAATCTCACCTTCGCAGATGCGCGACGGTAACGGCGACGTCGCTATGCACGATGCTCATGATGCCCATGCTGGTATAAAGTATCCTATGAGGCCCCATCACCAATCTCACATGTCGGGCGGCCGCTCTGTTAACCTCCACTCTCCCCAAGAGTCTTCTGCCGCTCAGCGATACTCGCCTATGGAGACAATGTCCCCCACCTCGCCTTACGCGCCCAAGTCGGCTTCCAACAGCCAATTTACCAGCCCAACCTCTCAGCGCCAGTCGCCTTCACGCCAACCCGATTATTCTCAGTCTCCCTACTTCCCCGGTGCTCGCCAACATCAGCCAGGTCAACATCTACCTCCTATCAATCCTTACGCGTCCGGTGGTCACCAAGATAACTATCCTTCCACAACTGTTGGCAACCTAGATGCCGCTTTTAACCTTGACCCGAAGTCTCCTCGTCGGCCCGTGCCCCAGCAAGTGACCAGGGGCCCAGTCCCGGAATTTAAGCAGTTGACGTCTACTGCAGAGCTGCAACCCAAGGTCAATTCGCAGCCCGCATTCCGTCGCGCCAACCCAGAGGGTGGCTTCATCAGCGTGGGTCTCCTAATTCTTGCCAATCTATCGTGAACGGCTTTGCTCACACAAAACCTACAGCCCCTTCAAGCTCTCACTGTCCAATTGCCTGCCACTTATCGTATTTGCAACCCAAGCTTCAAATATGAGTCGTCGCGCAACCCTCGTAGAGTTCTTACGAAACCTAGCAAGGGCACTAAGAATGACGGATACGATAATGAAGACAGCGACTATATCCTTTACGTGAACGACATTTTGGGATCTGAGGAAGCTGGCCACAAGTACGTCATATGAGACTCAACCGTAAAGTTGTATCACTGACCTTCAATGTAGAAATCGGTATCTTATTTTGGATGTTCTAGGTCAAGGTACTTTCGGTCAGGTTGTGAAATGTCAGAACCTCAAAACACAGGAGGTAGTCGCTGTCAAGGTCATCAAGAACCGCACTGCCTACTTTAACCAGAGTATGATGGAGGTTTCAGTCCTCGATTTGGTACGCGATTGTGAACCTTGTCTCCATTGACAAGCGCTAACGGCTGCTAGCTCAACACGAAGCTCGACAAGAACGACGACCACCACCTCCTACGTCTCAAGGATACTTTCATCCACCGTCAGCATCTTTGCCTGGTTTTTGAGCTTCTCAGCGTTAACCTTTATGAGCTTATCAAGCAGAATCAGTTCCGGGGACTGAGCACCACACTGGTGCGCGTCTTTGCCCAGCAGTTGCTCAACGGTCTCGCACTACTTAACAAGGCTCGCCTCATTCATTGCGATTTGAAGCCTGAGAACATCCTTCTGAAGAATCTCGAGAGCCCAATTATCAAGATCATCGATTTCGGTTCGGCCTGTGACGAGCGACAAACTGTCTACACCTATATCCAGTCGCGATTTTACCGTTCGCCGGAAGTTCTTCTTGGTCTTCCTTACTCGTCCGCTATCGATATGTGGTCCTTGGGCTGTATCGTGGTGGAGCTCTTCCTGGGACTTCCCTTGTTTCCAGGATCCTCCGAGTATAACCAGGTTTCACGAATCGTCGAAATGCTGGGCAACCCTCCTAACTGGATGATTGAGATGGGCAAGCAGGCGGGTGATTTTTTTGAGAAGCGACAAGATGAGTTTGGACGGCGGACCTATCAACTGAAACCAATGGAGCAATACGCTCGAGAACGCGGCACAAAGGAGCAGCCTAGCAAGAAGTACTTCCAGGCGAATACCCTTCCAGAGATCATCAAATCCTATCCCATGCCGCGGAAAAACATGAAGCAGAGCGAGATTGACAGAGGTATGTATTGATCATGTGCAGAGGTTGGAGTTCGCTAAAGTTAACGGTAATAGAAATGAACAACCGTATCGCGTTCATTGATTTTGTTCGCGGTCTTCTCACGATCAACCCTCTGGAGAGATGGTCTCCACAGCAAGCTAAGCTTCATCCGTTCATCACTCAGCAGAAGTTTACTGGCCCCTTTATACCGCCAATGAACCTCAAATCGAGCTCGTTGAACAGGTCCCCAGCCCCTGGTACCCAGCAGCAACAACAGGCTGAAGCACTCAGCAAGCAGCGGGCGCAAGCAGCACAGCAGCAGGCTGCTTCAGCCGCTCCAGGTCCTTACCCTGCGAATGCCAACCAATACGCTCAGCAAGGGGCTGCGCAACCGCAGATGTATGGCAACAATGCGATGTATTCTCCTGGTGGTAGCCACGCCAACATGCCCGCCGGCTATGGCCAACAACATGGGCAGTATGGACAGATGGTCATGTCCCAGCCGCCTCAGCAGATGCCCCAGGGCCAATATGCTCAAATGCCTCAGCCCAACTTGTATCAACATCAACAGGGAGGCATGAGACCGGTACGCCAACGTGCGTCGACGATGGAGCAGCAGCAGAGTGGTATCCCTGCTGCCATTCAACGAGTGGCTAGTCATCTCGACCCTAGCCAGCCAATTCGTCTACAACCTAGTCCGGCGTACTACCCGCCAACCGGAGAGAGCATGGCATCCGGAAGCATCGACAACCGAACGGCAGCAGGCCGAAGAGGTAGCCGTGTGCAGCAAGGTGGCCGGGGTAACAGGGATTTCATCCGCAACTTGGAGGAGCGCACTTTGGAAGAAGGTTTTATGGGAAACCAGAATACCTGGCATTGAAGTGGCCTAGCCTAACGAGGGACCAGATGTACGTGCCAACCTCTGATACGAGCGCCTTCACTCGATGAACGAAGACCTGCCGCCGCCATTTCTTCTCAAGAGCAGCACGATAGCATCTGCTCATGGTTGGTAAAAAGCAAAGCTCCGTTGTGGTTCTAATAAGCTAGGAGCTCGTTCCTCCCTCCGACAATCAACTGTTATATCGACTTGATCTCCTCCCTTGAGGTGGTTTGATCGAACCGGTGCTAAGACAGGGGGCTTGCTGACGGCCTGAATAAAAACACCAGCGTCAAGAACGCACTTACGGGACTCGAAACAACGGGTCCGATGTACCTCATAGCGAGCTTCCAGTATTCGGTACGGGGCGGACTGGGTCTTATCGTGCGAATACATGATGAGACCAATGGTATTCTTTTTCATGATTTCTTTGATTCGATACGATGGAGGTACGCCTCAGAAACGGCCGCTGGATCACTGGGTTTGGTCATGAGTGGTGGCTTGCTTTTTCTTTTTTTGTTACTCTTGTCAGTATAGTACTAGGTGGGACGGAATCGTTGGTCAGGAATTCAACGCGGTACAGAGTTGTCATACTCTGGCAGAACATGGAACATGGTACTTACCTAGGTACTATGCAGCCTGGCCGTAGATATTGCTATCCCGGCCACGAGGTTTGGTGTATGAGGATGAACCGCACTTGGCATATCATGGGGGTAAAGTTTTTGGGTTGCGATTCCCATCGTGTAGTTGCATTGGTGTCATTTGTTTTTGGGGGCTTTCACAGGGATTCAATCTGGGGGGGATGAATCGAGGTATAAAATTTCATTGATTACCCCTTACGCGGAACAATCGCTTCATTTTCGTCTCGGAATGTTGGTTCTACTATGTAGACATGGACCGTGACAGTGAAGTGTTGCGGGACGTCTGTCAGTGGCACCCACCCCATCCCATCAGTTGTAAAAATCCATCATGACGGTGCTTGGCAGACACAAAAAGCTTGACTCCCAAACACCCGACCCAAAAAAAGATGAGACTTGCGACAGCTTTCTCGCTGCTTCCCAAAAGGTAACCCGGCCTCTTCTGTGTTGAACACACCACCAAATCTTTAGAGCGCTCTCTCAAAAATACAAAAAAAAATACAAGACAATTAGGGAGACCATAAATCGAGCAGAAGAAAAGGCGAAAAGCCAAGATAATTCACGATAAATCATCGCCCACCACGAGCCCTTTGGCCGCCTCGGCCTCTTCGGTTGCCGCCAACAAGTTTGTCGCTATACAGTTGGTTGCTCCTCGATGATCCGTTTGTGGCAGGCGTGTCCATTAGATCAGGGAAACCCATGGAACCATCAACAACATTACTATTGGTGTTGTACCTGTTCACACGGGTGCTTCGGGGACCACTTGGGGCGTTGTTGGGAGCATTGTTGGGAGCGTTATTAGAAGGAGTGCTGGTTGAAGGCGCTCCGAGCTTGGGATAGACTTTGATAATTCTACCATCGGCCTGGAAGCTTGTTAGCAAAGATCGTAGGATCCGATTGATATCGGTACACTGACAGTCTTATCATTAAATGTCTCAATGACCCGTTCACCACCCTCACGCGAAGCGAAAGCCATCTCAAAGATAAGAATAGGCTTTGACTTAACAATGCGACAGCTAACAATCTCACCGCCAATGGGAGTCATGGCGCTCTCGATATCAGCAGGTGTAGTGCCAGGGGCGAAGTTCTGTGCCATAATAGTGAATGGTCCTGCAAGACCTCGAATAGTCATGCCCAAAGAATTGTCGTTGGAAGCTTTCCCCTTTGGCTTGACAATATTGACTTGCTGAGGCGCATCGACCGAGGTGTCCATGCGATCGACGGCAGCGAAAAGACGGGCAACACGGCGGTTGTTGGCTCTCTTGTTAGCAGCATTGGGAGCTGAGATGCGGGCACTCAGGTCGCCCGAGATAGAGTGGTGTAAATCGTGAGTCCATTCGCCGTTGACATTTCCGGGAGCCGGTTGATTGGACCGGAGGCCGACGTTGGAGTTGCGTTGCTGTATGTGTTGGTTTTAACGATTCTCTTTGTGTACTTTGGTGTATCTACCTTCTTGACGCCGACGCGGCTTGCGAGCGAAGGGCCAGGCGTAGCCTTGAGCTTGGAGGGAGCGCTCTGTCGACGGTTCTTGGAGAAGATGCGATCGGCAAGCGCTTCGTTCTTCTTTCGCTCGCGACCTTGGAGAGAGGAGAATGTTAGGGGAATCGTAGACGGAGGAGAGTCTGGTAGATGCTGCTTACCCTCTTGAATAATCTTTTCGAAATCTGTAGCGACCTTGGCCATGATTGAAGATGCGGTTCCGGCGTGGAATCTGTATTTGGCAAATTAAGTGAGAATTAAATGATGTTCTTGCGAGCTAGAATAAATAAAGTATGGTGACTAAAGAGAAGAATATTTGGCCTCTTGTTTTGTCTTGTCCCTTAAAAGGCTAAAGAAAAGAAACGTTGACTGGACTGGATTGGACTGCGACCGCGAAGCGCGTCTCCAATTGGAGTTGAGAGTTCTTTAGCGGAATGCAGGGGAAGGGGCGTGGCTTTAAGAGTCCCGTTGGGGACGGCCCCTCGCTGATAAGATAGGAACATTTTTGATGTGGAGGGCCTAACTAGAAGTTCGAAACTTCGCCATTGTTTTTGATCGACAGCTTTTCTTCAATTGGGGTGCGACTTAACCGGCATTTTTCACGATGGCCGATAAGTTGTTATACGGTGGCGTATGCCTACGGAGAGCTTTGCAGCTCGTGCCACGGCAGAGACTATCAATCAGGCCGGCTTTTATTACCCAAGCTCGACCTTTTCAACAATCGCATCTGGTATTCAACTCGACGACCACAGCTACGCCAATTATGGAGACGACGACGACTCTGGCTGCACCGACGACGTCTGAGCCTCCCACCCCTGACCCCTTAGAAACTAAACCTTCGGCAAACCAGGACGCCCCCCAAAGTCTTGATATTGTGTCTGGATCGGTCGACCAATCTGTCGCGGCAAAGAAGGAAACTCTCAGGATGGAACGAGTAGTCAAGAAGGAGTTGAAATACCTGAGTGACGATCCTTGGAAAGTTACGGAATACGTCAAGGGGGCACTAGAAAAAGGAAAATTCGAAGAGGCCTACCTTCTCGTGCAAAAAGGCAGCAAGGAGATGCAGTTGGTGGTGCCATGGAATTACTTGTTGAACCACCTGCTCAATAACCAGCAATCGACCAGAGCGATCAAGATGTTCAATGAAGTAAGCACGGTAGTCAATATTCTGGCTTAGCATAGATGCTAATATGATCACAGATGAAAAAGCGTGCGCAATTTCCCAACGCCGCGACATATACGATCTTGTTCCGTGGTCTCACCAAGTCGGAACACCCTAAACTTGCAGTCGCCGAGGCAGTGAAGCACTACCATACCCTTCTGAAGGACCCCCGTATTGAGGCAAACATCACACACCTAAATGCAGTGCTCAATGTGTGCAACCGAGCAAACGATCTAGATTCCATGTTTGCTCTTCTCGACACTGTCAATGAATCGACGCGCGCTCCTACTTGCTACACTTATACGACCATTCTAGACGCTTTGCGACATAACACCCTTGGCGACATTAAGGACTTAACGCAGGAGCAGAAGGAGTTCAATTTTAATAGCACTATCAAGCGGGGAAGAGCCATCTGGGAAGAGGTCATTAGCAAATGGCGGAAAGGTCGGTTGGTTATTGACGAGGACCTTGTCTGCTGCATGGGTCGCATGTTGCTCTTGTCCCCAAACCGAGAGGAAAAGAAGGAAATTCTCGATCTTGTTGAACAGACAATGAACATACCAAATTTGGCCAAGGTCCAGGAAGCCTCAGCCGAGGAGGCTCGCAAGAAGAACCCTCGCACAGGTGAAGTGGCCAAAAAGGACGGGTATGGCCTCTTTGTCACTCCTGCCAACAACACCCTATCTTTACTGCTGAACGTTGTATTCCAGACGAGAATGAGCAGCCTTGGCATCAAGTACTGGAACTTTCTTGTCCGCGAATACGGCCTCGAACCTGATATGGGCTGCTGGTTGCGCCTCTTTGGTTTACTCAAGCTAGCTAAAGCAAGTGCTCATGCCACTGAGATTCTCAGTATCGTTCCGACAGATGTCATCAATCCACGCATCTACCACATGGCCATGGAGACCTGCGACCGTGACAACATCAACCATAACGTTCTCAAGCATGCTGATCGCGCCCTCGACAGCATGGTGGAGCGTCTTGAAGTCCCTGACGCTCTTACCATGCGGCTCTACCTTAACGTCGCCCAGAACCATCACTATCACCTTCGCGCCCGTGCGAACGAAGGCAATGTGGCTGGTGCCAAGCGCGACTACGGTATTCAGATCACCAATGCGCTTGATCGTTTGTGGGTTCCCTACCGCAGACTGCATGATCACCTCTTCAAAGATGTCAAGGCCAAGACAGCGGAAGGGAAACCGAAGTTTTATAACGAGCAACGCGAGGCCATCGCGCTCGCGCGTATCATGTATGGGTCCTTCAACAAGGTTCTCCAGCAGGAGATGCTCCCGGAGGAAGATCTTGAGAGGATCCGCCCAATTGGTGGTCGTATCAACCGCGAGATCCAGGCCTTCTTCGCCAACCGCGAGGATACGGAGCCCAACCTTCGCAAGACTCTAGGCCGTGGTAGGGCTGATGAGGATATGATGGAATACAACGAGGGGATGGGATCCTTCTGGGATACTACTCAGGCAGGAAAGCCGTCGAGATACAACGAAGGCTATGGATCGCGGACCGATGGTCGGACCCGAGTTCGTGACGACGACCGCAGAAGTGACAACAGGCCCTGGCGCAACGATAGCCGACGCAACAATTATGGCCGCGATAACGAGGACAGAACCGATAGGCGTCGCGCTGAGTCTAATGAGTCTGGCATTCCCAGATATCGAGCTGACAGGCGCGCCAGTGTACCCTGGGAAGCTATCAAACCCGAACGGACCCCCAGGCGTGAAAACAGGAATTACGATAGGGGGCATTCCTGAGGACGTGGTGGTACTGCACTTGTCAACGAACCCCGATATGATTGTTTGGCCGAGCTGTTGAATTAGTCAAATGTTGGTCTGACATGTACTATTGGTGTAAAACAAAAATGATGTTTGTACGATATTTGGATGCAAATGATGGACGGATAGCATGGTGTATAAAATGGCGTTTCTGTGGGCAACGGTAGCTTGTTGAATTCAAAATCTCTATCCTCCTACCTAGTCACTTCGCATCAAAAGTTGAAGTTTCAGGCCAGGACTCTGATATATCAGCACCGTCATGCCACGATCGGTATATTAAAACTATCATCGTAACATTAGTACGTGGATATAAGATTGTTAGTCTCACATCAGTCATTTACTCTTATGTGACAAGTGAAAGACTTTATACAATACTTTAAAGGCAATCTTTAATCATAAGATATTTTATATGACGTTTTGTTGTACAATGTTAGACCTTTGACTGGTGATTGTAACATCGAGTAGGTTCTTGGTCCCATTGGCCCATGATTCAGTAAATTACAAAATGTAAGGATGGAAGCTCTGCATTCTTATTACTGTATCGATTTTCTACCTACTCTAGTCTCGACTGAGGATGGAACCGTAACCTCTGCTGTAAGTAAAAGATCTCTTCGTCCAATACCAAGACCAGTAATTAACTTATTTGGGAAGCCCTATCGATGCAGCAAACTGGCCTCGTGATCGCCGTAACAACCTCAATGAAGCCCATAGCGGCATGACCCATTACTCATTCAGCCGCTACTGAATATATTAAAGTGCTGTCTAGACTAGAGTATCGGTCCGAAAGCTGCAGTCGAGGAGCTGGTTTTGCTATGGGTTGTGCCGTGGCGAAGACGAGGCATTCTTCTTCAGACAGAGCCGGCTTTTCGAGCACACTTGGGGGCAACTGGATAGTTGTGATAGAGGTAGACCGCGACAGTGACTCCTGGTCCGTGCTTTGCTTAACGTCTTCGACACTCGAAGGCTTGTCGGGAGCAGAAGCATGATGATTTGAAGCACAAAGAGGGCCATCTCTGGGCTCGCACCCGTAGCGAAGAGGTCCGCTATTCTTAATGCGAGAGATCATGTCATGATATGGCGACGACCTACTTCCCCCCTTTTCCTCCGTTCAAGTGAGTTTGGAATAGCAACTGACGAGGATTTGGGCCGAGAAGTATATGACTGTGCCAGTATTCTTGGTTGAATAGGCTCACGCTGGCATGTGTCGGTCTTTGAGAGATGACATAAGGATGTGTGTTTAACATCAAAATCATCCGATGGCTTCTCTATACAGGCTCGTAAAGTCGATGATCTTTCCAGGTTGCAGTCGGACAGGTCGGGAAGAGGACCAAGCTGAGGTGGATTTTTCTCGATCAAGGGCATAGGCAGCTCTGGTTCTGAGTTATGCGCTGTTGTTCGGGATGACTCAGTATCGGCGACGCGAGACCCGTATGGCATTGTCGTATAGTTACTCGACGAAGAGCTTCCCTGACGAGTCCACCTTTCTTTGGCATAGTAATATGCATCGCTGAGATCATCATTGCGATGAGAACAGTCTGCAGCTGGAACAGCGTAAGAGATCATCAATGCATTTAGAGAGGGGAATGATGAATCTGCTGACCTGTTTTGAGGAGATTTGGAACTCCCGCGATGCTACAAATGGCCAAGGATTTCAAGCTTGTAGAAGTTGAGGTAGTCTTTTGCCGTTTCGGCATCAACCAACGCGCAATATGGGAAGACGATGAATTCTGAGATGGCGACCTCCCGCGATTGGCGTTTGAAGATATGTCATTACCTTTCCTGTTGTCATTGCCGCCAAGTTCCTCAGGTTTGTCGACACGAGCTCTGCGGCGACTGAGTGGCAGTCTCTAGCTGCTAGATTTGATATGAGACCCAGACTCAGATGACCCGGGAGACGCAGACGACGTAGGCGACACAGGCAGAGCGTCGAAGCTTCTCTTCAGTTTCGCCCGCCAGGCATTGAAGATGCTACTGGGCATGATGTAAGTATGGCTACGGCAGTGGGTTATGGATAATGTGGGGAGAAAGAGCCGTCTATCATCAATTGGGTGTTTGATGTGAGTCGAACGAAGGTGTGAACTATAGGATGAACAAAAAAGGTTGAAGCTCTTGTGGTTGTGACAGCAGAAGGAGCGTTTTGACTCCGTATTCCATGATTAACTGTCACGATAGGCAGCACTTTCCAATGTGAAGGGAACCACAGGAGTAGTTGCGCCCCAGAGGCATATGATACCGTTGCTGAAAATAGGTAGACTAAAATACATTAACACTTGATTTTTGAGAGAAACTGAGCGGTAGGTTGATCAGGCTCTCATTAATATCTGACTGTGCAAGACAGCACAGAGAAGTGGGTGTTGTTAGTGACTCTCAGGCATCGCACTACTAACATTAATTAGGCCGCGTAAAGTGAAATGTCGCGTCTTGGTGGGGAAGATACTAACCCATTTCGGCACTAGCATTTTTATGCAAGAGCCCTTTATGCATTGCAAAGTACCTACAGCGCGAAGGTACTTCAGCGTCTTCCAACACCTATCTCGCAGCACCCATTGGCTGTTTTCGCGACAAGGCACTTTAGGTGTGGCCCCGCCGTTGACACGGGGAAACACGACAGACAACGCGCCCTTGACGCGTCTGCCCTGACCACTTTTCTAAATGAGCAACGCTGGTTACCGGGGGACCAAGTACAGTCCCCTCCATCAACTCCAATCTCGAAATTGACATCTACATACACTACGCCCCATCTCAAAGAGCAAGATAAACGTCAAACAGCAGATTAAAGCCTCGAACCTCCTTCAATTATCTCCTTGATATGCCATCGGCTTAAACACCACTCTCGTCATGTCTCACAGGGCTCGGCTCGCTGAGCTCAAAGCCCTTCGCGAGTCCGGCAAGAAAGCCTTCGATACCTACAAAGTCGCCGATGTCGACAATCTATACGACGAAGTTGACGAAGATGGATATAAGAAGGTTGTTAGAGAACGATTAAACCAGGACGACTTTGTGGTCGACGACAATGGCGAAGGTTACGCAGATGACGGCCGTGAAGACTGGGATCAAGTGCAAGCCTATGATTCCCAAAGCGAAGAAGAGGCCGCCGTTCGTGGGCGACCCAGCAAGACTGGTCAGTCCAACTAGAAACTATATCCTATAGTACCTCTCGCATACTTACTAGCAGTATAGTCAAGAAGAACCGCCAGGAGGAGCAAGCCAAACGAGATGCCAACGATCAAGATATCAGCGAATTCTTTAAGGATGTCAGCAGGAAACAGTCAAAGCCCAAGGTACATAGTTTTGCTCACAAGGTCTTAGAGTATTGGTCTAACTGTGATTGCAGGTTGTCAAGACAAAGGCGGATGACGACTTTCTTTCAAATCTACTCGGCGAGGTCGACAGCAACATTCCAGCACCTGCTCCTCATATTTCCAGAGTCGAGAGATCTGGCGGCCGTCGCAAAGCAAGGGCACTTTCGCCTGCCCCTGAGCCCATTCCCAAGAAGAAGAAGACCTTTGATACCCGGATGTCATCCCCTCCGGTGCCCGCTGTAAACGACGATGATGGCTTCTTCCCTCCCGGCGATGATGATCTCTTGGAAACTGCCGATATACCCATGAGCGACCCTGCGCCCTCTTCACCCGCTGCAAAAGTCGCACAGAGAAAGGCCCAGGTGAAGCAAGAGCCAAACGAGGATGATGACGAAGACATGATGGAGGTTGCCCACGCCGGCGCAATCGCTACGGCCAGTGTCAATCTGGCGAGTTCACGGCCGATCAAGAAGATTCTAAAAGCAGAATCGATTCCTAAACCCGCAAGCTCCTCTCCTGTCAAGGCCAATGGTGCTCAAGTCGACTCCACCTCATGGAATGCTCTTACCGAGAGATTGAATGTTGTCTCAAGCTCCCCGTCAGAAGCAAAGACTATTGGCAAGATTGACTACAAGGATGCCATTGAAGAAGACGGTAGCTTGAACTTTTTCTGGACAGATTACACCGAGGTCAACGGCAACCTCTGTCTATTCGGCAAAGTTCTTAACAAGAAGACAAGGTCGTACGTGAGCTGCTTTGTCAAAGTCGATAACATCTTGAGGAAACTATACTTCTTGCCTCGCCAGCATCGCCTAGAAGATGGTGAGGAGACAGGTGAAGAGGTTGAGATGATGCACGTTTATGACGAAATCGATACGTTGATGACCAAGATGAACGTGGGCATGTACAAGATCAAGGCTTGTACGAGAAAATATGCCTTCGAACTTCGCGATGTTCCCAAAGAAGCCCAATACATGAAGCTGCTGTACCCCTATACTAGTGAGCCTCAACTTTCGCTAGAAGTCGCTTTGAGTTAGCTAACATCTATTTTAGAACCAGAAGTCAACCCTGACAGACGCGGCGAGACCTATTCTCATGTCTTTGGCAGCAACACTGCTCTCTTTGAGCAATTTGTTCTCTGGAAGAACATCATGGGCCCCTGTTGGCTCAAAATCGAGGATGCCGACTTCGACAAGCTCAAGAACGCCTCCCACTGCAAACTCGAGGTCCTGGCTGACCACCCCAACATGGTATCCGTGCTGAGCGAATCCGACAACCTTGATGCACCCCCCCTGACTCTTATGAGCGTCTCACTACGGACTGCTTTCAACGAAAAGGACAACAAGCAAGAGATTCTCGCCATCAGTGCAAGAATATACGAGAAGGTATCCCTCAGCGACACCACACCTGCGGAGAAACTACCGTGCCGAACTTTCACTGTTATCCGCCCATGTGGCCAAGCGTTCCCTATGGGCTTTGACCAAATTGCAAAGAAGAGAAACCGTGGCTTAATTGTTTTGAAGAAGCAAGAAGCCGATATTCTCGCTTTCTTTTTGGCTCAGGTTGACGTTGCAGACCCAGATGTAATTCTTGGGCATCAGTTGGAGGGCGTGGACTACAGTGTGCTTCTCAACCGTCTTCATGAGAAGAAGATTCCTGGATGGTCCAGGTTAGGCAGGCTCCGCCGTACACAGTGGCCAGCCTCTATTGGAAAGGCAGGTGGCAATGTTTTTGCTGAGCGCCAGATTCTCTCGGGGCGTCTCATGTGTGATCTTGCCAATGATGCCGGAAAGTCGGTTATGCTGAAGTGTCAGTCGTGGAGTCTGACAGAGATGTGCAGCCTATACCTTTCAGGAGACAATCGACGCCGTGAATTTGACAATGAAGTTGCTCTGAAGACTTGGACCAAGGAGAAACAAGGCCTTCTAGACTACATCACTCATATGGAGGCAGATACATACTACATTGCAGCCCTGGCGCTAGGTGTGCAGATGTTGCCTTTGACCAAGGTTCTCACCAACTTGGCAGGAAACTCATGGGCTCGAACTTTGACCGGAACTCGTGCAGAACGTAACGAATACATTCTACTCCATGAGTTCTACCGCAAAAAGTACATCTGTCCCGACAAGCAGACTTTCCGCAGCCGCCAACGTGCCGAAGAAGCACAACGCGAGGAGGACGGAGTTGAAGGAAAGAAGAAAGACAAGTACAAGGGTGGTCTGGTCTTTGAGCCAGAGAAAGGTCTATACGACAAGTTCGTGCTTGTCATGGACTTCAACTCTCTTTACCCGTCCATTATCCAAGAGTTTAACATTTGTTTCACGACCGTGGACAGGCCAGCGGTGGTAAGTTTCCTAAACATGTTAGGGTCAAGTCACAGACTAACCATACTTGCAGAAGGATGATGAGGACGAAGTCCCTGAGGTGCCTACGCAACAAGATCAGGGTATCCTTCCCATGCTCATCGCCACTCTAGTCAGTCGCCGTAAACAAGTCAAGAATCTCATGAAGGACAAGAAGGCGACACCGGAAGAACTGGCCACGTGGGACATCAAGCAGCTTGCCCTGAAGCTGACTGCCAACTCTATGTATGGATGTTTGGGTTACACCAAGTCACGATTTTACGCTCGACCTTTGGCCGTCTTGACAACTTTTAAGGGTCGTGAGATTCTTCGCAGCACCAAGGAGCTCGCCGAGAGCAATTCTCTGCAAGTTATCTATGGAGATACTGACTCGGTCATGATAAACGCCAACGTGGACAATGTTGCCGACGCATTCAAGGTTGGCCACACTTTCAAGGAAGCCGTCAACAAGCAATACAATCTGCTTGAGATTGATATCGACAACGTCTTCCGTCGCATATTGCTCCAGGCCAAGAAGAAGTACGCTGCCATCAACCTCGTAGAGAAGGACGGGAAGTTTATTGAGAAGATGGAAGTCAAGGGTCTCGATATGAAGCGTCGAGAATACTGTGCCCTATCCAAGGAGATCTCCCAGCACCTTCTGAACGAGATTCTATCTGGTGATGACACCGAGGTCTCCATCGCCAGAATCCATGAATACCTGAGCGAGATTGCTGGCAAAATGCGAGAGCAGAGTATTCCTGTCCATAAATACATCATCCATACACAACTTGGAAAGGCGCCCAAGGATTACCCCGATTCCAACTCTATGCCCCAGGTTCAAGTCGCTCTTCGTGAGATGGCAAAGGGCAAGACAGTTCGCAAGGGTGATGTTATTGCGTACGTGATCACAGGTGACAGTAAGAGCTCCGAGCCTGCTCCCAAGCGAGCCTATACTCCCGGCGACCTCAAGGCAGACTTTAGTCTACTCCCTGACGTGGAGTGGTACATCGGCAAGCAGATTTTCCCGCCTGTTGAGCGTCTCTGTGCAAACATCGTTGGTACATCGACCGCACAGCTGGCGGAGCACCTTGGTCTTGACATCAAACGTTACAGTTCGTTCCAGACGCAGCAGAACAGCTCCAGCAATGACCTTGAGATACATCCCTTAGACTCTCAGATTCCCGACGACGTTCGCTTTGGTGATTGTGCTCGCCTATCTCTACGTTGCCGAAAGTGCAAGACATCATTCGCATTTGAAGGGCTTGCTGCCTCCTCTGATCAAGTGTCCCAATCGGGTGTCAACTGCAGCTCTTGTGGTACTTATATATCTACGCTCTCTATCGTTGCCCAGATGGAGCAGGCTATACGTACTCAGACAAGCCGATATTACGAGGGCTGGCTGGTCTGCGACGATAGCCAATGCGGTAACCGTACCCGTCAAATGAGTGTCTACGGCTCTCGTTGCCTTGGACCTAAGGGACTTGCACGGGACTGCCTTGGTCGAATGCGCTACGAATATACCGAAAAGGCAATCTATACCCAGCTTCTCTATTTCGCCAGCCTCTGGGATGTAGACAAGGCAAAGACCAAGGCCACGGCCACCGAAATGTCTAGGCAAGACCGGGAAAACATACTGGCACTAGCTGAACACAATCGCGTGCGCTTCGGAAATGTCAAGGGCGTTGTTGACAAATATCTCGATAAGTGCGGACGACAATGGGTAGCCATGGATACTCTATTCACCAAGTTGGGTTTCAAGCCTATGGCATAGGATGGTGTTGAGGCTCGAAAGCATGTGTATGAGTGCGTTGAGAAGTTGGAAATGGGCAACAGGCATCAGGTATCAGGGATGGTGGCGTCTTGAGCGTGTAATGTATGTATGAGAGTGAGTTTCGTGTGAGAAGAGCATGGGGTTAGCAGTTCTCAAACCAGTCTATAATGAAGGAAGGGCTTGGACAAGCGGAAGAGCGAGTCTCAACGGCGTTTTGGGCGTTCTAAGGAAAGCAGGGCACGATCATATTCCTTCATAGTTCAACAACATAAAGTAGATAGCAATGAATATCAATGGAGGCAGAAGTTTCGACATACATCATGGCCAGAGAACTCCGTGAGCATTCATTCACAAATAACTAAGATTTCACATGTTAGGCACAAAGAGTTTTGAACATATATGTAAAAGTTTTCCTGCCACTAGTCCATTCTCCTTAAAAATTAGATGATATACAGCACGACCATCGTTAAGACCCCTTCATCGAAGCTCGATCAGGCCGAACGCCCCTATACATGACACCAAGTGACAGAGTCGCTATTGACCCCGCCCTCCTTCTTGGTACACAGATGCATATGCCCAGGGGGCGAAGTAAAAGAGAGTCCTGTCGTCATCATCAATCATGGTCTTGTTTTGTGAATCCTTTCCTGTCTCATCATGACCGGCATCGTCAAATGGTGCCATCTACGGCCAGCGATAGGACGTAAGCATCGCCATAAGCTGTCCACCTGAACGACCAGGCTGAAACGGGGCAGAATACACCGAATGAATCCTTTCCATTCCATTCCACTCCTTCCTTTCGTCTCGTTCTGGCTCATTGATTCCGCATAAAATTCAACCGCATATTCCTTAACACCACCTCCACCACCTGTCTCTGAATCGTATGTATAAGATAGTTACGGGATGACCACCGTGACGCCCCGTACCATCAATACCTCCCCTCTTCTTCGTAAGCCACTCATGAAGATATAACAACCAGCGACATGCTGGCAAGTGACAACGTTAAGATCATCTTGAGCCCTTGAACCGAAATCCTCCACAAGATTAAAGAACTGTAACACACTCGAAGCGTGCTCAGAAAGGGGCTGAGGTAGGTGGCAATGAGCGAAAGGATGAAAGAATCCCCCCAATCCGAAACGAGGCTGGCCTCTCACGGTGGGAGGTGTCATATCCGTCTGTCTATGGGCAAGGTATCATGAGTTCTGGAAATAAAAAACTGTGATCAACTTTTGTGACACGTCTGGTGAAAAAGCCTGTAAATGCAAGAAAACACAACCCCGCCTAGTCTATTCTGCCGAAATGCAAGACACCGAAGGAAGAAGAATACTTTTACTCGCTCTCTTTCTTGTCACTGTCAGCAGTGACAGCCTTCGACATCGCAGGGGAGGCAGAAGTAGACGGAGGGGAAGCTGGGTGATCGCTATCCATGTTGGCAAGGAGGCTAGAAATTAAATGTTAGCTGACAGGACTTTGACAGAAGCAAGAGGGATGGATCTTACCTGAATGCGTTAGAGTGAGAAGTGTTCTCTCGGGTAGTGGGCGTGCCACTTCGTGAAGAGGCAGTAGAATCCTCACGAGGACCCAGAAAGCCGCCAGGCATAGGTCCACGTCTTCCGCTGTTGCTGCGAGAAGACAACATGGAAGCGGGGCCCAGAGAGATGTTACCGCTTGAGGTTCGGTTGGCAGAACCCTTCAGGCGGCGCAGATCGTCCATACCAACCTGGTTGCTGTTCTGCTGGACGTAACCTCCAGAGAAGTTGCGAGCATCACCACGCCCAGCAGGAGGGCGACCGCCACCTCGCTGGTTGCTGCGAGCAGACTCCTGAGCCTTGGCAGCCTGAGCAGCCTCGGCTTCGGCTCGAACCTCATCGAGAGTCTTGGGTCCCTTGTTGGTTTCCTTGGAAACCCAGTTGGCCCGGCGAAGATCCATAACATCCAGCAGCATGAACTGGAGTCGGCTGGGAAGTTCGGGGAGATCCATCATGGTCTGGATACGGTGGAAGTAGGCGTCCATCATGGGGCGACCCTTCTCGGTACTATCGAGGTTCGCACCGATGGTCCGGAGCAGCTTGCTGAGCGACTCAATTTCAGCCTCATCGGGAACTCCCTTATAGTCGACGAGTTTCTGCACACACTCGTGCATGATACGCTCAGTAAGCATGCCGAGCTTGTACAGCTCACCGATAAACTGAACAAGACCGAGACCACGTCGCTTGGCAGCGGCAGCAGCGTAGTACTCATCTGACAAGAGCGCAGCCTCGCCAGTCTTCTTGCCGTCGTCCTTCTCGTCGGGCTTGTCGGGTAGGTTAACAGCCCAACCACGCTCGAACTCTTCTTGACATCTGTTAAGAAGATACTTGCGGAACAAGTTGCCGCCGCTGACGATCTGGCCATTTCTGTCCTTGATACGATCATCGCGGACCTCAGGGCTCATGGTCTCGAGCATACGTTTGCAGAACTTGGCATACATAGAAGCCCAATGAGCCTCATCGGTGGCCTTCTCGAATGTGAGTTGAATGACTTGTCGAAGAGTGCGACCATCGGTTTCCTCCTTGGATTGCGAGGCAATGAGCAAGATTTGATCTGCAATCTTGTCAAACTTTTCGGGCGTCATCTTGTTGAGCGCAGCCTTGACCTTTCGTTGAACCATTTCAGGCTCAAGAAGACCAGAGGCAGTAGCAGCACTAGGTGCCGAGGGGCCCTTGCCGATACTCGTAGGCTTCCATCCATTTTGAGTTATGGCAATAGGCTTGAGCTCTTGGCCAGCAGTCAGAGGCATGGTCTTAGCAGCCTGAGCATCCTTGGCTTGATCACCTCCACGACGAGAACCGCGAGCGTTGCGGTTAGAACCACGGCTCGGAGAGTTGAACGAAGCATTGTTTCGTGAGCCTCCAGTAGGGAAACCACTGCCGGTGCGGGGCATGGAGATTCCACCTCGAGGGTTGGTGGACAGCTTGAAGCGCTCGTCGGAGCTAGTGCCAGGACCAACGGGTGCACGAGAAGTAGGGGCCTGGAAAACGCCCATACCGAAGCCAGGACCGCCAGCCATACCTCCTCCAGTGTTGCGACCAGAGGGGTTTCGACCAGAGCCACCAGGAGTGTTGGTCCTGGAACGCTCATCGCCGATGAGAGACTTGACTTGATTATGGAACTCGAGAGAAGGCTGTTCGGTGAAGACCTTCTGAAACTGCAACAAGAAGTTGGCATCGTACTTGAAGGTCTTGCCCTTCTTTTGGACCGCCGCGTTAAGAGCAGGGTTGGGTGACTTGATGCCTTCAGGATAAATGTCCTGCTCGATGACCTTTAGGAAACGAGCTGACTTGAGCGACTGAAGAGCAGCGCTGGGCTGGGCAGGCTCTACAGGCTTGGTGCTGAGAGGTGCTAGGTTGAGAGCGGCAGGCTTTGTCATGCGCTTCTCGAGCTTGGGTCCGGCAGATTCAGCAGTCTTGTCACCGATGTTCATGCCAGCAAGCTTGTCTGTGACAGACTCGACCTTGGAAGACTCTGGAGTCTCGCCGCTTCGTGCCTTGGAAAGGAGCTCGGCGATCGAAGGGGCAGGGGCTCCAGATGCCTCAGCCTGTTGGCGTCGCTTCTCCTTCTCTTCCTCGAGACGCTCCATCTCTCGCTCCTGTTCTCGGAGCTTTTGGTCGGCTTCAGCAGCATTCTTGACCGCATCCTTATCAGCCTGAGCCTTGGCAGCAGCCTTCTCAGCCTCGCGCTTCTTGCGGTGCTCTTCTTCGGCCTTCTCACGGCGAGCGTCTTCCTCTTCCATCTCACGGATCATGCGTTCGATCTCGTCCTCATCAGGGCCATCGTCCTTTGCAGGTTCAGCGGTCTTCTCGGGCTCCTCCTTCTTGGGCTCTTCTTTCTTGGGCTCCTCGACCTTGGCAGCGGGCTCGGGGGCCTTCACCTCGGGCTCGGGCTTGGTTTCAGATTCGACCTTGGCAACGGGGCTGGGCTCATCCTTGGTTTCGACAGGCTTAGCCTCAGACTGCTCCGCTGGCTTATCTTCGGTCTTTGTCTGGGGCTGCTCAGCGGGCTTGGCCTTGTCATCCTCCTTAGGCTTGTCCTCCTTGGGAGGTGCCTGAGTAGCTTGCTTAATCTTCTCCTTAAGTTCATCCTGAATTTGCTTGGCAGTCTTAGGAGCGGCATGGCTATCAGTGCGGCCATGGGAAGGCGTAGCGGGCTTAGGAGGAGGGGTAGCCGATGAAGCAACCACAGGGGGCGTCTTAGACTGCTGAATGCTTGGGGCAGGGGAAGAAGGAGCTTTGAAGGTAGATGTGTCAATAATCTCACCAGCAGCGTTCTTGATCTGGATGGCGGCGCTCTTCTTAGGCACCTTAACAAAGCTGTTTGCGGTGGGCTTCAACGAAGAGTGTTGAGGCTGAGGGGTGGAGGATACAATCAGAGGCGTATTTTGCTGGCTGGCGCTGGGTGGTCTCTCGGGCTGAGAAGGAGTCCGAGACATGCTGTGGCTCTGCTGGTGGTAGGGGGTAACAAAGTTCTGGTTATAGCCTGGGGAGTTAGCCTGAGGGGGGGCCATGTAAGGCATATTGTTATAGCCATATGGCATCGACATCGGACGTCCATAGGCATCAACCTGCTGAGGTCCAGGTGGGTAGCCATAGTTCTGGTTTTTACAAGTCAGCACGTATTCAAAGATGCCATTTCCAGGCGACATGTCGAGTGTGGGCAAATCATGGAAGGAAAGGGCTTGAGGGGGTCTTTTGGAATCGTCGGAGGACGATACACGCGCGTTGCTAGTATCTTGCTCTCGCGATGGTCGATCTGAACGTTTACTGAAACGTTGACGCTGGTTGAGCTCGTCTTCTTGCAGATCTCGTGATGAATTCTGCCGGCGACCGACCTGGACCGACTTTTCCAGGTCGCCGCGTTTTTGCTTGTTCTTCTTGCTGCTTTTTGAGGGGTGCGTTTCGACTTGAGAAAAGGGGTACTGTACTTGTTGATGTTGTTGCGCCATGGGAGGCGGGTAATGGTACTGAGGAGGTGTTTGCATCGCCATGTTGGGCTGCATATTGGCAGTCTGCATGTTAGGAGTACCCGGGATAGAGTGGACAAGAGCGGGGCTTCGAGCTGGCTGAGGGGAGTTCGGGTAACCCATGCCACGTCCCTGAGGTTGGAAAGGTGGTGGCATGCCACGGCCCTGGCCAGGGCCGTTACGGAACTGGTTGTTAGGGGGGTAGCCCATTTGCTGGTTGTAGTTGCTGCCGTGAGGGGTGTAGCCGCGGCCACGTCCGCCCTGGGGTTGAAAGTTTCCTCGGCCAGCACCTTCGCCTTGCGCTGAGTGACCAGACTCACGACGGAAGTGAGCACCGGGCTGTGCGTTGGGGTTTGTAGGGACTGAGCCCTGTCTCATGTGGCGCTGTAGAACACAAGAGTCAGCAAAGCATCCAAGGGACGAAGAATAAATCTCAGAATGGGTGTTTGAGCCTACCTCGCCATCGCTACCAAGACTACCGAAAGTCATTGTTCCGCCTGCCTGCTGAAGGCCGGAAGGAGGTCGGCCGCCGCTCGCAGAGGGCTGGGGAATGGGCGAAGGTGAATGAGCAGGTGAAGAAACTCGGGGATTTCCACCACCGGGGATAGGAATGGGCGCAGCATTGGTGGACTGGGGTGTACTGTTGCCCATTGCGGGAGAGTCGAAGCCAAACTGAATGTTCGACTTGGGTCCGCTGACAGGGCCACCGTTGGCGACGAAGCTATTGGGGCCGTTGGCAGCCATGGTGACGGAGCTCTTGCGAGAGTGGTCGGAACCGTTGATATTAGCGCTGCTGCGAGAGACAGCAGGGACTGCGGGGGTGACGGCGGGTTTGCCGTTCACAGGAGACGATGAGGCGTCTTTCGCATTCTGCGACGAAGACGAAGCTCCAACCACCGCGGGAGGGTGGGATCCGGTTGCGACTATAGGGTCCTGGGCAGACTTCTTGGGCGCACTTGCAGCAGAGGCATACGAAGAAGCCGTAGTCGCGGGAGTGTCGTTCGCCGGGATGGGGTTCTGCTGGTTGGCAGGCGACGTCATAAGGAGAATTCGTTGCCGATTCGCGATGCGAGAGTGTGGTGGTGTTTGGATATATTTTTTTTTGTGGGCGTCGAGGGAGAAAGCGGAATAGATGGCGCCGGGGGCCGGGACTTGTCAAATAATTCGAAGCTGCAGCGGGGCAACAGAACTCGGCGACGAACAAGACGCACAAGTCGATTCCCTTTAATGGAAAAAAATAAATAAGCACCAAGGTCTCGAAGTTGAAAAGAAGCGACGGTAAGTTCGAATGGCGGCTCGAAGAGAGGTCGAGATATGCCGAATCGAAAGGATCACAAACGAACAAGGAGTGAAGTCGTACCAACAATGAAGTCGACCGTAGGTAGTCTGAGACAAGCTACGATCCTGCGTGGCAGCGACTGAAGAAAGAATAGAGGGGAGATAGTCTCTGTGATGATATTAACACAGGACGGGATCCAATGCTGATGCAAATGGAACAGGGTCGGGTTAGAATATTTTCCACCGGACCAGGGAGGTTGAATTGGTGAGGATTTTAGAAGAAGCCGGCAAAAAAATTTGGGCAGAAGGCTATGATAAGGACGGACGGGAAGGGGCGAGGAGCAGGGCTTTCTCCGAGACCAAGTTTTAAGTTCTACACACTGTGACTTTTGAAGCCACGAGCCGGGGGTTCGAGGGCTTACAAAATCAGGCCGAAGTGCCTGTAATCACTGTCGACAGCGCCACTGAGTCTATTGTCAGTGGAGAGCTTTCAGGCCGTGCATACAGTGTCAGTTAGTGTCAAAAGCTCGCCAAACACAGTCTTGCAACCTCCCACGGTCCTTTTTTATTTTATTTTTTTGCCTTTTCCCTCTTAGTTAGGTACGTTAGGCAGAGAGGCCAAAAGTCCAACCAAAACAGAGCACACAAGGCCAAACATCGAGTCTCTCGTTGGTTGGTTAACCTGGCCGCCGCCGTCTAATTTAGCTAATTTCTCCATTCATTCGCTCATGCGCCCACAAAGAGCACTACGTCAATCCCCCGCGGGCGAGGGCACGCTAAGGCGATAAACTGTTACTGAGGTCCCCGTCTTGATCTGGGTCTGGGTCTAATAAATCTCGATAATTTGAGACATGGCAGAATATGCGAATACAGTTGAGTTGGGCAAATCGTCGCTAGCATAGCATAGGTGCTCTTTTACAAGTACCTACCTAGATCGAAAAGGATCACACATAATCAGGGGCATATCAGTGCATAATACATTCATGTCCAAAGCACTTGATTGCTGTCGTTTGCCTCCTGATTTTGGTGCCACACTCATTGTGTATACCTTTGATTAATCACATGCGATGACCTGCATACCTTACGCATTGCATTTGTTAGTAGATCTGATGCGAGGCACTCCCTATGTAATTTCAGCATCCAGCACAAACATTCGTGAGTCAATAATCTCACACAAGGATTGCTATCTCTCAACAGAAACCAAGGACGCTTGCGACTTAATGAGTAGCTTCTTGAGCGCATATTTTGAGTAAGGAGTACGGATGCTCATCTCTAATACCAACGATACCCTTACATTTTTCAGTCAAGCTAGCAAGGACAAAGATGCTCGGATACTCGACCCGCGGTGCCGGTTTGTCTGTGCTGCGTCTACTCTTACTCACTGACTCACTTCAGTCTCTGTAGTATAGCAGGGTAATATAAAAAGGGTAAGGCAGCAGTGCTCCCTGGATAGCAAGCAAGCATCTGGCGGACGTCCGAAATGGTGGTGGTTAAACATGCCATACCTATAGCATACGCACGACTCAAGCGTAAACGTCAAGGCGACAACAATGCCTAGGTACTTACTGTATATCACACATAAAGGAGTGGAGTGACACTGACAATGATAGGAGCGCGCATTGACCAGAGGTGGGCGTTTGATGTTGAGATAGAAAAGGGCATGACATGATGAGAGATGATGACTTTTGTGTTTATTCCAAGCACAGTAGGGGCAATAACAACAGCAGCAAAAGGGAGTGAAACTAGTCGCCATTGTCACAGATGCCCAATCTGCCAACCCCCTTGTATCTCCTTTTCTGAACAAAACCGGTGAGAGACAGTCTGCAATCTGGAGTCTGTGTACGGATATTTCCCAAACAGCTGTTCAAACCAATATCCAACAGTCATTATCTGACTTCAGCTGTCGTTTGATTCGTTCCAGAAACAAATAGACCGACTCACTCACTGTTGGCTTGCGGCCCAGTCAATCTGTCCAATGATTCCCCACGCAGCCAGACACCAAGCCTGGCTGGGTATTACCGAAATAAGCATCCTACAAGCATTAAATCCGCAAGGTCCGGTCTAGGCGTCATCTTGCAGGCTGCAGCTTCACTGAAGAAACTGCGTATATCTCTTCTTTGGTTGTTTTAAGTAACAGAAAGAAATAGGCCGAGAAAGGTAAGCCGAGATGGCCAATACAATAGGTCCCTACCCAGGTCACCTAGCAGGCACTGCATTGACCAGGCTTCAGGTGTGTTTACCGAACATCAGCCCTATAGACCCAGCCGCTGCACTGTATTTTCCACAATGCAAGCTTAATCTATTTTTAAAAGATTCCATGGAAGTGAAAGAGAGAGACGCCATATTCAAGTAACTTTCAGTGTCTTTGTTCAACCGAGTATCACTATAGTATGAGACCCGATTTGGCATCATCAGTCATCATCGTCAAAGAATCTGCTATTAAGAAATTAAGAAAAGAGGAGTCATACTTAACAATTTGACAAACACCACCCGACCAATTCTTATCGGCCATTGCCTATTCCATGAGCAGCTCAGGCAGTCACACGGTCATTATTATCATATCCGGGACTCAGTTAATAAAGCTTGTACTCAAACCTGCAAGTAAGAGTACGCAAACTGATATACTTTAGGTCGCAAACCCTTCACTCCTCAAAGCCTTCTCATATCCTGGTCACCTGACTATGACGAGATGCCAAGTGGCACAAGTTGAAGAAATCTTGACATGATGCAGGATGATGTACATTGATCGCACGAGTGATGATTGGCATTTATAGAAGAAAAAATGAGCAAAGGTGGGTTCCAATAAAATTGTGCATTACTCGCTCCTTGTTCTTGTTCCTGTTCGAGGCGTCAGAGTTTGCGCGCTCAACGACCAACGGCGTTTTCATATGGCCATAGGACTGTTGGCCCTCTTCAAATAATACTTTAATACGCATTTTAGCAAAGAAGGGTGGATGGTATGGTGTAATTAATTCAGGGAGAGGGCTCAACGTTCGACATAGATTGGGTGCTTCGATTCTAGCCTTTGATCCGCATGTGACACAATTTCCATCCCGTAGCCCTGCGCCGTAAAAAAGTACAATAAACGATATATAGCTTTTAGTCGCTATCTCTCTCTCTACTCCCCTTCTCGCACTTCCAAGATGTCAGCTTCGGCGTCTTGCTCTTCGTCTTCATCCTCGTTCTCATCGCCATAACCCCCTTCTTCAGCCTCCTCCATTATGGTCTCAGGGATTTCTCGTTGCTCTGCCTGAAGCTGCTCGATCTTTGTGTTGGTCATCTCGAAGACATATTGGCCCAGATGCTCGACACCTTCCATTGGCACCTCGCCCTCTACGGCTGTAAGATTCTCGGTCACCTCCCGCTGCGTAGGCCAAAGCTCTCCTGTCACCAACATGAGCTTGTCTGGTCTTTGCAATAATATGTCAAAGGCGGGTCGGAGCTCAGGGCACGCTTCGAAAACCTCACGGCGGCCAAGGATGTACAAGCCGAGTCGTGCTCGAGACAGGGCTACTGTCATGCGTCGGACATCACGCAGATAACCCACTCGAGAGGTTCGGGTAAGTGACAAAATGATATCTAAGACGAGTGTTAGCTTAGGAAAAGGCCACAACAGAAAAAATATTTCACTTACAGTCATTTTGTTCGCCCTGGTACTTGTCCACTGTAGCAACAGCCTTTGGTAGACCAAAGACCGGATTCCGGGCGCATCGATGCGACAGTGCGTCCTTCACAAGAGCCCGTTGGCCAGCATAAGTCGTGAGAATGGTAATCTTCTCAGCGGGGTAGCCCAGAAGGCGCATGTACTGGAAGATAGCCACTGCATACTCGGCCTCGCCCAAGTTCTGGATAAAGTGTGGTGTTGGCTCAGCCTCTCCCTGGCCCTTGTAGTCGGGAACGTTGATGAACTGGTAATCGTACTTGAATCCGGCATTGGCCTTGACGAACTCGGAGCTCTTTTGCACATCAGGAAGATTATGCAGATTCGGGTAACGCCACTGGTAGAGACTCGCGATCGAACCACGAGCGCGTCCTTGCTGATCAAGGGTGATCGTAGGGACGCCAAGTCTGACCAGTCTGGCGAACAGTGACTGCTCCAGATTGGCGTAGTGACGGAATGCCAGGCTCTGGATAACTGGTGAGTTTTGGAAGTGGTCACCGCACATAACGACTCTTTGCAGTGGCATTTGGCCGTTGCGAGGCTTCTGCATCGCTAACGGTAAGAAGGTCTCAATCTCCGTCACTTGAGCAGCCTCCTCCATCACCACGTTGTCATAGTGAAAGCCCAGCGATGCAATCTCGCCTCTTCTGATGGCCGCGTGCGTCGTTGTCATAGCGACAATGCGTGCCTCGCTGGTGAGCAAGTAGTTTGCCTTATCACGGTCTCGGCGGAGAATCTCAAATGGAAGCGCATCAGCGAGTTCCAAGAATATCTTGCATATATGGCGGTAGCAGCCCTCTGCAACATCTACGACTTGATCCTTGCTTCCCTCGGGCGGGAAAAGGGGTTGGGGGGCATCAGAGAAGTAAGTATGAAAAGGGAAGGCTTCCACAATATCGGTGGCAGTTGAAGCATCTGCATTAATGACGTGTTGGAACTTATTCCATGCAGGAATAACATAGACGGTGTTGAAGTACCCAGCTGTCTCAGCCGAATTCTCATGTGCACCAGGGGCGCCGAGGCTGGTGGCCAGTTTCCTCACTTCGAGAAGATAACGATCTCGGTTTTCTAGAAAGGAATCGACGCGACCATGCTTGCTGAAGTTTCCTTCCGTATCGAGCTCCTCTTCGCCGTGTCCAAGTCGCAACAAATGTCGTTCGTCAATATCAAGAGCAACAATCTTGGCAAATAGTTGGTTGAGGGCTTGGTTACTATGCGCAAGCAGCAGTGTCTTCTGCTCAGGATAGTTGTGGTAGATGTTGTTAATGACCTGTGTAGCAACATCCGTTTTGCCTGTGCCGGGTGGTCCAACAATGACCGTGAGTCCAGGTTGAGTACCTGATGTGATAGCCTCAATCTGAGCCGGAGTAAAGCGGACTGAATTGAGCCTAGGGTTGTTGATTGGGTAGGGCCCAGTGTTGGGTGGCTTGTAACTTGACACCTTCAAGGTCTCGATATCAGATATGAGCGCAGGGTTGGCATCTCTACGTCGCTTCTTGGAGGGTTTGGCGCCCTGAGGTTCCTCTCGCTTCTCGACGGACTCCAGAACGTAAGGGGGTCCAAAGCTACCAGACACCTCGTCGCCTGGATCGATAATCTTGCCAGGCAGACTCTCTGTAAGATGTTGCCAGTCAAGAAACGTGTCCCGGAAGTCCACCTTGCGTTCACGATTTGGCAGGTTCTTGTAGATAGCTCCCGCGGGATCTCCATAGCCGAGGAACACCTCGTGGAGCCACTTCGGCAACGGAACATCAGACATTACCAGGCTTCGAATAGATTCCAGCACAGGTTTAAAATTGTTCTCCCGTCTGCCTCTTCTGAGCAACAGATTGACCTTGCCATAAACATCAGCCTTGCCAGCCGCTATCCGCTCAGCATCCTTGCTATAAGCAAGAGGGTCCAGCTTGAGTTGGATGCGACGCTTCTGATCAAGATTGCCAGCGCCATCTCGAACTTGGCGGCCCTTGTCGTCTGTGATCTGATGAACCTGAGCGGTCCGCACAGTAACCACACCCAGTCGCTCAGACTCGGACAGGGCTTCTCCTCCGTTACTGGCCGAGTTGGTAGGCGGTGGCTCTACTGCAAGGAGGAAAACGACGTCATCTTGTCGAAGAGAATCCCACTCTCTGCGAACACCCTCACCGAGTCGTCGAACATCAAACGACACTTCAGCGCGCACCATTGACGGCTTGTCGTCTCCCACTAGTGGCGGCACGACTTCAAGGATAGCCGGCTTCGAGATTGGCATCGCCATCTTCGAGAAACCGCCAAAGTTGGTGTCTTCTGTTCGCTTTGACTCTGGACGTAACCGACGTAAAGCGGTCTCGATATCTTTACGAACCCCGTAGAAAGACTCGCATCGATACAGGACAAGCGCCCGCCATAGAAAGTCGCCCACGGAAAGATATTGGAGGTTTAACTTGGGCAAGGCCATTGGATGTGATCCATCGTATGTCTCTGCCTGCTGAAAACTGCTATCAAAGAGAGCATCTTCCGTTGGCGTCAGACTCATATCTCGAGCCGCCTCCTGGAATGTTTTTCTGCGCTCGTATTTGGATAGGAGTACTTCAAGCGCCAACTTACGGTCGACTACAAGACTCAAGCTTTCGGGATAGGAGGTCCGGAAACCAAGCAATGAAACCAAGTTCAAAAGCTCTTCGTCTGTCAGTGGATCGAGCAGGGCCTCCAACTCTTGCCTTTGGTCGACAGCACCATAGTTAGACAGAGCCAATACGGTCAACTTTTCTCTAAAGTGTTTCAAAGCAATGCGCTGCAGCTTTCCAAGTGACGCGCAATGCTTATCGTATGCCTCCGTTATGCTATACTGAGTACCTGTCTGATCATTGATATCGAAGAAAGTAAAATGAGAAAGCAGTGCATGGAGGTCGCGGAGGAGGGTGTTCTCCTCATCATTAAACATTGGTGACAGTCGCATAGCAGATACTATGTGAAGATCCTGGATTAAGGTATTGACATAACGTCGTGTTGGAAGCTGACTTTGAAGATCAATAAGAAACTCAGTGAATCTTTCGCAGTACAGAACTTGGTCTATAGTGCTGTCAGTTGCTGTCGCAGACCGGCAAACGAAAGTCAATGAATGAACTCACCTGCTTTGCTGTTTTCTGTGTAGAGTTGGCCCAAGAAGTCCAATAGGAGTGTGTAAAGCCATGCTCGCTCAAACCGCAATCGCGCCTGGTTCGGCTCATCAGCAGCGTCATATCGTTTATGCGCAGCCTTCCAAGTCTTTCGTAGATGTGGTGTTTGCTCGAAAGTGGCTTCACGCGCTGAGTCGGTTGACAAGTTGTGCCAGATACCAATCGATACGAGCGAGGCACATTCCTTGCGCACAAGAGTGCAGTCGAGACTCTGAAACGCATAGATGAGGAAGCAGAGCAGTTGTGTTCGAATGGTAACGGAAAGTGTTCGGTCGAGCATCATGGACAAAAGACGACGAAAGAGTGAAGAAAAGTCGGCAGGTCGATCCTCGAAGAGCGCTAGAGATGGTCAGTTATGCGTTTGGGATAGCTAAAAGAGCCACTTACTCCATGTCGCGAGATGCTCTCGACGCTTCACATTTGCGATGAGCGCAATCAGCAAAACGTGGAAATTGGAAGCTTCCTCGGTGTATCCAGGCCACAGATAACTAGACAGCCAGCTGGTTAGCAATTGGGTCGCAATTACCTATACCACGATGACCATACCTCTCTAATGTCTGCAGGCTCTCGAGAAGCAGAAGAGACTTATACTGGAAGCCCTCCCGTTCAAGCACATCCCAAATACTCTGCTTGAGGACATCGTTCTTGACCTTGGGTTTGGCCGGCTTCTTGCCTGACTTCAGCCAATGCTTTCGCGCAAGTTGAACGAACTGATGCTCCTCTTCTTCCACTTCGGCTGGGGTCGGTCGTCCATCGGGAGACTTTGGCTGTGGCTCGCTCGGTTTCTTCGCCTTAGCAGCGCCGCTGCCCTTGAGTCGCTTCACGGTTGGCATTGTCGGATTATCGTATCGTCATAGGCCTATTAACTACTCGTGAAAGGTCGCTCATAAGAGGGGACGACAGTGCCAGAGTTTCGCGTAACCGATGGTAGCAAAGTGTTGGAGTTGAATTCGAAACGTGTAAGTTGAATCTTCGTCCACCTTACTAAAAGTGACGCCTCTGTCAAACAAACAGTCTCCAAAATTTCAGCCTCGCAGACCCACGCGACGCGCTGACTGGGTCCAGCCACAGCGCATGTAGCGCCAAGGGTCTAGTACTTCGCCATAGGCCTGACTTTGCGTGAAACTTAAGGTTTCGATTCCTATGGGAGACTTTATTGCTGCTCGCGCCAGTCTCAGCCTTCTCACTTTCAACATCCCAAGCTCAACTGTGTGCAAAGAAAACGCAACGTGCTTCAACACACAACAAGGAATCGCTTTTTAAATCCAACCAAGGTTCTCAGACCGACTTCGTGCGAAGATTCAGCCCCTCTACCGGAAAGCCCAGATACACATATTGAGCTATACACCACCGCATGATAGCATCGACGAGCTACTGTCTACAACGACTGCCGTAGTCGCGCATCATGGCGGCGCAAGATACAGACAACCCGGCTGCCCCGGCAATCGCAGCTTTCACGACGCTACTCGAAGGCTTTCTTTCACAAGCGGAAACGGCAAAATCATCATCAACGGTTGATCCAGCTTTACGCAAGTCCGATTTCGACGACCTTTCAGGACGAGTATCCAGAACCGCAGCCGATGTTTCCGGCCAGGCAAACGGAGAGGCCAAGTCAGCGAGCGACAAGGCACGCCAGTTTGCTATAATAGAAACTGCGGCCCGTAACATCTTCAGTCATCTCATTGTGAGGCTCGACTCTCTCCCTTGCGATCTGCGCCTTGCGCTGACCAAAAGTAGGCGACAACCACTATCGATTCTCCCGACTACGTGAAAGTGTGGAATCTCCTCGATGTTCTTTCTCTTCTTTCAGATGATGGAGAATGTGATCCTGCGCTTTTGTTCTGGCTAGCTGAGGAACTCTTGGACAGCCAGACCATCGCTGGGTGTCGCAAGATCTTCGACTTCTTAGAATCGAGACGAGAACGGATCACAGCGAACCATTTCAAGCAAAAACAATTAATCATTCTTCGAACATGCAACGAATTGCTACGACGGCTATCCCGTGCGGAGGATACCGCTTTCTGTGGCCGGGTCTTTATTTTCATGTTCCAGAGCTTTCCGCTGGGTGACAAGAGCTCTGTGAATCTCCGAGGCGAATTCCATGTCGAAAATGTCACGACATACGAAACAGTGCCGGCTGATGATGACTCGAAAATGGCTGTTGATGAACCGGAAGAACCTTCGAAAGAGCAGCCTGAGTCGAAATCCACACCCAAGTCAGCCGATGTCAAAAAGGGGGACAAAGACAAACCTTTGTCGACTGACGAGTTATACCCGTTGTTTTGGTCCCTGCAAGAGTACTTCAGCCAGCCCAAAAGGCTCTTCGAAACAGCGAACCTGTCCTCTTTTAAAGAGAGTCTGGCTGCTACCATGAGCGTTTTTCAAACAGTTCACAACGATGCCAGACGAAGCCTCAAGCGGAAACGAGAGACTGGCGAGGAAGATGAGAGTTCCAATGCATTCAACCCCAAATATCTCACCAGTAAAGATTTGTTCGACCTAGAGGTATATTCGCGCGTACATTCATTTCTGTGGTTGGAGGCTAACAATAGGTTTAGATCAGTGATCTCTCATTCCGACGACATATCCTTGTGCAAGCCCTCATTGTTATGGACTTTCTTATCTCCCTATCTGCTCAAGCTCGGGAGAGACTTACAGAGGCCCTACCAGCCACGGCTAACATCAACAAATCTGTCATGTACAGTGACCAAATTTTAAGTGAAGACGATGTGAGTATACTTGAATACTTCCTGTATATGGAGAAACCGTGAAATTAATCCTTTGATAGGCAAAATGGGCCAATGACATGAAGAAGACCATCGCAGATTATCTCCGTCAAGGCGTTGACGGACCATACTTTTATCGAATGGTGGAAACCGTGCTGGCTAGGGACAAGAACTGGGTTCGCTGGAAGATCGAAGGTTGTCAGCCCATCAAACGAGACCCCGTTTCTCCAGTAACATTCCTTGAGGCAAAGAGCAACGTCCAACGAATGGCCACCAACAAGCGACTAAGAGCTGTCCCTATGGGCTCTGTGTCCCTAGAGTTTCTCAAAGAAGAGGACGAGGAGACAGCTATGGATCGACTCAAGGTCAAGGAGAGGCATGAGCTTCCAGAGCTCGACACTTTCAAGCGCAAGATTGCCGATGACGACTTCGAGATTGAGATGCCCACCAATGATCAAACAAAAGCCGCTGCCATCGCCGGCAAGGCTAGCAAAAGCTGGCGGGCACTACGAATCGCAGCAAGGACAAAGCTCGCCGCTTTCGATAAGATCGAAGATCCTAAGAAGATTGACATCGTGTTCGAAGAGCTAATAGAAACGGACGATGCTGAAGAAGCTACCGAGCCTACAGCCAGCGACGAAGACATGCCAGCTGAACGAGGTCCAATAATCATTTCGGGCCTTACAGGCGTAGGGAAGTCGACCATTATCAACATGCTGGCGGAGGAGCGAAAGGGAGTGTTCGCTACTGTCGTTAGGCACACCACACGAGAACCTCTTGAAGGTGAAGTCAATGGCAAGACTTTCCACTTCGTCAAGCAACAAGAATTCAACCAACTACGTGACGGAGATCGTTTGATGGAATCAGGTACCCGCGGTGGCGTTGATTACGGAACTAGTTTCAAGGCTGTCGAGGCCGTCACAGAGATGGGTAAAGTGCCTATAATTGAGCTCGATATTGAGGTAAGACAACAATAACCATTTTCTACACCTCTCATATGCTAACATGTATTTCCTCAGGCGGCACAGTATGCCAAAGACATGGATTTCGAAGCACGATACGTGCTCATCAACACTTCCACCCCTGAAACACTCGAGCAGCGGCTCAAGGCTTCGGGCAAGGAGGACTCTGCCGTTCAAGAGATTCTAAAGAAATCACCTACAGAGCTTGAGCCAGCAAAGGTAAACGGACTCTTCAACACGACTGTAGTCGACGACGATGACGTTGCAGCCGTCAAGGATCTTGGGGACTACATCTATGGGAAGAGTCAAGATAAATCTCTTGGTGAGCAAGACTCAGGGGACGATGCAGTTATGAAGGACAGCGAGGCCACTAAAGACGTCGAGGACGTTGAGGCCAAGGGCGAGGCTACGATGACGGACGCATAATGGTGATGCAAAACCGAAAGAGCTGTGGTTTGTGGATAATATGTACCTCTAGATTACTTTTAGGAGCATTGGTAATGGGCAAAATGATACCCCATTTCTTGCGTGTATGAGATAAATATCATGGCAAATGATTGCATCTATAGCACAGGTTTCACGTTTAAGTGTGAGGTGATCGCTCGCCGCATTGTTATTTCAAAACTAGTGAGTATAATTAAATTATCTGAATCGCAAGAAGCACCATACTAGACTAAGCTGTCTGCTAAGAATAGAAAATGTTGCACCGTACAGACCTCAGCCAAACTGAAAACACGAAACAAACAGCGATATATCACACACGAAGCCGGTCGGTTGATGTGATGGGATTTTATTCCTCGTCAGAAGACTCCTCAGAATCGGCCTCAGCAAGCCAAGTGAGGAAAGGCTCAGCAGCCTTGCGGACCTTCTTGGAAGTAGAGATGTCGGTGTACTTCTTGCTGGCCTTGGATCCCCACTTGGTCACGACGTCCTCGCTGATGAGATCGTGGTGGTAGTAGAGCTGGAGGATCTTGACAATAGACTGGAACATCTCGGGATACTCGGTCGCCAGAGTGCCGACGAGACGCTCGGTTCCTCCGAGAAGAGCCTTCTCATGGCGCTCAGAAGTGACAATCTGTACGGTATTAGTAATGGTTCACATTAAAATCAATCAGTATTAACGACATACCTGCTTGAGCATGCTGGCACGCTTGGGGATCTGGGCAACAATGTTCTTGTCAAACATGGTTTGAACAAGGACAAGGACGCTGCGGTGTTTGTTTTCAATACCAAGCTCCTTGGCCTTGACATAGATGTCGATCGACTCAACCTTGTCGATGCTGCCCTTCTCCTCCGCCTGGGACTGGATCCAGTCACCAAGCTCGTCGTAGACAGTAGGGCCACCCTCACCATCCTCGTCATCCTCGTCGCCCATGTTGAGCTTCTGCTTGAACTCGCCAGGAAGAGAGGCCTGACGGGCCTTAACAGCTTCCTCGCTCATGTCGACAGCCCATTCATGCTCCTTGACTTCTTTCTCCTGGGCTGCTTCAGCAGCCTCAGCCTGGACCTTCTGGAACTCGTCGTCGCTGACATACTCGTCCCCGTTCTCGTTAGAGCCATTCTCGGAAGCTTCATCGCTACCAGTGCCGTTTTGGCCATTAGTGCCGTTAGCAGCATTGCCATTCTGCTTAGCCTTCTTGGCGGCCCTGCGTTCAGCCTTATCCTTCTTGCCCTTCTTGGGCTGGTTCTTGAGGATAAAGCCACTGAGTTTCAAACGGAGATCGACATCGGTACGCTGACCACACGCCTTGCAATCGAGTAGGATATGGTCATCCTTGATGACAACATCGGTCTCAGGATTCTTGCACTTCTTGCAGAGAACGAACTTGTTGATGAAGCCATCAAGATGGTCCTGGAGCTTGGGAGCATCGTGAGCACCGTTGATGATCCAACGGTCGTCCTTGGGGTCAATGTTGGTCTGAGCACCAAGCTCGAAACCGAAGTACTTGATGACATATGCACCAGGACGGGCGAGAGAGGCAGCAACACTGCTCAGGTTGACGACGACGGTCTTGATGCCGTTTCCTTTACCTTCGATCTTGGTCTGCAGACGCTCCATCTTGTAACGATAGAAAGCATCGCTGACATCGCGACGAACGTTGACGAGAGCCATGGTGACGGTATTGAGTGATTACTGTCTGGTAAATAGAGTTGGCAGGGCGAGGCTGGTAGACGAGGCTAGTAGTTGATATATTCGTGGGAAGACGAGGATGTCATGTAAGACTTGGTGGCAGAAGGTAACTGGGTAAAGGCTGAGCAACGAAGGATTCAGTGCTCTTGGTGATTATTGATTGTCATGTGGCAGACCAGATTGATAATCGGATGCTGGTGGTAATGCATAGACAAGAGTGGTATCTAGGTTTCAGCCGTCGGAACTGATGTCGGGGCTACAAGGCTTTCGCGGTATGCGAAATAACTGCAGCTTGAAGAGGTGTCTGAAGACGGAGTGCTGGTCGTGCTGATACATAAACAGCAGTGTGGTTCGGCGGTAATATGTGTTCGGAGAGGTATCGGTTACGGGAGGCAAGCGATGACCGGCGAGAGAATACGCTCCAAAGCCAAGACTAGTCTATGGATGGAGGTTGCGAGGTTCGACGAAGCAGAGCAGAGTGGGGGAGTATCAGGTAAACGAAACGATGCGCGCTGCGACCGGGTAAGTCAACAGGCAAGTATAAGAGTGAGTGCGCTTTGCGCGATAGATATTGAGGGCGTTGAGTAAGGCAAGTTTGCTGTCTCGGTGAGATGCAGAGTGTGGTGCTGAGGGAGAGGAAGAGAAAAAGAAAAAATGCGAGAGGAGTAACGACGTTAGTTAAGAAGGAGGAGGAGGGAGGGAGGGGCGATGAGTGTTAGGGCCGACCGGGATTTGATTTTTGGACGGACGCTAAAAAATGGGGCAGGCGGCAAAACCTGACACAAGAAACACCAAGAAAGGCCAAATAGTTTGTAGTATCGGTAACTAGAGGTCAAATAGTAGAGCAACAATATGCCTAAAAATTCAGTAAGAAATATCTTGATCTGCAAGCCCGTCCTTCTCAAAGGGTCAGCAATTTTTCTTCAAGTTCGAAACTTCATAAACCTGGGCCCTAACTACTAAACATGGAATGAAACTTTAACGAGGCGCGGATATAAACCAACTGCAACAGTGACGGACAGACACTTACTGTGCTTCAGCGCCTCACCCGGCCTGTAGCGCCATTTCCAGGCCATATCCCAGGCCATGATCCACTGTTACACAGCTCGCTTCGCACCCAAGTTGGGGAACCACTGAACCCTCCAAGTGCCAAGATACGGGCTACTAGTAGGTACTTAGGTATACTGTGATTTTCCTCACACTGTACAGGTGCAGCCAGGCACCATTCTCTGCCAAACCGCTGCTTTGCATGTCTAATACGCAATGGAACTGACAAATACAATTCGTAAATCGGGGAGGTTATTCGGACTTTACGGCCACAAACTCTAATCGACAAGTGGGAAATTACCTCCTTTTTATGTTTGACGTTTTTTAGTTGTTGGTTTCTCTCGAATTGCTTCATAATTTTCTTCCAACTGAAGCCTGTTTTCAACCTCTCCATTGTCCAACGTTCATGATCGATCGCCTTATAATGACACTTATATTGAGGTGGCCACCCAGACCTGCACATGGCTGTTTTTAGTGTTTGAACCAGCAAATTAGTGGAATAAATCAAGTTTCTGATTATTTGCTCTTCCTAGCATCGTCGTGCCTCGCTTCATTGACCACCCACCCTTCCAATATACAAATCAGTCTTTCACTGGTACAAACTTGAGTAGACATTGCTTCCCAAGAGGTCGTGACGATATCAACTGGTCATCCATCTCCATAGACTCGATCTTCATGGAAATATCTGGCTCAGTCTCGTATCGTGAATACACGTCTCGCAGAAGTGTCTTCATTTCCGCCATGGCAAGACTATAAACTTTGTTAGCGTTACGTTCTCTTCTCTCTTGCATAATATCTAGCCAGGGCCCCTTACTGTTTTCCAATACATCCCCTTCCTCCACTGGAGAAGGCCCATTGATGTCGTCGTCGGCCGGCGTCTCCCTCGGTCTCTAGCCAGCGTTCAGGGTAAAACTTGTCGGGGTCCGGGAAGACATGATCGTTGATTCGGTGAACTGACATGGCCTGGCAGCTAACAACTGTCTTCTCTGGCAAAGAAACTCCGTCGATGATACGGCCGTCACGAGGAACGTATCGGGGTAACGACATTGGAATGGCAGGGAAGCACCTCAGTCCCTCATTCAACACGGCATCCAGCATGGGCAGCTCGTCGAAGGGTGCATCCGCCTTGTTTCGAAACTCCTCTCGTAGAAGACGTTGGTACTTGATCGATCGAGGCTGCGAGAGTTCCCACATCAAGAAGCACAAAACGTCGCCTGTCGTATCAATACCTGCGGCCATATGGTCAAGACATTCCGCAGCCATGTCAATAGTATCAAGTACACTGTCCTTCTCCTTGAGTCGGTTCAAGACGGTGAAATCCGCCGCTCCATTCTCTTTGGCATTCTCAATGACAAAGTTGTCGGCGAGTGGAATTGATCGAGGTTTGGCGAGGCTGGCAAGAAGTTTTGCTCCGAGGCTATGAAGGACTGGGCTGTAGTATTGAACCAGTCGGTCTGTGTTTTCGAGTCAGTTTCCATGCTGATATTCTAGCCATGGGAACTCACTCTGCAGGCTGTCGTCAGCAGCGACCTGGTGCATCATCTCTTCGTCGTCCTTTTTCTGCAAACAGTTACTTCCATATGGGTGGAACAGCTGGTGTGTAACACAATCGCAGGCATACGCATGCAACGCTGTTTGGTCAGCCAGATTCCTCAGCAGCTATGCCAGCTCATGTTGAAGACCAACCTCTCTGTTTGTGAATGTCAGATATACTCCTTTCTAACGTGAGATCCAACTTACAAAGACATCTGCCGTTTTGTCCGGCGAGTCAACGCATCGCTCCAGAAACCTCTTGGATCGCTCTTGTATTCCAGCCAGAGGGGCAGACTTCATTACGTTACTGTTGGCGTATCTGTCGCCAATCATCCTCCTCCGTTTTGCATGCTGGGCAGAGGGGTTAGTTCAGCGAGATTTGGCCTTTGCATCAATCAACTCACATCGCATTTTACCAAGGTTGAGAACATGGTTCTATGTCGAGCAAAGTCAGCATAATTGGTACCTTGTACAGCGCCTGTGTATGAATGAACCCTTACCGTCTGCCATAAACTTGAAATAGATCGTAGAATTCCGTCTTGTCATAGCCACTACCGCCAGAGCCATATATCTCTTTCAGAGCGGCAATCGAAGTGAAGGAAACCTCATTGGGCCCAACACGCACAACGGGTCCGTACTTCTTGTGTAATTCATGAATGTACACGGTACGGTTGGCGTTGAGTTCATGCCATTTTAGCACGAGCGAAGTGAAGTTGGATATGAATGGCCCGGGAACCTTTGCCGTAGCCGAACTGAGACGGATGATAAGATGAGCGATAAGGAGTAGAACAGCAGCTCCGAGGGCGAACGATGGTGATAACATCAACATGACGACAGAGCAGATCAACCAACCCAGTTTCAGTCAATCGATCTTGCAGAAAGAGAATCTCTTAAGTGTGTGTGACTTAGATGGAAGAGATGAAGAGTAACAGCCAAGGACAATCAATTGGGTGGCTAGGTTGAGGTTCTTATCACGAGGCGTCCTGGGATAGCTCCGATATGACTCCAGTCTCTAATTCCTCGGTCCAAAGCCCGTATGGATTGCTTCAGGTGGGGGAACTGCTATGTAACCGAAGCTAAAATTGACAAGCAAGCTACAGCCGTTGATCGTCCCCTCATTACATATCACTATCTTGTCGTCGGTTCTTTGTTCCGCCTTGGGCCAGGTCTACTTGTTGAGCGATACCGGATCAGCATATTATGACTAACAGTGAATTGTGAGGTGATAAGAAGTTTGCTTTATTCCCATTTTTACATTCGTATACCAATAAACAATGATAATCAACTTTCCCCATACTTGGACGACCCCGGTAGTTGTACTATTACAGCATGACTCGACGCCCTATACCATGTCATGAATTTGTCCCCGACTTCCGCTCCCGGCCGTTAATTCCTGCATGTACATGACATATCTTATCAGTTTGACCAAGCACCTGGTAAATAACGTAACAGGCGGATATATGAAGTACTGCTTCAAAGTTCCGGCTTCTTCCCACCAGCAGCGTCCTGGCGAGAACCTCCTCCGAGCATACCTGTGATCCAAGTCAGGCCCGGAATATGCATTGGAGCTGCTGGGGGAAACTCCTTGCCCCCGATCTTTGTTTTCGGAGTACATGTGCACCACTCTGACTGTGGTACTCCGTCGAAGACCTGTTGGACGTGATTACCGCATCCGCGCCACGATTTCTTCGCTTTATTATAAGCATATATCAGTATCTGGGGATTCAGATGAATCATGGTATGGTCGGAACTCACAACAAGCTGAGCATGTTGCACCAAAGCACATGATGATCGAAGGGTTGGGTGACGGGCTGTGAGTATGATCGACTGATATATAATTTATATGTCCAACCCGGGTAAGTATATCTGGAGACTACGGTTTATATAGAGGCTTTGAAGTCAAATATGTACTCGGGTTCATTTACGTTAGTAGTTTTAGAAACGGTCAAAGTTATAGCCGCTGAATTAATTAATCACCGAGACTAGCTTACCCTAGATACCGACGTCTACAGTACTTCTTAAATTTAGAGATACCAACCTTTTTTTACAACACATAATACTGAACAAGGGTACTCATATCGTTCCAAGCTTACTTGATCTGATGTATTGTGAAAGACTCATTTGGTTGCTGCTTCTCGTAAGCAAACTAGATGTATTTGTTGGAGTATAAAGCACTAACGTGTGACATCCACCGTTCTTTAATTTCGTGTTTGATGTAAGATTAAATGAAAGATACAAGGCGCCACGGGCTGAAAATGGGCAGCGGTGCGGAGGAGGAAGCTGTCCGTTACATGCGGCTGAAATATGGTCATAAAAAGGACATACTTTTGGAAATTTGATCGAGTCTATGGATACAGATACACAACGGTGAAGTACTTTACTGGTCACACACTCAATGGAGCATCGATCAGTGTACCCCGGTCTGACAGGAAGCTTGTAGGTCGCTATTATTAGTATCAGCTAAGTAAGGGTGTGTGTGCACGGCTCGTGGTATGCACAGAGATATTTCAAGATGACCAGATCGAGGACCAGACTCTTGGGCATTCAGTGATGTCAACCAATTCACTTCAAGAGGTGCCCCTGATTTAGGAATCGTGAAAAAATTCCACTCAAACCCTGTGTACTGATAAGAGTATGGTATTAGCTTTCTGTGAGACACGACGACCACATCCATCATCGCTTTTCAACCGTAGGATCAAACACTGGATCCAAACCCGCAGACACAGCCTCGTTCTAATAACACTCACACCAGGCCAGCCTACCAAGGACTGACAAACAAGGTTGACGAATGCGAGAAAACTAAGGTGCTCTAATAGATCGACTCGAGCGGCATATTGCTGACGCGCGCGAACCTTAGATTAGAGTCATTAGACGAAAAGGAAACAAGACGATGCAAGGTTGCTGACCACGCAAGCTTTGAAGATACATACGCACCCTGGAGGTTACCTAGTGTCCTAGAATTGTGTCCTGCAGTAGAAGAGATTGGCAGCTCTGCATATGCTAAGAGTCTTGGCTGAAAATAAGACTATGTACTCTGTACGGATACACCCATCACAATGACTGCTAAACCATATGTCTAAGATTGGTCGTTTATTTCAAGAAATTGTAATCATATTCCTACAGACCTCATACCCCATAGTCAGGCATCGAGACCTGGGTCTGGGTCATAAAGCCTGCCATCAAACGGATCCAGCGCCACATAGTGTTGAGGGCTGTGCTGTAAGCTAAGGAAGGGTTCGCAGGCATGTATTAATATAAGTTATTCTGAATAAAGAATGAAGCTCCGTGGATGCAAATAAAATAGCATCAGCTGCGCAATTGGCTTCGTTGATAACGCTGAATACATCCTAGGCACTTTAGTTAGTGTTACCGTACTCATCCATCTCATCGGTTCTCTGTTACCCAATTCCACCCCGCCTGGAGCAGGTCAGTCTCTCCATTTCGGTGTCCACGAGGTCCAACAGCAGCGGATCAGGGCCCTGAGTACCTTCCATAGTGAACACCCAGGGCGGGCACCCACTTCGGCCCATGGCAGCGGGTTCAGCACGGGGTTCAGGTTGCGTCGTGTCCCGTCCCGTGCGATCGGGCGTTACCTTAGTAGTTGCAGCAGCTAGGTTCTTTCTAGGCACTGTAAGTAGAAGTAGAAGCAGAAGCAGCCAGAGGTAACGTTAGTGTGCAGCCCCCCGATCTTGACAAAGCTACTACCTAGTACCTACCTACCTGCCTTAGGTAGCATCCCATCCCGTCTATTGGATTCGTAGACTACCTATCTCTCGTCTTCATCCATCTCTTCCGCACCCCGGTATTTCCGACCTCGACTCCTCGACTTCGTCCCTCGTCACTCGACTCTCGTTCGCTGTGCGCGAATACCTTCCCCCCGAGCCTCCTCCACGTTCTGCCGTCCGCAACGACAATCGCAATCGCAGTATGAGGAACTTCCTCGGCAAGCACAGTAATCGGTCATCGCAGGCGCTGAATGATCCGCGAACACCGTCCAAAACGCCCGCGAATACAACGACGAACAACAATTCGACTCCGACGAGCGGCAGTGCTGCGACACCTCAAGCGACAGGCCACCAGCGTCAAACAAGCCACCAACCCCAACCCCAAACCCAGCTTCAGCAGCAGCAGCAGCAGCAGCAGCAGCAACAACAACAACAACAGCACCAGCATCAGCAGCTCCCGCAGGATCAACACTATCAAGTTCAACAGCACCAGCACCTCCTTGACGAGGCAGACTCAGCCTCCCACGGCGCCCACTTTGGCCAGTCCCAGTCCCAGTCACAGTCGCACTCGCACAATAGTGCCGGTGCCGGTGCCGGTGCCAGTGCCAGTGCCAACAATCCTTCTAGCATAAACCCCCATTCAGCCTTGTCCTCGTCCCATAACGCCGCATATAGTTCGAGCGAGTCCTTTGATTCACAGCAGCAGCATCCTCCGCCTCCGGCCCAGTTCTTGCAAAAGCAGCAACCGCCGCTGCATCTCCAACACCCTCAGCAGCAACCTCAAGGTTCTCTGCCGCTGCTGCCCTCCCCCTCCTCCGCTTCCGCTTCCACTGGTGCCCCTCCCCCACCTCATCTCTACAACTCGCCCTCGGCCGCTAGCAGTACGACCGGTGCTCATGTTAATAACAATCCACCTTCTTTACAGCAGCAGCAGCAGCAGAGCTCGAACCTTTCGAACCAGGCGTTTGACCCTCATCAACCTCACAGCGAATTTAATGACTCTGGTTTAGGCCGGTCGCAAAGTATCCGCTATAACGCTCCCGCACCTTACAACGTCCAGACCTCGTCCGTTGACGATCTGAACCGTTACGGTCAAATTCCACCGCAGCAGCAGCAACAACAACAACAACAACAACAACAACAACAAGTGCAGGGACAAGCTCAAGTGCCAGCTCAAGCTCAAACCGCTCCTGCTGAGAAGCGCTCGACTCGAAAATTAATTAAGGGCATATTTTCTGGGTCCAACCGTGGGGCGTCTGACGGCCAGCACCACCACGGCATAAGCATCGGCCACAGTAACAACCAATCCTACGATAACACTGGCGGCCTTGCACGTCGGCCTTCCAAGCGGGTGAGCAATCCACCGCCTTTCTTTCTCTGAATCGTACCTTGTTTTCCAGCTCCTTTCCCTTTCCATTTTCCTTGTTCTTGTTGTTTATTGTGAACTTGAACCCCCCAGTCATTTCTTTCTATCTAGTTGGTTCTCTCATCCTGTCTTAACCCCTCCCCTCCTCTCTCTCAGCCCAGCCCAACACCCAAATCTTACTCCCAATCTCACTCCGCCTGCCTGCCTTTCCTCCTCTCTGCACATCTCACCCGTTGTACCTTTAGCACTCGACCGTAGCCAAGGCCAAGCAGCCACAGCCACAGCCGTCTGGCCAGGTCCAGAACCTTAACCAATCCCCTTTTTTGTCTTCAGCCCAAGCCCAAGCTCAAGCACAAACCAAAGCCCAAGCCTCAATAGTTAAATCTGGTTACCATTGGCGCCAACCGCCTTCGCCGCCATTCCCACTCCCATTGCCAGCTGAAGCTGAAGCTGAGCTCCTTCAGCAGGTCCAACTACCCGAAAGCCCACGCGCCCCTTTACCCCAGCTTTCATCTCGCCCAGGTCTCGACGATATCAATGAACACTATATCGCACATCAATCTAACCAGCCACCAACCTTACAGACTTCACGTATTTCGCTCCACAACACTATTCGCCAAGTTTCCGGTGAAGCAGACCAACAGCAGCAGCAGCAACCTTACGACGACGCCGCCTATCACCAGAACCAGGCCCCGCTTCAGCAGCAACAGCAACCGCCGCCGCAACCCCACGTTCAGTTACACACAGAGGATCAACAGCCGCAACCCGGTTACGAAACAAACGCCTACGACCAGCAACAATCGCCTCTTAACCCATCGCAGCATTCACCGTCGCAGCCTCATCAGTTCCCAAACACTCAACAGCAAACCAACTATCACCAAGGTGGTAACCAAGGTGGGGATTTGAGATCAGTTCCTGCGCACCTGGTCCCCAGCGCACAGTTTCAGAACCCCGAAACAGTCTCGCAGTTCTCGCATGAATCGCCTATCGCCGACTCGGACCAGCGTTCAGCCCACTTGCAGTCAGCCTCCAACTCGCCTGCTGTAAACCACTCCCTCTACGTACAGACTCAAGGCTCAACACCGAGTCTACCTCCTGCTCAACAGATAATCTCACAGCCACAGCAACCGGGTATGGCACCACCTACCGGAGGACCTCCGGCCTCGCGCCGTCCGGACACCGACAAACTGCGTGGACAGGCCGATGTCCCCGGCGGCCCACCCCCCACTTACCGTCCCGCCAATTCTATGAACAACATGAACCCGCTACCTCCCGTCCCGCCTCAGGTGGCCGGCCAGCCACAAGCCTACCGAGGTGACCGCCCACCTCCGTTTGAGGGCCAGGGGGCTGATCAGGGACGAGACAGCCCCCAGCCGGCATCTGCAGTTCCTGCCGACTCTGGCGAGAACGACAAGTCATTCAAGGATCTATGTAAGTGAGATTTCATGGGATCTTTGTGTATTCGCGTAACTTCTGAGAGAGTGTACTGATATTTTTGCAGTGACCAAGTATAAGAACGTCAAGCGCCTCTATTTTGACGGTAAGGGGCAGATCGAGGTGCTCAACGGTCAAATCGTGCACCTCCAGAACGCTGTTGCCAACCAGCGCATGTCGCAGTCGCGCACTGCCCTCGACGATAGTGAATACTCTACGCGATTCAACCGACTTAATGGTGCTATTAACAATCTTTCTTTCAACATTCGAAAAGACTGGCGGTGTGTGCCTCAGTGGCTTGACAAGTATGTTAGCGCAGAAGCACTCAAGACCGGAAAGGCTGAGATGACGGCCGTTGGACGAGCTGTCATCTCGCGATGGTTGATGGAGGAGGTGTTCAACAAGTGCTTTCACCCTGGACTAGATGCACAGCTGAGCCAGTCCCTCAAAGAGATCGAGCTTGGTATCCGAAACAACTCGTATACTTTGACCAGCCAGGAAGAGTTTGACGCGTTAACGAGCAAGATCGTGAGTTGGCGAATGACATCCTTAGATGGTCTGCACCGCCAACTCAACTCACCAGCAGCAAATGATAACCGCGACACATTTATTGCAAAGACAACTTCCAATCTGACGGCCTGCCTCTACCAGTTCCTCAACACTCCTCCCCCACCCGGCGTGGAGGGTAGCACATCAATGATAGTGGAGCTTGCGGTGGGCATTGCAGCCAATCTTCCATTGGAGAGTCGTGACGTTGCGATTTCTTACCCGCTACCCGGCGAAGTGGTTCAGCCTCATGTGATGGAAGTCGAGAAGGCGGCGCTGCCCGAGTTGGAAGCTCAGAAGGGACAGGTTGACGGTGACAGCAAGGATGGTGATGATGAAAAGAGCGGCAAAGTTAAGACTGGTACGTTGAATAAAGTAAACCCGCCCGAGGGCGGGGAGGGTAGCGACGCTTCAAAGAGCACAAGGACGGATGCTGACAAGGACACTGTTGTAGCGGCCCTGCCGAAGGATTCCAACAGGGTACGATTTGCAGGATTTATGGCATTGGAAGTGCGAGGAAGACAAGTGTTGATGAAGGCACCTATCTGGACTCTGTGAGGAAAGACTGTTGGGCAAAAGACCTTTACGACGATGAAGCACAGCCTGGACGATAGGAGATAGTGCTATGGGCTATGTCGACAGCGCAACGAAGATGAGGGCATTCGGAGATAGTAGATATCCCGTAAGAGCAGTGTAAGTCCATGGGCTGACTGAAAAGCCAGACTGGGCATGGCAACATGGCCTGGACTGGCTTGAAGATTACGAACGACATGACAGGGGTTTATAAAGATGAAGGATAAAGGATCTGGACCTTTATTTTGTTCTGTGTATATGCTTGCCGATGAGATAAGACGAGCTGTAAGAGATGCTAAACGTGTTTTATATTGTCATCTGTCTGCATATCCAAATTAAGTTCCGGAGTCAATCACAAGGGGACTCTGAATCATATCCATCTTATTTGACGATGAGAAGTGCAAAACATGTATTCATATAAATATGGAGTGGAATAGTGAATAAATAATGGTATGGTGAGTGTAGTGACGGATAGTGAGATCACTTGCCTTGTTTGGACTTGACACAGGATGAGTCGAAAGGTGCTAACTAGTTAGGGCTGAATCAACTTTGGGAATACTGTAGATTCCAATTACAGTGGCTTAGTCAACGGCCAGGGAGTCATTTTCTAATTGGAAGAGTCATAGTTGATAGATGCAGGCAATAAAAGACCCTGCGTAGGTCTGTTCCCCATAGTGGCGATGTTTTCGTGAGGTGCCTGGGCCCAAGTGAGCAAATATGTACGTGAGTCATTATGCTGATTACTGCTTCCAGGTAGCCCCAAGAAAGTTCACAGCAGCGGGAGAGTCAACTAATTTACTCTGTACAGTTGAGGTGCTGACTTCATGCGGAGACCTTAAGCTCCACTGTTCATCCAGGCCCTGAGGTGCATTCCAGGTCCATTACATAAAGAGCTCCCAGAGAACATCGAGCAGAGAAAAAAAAAACCTGCCAACGCCAAAACATCCACTCTTGCTTCTTACATCGCGACAACTTCACCACCCTTCCTCCACCTCTACAATTCTAAACTCTACGACTTGCACGACTCAGAATAAATTCGCAATAATGGCTGTCCGTGCTCAATTCGAGAACTCCAACGAGTACGTCAAACCCTACCTTGTCTTTCTTTTTGGGTGGCTCGAGAAGCTCTCTCTTGAGAACCCCGCCCCCGCCTTTCTTTCGCCTTTTTCCAGATGCGGCGCATCTCACTGCGGATGATGCCTTTTTTGTGCGAAGCTGCGTATGAAGAAAACCATTCACTAACATATTACTGATAGGGTCGGAGTCTTTTCCACCTTGACCAACTCTTACGCCCTTGTTGCCCTTGGTGCCAGTGAGAACTTCTACAGGTAAGTCCTATAAAGCCATACTCTTCTCCGCCTTGAGTTTCATACTGACTTGACTCTCTCAGTGTCTTCGAGGCCGAACTTCAAGATATCATCCCTACTGTTCGCACCACCATCGCTGGAACTCGCATCATCGGCCGTTTGACCGCTGGCAACCGAAAGGGTCTTCTTGTCCCTACAACCACAACCGACCAGGAGCTGCAGCACCTGCGCAATTCGCTGCCCGATTCGGTCCGCATCCAGCGCATTGAGGAGCGCTTGTCAGCCCTTGGAAACGTTATTGTCACAAATGATCACATCGCCCTTGTCCATCCTGATCTGGAGCGCGAGACAGAAGAGATTATCGCGGATGTTCTCGGCGTGGAAGTGTTCAGACAGACTGTCGCCGACAATGTCCTAGTAGGCAGCTACATGAGCCTCTCTAACCAGGGTGGTCTCGTGCACCCCAAGACTCCCATCCAAGACCAGGACGAGCTTTCCAGCTTGCTCCAGGTTCCCCTTGTCGCCGGCAGTGTCAACCGTGGTTCCAACGTTGTCGGCGCTGGAATGGTTGTCAACGATTGGCTCGCCGTCACTGGTCTTGACACCACCGCCACCGAGCTCAGCGTTATCGAGAGTGTGTTCCGCCTCGGCGAGGGCCAGGGCCCTAGCAACATCAACACCAGCATGAAGGACACCATGGTCGAGTCTTTCTACTAAGCTTGATCCGCGGTTTTGTTTCCTACATGTACACTGCTTATGGGGCTTTTCTGATAATCTTTTGGGCTACTGATACGACGACTCATTCGTCTTGACGAATTTTTAAACTTAAACGGGGCCTGGTGTTTGGAATTCTTGCGTGGTTTTGCGGTCTGGTATCAGGAACATGGTATTCATGATGATCGAATGATATGGTTCACATAAGGAACGGCAATCAGCCACTTACCTCACGGAACGAAAGGGAGCAATGTCAGAGCGGGGATAGGATAACCCTGCTCTACTCAATTACATCCATCCGATCCGCCCTGGGAACTGAGTTGCGCCGGGTGACACTTTACCGTTGCCTGAAGACTCTCCCATACTGTAGTGTCTGGCTTCAGGTGAGTCTGGCAAAGGGTTGTGGAAGTCTAGAAATACTAGGTATTTTGTACTATCTTAGATAGTACTCTCATAGATAGGCCAAATATCGTTAGATATGTATGTCTAGTAATGAACCAACTCCTCTGAAGACCACTATGTTGTAACTCTCGTGCCTAAGAAAGCATCCATGACTTGGCAGTTCCCAGCGATACAAACTCTATGACATGCGTACCGAACCAATTTGCGAAGAATTTATTAGCGTGCTAGTGACCGATGTTCATAGCATAATTAAAGACTAGAGTTGATTTGCTCGATTTGGTAAGTTCACAGCGGTTTCTGATCAGCGTCTTGCCATGAGTTAGTTACATAAAGACCATCAAGATATTAACTAATAAATAACCAAGTTACTAACATATTTTACGATTCAAGATGTGAACTTAATAAACCGATTGCTTTGTCTTATTAGCTCCTCTAACTTTTACCCTAGGTATTTTGACGATATCCCGATTCATGCTTGTTGGATGGTCTTGTAAGTTACCCCGCGCTCACCGCCTACCATTTCTAGACATGGCTTCAACTCCCCCACCACAAAATATCCCATGGTTGGGCACTATGGATCACCCTGAATAGCTTCACGTTCAGACAAAGCCTTTCCCGACCAATCAAATATCCTCAAGCATCCCTCCTCGATGGATTCCAACGAGAAACCCCAGCATCTGGAGCCCTCAAAGCTTGGCACAAAGCAATAGTACGATACACCCCCTTCATTATAACCTCAGACCGGATAACTCACATTCTGCCCCTCCAGTTGGGATGATCTTTACACGAACGAGATAACAAATCACACGGCTGATCCCTCCGACATCGGAACCGTTTGGTTCGACGACTCAGATGCTGAAGCAAAAATACTCGAATTCTTAGAAGGACTGCTTGATCCCTCCGATCCAGACTCTCCCGTCCTCTCTCACGACAATACAACATTTCTCGACCTTGGCTGTGGAAATGGGTCCCTGCTTTTCTCCCTCCGTGAAGAAGATTGGTCTGCCCGTGCTCTCGGCGTTGACTACAGCCCCCAGAGTATCGCTCTGGCAAGACAGATCACAACTACCAAGGACGGTCTAGAAAAGCCAGTCGAGTTCGAAGAGTGGGATCTTATAGCTGGATCCTACGATCCCGTCCTCAACGGCGAGCAGGCCGATGGCTGGGATGTCGTGCTCGACAAGGGCACATTCGATGCTATATCCCTAAGCGATGAGAAAGATGCTCAAGGACGACGGTTATGCGAATGCTACCGTGAGCGTGTGCTGCCGCTGGTTCGCAAGGGTGGCATTTTCCTGGTGACAAGCTGCAACTGGACTGAGACTGAGTTAAAAGGCTGGTTCGAGAAGACCGACAGCCAAGGATTTGAAGCTATTGGCAGAGTAGAATACCGATCTTTCAGCTTCGGCGGTCAAAAGGGACAAACTATTAGCACACTCTGCTTCCGCAGAGTATAAATAGACCTGCTTTACAGATGTGGCAGGGTCAACAACAACAATAATAAAAACATGATGATACCCCTGAACCTGGTCACTCTGTGCTGGCTTCAGCACCTGATTCCAAATAGTCAATAGCATTCACTTCTGGGAGCTCCTATTGTATCATACAGTGGTATTTGAACTTGTGTCGATGCTTGGACTACCCCTCGCCTCTTCATTCTGGCCCTAAAGCTTCATCCGCACTCTATCCCCTGCTCAGGTCGAGGATTTGCGTCAAGTTTCTTTTTAATCGTGTCTCTTGCAGAATATACACTCTCAGCCAGCAATGTCCAGCTCCAAACAGTGACTTCTAATATGCAACGTACGACTTCATGGGCTCTTGTCTGTCTTTCTCTGTTTCTGTGGCGATACAGACGAAACAAAAAATAGCAGACAAAACTTGTCTTGACAACAATTATTGCTTCATTACGTCTCTCATCTATGGCGATGTATTCATGGGCTCTCCGCCAGCAATAGGTCCCGAAATTTCGGCTGCCGCTGTCGTCGCAAAGTATCGCACATCCACATCGTCATCCTTCTGCAGCTTTTCCAAGTTGGGAACAACTCGTTGTTGGATCAGTTCCGAGCCCCGTGGCGACGGTGTGATCTCGCTGCCCTGCTTCTCCAGGTCATACAGAGTACCCTCGTCAGGTAGACGTCTAAGCACATTGATGAGAACACGGTATGTCTTGGCCACGTTGAAGCGGATGTTAGGGATGTCGTCAGAGACCAGCTTGTCAAGCATGGGCAGAATCGACTTGGCGATCACGTCCATGCTTACCACACTAGCCAATGTCTAAAAGTAAAGTTAGCCATGGGTCACCCATCACACAAAAGAGGGAAAGCAATTACCGAGATAGCGAAGCAGGTTGTCATCCTGTACAGGTAGTTGGGGTGGTTACCCATAGCCATAACCTTGGGGATGATAGCCTCGCTGGCCCACTCAACACCGAAAACCTCAGTAAGCTTCTTCAGGTTGTGAGTAGCCGCTTCACGAATGGAGAAGACGGTGTCTCCCAACCAGCCCATGCACAGGTTGCTAAGCTTCTCATCGAAGAACTGGACACCAAGCTGGCTAGCCAGGAGGGGAATGTACTCGATAATGGCAAGTCGTACTCGCCATTGCTTATCCTCAGCGAGCTGTACGATTGCCGGAAGAAGCGACTGTGAAAGGAGGTCGATACCAATAACTGCAATGTGTCAGCCTATCATGTAGTCCCCAGTATTTCTTGCTTACCCTGGTTAACGAGCTCAAGCTTTGAGATGATGTGGAGCCTAACCTCCGGGAACTCGTCCTTGAGCATCTGAAGAAACATGGGGAGAAGGTGATCAATAGTTCTGCAACCAAAATCAGACTTAAGTTGAAGGGTTAAGGGGAGCATTTGACATACTCTTGCTTTCCAAGAATGGGAGCCAATCCACTGATCTGGGTTCCAAGCGCAGCACGGACGTGCTGAGATGTATCCGAGACGAGATCCTCAATACTGCCCATAATATCGTTGAGGAGGACGTTGCGGTCGACGAGAGCGCAGAAGCCGGGAATTTGGCCAGCAATGGCGGTTCGCACCTCGGCCTCGTTGTCTTTGAGAAGCTTTACGAAAGCGGGAACGAGGTCCCTCGAGACAACCTCCTCGTCAACTGCCTTGGCGATCTGCGAAAAGTCAGTACGGCGCAGTCAAGTATCAGCTTGACAATACGAACCTTTTCGAATCGATCCGCAATCATGTAACGAACTCTCCAGCTCTTATCCTCTATCAAATTGCGCAGAGCTGTCAGCAGGACGCCGTGGCTGGCCTGCTGCTCTTTGGGAACTGCCTCGGCGATGGAGATAAGAACCTCGACCGTGAGTAATCGGACGCTATCCTGATCGTCTTGTGCGAGGTGTTGGAAGAGGGGTATCATTTCGTCGACGACGATAGTGGCGGGCATTTCCTTGGTGAATTTGGCGAGGTTGGTGGCAGCCTGCCGGCGAACCATGGGTGTCTCATCGTGAACCAACAGGCCAAACTGCTGGCGCAGTTGCTCTTGGACAGGCGGGGAGACCTTGTTGTAAGGAGTTGTGAAGAGACCGCATCCCGAAACCTTTGATGTGAACCAATCGGCCTTGGCGAGGCGGATTGTGAGGGGGATGAAGTACTCCTCAACTTGTTGGGGTGAAAGCTCAGAGCAAATCTTGTTCAGGGACTCGACGGCCTAGAATACCAATCAGCGCCGGGGACGGGGAATGAAGGAAAGGGTGCGATTTTACCTTGTCGCGAACTACGGGCTCCTCGATAGCTGCGAGGTTCTCGAGGGGAGACAACAGGACGTGACCCCACTGGGAACCGCCAACATACTCGACAAAGCCGCCAAGCTCTTCGCTCAAGGCAACAAGGACCTCATCTTCATCTTCCACAGACTCTGTATAGTATCACGGTTAGGATGTGCCATTGTTTATATCGAATGGTGGTAAGCGGGAAAGCTAAATCGAAGACTAACCATCGAGGAAGGGGATGAGCTCCTCACGAGTGCGTTCAGCGCCGAGAGCGAGAGCAATGGTCGAGAGACGATGAATGGCGTTGAGACGAAGCAAAACATCATCGTGCTGGGGAAGAATCGAATGTCAGTAACGAGTAGCTCACTATTCTTGGCGATAAGATGGGAGAGCAGAAGAGAAGTGGTTGGTTTGTAGCGTGGCGTCACCGCCAAACCTGGCATACCTTTAGCTCATCAATAAGGACGGCGATAGGATACAGCTCATCGCCAGAGTTGGGCGCGTCAGCCATGGCGAGCGGGGCGGTGATATCGCAGATTTATCAGGAAAATGAGCGTCGGCGTCGGAGTAGAGTCGAGATGATCGTTAGGATGGAGGGAGGAGGGAGGTAGACGATTGCGGGTGGATCGCGTGTGGTAGTGGTAACTGGTAAGTGGTCACTGCTGGTGCTGGTGGGTGATGCAATGATTTGCGCGGAGAGTCCCAACACACGATTTTTGGCTGAAAGAGGAGGGCCAGAGACGAGGCCACGCAGGGTAAGTAGTGGAGAGATGTGAGATACGCTCAGCGCAGAGGAAAAACCGGGAGTTAAACGATGCAGAGTCACAAAGGTCAAGGTCGTGGCCTATATTAACAGGGCAGGGTCGTCGAGGTTTGAGATGTGGGCATGTGAATCAATAGCAATAGATGAGGGAGGGAGAAGGAGAATGTGGAGTGGGAGCTGGATATTTGCCCGCCCGATGAACTGACTGGGCTACGCTGGGCCACGCTGGGCAGGCTGCTGGTGAAGTGAAGTGAGGCTGGTGCAGCAGTGGTGTATCACTGCGTTGTTCAGTGACGGGTGCCCTGTTAGGAACGCGGGCTGTTTGGAGTGGCAATGGAACCGTCTCAACCGCCCGCCCAGCCGCCCAGCACCCTGCCCAGGCGAGCAGCTATCCACCTAACGTAGGTAGGCTGCCTGTAATTGTAATACCTACTACCTAACCTAGCTGTACTTAGAATGTGGCTGGAGTGGGGTCAAAGTGGCTTCTCATTTCCCTTCAAAGCAATGGATTTTTGAGGGACAAGTTCACCTTCGGCCTACACATTTCAAATACAATGTGGCTTGAGCATGGAATAAAGACATGTGTTTGGGATTGTATTGCCAATGTTGTAGTACATATCGTTATTGTCCAACTGGGTCGTTTTTCCTCAACATACCGGCATAGCAAACTTCTGAATGGCCAGGCATATAAATCTCAAGAACCTCAACTGTGTATCAGGTCAATATGGCTTTAGCCTTTGTAGGATCGCATCCGACGTCACTACCATAGCTTCTCAAGCCCTGAACTCTCAAAGCTCCAAGCCCCGCCATTCCCAGCTCAGCAGAGACACAGTTCTGCATTCAGTTTGGCAATGGGTTTCTCACTTTAGAATTTCCGACAAGGCAGGATCAAGACACATCAGGTTATTTAACGGCCATCTTGATCTGATCTCTGAAACCCCTCACGTTCAATGCAGCTGAGTCGACGAGGTAAGCTTTAGGTCCTTAGCTACCTGGATAGTAGAAATTACAACTACAATAGATTGGGTAACAAGAAACCCCCCTCTATCTTACTCCGTACGTACTATAATCTTTAAAAAGCTTCACAGCTAAGTGCATGTATCATGATGGAGAATATCTCATTCAGCACTGGATTATAGATGATCCGCAACCTTACCCCGCCAAACCCGTCAGCTAGCGGGGTACCGCTCCAGCGCACCACAGCATTGCATCTTGCAGAGTACCCTAGTATCGCATCCCACTTACTCCCAGTCGCATACAACGACATCCCCAAAATTTCCTGTGACTCAGTGCAATCCACGCCCCAATCCACGTCCAACGCTTCACGGAAGCCTCATCTTTGTCTCCAGTTCCTCGAACAAGGATTATTCAACAAAACAGGCTCGAGGCTACGGTTCATCATGCCTACCATCTCCGTCGACAAGTACAGGCTCTACGAAGCCCTCGGTCAAAAGTGCGAATGCCCCTCCTTGTTAACCCCCACCATGAGCTCTCCGACTTCGCGCCCAACTTCCATTATGTGTCACTGACGGAATTTCTTGCGCCTGGAACAGATTCACGACCGAGGAGTTTGAGGACCTCTGCTTCGAATTCGGTATTGAGCTTGACGAGGATACCGAGAACGATGAGCGTCCTATTGTCAATGGCGAGCAGGAGCCTCCTCAGCTCAAGATTGAGATCCCCGCCAACCGATATGACATGCTCTGCTTTGAAGGTATCGTCAACAACCTCAATGTCTTCCGTGGTAAAGAGCAGCCTCCCAACTACCGACTTGTCGAGCCTTCAAGCGGCAAGCTAGAGTCTATCACCGTTAAGCCTGAGGCTGAGCAGGTCCGACCATATGTCTCTGGTGCTATCCTCCGCAATATCAAGTTCGATAAGAGCCGATACGAGTCCTTCATCTCGTTACAAGACAAGCTTCACCAGAACCTTGCCCGAAACCGAACACTCGTTTCCATCGGTACCCACGACTATGACACTATCAAGGGTCCTTTCACCTACGAGGCTTTACCTCCCAAGGACATCAAGTTCACTCCCCTGAACCAGACGAAGGAGATGGACTCTGCTGAGTTGATGAGCTTCTACGAGAATGACAAGCACCTGGGCCGTTTCCTCCACATCATCCGCGACTCGCCAGTCTATCCTGCCATCTACGACTCTAATCGCGTTGTCTGCTCTCTTCCTCCCATCATCAACGGCGATCACTCCAAGATCACACTCGACACTACCAATGTCTTCATTGAGATCACCGCCACAGACATGACCAAGCTTGATATTGTCACCGACATCATGGTCACTATGTTCTCTATGTACTGCTCCGAGCCTTTCACTGTTGAGCCTGTCCAGATCAACTCCGATCACAACAACCAGACTCGTGTCACACCCAACCTAAAGCCTAGAGTTGCCGAGGTTGAGATCGATTATCTGAACAGCTGCACCGGTCTCACCGAATCTCCCGAGAGCCTGTGCAAGCTCCTCTCCAAGATGGCCTACACCTCCACTCCCTCATCAAAAGACCCCAACATCCTCGAGGTTGCTATTCCCCCAACCCGAGCTGATGTCCTTCACCAGTGCGATGTGATGGAGGATCTTGCCGTATGCTATGGCTACAACAACCTTCCTCGCACCGCCCCCTCACGAAGCGCTACCGTCGGTGCTCCCTTATTGATCAACAAGCTTAGCGATATTATCCGAACTGAGACTGCCGTCGCTGGCTGGAGTGAAGTTATGCCACTGATCCTGTGCAGTCATGACGAGAACTTTGCATGGCTCAACCGCAAGGACGACGGAAACACTGTGGTGCGTCTTGCCAACCCCAAGACCGCCGAGTACCAGGTCGTGCGGTCAAGCCTTCTCCCCGGTCTTCTCAAAACCATCCGCGAGAACAAGAGCCACAGTGTGCCCATGAAGATCTTCGAGGTTTCCGACGTCGTCTTCAAGGATGAGTCTCTGGAACGCAAGGCTCGCAACGAACGACACTTTGCTGCTGCATGGTACGGCCGAACAAGCGGTTTCGAGGTTGTTCACGGTCTCCTCGACCGCGTTCTGCTCATGCTGCGCACTGCTTTCGTTACCCACGACGAGGGTCTGACCGGCAAGAGTGTTGACTTTGAGGTGAAGGAGAACCCCAGCAAGCCTGACGGCTACTGGATCGAGGAGCTTGACGATGCTACGTTCTTCGCGGGTCATGCTGCTTCCGTGTATCTCCGTGTTGGCGGAAAGGAGAGGCGTATCGGCGAGTTCGGTATCTTGCATCCTACTGTGTTGGAGAAGTTTGATTTGAAGTAAGTGGCCAAAGCAATCATGCATAAAGGGATATTTACTAACATTTGATAGATACCCTGTTAGCACTCTCGAGATCAACCTCGAAGTCTTCCTGTAACGTGGTCAAGAAATCTAAAGAGAAAAGTAGAACGCGAGGAAAAGAGACGATACAAAGGAAAACCTGTAGAATATGTGCGGTGAAATCAAACGAATATGATTCAATGTGCAAACAAAGGCGTTTCCATAGCTAGGATGACCTTACGAGATAGACAAAAACAAGAAAAACATATATGCCATTTATTGCATGCTTGGATTGAGCAGAAGATTTGGTATGCTATGCCATATGATTAAGGGAGCCCCAAAAGAATCTATCGCTGTCTAAACCCTTATTGCTTGTACGCAAGGTACGCCCAATTATGCAACAATCCCACCAACCAAGTGAAACGCCAGAGCCACAGGCCCAGGATGATGTCTCTCATGCCAACAATAACATCTGTGCAAGGTAATAATAAGTCAAATGCAAAAGCTCAAAATTCTGAAGTCCAACACATGTGGGCACTCATGATTCAGACCTCACCGCTGCACGCCTACTATGTGATCGGAGTAGCACTGTCTCGAGATGCGCTGTGGGGTCATGTTGTTCAACGCCTGGAGGGTGACATGGTATCTCTAATTCTGTATTATTCGGTGGTAGGCGGTCCATAAAGGTACAACGGCGCGGGTCCAAAGGCTCGGAGTCACGTCGTTGGATGTACTCCCACCCGCTGTCTAGGTCGCCGGGTACACTGCAAAAGCTATAATGGTCTAGGTTCGTTGTCAAGAGTGGCGGTGCTGCCGGAGTGTGTGGCCAGGAGCAAAAATGTCGCACAGTTTCGTCAGTCTCGATAATCAAATACGGGTCAGGATCCGACTCTGTAAACATGACCTCCTATGTCATCTCACCCAGCTCCTGGTCGCTGCGAGAAGGGGCGGGAGCTGAAGTTGAGGATGAAGTAGACTCGCTAGTATTTGCAAGTTGCCCTAACATTCCTTTGCCAAGGTTGAGGTTCGCGATACCGTCTCGAATAGCGGTAAAGGTGTTGCCACTGGGCTCGGTAGATGCGCTTCGTTCAATTGGTGTATGCCGTGACTCAGGAGTCAATATCTCGTGTGCAGTTTCAACTCCAGAAAGGACTGAGGGAGGTTCTGATTTGGAGCTCGAAGTTGATGCTCTAGGATCAGCATCTGCTTGAATGACGCTGGGATACTGGAGATTCGATATGGCGGTTTGCCGATCCGTTTCTGCTGCGGCTGCGGCGTTGAGGCCACCATTCATCTCATCCTCTGTTCTTCCAAACAACTGATGCCACCACCTGATCTCCTTGAGTCGCGGTAGCAGAATTCTCTCCTGCCCCTTGACATGATCGTCGATACTGGCGTCATAGTCTGGGTTCGTGAACTCAGCTCGACGACAGAGGAAGTAGTCCCAAACCGAAGATGTCCGCTCTGCGGCTCGGGCGTCTTTTCTTTGTTTCTCAGAATTGAACAAGAATGTGCCGTATTGGCAAGAGTACAAATGGTATAGGAGACGTCGTAGAAATCGTTCGTTATACTCGAAGCGAGTCTTGTTTTGGCGTAGAAGCTGATAAGTGCAGTCGAGAAATTGATGAAAGACAGGACTGACCATCTTTGGGCTGGTAGCTTCATCATCAACAACCTTACCAGGTGCCGTTTCACTGACCGCAGCCAAGTCTGGATCGTCCTTGTTCTGATTGAAAAATCGCTTCGCGCCACTCAACACATTCTGGAATGCGTCACCTCTACCGTCGTTCTCTCCAGGTTGCACCTTCGCACCTGCAAAAGCGTCCTTTTGAACCGTGAACCAGTCCTCGTGATTCAAGTGACCAGATCGCAATCTAAACATGTGACCGAACGAAAGCCAGTCCTTCTCCACAAGAACGATGAAACCCTCGATGGTGCGAAAATAAGGGTCCAGCATGATTTGAGCTAAAGCGCTTAGTTGACTTGTGCGGTCCCAGCCATCAGAGCAGTGAATGAGGACATGTGAGTGGTTGATGCCAATCTGTCTGGTGATAATAGCTGAGCCATCCAGCACATCATGGATGTGCCGTAACCAATTACTATGTTGGAGCAGCTCTCTATTTGGTGGTAAAGGGGAGATGTCTGCATCCTTGAGAGCATCAACGACCTTATTGAGAGAGCTTCGCATGACGTGGATATTCTCAATACTAAGGAAGATTTTCCGAGCGAACTTATACTTGTCCATATTCTCCGAGCCCATTCCTTGTACTTGATTGACCATTGCATTGATAGTCGGACGGGCGTCCACAATCAAATTACTCTGTTGTGCTCCATACACTTGTCGCTTTCCAGAGGCGTCATAGACAGCAGTAGATCTTGAAATAAGCTCATCTTCATAGCGTTCCGTCTCTGAAAGCTCCGGTTCCAGTGATGAGTTCCCTAGAGACACATCGGCTTGACTTGAGAGGGGTGTTGTGTCTTCGGATCCCGATGGCATCAACGCATTGAACGATGCTGCTACAAGTTTTTCGTCTTGGACATTTGTCTTTCTTGTAATACCTGAAAGTGGCTGAGAGCTTCGAGTGATGGTGCAGTTGTTGATGGGATGGATGTATGACAGCGCAGGCACACGATTCCTCGAACGGAACTCCTTTGCATATTTGAGAACGTTGTCCGATATTTTGGTAGGGACAACCAAGAAAGCAGGATAAGTGTCGCAGAAAGTATAGTCCTTGTTGATGTGAGTGATCCTCCAGCCTTTGTCGGGCAGCTTCTCGCTGATTCCTTGCCGTCTGAATTCCGCTTTCGGATCGTAGAAGGACCAGCCGGCAACCTCGCGCTCAAACTTAAGGGGCTTGTGATTAAAGGCATAGAGCTTCTCCACCGTTCCTAATTTGCATGTTCGAGACTTGATGAACTCGAAGGCTTCGCGCGCGATCTCGCTATCGGTAAAGTTGAACGTCACAAAAGTGAAGTCACGGCATCGCATACGGATAGACGGCGCCTGTCGAGATCCAGGTGGAACGGGCCGGATGGCGCAATAAGATAGCATGGGGAACGGGATCCATCTTTCGCGCACCTTGGGCTTCTGGGAAGGATCTTCTGGGGGTTTGCCCGACTGATCGATGGGTGCGCAGAATACCAGGTGAAAGTCGGTCAGTCGCAAGGTACCATGAGTAGTTTGGCCGCCGTAGATACCCTGGACGCCCTCGATGATCTATTCGATGTCAGGATATCGAAATGCAGCGCAGAGTGGTGGCTGCGCAAGTGGTGTCGTGGAAGCAAAGGGACCAGAACTAACTGGGTGATCATGCGTACCTTTCGGGCCTCCATTTTGGCAATTCGTTAAGCTCACCTTAAATTCGCCGTCTGCGGGTTGCAAAGGACAGATAATGTCGCAAGCCAGGCGAGTTATCGCGTTAGATCTATGCTTTGGGTATAATCGTTCGTGTATTGATGTAAATTCTTTCTCGAATGCGAATGTGGTAGTGGATGTTGAAGTAGCTCGATATCGCGGGGCCGCCGGAAGTCGAGGAAGCAGCTGTACTGAGGCGACCAGAGCATAAATATTATGAGACGGACTCTGACATGTTTTCCACTGAGCAAGATGCGAGAACAATAGAGAATTAAGAGAACAGAGTCTACGTCGAGTCAGACTTTGGCTTGTGCTTTGTAAAAGGGTCAAGTTTAGGTTAAAATAAGAGACCAAGACAAGCTCAAACAAGCTCATCCATCATCACGAGCCACGAGCCACAGACGCCCACCTGGCAGTCGAGGACAGGAGGGGCTCAACACAGAAAGAAGCCCGACGTCAGAGGCATGGCCCAAGCGCTTACCCCATTTTGGGTTGACTGATGATGGACCCCAGTTTTGGTAAATTTGTTTTTCCGATCTCCGACTTCACATCACCTAGTACGTACCGATACCCATGTCTAGGTAGGTCCGGGCGGGCATCTACATACAATTGCTGCCCCACTTTCAGTGAATGTGCGCTCCCTCCAGCAGGCTGCCCGCTTGGTTTTAGGGCTCAACCACACACCAAAAAATTGAGCGAGGCAACATTTGAGTGCAGTGAGGCTCGAAATCCACCCAGGATCGCGAATCTCGAATCTCGAATCTCGACTTTTCCTCTTCAGCCCGCCAACAGACTCAAGACAAGACACCAAGTCAAGTCCCGACAACACAAGTCCTTTTTTCCAAGATGGCTCACCCCGGATCTCAAATGTGAGTTTTTATTGTGCCGTCCATTGTCTGTTTCCGTTCGAATCGAAGCCATCCTTATTCTCACCGCCAAAGAGAGATATCAACACCGTCGCCTGTGGAAATCACAAAATATATCCAACGTTCACTGACAGTTATCCTCTCATAGCTCCAAGAGGAGAAAGTTCGTCGCCGACGGTGTCTTCTACGCCGAGCTCAACGAGTTCTTCCAGCGCGAGCTCGCTGAGGAGGGTTACTCCGGCGTCGAGGTCCGCGTCACCCCCACCGTTACCGATATCATCATCCGAGCCACCCACACCCAGGAGGTTCTCGGTGAGCAGGGCCGCCGCATTCGCGAGCTCACCTCGCTCATCCAGAAGCGATTCAAGTTCCCCGAGAACTCCGTCTCCCTCTACGCCGCCAAGGTCCAGAACCGTGGTCTCTCCGCCGTCGCTCAGTGCGAGTCCCTCCGATACAAGCTCCTCAACGGTCTTGCCGTTCGACGTGCCTGCTATGGTGTCCTCCGTTTCATCATGGAGTCTGGTGCCAAGGGTTGTGAGGTTGTTGTCTCCGGTAAGCTTCGTGCTGCCCGTGCCAAGTCCATGAAGTTCACCGACGGCTTCATGATCCACTCTGGTCAGCCCGCCAAGGACTTCATTGACCACGCCACCCGTCACGTTCTCCTCCGCCAGGGTGTTCTGGGTATCAAGGTCAAGATCATGCGCGGCTCCGACCCCGAGGGCAAGGCCGGCCCCCAGAAGACTCTCCCTGACGCCGTCACCATCATCGAGCCCAAGGAGGAGCAGGCTGTTCTCCAGCCCGTCAGCCAGGACTACGGTGCTAAGGCCGCCCAGGCTGCCCAGGCTGCTCAGGACGCACGAGTTGCCGAGGAGGAGGGTGGTGATGAGGTCCAGGCTGTTGAGCAATAGGGTGTCTAAACCACTGGGCTGGGAAAAGCCGCCAAAACCTGATGAAGGAAAGATGGATCCGTGGGATGAGGGACGGAGGTCTACTCAGGCGTCAATTGATCATTTGCATCTGCTAAGGGCACGGACGGTTTCATTCTTGCTTGTAATGGTAGGCAATGCATAAAAGAGAAAAAATGAGACCCCAAGATTACGATGACACGTCTTGTGGCCGTGTCTGATGTCTACCAATCCTTCGATTCCCAGGCCTCGCGAGTCTGTCTTCCTGTCTTGATAAATACCATCGTAACTGTGACCGTTCATCGTAGGCAAATCGACTCGACTGATTGGTTATTCTATCTTGATGACTAAGGGGGTGGGAGACGTCAGGCCATGCTGTGAGCTGGGTCGACAGATTCAAATGTGATGATCATAGGCAATCACCAAGTATCGTAGACTTCAACTTAATGCTTATACCTGTGATTTGGTGTGCATACATCGTCATTCTATTGTGTCCGCAGTACTTTCATGTCGTAACAAGTCTTTGTCTATAGTAGGCAGCCTCTGGCTTTTGCCCATCTCTTGCTTGGTAAATTCAAACTTTAGCTTCCTCAACCCCTTGAAAAAGCCCTGCGACTTGGACAACAAATCTACAACACCCGAACCGTTCATGGCGTGGAAATTTTGACGACAAACACCGCATGAGCTCCCTTTTCATCGCCCAGAATAAACATCTCCCTCGATCCGAAACCCTGTATAAATGGCCCTGACCTGGAAGTTTCCTGTCGTTCATGCCCTGCAGATATCGTACAACAAGGATTCGCCTGTGGTCCCAATACAAAATCCGCCAACGCCGCCCAAGACCGTGTGCCCGTAATACTCCAGTAATAGCAAACAATACATCTCGTTTGGTTCCGAGTCCCGACCCCGTGGATATGAGAAAACACAGTTGGCACCAACATTAGAGCACGTCGTTGCGTAATGTACCACCCATGGATGCTGCCCATACTCCGAGAAATGCCCGGTCAAATGGTTTGAAAATGTACAATGCCTGTTTGAGATGATGAAACATGCAGGATATTGTTGCGGAACTCGCTTTCAGGAGTCACCCGAGGCTTCTTTGCTCCGCTGTTACGTTATATGATACATTGCAAGACGGATCATCGATCTCCCGATTTGTGACGGTCATCAAGCTCAATGCTGTTACCGTATGTCGCCTTGCCATTGCCGTTGGTATGTCGTAGATCGTCGTCACTATCATCGGCCAAGTCGGTCAGAGCAAACCCAGCTGCCTCCTCCTCGTCATATGCGCGAATGAGACCTTCGCGGTCTCCTCGCTGGCTGCTGATGCTGTGTCGAGAAGGATCACCGCTCCTCCTCGCCTGCATGCTCAGGCGTGTTTGTATACCAGACACCATGTCAGTGCCTGTTGCATCGCTTCCTCCTCTTCCAACGCTCAACTTTTGACCATGAGGGTCACCTCTGGACAGGTTGAGGAGGTAGACGCCAGTAAAAGTGACCAAAAATCCGCAGAGTAGCGAAAGGGTGTTGACAGGGTCGTTTGTATTGAATCCGCTAAAGAGGATGAAGGAGGCACAGAGCGTCGCGGTGGTGAACGTCACGTAGTATAGGGGGTTGACGCTGGTACAACTGTTAGCTGAATTCGTAGCAACCGGTATGCTGTTGATTGCTTACATGTTGGTGGGGAAGCTTGCAAGAGCCTTGTTGAAGTAGTTCATCTGAGTTAGAATGCAAACCGTTGTCAAGATCATGAAAACGTAGGTCGAAGGGTGGCTGAACTGGTTGTGGCCGGCAAAGGTAAGCTTGAGAGCGATACCAAAAGCCTTGACGGACATGACGGAGATGGATCCAACGGTAGAGCAGATAGAAAGGTAGATGATCGGGTTTCTCTTGCCGTAGACTGGGGCGATCCTGTAAATCATGAAAACGGCGAAAGCAACAACAGCGAAGGCGTAGAGGAGGAAGCCTAGAGTTAGGGTTAGAAAACACCTCTCTCACAACTTATGTTATTCGTGTACGAACCTGGCTGGATGGCCAAGTGCAAGATCTCATCAACAGTTTCGATCTCCTCATCTGGAGGCGCATGAAGCACAATGATAACAGCACCAATCAGGCATATGGCACTGCCCAGTTTGCCCAGTGTACCAAGCTCTTCTTTGAGGAAGTATGAACCAAGAACGGCACCAATGAGAACACTGAGAGCTCCGAGGGGAGTAACGAGAATAGCAGGGGCGAAAGCGTATGCGGCAAAGTTGCAAATTTCTCCTAGAGCAACTATCACGGTATCAGTATGGCCGTGAGGACAATGAATCACGACCTAACACTTACGAGTTGCGATACCAGCCCACCATAAGGGATTTCTGAGATATGCGAAACCGTCACCTTCAAAGCCATGTCGTTCTTCTGCTTGTATCAACCCCTGGTAACCGGTCAGCTCTGTGTACTCCGTAAGTTGCCAAAGAATGCGCTGCCGCTCAAGAAAAAGCAAGCCCCAGCTGGTGGGAAGCCATCGTGCTAAACGGACCTTTTTTGTGATCACGAAACTTGTTCCTAAAGTCTGTTAGTCATGGCGCGTACGATCATGCTTCAAGAATAACCCACCAATGGCGAGAGCTGATGTCATGGCAAGAGCCAGACCAATATACCTTCAGACAACGTTAGCATCCTGCTCAAGATTCAGGAGAGTCGACTTGTAAAAGAGGACCGGTTGAGATGGCCATTCAGGAGCAAGGCCAGGGACAGGTGTAACGCGACGTACTTGTCTTCAATCATGATGTGTCGGGGAGCGCACGACAGCGACGAAGCGCACCAAGTCAGCTATCTATAGTATTTCCAATGCGCTGAAAGCGAGAATTTGAGTCGAGCCAAGGTTTGGGCAGAATGCGCCACAGGGAGTTGGAATCGAACAACAAAGGCCGACTACAGCTGGCGTTGGCTCGCACCTGGCGAGGGATGCCGAAGGTAGCTATAACGAGTGTTGAAACGAGTGAGTTGCTGGCAGAATAAGGCTCAAGTCCACCGCTGACGCATCAAGTGATCGTTGTTGAATCGTTGTCAAGGAAGACGGGTCGTCAATGTTGTGATGTTTCGTAGACGATTGCAGAGACTCGAGGATGGAGGGGGCTAGCGATTTGCGACGCCAGGAAGATCGGTTTCACGTATCGAGTCGTCGATTGAATATCGAATTCGTGAGCGTGAGGTATAGACGGACAATGTCGTGTGCCTTGAGAGAGCAAGCAAAAAGGGCTCTAGATGCGCAACGACGGTGTTCGCAAATGGCAAGGGGACTGGTCAGTGAAAAGGGACAGCTTGGCTGGATTGCAAAAATGGAGGAGGCTACTGCAGTGCGAATGGTTGGGATGAGATACAGTAGGCGGCAATAACTAGGTAACTTAGTATGGAGGTTGACGGGTTCGTGTCCGGTGCGAAGAGACAAAGTTTGGGGGAGGCCAGATCAGACCCGACGAGGCCAGACAGGGGGGGCTCAGTAAGTAAGCTCCAACCTACAGGTAGTGGGAGGCTTGGACAAAACCAGCAGTGGAGAAAGAAAGTGAAGTTGAAAGGGTTAAAAGAGCAAAGGTACTTTGGTTACAGTGAGGTTTTCGCAGCATCAGAAGGTACATAGTACTTTATCTTTCCTGCTTCTTTCTTCCTTAAACTCAGGCACAGCAGAGAGTTCAAGAGGTTTCAAAAGAGGGCGCCAACGCCAACAGTGGGAACATGGAGCCATCACCCCCTGGCGTCAGGTCCATGTTCCTGGCGTTACAGTAGACTGTAGGGGGGAAGACTCTAAAGATGGAGTCGGAAAAGCCCTGAAAGTGAAGCTAAGTGAAAGTGGAGAGGTGGGACCCTCCACTTCCTTGTGTAGGTTGGTGCTCTGGGCCCAGGTACTCCGTAGGCCCTAGCCCATCCCGTCGGGTAACATGAATCCTTTTGCATCTGACGACACTTCATTCCACGATCGCATTTAATGGAAGACAGACTAGATATAGATAAAACAACCCATCGGCAAACGGCAATGCTACAAAAACTGGCACAGATCCGAGCGTCAAAACACCCATCAATTGGTATTAGCCATTAAAACCCTCCGTTGGCTTATACACAGAGTGACTTGAAGTGAGGTACGGATAGTCTCAGGTTCTGTTCCGTCAACCTTATGTATGATAGGTTCCCAAGGCCGACCGAGGCTTGTTAGACGCATCAAGAAAGACAGACACACACAGCAACGATCGATGAGGAGTGGCCATTTCACCCCTGAACTAATGTCGACACACGACACGCACGCACACGCACACGCACACAATGGCACCGTTACAGCACGATACTGGTAGACGCTCGCTGCAGGAGACTTCCCCATATCACACAATCACCTCACCTCCACTGAAACGTCAGATAGCAATCAGATCAACAAACTCTTTTATTTTGTTTTTGTTTCTACCAAGTCAACTCCATGTAGCGAAGGATGACAACACTCCTCCGTCTTAGTTCCCTGTTATTCATAAGGCTGGTTACCTTACCTTGTCTTACCTACCAATTCAACTCGACACTCCCTTCTAGCGCTTCCCATTAATTGATTCAAGGGGCTTATCAACCCCCTTGCTCTCCATCATGTTCCCAGTTCGTCCCGCTTAAACCTGTCCTCATGTCCACGTCAGCACTCGAAACAGCCCGTATGTACACGATTTTTAGGGATGGTTTTTTTTAGCATCCGCAATTCGGTAGTGCCTAGCTCACCTCAGCTCCGATGACCTGCTGCAGGACCAAACCTCTTTGGAAAAGATCGAGAACATGGAACGTAACAACGCCTCCTCATGTCTAAGCCTCACCTTTTCTCAACAAAGACACAGACAGCAATTGAAACATAGACCCGAGATGGTTGCAATTTCATGCCATGTAATACTCAAGTAACAATGAGACAGATATTTTACAATGGGCCAGCAAAACTGCTTCATCTTGTTCCTGATCGACACGCTTGGCGCTCAACTTAATCAACCCCTAACGTTCCAAACAGGGATCCATGACGTCCTTTAATGCCACAGAGGTCTCGGCGTTGTGAGTAAAAAAGACACCAACAGTGAGTGCTCACGATTGAGTTGTTTCAAGCCTTGTTTCCGCTTTACGCTGATCAAAGCTCTTCATTGTTCGGCCGAGGAGCATTGCATCTCGTAGCACTAATTAAAGCATGCAATTAGATCATAAATCACACTGTCCTGTGTCACATGAGATCTGTCAAAAAAACATTAAAATGATCTCGATAGAGCGAGCTAGCTACAAGATCCTCCCTCAGGATCCTAAGCCAACGCCTTGGACACTAGTTCAGACTGGCTACTACAATAGGGTTGTGCCAGCACCGCGTTGTGTCTTTGCAGTGTCCCCAGCTACAGCAAAGATCCACATCAGAAATGCTGTCCATCTCGGTCATCTCCCAGACTATTCGCTATGACTTTGACCCCAAGCACCGTTCACAGCTTTAAGTTTCCATCCCGGTCCAGCCACCAACGCCTCATTCCATACCACGAACCATATCATACAGCAAGATCGCGCATTCGGTACCTTAACTATTAATTTTTGGGAAGATGAAGGGAAAAGGGTATCGACATTTGCGTCACCAGTTGGTGAGTAATAAAGAGAAAATAAAGGACCATGCTGTTAATGGTCCGAGGGAGCTTGATCCAATGAAATGTATCAACTGCATGAGATCACATCATCCTATAGTATTAGTTGTTGTGGATTCGATTCTGACCTACCTTGAGTCCGATTGAGTGAACTTGATAGCCCGTCGTGTGTTGTTGAGTGGAAAAGGAATTCTTACCACCAGGGAAGCGTTGCAATTGTGGCACTGGACGACGGCCAAGGTCCAAGAGATCTTCGCAAACGGTCCAATGCCGTCGTGCACCTTATTACCAGCAGCTGTTTATCTTAGTCACGATGAGGGTGGTTGTCGAGTTTGGCAGATAAGTGCGGTTAGTTTGTCAGTGAGACAATTCATGGACGACGACGCTTGGCATCTACACAGGGTCAGTCAACAGTATGTTTACAGGGACGGCCAAGTCATCATACCTTGTTCATCTTCTGCACCAACGTCGTCATCATCCCCACGGGATCGCTTACCAGCGGCAGAGGGTGTGGTTGGTTCTTGGTCTTCTGCCTCGGGCTCGTCCCTCCAGTCAATTTCGTCCAGATCATTCTCGCCACTGCTGGCTTTTTCGGCCGTTTCCACCTCAGTGGAAACTGCACCGAGGTCGACGTGGAAAGAGGCTGCTTCTTCTTCTTCTTGGAGAGTGGTTGTGGTGCTCGTGTCGATAGTCTGTGCGCGAACATCTTCAGTCTCGACAGCGACCTCCTCTTTGGTCTCGACCGTTTCCTCAAAAGCCACATCGCCGTTCACATCGTCGTTCGCTTCATTGTCTTCGTCCAACTCGAAGTTGGCAAAGGGGTCGATCTCACTGTCAGCACGTGCTGGAGAAAATTCGTCAGTTCTATTAAACGAAAAGGTTGTGCTGAAATCGGAGTTTGACTGGGTGTGCTTGTATGGAGAGGAGATGAGGAATTGCCTATTGATCGGGAGGTTGCGCTTATTATCATTATTCCCCTCGAGACTCCGTCGATATTCTGCTTCGTCTCGTTCGTGATCTTCGACATATTTGGCAACACAAGACCCACAGAGACAGAACTTGGGGGAGTAGCAACAAAGGAGACTGGAAGAGAGGGAGGTTGTTTTACCATTTTGCTCAGGATCTTCATCGTCAGCGCCTGCATCAATTTCGCCAACGTCTTCTGTATTTGCCTCGACAGCGGAAGCATCAGCTGGTATCTCGACCAGATTTTCCGGAGGATTTTCGTGGTCGTCTTGGCCATCCGCTTCATAGCCAACTTCGTGATCGTCCACTTCTTGATTTTGGAGAGCAGATAAGTCAATGCTCGTCTGTTGATCATCTAGCTGTTCATATTCCACCTCTTCATCTTCCACGTCGTCGGCTTCCAGCTGTTCAACTTCAAGATGGTTGTCTTCAGGCTGCTCGTTTTTCGGCAGCTCGACTTCTCGTTGTTCATCTTCCAGTTGCTCGTCTTCCGGATATTCGTCATCGGCTGCGATATCGGCCTCGTCGGGATACTCCTCGTCAACCGGGCTATCAAATTCGTCCAGCTCCTCGTGGACACCGTCAATTGTTGCGGACGTTTCGAGCATACTGGTACCAGCAGTCATCGGAGTCTCGAAGAGGTGAATGACCTCATCGAGCCCCTTACCTGCGGTGGCACTCTCAATGAGAGATTCGAGGCGCTTCTCTGTGTTGGGTTTAGTAAAGAGATAAGTATACAGAGTCCGTGTGCTATCAGGATCTTGGTTCCTGATGAGAAGATCAAAAATTTCAAGAATTTGTCGAAATGTAACATTTGTCATGAGTTCGCCTTGTGTCGTCTGTTTCATAATGTTAGCTAGTTTCTGGCCAAGGCTTGAATTGTTCCTTACCTCGGCAAGCTCGAGGCCAAGCTCGTCTACCTGGAACACCAGGTCGTCATCATCGGCAATCTCACTTTCCAGCTCGGTCCGGAAACCAGCCAACAATTTCTCAAGAGGCTCGTCGAGAACCGAAAGGTCGGCAAAGAAACCGTTGGTAGTGGCGGAGAATAGAGGAAATTCATCCCCCTTATACTGTACCGTGATAGCAGGAAAGTTGTCATCTGCCTCACCAGTCAGACCCTCGTTAGTGTCTGAATGATCCGCGTGCTCCGGATCAGCCGTTACATCTTGGTCATACTCGACTTGGCCAGATTCGACCTTGTCGTAGTCGTGATCTTCAGTGTCCTCGGCACCTTCAACTATTCCATTATCTGCCTCTTTTGTGGAAGGCGTAGCCTCTCCGTGACTGGCAATGCGCTCCTCGTCGAGGGTTTCTTCATCGTTGTCGGAGGCATCCGCAGGTTCGTTATGCTGTACCAAATTCACGTCTTGGGCTCCAGCTCCATCAGAAGTATTTCCCTCTTCGTCTCTAAATGCTGCCTCGTGTTGACCTCGAGGTTCGTTCTGAGCTTCCTGATTCGAGGCTGCACTCTCATCTATGGTGGGCTCAACCGTATCTTGTTCAGCGGCTGCAATATCATCCACAGCTTCGAGACCATCATGGTCCACAGCAGTACTGACTCTTTCCTCTGCCTGGGATCCTGTTGAGTGGTGTGTCGCGTCTTCAATCACATCTTTTTGCGGCTCGTTCGGTTCCACAGTGTCTTCAAATTCATAGTCAATCTCATGTGCAGATGTACGATCATCTGGAACCACATCGTCGTGAGCATCTCCCTCATTTAGGCGTTCAACCCTTTCGCGGTCTTGGGTGTCTCCGTTAGGAAACTGATCCGTGTCAGTGAGCTCCTTTGTTTGAAACTCAAGAGCAGCCTCGACAACTTCGTAATCCACATGCTCTGTGCTCTGTACTGTAATCTCGACATCATGCAAATCAAACTCCACATCTTCGCCGGCCATTCCATTCGTCTCATACGCGTTGTTGTTTTTAAGATCCTCATCTTCTCGCATTTCTCTGTCCATGGCCTCGAGATCATCATCGTGCTTTTGTAAGTCTTGGTTGGAGTCAACCATGTCGGTATCGAAATCAATAATGTCATCTTCCATGTGGCCGTCAAGGCCGTCGAGGCCTGATTTGGCCATGTCGACATCCATTTCAATCTCGGCCATATCTTTGCTGTCGGGTCCGGACACTGGAAAGCCAGTGCTTCAGCTTGTGCAGGTCGAGAAGAGACAGATGTTTGTGTGTTTGGAAGTTAAGGTTGCGCAGAATATTTCGAGGAGAACAGCGGGGAGGTAAACCTGGGCGAGCAGTAGCTACTTTAAGGGTTGCAGTTCGTGTGTGTGGTTTGTAAACGCGGTATTCTGAATCAAACAGACATAGACCAAGCTTTGGTGATCGAAATGTAATTTGGGCTGGAATGCGACATTTGATCCGGGTGATTCAGATTCTGTTTAAAGGGGAAAGAACGGTTGTGTGTGCCGCTCCTCTATCCGTCGCTATAAGGATTCTCGTCGGGGCGTAGAAACAAGAGTAAAGTCGATGTGATGGTGTAAGGTTGAAGATTAAAGTTGGTGGGCCTACGGAGTACAGACAAACAATCAATCAAAGAGTGCCTGTCGCTGAACCTCAAAAAGGCTGAAGTGAACGTCAGGGAGGTAAGAGGCTGACGCTTACCTATAGAGGACTAGCGTGGTATAGCTGGCGCTCCCTACACCTTAGCAGTTCTCCTGGCTGGCTGGCTGGCTGGCTGGCTGGCTGGCTGGCTTCCAGGTGGCCGTAAGAGAGGTACGTACCGCTTCTCAGGCTTCTGCACCTCCCACCGACTTGAATATTGGCCCGCTCTACCTAGGACCATCCAGGGGACGAGCATTCAACAACTTGCAACTTACATCGCAATCACCAAAATCCGTTCGAATTAGTCCGCCAAGATGGTGCGCAACTTCTACAACTACTGTCCCTGCTTGCATCATGTACTTATGTTACCTAGGTCGTCCTCGCGGCTTCGATTTGCACCCGTGGAGGGAAAGCTGTCCTCTCTAGACAGTTCCGAGAGATGCCACGATCGCGCATAGAAGCTCTCCTCGCCTCGTTCCCCAAACTTGCCGATAGCGGGACACAGCACACCATCGTCGAGCAGGACAACGTTCGATTCGTTTACCAGCCCCTCGACGAGCTTTACATGGTCCTCATTACCAACCGCCAATCCAACATCCTTCAGGACATTGACTCTCTACACTTGTTCGCACAAGTAGTTACTAGCACATGCAAGACGCTGGACGAACGCGAAATTCTTAAGAATGCCTACGAATTGCTCAGTGCCTTTGACGAGCTGGTCACCCTCGGCTACCGGGAGAACCTAACCATCAGCCAAATCAAAACCTTCCTTGATATGGAAAGTCATGAGGAGCGAATCCAGGAGATCATCGCAAGGGTAAGTCGGCCCCCTTAGGACAATGGTATACCCTGTTCCAGAGCCAGATACTTATGCATGCATAGAACAAAGAATTGGAAGCCACCGAGGAGCGAAAACGAAAGGCGAAGCAGCTCGAGATGCAGCGCAAGGATGCCGCCCGCAGTGGTCGTGTTGGTGGCATGGGTGGCATGAGTGGCATGGGCAGCGGTGGTGGTATGCCCCGAAGCCCCTCCTATCCCACATACAACCCTCCTGCGCAATCGAATACCAATACCTACGACTCATATGAGGCTGAAAAGAACAAGTCCTTTGGCAAGTAAGTATTACTGAGCCTCCTCATGACTACAATCGACTGACATTTTGAAGACCTCTTGCTCCCAAGGCCAAGGGTATGCAGCTCGGTAAGAAGTCTAAGACCACGGACATGTTTGAGCGAGTGCGAGGCGATATGGGCGGCGAGATTGATGACTCACCTCTTGTTACTCCCGCACCCGTACAGCAAGTTGAAGCATCGGAGCCTCGCATGTCCTCCACCCTTGATCGCGACGCTATCCACGTCGCCATTTCAGAGACTATTTCAGCCAAGTTGTCTCGTGAAGGTGCTGTCAACTCTCTGGCTATCAGTGGTGACCTTGTTCTTCGAATTTCAGACCCTAGTCTGACCAAGATCAAGCTCGCCCTCCAGGCTGTATCATCACACGGAGTCCAGTTCCGTACCCATCCTAATGTTGACAGAAATCTGTTTAACAGTTCCAAGATCATTCAGATGAGCAACACTGCTCGAGGATTCCCTGTTAACAATGCCGTTGGCGTCCTACGGTGGAGAGCCTCCCCCAAGGTCGACGACCCTAGCGCGTGCCCGATCACTTTCACTGTCTGGATCAATAAGGATGCCGACAAGTATAATATCACTGTCGAGTACGAGTTGACGGGCACCGATCCTTTGAACGACGTCAGTGTCGTCATCCCCTACGTTGGCAGCGAGCCCGTCGTTTCTAGTTTCGATGCTACTTACGACGTGTCTGGTGACGCTATCGAGTGGTCAATTGGTAACGTGGACGAGGAGAACCCCAACGGCTCATTTGAGTTCGAGGCCGAGTCAGGTGACGAGAATGATTTCTTCCCCATGACTGTTCGCTTTAACAAGAGCGCGCCTTACATTGACGTTGATGTAAGTACTTTCCGAGTATAACAAATTTGTTTCCGTGCTAACTTTCTTAAAAGGTTCACTCAGCATCTCTTCTGGAGGAGGACGAGGAGGTGACGTTCTCCAAGGACATCAAGTCTCATGCGGACAACTTCTTGGTAGAATAAATAGACCCCAAAAGTCTTTCGGTGTAGGAACAGCTTCTGGGTGAGTTTGTTCTATAAAAGGATAGGGATATGTATTTGAGTAGAGCTGGAGATAGGCATTAGCAGGAGTGTCCCAGCGGCTTAGAACCTAATGGCGCAACGACAATTGATGTTTGCTTGTTTTGGTAACATTATTATAAACTTGGTTATATCTTCACATTATATTTACTGGTGTGTAAGAGCCATACGCGTCTACTGTCTATCATACATGCTTCGCTATGACATCGAGTTGTCCTAGTGAAGGTATATTTACACAGTGTATACTGCTGACGAACGCACGGTCGACCGCTAAATCCTCCCTGGGTCTGAGCCAGCCGATTCTCAACTACAACTTACACATACAGCACCGTGCCACCAAAACAAGCACGAAATTGTGATGGTTTAAATTTCTTGGTGATGATTCTCTTGGCCTGAAATTGTAAAAAGATACTGCTAAAATTATTCTGCATTACGACGAAAGGCATGGCGCAGCAAAAGCAGCTCGTGCTTTTCAGCGCGACAGAGTATCAAGACAGGGTATCTGACGGTTACCCTGTGAGTTGCCCAACGCTTGATCTTTCAGTGACCTGGGATAAAACAGACAAGAACATCCTCGTATACAGACCACCCGGTCAAGTTGTCTCCAAGATCCACCAAGTGGGTGCACCGGGTGAAAAGGCACCAGACGCGCAGGCAGTGACTTGGAGGTCTGATGGTTAGTGGAATATAATCATGAATCAAAGAACACTACTTACATTGTATCTACAGGCCAGTTCCTTGCGGTGGGTTGGAGTGATGGCTTTGTGCGGCTGATGGGGCTCGAAAACAACAAAGCAGCCCATCATATCAAAGTTGGTGAATCACCTGCAAACGTGATCACACACATTGGCTGGTCAAGCAGTAGGATTGTCGACAAGAGTCCCAGTGCCGTGGCTCAAGCCCTGATAAATAACACAGACAATGACAAATCGTTCAATGGGGAGGGCCTTCCGTTAGATCTACCACGCGAACTGACCTTCTTAGAGGTTGACACAGCCTTGCCCAAAATCAGTCCCCTTCCAAGCAGCAGTGCTGGTTCAGGGTACGTTTGCATATCTCCCCGATAAGTCACATGTGCTGACTTCTCATACCAGGGAAGATGCTATGGTCTTCACGTTACGAACTGGGATAGAATTTCTGTTCCAACCTCCGAAGCCAGAGGAGTACGATCAAGTCAGTGTCATGATCATTGGGACAAGTGATGGCAAGCTTCAACTCAGCATATACGACTCTTTCATTATCGGTAGCTTTCAGTGCCCCATGACAGACCCTCCGTCAAACTTGCAGCTTATACTGCATGCCTCCCATCCACAAGTATCAACCCAGGCTTTACTTGTGGGAGATAAGACAGAAGAACCAACAGACGTACATCTTGTGCCTATTGATCTGCCTTTCATATCATCCTCCCCGATTAACCTTTCTCTTCTCGCCTCCAAGTTGACTGCACTTCAGAAGCTTTTGAGATACCTGAAACAAGCGCAGCTTCATATGCAAGTCGAATGGCGAAACACACGGGAGCTTCCTACAAGATTTTTACGAAGCATTGAAGGCGATCTTGAGAATCTCGAGACGGGGCCACGAGGTATTGTTCCTGTGCTCTACCACTTAGCGGTGACAGGCCACGCATATGAGCCTGTGCGCGAGTGGTTGGTCGATAGCCTTGCAGAACGGGTGAGTTAGTCCAAGTGCAAATCCTAAGAATGCTAACTAACTGCTCAGGGACATAAACGGTGGGATAAAGCTGTAGTATCCGGTTTGGAAGGTCTCCGAAACCTGATACATGAAAACTTCCTCCCCGCTCTCGACCGTTGTGCAATTATCCTCAGCAGGCTGCGAGGCCTGGCCCTGTATCACGATACCAGAGATGATATCGGCTTCTCTGTCCAGCAAATTAGGCGTTTGATGGACGTTGTGCAGTGCCTGCAACTCGTCAGTCATAAGATTCTGATTAACGTCATGGATGAACTTGAGAGCTTCACCGCATTCTCTACGTGGTTACGCTTTCAGATCGACCGTCTTGCCTCTTCTGCATCTGCGAGCGAGGAACTTACAGAAAAGGAGGCAACTATGGACGTCGGAATGGTTCTTATCTACATCGAGCAGTATCTTACCGACAGTCCTCTCAGGCTGTTTTTTGATGAGATGTCAGGAGAAGACTATGAAGCCGACTGTGCGCACATAGAGAGTGGGCCAGGCCTGCCCCTTCTGGTAGATCAGCAATTGGCAAAGTGGGAGAACGGCCAACCCAGTATGAAAGCATTACTGCGTGTCGAATTTCTTGTTTCATACGCAACAGCATGGGCTACACATGCGTTCGGGGGCATTGCAGAGGCAAGGAAGCGTAGTGTTCGACTTGGGAAGCCGATCAGGTTTTCGCTCGGCCGTGTCATTTCACGTACAGATATGAGGATGAGCAAGACGAAGAATGGAGTATGACTAGCTCCCTTGTCTGATCTTCATGTACTAACTGCTCCCAGAAAACAACTGTTGTGACTGCCCTAACATCCAAGGATGCTAAGAGCGAGAGTAAGCAGCGACTTTATATCATAGGGGAACAACTGTGCTAACTTAGATCAAGTTCAAATCTTCTCCGTTGGGATTGATGTTGTCAATGGAATCAGCACCAACGGATCTCCAGCAGGCTGCTGTATCGATCTCGGCTCATGCACCCTTATCGACTTCAAGTTCCTTAACGATGAGACACTTGTCGTGCTATGTAACAGCCAAGGTAAGCAAACTCATGCAATGGCTCAAAGGCTACCCTTGAAACTTGAACTGACGAATAAAAGACAATGTGCCGCAAGTGATATGCGTACCCTTGCTGCCACGAGGGTTCTCATATAGCCCCTACGATCCCAAAATGCCTATCAAATCTCGGTTATCGATACGGGGCTTTACGGTATACTCTTTCCCTGAAAACTCAATATCGAAACCATTGCGTTTAGAGGTGAACGATAAGAACGATGTCAGGGGTGAGATGCCCCCTCGAATCAGCGTGCTTGAGAGTAATCGCACAATTCTCAAGACGTTTACTTTCACATAGCACATAGATCCACATAGACTCATATGAGACCTACTTCGACAAAGACGTGGCATTGTAGAGCTAGACAATGATAAAGACATCATATAGCCTCGCAAAATAACTGGTGTTGACAAGTACGCTAGTGTAAATAATGTACAAGATAGAATAGAAACATGAGATTTCCTCTTTGGTCGTGATGCTAGTCAGTTCACTGACGAGGCTTGGTGATGTTGAAGAATTCAGTCAACCCCTCAACAACGGCCTCAACATTCATATTGACCAGCGGCATGCTATCGTACGAGTCCTCCTTCATGATAGCAACGAGAGCCAAGTAACGATCCACCTCGCGCAACATGATGGGCTTGTTGCCGTCGTGCAGTACAAGGCAGCTCTCTGCAGTGTTGCAGCCGATTTGCTGATCGATGGGCGCGCTCCACGGCTCGCCCTCGAGACGACGACGTCCTTCATCGCTACGCTGCCACGTGCCATAGACCTCTGTTATATCGATGATAACGTCGATATAGTCACTGCAGATCTCGTAGCTGGCCATATCGGCAGTAGCACTGTCCGTGGCGATGTAGATCTTTGTGAGTACGTCAAACAGGTATGCCTTCTCAAAACGGCACGTACGACAGAGGTTGGTGAGCATGGATTCGAGCGTTCCGAGGCGGGGAATGAGCTTCTGAATAACCTTGCTGAAGGCCTCGAAGATGGAATGGTTGTAGATGGAGGTGAGATGGAAGGTGACAGGTGCGTTCTCAAAACCATGGTCTGACAACTCATCCTGGATGCGGATGGTTATGTCGCGCTGGATGTCGAGCTTGTAGTCGTCTGAAAGACCATCAACCTTGTGGATAAAGACCTCGATGTTGATGTTGGGGTAGGTGCGCTGAAGGAAGAGAATTGTGGTGTTGAGGCGCATGACAGCCTCTAGGTAGTCGTCCTGGGCATCGATGACCCAGATCAGGGCGCCAATCTCGCTGAATATGGCCTCGATATCGAATCCTGGGTTTTCAAAGACGTCGATCTGGCCCGGGAAGTCCCAGACTTGGAAATCCATAAACGATCTAGAGTCATGGTTGAGCTCGTGTTATAATGTGATTTAATATCGGAGATACTCACGCCATGGAATCCTTCTGGATACGAGCTGTTGACTCGAGAAATAGGGTCTCATTTGGGGGAAGCTTGTGGAATACTACACTGGAGATGGACGACTTTCCACTCCTGTGGCATAATACTTTCAGCACACACGTACCCTCGGCGGCTTTGAAGCTATAACATACCTTCGTTGTCCCATAAGTAATAGACGCGGTTTCCCCTTTGGAGGCGCACCAGCAGAGTTCGGCCCGGGGGTGTCTGGTTTTTGCGCATCCTTTTTGGACGCTGGAGCTCCGCCGAGTGACTGTTCAAAGAGACGTTGAAGATTTAGCTGGGCTGGACTTGTTCCGCTTGCAGATATGTCATCGGCGTCGTCGAAGGAGCGCGCAAAGTTGTGGATAGGAGGGCTGAGAGACATTTTGTAAGGGGGGATGACATGGGATTGGTGATGTGGATAGCTTGGAGTTGAGAAGGATGGAGGTTATAGGGATTTGGGTTTGTTTGTTGATGGAGCGGGCGATATTGCATCAGCTCATTCCACTTGATACTGAAAGAAACACTTGTCTCTCTGCCCTTTATCCTGCTCTGTCTCCGGTTCTGCATCACCAAGCGCTGCCAGTTGGCGGGTATGTCATGCCCCTGCCCGTCTGTGGCCATCCATGCCTATACCGCTGACACCTCACCAACCCTGAGTCGACAGGGAACGGCGCAGAGAAGCTTCATCCATTGCATGTTCCGTGTCAACAGGTGAGGGGAACAGAAGGTTCTGGCGGGCAGGTTAAAGGCGATAGAGTGTCGGGGTGTCCAGGTGATAAGCGAACATTAAACCCTAACTCGTCTCTTCGTCTTGGATCAGCGTGGCGGGTATAGGACTCACGGTGTATTGGAAGACGCGTATCCTCTCACTTGAGGTGACACAGAGTCATCTACACAGCGGACCAGCCAAGCGAGCTGTTGTCGAATCAGGGCTTTTGGATATGCTGTCATGGTCATTGACCATGTATCTCTGTGGCCAGCGCCACTACTGAGCACCATTTTTAGGGACTTTTTTCTTTGGTCGAGTACAAGAGTATGCTTTGTGACATGATCCAGGAGCTGACACGTTGAGAAGCAGGACCCTTGGAGATACAAATGATGTGACGGCATCGTGGTGCTGTGCTGTGTTGCGCTTGGTCACACGAGGGGTCAATCTCAGTATATGCAGCGCACACTTGAGCGTGCTAGCGAGAAGAAAAGAAGGGAATTCTGATGCGCGATGAAAAGAAATGCCAGAGTCTTACCTCCATATTCACTTATAGAGACCAGGTCCTGTGCTCTGCTCTGCTCGCTGTCTACTCCGAGGCTGGGCTGGTCAGGGTTGAAAGTTGAAACGAGGCTGAGGCTGAAGTACCCAAAGTCAATTACTGCGCGCTGAATGGCCACGATCAGATGAGCGAGCGTGTGTCGATGCAAGAGGTTGACTGCCCTGGTGTTTAAATGGCGGGTATGTATAAAAAGTGACGAGAAGAGACGGCCAATTACGGGGGGGGGGATAGCAGAATATGCGTTTTTACTTTTATGTCATGGATGTTGGATGTATATGTGTGGTATTGAATTTGTGATATCGGATTTGGAGGTGGCTGGAGCTAATGGGTGACATGCCGCCCGCGTTTAGGCTGCAGATAGTGCTGAAACTCCCCATAGTCCACTAAACCCTTCTAAAAGGGGACCCCAGCATTAACAGGGGCTACCCTGGACCACTAACATCGAACGTGTCCACGGGTATTTATAAGTATTTCAGACCAAGTACTCCGCAGCTAAGTCTCTTTGTTGGAAAGACTCGATAATATGTAAAGTTATTTCAACCTGAAATAATGCTTCTTGGTATCCAGCTATGTTCATTGCTTCTCAACCTCCGTGTCCCTGTCCGTTAGTCGACTTGAAGATCTGGGAAATAGAGCATGTATGAAACTCTTCCTCCGCTTGACAGTCTTTGATTTGTCTTCCTCGGCTTCTATTTTGTTTCTGATAGAATGGTTACTACCCCCTGTGCTACTAGTTGATCCGCCAGTCGATGCATCATGATGTGTCGAGGATGCAGTTTCCGTCGTTGCTTGAAATGCCTACACTCGATAATATTAGTATAAAGCCCACCGAGTTTAAGACCTTTTCCAAATCCCACCTTGCTGGACCTTCTTCTGGGGCTTCTGATAGATCCTCGACGCTCAGTAACTGGCTGTGCCTGTTGCATCGCCACTGCAATCTCCCCAGCGACAGTGTTTCCCTTCCTCCCAGTGCATTCCTCCGTAACAGGGACAAACCTCACATACCCTCTCGAAGAAGGAATATCCAATGCTTGCTTCATGTGTGTCTGTAGGAGAGCGATGTTGCGCTTGTTCATCGCTGACTGTACATCCCGGGCAAGAGCCTCGATCTTCATTGTATAGGATGGTTCGCTGCTCGCACCAAATTGCATACAGACACCATGTTGGAGTGTTGTTACAACACATGACGCTGGGCGGTTGTAGCGTAGCGAGACATACTCTGAGAGTTCAGTAATGAATGTGAATTCATCGTCAATCTACTGGTATCGGCACTTAGAAACCATCATTCTAACCCTGCACAGTGGTAGGGAAGCAACATACAATAACGTTCGTCTTGACCTCGACCAGTATAACGGATTCGTTTCGTGCTCGATCTCCCGGCTCATCCGTCTGTATCGATATGTGATCTTCCTCAAATAAATTGTCTCGCCTTCTGGACAGTATCGGTAGGGAACGTTTTCTCGTCACTTTGGTGACTTCCGCAGCGACCACCATCTGTTCGACATCTCTTGACAATCGCTGATCACTCTCTAATACCGGGTCAAGACTTGGTTTGCTGAGTCTCGGCTTAACTCTTCGCTCTCCAGGGACTAGCCTATGAGCTGGAGCTGGAGCTGGAACTGGAGTAGGGTTCCCCTGTCTCTGTCGTGGCTTCGAGCTGGCAGGCTTCGTAGAAGTGCTAGTAGGGATATAAGGTATGTTCATCACTGGTGATAGATGCATGGTGAAGACGGGTTATGGGAGATGATGGATTGCGGAACAAGACGAGGGGAGCTTCAAGAGTGGGTGAAAGCCACTGGGCAGATATGTATTCAAATGATTTAGTTGTTTGTTACATCCGAGTTATTTGTACGTCGATACCACTGTGCAATACCATACAACTTATACCAACCGCACTAATATACAAAGCAAGATGGAGTGAGAGTCATAGAGTACTACAGAAGCACTGTATACATTTATAAAGAAGAAAATGCGTAGCAAGGCTCATCGCATATAGATAAAGTAGGCAACTTCTAGGGAAGATGCTCAACCTTAGGGTGAGTAGAAGGAGGAATCAAAGCTGTAGACATAAGAATGAGGTAACTTTTTGTTCTCAACCGGTACTACATCAAACGCATGTCACCGATATTCTCCCGCATCTCACATGTATACGCGAGACCCTTGTGTCACGCAATCATTGTTTCGTATCCATATTTATGGACTCTGGCTTACCTTGTTGAAAGACATATGGAGCAATATCTTGGCCTCTTGGCAGACGAGGTATCGAAGATCATAGAGCACCCCTTCTGTCGATCCACGGGTAAACCACGATCGAGAATAGATAAAACCAGTTTTGTTTGAAACGAATGTCACGAGCATTTCATCTCGCCTGGTGAAGGAAGCGAAGATAAGATGAAGTCGGACGATGGATGCGTTGCGGCCTTACGCACTGGGGTATCGCTGCTACAAACCAGCGCCTAACCAGTACCGGGGTATCTCTTGTGTGATGCAATGCCCCGTCCTACTCCCTACAAGATACGCCATATTAACTCAACAGCCTAGTTGCGGGTAACGGTGATCAAAGTCCCTGTCCCTGCGAAATGGTACTGTAGCATTCGCTATGAAGGGCTGAATGCAGGTACCTAGGTAGCTATACTCCGTATCCTCTCATGATGTTGGGAGCAACAGAGACTCAATATTGTTTGCTGGGCTTATTGACCATTACCAGTCTGAGAAACATATCACACTCAATCGTAATGCAGACCATTTCACTCACATACATTGGAAAGCGTCTGTCATTATTGACATCGTGGAGACATATAGATGATATTACTAGTGTATCGGAGTATAATGCGCGGCATCAGGGGGCGATCCAGAACCACAACCAGACTGTCGGAATGCCTCCAGAAATTATCGGTCAAATCTCGACTGACCTGGACTTGGCTTGCTGTAATGGACGCTAGGCATGGCCGAGCTGTTGGAGCAGGAACTGAATTCCTGGGACTGGGCCTGTTTCTGTCTCGGCGAAGAAAAAGCAAACAACACGAAAACAAGTAGCCCGTGGTTGATTAATATTCCAAAAAATGATACATCATATAGAAATCATAAAGAGCTCTGCTAGACCCATGTTCCCGCTCCAGCTCCAGCTCCAGTCCCAGCTCAGCTCCTGATTAATATTTGGGTTGCCTGATGAAATGGAATAGAACACATGATTAATGTGGTTCAATAGTTTCGTCTCCTTTTGGCTTGATATTCTCACACGCCCGTACCCGCACTCATCCTGATCCTCCAATACTCCATTCAAACGATCACATCGCATTTGACGAGTCACTGAAACCCCCCCCCCCCCCCCAGCTGCTGCCCGAGTATCTGGTACTCTAAGTTGTTGGCCCAAACTCAAACTCAGACTAATGCTCAAGACAGGGCTGGGCTTCCCGTCTTGCGTCCAGGTCCACGGGCATTCAGGTTGAAGCGCCTCTCTAGGGTGAACTGGTACACTGCCAACCCCAGAATTATAGCCTCAACGGGGACTAGCATAACAGAGAGTCCTACACCGGCCCGACTCTGCTTGCAGAGTGTGCCAAAGTGTGGCTGCACGTTCATTGTCACGTCCTTCCAGCGGCAAGTCCAGCTTTGGAGGGAGTCATTGGTTGTTGATGCGTTAACTCCATAGAAGAAGGACATGGCGATGATGGCGGCGATCAGAGCGACGGCTGGGGTAGCGAATCTAACACCTGCTTTGACTGCTGCGTTACCGCGGGCCTGGTTCAAATCGTAACCGTTAGTCTTAGAACCAAGAACGGCAAAAGCAAATAATTAGATAAAACTTACGGCTGGAATCTTGCCGGCGATCAACGAAATGAGATTGGCTACAACAACAAGGGCGCTGCCGACTACCAAAGCCACAGTAGGACGCATATCAAAGTTGGCAGGCCATAGTTGCAGGAACCAATCTTGAGGGACGTATGTAGCATTATGGACAGCGAGGGCATCTGCGGAAATACCAAGGATGGTCAAGCCAGCTGCAAGTCCGAGGATTGTGAGGCCCAGTCTGGTGCTGTCAATCAAGCGGTACAGACGAAAGTTGGGTTCGGTTCGAACCGATTCGACGTCTGTTTCGAAGTTGGAGGCTGAGATCTCCGTCTTGGTGCCGATGGACATGTTTCTGGTAGTAGGATCCATTCTGAAGAGATAGACTGATATGGAGGTTGGTGTAGATAGGATGATATCACAGAGAACTAGGCCAGACAGAAAGCAAACCCCAAGACCGGCTGGAGATTAAGGAATGGTATATATGAAAAAGAAGAAGAAGAAGAAGAAGAAGAAGAAGAAAGGAAAGGTAAGAGAAGACCAAGCGTAGATACGAAGAGACTGGAGTCGAATGCGAGTTAGATCGTGGGGATGTTGAACATAGATATAGAGATAGATTGGCTACCCTTGATCAAGATCCTATTAAACTAAGCGACGAACACTATCACAACAACAGCATAAAGGACCAGTTACATGAAGCCGATCATGGTGATAAGGTCGAAGCGCCTATGCAAGAAATTGCAGCAATAGGCGCGCTGCTTGCTTGAGTGCAACTGTGCAACCCGTAGTGTCAGAGATTGACATGGTGATGCTGTGTCTTGATTGGCCGAGGCTTTAAGCACCAGGAGTTGAGCATGTCGCCTTGAGCGCTTAAAAAAGCATTGGCCAATTAGAAGCTACCATTTCTTCCCGAGATGGTTGTCTCCAAGGTCTATTTTGGGTCACGTCAACCCGTTGGCGTGAGCGGTTATGTACGTTGGTAATTAGCAGTATGAACGTTAAGAAAGGGTCGCAGGAACGGCCTAGCTAGTGGCAACTGATTTGATATTACCATCAAAAGCCGCCAGAGAGAGAAGAGGGAAGGGAGAAAGGTAGGTACTACCTAGGTTGAAGATGGAAGTACTTACTAAGCTAGTCACATGGCTAATCACCTGACAAGCTTTAATCAAGCCACACTTGGTAAGGGCCTACGCCACTACCTAACTACCTACCTAGGTAGGTACCTAACTTCTGACAGCACCCCGCCTGCCTGCCCTCCCCTGCCCGCCTTGATGTGGACCCCGAAAATGTTCGGGGCTAGACTTGGCATCGCTCCGAAAGAGTCAAGACAAGTCAACATGAATCAAAGTCTTCGATGTAACGCCCTATTTCTTTTCTTTTCAGCTCTGCGGGTACTGCTACACATTTGCTCCAACCAACAGAACAGGGCTAATAGAGTTACAGAGAGTTACAGAGTTACAGAACCCACAGAGCATACAGAGCCTATGGAGCCTACAATGAGGCTACTGATCGCCCTCCGATACCATCACAATCCTATCAAAAACCGTTAACTTGCGCTGATCCGGTCCCGCGACACACCCGAAATGAGGCTTATCGCTTTGCTTTTGCCATTTCTTTTTTTGATACTCCCTCCTCCGCAATTTGACGATAGGGTGCAGCAAGACAAACATATGCATGACGATGCTCTAATACCCGCTGTACCTGCATTTACAGTACATGCATCATAATTGCATGGTATGCTTGAACTGCCGGGCAAATTGATGCGGCCTGAGAAAACCACCAATCTTCACACAAGGTCTTACGGCTCAGGACAAGGGTCAAGCAATCAAAGCAGAATCGAACACGAGTAACACCCTCCTCCGATGCCCCCCAACATGAAGGATTACCGTTTCACGATGGTTACACCCCCCCAAAAAACAACAACGAGTAACGGGCCTGCCCGCTGTAATGCTGATACAGAGCTTGACCTTGAAGTGTGGTGTTGACGTTGACGTTGGCATGCGCCAAGATAAGCAAAACCCTCTGTGGGAGCCTTCCTACCAACAGGACGTTCCTAACTGCTGTGAGGCGTTGCGGATGATCGACAGTAGCGTCTTCGCCGGTTGCGGTTAGAACGCAAGGATCAGTTGAAAGTCCTGTGCAAATTAACAAGCATCTCTTCAATAACCCCGGCAAGCCATGATTTAGACGAGCCCACTAGACTGGACGAGTAGGGGAAAGGGTCTGACATGATCCCTAACGTTCAGTAATCGAAAATACATACGCTACATACCCATGGCACATTGGCACTCCATGCAAACCTAAATGTTGGTTTCTGGATAGCTGAGACGGAGACAAGGCAGCGCACCTTTATTGACTGCAGCAAACATACGGACACCACACCCCATTGGTGGATGAACAACAATCAACCTGCAGAATGCTAATTCTTGTCCTTTGGACGTTGGAGATGATTTGAACCATTTGGCGATGAAGAGCTGCATTCGATCTGCATCCTGCTGAGGCCTCTGAAGACCCATGCTGTTGCCCACCGCAGACCGTTTCTGCTGGCTCCAAGCCAGCTGAAAACCAGACAAAAGGACGTCGTCAACTATTATGGAGATCATCTGCCAGGAGTCTAGGGAGCCAATCCTCCTTGTTGTGGGTAGTATAATATGACAGATGAGACGAGTCTGTACAGGAACCTAATGCAATCTTTATGTCCTGCAGATACTTAGCGCATCTCACTCCTGGGACACAGCTGGAACAGCTCTTTTGACTGCATATGCATTTGAAAGGGAGAGCTGAAGTTCAAGAGCCTATCAACGACTGACGAATTAATAGAGTTCCTCAGGTGATGATATCGCGACTCTAGCACTTTTCACTGGTATGATTGGACTGGTGGTACAGAGTAATGTCAACCCACTACGCTACTGCAGTCACCTGGGATCATGAGCTTCCAAGAACCGACAAAGCCTGTTCAAGCCCATTACCGCTTGGCCCTTGTGCCGGGAGCCATGAACGGCATGTGGATATAAACCACACAACCGTCATTTAGTCTACATATTCCACGCCGGAGAGAGCGATGGGAACCAGAACAGACAAAGAGACGCTATTCGCGCTTTGATACACCCCCGGGGTGCTTGACTGTCTTGGTTTTTAGAAGAGGAAACAAAAGATTTTAAGACAGTAAACATGTTTCGTTCAGATCGGAATAGCAGTATCACAACATGAGACACGAGACAATTATGCTCACATCTGGACTGAAGGGAGCATCACCAATGCCCATCAGTCTGTCAGTCAGTCTTCGGGATTGGGTTTCTAGCTCGGGCTGGTCATGCCTTCGGATCAACGGCCATCCGCAAGTTAAAAAGAGTATTTTCAACAGTTGGGGCCAATCGCGTTGAAGCAGAGGCCCTCCAGAACCATGACAGGGACCCATGATATGACCCATGTTCCCTACAGAAGAAGTCCAGTCCCTGGGGAAAAAGGCCTTCCAGGAAAACTTCCGGAGGCAATTGGACACGGTGATTGGACGAAATGTATGCATATGTTTCCATGTTCATGATCTGTGAGCGAAGCAACATAAATATCATTTCAAGAAAGGGGATGAATGTTTGCGGAAGGTTTTTAAGAAATCGATCTCATTATCAATCCTTATTTTCCGCCGTGCAGAATCTGTCTTTGTCACTGGTCGCTCAAGAGAGTCTAGTTTAGTTATCTTCTTTCTTCTCTTTCTCTCCGAGTCTATATCCGTTGTGTGCGGCTCATGCGAGACACGGGAACGGGGCGATGCATACATAAAGCGGATAACATTGGAGTTTGCAGCAATTCGACATCTTTTGTGGCGGCTTTGAATGCGGCGCACACAAAAGGTGGGAAAGACCGAAGCTTGCATCCTGACAGACTTGCATGAAGAGAAACGGAGTGCCTGATTCAGTCAAGCACCGTGATTCTCTAGACTCAGAGCGGTTTAACCGGATACAGACAACAGACTAACAGCACAACAACACCTGAGTCCTGAGCGTGCTGTGGCCCTGCACCTCCCGTCCCGCCGGACCCGAGCACTCGGTTCTGTCCGTGGTGTGCCTGTCCTTAGGTAGTATCAGGCTTTCGTCTGGTAAGAGGGCATGGACTAATATTTCTCTGTCTTGGGGATCAGACTGAGGTTAAGCCGAGGGAGGATTAACTCTGGAGCATCCGGAAATACGCGTGCTTGCCTGAAGTTTCCGGACGGTCAAACGTACTTGATCTCTTTATGCTTTTGGCTGCAGAGTCAAAGTCCAATGTCTTGTTCAGCCCCGAACGCAACTGGGTTTCCTTCCCGGCAACTTACACACGCATGCCTAGATTTTTCGGACTCGGGCTTGGGTGTGGTCTTGCTCTCTCGTTTATGTGGCTGGGGGGCTGGGGGGTCTACTAAATTTCTGTCGGGGGATGGATCCATTGGTCCAAGGTCCACATGATGGGATACCTCCAGGTGTCAGTCACGCCTTTGCCGAAAAGTAGAATGGATAAGTGAAAGTGAAGATGCTTTCATGCCGAATCTATTACTTGGAGAGCCATTGCTGGTGCTGGCCGGGGAGATGGACACGACAAGGGTAGAGGGAAAGAGTATGAGGCCTGTCAAGTCATGCATGGGTAGTCGGCCATGGCATGAACAGGGAACATGGATCTATGGGCAGAGGCATAGGCATGGGTTTTGCCTTTTAGCAGGTGAGAGGAGTGTGAGTGAGAATTGGGTTATGGAACATGTGGGCAAGGGTATGGGGGTGAGAGATTGAACAACACTCCCTTCCGAGTCCCTCTATCGTCATTCATCCTCCTTCTCTTTCTCTCATTGTTTGCATTTGGTTATATTAATATCCTTTGTCTGCCCCTTGGTGTTTACTTTGCCTATTTCGAGAACCTCAATCTGACTTTTCCAGCAAAGCGTTCTATTCTATCCTTGTGTTACACTAAACTGAACCACAAGAGAAACTCAACTTGGCCACTTACTTACTACTCTGCCACAAAAAGCCCGTCTTCAACGCCATCTACTACATTGCACCAGAACATATCAACCGCCCTACGACTGTCAAATTCTCAGCACAATAATACCACAAGATTCGGCTGGGCTTTGCGACAACTACTGCAATCATTATTCACATCCATCATCACCACAACTACTCTGCTTGGCCATGTCTTCTCAGTCATTGTGTGCCCCGCCATCAGCGGCAACTGGCGTCTTTGTAAGTCAACAACCTACTCTTCAATCGCCCTTCAAACAAAAGATAGCCAGACTAACAACATCTCTTACTGCAGCAAAACTTTTGCAAACTCCCAACCGAACTACGTCTCAAGATCTGGAACTACAACCTCTCTCCCACCCGCCTCGTCCCTCTCCAATGCGGCTCCGGCTCTTCAAAGTCACTCTCATGGACAGGATGCACTTCACCAGCACCTATTCCCGCCAACCTACACACATGTGCCGAGTCGCGGAGTGAAGCTCTAAAACACTATGGTCTTGGCTTTGGCTTCGCTCGCGGCCCTGGCCAGGTCTTTCTTGATCCCGAGCGCGATATCCTCTATTTCGGCCCCAGAGATGGCTACATGGCCGCAGACTCCCAATTCCAAACATGCATGTCCATGTGCGATCCTGAAGAACTGGCTGTTGTCCGCCGTCTGGCGATAAATGATGCTCTTTTTTGGGTTGACGAAAGCTACCGCTCCATGACCGCCGCCAGCCTCACCGTGGAGCTTCTCAGGCGCATCAAGGCTCGCATGTCAGGTCTCGAGGAACTTATTTTTATTCCTCGCGCCGAAGAATCTCCAGAATCTGCCAACTATGTCGAACCCACGATGGTTTATGTCCGCATGGCTCGTCAAATCCAGACTGCTATCAACACTCTTTCCCAACAAACACCGGGCTGGACTCCACCTTGCTGGAGGATTCTACCTGTAAGTGCTTTTCAGAGTGTTGGGGCCGTTTGAAGATATCCTTCTCGAATAAGCCACAATGCATACGCCTTCGAGCAGCTGAGTACATACGACTCTTTGAAGCAGTGAGAGCACAACGACGTCACACGGCTTAGGCTCCATATCAACAATCACAAAGAAAGTATCAACGCCGAGCTTCCACGACGTCCCTCCCCCAGTGCCGCTTCCACCCAGCGCCGTGCTGAGTGAGACTATCTGTGAATGACGCCATCATGGGTCGTCAAACAGTAGTTCTCCATATGCTGGCCAGCTGGCTTAGCATTTTGTTCTACTTCAAGGCGAAGGACGCGGCTGTATTTATTCTTATACCCATCAGCCTGTTTTTATACATACTTGGCGAGGCCACTCTTCAGCGGGATAAACAGAACCGTTCAGCAACACCTCACTTTCTTCATTCTGGAAGACATATGATTTTCTCATGGTTACCAAGGGCGTATCGGGTTACAAAGGCGCAGACGGGTTGTGACACATAGAGAGACCGGCGGTGTACATGAAAAGACTCGGGGTCTTTTTGTAACCGACTTCTTACAAGGAGAACCAATGCCGCAGGCTATCTACTTCTTGATTTACACTATGTATCATACTTGTACAAAAGCTACCTATACTACGGAGCTATGAGGCTACCAGACGCCATTCCAATAATGCATTTACAACATCTATCATATCTTTCCTCTAATGATTTCTTTCGTTCATTCATTCGTTCAATGCAGATGTCATGCGTCAACCCCGCATGCTAACGGCCAGCAGTGACTTTCAGCCTCACCTGTGGTACCTCTCACACTAGATCCGGAGGTGGTGATGACTCCTTTCGGTGCCGTATCGTGTTGCATAGTGACTGCATGATATCGTACCGTGTTACCTTAGCCCAGCCGGAACCCGTCTCCCTATCTCTTTGTGACCTACTTCGCCTCGTCACCGCCAATCTCCATGCCGATGCCCTTCCGGCGACCCCTGACGAGTGCCTCGAGTGCCTTGCCCATGGCCGGCAGATCGCCGAGCATGGTGATATGGCCGCGTTCGGTACATATTCGGCCGCCGCGAGCTATGGAATAGCCATCCGGAAGCATAGCCTCTTTGGCTAAAACGACTCCGTCACCTGGCCGGAAAAGCAGGTCGTCGTAGGCGTCATTATAGCATATACCTTCGCGGCTGGTGACTTGAGCTGCATACACCGTGGGAATACTTTTACTGTAGAGCACGGCGTGAGGAGGGTAAACATTGACTTCCTGATGCTGTGGCGAGTGAGCCAGTTCAGACCGAAACTTGTGAGTTGCTGCAAGAGTCCGGGTAAGGTAATCTAAGTAACGTTTGCGCTGCAGGTCTGAAGGCTTTGGCTCGTCCACGTTGGTGCCACTTCCGTTGAGTTGAGGGATCAAAGGATTGTGATCTCTGGCAACTGTTGTTGGTGAAGGTGGCGTCTTGTCACTCTTGCTGTCGGCACGAGCTCGGAATGAGTTTGGAAGGAATGATGAGAAAGACGACGACTGCGGACGATTGCGAGGCGGCAAAGCTGGTTGCATACAAGGGCTCAGATGCCACTTGATCCATTCCTGAGGGTCATAGAAGTCGATGGGGTATTCCTCTCCTGTGTTCTTGTCTACAAAGCAGAAACCGTCCTCTGGTAGAAAGACGAACGACGTCCGCATGCTGAAGTTGACGGCTGCGGTGAGGAGCTTCTCATTCAACAAAACTACATCACCATGGCGTAGAGGATTTAAGATGTTGACACAACGTTGCGGTGTGCCGCAATACAAGACCCCTGAGAAGAGGTCAGGCCTCTGGTTGACAGCATGGCGTGTGATGATACCACCCAGACTGTGAGATATGACAAGAGCGCCGCGAGACCCGGCTGGTGTTCCCGGCAGGTTTGAGGGTAATTTCTGAAGATATTCTTGCAGCTTACGAGACAGCAAATGGGGACTTAGCCTCCAGTCGTAGCCATAATCCCAGACTCGCAGTTTTCCCGACCTGGCGTTTTCACAGGAGCGAAGCCTTTTGATCAACTTTCGGGACACATCAACAGGGCCAATGTGCTTTAGCATGCCGTCAGGTTTGATTGTCTCCTCCATTCTCTCCTCGTCCTCGTCTTCCAAACCCACTTCGAGATTGACTTTGCGCATGTTGAGCCCAAGTTTCACAGGAGCCCAGACCTGTTGATGAGGTGGTTCGGCAGACCGTAAAACGGAACCACGGTAACCGCCCATAATGACCAAGTCACCGGTCAGGGTATCCAGGACCCGATCAAGCACTCCAGAGCCCTCTTTTGAATTGATATCGAAATCCTTGGGGAGCTGGCTGTGAGTTGGTGATGGGACTGGGGAGTGAGATCCACCGAGGGAATGGGTCGACTTTCGCGCCTGGCTGTAAAGCTTGGGTAGGCTAGGCATCTTGAAGTTTGGCACATCGGGGAGACTGTCCTTGAGGGCCATGAATCGAATGTTGACCATCTCACGGACATCCTGGAACCGTTCGTCGTCACCAAGAGAAGAAGTGCGAGACAGACTGTGATATAAGCGACTATCATCAGAAGTGACCCTCCTAAGCACCTTTGGTCGCACAGGGGCACTAGTCGTATTGGCATTCCGAGGAGCGGAAGCGAGCACTCGAGACTGTTGTGTCAATGGATAAGGTCTCGCTTGAGAGACGCCCAGCGCATTGGCCGGAATATGAGGTGACCGTTGACGTGTTGCTGAGGATGAGTGATTCGAGGCGCTTGAAGTGCTCGGACTAGCTTTGTCATGAGAACTTGAGAAGAATGAGTTTGACATGGACGGGAGTAGATGCATCGGCGGACTAAGAGAGGGCATGGCTTTCTGCAAAATCCTCAAAGCTTCTTGGCCAGCTGATTTGGATCGATGTCGAGCTGGAGCAAAGGCATTTCCTAGGATACTCCCAGATGGCCTACTGGTGGAACCTTTGGCTGCAGGGGACTTTGGCTGGGCTTGCCACGGCGAAGGCAAGTCATGTTGAGACGACTGGTGGGATGATAGATTTGCTGTGGATCTTGTTGAAGGAGTAAACTGTGATACCCGAGGTGTTGTCTCCGGTGAAGATGAGAGGTCTGGACTTGTGTCACCAGCTCTATCTGCGGGCACATGGAACAGACCGCCTCGACTCTTATCCAACGCCAAGGCCTTCTCGATGGCAGGTGTGTTTTGTGAAGTCAAATGCCTGGCAGCGTCACTCAGAGCAGGTTGGAGAATTGCCTCAGCCTCATCTTGATTGCAAACGATAGAGTCATCATCGTCTTGGATGTCCAGATTTTGGACATTGATGTCAGGTAAAGGTTCTGTTGAAGGATTTGCCGCCATAGTTCACTGTATTGTGCTCAGTCGATGAGCCAAATCATAAACCCAAATCTCAACGTGGTACATCCAGAGTCGATAAGGACAGGAATGAGGCTAAACAGTAGGTTGTGAAGAAGGACCAAGGTTTCTTGTGTTTGTTGAACAGAACAAGCAATGTAGGTGGCTAGCGTCGACAAGGCGAGACGAAACAAAACGAGACACAAGGAAAAAAAACGGTTCAAGGAAGATAAAGCGAAGGACTGTAAGACATGACCGTTATGCGGTTCTTGTTAGATCCTCGGTCCAATTCAAGTCAAGTCAAATTACGGAGGAGACGAAGGGGACAGTGGAGCTCAGCCAGAGAGGACTCAATATGTCCTGCCTGCGGCTGTGTGTGCTGGTCCGGGAGGTCCGGGTGTGGATGGATCCACGGTTGGATGGTTGGTGTTTTGTTTAGGTATATGCCGTTTCTCGTTCTCGTGTAGTCGGATCGGGTCTAGGATGGTAATGTTGCTTGATAAAGCATACATGTAATAGTCGTATGTGACTATTGTTAGGAATACAAGTCAGCGTTTGCCAAGAGGAAGAATAAATACTGTACACCTGAGCAATGCCTGCAAGTAGCAGCTTAGCCTTGATTGCCATTGACTTGATGAGGTCATGGTAAAAAGAATCAAATAAAACGGGGTTAATGGGGGGCCAATTGCGGGCCAACAAAAGAAATGTCTGGGGAATGGATTAACAGGTCGTGTAGCAAAAGGGCTGAGTCTGATGAGGATGGCGATCCATGGTGCACTGTCGTATCAGGTATATTGTTGATAGGTGGTTGATGCTGTTGATGGTAGGGCAGTGATATTATTAACCCGACTTTTTGGTGTTATTCCTAACCTCTTACAACTCCCGACTGGAAGGAACCAACCTGGTAAAGAATCTCTTATTCGGGAAGGAGCCAAGACCAGACTAAGATACAGGACGCATGAGGCAGGTACGGGAACCACGGACAATACAGTCGCCACATGTGATAATGGACTCAGTTTCTGGACCCTTGGAAAAACACATTGATTCCATTACGAGATTTTACATGTGAAAGACGATGATAGAACGGACGATGTGAAATAGCATGAGAGGTAGAGAAAAACAGGCCACGATAGCATATAATCAATCACCTACTATCATTCCGCAGAACAACACAACGACTCCCTGCAGCTAGCTGCCATGTGTGTAGACACGTCACCAGCGCAACCGTACAAATGTACGGATACGGATACATGTGCCTATCAACGCAATCTACACACGCAGTAGCCAATGGTACTTTGTCTTTGCAATTTGATCTTCATCAGCTGAATCCTCTGTATATCAATTCCAATTCAGCCTTGAGTCTCTAGCCTCAGCCTCAACAATCCTCACTATTCTCTCACGTCCCGAAACTCACCAGCCACCTAAACTCAATCCCTAACGACGTCATCCGCTGATGCCCCCGCTCGGCCCCAGTCAACGGCGCCGACACGGGCCCGATTCAACGGAGTCATTAATGTTGTATTGGGTTTAGGCGTCAAATCATCAATATCATGACTTTTGAGGTAGATGACCTTATTTCTGGAGTGGAAGCTTCTGCTCATCATAAGTTTGCGGAAACACAACAACAGACACATTCTTAGTTCGACATCGTGGTCTAACTGACGAACAATTGCTTCACCATGTCAACTCTCGAGCCTCGACCGCCCTACTCAGAAGCTGAGATCAAGAATCTCTACCCGCCCCAACTACGTCTCCAACTCGTCCAGATCCTCCTCCGCCACGGTGAACGCACACCCATTACCGCTCGTTTCACTTCCGCCGGTCTCGCCCCTTTCTGGTCATACTGCTCAGCAGCTCGCCGTTTAACCAGCGCCATCCTCGATCCGTCAGTCACTGCGTCCCATTCTGATCCTGCCGACAACCCAGGCCTTACAGCACTCGAGTGGAAGCGCCGAATCGAAACATTTGGTACCGATGATGCACCTATTATAGCTACCGGCCGCAATGGCGAGCTCGATGCCATCTGCGACATGGGCATGTTGACCGATCGCGGACGAGAAACGACATATGATCTTGGTCAGCGCCTACGGCATCTATACATCGACCAACTTGGTTTCCTCCCCGAAAGCCTTGCTGCCGACACTGACACCGCCGCCATTTATCTCCGAGCGACACCTGTACCCCGCGCTCTCGAATCTCTACAGCAAGCGTTCTACGGCCTCTACCCACCATCCGCCCGCACTTCTGGCCTTCATCCTCCAACAATTCTCACACGGTCGCCCGCGGACGAAACCCTCTTCCCTAACGATGGCAATTGCCGACGCTTTGCCGCTCTCGCGCGGGCTTTTGCTCAGCGATGCGCCGAACGCTGGAACGACTCTGATGAGATGGCGTATTTGACTAAACGGCTCGGCCGCTGGATGCCAGAGGATAACCCACGTGTTGCTGTGGACTCCCGTCCGCGTCTGAGTGGCATTATGGACACTATCAACGCCACCAAGGCACATGGCCCTGATACTCGACTTCCTAAAGAGTTCTATGACCCGGAAGTCAAGCGAATCATTGAGAAGATTGGGGTGGAGGAGTGGTATGCTGGGTACAAGGAGAGCGAAGAGTACCGCACCCTAGGTATTGGTGGTCTGCTCGGTGATGTTGTCTCTCGCATGGTTGGCAGCGCTGAGCATTCTACTGCGGATGGTGAGTATGAGCTTGCTCTGAACAAAAAGAGTTATACTCCTGCACCTCAGCCAGTGCGCTTTGGAATGAGCGGATGCCACGATACCACTCTCGCTGCCACACTTGCTAGTCTTGGAGCCTTTAACGAAGAAGCGTGGCCACCATTCACCAGTCACATTGCGATAGAGCTGTTCCATCATGCAAACGCAGCCGTTAAGCCTCCCCCTGAAGCTCCTAAAACGAGCGGCTTTCTCTCTTTCCTAGGCTTGGGCAACAAAGTAACATCCCTCGCCGGAGCACCACCTCCAGGTATTGGCCGCAAGAAGACTCAAGACTTGACGGAGGATGAAAAAGAGCGACTTAAAGGCTATTACGTTCGTCTTCGCTACAACGATCGCTCTGTGACAGTCCCTGGCTGCAAACCTTCAGGCAAGCATCTTAACGGCGATGAGTCCTTCTGTACTCTGGTAAGTAGAACCCACTCCTGATTTCATGTTGACAAAATATAAGACTGTGGATTCTTTGTTACTGACTTTTTATTTCAGGAAGCCTTTAAGGAGATTGTCGACAAATTTACACCCAAGAACTGGAAACAACAATGTCGCACTAATATCAAGGAGCCGGCCTTTCCAAGTAAGCCTGAACCATCAGGATATTAAGTGTAAGTACGACCTGCAGGACCAAGGGAAGGTTTGGGGTCCGACTACTTCCAATGATATCCACATGTTTAGAGCTTGTGGGTTTTCTTAATGAAACATCTACAGCACGGCTGTATCTTGCTTACACTTTAGCAACCCAGTCAGATACCATAGAGTACATAAATATGGCATTCCCAGAGAACTCTCGAACATCACATTAATAGGATAATATCGTCAAGATCATATGATCTGCATTCAATACTTTAGTGCCTAACCTGACCTAAGACTCCATAATAGACATAAACGCAGGTGATATATCCTCTCATCCATCCCATGCTGAATCCTCTCCAGTCCAAACAGCGTCTCATCTCAACCATGAGCGCCCCCTCGTCTATGAAGGAGCGTATTAATCACAGATCTCGTTCCATCCTAACGCTCTGTATTCCACTCATGAGCACAACATCAGGGATCGAGACCAACTTTGAAAACGAAATAAATACACCGCAAAGGTAAATTATCAAGAAAAAGTAAAATCAAAGAATGAAGGTTTGTAAAGTCCGAGCATAAAGGACTAGACGCAACAAATGGCGTCGATTACAACGTTTAAGCAAGTTTTTTGTTCAGTCTCGCTTGTGATGAGAATGAAGGCATAAAGATGCACAAGCGTCATTAATTGGCAACTTCCTCCTCAACCCATCCGTTCAAGCCACCTTGAATCGCGAGACCGAACCCAGAACCCATACCACCATAGCTAGCTTGGTAGTGGTGACCTCGTCGTTCGTTCTCGCCACCGTGAATGCCGTTAGAGCCATTGGCTCCGTTCTCAAATCCTGGAGCAAGCACAGGAAGACTGACCGCTCGGCTGTGCTGGCCACGACCAGGTGCTAGCAAACCACCGATAGTTGTGGCACCGGGTGCAGCGCTGTTGGCAGGATATCCGTTGGAGATGCTCGCTGACTGGCCATGACCAGAAACAGGAACTTGCTGAGACATTGCAAGGTCCAAGTCACTAGGGGATGGCTGTGCTGTACCGAACAGGGCGTTTTGTTGCGCAGCAATTTGTTGCTGCTGGTGGTGTTGTTGCTGCTGAGCCTGGTGGGAGACCTGGTTGAGGTACATCGTCAAGGGGTTGCTGTTGGCATTGAAGAGAGCGGCTGATTGCTGAGGAGTGTTGCCATTGGTAGGGGAACCGCTGTTCTGGGATCCATTGGGAGGGGGGGAAGAAACACCATCACCACGAGGAGACTGGGACTGCTGCACCTGGCGGGGTGGGTTTCCGCAACGATCCTTGCCAAAGTTGACCTTAAACTTCCTGTAATCCTCTCGGCCTCGGATGGCCTCAATAGCCTTGATAGCGTTGGCGATGTTGGTGAAGTTGACGAAAGCACAGCTCTTCTCGCGTAGAGTGTTGACAAGCTCGATCTCGCCATACTCGGAAAAGTCCTGTCGCAGGCGCTCCTCAGTCCAGGTCTCGTCGAGGTTACCGATGTACACGTTTCGAGAAGCACCTCCACTCACAGCTAGAGCAATGGCAGGAGGGAGAGCTCCAGAGTGCTTGCCCCAACCGATCTTCAGTCGTCGGTTATGGATCATAAGACCCTGGATGTTGCTGAGGGCGTAGAACGAAGCAGCAGCGGTAGGGTCGATGAAGGTAACAAAGCAAATGTGCTTGTCGGGAATGTAGCGGATGTGATGAAGCAGACCACCGCGAACCACATTGCAGATCTCTTCAATCGTTGTCTCAGGGTGAATATTGCCCAGGTAGATAGTTCGGTTACCAAGGTTGTTGATACCTCCAGCAGTTGTGGCCACAGCAGCGGCAGCAACGGATTGCTGAGCCAAAGCATTCGAGATCAAGTCACGATCCGCACCTGTCAGCATGTGGGCGTACCCAGGGGCAATACCCAGATACTGAGCAGCATTTTGCTGCTGCGTCTTGGAAACATAGGCACAGCGATCCTTGCCATAGTACACACGGCGAGGAGCCTGCCACTTGGGCTCTTGCGGAAGTTGAGAGACAGCCTTGATAGCGTTCGCGATGGAGAGGTAATGAACAAACGCAATGCTCTTTTCGCGAACAATCTTGATCGTGTCAATGGCACCAAACTTACCAAGGTCCTCGCGCAGTTCCTCCTCCAAGACCTCCTCAGGCAGATTGCCCAGGTAGACATTTCGCGACGCTCCTGATTGCTGGACAGCCAAGGCGACAGAGGTAGGGACCTGAGAAGGTTTGCCCCAGCCAATCTTGATGTCCTGGCCCTTAATGCAGAGCTTCTTCAAGATGGCATCGGAGTGGAAATGCGTGGCAGAGCTGGCGTCGAGGAAGGAGATGAAAGCACAGTTCTTGTCGGGCAGCAGGCGAACTGACTCAATCTGACCACTTCGAACATGTCCAAGAATCTCCTCAGCCACAGTGTCGGGGGGAATGTTACCCAAGTAGACGGTTCGGCTGGTTCCTGTAACAACACCAGATCCCATTGAGACCGGCGAAGTAGGAGGCAGAGGTGCCTGCATACCATAGCCACCAGTAGGGGACTGAGGAGGGTAGAACTGAGGAGCACCATAGGTAGAAGGGGAAACTATTCCCTGGTACGAGTGAGGTGAGATAGTTTGCTGCACAGGGCTGGCCATGCCGTTCTGAAGCTGGTGGTTGCCCTGCTGATGCTGTTGATGTTGTTGCTGCTGAAATCCAGGCATGCTTTGAAACTGAGGACTGGCAAAGGCAGCTGGTGTACCAGGCTGGAAGGGGCTGCCTAGCAGCAGCTGGGAAGGCAAAAGGGGGGTGAATTGCATGTCAAATGCAGTACCCGGGGTAGCCATATCCACTCCATGGTTGGACGCCTGCTGGGCCATGGGCTGAGGCTGAGTATTGATGGAGGGAATGTTTCCTCGTCGAGGGTGTCGATCGGCGAAACCTGAGATGTTGGAATTGAAGGCACCATGAGAGAAACCAGTATCGCTATTGGAAGGCTTGGAGGCGTGTCCGAAGCGGTTGGCAGGGCCGTTAGGGGCGCCCTGGCCAACGGGTCCGTTAAGGTCTTGCATACCGAGCAGATGAGGGGGGACAAGCGAGTCCCGCCCGACGTGCGACAGTACAGCCGTTTTGAAGAATTGGACGTGCCTGTGTGAGGCACGGAGAGAGCTGCGAGGTTTGAAAGATGGTCAGGCTGAGAAACTTCAAGCGGTCCGAATCTCGAAATTACTGACTGCACAGCAGAGCTGGTCTTTCAAGTCAAGCAAGCTGTCCAAGAACTCGGAAGCAAACGACGAAGGCAAAAGAGGCCGGGTAACAATGCTGAGATAACTAGTTATGCTGAACAAAGTCGATGAAACCAAGTATTATGAAGCTTATCAACGTATCCAAAGGGTAGCAAGACGAAACAGCTTTTGGAAATCAAAAGGGTCGTTCCAGGAGGCGACCGCTTAGTATATATGGTGATCGAAAGTGAATAACTTCGTCCGAATCGAAACCGGGGGGTTTGGCGAAGCTGGAGAAGCAAAACAACGGTATTCGGGTGCAAGAGCGAATGTATCGAAAGGTCGAATAGAAACGTGAAGCACGAGGATGCGTGGCGTAGCGTAGCTTAACTTATCTTAGGATGATATCCAGGGGAAAGTGAGCAGATCAAAATATTAATAAAGCAATATGGCCGAAGCGAGCGTCGTTGAAGCCGAAAGAGATTGTCTCAAGAGAAGGAACAGAGACAACACTACATCTACCAAGGGACAACGGGAGCCTTGGGAGAGTGAGTGAGTATGAGAGACGAGAAGAAGAAGAGACACAAGTCGGCGTCGATGAGAGGACGGCACAAATGTGGAGGGAAAGAGGGATGAATTTCGAAGTCGTCCAAGTTGACCTCCAAAGATCAGGGACCAGGAAACACAGGGGGTGTATGAGGTGAGCCTCAGGCCGACAGACAGACAGGTCGGTCGATTAGCTGTAGGTGCAGGCGGCGGAGGCAGAGACGGGCCTAGTGCAGTCGAATCCAGTCCAGTCCAGTTCCAGTTCAGTAGGTAGGAAATAATGCAAGGTAATAATAATAATGCTCAAATGAGCGAAGAGGCGCCAGGGAGAGAAAAGGGCCAGAAGACCAGGTAGGGAATGAGGTAGAGGAGGGTCGGTGGGTGTGTGGAGTGTGTTGATTGAAGAAGGGATAAAATTTAATGAAATGAGAGAAAAGAAGAAGTACTCCGTAGAATAGTAGGTAGGTGGGTGATGATAAAAAGATGATACAATTGGTAGACACAAAATGGTGAAAGAAGGGACGACTACCCAGATGGAAAAAGTGAGAATGGAAAGAGTGATCAAAGAGTAATCAAAAGGTGATCATGACAGTCAGTGAGAGAGGGAGCGAGGTGATGAGAATGAATGTGCCTGTGAATAGTAATAATGAATTAGGTATGTATAAATCCAATGCCTCTACTGAATAATCGACTGTACCTGACCCGAACTGCATGAAAGGAAAGGATGCAATCATAAGGTGTGTTAATTCATGATCAATGAAAAACAACATGCAAGGTAAAACACACTCTCGGTAACGGAATATCCATGCACAATCACTTTGCACAAAATGAATGAACAGCCAAGGCTTGAGCCCGAAAAGGCTTAGAGGGCTGACACAAGCTGCCTATCTAACGGACAACGGACAACGGCGAGCCAGTCAGGAACCGAAGGTCCAAGATTGGTGCATCTTTCAGGGGAGGAGGGGCTTTTGGGGACGGGCCACCTCAACCTGCCTAGCCAGCCATGGCTTCAAAGGGACAGCGCATTAAATCTGTTGGCTCAAGGCTGCGGAGCAAAACGTTAGGGGGGATTCGGGAGGCTCTGGCTCTGGGGGAGAGAGAAGGAGGATGCCATTGACCAGTGACCACTGACGACGGTTCAGGGGTGGAGGAGAAGAGGAGATGGACCCATTGCCTAAAGGGGGTCAAGGTTGGAATTGGCTGCTCCGATAGTTTAATGACCCTGACAGGGATCATGTCGATTAATTGTCTGTCATCAAAGGTCGGTCTGGTGAGTGAAAAGCGTTGCATTTGGCGTGAACTACGGAGTTGGACGACAGTGTAGACGACAGTGAATTGTACTACTGTATCTGACGATGGGTGCATAGGGCAAGTGTGTAGGACAATACAGTCTCCATCAATAGCAGCCGTTCGTTCGCAGACTTGATACATGTTTCCGTCGTTTTATGTTGAGGGGTCGTTGTTAGAGCGTGGACGTGTGGTGTCACATAGCACTACACAGTAGGTAGACACAAGCCTTACCCCCTGCCAAAAACATCATCTCCATCCGTCTATCAATAAGTTTTTGGGCTTGGATCTACGGATGCCGGTGACAATACCGATATTAAATTCAAGATCAAAATTCCAAAACCACGCGACACCAGGTCCAGGCTGCGGTGGTGGATAGGGGTTGGTAGGTAATGATTGACATCCATCCATACTGCTATGTATCCGTAATTGCTGTGTAAATAGTTTCGGTGATGGGTTGTAGTGGTGAGAATAGGCGTGAGCTACGGAGTACTCATTAATAGCTTTGGTTAATATCCGTAGATGAAGAACAGCTGTAAGCGATACTTTACTGTTCTTGAATGATACTTCAAGATAGGTAGACAGAGTGTATAGTTGTCCTTCACAACTACTGAGGTCATACTCTATTTCTACTGTATTATTCATGCCCTCTGGACCCCTATACTTGTGGGTCTGACGGTCCGCCCGTTTCCTGCGCGCTAAAAGCCCACCCGGGCACATTCAATGCTCAAAGTGACAATTTGCCCGCGTCACTTGAAATGCTGAAACCCCCTCAATGCTTAATGGACCTTGTTCTTTGACAGCTGTGGAAGACGTTTGACGGTTGTATGGATGTCAGAAAGTAAGTACCAACGAGAGATCTGACGTTGGCCTTTCTTGCAGCCACTAAAGAGGCAAAGATAAAACAAAAGCAAGACATGTTTATTGTACAACATCAACAACCCCAACCGCCCTTAGCAATAACCCCTCCATGGCGGCTACTACACCCTTTCTTTGATCATCCTTTGTACTTCGTATTTCGCACGGATAAATCACGGCCATGATCGTACAAGCGAGGGGAAAAAGACGATTCGATTCGTATTCTTCCCCTTGCCACAAAGTCACCCCTAGTCTCTGTGAAACATCAACGCGGGCCCTAGCCTTGAAGCATATAACTCCCAAACACAATCGCCTTCAGACCCAGATGCAGGTGCAGGTGCAGGTGCATGTGGAAATATATATTTAGATGCTATTTTCGGAAGCGTCTCAGGCGCTTCGTAAACGCGCCACCCGCCCTCCTTTTCTTCCTCTGCTTTCTTGTGTTCCGCCAGCGCATGATTCGTGTCTTCTACTATTGCTGGTTGCGGTTGTGTATAATAACAAGTAACCGCAAGCAGAAGGGGAAAATAGTCGGTCTGACAGTCGTATTCATTTTAGCACTGCTAGACCTTAGGTAGTGGTCCCATCTTTGATCCCACGTCCCCGTTCACGTCCGTGTTCATATCCCGCGATACTGATACTATTACGGAGTACGCCTTGGCCAGCTCAGGCCCAGGGCCTCGCCTATTGCCCCCTGGGCTTTGAGGTTCCCTACCCCCTTTGCTTTGCCCTTTGATGGCCCGTGATACCCATGTTTGCGCTCCCGGAGAAACGTGACCACCTCAGGGACCTGTCCCGTCTGTCCGTATATCGTGCCAGATCGTTGGTTCTATGGATTAAGCGACAGTTGTGATAAAGCATTTAGCGAATGTTTGCTACAAACTCAACGTAAGAGTATACCAATTCAACCAATTACCGTCCGTGCTCGTCGCCATCGTCTAGTTGAGGAACAAAGGTATACGGAGTACACTTCTATCCAACTGGACCGCATACCAACCTAACTTAGTTTATATGAACAATATCTTGCTTGGTAGGAGTGGTTATAACTGATATTACCACATAATCTCAAACTAAGGATTTTTATCTCGATTATGAATCACGCAAGACCTCTTGCTTATACCTAATTACTGGCCTGCTATGTGATACCCTGCGGGTGTTCTGGTAGGTGTATAGATGCCCCCGGTGTAAGAAAGACTGATTGCATAATAACTCACGTGCAACCCTACATGTTACTCTCAACGACTCAAAACAACTTATGAATCAAATCTACATGGCCTGGCAAAGTCTTTCAATTATTATTCGAGCCGTTATTTGTAGCACAGACACGCTTCCTCACTCGTACAATCACAAAGTTCCACAAGTATCATTGGCCGGGTCTCACAAAACACATTCGAGACTTTATTTAAACTTGAGCTCATGCAATCTTTCTCATCATTCATAAATACATATCACTAAATCATCCTTACGTAGAAGACTGTCTTACAACTCATCTTTGGTACCAGCGGCATTGCCACCGTTACCCTCCTTCCCACCATCCTGAAGACCTCGCTTCACCATGGAGCTGATAATCTCGTAGACAACCTGGGCAGCAGCCAGGGCAGTCTCCTCGCCGCCATTCTGGTAGGCGGGCGACACCTCGACAACATCAGCGCCGACGAGGTTCAGGCCCTCGATACCGCGGAGGATGCGGATGAACTCGCGTGTGGACCAACCGCCGGGCTCAGGGGTGCCAGTGCCAGGGGCGAAGGCCGGGTCGAGGACGTCGATGTCGACGGAGAGATACACGGGGTTCTCGGTGCCGAGGACTTTGAGGATGCCGTCGATGATACCCTTTGTGCCGATGTCGTCGATGTCGTCGGCGGTGAAGCGGACCCAGCCCTGCGATGTGTCGTCCTCGTTGTCGGCGAAGTCGTTGCCGGAGAGACGAGTGCGCAGACCAGCGTGGACGGAGCGTTCAGAGGAGGAGTTGGAGAGTAGGCCTTCTTGATTGGCCATCCAGAACATGGAGCCGTGGGTGAATTGAGTGGCCCCCCACCATGAAGGGTAGGCAGCTGGGTTCCAGGTATCGAGATGAGCTGGAGCGAACGTGTTAGTTACACGGTTCCTTGTAAGTGAATTGGCATAGGGACCAGGGCTCTCGTAGATCCTCGGTTGAGATTGACTTACCATCGAAATGCAGAACCTGAATAGGCTTGCCATGAATCTCCTTCAAAGCCCTCAGAGCAGGGAGAGCCAGTGAGTGATCACCGCCCAGTGTCACAAGTCGAGGCTTAGGGGCCAAAGCAGACACAGTCTTGCGGCGACCAAGCTGCTTGAACGCCTGAGTCATCTGCTCACGAGCAATGTTGTTGTCGATGGGAGTGATCGAGATATCACCGCAGTCAACAATCTTGGCCCAGTTCTGGTACGGGTTGATACCAGCTCTGGGGTTGAAGCCACGCATCGACGTCTGGCGAGCAGATGCAGAGCGAATGGCTCGAGGTCCGAAGCGGGCTCCTGGACGGTAGCTCACGGCCGTGTCGAATGGACAACCGATGATGGCAATGTCATAGGGCTCAGTAGGCTCAGTGAGACACTTGACATGGTTGAGGTGGGCAAAGGTGTTGATGCCGGCGAATGGCCACTGCGACGATGTCAGTACATATGTCTGACAAGATACCCAAGGGGCTCTCCGGTAAGAGGTCACTACCTACCTCGTAACCCCATTTCTGTTCAAGTTCGTCAAGCTCCTCCTTTGTCCACTCCTTATCATCGTGATCATGAGCGCAGGCTGTGGCCAGCCCCGCCATCGTCAGTAGATTCAAGAGCTTCATGATAAGCAGCAGTGAATGCAATTTATAAATATTTCGAACTGAGACCACAAAGAAGAAAACAGAGACGGGAAGAAAGAGGGTAACAGCGAGCTCTAATATAGTCACAATTTCTCACAACTAGCCCTCCACCTCCTCCAGCAGCTGCCATCCAGTCCCCGCGAGTCAAGATCCATAAGCCCATGGATATCGCTGTACGAATAGAGCGGACGCCCTTTCAATGAGTCGAACAAAGCCTCAAAAGAGAGGCATAACGGCTGCCGATTGGCCAATTGATGCAGTTATCACTGGAGAATACCACCCCGCAGTTCACTCTTCTTCCCCGCCATAGAGACAGACTCTTGGGGTCGGGTAGGGAATTTGCCGAATATGGGTATAGAATGGCAGATAAACGCATATGATTTCACCTCGATGTTGAGAGAATGGGTCCAGTTACTTTGGGGCTAGGTTGAGATAGGAAAGTTGAGGCGACAGGATAACCTGATGATTGGATATTTATTAGTTATCACTCACATCACAAGAGCACGTTTACGGTCCACGAACAACAAGATAAGATATCCCACTGATAGTGTTTAATTGTTCATAAGTCTTGTGTTCTTCAATCTTCAACATACATATGTCTGGTTGTTGACTTTCACCATGTGAATCACCAGAGAATGATATCCCGGCTTCTACAACGAACATTGATCAAAACAATGATCTTTCCCTTTAGGACTTTAAGAGTTCACGTCTGCCATCTTTACGACTCAAACATCACCTCACTTGCCATGGCTCATCCAAGGACTGTCATATGTTAACCTTAAACTACCCAAATGAGCAGTTTCAGTACGTTCGGATACCAAAGATAAAATGCAGAATTTTCTATAACTTCGCATGAATCAAGACAAGACATTGATGTAAATTGCACCCCAATCGCCAAACTGTCCTATCAAAACATTCCCGCCTGGAAATGCGAATCATCATTCCCTTCCGCTCGCGAGTCCCATCCCTTCCCTTGCTCCTTCATGCTACCCTGGGAGGATTAGAGAACGAGCGGTTCGGAGGTCCGGCCCATGAAAAAAATCGCAAAGAGGCCAACGGGACAGAGCCAGCTCGTCGTCAAGAGAGGTTCCGGCTGGCCTGGGCTACGCTCAGCGGCCCTCGGCAGCTCTTGATTTGCGTCGCCCTTTTAACCATTCGTCTTTTCGTCACGGAACAAGGCGCTTGCTCCCCGATTTCGTTCCATCATCCAGTCCACACCAAGCACAGGATGACCATTCTCTGTGAAACCGCTTGCATTCCGTTCCACCCGCCAAAGTCATCCCCAAGTCGTCTCGCCGTACCTCGAACAAACAATTCTATTCATGCATATCGGATGAGCATGCTCATAGTTGACAGCCGTTCCCAGTGAAAGTTGGAGAAGTTGTTGTCGTGGTTCGGCTGCGGCTGACCTCTGTCCGTTTATAGGACGAGGCACTTGTGCGACTTCTTCTTTGGGGCAGGGGGCTCAAGTGCCGCAACAATAGCCTGTTTAGTACAGTCAGTAAATATCAAAGAGACCCCATACGGAAAGAGGGAGAAGTGTTCTTTCTCCAATAACAACATACCTCATCAAATACGTCCTTAAGCTTGTACTGAGTTAGGGCACTGCATTCGACGTACTTCACTGCGCCCAAGTCCTTGGCCATTCGTTCGCCATCCTCCCGTCGCACTGGCTGCATCTTCTGCTTCGACAGCTTCTCGCGAACACTGGGGTCATCCCGCAAATCCACCTGGGTACCAACAATCAAGCAGGGAACGCCGGGGCAGTGGTGGCGGACCTCGGGGAACCACTTCTCGCGCACGTTTTCGAATGAAGCAGGCGAGGTGACGGAAAAGCAAACGAGGAATACATCAGTCTGGGGATATGAAAGAGGTCGTAGTCGGTCGTAATCCTCTTGACCGGCGGTATCGAACAGTCCAAGAGTGTATGGCTCGTCACCGATCCTACAGGCCAGTCAGCAACTCTTCTATGACCGAAAGCGGCACCCAATCGAGCTATGCGCAAGTGTTTTGAATCATCACCAGGCACGGTATGCCGCTGCCGCCAGGAGCTGATGATGAGTTTACAGCACACGACGTCCATTGCAGGTGGGGGTGCGGTGTGGGGGGGCTGGTGTCGATCTGATGGGCGTGCAGGTAAACTCACATAACAGTGACGGCGTAGTTGTCGAAGACTGTCGGGACATATTCGGAAGGGAACTTGTTTGTTGTGTAGCTGATGAGAAGACAAGTCTTTCCAACAGCACCGTCACCAACGACGACACACCTAGATAGAGGGTTATCATATTAGCTCCAGGCACGATGGTGCAAATGACGAGAACGACGAGCAAGGCCATGCAGAACCGATGCGCGGGTTTGGCCGGGGTACTATGCTATGCTCCCCAAGGCAATTCCGGTGAAGAAATAAACCAAGCAAAGAACAGCATCGTCTGGCTATGCGATGAAACGTACTTGATAGTTGCGACAACTGCCATTATTCCTCTCAAAGGCTCCTGGGCAGGAGCTCGACTATGCTAAGGCGAAATGCAAGCGGTCGAGAGTGGTAAAGCTATATTGGCGGGCGGATGCGCACGAGTACGGTGAGAGAGCGGGGGGGATGGCGGAGCGGAGAAAGTTAGGTCAGTGTCGGTATCGGTATCGGTATCGTTATCGAGAGGATGAGTTGCGAGGCGAAAGGCGAAAGGCAAATCGACACACGAGGGAGGTGTTGGTGTTGTATCGTTTGATGACAGACGGAGGTGGTCGAATTCAAGATTGCAGTGGGTGCGACTTGTAGTTGGTAGGTAGCGGAGGTATGGAGTTCCAGGTTGCGCTGCTTTGGCTTTGGCTTTGGCTTGTCTTTGGGCCTGGGTCTGGTTCTGGCGCTGGTGCAACGAATGAGGGGAGGCGGAGAAGGAGTAAGAAGAGGCTGTGGTTGACGGGAGTTTTAGACCTGCAACAAAAGGTGAGCGGGAGTGGAAGTGGGAGGCACAGTTAATTGATGTGTAAGTACAAGAGAGACGAGGCGAGAGGGAGAAGAGGCACAGGCGTTGGTACTGGTAGAACTGAACGGCACGCAGTGGGCCGAGCCTTGCTTTGATGAAGCAAAGCAGAGCAGAGAGACAGTGTAGAGCAGTACAGCACAGATACCAACTAAAAAAAAAAAACAAGCCAGGCAGGAAATCAAGGCAAAGTACTAACGGAGTGGAAGTAACAGGGTACCTTACCTAGACTAATAAGGCGCGAGGCCAGGCAGACAAGGCACCTAACGTAAGGCTCCTCAGTGAGTGAATGGGCTCCCCAAGCGCTGTCAGCAGCAGTACTAGTACAGGCCAGCATTGACAGGCATGGAGACGAACTGGAGAGCAGGGGTAGAAAAGGACTGGACGAGGACCTAGGGAGAGAAAGTAGAGTGAGAGGGAGGGGGTTGGAACAGCACAACACAGCACAGCGAAAGCACCTCAGTCAATTCCAGGTTAGCCTAAAAACAAACAAGCAAGCATCCATCCACTGGACCCAATTCAAGGTTAGTACCTAGGTAGGTCAGTAGGTACTTTACGTACAGCAAAGTACACTCGTGAACACTGCGAAAGACAGCTGTGCAGCAAGGTACCGTTGCCGTCTTTACTCGAACCCGCCCCGACTACTAACCTAAGCAAGCTCTAAAGTAAGGCCGCAGGGCCAATGTGGATTGCGGAAGTGGATATGTCTGCCAGTCTGAGTGGAGGACGGACGTGAACAAGGTACAAGTAGTTTATTAGAGATGGAAGGGTAACAATTATTTACACAGCGTAATGTTGTAGATTGGAGGAGACTCAGGAGAGAGACAGAGTGCCCTGGTAATGGGCTTGAGTAGGATTAGACAACGCTAAGTATCTACGGAGTACCTATCGATAGAATGAAGTTGTTAGGAGGTAGTTGGTGATGTGAGAAAAAGACGGTCATGACTCCGATAAGATGAGAAATGGAATAGTCGTAGGGATAGACCAGCCTGTTAGTGACTACCTACTACCTTAGTAGATAAGTACTAGGTAGGTACTAACCTATTATACCTGGTCTACTGTGTGTTGTTCGGTGCTCCAGCTGTACTTTGTTGACCGACTTCTAAGATAAGAGATAAGAGTAAGAGATTCGATTCGACTTATTGTAGCAAATTGATGAGTGTCCGTTAATTGCAGTTCCTAGTGGCAGTTGCTAATACGACAACAAAGTAAAGTCAATGTAAAAAGCCCATCCAAGCAACAATACCTTAGTTATACCTACTAGGTACTAATCTAAGCAAAGCAATATGACAGCGAGAGGTTCATTCCATTCATGGCAGGTGCACGCACGGGCGGTAGGTATCTGTACAACTCTTCAGGGCTTTCCCATTAATTACGTCCAGTAGCGCCAAAATCTCACAGATCCATACCTAGTACCTACCTAGGTATGGGCGGGACTACGGGTAGGAGCCGACCCTACGCGCAGTAACGATCCACTGTTAGTTGCCAATAACCAAATACTGTTGATTAACAACTTTCACTCCATCAAGGTCAAGTATCCCTCTATCGACCGGATATCTGATGCTTTGAATATCATTTACCCTCGATTGCAACATGCAACAACTATCCAGGGGCAGAAACTCTAGGCTTTGACTCTGACTCTAATTTGGAACTCGGGACAAAGGCCACTACTTTGACCTATCCGTACGGCTACCGCTGCTAAATAACAAAGGACAAGATGCTACAGTTAATGACGACACCACGTTTGAGCCGCCTTAAATAAGGAGCCCCAGGCATGCTTCAAATTAAGTGCATGCACAAAGGCCATCTTCTCACACACACAAAAAGGAACACCTGCAATAGGGGTCAAAGAATGGGACGACGATCTTCCTGGGCTGGACTAAGTTTCTGTTCATCAGACCCGATTGTTCTCCGTGCATTGCTTTGTTGTTAGGGGATGCTTGTCCCTTTGAGCCTCTTCGCCTAGCATGTATCAGGTATCAGCTACAGTATCATGATGTCGTTCTGCCCGATAGGACTCGTCAGATCCATTCCTTAGACTCGTCCTGTCTTGTCTTGATTGCCTCATCTTGTATTGCATGGCATGGCATGAGCGGCCAAGGCTCAGCCCTCGAGATGAATCTCATCTGGTGATCCGGAAGAGAAACGGGGGCTTGCTGCAGGCAGGTAGCCCTCTCTGGCCCATGCTCTTTGGTATCAAATGTGATGTACGGAGTACTCCGTAAATTTGAATGCAAATGCTTTCGCTTACCAAAGGGATCTGAGGTGGTGATTCAGCGTGCTTTGATGCAAATTGCCAACCACGCGTGACCTCTGTGCGTGGTCGATCATTCTGTGTTTTATTTTGTTTCTCCCTGGTTACCCGAGTCGAGAACCCTGGTTTGACACTTTAAATTGAAAAGCGAGTGATTATCGAATACAACCTCATGGACAATGATCACAAGAAAGAAGATCAATACTTAGCTATCTGTTAACAATTCCAGATTCCCTCGAGTCCCTGTTCAACTAGTAAAACAGACTTTGTCGAAACAACGTTAGTCAGGAAAGTGCAAATCATCACCAGCCTCTAAATTGACGGACAGCCTTGTAAAGAGACACAACAGAGAACACAAAACTGGTGACTAGGGAGACACGCGCGGGCCCCAAATTCCGGCATCAACTATCCCAGCACCATCAGCACTCTAACCCACACTCAAGCTTGAGCCCAGAGATATTACGACCCTCCAAGGGCTCCCTGCTCAAGTTTATGCAACGCGGGATCAGTCTCGAACACTTGTCACGAATTGATTTACTCTGCGCCAGCAAGTGCAAGTTCTGTCAACAAGGGATGAGCGGGAATATGCAGCTTATCTGTTTGTCTCACCCGAGCCCCGAGACGCCATCTGGCCATCTCGTGGGACTTGACTGCAACTGTATATTCATCAAACGTGGGTTTGGTTATTAATAATAAGCCGAGACAAATGCTCAAGTTCATTCTATATCGATCTGCAAGGTCTCGTAAGCTGAAGCGGTCTGTCCCACTTGTACCTGTTCCTTACTATTAGAGTCTAGTCAATCGTATACTTGCCTATCAAGATGTTGATCAACCAATCTATCTCGTTTTGGAGTCTTGTCGCACTTCTTTACGGATAATTGTTACAAGAGCGATATACGCCTGCGTGGATTAAAAGTTGCCAAGCTATCATCGGCGTAGGTCTCGGCGAACAGCACTGGGAACGACTACGAAATGTGTATCTATGTCACACTATAACGCCACGTTTACTGGCATGTCTCTCATTGACGATGAGAACTCTCTTAACAATCACGATAGGAAAACGTTATGGAAAGTGAGACTCGGGGGGGAAACGATGCTATTAACGGATCCACGTTTCTGGCTGGGAGATCGACATGGAAGACTGCATTGCATCTATAACTAGGTAGGTAGTAGGTAAGTTAAGCTCGAGACCAACCGGCCCCAAAAAAGAAATATCAGATCATAAACCGTTGAAGTTACTATTTCAACGTATCTCAACCAACCATATCAAGCCACAGATATGTTACATATTCCTCCTTCTGAATAGTTACTTAGGTACCTAGATTAACTTTCTTGACCAGAGTGATTAGCGCCTAAGAAGCCGTTGAAGCATATTTTGGCCCTATCAGGATTCAACCTTTATCCTCTGCTCCTCTTCTTCTTCTGCCTCCTGTGCCTAAACTACTAACGTTAGTGGTAGCTCTCCCCCTCCTGTAAGCTAGCCCTAGCAATCGATAGCTCTTCAATACTCTGCCGCGTCGGCCAACATCTTTTGAAGTCATCACCACTTTTTGTGACAGCGCTAACCCCAAATGGAGAGTCCGGGGCTGTCATCCGTCCATCGACGGGGCGCGATCTCCCCGAACTGGGGGGAAGAGTGAAGAGTGAGTGTGGGTACAAATCGCAAAGAGAAAGGACTGCAGCATGTTTTCAAAGAGCTGGTTAAAGCCCCGACATCCCAGGCTTTTGACCTGTTACCATTGAGATGAAATTTTGGACTTGAGCGTTTGTCACCCTGAAATCTTCAGTCGATTGTTAGCCATGGCTTTGCTGAGATGGCCTTACAAGGACAACCCGCCGGTTCTACTAAAGGTGCGGTCCTCGGCTGGTCTGATCGTCACCACTTGTTCTTTTGCCATCTTCACTGTAAGTCTATTACTCTTCTACTATAGAGCAGCCCAGTTAATCTCCATAGGATATCTTCTTGTATGGTGTCATCGTCCCCATTCTGCCATTCTCACTTGAAGACCGGATCGGTGTCAATACAGACAAGGTGCAGTACTGGGTCTCTATAGCATTGGCTGTGTTCGGTGCTGCACTTCTCGCTGGTTCACGTAAGTCAGCATCTTCTTTTCAAGTAAGGAATCTATAACTTACCATGGCCATAATAGCTGTTTGGGGCTATCTAGCCGATAGAATCCACAACCGGCGGGTTCCTATGCTTATAGGTCTTGTCGTGCTATGCGGAGCCACAGTCTTCTTATGTCTAGGTCGCACACTTGCTCTTTTCATGGTTGGTCGTGCTTTGCAAGGTATATCAGCAGCACTGACCTGGACTGTTGGTCTTGCACTTGTTGTCGATACTGTCGACAAAGAACACGTTGGCAAGGCTATGGGCTGGATCAGCACAGCCTGTAGCCTGGGTATCTTGGTGGCACCTTTACTGGGTGGTGTTGTATATGGCAAGGGAGGCTACTATTCTGTCTTCGCCATGTGCTTTGGCCTACTTGCAGTGGATATTGTGTTGCGTCTTGTTATCATTGAAGTCAAAGATGCCAAGGTTTGGCTCGACAGGGCAGAGCCCACATCGTTAGCAAACACAGAAGGTGTGGCTGTTGAACGATCCAAAACGGAGAAGGATGAAGATATAACTGCTGGGGCAGCCAACAACCAAGCCAGACATACGCCAGACCCCTCACGGTCACCCTTCAAGACTCTAGCCCAACTTTTGAGGCAGCCACGATTTCTGGCTGCTCTCTGGGGAACATTCGTCCAGGCACTCATCAACACCGCGCTCGAGAGCACACTCCCCCTTCTCACGCACGAAATCTTTGGATGGGACTCGATTGGAGCGGGACTGGTCTTTCTTCCCTTGATTCTGCCATCGTTTCTTGGCCCCCTGGTGGGTATGATTGGCGATCGGTATGGGCCTAAGTGGCTCGCTTCCTTCGGTTTCCTCTTCGCGACACCCTTTGTTGTGTGCCTGATGTTTGTCGATGAGAACACAATCCAGGACAAGATCCTCCTTTGCGGGTTGCTTGTTGGTGTCGGTATCACAATGGCTTGTATTTTTGGTCCTCTGATGGCCGAGATCACTTGGTCTGTCCAAGGCGAGGACGGCACCGAGGGTGCGGGACAGATCGCCCAGGCATATGGTCTATACAACATGGCATATTCGGGAGGGTCCTTAGTAGGACCAATCCTAGGCGGGTTTGTCAAGGACAGTTCGGCATGGGGAACTGTGGGCTGGAGCCTGGGTATCATGGTGTTTGTGTCTGGTATTCCAACTATTCTGTATACGGGCGGGCCTTTGAAAGTCAACTTTCGAGGTAGAAGAAGACAGGAGCCAAGCCAAGTCTGATAATCTCAAGTGCAGTAATTCAATAATTATAAGGAAATATACAATTATTGCAATATTGGGTTGTCTACATAAAAAAGTCCCCGTCTTGCACATGGCGCATGGTGCATATGAAGCTAAACCCAAAAGGTATAGCTACCTTGATAATATCCTGCACCTCCTTCCTGCCATACCCCCCATTCCGCCACCTATAATCGCCTTACTTTTAGAATAAAGGGCAGTATTAAATTAACGATTTTATATATAAATAATAATATTTCAATTTAGCTAAAACTAGAATATATTTATAAGGGCTTCTTAACCGCTGGTAGTGATATTTATTAAGTTTTTTTTTTAAGTTTAGTATATTACGGCCTTATATAATAATTAATATATTTTCTAACTAGAAGTAAGTTATTATAATTTCTAGAATATAAGTAAATTACTTATTAAAATTGAAATTAATAGGCTTCCTTCCTATTACCTTATATAAATTTTTTTAATCCTTAAGATATGTTATTTCGGCCGTTTTCCTGGCATTTATGGTATTAAGGCAAGTTAACTACTTAGCGGTCTGATTAATAAGGACCCGGGTATAGCATTCAACCGGGCCAGAGGCCTTTTCTAGGTAGCCACGTTGTATGCAGGCAGCTTCAACGACGCTCCACTACGATACTCATCTTCAATCCTACAATCTATTAACTATTTACGGAGTACTGTTACTATTATTCAATCTCCAAGATAACATCAAGCGGAAAACATCTGATCAGCCAGTTCCTCCCTAGAGTGCTTAACTCTTGTCATCTCACATTTCATAGTGGAACGGAGCCTCACAAGCCTCCAAATCACACTACCCCAACCCCATCATGGAGCAGCAGCAAATTGACGAGCTTCTTCAGCGCTACCTCGGCCTCCTAGATGAGTATACACAGCTGCGTCAGAGCCTATCTCAGCTCCAGTCCGGTATTTATCAGAACATCGCCCGCGCAAACTTTTCTGGCGAAAGAGGCATGAGGTACGGTCAGGATCACTACGACGAAAGAATGCAAGCAACTCGCATTCTTACTATCCAGCAAAACGAGGATCATGACCCGGTCTTTGCCGTTGTCGATTCCCCGCAGGAAGATCAGGAAGCAGAAAAGAAAGAAGAGAAAGGCGAAGACCTTCCCACTGAAGAGTCTGGCGACAGCCCAAAGTCAGGTGCAGATGAGGAGAAGCCGATGGAAAAGAAACGAAAGAAGAACAAGAACCCCCTGCATTGGTTTGGCCTGTTTGCACCCATGCCTCTTCGCACAGCTCAAACACAATCTGTACAAGCAGTTGAGGATATTATTCCTAGGCTCGTCTCTGTCAACGCCGAGATGCTTAATGTTGAAATTGAGGTGCGACGAGCTCGAAAGCGTCGTGCCAAAACAGAAGCGGCGGAGAGGAAGACCAGCCAAACTGCTCCCAGCAATCAGCTACAGAGTACGATTCTTGAGACATCCTGATTACTTTTCCAACTTTCGTTAAACTCAATGGCACCATCACTGCCGGTCTCAATTATTCTAGATGTGCCTATAGGTTGTTCAGACTCTCGGCCAAAGTCGGATGAGCATACACAGCTGCTTCAAGATCCCACCACTTTAAATTCCCCATCATAGCAGTCTGCACAATCGACATAATCTCACCTCCTTCAAGCCCCAAGCATGTGAAACCCAATAACTCTCCCGTTTTTGCATCCACAGAAGCCTTCATCAGTCCTCTTGGTTCTGCCGTTTCCAGTGCTCTCGCAACATAGCTCATAGGCATATTGGCAGTCTTAACCTCCCTCTTGCTGTTGGCGAGATCTCTGGCGTGAAGTCCGACGTGGCCGAGCTGCGGATCGGTGTACATAACATAAGGAGTCAGCACTCGCGAAATTGAAGACTTTGTCGTGGGCATGGCCGGGGTTGATGGTGGTATGATTTGTGGGAGAAGGTTAGTGCGGATGATGCGAGAGTCGTCGTAGGACATGTGCGTAAAAGCAGCACCACCATGGCAATCTCCCAGAGCATAAATATCCGGGACAGTGGTTTGAAGCTTTTCGTCAATCACAATATGTCCTCTGGGCGTTGTTTCGATCCCAACTCCGGCAAGATTCAACCCATCAGTATTAGGTACTCGACCTGTTGCCAGCAAGATATGCGACCCAGAGACTTCAGTCTGGCCATTAGCGGTCTTGACCTTCACTGCGAAAGGTGTCTTCTTGTCTTCAGAAGTCGAGGCGGAGTCCACTGTGCTCGACAGATGCACTGTGATGCCATCTTCTTGCAGAATGTTCAAAAGACACCCCGCCACGTCAGGATCCTCCCGAGGAACAAGCTGTTTTGCCCTCTGGATGACAGTCACATCGGACCCCAGACGACGAAAGAGCTGCCAACTCAAGGCCGATGTATCCGCCGCCCATCACAACGAGATGCTGTGGGACATTGTCAAGTTCCATTATGGATGTTGAGTTGAGTACTCGTGCTGGCTCAACGTCGTCTAGGCCTGGGATTTCTGGCCGCGAAGGCCTTTCACCAACATTGATGAAAACTTTATCTGCGGTAACCTCCTTCTCCCCTCCATCATTTAACACAACTTTGAGTTTTTTGTCGCTCAGGAAGCTGGCATCTCCCATAAGAACGTCCACGCCTGCTGCGTCCAGGCCTTTCACACTCCCTGAGTTCCACTGCTCTACAATCTCGCGCTTGCGCTGCCTCACCCGAACCATGTCGATCTCGATATTGCCGTCTCCTACATGCACGCCGTAGTCTTTACCTCGCCTGGCCATGTAGGCTGTTCTCCCTGATGCGATCATTGTCTTTGTGGGCGTGCACCCGACGTTGACACAGGTGCCACCCAGTGCTGTGCGTTCGATCACAGCTGTCTTTTGACCAGCCTTGGCAAATGCTTTGGCGACGGGATTGCCACTTTGGCCGGATCCGACGACGATAACATCATAGGGCGTGGCCATTGTGTGAAGTGTTTGGCGGTTGAATATATGGTTGGTGCGAGCGAGACGAGGAGGTAGACTAGCGAGGCGATTCATATATAGTCGTTGGCTGAAAGTCGAATTTACCTTGATTTAAAGGAAGGCTGAATAAACCCTCCTTATAACTGTACTCCTCAACTTCATCAAGAGGGATAGTGCTTATGTTTATACTGCTGCTGGTTAAATACATTTTGGATAGTGCTATTCTTCAGCTCTACCCCTCACGAGCATGTGGTATCCTTTGTGGCCAACGGCAGCTTCATCAATTGCGCTGACGAAAGGCGGGCGTTGCGTTGTAAGAGATGAATAAGCTGCTTACATGTGTTATCCGACACGCCTCAACCTGCATAATAAGTAGTTACTGGTGTGCCATGATAATACTTGGCTGAGGCTAAAGCGAGGGTGTGGTTCCTGTGCTATCATACCAGGGCTCTCGTCTTAGTCCTTGCTCGAAGGTTTGTTGTTGAGATAGTGTATAAATGTCTTTTAGCCAAGTACACCATATATCTTCACGATCTCCCTATGATTGCTACTATCTCTCTTGAGTCAATGAAGCCAGCGTAGTGAGCACGTCGTCCAGCATTTCCCTCTGGCCATTTCCCTTCCTGACTTGCTTGTCAAGCTGAGCCGCAATACCATGAATAGCAGCGATAGAGTGCTTATACCTCGTTCGCATCCCTTGGTTGGTTTCAACAAGCACTGCGCAGCAGAGCTGTAAAGCGGCAATCAATGCTTCCTGTACTTGAGGCGACAATTCCGAGTCTGAAACGTCCCATGCGGCTACAGAAGTGACGAGATCCATCCATGCCTCAGGGACACCATTGGTTTCTTGCTCGACTATGGGAAGCAAGATGCGAACGATCTCTGTGGCCCGGGATACGTCTTGTTGCCTGGATGTTCGTGATTCATGCTGAAGAATCGAGTTGAGATCACGAGCGAGGACTGTCCAACCTTCGTTGACGAGAAATAGCTCACGGCCTTTAGGTAATGCAGTCAGACCCTCGAGGGCAACGAGTACCGGAGATCGAAAGTCAAGCTTGTCCTGTGAGCTGGACTTGTAGAGATCCATAAACATATCCATCAGACCTGTCGCCTCTTTTCGGAGAATGTCATTATCCTCTTCTCGAAGCCAGAGAGACAAAGCCCGCACAGCAGAGAGTATGAACATATCGTCATCGGCATTATCCTTCAACGAGTCCCAAGCCAACGTGTGGTGTGTTCCTGTCGACGTCTCTGTTGTGCTGGCGCGAGCATCTGGGTGTAAACCCATAGCTCCAGCAACGGAAGCGTCCCAACGATCACGCAGGTATTCAGCTGTGAGGGACATTGTATCAGAGATGCCCTTACGGAGACTGAGAAGGTTCTCAGGGGTCATGAAGAAGGTCTCTAAGGACTCGTCTTCAAGACATTGTATGAGGTATCCGATGAATATTGACATCACATCGAATGCGGACGTGAGTCGAGTCGACACTTTAGGGTATTCAGGCTTGTTCAGCTGCTCCAGTAGAGTGGGGGCTGAAGAGCGGATATCGATGAGAATCAGGTTGATGAGAAGGTAGGAGAAGGCTTTATCATCCTTTTTGTCGTGCGTAAATATGAGTTTGGGGCCTTCAGTTGGGAAAGCCTGAAGTATCGAAGCTGTTGCATTGGTATAGGCAGCGCGCGCTTCGGGTGTTGGTCTACTCGTGACTAGATTTTGGATATAGGTAACAACATTCTTGAGCCATTGGGGCTGGCGGGGAAGAATCTGAGAAATAGTTAATTGGTATTCCTGCTGATAGTTCAACACAACATACGATAGAGTTGGCATGCCGGAGAAAGTAGCCAAGAAACTCGAGGAGAGTCACAGCATCAGTTCCAGTAAAGGATGAGACCAGGTTTTTAATCGTGTCTTCAACCTGCTTTGACAGTACAGTAGGGTCCTCAACGTCTGTCATGGAGTTGAGCCATGCGAAACACAGGATATCTAGAACTTGTGTATGGCTAGGTGCGATCTCAGTGAGAGAGCTAAAGTCTTCCACCTTGACAAATTCTTGAGCTCCTGGTTGAGAACTGACTAAGGTATGAAGCAGCTGAAGTATTAGTTTTGTGGTATCCTCAGAACTAGTAGTCTAGTCAGTAACCTGCTCTCTGGGATCGTCTGTGGATGTTATACCATACCTGTAAAGGACTGAGCTGACGAGTAGAGGGATTCTGTTGATGAATTTGGTATCACTCCGTGCCTTCTCAGGGAGCAGAATGGAAAATATATGCAGAATAGACACGGCCAGATCCAGCATCTCCTTGGAGTTTTTAGATGAAGGCTTTGAGCCGGTTCGGAGCAGTCGGTCGAGGAACTTTGGTGAGAGACTGGACCATAGACTCTGGACTGTTTGCTCATCTTGCCGTAGCTGTTCTGAGCTGTCGAGGAGTGATTTCAGAAGGGCCAGTCCCACGAATCGTTGAGTATCATCTTTTGCCTTGAGAAGTGCTTGTATCTTGTTGATGTCTGCAGGCTGTGAAGCAGTACTTGGTGTATTCGTGGTCTCCGCCATGTTCTGATCTTGAAGTTATTTGGGTGATGAAAATATAGGTTGCTTGTAGAATAGCTTTCTATTTGATGTACCATGTGTCAAATAGTCCAGTCCTTTTAGAATAAGGGTTTAGTTGTTAAGAAAGAGTCCATGTTGATGGACTTGCAATAGCTTTGCCAGGCCCACTATTTCACTTCCGCCTCGATAGGTGCATTCTAGAAACCTCCAACAATAAAGTGCAGAGAGTGAATTGTTTAATATGAGAAATTCAGTATGGAACAAAAATTGCCATCAATGTAATTAAATGACTCGTGATATAGCGAGTCGATCCGGAATGTCCCATCGCGAGACAATGTTTTAGCCAGCCACGATAATCAAGGGCAATTTAATTAAAGAGCCGGGTAACGAACCTCATGTACATTGTAGTAAATCTCTGAAAATATGACTATAAAGGCCTGGACTTTCTATCAATCATTAATATTTCCAGCTGGCCCCTTTGTCTTGTCTCAGGTAGAGGATGTTTTCAGTTGGTCCAGTCGACGTTTTAGGCAATCAAAAGCTTACAGCAACCAACCAGCTACTGAGCGTCCTCCACTGAGTGCCACTGAACCTGTACTGAGCTCCCCGAGGCTTAATTTGCTCTATCAACAACGCCTGCTCTATTCCAAACTTGACCTTGAAGCACAACCTCTTATTGTTCTGTTCTATTCTATCGCAGCCGACTCCAGTTGTGAGCGTCTCTATCGCACAATGTCATGAGCCGCAACATGTCCACGTCTCGAGCCCCTCGGAACGACCCATACGCTTCCACTTCTGCTTCCGCTTCAGCTTCAGCTTCCGCCTCATCCCCATCGCAAACACCCAATTCCGACGACCGCGACGAACTCGACTTTATCCACGACGATGACGGTGACCACAACAATGACAGCGATAGCAGTGGCCGTGGGAGGTCTCGCGATCGACACCATGTCCTAGGCGACGATCCTCTTCAGAGCAACCTTAGTGCGCCCATGACCTTCAAGCGCAGGCAAGGCCCCTCGTTCTGGTCTGCGCCCTCTCGACTTCTCTCCGCCATCACTGGCTCGCGATCGAACCATTCCTCGAGAGGAGCGTCGCCCGCTGTTTTCTCAGGTTCCAATACTCCCCCGCACGCCGAACCCGTCGTCTTTAACGAGACCACAAAGGATGGAGCGCCCCACGACTGGTACGTCGAGGGTCCAGGCCGTCGAGTCGGATACGAGGATCTCACGGCCATCGATTGGATCTTCGAATATACAAAAGAGCGTCAGAGACTGCGGATGCTATACTCGAGCGCATCTGGTGTTATAGGTCCTGTGCGACGGCTCATTGATGCCAGCCAAGTCTGGATCGTCTTGCTGTTGACCGGGATGCTTGTGGGCACTGTTGCTGCTGGCATCAATGTTACGACCGATTGGCTAGGAGACTTGAAAGAGGGATACTGTTCGAGTGGCCCCGAAGGAGGTCACTTCTACCTGAATAAGGCCTTCTGCTGTTATGGCTATGACCAGGGCTCTAAATGCGACGGCTGGAAATCCTGGGGTGACGCTCTGGGAGTGCATTCGAAAGGCGGCAAGTGGTTTGTCGAGTACTTCTTCTTTGTTTCTCTCGCGGTATGCGCAAACCTTATACCCATCCCCTGTTGTCGTTACTAACAATATGCGAAAGATGCTCTTTTCATATGTCGCTGCTGTTCTCGTTCAGGAGTATGCCATCTACGCAAAGCACAGTGGCATACCAGAGATCAAGACTGTCCTGGGAGGCTTTGTCATTCGACGATATCTTGGACTCTGGACACTTATTATCAAGTCTATCGGTCTTGTAAGCTTATACTGACTGCCCTGTTGAACTACTTGTTACTTACATACTTATAGTCCCTCGCTGTGGCTTCAGGCATGTGGCTAGGCAAAGAAGGCCCCTTGATTCATGTCGCCTGCTGTTGCGCCAATGTATTTACGAAATTATTTCGTAACATCAACGACAACGAAGGTAAAGAAGCCTCACCCGTAGCTCTAGCACCATTGAATAACACGTATAGCTCGAAAACGTGAGGTTCTATCAGCTGCTGCCGCCTCAGGTGTCTCGGTCGCATTTGGCTCTCCCATCGGCGGTGTCTTGTTCAGTCTCGAGGTCAGTTGCGCTCACTCTGATCTATACATTCAATGCTGACTGTTCCCAGACTTTGTCTTATTACTTCCCAGATAAGACAATGTGGCAGAGCTTCGTCTGCGCCATGACCGCAGCCGTTGTTCTCCAGGCTTTCGACCCCTTTAGATCGGGCAAGCTTGTCTTGTACCAGGTTCACTACAGCATTGGCTGGCATGGATTTGAGCTGCTACCTTACGCCATTCTAGGTATCTTGGGAGTAAGTTTGTCAACAGCGTACGCAAAGGTCACTTGGCTTACAACATTTTCAGGGTATACATGGCGGTCTCTTCATTAGACTCAACATGGCCATCGCTCGATGGAAAAAGTCCAACCGATGGATTCCTGGCCCCTTTGTCCAGGTTCTCATCGTGGCCTTCTTTACTGCTCTCATCAACTACCCCAACTTCTACATGAAGGTGCAGACGACTGAGCTGGTTTCAAACCTCTTCTCCGAGTGCTCGCAGGTTCTCGACGACCCTATCGGCCTCTGTAGAACAGGCGCCGCTTCGGCCAAAACCATAGTGCTTCTGGTATTTGCGTCGGTCTTAGGATTCTTCCTCGCCGCCTTCACGTTTGGTCTTCAAATACCCGCCGGTATCATTCTACCGTCCATGGCCATTGGTGCCCTCACAGGTCGAGCCGTGGGCATCATCATGGAAATCTGGGTCGCCAACCACCCTGGCTTCTTCCTCTTTGGTTCGTGTGAACCCGATATCCCCTGTGTGACGCCTGGTACATACGCTATAGTCGGCGCAGCGGCATCTCTAGCTGGCGTAACTCGCTTGACTGTCTCCATCGTTGTCATCATGTTCGAGCTCACAGGCGCTCTTACATATGTTCTCCCTATCATGATCGCCGTTATGATATCCAAATGGGTAGGCGATGCCTTTTCCCGCCGCGGTATTTACGAGTCGTGGATTCACTTCAACGAGTATCCGTTCCTCGACAACAGCGAGAATAACGATGCCATCCCCGATATCCCCGCCGCCCAAATCATGACCCGTATCGAGGACCTCGTTGTTCTCACTGCCACAGGGCATACTATCGCTTCTCTCACTACCATCCTCGAGATGCACCCATATCGTGGCTTCCCCGTCATATCGGATCCTCGTGAAGCCATTCTTCTCGGCTACATCTCCCGCGCCGAGCTTACCTACAACCTCTCAGCCTCAACAAAGGGTCCTCGTCGACTTCCCCCTGAGACGGAAGCCTTCTTCTCCCACCAACCTATGGCTGATCCACGCACCACGCTAGATCTTCGCCCGTGGATGGATCAGACACCACTCACACTGCCTTCACATACAAGTCTCCATCTCGTCGCAACATACTTCCAGAAACTCGGCCTACGCTATCTTTTGTTCAGTGACCGTGGTGTTCTGCAGGGATTGTTGACAAAGAAGGACGTCTGGTATGTCCTCAACGGCGCTGAAGAGACTCGCCGTACCATGGGTCTGGCCCCCGGTGGTTCTGGCCATGAAACTGGTGTTGCAGATAGGACACCAGACGACAATGGTGGAGAAAGTAGTGGACTGCTACATGGTGATGGCGGTGATGATGCAGATAGTATACAAGGAGGGGAGCCAATGTTATAAAAGGGCCTATATTGCACATGATATTGGGTAATGTTTGATCAGTTGCACAAATACTATAGTTCAACCTTTCCCATATAGACACGTTTTCTTTGATCTTGAAGCACCATTCGTTTATATGTAATAAAACAAACGAAGCCAGAGCCGTCATTATATTTCACCGAGAGCATGCAACTCCTTTGCTTGGCTGAGATTCATGATATGATACGACCGCCAAACGCCCAAGCAACAACCTGCCAGCCTATGCATATTCCCCCCACATCTTGAATGATCAATGCAAAGAAAACAAATAAGAAGCAAGCACCGAATCTAGTACTCAAAGTCGTCATCCACAGAGGGGCCCTTGTTCTTTGTCACGCTCTCCTGCTTGCGGTACATTTCGGCAACCTGCCGACTTGTTGTAGCCGCATCGGCCTTCTTATCATCACGCACGCGGATGAAGCGAGGGAACCGGAGACTGATGCCCTTATTGCCTGATGGGTCAACGCCTTCCTTGGCACCGGCCTTGTAACGCGGGCTGAGAGTCAAGTCCGCTGTCTTGACCTCCCAAACATAGCGAGGCTCAAACCAGACATCAGGCTGGTGCTGGCCGCCAGACGAGTGGGAATAAAAGGGCTTGGGCCGGTCGATGGTGATGTCTGAGAGCTGCTTGTGAAGTTCCTCAAGAACCTGCTCAGAGAAACCGGTGCCGATATTGCAAACAGTTTCATAGGTTTCCGAATTGGGATTGTAGCAGGCCAAGAGAAACGCACCATAAACGGATGTACGCTTGCCTTTGCCATAGTACGCACCCAGAACAACAAGATCCAGAGAGTCACCAACACCCGAGAGGTAATCCTTCTTGATCTGGAATGGAAGTTAGTCATACATCTCTCGATAAAGGAGTTATAGTATCTTACCTTGAGCCAGTTACGACTTCGTTTGCTGGGCTCGTACCCACTCTCAGTTCCGTCCAACATCTTAACCATGAGACCTTCACAGGACGCCTTGACACTGTCGTCAAGGAAAACTTGAATCTCATCCAATTCTTGGCCGTTCATATGGGTAGCAAAGGAAAACTCGCCCTCCACAGGGCTGAAGGCGGCTTGGAGAAGCTCACGTCGCTCACGAAGTGCTTTCTCGACAACTGCTTCTCCATTGAGGTACAAAAGATCGAACGCAAATACACAAACCTTGACCTTTACATCCTCAACCTTGACATCCTTCTTTTTGCGTGTCATAAGCTGCTGGAAGGGCAGCACCTTCTTCTCGTCAACATCCCAGGCTACTGTCTCACAATCCAGGACAAAGCTCTTGGTATCAGGCTTAACCCAAGTGTGAAGTTTAGCCAGGATATCCGGATACTTCTTGGAGAGATCCTCGGAGTTTCTGGAGAAAATACTAGCAACACCAGCTCCTACCTCCTTGGCTGCACCCTGGCTCGCTTCGTTCAGCTCCTGAGGAGAATCTTTTGCCACGTAGTGGATTTGCGCTCTTTCACCGTCATACTTGTACTCGCAGGTGAAAGTCTGACCTTCAAAACGGTCAAGGACTTCAGTAATCGCTTTGGTTGGCTTGGCTAACATGGGCTTCAGAGGTACACCGGGTCGGAGCTTGCAGTTTTCTCGAAGCTTCATGATACCATGTTCGAGAATTGCGGGGATAATTACATCGTAGCTGGGAAGCTCGCTATCAATTGTTAGCATGGGTCGTCACGAATCGTCAAATCTGCTTACCTGTATACCGTTTTCAAGATGGACTCTCCTTTTTCCAAATCCGAGGTGCTAGGGACCTTGCCCTTGGCATCTGCTTCATGAGCAACTATAGCCTGGGCCAGAGAGACTAGCACTGTTCTCTCAGCCAGACCAAGTCTTAGTTTTCCTTCCAGGAACCGAATAATAAACTTGGCCTCGCTGGGTCCGCCCTTATCCTTGGTAATGTCGACTTTGCCAGTAGAATTGGCATCAGCCGCAGCGAGAAGCTTCTTGATACCATCTACTTTTCGACCCTGAGCACCGTTTCCGGTAACGGTGGCAATACCCATCAATCCTTGGTGGACTCCTCTGATAGTCAGAGCCTTGGGCTTGAACATAGTGCGCTGGGTCGATCGGCTCTTTACTGCCACCAACCCAAGATCTCCAATATCTTTCTGATCAGCCTTGATCACCTGAAGACTTCGTCCGGTAGTCTCGCCAATAGCCTTCATGATCAAGGATTCACCAATACCGAGCTCAATACCAGCATAGTCGGGAGCGAGTTTGTTGATCATTAGTAAAACAGTAGGTAGTAGGTCTTCGGGTGTTAGACGCATGACCTGTTGAAGAAATAGGGAACAGTGCTCCATAATGATCAAACGCTTGGTTGTCATCTCAACAAGAGAGAACGTTGTGCATAGAGCCGCATACGGGACTGAAGAACCAGGCTTCCAGTCAGGATAAGGGTCTTTTGTCTTGGACTTGAACTTGGTTTGAACCTTCTCGCGAGCTTTGGCAGCAATTTCGGGCTTCTCTTCGGCATCATCCTCTTCGACTTCTGCTTCTGAAGCCGATGCTGTAGATGCTTCCTCTTTGGTAGGCTCATCAATTTCCTCTGGGGTAGGTTCTTTAGTTGCCTTTGCCTTGGGCTTGGGCTTAGCCTTTGACTTCTTGGGTGATTTAGGTTTTGGTGGAGGGCTCGCCGGTTTGGATTTCTTAGGGGATGCTGATTTCTCCTTCTTGACGGGTTCGTCGATCATCCCATCATCGCCTTCGTCTTCCTCCACTCGCTTTCGAGTTCGTCGTGCTCGCTTTGTGACAGGTCCATCGCTATCGTCATCGACTTCCTCTTGCTTAATGGGGGTCGGCTCTGGCTTGGTCTTGTCTTCTGATCGTGCTCGCTTCTTTGTGTCTATCACTTCAATTAGAATGCGATTGATATCGTTGCCTGTCGAAGTTTACCTTTTTCAGAATCTGACGGCGACTTAGCCTTCACATCAGCCTCTTCATCCTCTTTGGCCTCTTCCTTTTTAGCCCTGCTACTGAAAGAGAGCTTTGTCTGCTGAGGCGGTACACCCTTTGCACCAAAGAATTTGCTGAAATTGGCCCTAGTCAGTAATCGAGTCTCGTATGTCTACAATTGTCCCTCCACACGCACCCAATTGTGCTCTGGCCGGATTTGACATACCCGAGTGTCGCCTGCTTGGGTGCCATGACGCACGAATTCCGTGATAGTTGCAAAGATAATAAGCACAAATTGCAACAATTTACAGGTCGAAATATCAATTTGGAAGTGTTTTGACGGAGGAGAGGAGCAATGCTGAGCCCGCGAGTTGAGCTGACGCTGAGGAGCTTGGGTAACATGACGCGACCGGCTAGGCAACCTGTCGCGTTAATTACCTACCAATTCGTGGCGGCAGGTACGACCAGGACGCGCGAGATGCCTGTAACACGTGATTTGGTTGCCTAGGAAAGGCAGGACGGGCACTCGGTCATTTCTATGTTTAGTAAGGCGTCGTTCAATTTTATTTAGCGCAAATCGTTGGAGGGGCATCATCTGCAAGCTCTTTTCTGTTCGGAGGAGATAGGCCGAGCGAAGTGGCTTGATAAACATCATGAAGTTTGATGCTTATGGATAATTTTGACCTATGAGAAAAAACATGTTGATATAAACGGGGTTAAGACAAAAGACATCCATGAGTTACACGAAAAAAGCAATCCTGGGTCCTCGCCCTTCTCCATTTCCAGACCATGCCAGGCCTCTTTCTAGATAGATCATGGATGTATATTACAACAAGCAACAAGTGCTAGATTCATTATGGTGTTACGATTTCGCTCTCTGCCCCTCTACTGGAAGTAGTGGTTCTCCTCGGGGATACGGCCACGGATGTACTCGGGCTCGGAACCACGGACGTAGATGTCCTCGAACAGAATCTCGGGCTTGGCCTCAGGGACGGCCATGGCCTCAGCAGCAGCAACCTCCTCGCTGACGTGGGCGCGAGCCTCCTTGTCAATCTTCTTGAGCTCCTCCTCAGATGTGATCTCCCAGTCAAGAATCTTCTGCTTAAGTCCGGCAATAGGATCGTTGGTGGAGCGCATGCGCTGAATCTCCTCACGGGTTCGGTAGGTGGTGCCGGGGTCGGACATGGAGTGACCGCCATATCGGTAGGTAACGTACTCAAGGACAAGAGGACCCTTGTCGGCAGCGGTCCATTCCTTACCGTACTTGACGGCGGCCTTGACGGCAAGGACGTCCATGCCGTTGACCTTAAGACCAGGGATGTACTGACCACGCTTGTAGTAGTCGGTCAAGGCGGAGGAACGAGCAGCAGCGGTACCCATACCGTACTTGTTGTCTGTCAAATTGTTAGTGGTGGTTTGATACCATTAGAGTTAGTCAAACTTACTCTCACAACCGAAAAGGGCAGGAAGGTTCCAGAGCTTGGCCATGTTGAAAGCCTCAAAGACCTGACCTTGGTTGCTGGCACCATCACCGTAGAGGATGATGGAAGCGTTCTTGTTGCCGTTGTACTTGTGAGCAAAAGCAAGACCGGCACCGACGGGGACCTGAGCACCGACGATACCGTTACCGCCGTAGAAGCTCTTGGCGAACATGTGCATGGAACCACCCTTACCGTAAGAGATACCCTCACGACGACCAAGCAGCTCTCCAATGATGGATCGGACAGAGGCGCCACGCATCAAAGCGTAGCCGTGGCATCGGTAGGCAGTGATGATATCGTCCTCCTTGGTGATGGCATGCTCAATACCAACGGCAACAGCCTCCTGTCCGGTGGACAAATGGCAGAAACCACGGATCTTCTTCTCCTTGTACAAACGATCGGCCGCCATCTCCATCTGTCTGCGGGATTATCAGTAAAGAGCATCTTCGATGCCTGAAAAGTATTGCAGCATACCGGGTGATGACCATCTCGCGGTACATGTCCTTCAACTCCTTCTTAGTGACCTCCAGGGTGTAAGGAGGAGGGTCCAGCTCGTAGGTTTCGAAGCTCTCATCGCTGAGGTTGACAGAGAAAGGCTCGTCTTCGGCCTATTATTTTAGAGTGTTAGTGGTGTATTGAAGGCGCATCATGGAAGACTGAAGTCTAAGACTTGGGTGTCGGGTGAGGGTATTCCGAAGGACCCTGGTGGGACGGAAAGTGCGCATTTTCTCACCTTAGGGACTGAGTGGCTCAGGGACGCAGAAGCGGCGTCAGTGGTGACTGAGCGGATGGCAGTGAAAGCGGGAGCGGCGAGCTTGGTGCGCATAGGCACAGCCCTGGGAAGTCGGAGAGCTCGAGACAACATCGTGATTATTGAGGTGCCGCTGGATCAATTGAAGGAGGGATCAGGACGTTGTCGAGTAGATAACTGCGGCTTGGCTGGATGGAGCTCAGAAAAAGTCGCTGTTGAGCGGCAGGAGCGTTGAGCTTGGCCTCCAATTGTTGGTCGGGTCTAAACCTGGATAGGCTTAGCGGGCACGTGACATATACTTATCTTTCTTTGTCTTGAGTACTCATAATTGAATGAGATAGATAAGAGTTCATAAGAGGTCAAATATGTCTCTACTGTTCTATCTCACCCCATTTATGTCTTTTGCTTACTCAAAAGGGTATGTTTATCATCTTTTCGTGCCGTTCAAGACCCTTCATGAGACACACCAACTCGTCGGTGTAATTCTCGCCGATGTGGGGCTCTATCCACCTTGTCCCTTCTACCTCCGAGCCACGACAATGGATTTTGCTAGTGCGTAAGAGAGACCATTAGTCAGTCCCGCATCCATCCATCTCATACCTAATTGCGCTCAACGATTTTACTCTCAAAATTGACTTGCAGACAACCAATGTTGTTAAATAACACGGCACAGCTAGCTCATCAGTGCAATTCTGCATACTCAAACTCTTGCAATCATTAACTGAAAGTGATATCGAGTCGTATTTGTGGCACCCTGCTTGGGGTAACCTCTAATTCTCTATACGCAGCGCTACCTATCTGGTATTATGGTTAAGATAGCAATATCAAAAACCAGAATGCTAATAATATCTGCTTCTGGTATAACTCAGACCGCTTTGTCAAGATGCAACTCCATAATCCATTCCTATAGCTCCAGTTTCCCGTAATCCCTTGGTTCATGCTGTCATACTCCATGTAGAACGCATCCCCCATCCATAACTGATAAGATTTTTGTGGCCCGATGGTGATGCAGCAACGCCAATAACATGCTTCCGAATACCCATGTCGCCTCTACAACAGTTCAAAGTAAACCCGTTGTGCAATACAGACCAGTTAGCCGAGTCCGTCTTTGATAGTAAGTGTTGAATCCATGTATGTAAGTTTCAGAAATTAGCGATGCGTTGTTTCCATAACAATTGGTCGCCGCAAGAGCGTTGCTTTAAGGTTCAGTCTTCCACAATTCAATCGTCATGGAAAAATGTACCACCCTGCAGAGGGGCCGTGGATGGGCCGGCGTCATGCATGTCGGCATCCTGAGTTGAAGGATCTCGGCTGGAACTAATCAATGTTGGTTGTGAGATGCGGTAGTCGATGGCCATGGCACTCAACGGGCGGCTCGGGTCGTCCTCTAATACCCGCTGTTGAAGGGAGAGAGGAGGACAGTCGTAAAGCATCTCTTCGGGTGGTGAAAATGACCACACCTGTTACTGTCAGTTTTGAACTTGAAAGATCCTTGGTGCTTTCTTACCTCCATGACTGTTCGACCTTGTCTCAATGCCAAGGCAACACATTTCTCGTCTTCAAAGGCTACCCGCCAGACAGCTTCGCCTTGGGCAATGAGTTCTCGAACGAGATGTCCAGTTTTGAGATCCCAAATCTTGACTCGACCATCACTACCACCGCTCACGACTCGAGTATCATCAAACTGCAGACTGGTGACACTATTGTCATGAGCTGCAAGACGGTGAATTGGGCACATCTTTTCCAATGACCAAACCCTAACTGATCCATCTGATCCGCCAGTGACTAGCGTATCGCCACGCATCTGGAGCTGTCCAACAAGAGATGTGTGACCCTGAAGAATAGCTAGGCACTCGCTATCAAACTGTTAGCAACTGTTGCTTAGAAACTCGGCACAAAGACATACCCAGAAGTCGGATCCCAGATCCTGACATTGGTATCCAGACTGCCTGTGACAACTCGCTTCCCATCGAAAGCAATGGCATAGATTTGACTAAAATGGCCCTGCAATGTTTGGAGACAGCGACCTTCAGAGATGCTCCATACACGAGCAAAGGTATCGTAGCTACCGGATACAACAATGTCGCCCTTAATCTCAAGACATCGGACACTAGATTGATGACCAACGAGAACGTTTTTGCAAAGACCGGTCCGGATGTCCCAAATCCGCAGAGTTGTGTCTCGGGACCCAGAAATTGCAGTATTTGCATCTGCCATCTTCAAACATCGAACGGTCGATGTATGGCCTCGTAAGGTATGTAAACATGCGCTAAGTTCTGTCAGCAAGCAATTTCGACACAGCTCATGAATTTACGCTTACCCAGTCTTGAGATTCCACACTCGGACATCACGATCACAGCCACCACTGACTAAGGTATCATCCCAGGGGACCATGGCCCAGACGCCCATAACATGTCCCTGAAGGGTGCGTTGCGAATCTCCTTCTGTATCAAACACGTGGATCTTCGCATTATCGAGTGCCACAATGATGTACTTGGACGTCAAGTGTAAGCTTGTAACAACACCACCCTCCTGGGTAATATTCCGCGTTGTGCTGGTGCCACCGGATCTCCATGCAGCCTCGACCAGATATCTCTGCTTGAAGTGAGACTTGTAGGTCCGTAGCCTGGGTCTGGCAGAAGCATTAGGCCCGTCAAAGGATCGGGTGCCCGATGCGTATGAAAAAGGGCGCGTGCCCGGGAAGCTATTACTGGTCATGTCGACATCAAGTCCTTGTAAGGCCTGAATAGATGGTCTTGAAGAGAAATTTGGAGCATGGGTGTAGACTTCTGATAATCGGCGGCCATAATCGTGTTTGACGCAAAGATTCTTCCAGGTCATGTCATCGCTAAGAAGATCCCGCCATCGTTTAGATACCTGCGAGGCTCGTGCCAAGACCTTTGGGTCATCAATGAAAGACAATATCTATAAATTCCAGTCAGCCAACAGATTTACGGACTCCCAAAGATTGGAATGGTTTCTTACCCGAAGACACAACTCATCCGGGAGACTTGTGAAGGGGTCCTTTTTCAGCAGAGGGCTGACAAATTGATGCACAAAGCTCAGCTGCTGACTGGTGCACAGATTTAGTAAATCTGCCAGAACACGGGTACGCTGAGGACCGGAACAATTCTTGAAATGTTGCCGGACCTTGGCGAGAAAGAAGTCTTCGTCATCAGCAGCATCGCTCCAGTCCGGTTGGAAATGCGATGGCCCTGGAGACGCAGCAGGCGTGGGAGGCGGTGGGGGTGAACCAGTAAGTTGTTGATCGAAGTCTGCAGCAGGCGTGGACATGCTGGGGGTTGGGGGACTACGCAAGTGTCGTTGCTGCTCGGGCAGCTTTTCTAGGCGATGGTTGATCATGGGATTGGTAGTCGTGTGGAGTGTCATGTCGTCGCTGAGGGCGCTTCCTCTCCGTTCTGAAAAACTCATGGCTCGTTGGTAACCGGCCATAGCCCGGCCCGTCGCCTTCGTAGGTGTTGGTATAGTATGTGTGGGCGACTTCCAAACAGTTGTAGTGGCTGGTCAGGAACGCGATGGAAGCGAACTATGGGACTGGCGACGTTCGATATCGAGGGGGGACGTTGAAGATGGATCGCGGGTGGGGGAAGCGGAAATCGAGCCGGTGCGAGGCCTCTACCAATAATTCGAGAAGGATGTCAGCACATGTAGAGGAGAACAAATCACTAGCGATTGCGCTGGCACATGCTATAAGGATGTTGTGTCGACCTCAAGGGAAATAAAATTTAGATACGGAAAAGGAAAAGGGTGTAGGAAGAAGCAGAAGCCAACGGTGAATGGCGATAGTCACTAGAGATAGTGGAGAGAGCCGACGGGCACTGCGCAAGTGCACATCCAGGGACGGGGACGGGGATGGACGGGGACGGGAAGGCCTGTGTGTGTCCTGGGGCCAAATTCTTGGCTTGTAGAATGAGCCTGAGACTGGCTGATGACCTGGCGCGTGGGTCGGTTGCAGGCCAAGGACTGATGGCGGGATTGAAGAGGCGCTAAACGGAATTCGTTGCAGCTCAGGTTCTCTCTGTCCCATCAGTGGTTCCCTGGCTGGCCCTGCCTTCCTTTGTGCCACTGTACTGCTGCCGATGCTGCTTCTTCCGTTTATAGGTCTTTGACAGCGTTCTATCGGCTGTCGCCGTGACCGGCGAATGGGTGTCTCCTGAGTTGAGGCTGACAAGACCGGGTACGGGATGGTATGTGTTCAAAGTGCAGTGGGTTGTCTTACCGAAGAAATGTACAATGGGCTTGTTTCCGCCTTTGTAAGGACAAGACAGGTTGGCTACTGTGAGGCGCTCAAGAGGTGAATCAAGCTGAAAACTTCAATCTGATGACCAGACGCAGAAGTGGAGGCGAGACAAAGAAACCGCTAGCAGGACTGGATAAGGGAACAAACGGTCAAAGGAAAGAGAGTTCGGAGAGCTGATAAGATCGATGATGGAGGAACCAAGAAAAGGTACATGGACGAAAACGGATCCCTTAATTCGAATTTCGTTCCTTTTTCTGGGGTTGAAGGGGGTTTGACAGTGGAGGTTTGAGTGAGAGCCTACAAAATTGGATATCTTTAAGATCTATACAGGGACCATATTGGATGGATGAAATTAGGTACCTAGGAAAGAACCGCGAGAACCTGCACCTGCACCTTTCGTTCCTTTTTTATAAACCCATTTCTTTTGCTTTTTCCACTCTTCTACTTTCTTCCAACTTTCATTACCAGGGACCAATCAATGCAGTGACGTTTCATTTGCAATTCCACTATCGAATGTCGAATTCTTATCCGCATCTTGTGCTCAATCCGCAAACGACTTGACTCATTCAAATAGGAAATTGACTGCGAAGAATAAGTTACCAACCCTATTTCATCATTTGAGAGAACCCAGTCCGGCATTCCCTTTTGGCGGATTGGCTTCCCCTTCACCGATAATGAATCAATAAGTTCTACTCTGAGTCGAGCATTCATTCATCTCCACTGGACGTCGTATAAGATCCAGTGGTTTATCACTGGATGCTTCTGCTGGTTCCAGCGTCAAAATCGGAGGTCGTGGCTGGCAGCTTTCTTTCGTAATTGCTGACTACTGCAGTGACGAATTCACCAGCATTCTTTTACAATTATCTCTCAGCATATATCAAAACTGTAATCACAACATGTGAGAGAACAAAGATGGGTGTCTCCACAATGCAAACCTGCTGCAAGACATCGCGACCCTTCCCCCTTCGAGTATGGCCATGTGATAAAATGTGACACTTCAGGCGGCTCTCGACAAGACAGGATTAGATCCTTTTTGTACGGAGTGTGTTGACAAACCCCTCTTTGCAGTACTTGAGCGATCAGGTGCAAGATGTCTAAAGGATTAATACGAAGATCAATGTTACCTCGATCTTATCTCGACTGCAATAGCACGATATTATATGGTGTTGACCCTATAAGTATTCTGCCATTCGGACAGGCGTAAAATCATGAATGAACACTCAACAAACTTCAGCATCCATAGATTCCATATCAATTTCTAGAGGCTAACAGCAAGCCACGATGCTGCAACATTAACAGTTCTGACGTCGTCAACCTCAGAAGGAAGAAAAGAAGACGTCGGAATATTCATCAGAAGCGCCCAATGGCGTCAATGGCCAAACTCTGTCTCTCGTTGAACCACATCGAATATTAAACTTTTGGTAGCACCGAGCTAGCAGCGCAGTGATGCCTTGGAAATCCTGCTTAGCAAAACTTGGAGAGCAAAGTGCCTTGATTAGTCTACCTAACTTGGTAATTACAGAGAGACCCTGCCTGAACCCCTCAAAGGCAGAGGTTGTGTGAGTGGACTTGTTCGAACATCTGTCTTGGCTTTACTACCCTCTCGTCTTAAAGTGATACCAATGAAGCCACCTTCAAACGGCCAAGGAACCCTTCACGATATTGCATCACTCTGGTATATATTCAATCCAGAAGATAGTTAACACCGAGATCCTTCAAAGATGAATAAGATCGTCTAATCTTCAATCGCGGAGAATTAAACCCACTATATCTCCACAATTAGAATGGATCCTCAACTTCCCCCTGGTCATCTTATCTTGACTTTGAAACGGTTTGCGATTTGTCCAAGATCAGGCCATTTTGTACCTATTTTAAAGCATTTACATTATTATATGCCTGCTAGCCCTGTCCAAGATCTAGTAGGTTTAGCATAGCTGGCATTTGAAACACAGCTCGAACCAGATTTGCCCAGCAGGGAAACCCTGTTCAATCTTATCCAATTAACACTCATTCCATATGAGTTGCATAGCTTTGATGAAACCCACCATCAGAAAGACATCAAAGCGGGCATTATAGCAAGTTTGTTTGAGTTGAGCCTTGATATGTATAGTAGACACACTGTTGAGGTGTAATCAAGTACGTCTGCATTACGTCTCGAGGTCCTATTTGTACAGTTCTTATAGCTCAAGGCAGTCTACATATCCCATGTTATCCGCATAAATCCCATCTCCCAAGCCGACTTTTATCGCCTTCATAATCGCTCTCGAGTCTATTCGGGTCCGTTTCCCCGATTATTGAAAGAGCACGCCAACCCTACAAAAAGAAGAAAACTGCAGAAAAGAAAGGGGGCAATACATCTCGTGCTTTGCACAGGCCTGCTAAAGCCCGCCACCACGTCCAAAATATCACCATGCGCAGCATGCGAGTCCAGAATGAGTGAAGTACATATATCTTAATGATGGTGGCCAAATTGCGTAAGGAGCGGTATTACCATTCCGCCCACTGTGGCCAATGTATCACGCATCTGCGGACCCTTGGGCTTTCGCTGAGTTGAGGTACTGGCATCTGCGTAACCGTTCAAGCCATGGTCGTGTGTGTGCGCGCCACCATCTTCTTGCATAGCATGCATAGCGACATATCTATCGAGCATTAGCAACAGAAACCATGGCGGAACAGGTAAAAACTTACAAAAAGGTGCCACCCGAGAAGAGGAGCAACATGCCTGTCCACCAGTGATCACTCTCAACCTTGCCACCACCCAACAAGGTGATAATAGCCCATGTTGTGATTGCGCCAACTGGGGCAGCCAAGCTGAAGACAATGAGATGTCCTCGAGCAGCTCGCTTGGACAACCCCTGCTTGAGAAGAAGCGACGTGAGACCAAAGGCAGCCGGGGCTTTGTGAATCATAATGGCCGCGAAGATGATGAAGCCAAGTTTCATGTCTGAAGTAGTTGAAGAAGCGCCCATTGCAATTCCATCGGCGGCAGCGTGGATAACAAGTCCTGTGGTAGTTGCCAGACTTCGTGCTCGTCGTGGACTTGGTGTCATTGATCCAAGAAACCCATCAGCCTCTTCATCGACAGAGGCAGAGTCACCGTTGAGGTTATCGAGGCTGATATGGCGCGTTTGAGGCGCAGAATGTAGGCTCTCCGTCGCATGACGAGGCAGTCGATCAACCAGGAACATCAAGACAAATCCTAGAATCAGGGAGAACCCGATTTCGAACGTGGGTACTGCATGCGCATGTTCGTGCTCCCCCTCATTTCCATGCTCGTGGTCGTGTTCTGCTTCGTGGTCCTCATCATTGCTATGGCCGCTTTCCTTTCCAGCCTCTGTCTTTTCGGATCCCTTGTTATCTGCAGCTTCATCCTTGGCAATATCGCCAGCTGCTGGTATGGCTGGAACATCAGCTGCGGCCTCAACCGCAGCCTTCACATCGGCACGTTTCACTTGAGCACTTCTTGCCAGTGATTCCACGACTCGACGAACAATCGCATCAGTGTCCAGCTTGTCGTCTCGTTTTTGAATCGGGCTTGTGCTGATTGTAACAATTGATTCGGGGAGGCCACGTGCAAGGCTGGCGTGGCTCCAAGGGGTTCGGCGCACCAGACTTCGAACTCGATGCATATGAGTAGCCTCTGCGGGCGCGGTCGCGGCTTCGATTCCTTCAGGGATGATGACTATAAGCGAAGTGCCGACCAAGATTCCCACGCCGACGCTTGATAGTAATCGAAGTTGGGATTGCGAAAGCGACATAGACAGTGGCAGCGCTCCGGCGAGGAACGAGCTATTCGATATGTTAGCGATTGGCCAACAGATGATATCCGAATCGGGGATCGCACGTACGCCAAGGCCATGACCAGCTGCGTTGAATGTCAGTCTTCAGATGGATTGATAGGTATGCCGAATGGCAAAAGGAATCACTTACGCATAGGCCTAGAAGTAGCAGTATTCCTCCCATGATGTATGTGATACCAATTGAAGCTTGGGCAGGTATGCGCAAAAGCCTAATGTCAGAATAGAAGGGAAAAGGTGACGGTCGATGTGAAAGGCTATCTACGCATGATGCGTCTGTCAGTACAACCCTTGGAGTGTATCCCTCTCTGTATGGTTATCGAGGGATCGAGACGCAATATTGATATCGACGGCAGGATGCAAGGGTGGACCAAGGATAAAGAGGCTGGGCGAGGAATAAGTGCGAACAAATTTATCTGGCCTCGCTCGTCAGACTGAATCGGACTGGACTGGTTTGAGATGGACGGGACTTGAATTAACACCAGCCCTGTAACCATTTGGTAGCTATCGATTGGTCACTGCGGGGCATCTAGACCCTTAAAATTCCCCTAATCAGGTTCAGGGGGTTTTATCGATAGGCGGCTTTTGGACTGTATTTGTTTTCTAATATCCGTATAGACGTCAAATGTCAACTGATTAAAGAAATGGGAAAGTCAATATACCAAACTCAATGATATTATCACCACAAGCCTTGGTTGTCTTCCTTCTTTAATATAGTGCTGAAGACTTTTGTACTACATAAAGAGGACGTGGCAGTATTAGTGTTTAAAACGGCTAGTGGTTTAGCCACTATCAATGTCTTGTTGTGGCTGAACTATCGAGGTATGATTCCACGACGAGCTAAAGGTATCAGCCCAGAAGATAAGTAACAGCACATGACTGTTTGAGCTGGTATTCATGATCCAATTCCTTTTCACCGTACACGTAGCGTAAATCGACCATAATTAAATATATCTCGTACAAATTTATTACAGTTGCGAATACAGTCCTCAATATCACCCAGTGAGGGTAGTCTTGCCTCTTTCATTACGCCCTACCCTATATCTTCACAGTTCCACCACGAACGTAAACTACGATGTAAGTTTATTAGTATAACCAGTGCTGAAATTATTAGTATAACCAGTGCTGAAATTATTAGTACATAAGAAAATGCATTTATACAGTTTTAAAACCAATGACTTATCAATTCAAAGCGAATTGTGATGGTGGGAGTTTAACAAGCACCTCCCGAGTTTTGAGTGACAGCACTCCGTAAAGCATCACAGTTTGGGTCTGGTATGGTGCCGGAGGGAACCGAAACTTGGCAAGAAACGACATGGACAATTAAAATCAAATAACACACAACATCACAGAGATGACCACCAAGTAACTCATAATACCCAAGGTACATAATAATAAACGCTTTATTTTGAACTCTCCAGGTCCAAGGTCACCAAAGTATAAAGTCTGTGCACCAACTCCATCCAACCCCCACTATCGAAGCTTGAACTTACAACCTTAAATTCTTAGCCAACTTAAGCCTTGAGCATCACAGGCTCGATGCTGTCAAACTACACAGCCCTCACATGATGGGCGAAATTGAGCAGTCGCCTCGAAGACGCCATATTCTCTCTTCCATCAACCCCGACAATCCTGAAAAGCCCCGAAGCAGAAGGAGAAGTCGATCGCCGGATTCTCGACCTCCAGTTAATGTCCAGAGAGAACAATCACTTGATGCGACTTCAGAGCGCGCCGGTGCCCAGCACAACGATGGAGTCGGCGATCCTACGGCGCCGAGACCTTCACGTATTCGGTTGAAGGACCAGCACAGGTCTCGCCGTAGGTCGCGCGACCGCCATCGACAAAGAGATCGCGAAGATGACGACAGTTCCCGGCGGTCGCATCGCCGTCACCACCGACATCATCGACGACATCGGTCACCTACACCGCCAAACCCCCATGTACCAGAGCCTTTAGACCCCGAAGCAGCGTTCCGCGAATCTCTGTTCGATGCCATGGCCGACGACGAGGGTGCCGCATACTGGGAGGGTGTATATGGCCAACCCGTTCACGTTTATTCCAACGAGCGCCTAGGACCTGAAGGCCACCTGGAGCAAATGACGGATGAAGAGTATGCCACCTATGTCCGACAGAAGATGTGGGAGAAGACACATGCTGGTTTGCTCGAGGAGCGTGCTCGCCGCGATGAAGCCAAGAAGCGCAAAGTCGAGGAAGACCGCCTTGCGCAGAAGCTTCACGAGGACATGGAGCGCAGCATACGCCGCGGCGAGGAGCGTAGACAGCGCCGACGTTGGACGCAGAGGTGGGAAGACTACACGACTGCCTGGACAAGCTGGGATGGCACGCCTGCAACGATTGCATGGCCGGTGGAAGGTGGCCGTCTGGAGGATGTGGAAGAGGCGACTGTGCGCAAGTTTTTTGTTAATGGCCTGAACCCGCAGGATATTGGCGAGAAAGCCTTCGTGGCTAAGCTTCGAGAAGAGCGTGTACGATGGCATCCGGACAAGGTTCAGCAGAAGCTGGGAGGGCAGGTTGATGAAGATACAATGAAGGGCGTGACCGCTGTTTTCCAGATTATTGATAAGCTCTGGACGGATAGTAGACCAAAGGCGTAATGCATTAATACCCGAATATACCACATTTATGATGAACACAGTCACATACAGATCTGGACATGTAACCTTTGAAGTGGTGGGTGGCATCGCGACATGATACACCGGGTTTGGAAGTAAAGTTCGAGTTGATGCAGATGTCATACTTTGATACCACACAGCCTTTCATATGAAGCATGAAGGCTTAACGCTCATCCTTGGGACCGCAGTTTGGCATCGTTACGCCTGAAGTTGAGATGATATAAGCCAAGTGACAGTCAACTCAAACGTAGTAATTTATAGAGCAAGGAGGGTTGTACACCTCGAATCTTTAAATTGTAACTGTTTATAACAGTCCACGGAGAAAACTTAACGTGTACATATATATATCTGCCTTGAGACCTAAATGGAACTTGAGATAGGGCGTGGCTTGGGTAGAGTACATGAGTGAAAGACATATCGCACAGGGAATCACTGCACCCCAAGATTCGTCGTTTTCTAACTACATCTTCGAGGCCAGAGTGAAGTGATTGCATAAAAATCGTTCACATCGACGATGTCTCTCTAAAGTAACATCCATAACACACTTACCGTTACTCTTAGTCTTTCCTGTGGTACATACGTATAAAACTATGCTCACACGACCCGACTCATCTGCCAAGCTGTCAGCCCCGAAAGTGGCCGAGAAGCTTAAACACATCCAAGACAAACAAACCAAGGGATTTGGAGGGAACAAGAGGGAATGTCATAGTATCAAATACCTGATTATGGACGTTACTGGCAGCTTACGACATGACGACAGAACTTCGTGACCTCGCAAAGAGCCTTCTTTACGGGAGGGATGCAATCCGTTCCTTGAAAAGGTTTGTTGACCGAGTCATGAGAGCCATCCTAGCAATAGTCATATCATTCATTTTGCAAGAATCCTAAGGATCCTCGCGCCACCTGCCACTATGCCGCCATGTGAACCAAAGCCCTGCTAAACTCAGGCAAGGGGGTTGGATCAACAAAGAAGGAGTTGTCTCACATCTTCCGGACATAAGCGTTCAACGGAATGGCTGTGATATATGTCTTAACCTTTGAAGGAGGTGAACGTAATAATTCTGACGCTGTTATTACAATAGAAGCCGGAATGCGGAGCTTTGAACGAAAGAACACCCTTGCTCTTCAAATAGTACCACATGGTGCTCTATACTGCTCTTACGACTTGATGCGTATATGTTCATGTCCACAAACATTTCTACTACGTAATCCGAGCTATTCGATCTCGTATAGGGTGCTGGGTGAGATTGATGGCTGTTCATGCTGAAACCAGGATATACATACAGTCAACCAATGGCATCATAATATGGAAACCAATGATGTTGAAATCTGACGACGCCTCGTATTGTTGATTTGGGACGGATTCGAAGATGAAACATGTTATAGCAGCTATTCACAACTTTGGGTCTCGAGGTGGTTAGGAATCACATCAATTTTCGACAGGGGCGAGGACATACATCCTTGGGCCGCCTGAACTGTCCTATCTAGATATCCCAGAATAAATGCGTTTTATGAAAGGTGAGTCAAGTGCCATTGAACAAGCCACAGCAACAAGGCCGCAACAAACAAAAGCACCAGCCTTCAAAAGTTTCCAATTCGCTTCCTTTCCCCTTTGACTACTATGCTAGCGGCAGGTGTGCAGCGCTAGCTAATTAAGATCCCGAGTCCCCGCCATATCCTTGTTTTATCCAAAACGGCTGTTTGCCTGTAACTAGATCAAGGTGGATTGGTGGGAGCACAACAGGTTGGCTTTTAACAATGATGGTATAGATTTGGCCATGTTCGCTTCATTAATCAACATAATTTTTGTGTTGTCGCAGTGGACGGATGTATTGTACAAAGACCGCTTTACATGTTGGCAAAGAGAGCTGCACCTCCCATGAGAGCTCCCATGGCGACGGCAGCGGTGGGCATGGCACCAGCGTTGTCACCAGTAGCGCTGCTGGCGGCAGCACCGGCACTGCTGGAGATCTCACCAGCCTTCTTGGTGGCCTCGGCGATCTTGGACTCGATAGCCTCGCTGGCGGTACCAGTGGCAGAGGCGAGGTCGGAGCTGAGAGAGGCGATCTGCTCGTCGATGGCGCTGGACGCACTGGCAAGAGCGCTGGTCACGCTAGCGAGAGCGCTGGTGTCGACAGACTCGGAGCCGGACGCGGTGCTCTCGGTCTCAGCGGAGTCGGAAGCGGACTCGGTGGCAGTGGAGGCATCAGTCACTGTAGTGGTAACGCCGGACTCGGTAGCGGAGTTGATGCGAGAAGTGATCTCGCCGCCAACACGGGTGGAGATATCCTCAACGATGGAAGAAGCATCGTCAACAATGGAGGAAGCGTCCTCAATGCGAGAGGAAACATCACCAATGATGGAGGAGACCTCACCAGCACCGGGGATGGAGAGGGACTGGGCCTGTGGTGTGTTAGTAAGAAAACCTTTATAACCACAAGGACAAGGGATCGTACCTGAGAGTAGGCAGCCAGGACAGCGAGGAGAGTGACGGCGGAGTACTGCATGATGTCGGTTTTGTTGATATCAAAGGTTTTGAGTAGTGAATGCTGTTGTTAGATGGAATTGGATTGGCAGTGATGGATGAGGGAGAGAAGGAGGTGTATCCCAAAGGCTGGAGGTCAAGACGTTTTATGGACACAGAGACAGCCATGCCAATGCAATCCATCTTGGCTACTCCGTATACACTTTGACGATGCTTCCTATGCACACACCCCTTCACCCCGGACTGTCCGCCCTAGCCCGGGGCTTGGCGATTCGTATATTTGGAGCATAGTGGAGATATGGCCATGTCTGTTCGAAGTTGGGTCATCGATCGGTATCCTGACTGCCAGACCGATTCACAAGCACTGTATGTGTGCCCATGCCTTGAAAGATGTCAATTAAGATGCCGCTTCAACCGCACCGCCTTATATGCGCCTTAACTTGATGAGTTTGTGTGCTGTATTTTAAGTATCGCCCAGCTCCGAGGGAACTGAAAGGGTTTACGGATATGGTCTGGTAACTTCAAGTAAGACCAGCCCCCAAGCGTAATGGCCTCGGTAGGCTCAGCTACCCCTGGCTTATGCAAGGCAGTACCGTAAATCCAACCTGGAGTCTCAGCTCAGCCTACACATGACTTCCAGAAATAAACAGAGCAGCAGTGAACCACAAACCGACCCGTTTTCTTGCAGGCGTTGTTGGTGCACAGCTGAGCCTCAAACCCATGTGGCATGTCTTTGGGCTTTAGTCAGAGCTCTGAGGCCTAGGAGGCGTAGGTCTTTGAGACATCAACATGATATTCTGCGGAAATGATATGATACAACCTAGGGGAAAGTTCAATCCGTTTGTTCGGTGGTGTTGGTACTGGAGATGCCCCGGTGTCTATATCTTTGACGAGATGACCGCCTTGACAATTCAAGCTCACGTGTACCTGCATGGTATTTCGCGACCAGGGGGGCAGTGTGCTGGCCTCCGAATTTGCATCAGAAAAACTGGAAATTGAATGATGTGAAAGCAAACTGAAGAAGCACGAGTTAGAAGTCAGCAATCACCTGTAGCTGGTAACTCTTGGCTACCAGGTAGTAGGTACACCCCAGAATAAAGTTCCAGTGACCGGAAACACTCCATCGTCTTTCATCACGATTCTGCGCATATGCTATAACAGTAACAGGCGTGTTCATAGCCAGCCGGCCAAGCTTCTATGCTAGCTCTCTCCCAGTTGCAACTACTGCATCATTCAAACATGCATCCGGCCCGTGGACGCCAGACGAGATTGAGCCAAGAAGTTTTGATTGGGGCAATAAATAGGAGCCATTTAACGAAAGCAAGAACTATTAGCTGAAGCCGAACTCTGCGAAGTTTGGGGAATAAATTTGTCCTGACGTCGCCAACTAAAACAGGATGGAGTCGAGTTGGGGTTGCACTGGCTCCAGGAAGCTAAGCTTAGGGTCAGCCACGTTTGCCACAGTATCGGCTTTTCCACAGCCACGTACACCGACTTGGGTAGGAACCTTTTGGTAGGTAAGTTACCTAGTACCTACTTCCTAAGACAGGAACTTCGGGAGGGAGGACATGAACTCATTGTGGAAAGTCAGATGGTTCAACCAATGCCTACAGTACCTGCCTTCAGAGGAACAAGTGCCGGCGTCGCCTTCTCCCTGTGTTCGAATTATCGCTCCTGCTACTGCTACTGCTACTGCTACTGCGAGGTACGGAGCATTGCAGTTGCCATTGGATCTCCATCGCGTAATTGTAGCTGACGATTTGCGTCACAGTGGGGCCTCTCGAGCTCCATTCTTTGTTTTGTTACTGTTACGTTGCTACACGGGGCAAGCACGAGCCTCACAGTAGTTTTACCGGGGGGCTACTCCGTACTACCAAGGCACTCTCCTTTTATTGGTAGAATGGACAGAATCAGCCTGGAGCCTTCACTCATAACTTTTCCCCAGATCGTCCAACCGACTCAACAATCTTTCAAACATGTTTTCATGTACCATACAGTCCTTGAAGCCAGTGAGACGAATACACTGCACACTGTATTGTAAACAACACGCGATACTAAACTAATGGATCGTTCGTGGCGTTAAAAAGGCATACAGCTCTGAAACAATGCATGATAAAATACCCAACCAGGCCTCGATCCAATCTATGGAGGGAACTTTACATCCCTTCCTCCAACTCTAGGCGAAGAACTCAAAAGATCATCTCTTAAGCATAATACAGTAACTGAGCAAACCGCGACGGGAGGATTGTCTGAGACAATACGTACATTAATCATATGGACAAGTACCGGTGTACAGAGGATCGACTGATGCGCAGCTGTCAATGCGACAGTGGAAACTCCCGACGACAAGGAAGCCATTGGCTAATACCAGCATTCCCGTAGCATTCTGAGATGCATTTATTAACGTTAATAACAGCCTAACCCCATCATTACAATCGCTCAGGCTCAGAGGATCAATATCTGGCAAGCGAAACCACGAGAGGGAGAAGGAGAACAAGCGTTCTGTTCCAGAAACGGGTTGAGAATCCTGATTTTTGCATCCATACCGACTAAAAAGGGAACTGGTTTCTTACCACCATCTTACCTTTGTCTCAGGTACCTGAGAGCATGAACGCGCGGCACGCGACTCCCACCCAGAACAGGCCTAAGCTGCTTGGCAGAGAGAGCAGCTAGCAAACAGTGCTGTACTCTCTACTCCGTGCTTTGGCTTCATATCGCTGATCTTTTGGAGATCAAGCTCTTTCACATACGCAGATCACATCACCGGTGCAGGAAGTAACCCTGGCTGGTGTACTGGTCTGGTAGGCCCGTCAACCAAGTTTCCTCCGAGTTCAACCAACAGTTTCTGGCTTAAGCAACATCACAGTACAGTACGGAGTCCTGAGAGCGCAAGTTGACCGTTTGAGGACTTGTACAACTTCTCCAATCCAAGACCTTCCCCTGTCGTGCCCGGCTTGACTACAACGCCACACACGCCCCTAGATGTCTCCACACAAACTCCATCTCTTTCCATATTTCGTGCTTCCACTAATTATATTTTGTTGCCATAAGCCCGGCTTGGCGCCTTGATCGTTGTGTCAACATTCTGCTGCCTTGTTTGGCTGTCTTGGCCAATGCGAGCCAAGACTATACCAAGCATGGCCGATAGAGTAATCCAGAGAGCTTTCTCAGCCTCGGTTCTAACTCCGCACCCAAGATCGCAGCTCATCGAGATGTGACGCAATCCGTGGCCGATGGAGTTTGGTTCATTCATGGCGGCCCTTTACTCTCGCATGACTTTGACGAGGCTTTGACGAAGGCCGAAAGGGGTGGCCTCGCTTGGCAATTAAGCAAAAATACAAGCTTACATACTACTATGCCAAGCAGCCTTTGGTCTTCAAGAGCAAGCGGAATAAAGGTATCTCTATTTTACCTAAACATACTGACTTATGCATATCTTCATAGCAAGTTCCTATGATATGGGCCTACGGATTAGTTATCTTATGATGAGTCCTTATGATGAAGCTTACTCAGATTCACCACAAGATGTTATGAAGATGGAAAAAAGACATCTTTATTCCAACTTCTAATGGCACCCCACATGGAAGACATGAAGACTGGTACGGCTCAGTACGGAGCGAGATACATTCCGTCTGTGTCCAGTACTGACTCCCATGGGAGTATCATGAGAGGATTGCTGATATCCGAAAGCTCATTTAAACATACCCTTCTTGAGCTCCTCCACTATCTCAACCGCCTCCAACGCGCTACGGGCTTCAAAGTCATATCGTTTGCTTTCCGTCGCTTTGTACACCACAAGCTATTTTTTTTTGGGCACCATTAGTATTGTACTACTTTGACCTCGAAATTAGAAACAGCAAACTGACCTTGACGTTTGTTGGGTGTTTTCGGAGAACTTTGCATCCAACTACGTTGCTGAAATGAACCGTTGTTGTCTTGCCTGATCCGTCTTGTAATGCCTTACCGCCAGACGCTGGCATGATGTGGATATACTCGCCGTCTATGATTAGGATGCGCTCACTCATACCCACGATGCGCATTGGCTGTTTGCGCCAGACAGTGTACTTCTTATAGCTGGCATTGCTGAGCTCATCTTGCTTCAATGATTCGCGAGCAAGTGGGTGGCTTCCGACCATTGGTGTCTGTAACTTCTTACTACGCTTCTGCAGGGATTGCTCGGATAGAGGCAGCATCTTTGGTGATGAGCTGCCAGGCGATCCGGTAATCGTTAGTGGACCATCTGTTGCGAATCGCCGCCTGTACAACTCCAGATCTGAGACATTTCCAATGGATGATACCGGCCTATCCAGCATGACTACAGCTCCTGATCCAGGTAGCTTCAGCACGTGGTTGGCCTTGTCTAGCTGCCTCTTTCGACACACCATGTCCAGCACTTCAGCCAAATAGGTATCGGTCATCACGTCAAGTGTTACCATCTGGCCTGGCGCCACATCTGCCGACATGATGTGAATTCGAAGCAGCTTCTGATGTCCTCGGGATGTATTGGGTGCTGCAGCAGGTGCTTGTGGCATATCTGCTGGAGGAGCGTTTGACCGGTATGTCGTTGTAACAATGGGGTTTTGCCGTGGCCGGTCCATCAGGAAAGAATTGGCGTTCGGTCCTGGAGTCCCTCGGGGAGTTGCATCCTCATCTGGCTGTGCAGGATTGAGGGACACGCCGCCGCCGCTATCTTGTGAAGTTGTTGGCTCCTCTTCTTCATCCTCTTGTGGTGTCAACGATTTGTTCTCAAGGAACTCGTCTTCCGAAGCTTCGGCCAATGCAAAATCATCATAGGCAGTGGAATTTGATCGCATGCGGCCTCCACCTCGCATGGCTGCATTGTTAACCGTGGTAAATGAAGTCAACGGCTTTGTCCTCTCAAAAGGGGGAAAGTCGTCATCAACTTCGCCGCCCTCTTCAACCATACGAAGGGTCCACCAGTTGATATTGAGCTTTCCCTTAGGGAGAGGAGGATCTTGTTTCTCCTCATTGTATCTGTACAAGCTCAAGCCAATAAGATCTGCAACCGTCACCACCCGTTCGGCGCCTTGCCCATCATGAACGCGTGGCCGGATAAGGACATGGAACGGTTTGCTTGGCGTTTTGGAGAAGGGAGCGTATATGCGCACGGCGATAGAGCCCTGTGTACCTTGCCCACTGAAATGGGCAAATTTCTGGAAAGGGATGGATGATTTCTTATCCTTGGCCTTGAGCGCTGCTGACAACAAACTCCTGGGCTGGGCAATGCTCATGGGTCGGATCATGCTCATAGGCCGGGGAGGGGGCAACGCTCCAAGAACAACGGGGTGCACCGGTGGCTTTGATTTGCGAATCGTAGCTTGTCGTGTGAAGTTCTTGGGAGGTGTTCCGACGACCTGACGAGTCGGTGATGCGCCGATAGCATTCTCGACACCATCGAGAATCGATGCCGAGTCTATACTCTCAGCGTAGTTATCAGACATATCTGAAGCCTCGTCTGAGTCTTCTTCCTCTTCGGGCAGGAGTGATGTGTCGGCTCGTTGGATCCCAGGTGTAGGTTCCTCCAATATTCTTGCCTGGAGCTTCGCGGCCCTGGTCGCAGCTCGAGCAGCCTCTCGATATCTCTGGACTGTCGGGATGTCGGTCTCATTTTCCGAAGAGATCTCACTGCTCGTGACTGTATCCCTTCGTGGTCTCTCCTGGACTGTCCCTAACGCCGACTGTGACCCTCTGCGCGGGGCCCTTGGCGAAACAGCTCCTACTTGTCGTAAATTCGTGTTTTGTAGCGGTGACGAGCCTGCTCTCTGTCTCACTGGCATTTTTGCGAACTTGATTTGCTGCGCAGCTCTTTGATCTGCATCGTCATCACTCTCGTCGCTCAAATCGCTGCTGTCCTCCTCCTCCATCTGCTCGCGACGCCTGCGCCGCCGGGTAGCCATGCCAGGACCCATTGTGTCCGATCCGCCCGCGGTAAGCATGCCTCCGTCCTCCTCGCCATCTTCAAGCGTAAGTCCAGCCTGTTTGGGTGCTTGAAAGTATTCGGAAGCAATCGCAGTTGGGATCGGGGGCGAATGCGTCCGCTTGTGGTGGGAGGAATTGGGTCGCCAGCCAGCGGCTTTGAAGGGAGCCGAGTTTATGAAGCTATCGTTAACATTGAGAAGACGTTCCCCAACACCATCTGCGATTTCGTCGAGATAGCTTGTACGAAGCTGATAAGCGACAAGCCTGGAGGACATGTTAGTCTATTGACATCGATATAGTAGTTTATCGGCGTAATGGAGGTAGACGCACTCTTCCAGTTGAATGACAGACATAGCGGCGGTCGGGCTTGGGGGCGCAACTGTGCCACGCCGGAAAAGATAGAAGTAATTCGAGAACCCAGTGACTGCTTCTACATGTTTGTCGTTAATCCAAAGCCTTGAGATGTCGAGAGGTTGAGAGGTTGAAGGTGCAGATAAGATGCGACGAGCAGTGGGGTTGCACTCAGCCTCGTCAAGACGGGGATGGTCTAGGATGTGGCTGTATAAGGCACGGGCCAACAAGGCAGAGGTGGGCCACTTTCATTCAACTGCATATCGCGAAGCTCAAGTTCGCGATTCGTTGAAATCTTCATCTTTAACATCAAATAATTATTAATCCGATCACTCAAAATGGGTCTTGTCGACTACTCAGACTCGGAGGGCTCAGACTCTGAAGCCGAAGTGCAAGTTCCTGTCAAATCCGCTCCTAAAACATCCGCTCCTAAAACATCCGCAACCTCATCCTCCAAGAAGCCTTTCCAAAAGGTCGTCGACCGATCCAACCCTGGCAAAATTGTTGTCAGTCTTCCTCAGCTATCGAACGATAAACCACAAACCGAGGAACCCCCAGCGAAACGGGTAAAGACGGGCGCGAGTGGAAAATTCGCTGGGCTCAACTCGTTTCTACCGGCACCTAAAAATGCGAACAAGCCCAAACCCGCGGCCTCGAGCAGCGCGCCGACAAGATCAGGCTTTCAGTTCAAGACAAGTGCCGCGCCAGGGTTCAATAGAGACGCTGCAGATGATCAGAACAATTCAAACGAAAATACCGCGCAGGGCATGAGTTTACCCCCACCAAAGGCCGCCGCGCACCCACATATTCCCGAAGGACAGAAACCTGCCGACGAGGTCAAGCTTGTGGGCAAGCCTTTGATGTTTAAGCCTCTATCAGTGGCACGGAACCCACAGAAGAAGAAGAAATTGAACTCTGGGATGGCAAAGCCCACACCGGCATCTCAACAGGAGCAGACAGAACAAAAGCAGAACGAAGCGACGCCAGCCGAAGCCCCAAAAAGGTTCTCGCTTTTCTCTATGCACACAGAAGAGCCTTCTGAACCTGCTGAAAAGAGCTATACAAATGCCTATGAGCCGATGTTTTCGACGACAGAAACCTCATTGGGATATGACGAGGGTGCATATGGTGACTATGCAAGCCATGCGCAAGCAGGTCCATCGGCGACCACATTGCCAGGCTCCGAGTCCTTGGACACGGTAGTAGGCGATCTCAACCTTACAGCGGCCCAGCAGCGAGAACTTTTTGGTCGAAATGGTCTGGGTAATCAGGCCGCCAAGAAGGTTATCAACTTCAACATGGATAGGGAATACAGGCACAACGAAGAGATTCGGGCTGCAGGAGAGGAACAGTCTCACAACCCTGTGCGTGCGATTCAGGGCGGTGGAAAGCACAGTCTACGCCAATTGGTACAGAACGTCCAGAGCCAGCGAGAAGCCCTTGAGGACAGCTTCGCCAAGGGGAAGAGCAATCGAAAGGAGGCTGCAAGCAAGTACGGATGGTGATGATAACGATACCCCGGTTGTATGCTTATACAATATATTCAAGAATGATACTACTTATCTATTTTGGTCCTCGACGTACTATTTACCTCCTATATACGCCGTCCTCTGTATTCAACCCGAAGTCCAGATCCCAAATATGCAGAGTGCTGAAGCAAAGATACATATAATCGAACAAAAGGGGGTGTCTTGAAGCCAAAACAACAATAACAAAACCGCTCGCCATGCATATCCAGTCTAACCCAAACAAAGAAAAACAAGCAACGCATCAAAACGTTTCCACTCCAACTTTTCGACCACTCTGGAAGGCATTGTCTGCCAGCATGAACCCCCATTCTCCTCTCGTGGTGGGAGATATATCCTCATAGTCGTGAGGCGTCAAAGGCCCAAATCTTGTTGATCCTGGACTCATGATGGGTGTTGGTGTGAGAGGACTGAAAGCACTTCGATTGATTGGTCCAGCAGTCAAGACTTGATCTATCGTTGACGGCGGCTCCCATTTTTGTATAGAGAAGTATAGCTGATCGGTTGGTCGCGCTGTTCGATCACCGTCTTCTTCCTCCTCCTCTTCCACTCGGACCTGAATGGGCACTTGAGCGGAAGCCTCTGGTTTCTTCGGTTTGGGTTTGAGAATAGGCCCTGGAGTGAAATTCGTCTGCAGTTTGAGTAAAGGTTTCGGCGATGGCGTTTTCCCTTTCATTACTGCGACGGCTATTGTCGACTCCTCGACCTCGTCTTCTTTATAGCGCTCTTGAGAATCGCTGATGGGTTGGATGGCTGGTTCCGCAAAGCTTGTGAGACCTGAGATGCCACCATATTGCTCTGGTCCTCCATACGCTCGTCGATACATACGGTCCAGGTCGACGAGGGCCGAGCTGGACACACTGAGCCAATCGTATGATCGAAGGATGGCCGTTTTCGAAACCTTTGCGCCATTGGTAGCCAAAATGATACGCCGCAGTTCATCAACGGCGTCTTCGAGTCGGAGGTGGGATTTCGTCTTGGAATAACTGGATAGGGCGCTCTTGAGGCTGTATAACCTGTCCAGTGATAATATGGTGAGGCCTTCAGAGCAAAAGAGAACCTCGTTCTGGATGATGGAGCTATGGATGAGTTGGTTTGTGAGTCCACAGGAAGCTGGTCTAGCAGCCGGTGCGAGCCACTCAGGGCTATGATGGGTTAGCCTGACCTCTTTTGCATTGATACGTATATGATTGGCAACTTACCCAGTAGAGAATTTCTTCTCTGTCTTGACCAAGACTGAGTTGAGGATCTTCTCGGACCTTGGATGAAGTTCGTTGGTATGAATAAGTCGCATACCAAATCCCGACGATGCGGACATCATAGAGCTCATCGTGTCTGTGGTGGTCGACGAGCCGGTACATGGTGTCATGGGAGGTGGCGACAGGGGTGTCGAGGGTGAGAGAGGCCACCTGAGCCGGGGGCTGGATACTTCGAGTGGAGGAACCTGGCCAGGCGAAGATATCGCACTTCGCGGCGAGTCCATCGATCGAAGGGATGCCGAAGAGCCTATCCTAACCAGCGACCTGAGCCTAGAAACAGGACCCTGATGGAAGTTGAAGCGAAGACCAGGAGACAGAGGCGAGGGGGTTGTTGGAGTCAGAAGACCCTTCGGCGGCACAACAGACGGAAGTTGATAATCGCGACGGGCAACAACAAGAGTGATGTGCTGCGACTTGCGAGCGAGACGGGAGGATACATGCTCGAGAGCTGGTGCCAGGTGAGGCGGCAGATGGTGAGCGTCGAGGATTGAGGTACCGGCCTCGAGAGGGGACGAGATTCTGTCCTTGAGCGACATATCGAAGTTGTAAAGTCGGTCGTGCTTCAGCAAAGAGGACGACTCAGCTTGACTTGAAACAACGATGTGTGAAGAAGACAAACAAGCGACGAGTAACACCGAGCGAGAAAGGATAAGACAAGATAATATGTGACAAGGGAAGCGAATCGAGCAAAAAGCCGCACAGCAGCTGTGATATCCTTTTTCAAGCCTGTTATTGTGAACCCGTCGTCGTTGTGATCCTACGTCAGAAAAGGTTTCAAGAGCAAGGAGAACACAGCGGAAGGGAAAAGAGTCTTAAAAGGGATGCCCACCCACCTGAGCTTATTGTCTTCCCCGGAAATCTCTAAAAAAAGAACATTAGGTAGCTTGTTTATGTTTCATGTTCCTCCAGTCACCCTCGCCCTCTCAGGTGGCCTGCGACCCAGCGGCCCGCGTGGGTACCATCAGCCGATAAGGAAATAGATGAAACGGAAGAGTGCCAAGATGAGTTAAGCCCCGGACGCCATGCGTAGAAATGGGGGAACCGTAGAATCACAGCTGAGAATAGATAATAAGCGGTGTTTTTGCAGAGTGCTATGGGCTACGGGATATGGTCTATGGTGGGTGGTAGTTTACACCCCAGATACTGACCCAATTAAAGATGCCCAATTAGGATTAGCCTAGGGTCGTCGGCGGCTACGTGCATTAGTGGCAGCTCGGCTACTATTTTGATGTGTGAGCGGGGAGCCAAGCACGGCTTCTGATTGGATAGTGATAACCCTGTGCTTAAATATAGAAGAAGCTGGCGGCCAGAGACGCCATGTGAGTGGCTGCATGCATGTGAGTGTGACGATGAACTGGCAGATTGTGATCGAGCCGGGGGAGGACATGATATCACCTACAGCAAGACAAGGGAGCCTCCAACACGGCAGAATGCTCACGATGCGAAGAAACAGAACAGAGACCACCATGCTTAATCTACCAGAAACATCCATCACTGCAGCATACTTAGATGATAGATCCAAATCTGCCGAATCGGCTGCCCACCTTGTTCTAAAAACAGTTTCTACACCACCCTTGCCCGTCACTTTCTGGCTCTGTTCCTGCGTTCTCTCCCCTTGCAGTAGTCTCAGTCAGACCCAGGATCTCTTTTCCCAGATCTCGGTATGCGTGGTGTGAACCAACAGTCCCATTCTGCTGGTATTGTTGTTCCTCGAATAAGTAGATTGCTTAGGCGGAGTGAAAGATTGAGAGAGTTACTTAACCTAAACCTTAGGCGATTCATTATATGACTTCCCAAACCATACATGTTCTAGTAAATATATTTACTTAGACTTCAAACACTCCGCCAATCACAAAGACCAGACTCTACACCTTAAAGCTGAAAGAAATATTTTTGTTTCGTTTCTATAGGGACATGTTTCTAAACTTACGAAATTTCGCATCCGGCATGGAATACGGAGGCAGCCGCGAAAAGTGCTCGCTTGCTAAGACCGATCGGCAATAACCCCTGCAAAGATAATAAGGGTTCGGCCACGTAAATTATAAGGGGAAGCTCTATAAGTAGTTTTTTTCTTATTCTTTATTCCTTTATTAATTTAATATATTAAATAATATTATAACCCAGGCTTTAGTAATGGCCCTAAAGGCACCTAAAAGAGGAGCTAAAACCATACCTAAGATATATATACTTATAGAAATCCCTAAGTATATAATTAACGATATATATATATAAGTAATCTTAAGAGGCTTTAAGCCTAATAAGCGGCCGTTATAAATAATTAATACCTAGGTTGAAAATACTTTTAAGTCAGGGCGGCCTTCTAAGTATATAGATAAGAATAAGAACCTGATAATTAGGCAGGTTAGTAAAGACCGATTTAAAAGGGAAAAGATTATTATTAATCTCGCCGGGGAATTTAAAGATTTAGGCATTAAAATATCTTCTATAACTATTAAGAAGATTCTAAAGTTATTAAAATATAAAAAAACGAAGTTAATAAAAAAGCCTAGTTTAACTATATAGATAAGGAAGTAATGCCTTAATTAGTATATTACCTATAAAGATTAGACCTTTAAAGACTGGAAAGTAGTTATTTAGTTAGATAAAACCTCTATTATATTCCTTTATTGGCGTAATAACTATTACATTTAAAGGAAAGTAAATAAATAAGTTAACTATAGCTATATTTATAAAAGGTAAAAAGGCTTTAATAAGTTTATATTCTAGGGTGCCTTTTCCTATAATAAAAAGGGTCCTTATTATTACTAATCTTTAAAGACCGTAAAAAAGAAGGTATTTACTATAAAAGCTATTATAACCTTAAATAAAGAGCTTAAGCCAATAATAAAGAAGGAATAGGAACTTATAATTAATATAAAGTAGCTAAGGCTTTATAATAAGCCTGGTATTTAGCCTAAGTAAAAATAAAAAAAAGAGACCGGTAAGCTTATAAGAGGGGGAAAGGGAGGTATTAATTAGTAAAGATATTAATAAAAGGTTCTTCTTTTAAAGATTATTCCTTATATAAAAGAATATATAAAGGAAAGGAAAGATACTATTATATAAAAAGATAGAGCTCTTACTTATAAACACTACATATAGTAACGGGTATATAACCTTTACGGCATTTAGTAGCTTCTTTAATATTTAAATTTGCCTAATTTAAATACTATTAAGCCGGCTTAGCCTTAAATAAAAAGGCATATAATAAAGAAAGGCACCCTAAAGAATAGAAAGGAAGCTATTTAGAAGTAAGAGGTAGCTTAAAAGGAGCTGCCATAAACGTAGATATAGGCATAGATAGAGAGAATTCTAATATATATATAGAAAATTATCAAGCTTTAAGGTAGGAATAAATATATTAAAGGCAGGGATAAATCCCTATAAAAATAACCTTTTTAGATATCTAATGCTATAGCCCTACTTAGTGTGATTTTAGCGCGAGCGAGCACTTTTCGCGGCTGCCTCCGTAGTAGCATTGGAGCTAAGGCTGGCCGCCATCATGGCCTGACAGCTAAATATAGCTTTTTTAACAGCCGCCAGCCAAGGCCTGGCATTATCGTCATGAATTATAGGCAGAGATGGACCTTCATGAGCACCAAACAGTAAACTATGTATAGAAAATAATCAGCCATTTGACAAGTGGCTGGTGGCTGGTGGTTGCCAGAGGCTATAATGGAACCAGATCACCGTCACTCCGCAACATGACGGCAGCAATGAACCAAGTCAGACGACCAGTCCACTGGAGCGGCTATGCATGTTTTATCAAACACTTGTTTATTGTTGCTCAAAAATCATGTATTCATCAGATAAGGACGTTTATTCGTCAACCAACAAGAGAAAGCCTGAGCCTGATGTTGCTTTCGACTAAATTGGTGTTTGGTGCGTTTCACGCCCTGAGTTACCATTCATTACCTCGCTCAATGTCTCTTTGCCGGCAGACCCTGTTGTCCTGTACGCCATCACTCCCTTGCTATGCAATCGTTTCTGCTTCGGTGGCCGTAGACACGACTTGTTCAGGCCGAAGAAGCTGTCGGTCGCCAGACTCACCCTTAAGCTAGAGTTTACACGAACCAAAACTCAAAAGTGAATAGAAAATCACTAGGCATCCGCCAACGCCTTTCCATATCCTCGTTACCGTGTTCTGACTTTGGGGCCTTCAAAGGTTCTCTCCGAACCCCTGACCTTGAGCTGATGCTCGTGATTACGACATCCGATCCATATCGTGCAGCTCATTCATTCCCGGAATGTCCAGTTCAACAATGTCATCAATCTGCTCTGATGACCCGCAGGATCCTTCCCAGTCTTCACCCAACGTCAGCCATCACCCCAAGTCTGCTGTGATTGTATCGGAGTCGCTGAACGACTGTAACATACCGGACCCGTCCTCTTCCATTTCGTCAACTGTCAGTCTGTGCAAAGGACCAAGTACATCTGTCATGTGTGTGAGCTATGAATCATAAATAGTAATACAACAGATTCCACTTACCATCTTGCAATGCAAGGAACTCCAAGTCCAGTTCGGTTTGTGTATTCGGGTCCGAGTTCACGACATCCACGCATTGCCCGATCACTTTTAGAAATCTGTTGGCAACCTCTCGGATCACTTGGTTCCTTTTGCGGACATGCTGCTCACGAAGATACTTCAGGCACGCAATCCCGACATGCTTCGCCGTCTGTTTGATGATGTCTCGATCACCCCAGGTGTTGTCGTCGTCACTATCGTCATCATTGGGGGCACTTTCAGCCACAGCGTCAAACAGCGTTCGAATCAGAAAAGACTCTGTGCTGGTTCGCACTATCCGGTCTTGAGAAGCCAGGAGGTAAGGCACCCAGGTTGGCACTCGTTCCAAAGCGTATGAGCGGACGGCACCAGCGAACTCCGTGTCTTGTTGTTTGAGGTTCAATGCAGTCTTGAAAAATCGCAAGAAATACACACCCTCGGTGTTTTGAAGACTCTTTGCCTGAATGAAGATGTGGCCAACTATTCCCTTGGCATTTCTGAGCTGATCGGTACTTTCAATGTACGTGATGGCCGCCCGCAAGAACGGATCCATGGCTTGTGTTGATGTTTCGCCGCGAATGCACTGCTTCAATGTTGCTAGTACCCTTTCATCCAGCGTCGTATCCAACCTCACTAGGAGGCGAATGATTCTGTCGCTATGCACTTGCGCCTGGTCAAGGGCGAGCAGTTTTTCAACAAATAGACTGGTCTGGGACCCGCCAAGATCCTTGTAAACAAGACCTACCTCCCCGGATGTCCATTTGAAGGGTTCGGTCATTTGCGATACGCGCGCTGTATGCTGTTCTTTGCTGAAATTGGGCCCTACTCTAGAGTCCATCTGATCCATCAAATGGTGAGCGAGTGCGATGATAGATGCATACGATGTCTGTCTTGTGCCACTTCGCCGTGAAAGATTGTGAAGCATCTTGGCCCAATTTCCATCGAGATCTTGCAGAGAATCAGCTGAAATGATTTGAATAGTCTTGGCCAAAAAGCGTGCGGCCAAGACATATTCAGTCTCGCGATACCCCAGCCGAGCAAAGTTTAGGACAGTTCCGAAATACTCATCCCAAGCTCTGATATGGATATGGAAGAACCTCCAGAGGTAATCGAGGAGAATCATGGCACCGTGAATGACGGAACGTCGAGCAGCAATGGGCCTAGAAAAGTATTCATCTTCATCTCCATCGAGTTCAGAGTCTGGGCTGTACGAGATTTGTGGATCATAGACTTGTGGTAGCCTTCGAGACATCGTTGCTACTGCAGTAATAAAACTCTTGCCGACGAAGCTTCGTACTCCTTGATCCGGATTTCGTTGTAACAGAATACGAAGTGCGCGGGGGTGTTGCTTAAAGTAGCTGTAGTATGAGAAAGCACAATGCCCGCAGGATCCGACTGCCTCGAGGATCGATTTGGAGTACGTCGGAAGATCGGGAATGTCCTTCGTTCTTGTGACAACTTGGTCCAGATTACCTACCAGCGTTTGCATGGCCAAGTCCTGGAGTCCGTGATCAAGCTGAGATTTGGCTACGAAATCTTCGATACTCTGATGAGTGTCAGTTTCACCAACAGTCTCACAGTAATGTTGTGACTGATGGAACAAGCACTGGGCTAGTCTAATGTTGCTCTGATCATAGATACAGTGACGACGAAGAGTCTGAGTGTTCAGGTCCATGATATGATCATCGAGTTCCTCAGGTACTTGAACACGAAGAGGTGCCGAAACACCAAGATTCATCATCTTGTCCTGCTCAGCATGCAGAGAGGATGCCCGCTGATAGAACAGCATATAGGCGCTGTAATTCTTGTCACACATCATGCCGTTGTTATCATAAAGAGAACGAGGGTCAGTGCCACCAAATGTCGAGTATTCCATGTGCGCAGGGTCCCAATGCGTGACCATATCGTCATTGAACTCAACCCAAGTAGGCCGATTGGCCGAGGAGGGGCGCTCGCGAATGTAAGAGTAGTAATGGCCGGATTCAGCGGTACCTGAGTGAACGAGTACACCGACCAGTTCAAAGATGTCCTCCTCAACATCGCTTTCTGGATTGCTGAGATGTTCGATTGTATACGGCCGCATGTCGACTTGTCCAGGGAACGAGAAGTAATCATTGATCTTGCTTCGTTGCAAGGTTCGCAGGTTGAAGTCAAACCTTTTCAAATGGAATATGAGATTGTCCGGAACGTCTTTGAGACAGGCCCTGCGAAGTATTAGTTACTGGCAGTGGCAAAGATGGAGGATCTTTACCTCTTTACCGCGTCAACATGGCGGTCACACATTGAACACTTGTATTTGTTGTCTTATCCCACAGTTAGAATTTCCAGATACTTCGGTAACATATCGATTTGACATACCTCCTTCCATGATCTCGCCGCCCACATATGCCTGCAGGCTTTCTGTCAAAGTGCTTTTGCCTTTTATATCGCACTGAATGGCGGAGAAGGGTTCGAGTCGTTCCGAAATATGCTCGCATTCTTTCGATTTTACCTGCTGTACAAGCTGGCCACCGTAGAACGACTTCATCATCTTCTTTTCATCATTGCCAAGAAGTTGACTCTCCCAACGGTCAAAGAGCAGATTGTAAAACTCATCAACATCCATTTGATTGTGAATATCGATTAGGGTGTCATCGTATGTCTTGATGGAATTGACAAATGTGGACGGGTCGATAGAGCGAAGATAGCTGCCTTGCATGTGGCCAAACAGTTTCTGGGTGTAGAAAAGTAGCTGCTGGCTGTCCGCAGCATCGGTAATTTGACAGTTCAGTACAAAGCGTCGAAAGCCAGTATTCATGTAGAGTTGTGTCATTAGTGAATTGAGATAGCATGTGTTAGATAGATTTTGAAGCCCCACGTAACCACATGGAGCGCGAAGTGCTCCGAGTCGGTCGAAGTGGTACGAGAGGTCATAGAGGTATGGCTCATCTAACTTCGTTAGCAGCAATCTCAACTTTGGTGCAACGCAACACATACCTTCTTCGTCCTCATCATAAAATGGCACTTGTTGATGAAGTCCGTACACAACCTCCTTCATCTTATTCTGGTCATGCTTCACAAGAAATAATATGACCTCGCAAAGCTTTGCACGAGTCTCTTCGTGAAGAATAACCCTCGGTACAGGCTGCCCACTGCTTTGTCCCTTAGAAGGGTATAGCTGTTTCGAGAATAGGAGCATTGCAAGGTTTCTAAAATCAATCAGAAAATATTTGGCCTCATCATATCATAGGGTCCTTACTCAGGAAGTGTTTCAGACCGGGCAGCGGATTCGTCCAATTGCAGGCATAAGTGCAAAAGGGACGATACACCCCTGGCAAACATATCTTCCACACCCGGTGATTCGATAGTCTAGTGGTTTGAATGCTTAGTTTATCCTGTCTAGTTATCCTTGACGGGCATTATGACTCACCTCGGTTGTCGTATGCCCCAGAAGAAGATTGCTGGTGCACGCTGCGAATGTTGCGATGTCAAACAAATCAGGCGCTCGTATCTTGATTCTCGCTAGCAGGAAATGAGCCAGCGAGAAGAGTTCGCCACATTGGCTGGGAAAGCTAGCTGTCTGTGCAACTAAGTCGCTAACAATCGTCCAAAAGTACTTTGTCAATTCGATGTCTCGGGTTCCAGTTGAAGTCTCACAACTGGGTTCGCTAGTAGCAGGTACGTGATCCACGACAGTGAAGAGTTCTTCGACCAGTTTGGCAGAAAGTGATCTGATCGCTTGGCGAGGATCTGTGAGAATAAGACGCCGTAGGATGTGGGCGAAATTGGAGCTTGTGCTAAGTTTTGTCCAAAATCCGTCGTCGAGCATGCTGAGTCGAAGGCAAATGACAAGCGTTCCTGCAACAGCAGGAGAAGGCACTTCACCAGGACATCCTACAGCATACGACAAAATATCTACTAGCCGAGCCGGCTCGGGCATGGCGAGATCCTTGGAAGTAGCCGATCCTCTCGGGTTATCAATCCCTATAGTAATTGACGTTAGATTCAGTAAGTTTATCCAGTCTCGCGCACATACTGTCAAGAAACCGCCGAAAGGCGTGCAACAGGCCACATGTAAGTTTGAGACGCAGGAGCATAGAAGCCCCGTCAAAAACATTCTCGTCCGAGATAGCTTGTACGACAAATGATATGGCTGTATTGAGAGCTTTGGAGTACTGAACAAACTCGGACTCCGAGCTACTAGGTAAGACGTTCGAGTCATCGCCATCAGGTAACGGGGGTTCTGTGTACTCAACCAAAGCGTGTACTGCATAAAGGGATTTGAAAGGCTGTCCACGGGGGAAGATGTCGTTGTACGAAGCAGACTCGTTATCGATCAGTTTCAAAATATGTCCGTCTGTGGGTAATTTGATTAGGAAGTAGTAGATCTAAAAAGGGTCAGTGAAGATCTCGTATGCTATACATCAAATACCCACTTCTTGTGCAAGTGTTTCCTCCATGCTCAAATACTCCCACATCTCATCGAAGTGGGTGGAAATCTCTATCTCTAGTGGGGAGGCACCCGGTCTGACCCTGTTAGAGAGAGCCGGGCCAGACTCTTCACGTCTGACTAGTATTAGGCCATCATGGACACGTAAATCGTCAAGTGATTTGCAGATATCATGCTCATTTGGTAAGAATGGCCGACCTCGGTAGTAGACACGGTAGTTTTCAAAACCAGTCTCTTTACGGAGGCTAGCAAGCAGCGAAGCCGCTGTGTTTCCTTTGCCCATCACAAGCGGCCTGATGTCTGTTTGCTGATCACCGTCAAAAGACTGATACTTAAGTCCCGCAGGATCCCCTCGAATTTCGTAGGATGTCTGCGATATCAGTGTTCTTAAGTCAGGCGCAGACAAGTGTGGCTTCGACTGATGCGCTTCAAGAATGTATCGCAGAAACTTCAGTGAGCGCACGAATACCATCTCTTGTTGCTGCAGTTGCTGGGACGCAACAGCGCTTGAAGTCGACTTATCGTCTCCACTTGTGGCATTTTGACCGAACGTCTTGAGCATTTTCGCGGCATCTTTCAGCTGCTGTAGGCACCGGTCAACTAGCCGCAAATGGATTGACCGTGTGCGTTGAACAGCGTTGAATGTAATAAATCGATTTTCGATATAGACCTCGATTGCGAGAGTTCGGATGGACCTTTCTGCTAGACTCTCATCTTCAGCCTCGAGAACTAGGCGCCACAGCTGTTCAATGCCACTTTGAGAAACTGCTTCTTTATCATCGAGAGCAAGATCCGCCCTTTCATTGAGACGCGGAAGAATCTCGACCCGAAGGAACTCCAGCATACCTTCACAGAAGTAACGAGAAGGAAGATTCGGAAGGTATTGGGATAAACAAGCTTGGAGAAAAGGGTTATTGAAATGGGTTCGCCGAATGAAACTATTCAACATGTCCCAGCCCACCTTCCTATCATCGAAGGAAAGAGAAAGTGGCCCAACCAACATATCCCATAGCTTGAGGCCCAGGTCATGGGTGAGCGTTTCTGGCTCCAGTTGAATGATGTTACTGATTAAGTCTCTTCGAGGCTGATTGATAGGGCATGAAAGAACCATTTGGTTCTCGGCCACTCGCCTAGCTTCAATGGCATGTTCTAATTCTTCCACGAGAAGTCTTGCCAAGTCGTGATTTTGCACTAAACCGTTGAATTCAGTAGGCACATCTCTCGACCGGATTGCCATGGACAGACACAAAAGGCTACCCAGTGTTGTATCTGACTTGTTCGCAATATCTTTAAGGCAACCCAAGTACAGTTGTTGAAGCCCTTCCGGGTCTGGTCCGCACCTCAAGAGCTCCCGGAATTTCTGCATTGCCATTTGCTGCATCTCGGGGTACATAACTTGCGATGCGTATGTACATGCCGACGACTCTCTTAACAAACGTAGACATATGTCGTATGGTAAGAAAGTAAGAGGTTCATCAATTGTGAACTTTTCGGCGATGAACTTCATGACGTTCTCCCAGAGTGATCGGATGGCGGGCGTAAAGGCGTCCACTGGCAGCGTTTTAAATTTCTCACAAAAAGCCAGGAGGCCATCTTGATCAAAGAGGTTACAGATGCTGACGACCATGCGTGTCAGAGCATCGGCGGTACGGGGGTCCTGTCCGGAAGTGATACCTTGCCACACCATGTTGATGTGCTCCTGTCGGCATTTCTTGGTCACTATTATAAAACCGACAATGTTGGCACCCTCCACGGTGATCTCGGGATGGCAGTTAGAACCGAGGAAATAATCGATGAACCCGGTCTGGATCAAATATTCTGCAAGGTGTTCGATGTGCTGGAGGCTGCCACCTCTCCCATGTTCAGAATGTTCTCTCCAACATGCAACCAGGTCACTGCACATTTGTGTCGCACCCTGGAATCGAAGTTGCATTTGACTTGACCGTACAAGTTTGATGAAGATATGGAACCGCTGTTCACAAGCAATTGCCTCGATGGTGTAGTCGCGGGGAGCTGTAGGGAAGGCCTCTCGATGCTCTTGAATCATGCTGATTGCAGCGGGATGATCACCATTGAGACTCGCTTGAATAATATCAGATAAAGCTTGAACGGTCCTAAGAACATTATCAGGGACTAGCTGCGTAGGTTTCTTTTCGATCATGCTGTCCAGTGTGCCATAAGCGAGCTCATACAGAGCATGGCTAGTCTTGAGCCTGTCCCTGGCCGTTGCAGCGGTTTCAGGATCGCGTAAGTTGGATATATCAGCCACAATGTCTGACATCAGTTGACATACCGGCGCTAAATCATTAGTCAACTGGGGAATTGTGTGAGTAAGATCAACCAAGCCCCTTGCGAGCTGCAAGAAGTGACCGAGGGTTCCACCAGGGCTGTCCAGGTACACTCTGATAAAGTACGATGAAATGAACTCAGGGTAACTAGTTCGATCGCCGCTAGACAGAAGTGGATGAGTTATCATATGAAGATGAGTGAGATAGAATGGGGAGAACAGATCAAGAGAGCGTTGATTCTGTGTTGATTGGTCCATCATGTATTCCCTCATGGCCTGGATGTCTTGACAGACGAACCATGCTGACAATTTGGTGAACGCGGTCAGAAAGGCCTTTGTAGCATCACGCAATGACTCATCGTCATACAGAGGGGGCCTTGAAAATAGTCAGTCCTGTGTAGCGGACTCCTCGTTGGACTTACCTATGGTTAACTATCGCGGTAACAATACGGGGGAAAGCCATCCAGAAAGAAATGTTGAAGCGGCACGAGTCCGCCACAGACTGCCAGTCACTGGTCGCAACATATTCAAGATACTGCTCTAGCCAGTGATGTAACTTATAAATGACGGAACCGTCGATAGGCGAATCTACACTGTTAGCATCTTAGGCAACCCGAGAAATGTCAGGCACGACTTACGATTTGTGAGATAGCTACTGAGCCGCGTGACCATACCCTCCAGGCTTTCATTATGTTCTTTGAATGGAAAATCATGAATAGGGTCGACCAGAACTAGATCATCTTCGACTATTGAAACACCGATGCTTTGGCGATCCAAGATCATGTCCTCGTCTGACTGTTCAGTGATAACCTCGATAGGTGGACTTGGTGAATGTAGCGAGCTCGATCGTGGGGTATCTGGGCCTTGAGAGGGAGCAGGGCCCATCTCGACCTCGTATTCTTCAACACTTTCTTTGACTTGGTCGTCGATGGTATCGGCTGCATTCTCAGTCGCAGCTGGCTGAGCTACTGGCGAGGGGGAAGGCGGCGACAAAGATGAGTCGTTCTGAGTCGCATTCCTCAGATTGAGGGTAACCATACTTGACGGTGGTTCTGCTGATGGACCATACATGGGAGAGCCTGACCCGGGGGTCTTATGCGCGACAGTGTCCGGCGGGGAGCCTGTAGCCGAGTCACGTCGGAGCAAGACAGGATCGGTGTCAAGAGTGGTGGAACTGGAAGAGTCGAGAATAGGATTCACTGTATCAAGAGAATTGGCTGGAGACCCGGAGAGCGAGGTACGTCGACGCTTGCGAGATGTGATATCACCTTCATCAAAGGGATTCGGCCGGGTCGAGCTAACTTCAGCGGAGGCAGCACGATCTGGGAAGTCGGGAGATCTCGAGGCTGGATCCATCGAAGTCGTAAGGACAAGAGGTTGTCGGGGACAAAGCGTGAAGGTGCAGAGACGTCACACCGTTGCGAAAGACGCCCCGGCGATAGCTGCACAAAATTAACATGTGGGTTTGATAGAGATGTGAGATGTGGCGGGGCGAAGCAGCAAGATCCCCAAGCTCAAAAAGTGAGGTTCGTAAAGGGAATCAGAGCCAAAGCGAAAGTGCGGGGAGACTGGGGAATGGAAACCAAGAAGGATGTGAATAAGAGACTCCGATTCTCAAGACGAGATGATAAATTCCCAGAAGAATGTTTACTTTTTGAGACTCAGAGGTGGGATGCGGATGAGAAAGTAAGTGGATGAACGGGTGTGGACGTTTTGTGATGGATCTGAGGATAAGGTACGGACAGTAGTGGCAGTCTATGCCAGGATATGGGGAGCATGGATGGGCAAAGCGCGGGCGCGGTCGCGACTTGCTAGTGTGGATACCCCGCGGAAGGAGCACTGGGGGTGCAGATAGAGAGCATAGAGAGCACCTCGATCTGGGTGGGTAGGTTGTTGAGAAGGGGAAGCGCGATGGAGATCAAACAATTAAGAGCTGAAATGATTTGTACTTGCCTTGCCGAGAGTGACACGCAATGGGTATGACTGAACTGATGCAGATCTTTGCGAAGGGAGGATGCTGATATTGTTCCTATAAGACGATGTGGAAGTCAAAGAGACGGGCAAGAGTGGCTGTGGTTGTGGTTGCCAAGAGGATGAAACTGGATAGAATCGAAACTTTCGGGAGATTTGCAGAGGTAGGCAGGTACTCGCTGTGAAAGTTAAGTGCTTGCCAATGGAGCAAATATCTAACTCAATCAATGGACGGCTGCCTTATAGTGACAACCCGACCCATTACCTCACTTCAATCTTTTTAGTGGAGAGCTCACCTCAAAAGCTGAGGTGCCTTTGCCTGGGTGTCATGTCAACTGAGAGCGGGGTAAGGGGTGAAAATAGTGCCGGGATTACGATTACATCAAATACCCTGTGTGAGGCAAGTAAAACAGATTTGTTATATCCCATTTCATTACCTACGAGTTGGGCAATACCAAAGAGCACCATCAATATGTATCAAGATAAAAGAAATGTGGATATCTTCGTGATGCTGAAGGTTAATCAAATAACAAAATTTAGCTACCTAATAATGCAGCTGATAATGTTTGTACGTTGCAGCTGTCATGACAGCGATCGCAGCTATGGTGGGGCTTGCGTACCTACCTAAACAAACTCCAGCCATCCAATATGATGGAGACAACTAACCCAAACCTGAGACCGTTTCCATCGTTGTAGACTCACGGTTTTCTTCTTCTTTATATCTGACAAGCATCTAGCACTTGGCGAACCTCTACTTTCATTTATTCTTTGATACTGTACCTAGTCTGAACAACAATTCATGACGCAAACAGTGTGGACTGTGACGCACTTCATCGGTTTGCCTTAGGCTCAGCCGGGCGTAAAGTGCACTTTTGCCGTGTCCAGTTGAGAAGGTGCCTAATAATTTAGTGCGCCGTTTCAACACCTAAGGTAGAGAGATCATGTCAAAGTAACCGCAAGTTCTATTTACCTACCTGAAAGCACGGTCATCTATGGGCATTAAGCTCGTGATGCTCTACAAGGCTCAACTTAAAACCGTGCGGTATCTTACAACCGACCTATCACAATATGTACCTGAAACCGGGATGTAAGATAACTTATCTTTTCGAGCATGTGGAGTGAAGACAAGATCCATTGGATCAGTTTTCGGTGACACTATTAGCATTTTCTGTGAGGCTTCATCCAGCAAATGAACGCAACACAAATAACAATATTAGGCTGTGGTGAACTAATTCATTACGCGTACAAAATCTACCACCATACATAGTAGGTACTAAGGTAGGTATGTTTTGGTGATCATCGCTCTCTTGGAACGTCCTGAGCAATTGAGAGTTTGTACTCCGTACCTGCTTGTGACATATACCTAATTCGGCGCTAACTAGCAACTCCCCGTCAAAAATCTGGACCCACAATCCACAATCCTTGCACATTTGTGAATACCTACCTAGTTGCGGAGGACTTTTTCCAGCCTCATGTCGTTCCTTTATGCACCCCGAATTGACCTAACCACACCTGCCTGCTCAAAACGCAGCCTTTGATTGATAACATACCTACACCCAAATCTACCTTAGTTTCTTCTACATCATCCTCCCAAAAAAGAATTCTTCTGCGTCACCAGGCATTACGATGTCTACCTCAAATGCTCAAGCTGCTCGCAGGAAGGTTGTACACCAACTCGACACTCCTTTTTCCACAGTCTCATGGTATGGTCGTCTTTCTGGAATCTTGAGTTGATGAATTCTAATGAACTCAGGCCTTCTATCTCCACAGAAGACCAAGATACCATCCTCGAATTGCTATGCGAGTAAGTTAATCCCATCGAGTACTGCTCACAGAGTTTCTGCCAGAGAACGTGACCGGGTATTTTCAAGCTTGATCTTACTGACTGTTGCAGTTTGTTGAGCCCTATTGGGCAGCATCGTCAAATGTATGCTAAATGCTCCAAGGGTAAGCGCGCAGCACAAAAGGAGAAAGATGCAAAAAGGACAGGAGATGGCTCAGAGCCGTCTCCTGTGCCTCCAACGCCAGAGATAGAAGCCAATATTGATATCGGGCTTAATTCTATCACTCGAAATCTCCAGTCATATTCGCGAAAGGTTACCGAAGCGACTGAGGACGAATCTCAGCGGCAGTATTCTATGGTTTTTGTTACACGCGGCAACCAAGCATCAACATTTAACTGCCATTTCCCGCAAATGATTGGAGCTGCATCTGAGCAGCTGTCTATAACTGAGAAGATTCGTCTGGTAGGCTTCTCAAAACCATGCTCCGAACGTCTGAGCACTTGCCTGGGAGTTCCGAGAGTGTCCTCTATAGCTATTCTGAAGGATGCCCCGGGAGCCGGAGCCCTGCAGGAGTTTGTTATGAAGGCTGTAGCCCCAGTAGAGGCATCATGGCTAAATGCGTCTGTGGATACAAAATACCTTGGCCCAAAGATCAACGCTATCCAGACAACCGTGGGGCCTAAGCGCGTGCGGGTTGAGTAGGAATAAGTAAGGCGAGTATGCACGTATCCTATATATCATCTGAATCAAATTATTAGCCTATCGATCGTTTGCTTCAAGTCGTTGGAAGCTGCATTGTTCACTTGCCAGGGATCCTTCCAACATCAATACCACGGATACTTGCCGATAGGTTGACACGCGAAGCAAAACGTCTATGCTTTACATACGATTCATCTGACAAAAGCCGTTTTCGTAATAGTTTATCGGCAGTGGTTCAATTGTTGTTGCAGAATTTGACATGTTAACCTGTGAGTGTCAATGTCTCGTCTTAGGTCAACTCCAGAAAGCCGAAGCACACACTGCACACACGCAAAGGTTGGGCACTGCCTTTCTGCTGGCTGACTAGACCTGTGTATGCCGGAATACTCTGAAATGATTTGATTTGATAGGATAGCGAAGCTTCTCATGGGACTATATCCACTACTGGTTATTGACTTATCTTATGCAACTTCTTGACATGGGGACAAGGCATGGCTATTTGCGGAATCCTAGGTACCTAGGTACCCAGCCTTGAACAGTACCTATTATGGAAGTTTGTTGCTTTCAGTAACGGAATTCGGTGAGCCTGCTACAAACAATTACAATGCTACAGTGGGCCTGGAGACTGATGCCTCACAAGTAGGTTCCTTCCATCCAGCTCAAACCCAGCACTGCCCGCCCCTAATAACGATAGGGCAGGGGGTTCACTCAACTATCGATCCCCCAGGCTCTTTATCGTCACCAGGCTATATACAGCTCGGTCTGCTGATGAAGCACTGAAGCCTTGTTCTATAAAGCTCCCGTCCAGTGATTCACTGGCTTCCGTTCGTCCCGTCTTTGGCTGCCGTTGGTCGACCTTCTTCCATCTTTTATCTTCTCCCCCCCTTCTACCTTCCCCACTCACTTCACGCTTCCTCCATCAACGCCAGTCAAAACAAAGCGTCCGAGTTCCTTTTCCTTCAGGCATCTTTTAACATTCTTCAACGGGGAGAGTTATTTCGATTATATTCTGTCTCTTGTCTTTACCCCCTTTGCCTTTATCTTCTCCCGAGGGCAAAATCATCCTCTTCCTCTCGCTATAGGTAAATCACTGCTACCTTCAAGCTCACGCATCGTCGATATTGTCGAATGAATGGTACCTAAACGACTATGCACATCTCTTTTAGGTCTTGTTCACTCGACTAAAAAACACAGCTCAGGCCTCTATCACTTGAGCGTATCCGCGTCCTCGTCCACGTCGCGCTGACGTTGATACCCTCAGCGCGGTGTCTAGCATCGTATGCACCCGCTCTCTATTCTCAGACACATGTTTTAGAATATGCCAAAACTCTTTATTCTCTTCAGTTTCTTTAGTTATACTAACATATTCATTGTAGTGACATTTCATTTGCATTTGCTGTTCGCCTCCAAAGGTGTCATCGTCGAGCCATACATCGCAGTCATGAGTAATTCTGGCTGGAACAATGAGGCGTGCCTGGCTGCCGCTAAAGAATTAAGACAGTCCTTCCAAAAATCCGGGGGAAAGAATGCCATGCGCAACACCGGTAGGGACAAAGGCAATCGCAGCAGTAGCAGCTCTATCCCCATGAAGCGACAAGGTAAGCACACAACAGTAATCAGCAGGGCACTATCATCGATTTGAATGAGCCATTCTGTCAAATATGAAGTCTTTCGGATTTATGAACGACCGTCAGCTAACACATCTTCAGAATCGTTCCAGCACACACCTCGCCCAGCCCCTCCTCCCCCTGGAAATCTCAACGTACCCCCTCCTAGCCGTCGCAATTATACTGAGACTCTCGTGTCTGACACTCGACAGATTCCCCGTGGACCTATTATGAAAGGAAGTTTGGATTTCTTAAACCGGACAGATTCAACCATTCAGAAGTCTTCCGATTCTGTACAAGCAAAGGGTCAGTGAATAGAAAGGACAGTGCTTCAGTCCGTTCAAGCTAAATATTCGATAGCAACTCATACTGAAGATGTAGCCAAACAAGCTAGAAGCTCTAATATGCCCTCGACACCTGCCAGTAGAAGCATTGCCACTGTTAAGGTAAACCATGAGAGCGCCGCGGAAGACCACAACATCCCTAAACCCGTTCCTGCTCCTGCTCCTACTCCCGCTACCCCGGAAGCCCCCAAGGCGGGTAGCAATGTTGACCTTCTTCGAGGCTTGACGACCCCTGAACCAATCCAATGTGCAGTTGAGGTCAACATGGGATCTAGTAATATGGCAGAAACATTCTTCTCTTTTATGTCGCAGGATTCGGACGAAGAATCGGAGGATGCGCTTGATACAGAAGCAGAAGACAAGGCTGTGAATAAGTCCAACGCGACTAAATTCTTGAGATACACCTCTGACGACTTATTGAAGCTAAGGGCCAATGCAAAGAACGATGTGCTGCCACTTGACAGCATTGTGAAGCGTATCAGCACGGTGGGAGACACCAACACGGTGGGGGACACCAACACGGTGGGAGACACCAACACACCTGCAAAAACCAAGACCATTGGAAACTCTAGTAGCATGGCAAAGCACACCGTCATGGGAAATGCCATCGCCATCGGGAAGTCGAAGCTCGCGGCTGCGATAGGCAAGGCTTCCATTCACCTTACACTCCCGCAGCAAACTAGTTCTCATCGTTCGACTAAAGTCAACCCGCAGGTCACACCGATTAAGCTGACCATCACCGAACCTGATGCAGTACAAGCTTCTACGAAAATCGATTCTCGATCTGGAGTGACTCAAAACGTTATCGGCAAACTTGAAGTTCCCCAAGTTCAGGCTAAGCCCAAACCCGAGACTGCAGTTGTCCAGAAGGTTGACGACAAGTCCTGCCACGAAGTGGTACAGAAGATTCTTGATGGAACTGAGATTCCCCAAACCCAGGCCAAACCCCAATCACATGCCACAACTGTGGTTTCCAAGCCCAAGGCCGCAGACAATCATAAGCCCAGTGATCAAGCTACCCCACAAGGAGAGACTCGAGGTAAGACCGAGACATCCAAGAAATTAGATAGCCCAAAACTTCGCCCACAAGCACCCGGTTTTGTACCGGCGGCTCCTGCTGCTTCACTCTCGTCTTCAGAGATGATGCTCGAGTCTGCTCAAGGTGCTGGTTCGCTGGTTGCAAGTCCCTTAGCGGATTACCAGACAGCAACTCCAAATGTTATGCCAGAAAGTTTGGTTCATTCTGCTCCATCTTCTGGGCAGATTATTGCAGTTACACCGATCCAGTTTGCTGACGGACATGTTGTTCCAGGGCCATCAAGCGGCCTCTATATCATCCACCCAGCACCTTCCCTGGACCAGATGCCAACCCCTAGGATGCAGATGTCAACCTCTGGGATGCAAATGTCCACCCCCGGGATGCAGATGCATCTGGGGACATTTTCTGCCGACTTATCCATCCGGGAGATAGAGAGCAGTAACGCGGCAGCTCATACTGTAAGGCAGAGAAAGCCGACCAAGGGGTTGACTGCGTCTATGTGGGCTAATTCGTCCAACCGCTGAGACGGAGAGCCACCGCCTTGAGCAGAATGCATAACACCATAAAAGATTCACAGCGGAAGATTTGAGGTACATTAGAGAAGCATTGTATTTATCAGAAGATACTAAAGGGAAAGGGACCAAAAGGAAGGCCTCACAAAATCCGGGTTTTCGATGCTAAAAGGGAACGGAAACTTGGGCATCGGCTGATATGCGAATGCCCTCAACTTGTATGTAGAAGTGTATAAGAAAGAAGACTAATGTCTCGCGATGCTTATAAAGCCACCTAGAATCGGACATTCACGTGGGAACTCAATGGCATTCTAAATCGTGTACAAATGTTTGTCTGCATTCAAAAATTCATTCGCGTAGCGCTGGTATATTTTCTAGTCATGCATTCTACTCCGACAAGCCCTTGTCTAGTATCTTGACACCCTCTCTGACCTTGGGTGAGTAGTGCTTCCTCAACAATTCGCCTTCCCATACCGTTGCGGTATAGGGGTTGCTACCTTCAACGCTATCGCTCAAGGGGTTGTATCGACCATCACCCTTGCGCTCCTCTGTGTTCCACAGACTACGGACCTTCTTGGCGTGTGTGTGCGCCACGTCACTGAGCAACACCAGAACAGCCTGACACGATTTGTCAGGGAGTTGCAGCGCTGCTGTCATCAGCTGCTTGGAAAAGGCGGCGAGGCGCATGGGTGGCACAGAGCGCATATTCCAAGGAGGAAGGAGAATGCCCGTCAGGGCACGTAGGAGAAGAACAGTTGTTGTCTGGACATTGACCTTGGAGCTTGCATTGGTCGCGTTGACGGGGCGTGTCAGCTCGACATCGGGGTTTGTGGAGAGCGCGAGGAGGGACTTGAAAAGATGGGTCGTGAAGAAGGAAAGGTCGAGATGGAGATCGTTGCGCGAGTTGTGGGCGTCTTGGCCGGCAAGCAAGGCGTAGGCTGTGACGGTACAAAGCAGAGCCTCGCGGGTGAGGTTACGGACAGGGACATCATCATCCTCTTCCTCTTCCTCATTCTCCTCCTCGTCATCATCGCCTTTGTCAGCATCCTCTTCGCTGTGGCGGATAAGATCCTTGAGCGCTTCCAGCAGATCACCAAAGAAATCCTGGTTGATGAGATGGGCGTACTTGGCCAGACCCTCGAGGACTGCGCCCATGAGATGCGGTACTCTCAGCTTGAGAATGCGGAAGTAGATTGCAAACACCAGCTTGAGTGTCTCCGATTGCATACGGTCGAGCTCCTCGTGGCTGACGGAGGCATCTGCGTTGGCCATGTCCTTGTCGAGAGCCTTTTGCTCCTTCAGCGCCTTGCGATGACGCTTGGTCCTGAACTCGCGCTTCTTCTTCTTGAAGCCGTTATCGGTGCTCTCAACATGGTCTTGGGAGCCCTTGCCGGAGAATTCGGAGAGTAGGCGCAGGCTGAGGAAGAGGTTGATCACGCTCTCATCGACCTGGAAGTCGCGAGCCTTCATCATCTTGGATAGCAGAGCTACGGCATCGTTGGTAGGTCGTCCCTCTTCGTCATCCTTGAACAGCGTCTGCAGAGCTTCGAGGCACTTGACACCGTCCTGGCCGATCTTGCGCCGACTCAGCTTGGTGACGAGAATCTTGAGCAAATCTGTGCGGAAGTTGAAGTGCGACACTGATGTAACAAGGGTACAAGCGCATGTAGTAGCAATGTTGGCTAGACTCTGTCCACCCTTTGCCGCCTTGATCTCCATCTTGGAGCATCGAGCAAGCTCCTTGATGTAGCCCTGATATCCTGCGACGAGCGCCTGCTCGTACTGTCGCACCGTGCGCACGTCCTTGGAAAGCTTCTCCTTGGGGCCATCCTCTGTCTGAGGACGTATTCGGTATCCGGGAATGACGTCTTTGTAAACGGTCATTTGTGTCATGAGGGCGAGCATCTGAATGGCGATAATCTTGGACTGTCCGATCTTGGCGAGGTTCTTGAATGCGCCGGGATGTTCCTCTGGATTTTCGTTCATTTGCACACCAATCTTGGCCAACTCTTCCTGCGCCATCAAGATCTGCTGGGGTTCCGGGATCTCAGGTTCCCTTTCGGCCTCCTCCTCCTCCTCAGGCTCATCTTCCACTCCATCCTCATGGCCTTCTAGCCATTCTGTGTCGCTTTCAATTGAAGCCGCATCATCTTCGTCACCTTGAGCCAACTCGACCCGGCCATCTGCTGTCTTGATTGGCAGTCTGTTGCTCTCCTTTTTCTTCTTTCCTTTGCGCGGGCGCGTCTCGTAGTCTTGTTCGAGATTCCAATTTGAGGCGTTCTTGAAGAAAGATTTCTGAGCGGTTCTCGACTCGCCCTGATCTTGATCCTCATGATCCGAAGAATCATGAGCGATCTTTCTTCGTTTTGTGCCGTTTGGTGCCATTTTTGCTGAGATTTTCGTCGTAGACGGCACGAGAATAATGCGTCTCTTCAAGATTTTGTCGTCTTGTCTCTGGTCGTTTTCTGCGAAAGTTGACAGACTCTAGTGGGGCCGGCAGCAAATAAGACTATTTGATTGGATAAGTCCAGCTCTCACCGCCAAAAAGTTGGACTTTTCTGCCGGGCAGAAATGCCCCTCTACCAAATCATTTCCCAGCCGCAGTCTTTTCTACAGTGTCCAGTATTTGCCTTTATTGACTCTATCACATCCTGCAAAAAATGGGCTTCACAAAACCGCCTGTCCAGGCACTCAAGTCTGCCAACAAGCTCAAGCGAAAAGAGCTCTATGTCCAATACAAGAAGAGTCAAAACAAGGAGAAGCATGAGGCACGACACTCGCGCAGAAGAGAGGAAGCAAAGGATCCTGCGGCCAAGGCAGCCCGTCTAGCGAAGCGCAAACCTGCCACGATCGATTCTAAGCGAGTTTGGGACGACGTCGACGATGATAGTCTCGGTGTGCAGGTGGATCTCGAGCGGTTGAAGCGCCGTCGCATCGAAGAGGCCGAGGCTGCTGAGCAGGCCGCTCATGAAGCTGCCATGCGCGCCGAGGAAGAGGTGGACGATGACGACGATGTTGACAGTATGTTGGATTCAGACGAAGAGTTGGATGAGGAGCGACAAGCTGCGTTGGATGAGAAGCGGCAGCGCCGGGCGGAGCGTGACAACAGTGTTGCTCCATCCACGACAAGCACAAACCTTGACTTGACGCCTACATCACTCGCCCTCAAGTTCCCATCTCTCTTCACCGATGTTCCACCTCCGGAGCCCAAGATCCTTGTCACCACATCTATCAACTCTACTCTGCACGAGCAAGCCAATGTTCTCTGCGAGTTCTTCCCCAACAGCTCCTACGTCCCTAGGTCCGCCCATCGATACGGCCACAAGTACTCCCTCCGAGAGATCTGCAAGTACGCCTCCAACCGAGAGTACACGGCTATCATTCTCCTCAAGGAGGACTCCAAGAAACCTACTGGTCTTACTGTAGTGCATCTTCCCAGCGGCCCAACCTTTCACTTCTCAATCACCAACTGGATCGAGGGAAAGAAACTGCCCGGCCACGGGAATTCGACAATTCATTACCCAGAGCTGCTTCTTAACAATTTCAAGACTCCCCTTGGTCTGCTGACAGCCAAGCTGTTCATGACCCTGTTCCCACCCAAACCGGAGTTCCAGGGCCGACAGGTCACGACACTCCACAACCAGCGAGATTACATCTTTGTGCGGCGGCATCGTTACGTTTTCCGAGAAAAGCGACAGACGGAAAAGAGCATTGTTGGCATCGATGGACAAGAGCTTAAGGGAGTAGAAGGCATCCGTGCTGGTCTGCAAGAGCTCGGCCCGCGATTCACGCTGAAGTTGAGGAGAGTCGACAAGGGTATTGGAAGAGCCGGAAGCGAGGGTGACGATGCTACACAATGGGAGTGGAAGGCCAGGATGGAGAAGGATCGCAAGAGATTCAACCTGTAATTGTTTAGCTAATGATGACTTGGTAGTCATGGCGCCAGGCGTTCTTGAACTTGAGCTGGCAATGCTACAGAAAAATAACAAGGACGTTATTTCGAACAAATGTGTCAGTCCGCTGCTACTCTTTTCGTCTTGATAACAGGGAGAACTCGCGCATACTGAGGCCATGCGACTAGCCTCCTAGCCATGATTTGATTTTCGTCCCCGAAGTGTCTCAAGGCAACGCATGAGCAATCAGAGATACGCAAAAGCTGCTCAAGTCCATGCTGACTACAATGCTTTATTAGTAGACAGAGATCAGAAAAAAGCTTCACTTACTAATAGAGCAAAATATCCATCATCTCAAAGGAAGTGACATCACAAAACACAACAGGCCTCCAAAAGCAAGTGCCGGAAGTTTTTATCGTAGTTCGTGACCATTTGCGTCGCATATGAAGGTCAAGGCTACTACCAGCATGGGATGTTAACAAGGCTACAGGTTTTAACTCAAGGTACTTCCGACGATCAAATACCCAGTAGAAATGTAAGCCAAAGCAAGGTATGTAATTGAGGGTATGATTCGATATTGTCTCCAGGGACCAGTTCTCCTAGAACCCCCTATAAGGAAATGTCGGGAGATGAGCGGTACTTCCTGATGGGTTTGGGTAAAGGCGGGCATTCCAGTTGCGTGTTTTGTTTATCTGCGTCGATCAAACTGATGCTCAGCAAGTTTTGTTTCTCTCCTGTAGTCATTCAAGGTCTGCCGAATACGTGATACCTGAGGTAATGGAACATGTATATGGCCCGCTCGTGGACGAATCTAAATTGCGTCAGCATGGTCCGACACAGACAGTTAGGTTGTGAAAATGCAATGCCTTGTTGGTAACCAAAACGGTTAATGGTGCTTAAGAAGCTACCTACCTATTTTTGGGTCTGTAGGAGTGACAGATGGAGATGAAGGCTCTGGGATGATAATAGTCGTGGTGGTTTATACTTAGAAAACAGGTGCGTCTGTACTCTTGTACACGCAATTGAGAGCTGAGATAAGACTGCCGTTGGCAAAGACCTATGTAACTTCTAACAGCTGCCAATTTAATGTAGGTATCCGTCAACAAACTATCAGCCAGGGGCGTTCATGGAGGAAGCTTCCGCTCTTCAATCGTTTGTATGTTTGAGCAAATGGAAGGGACAGGTATCACGCGAGGTACCTAGGAACTAAGGTAATCATAGTAGCCCCTTAGGTAGTCAATAAGAAAAACAACAGAATTGTGTTTTATCTTACGTTTATGGGTCAAGGTCAAAGACCAACTAGATGATCACTCGAAGTAGTAGTACTAGTACTAGTAGTATTGTCGTTGATGAACTTCTTAGCTCAAGCCCTATCTCACTCTTGTTGTCGAAAGAGCGCTTGTAGTTGAATCTCTTGGTTTAACAGATCCTAATCACATACTACCTATGGAAGACAAGATCCTGTCACAATCACAGTGGTGCCACGCTATATGTATTAGCATGCTCGGCAGGATTATTCGTGAGGTTATGGCTTAACAGTTAACGTCACGGCCTGGTTGTCTAAGAGTACCTACCTCACAATAACTCTTGGCCTTGATGGAAGTCCCTACTTATCGAATATAGCATGGCATCACATTACAACTCATATGAGTTTCGCTAATTAGTAGAATAATTTGTTTTTATGGCCTTTTCAGGACATTACATCCGCGATTTCATCGGCGATTTGATGGTAAGAACCAATACCCACTGACGTGGTTCGTTCAATTCTGCGTCTATCACTGTTGGGTAGAAATGAGGTGAATTCTATATTCTATACATAATTGTCTGAGGATGTTAATTTTGTTAATTTTATTGTGATACTAGCGAGATCTCCATGTTGTCACCATCTGCCAGCTCAATCTGTGCACAAGTCTAATACAATACATCTGCAGCACTTTACATATAAGGTCAATATATCTCCAAAAAAATGTTATTTAAGCTAAAAAGATGTGAAATGTCTCATATTTCAACACCAAGTATTAAATTAACAACCTTAACTTTATCAACCACAACAATATCCGGATACAGGGTAACGCTACTTGTGTCATCGCCTAACTGTTTCCAAGTGATAAACTGATTAACTAAGGGAATAACTAAACTTGTTATATGTTATGATTGCCACATAGCAGTCAGGGATTTATGAACTGAGATTGGTTTATTCGGCAGGAAAAACAAGTGAAGCGAACTCGGCTAATACAAGAGGCGTGGCCATGCGTTTGCGGTTGACACCGTTGAATATGGGAATGCAAACGTTTTGTGGCTTACCATTTGAAACTTGAGCATTTCTTTGAAAAGAGTATAGGCCATGAGCACCTGTGATATAGTTCAGGGGATTATACGGATAGTGAGATCGTCTTACGTCGCCTTATATCTATATCGTCTTACACTGCAGGTACTCAGATACTGTGGCGTAACGTTCCTTTCCAGGGACGAGCGCCACATCCGAGGTGTGTGTAGTGTCGCAGTTAAGTGGCGTTACGCTTAAATTGCTACAGCCTACGGATAGGCTATCCGTATAGTGAGCGGACAGCGGACAGGCCACGCTAGAAATCACCTCAACGTCTATTCTGAGTCTTTAATGATTAGCCCCTTAAAACTTGATTCAGCTGCAGCAGCCTCATTGACGAAAATTCAACTCCAGCGTTACACAAGATATTCCATTCATACCTAATCTTAATTTCTATCTTTTATTCTGGAGGCCATTGCTCTTAATATCGAGGAGTTGACTCTTGCATATCATACCCATAATCCTATTATCCCTGTCTCCCCCATAACCCTTGCGCTGCGCGTGCTTTGCGACAATTAAAATCCCAGTTGTTGATGACGCAGCTGCCTTTGAATAACAGCAGAGACTCTGCCGTTGCAGTTGACGCTGTAATCTCACCAGATTCAAGACCGATAGTACTTCACCTTCGACTTCTCCACGACGAATATGACAGCCTCTACGGCTCCACCGAGTCTCAACGGTGACACCAATGGTAAGACACTCATCCTGACTGGCATCTCAACCGAGAACAGGCCATACAAGCGAATTGACGAGCCACAGACTAGCTAAACCTTTCGCAGTTGGATCAAATAACCACCGTCAACAATCCGATGTATGGAAACATGCTCCTGTGCTCATTGGCACCACCAAATTTGAGCCTCGTCCCGATGTTAAGAACATCATGATTACAGGCGGCGCTGGCTTCATGTGAGTGACACCTTGCCCATGCCAAGCTCCGCTCCACTGACACTGTTTGCTTCTAAAGCGCTTGCTGGCTTGTCCGCCATCTTACTCTGACATATCCACATGCCTATAACATTGTCTCATTCGACAAGCTAGACTACTGTGCCGCTCTCAACAACACGGGCATTCTCAGTGAATCGTCAAACTTTACCTTCTACCATGGCGACATCACTAATCCGGCCGAGGTGGTTGACTGTATGGAGCGGTACAAGATTGATACCGTTCTGCACTTTGCTGCCCAGTCGCATGTCGATCTAAGTTTCGGCAACTCCTATGGTTTCACACATACAAACGTCTATGGGACTCATGTTCTTCTTGAGAGTGCCAAGAAGGTCGGCATTGGGCGCTTCATTCATGTCTCGACTGATGAAGTATACGGCGAGGTCAAAGAGGACGACGATGACCTTCTGGAAAGCAGCATACTAGCTCCTACAAACCCATATGCTGCCAGCAAAGCAGCAGCTGAGATGTTGGTGCAGTCTTACCAGAAGAGTTTCAAACTACCAGCCATAATTGTTCGCAGCAATAATGTTTATGGCCCTCATCAATACCCAGAGAGTGAGTCACATAGTAAAAAACGACATGATGTACCCTGGAATTCCTAACATCCTTCAGAAATCATTCCCAAGTTTACATGTCTCCTCAACCGCCAACGTCCGTTGGTCCTGCACGGGGACGGCACGCCCACGAGGCGTTACCTATACGCTGGCGATGCAGCTGACGCCTTTGATACGATTCTTCACAAGGGTCAGATTGGTCAGATTTACAACGTCGGCTCACACGATGAGGTATCCAACCTGGAGCTCTGCGGCATGTTGCTTGATCAAATGAGAATTCCACACGATACGCCGGAGCAACTCCGCAAGTGGATCAAGTACACTAGGGACAGGCCCTTCAACGACCGACGATATGCAGTTGACGGCACCAAGCTGAAGCGACTTGGTTGGGAACAGAAAGTGTCCATCGATGAGGGCCTCAAGATCACAGTCGATTGGTTCACACAGTTCGGAGAGTCCTGGTGGGGGGATATCAGCCACGTTCTCACGCCGTTTCCCACTGTGGCCGATGGTGAGATGGTCCCAGACGATGCACGATCGATGCGTGACGAACCACACGAATCGCAAGAGATACGACAGGGCAGATTACCGGAGCAGCAAGGGAAAAAAGATGTCAATGGGTGTCGAGAAGTGAAACAGAACGGAGATGATACGACGAATGGGTTGCATCAGAGCAGCAATGGTATCTATCAAATTGCTGCCTAATGGGAGGGCATCAAGGAGGAGGAGGATGATGATCTTTTTATTCACATTTAACGAAAGACAAAAGATGGAAGACGAAAGACATAGATACCACGCATGACGGTGCTGATAGACAGACCAAGACTGGAGGATGCGGTTGATGATTTAGAAGAGTTTTGTGTATATATTTTTGGATTGTCTCTGCATACATAGTTGTGCCTTTGAAGCAAGGGCTGGATATAGAAATGAATAAATTCAATGCTTCTCCAATGATTCTCTGCCATACACTAAAGAGCGAAGCTGGACAGTTGATCCATCATGAACCAATTAACTCCCCTTGCGGCTGCAGGAACACGTCCAAAACAGATGCAACATAGGTAGCCAATTGCCGCATTTATAATCACTTTAATGACGCGTTCTCCTGCATGATGCACCACCAGCTAAACAGCCAGGCTGCCAGAGAATAGAAGATCTGCTTCTTAGTGGTTGAAGCCGAGTAAAAATCAGGGGTTAAATCTTCCCAAAGCCCCGGGGTAGTATGTATGATATGCAAAGACAACGCCGACACACATGAGCCCCCGGCGACCAATGCACCCGTGCAGGCCATGTCAGACAGTCAGAGGCCCAATGTCGCCAGCGCCAGGCCGGCGGGTCGGGGAGACAAAACCGTTCCGCGGCCCCGGGCCACTGGCCGACAGTCTAAAGAGAGGTTCCGGGAAATTCTGACAGCGCATGCTCCGTACAACAAAGAAGTTTGTGCAATTGTGATGGCCGATGGGGGATACTACGTGGTGTAAAAGAAAGAAAGAAAGAAAGAGGGCTCCTTTCTTGACGAATAGGATACCAGCGGAAACGTCTCTAGTTCAAACCGGGGAACAAGATTTGTCACTTTGACTCTTTTATCGATGCCCAACATGAAGGGAACCGACCTGCCGGAAACGGGACAAGGAAAAGGTTATCCGGACCGTGGCCCTCTTTTCCTCCTTGGTAGGGAGGGCACTGACAGTCTGACACTCGGTATTGCAAGTCAATGCTTTCGGAAGCACGGAGTAGACCTACCTGTTCCTGTTTGTGCATGATGCTATTTAACGAACTGCCGAAATGTTGATAGACGGGAAGATGTGTTAGAGTTTGCGCTATGCGGAGAAAAAGGAAGTGTTTCCCATTGGAAAAGAAACGAATCTTTGAGCGTGTCCGATTTCCAAGTACAAGTGCAGAAACGTGCCCTCTCTAACTTAATTAATAACAACCAGGTAAAGTTTAGAAGGGGACGGGCCGCTTTGCAAGTCGCGCCACTGGGTCCAAATATCAATGACCGAATATGTTGTAGAGTAGCCAAGAGGTTTGTCGAGTTTTGCAGGACTAGAGAGTTGTTTCTGGGATGTACGTAGAATAATCGAGGCCACCCTTGAGGATAGTTCAGGGGTGTTGATAGACCGTTTTTGCTCCGATGATGAGGAGCCAGGGAGTGTTCTCGATAAGGATACGATACTCCAAACATCAACACCATAGTTAAACTCTCACCAAATTCGACTCATACTGAGACCCGCACGTGCACTTGTCTGAATCAAGCTTCACCCGAACCGACCGTCTGTTATTATTCTAATTATCCCCTGTCCTTTTTCTACCGTTGCACCGCTCCACTGCTGTGGGATGATGGACCAGGTTTACCTTCCAGGATCGGGTTGTACTACGGATGCGTAGTAAAGTAGGCCCAGGTTGGGGCTGGAAATTCCATCAGGCGGTTCTGAGAGCTTCTGTGGGGTGGCACTGACTTGTTCATGCTGGTCAATGTTGAAGCCACAAAGCCATCATCTTAATGTCGTACGTTCAAAACTGGTACTCCTTGAGAGAAATATTACAGATACGGAGTATTACAGCTTAAAACAATAGACGCAAGCACGGGCTGCCACCGATGGAAAGCCCTTCAATAGTTCAAGGTCTAGACTTTGCTGGCCGTTCAACGTTGTTCCCCCATGACAAGCATCTACGGATGGATATTCGGATATTCACACGTAGGTAATTATTCTTCGGAGCAATTTCAAGCCGAGAACTGAACAGAATTACAAGAAGAGCACACTCGTGGAGATATCCGTTTGACTCGATATTGATACATATCATAAATAAATAATTTGACGGGTTATAACTTATAAACGACAAGGAACGCTTACACGGGTGACGGTACGGAAGCTGAGGAATGGATAAACCTCCACAGTTGGCCGTTTGCACCGTTTGATGGTCAATTCGCCTCGCTGATGAGAGACGGTAATGGTAAAATAGCCGTTGGGAGAAATACAACGTTTCACGGTGATGGATGCTCTGATTGGTTTGCTGAGTGAACACTCCAAGAGTACCGGTACAGAGTACTTTGCAGTGTTGTTACGGTGCTCCCGCTGCCAGATGATGTTGGGTTCGTAGTTAAGTGCGTGTGCCATGTCAGTAGATACGGGGATTATCTCTTTCGCGGCCACAAGGCATCCAAGGGGTCACGACAGGGGTAAAAAGCCAATTAAAATAACTATAACGTCCGGTACTTTTATCTATACCTAAATTAGTATATAATAAGAGTACTAATAGTTAGTATTATTATATAAAGCTATATTATATACCTTATAGCTATACCTAGTTTTTAGGCCTTATATATTTCTTAATATTAGCTATAAATACCTTACTTACCTTTTTTCTTTTTTTTGAAGGATTAAGGCTATCCCTATTAAAGCCCTTTATAAGCTAGGTAAGTAAAAGAATAATTCCTACCTTAATAGATATAATTAATATCTTTTTATATATAATTTTACTATACTTTAATATTATTAATATCTTTTTCTTTTTTTATATAATTTCTTTTCCTTATATAACCTTTAGGGATATACTTATTAAAGATAGTATTATAAATATATTCTTTTTAATTCTTTAATATTATATAAGGCTTTTAATAAGGCTATATTATCTCTTACTATAAAATAAAGCTATTTATAAATATAACTTTAAAAAAGAAAGACTATAATAATACCTATTAAGGCCTTTAATAAAAGTAATATTTATATATTATATATAAATATATTTAATTACTATTATCTATATAATTTATTTTATTATTATATTAAGTAGTAATAATAAAGATAGAGATTATCTTAAAGCTTTCCTTATTAAAGTACTTTTAAAGGTAATATTACTTTACCTTTATGCCTTTTTTAATAGGTATTTTCCTCTTTTTTAATATATATTTATAAAAAGCTTTATTATATATAATTAAAAAGAAAAGTATAATAATACTATTTATTTAAGTAATTTAAATAACCTAAGGGGATAATAAAGAAATAGATTAGTAAAGAATATATATAGAAAAGATATCTATACCTTATTATTTTTTATAAAGATAAATATTACCTTATTATATTTTAAAATAGAGTTATTAAGGGCCTTTCCGGTCTTTTTTACTTACTTTATTATAATAATAATACTATAATTAGGGTATATTATACCTATAGCCTTAATATTAAATATATAAAAACAATAGAAAAGATATAGTAATAAAAAGAGATTATTTATAAAAATATAATATATTTAAATAGGTAGCCTTTTTAATAGGTAAACTATAATACTTTATATATTACTTAAAAAAATCTTAGTCTATAACTTTCCTTTCTTACTATAAAGCTTTATTAAAGGTAGCTTAATAATAATAGCTTTATATAGTAATACTTTTATATATTAAAGTTATTATAAAAAGTAGCCCTATTATATAATAGCCTAGACTTTAAAGCCTATTAATATAGGCTTATTTTTAATAACTATTATTTTCTTTAATTTACCTATAAAAAGGATTATATATTTATTTATGATAAGATTAGTCTCTAGAAAATAGAATATAAAAGATACCTTTTATATATAGTTAGATTACTTTTTAGCCACTTAGAAAGTCTTTAAAAGGTCTTTTTTATTAATTATATTAAGCTTAATATAATTAAAAGTATAGAAATACTTTATAATTAGTTTAAACTTCTTTAAGGGTATAAACTTAATAATTAAGTAAAGAGGGTATTAATCTCTTAGGCTAGGGGATTTTTAATAGTCCTTTTTATTTTTATTTTATAAATTCCTAAGTAAATTATAATTATAAACTATATATAGGCTATTAAAGTAAAAAGGCTTTCTTACTTAAGGATATATAAATATTTAGTTAGGAAGGTATTTTAATTATTAATAATAATATTTTTAATTAAGTAAGTAACCTAATTATTAATATATTTAATTTATAATTATATAAAGAAAATAGGTAGGAAAAGCCAGAATAGTTTAAATAATTCTTAAGGTAAGGCTTTAATTTTAAAATTATAATATTATAGATAGAAAGGTTAAAAATTATAGCTATAACTCTCTTTAGGTAGAAAAATCGGCATGCCGGTAAGGTTATTAACTACCTTTAAAGGCAGTAAGTTAAAGCTACTATTATTTATAAAATTATATATCTTTTAAGAGCTTATTATTTCCTTTAAGATACTATAAAAGTAATTTATATAAAGATTTTAATAAATTTAATAATATATTTTAAACTAGTTATTTAATAGGGAACCTTTTATACCTTATAGGTACCGGCCTAGTTAGTTAGAAAAGTGGGGAAAGTGACCCCTTAGATGCCTTGTGGCCGTGAAAGAGATAGGTATACATATATCAAGATTCGATTCGAGCCAATCAAGAAGAGTATGAGCTGCATATACAGGGTACCTATGCGTGCGTTTGTAGAATTAATGTCTCGTGGATATGCCCAACTGTCTCATACAATAAGTATCAGCTCTACGGAGTACTCAAGTCAACCTCTGTACGGATACTCCATCACAAGACAATCCTCATAACCAAAACACCTTGTCAAGAAATAGTTAGCGTCTCCCGCCGTCAACTCAACCCAGAGAAAACCTGTCGTCTAACCGTAAACGTTGTCAACCGACAGGGATATCCTTGTCTTGCGGTAGCCCCTTGTTTAACTGATCCTTGGAGTCTGGGCTGTCTGTCTGTCTCTCTCCACTTGTTGTGCCCTGCTATTCGGGATAAGCTGCTGTTGTGTTGTGCTGTGCTCTGCTGTGCTCACTCTCCAACGTTTTGGCTTGGGCCATTAATCAAGTAACTTAACTGCGAGAGAGAGCCTAGCAGCCTGTCCCTGTTCCCCGGCTTCCAAGGTGCATGTGCCTTGTCTCTCTCTTGTCTCTCCCTCCTCCCCTCCTCCGTCAACCCCGTAAACTGACCATCTACAAGCCTTCAAAGCTGTCGTTCTCTTTGACAAGTCCTTTCACCCTTACCTTTACCCTTACCCACGTTTCCTGGGTCTGTGCACACGGTACCCCCCAGGCTCCTCAGTCTTGGGAATGACCCTCCACTCTCCTACACTCTCCCCTACTTAACATATTCATCCATAATTGCTTTTGTTTCGCCCATTCTCCATTCCTCGTTCATTGATCATCATTCCGCTTGCGCCTAACTACGACTTACTATTTCTATATTTGTTTTATCTCGCCCCTTTACTATTGTCTTTTAACAAAGACAACCGGCTCCAACCTTAACCTCATTCTCGGTACTCCGACCGTTCCATCCGTCATCGCGACAAGCAAACAACGAATCACCTCAAGGACTCCAAGCTCTTTTTGCCCGCGCAGCTCGTTTCAGCCTCATTCCTCGAATTCAAGCCATGTCGCTAGCCATTGCCGCCTCCAACCGATTACGATAGTCCACTTGTTGTGGTTTTTTTTTTTACTCGTTTCTTTTTCTCTAGACATCCATGGCCAAAAAGCGACGGACCAAACAACGCAAGGCAGCACGGGCAAGTCACAATCAGTCTCAGACAAGCACCATGTCCTCGGAGGACTCGTACGCTGTACAGAGCGGCCGACAATCTAGCGACGGTACACCGAGTGAGCATGCCAATAGTGACGGAAACAACACAGCCATGACCAGTATCATGGGTGCCGACGAGGAGCATCATCACCATGATGACTCCGATATAGACGAAGATGTCGACGAGGACGACATGATATCTATATATCCCGCCTCTCAATATCCCAGAGTCTCTCCCTCCCACCGTATCGAGACTCCATATTCTCCAGACTCCAATGCTTTAGACTCAGACATGTAGGTGGCATGCGACACTCCGGTTCTGATCTGGTACTAACCTCCGTACTTAGGGCTGCATCCACGCGATCATTATGGGCGCAAGACCTCGACTACAGAGAAATACACGGCCGACGCTATTGTCGCGAATACTACATGCCCAACGACGACATCGAGCAATGGAGAATGGCTATCCAACACCAAGTATTTATGCACGTTCTCGACGGCGAGCTCACTCTCGCCCCTATTCAAAATCCTACACATATTCTCGATATTGGCACAGGCACGGGAGAATGGGCAATCAAGATGGCCGAGCTGCAACCGCAATGCGAAGTTGTAGGAACCGATATTGCTGCGATAGCCGAAACAAAAAGTGTTCCCATGAACGTTTTCTTCGAAATCGAGGACGCCGAAGATTGGGACCGCCACCCCGACGTGTACGACCTAATTCACTTCCGGCTTATGGAGGGCGCATTCCGGAATTGGAGCTTCGTTTATGACAACACCTTCTTATCCCTCAAGCCTGGCGGTTGGATCGAGGTCCAAGACTTTGTCAGCGCCGAGGGCTTTATACAATTCTTATCACAGTTCTCAGACAACTCCCCCATGCACGAATTATTGCGGGACCTCGAAATTGCGTCCGAAAAGTCAGGGCGCCCACGAGGCACATACCATCTTGAGCCACGCCTACTTATGGAGGCGGGCTTTGTTGATGTACGAGTGACCGAATACTCAATTCCCATCACTGTTGCCGAGGCATCTGCGGGCAAGATTTGGCTTATATCATGTCTGGACGGCCTAGAGGCACACTGTTTGCGACTCTTGACCGAATATATGGATTGGGATCCCGAAAAATGCAAACAGGCCTGCGAAGCGGCCGCACGAGACTTGGCAAATGCAGCCAAGGACCCTGTGAAATCGAAAGGCCTCCAGATCAAGATGCGCATCATTATTGGTAGAAAGCCCGTCGATGCGCCTCCTACCGATCTTGCGGAACTCCTAAGGAGAAGTCACTCGCCAGCCACAGATCTCAACGGCAACAGCTCCGATCCTACACTCCATGCGGATGAGCAGATGACCGCCGGGACGAACTAAGACGATAATTCAAGCTTTTATTTTTCACACATGACGAGGGTACCAAGAGATAGTAATTCCTGGTCTCCAACGACTTTGTTTTCCGCGCGGAGGGGTTTGGCGCAGACATTTTTGAGACGGCGTTGAAACTGCATGATGACCGAATCTTTTTACACTTCTTTGTACATTCTTCAGCATCAGATTTAAGGGGGCACTTGTCATTTTGAAGAGAAAAATACTCATGGGTGGCGCTCTGGTTTAACAAGAATTGTTGCCCGTCTTGTAGCCCTGTTTGGAGCTTCATAGTTGGGATGCGATGAGCGATGGAAGACACAAAGAGCGAACTGCTTAGAGACAATTTGGCAAATCGCAGTGTGTATCAGTGCACTATGTGTAGAATCAACCTACAAACACACATTTATCTTGTTGGTAAATAAAAACAACGAACTCCATATCATGAATTACAGTAACTATAAGCAATGTGCAAATTGTAATTACTGTCCATGAGGTACTATCATAGCAAAATGGTGGTGATGTGGATGTAATACTTTGGCTGCCCATGGTTAACGTTAGGAGCTAAGTAGCTGCCTTATCACCCAACAGCAACTGCCTATCGTAGCGCTCATTCAAGGTCCAGGTGGGGAGCTGTACTGTACATACAGGGCCCGTCCAACCACCGACTCTCGTCACCAACACCAACACTCTCAATACCAATCCCATCAACCAGCTCCAGCGACCTCGAGCCAGCTTTGGCCATTACCACTGCCCGATTCTCGAGTACAGCTACAGTGTCTGGATTTGCCCAAGACGCAAGAGTCCTTCCCGTATTCCCCGAATACTGAATATGCACCTGTGAAACCGCGACGCCATGGCCCTGGACCTCCAAGACGGCTTCGTCGCCGCCAATGGCGCCCCAGCAGATCTCGAAGAGCCCATCTTCACTGTAGAGCGCGTTCAGCTGCAGTTTTCGGTGGCTGCCGATTTCGTTGCGGCCCAAGTTGCCAATAATGTCATCGTCCTCGCCCTTTCCAATGGACGCATCCTCCGTATTGATCTAGAACGACCTGAGGATATTGACGGTAGGACATCTAAATGATGCGTTGAGGAACCTGCTCAGTAGCTAACGGAGTACGTCTCGTAGATATCGACCTGCCCAAGAAACCATCCGAGATTGGCATGATACGGCGCATGTTCCTCGATCCTACAGCATCACATCTGATTGTTTGCACCGCCCTCGGCGAGAACTATTACCTCCATTCCCAGTCAAAACATCCCCGACCACTTGGACGCCTCCGAGGCGTTTCGATCGAGAGTGTAGCGTGGAATCCCTCGTTGCCGACAGCCTCGACACGTGAGATATTGATTGGTGCATCTGATGGCAATATCTATGAGGCCTTCATCGAGACGTCAAAGGAGTTTTACAAGAAGGAGGTTAAGCATCTAAAGAACCTGCACAAACTTCCCGATGGACCCATCACAGGATTATGGGTAGACAACCTCCAGAATAACAAGTCCGACCTTCGGAGGGTGGTAATAGCAACTCAGACGCGCTTGTTCCATTTGGTTGGGAGAATAGGGTTTGGTCATGACGGCTCAGGGTCTGTTTACACCAGGCTTTTTGAGTCGGAGCAGCCAGTTGTTCACGAATTATCACGGACAGCGTCAGGGGCGCCTTCAAGTCTCGCGGTTTCTCCTGACGCGCCCGAGTCGGGTCCATACGATGACGACGTTCCTGATCGAGCATATGCCTGGTTATCCTACCAAGGCGTGTTCCATGGCAGACTATCAAATACGCCCGCAGACAGCAACCTCGGCACCAAGGTCTTTTCAGAGTCGAAGATGCTCTCCAGGGCTCAAATTCTTACACCTGAGAACAGCGAGCGGCGAGTTACATCGACTGAGGCAATCGATGCTATCGTACTCACGCAGTGGCACATTGTTCACTTGGTTGGGGGGCGTGTGATTACAACCAACCGTCTCACGGGAAAGATGGTTTCTGAACACGATGTGATCGGCCAGGGGCAAAAGCCTCTGGGCTTCTCTGTGGACATGCAAAAGAACACATTCTGGCTATTTACATCGGACGAGATTTTTGAGATTGTGGTCCGTGACGAGGAGAGAAATATTTGGGAGATCATGACAAAGCTACAGCAGTTTGAGCCAGCTCTACAACATGCCCGGACACCACTGCAGAAGGAGATTGTTGCGGCTTCGTACGGTGATCACCTTGCCAGCAAGGGGCATTGGCTTGAGGCTGCCACAGTCTACGGTCGCAGCAATAAGCCTTTCGAGGATATTGCCTTGAGCATTATCGACAACAACCAACCAGATGCGTTGAGAAAATTCCTGCTGACAAAGTTGGCCTCGCTCAAGAAATCAGCCGTGATGCAGCGCATGATGATTGCGGGCTGGTTGATCGAGGTGTTCATGTCCAAGCTCAACTCGTTGGATGACACGATAAATACACAGGCTGAGCCAGCAGAACACCACAACTCGACCGAATCTCGTAAGCTGCTCGAATCTGTCAACAAAGAATTCAGAGACTTTGTTGACAAGTACAAGAGCGATCTCGATCGGAAAATGGTATACGATGTCATTAGCAGCCATGGCCGTGAAGGGGAGCTTCTCTACTTTGCGAATGCGGTCAACGACTACAACTACGTTCTCTCTTATTGGGTACAGAGGGAGAGATGGGTTGATGTTCTGAATGTCCTGAAGAAGCAGACAGACCCCGAAGTATTTTATCGTTACAGCAGCGTTCTCATGACATACGTCGCACCAGAGTTGGTTGAGATCTTGATGAGGCATTCCGATCTCAAACCTCGAAACCTCATTCCTGCATTCCTCCAGTACAACCGGACATTTACGGGTGGGCCAAACGCACAGAATCAGGCTGTAAGATACCTCAACTATGCGGTGTACCAACTCAATTCAAAGGACGCGGCCGTACATAACACCCTTGTGTCGATTTACGCATCCCATGCGTCAAAAGATGAGTCAGGGCTTTTATCATATCTACAAGCACAAGGTGATGAGCCTCGCTACGATCCCGATTTCGCCCTTCGACTTTGCATTCAGCACCACCGAACACTATCGTGCGTCCATATTTACACTAGCATGGGACAATACCTTCAAGCAGTTGATCTGGCTCTCTCGCATGGCGAGGTTGAGCTAGCAGCAGTTATTGCCGACCGCCCCATGTCAAACCCACAGCTGCGCAAACGTTTGTGGCTTGCGGTAGCACGGAGGGTCATCTCTCAGTCGAACGGGATTAAGACAGCTATTGAGTTCCTCAAGAGGTGTGACCTGCTCAAGATTGAGGATCTCATCCCGTTCTTCCCTGATTTCGTTGTCATTGACGACTTCAAGGAGGAGATTTGCGCCGCGCTGGAGGATTACAGCCGTAATATCGATAACCTGAAGAAAGAGATGGATGAATCGTCGCAAACTGCTACAAATATCAAGGTTGACATCGCTGCGCTCGACCATCGTTACGCAATCGTGGAGCCTGGAGAGAAGTGTTATACCTGCGGGCTGCCCCTGTTAAGTCGACAGTTCTTTGTCTTTCCCTGCCAGCACTCATTCCACTCGGACTGCCTGGGCCGCAAGGTGCTGGAGCAGGCAGGTGTCGGGAAGTCAACACGGATCAGAGAACTTCAGACACAGATACAGAAGGGTTTGGTAAGCGGCGCACAGAGAGAGACTGTGGTAGCGGAACTGGACGCTCTTGTTGCGTCTGCTTGGTAAGTCACTGTTCACTACGAGACGTCCACGGCTAACAGAGTGTAGTATTCTTTGCAGTGACCTCGCTATCAAGAGGATTGATGAGCCCTTCATTACACATAACGACAATGTTAACGAATGGGTTTTGTAATAAGAGGAAGAGGGGTTATGGGAGAGAAGGCTGTGTAGTTTGTGACTATCTCATCATAATCTTAGATCTCTGCAGATACCCCAACAGCATGTATTAAGTACAACCAGCATCAGATTTGGGTTATGATATTATGAGCCAGCATGCAATATGAAGTAGTTATGTTCTCTACTTGTCCCTTAGAACCTGCATTCGGTAGGCTCCTGTGTGGAACGGGTGAGCATCAGGATGGAGACAATAACGCCGTATAATACCAACACCTCTGCAAAGATGAGGATGAGGACCATGCCGATATAGAGACGCGGCTGCTGCGCGCTTGCACGGACTGCGTGGTGTTAGTGTTTGATGATTATGGAGCTTGCTGATGGGACTCAAGAGTGAGGCATACCTCCGGCATCTCCAACGATACCAATAGCAAAACCAGCAGCCATACCACACAACCCAACGGAGATTCCGGCACCGAGCTGTAGGAACGCTGTGTAGATAGGCATCTTCTCCCTGATGTTGTTGGACATGATGACGCTTGCAACGAGACCATAGATGGAGAGGATCTGGGCCATGATGGCACACAGTCTACATGTGTCAGCCAGTGATTTAGTGAGGCCGACTCTTGAGTCCTTACGTGTTCTGCATCAACATGTCTGGTCGCATAATACCAGACTGGAATATGGCGCCGGCGGACTTTGCAGTACCGTATGATGCGCCAAAGGTTGTGAGGACGATGGAGCATGCGCAGCCCATTGCGCCAAAGAAGGACTGAGAAGATATTGTTAGTGGTAGTGATGTGATGGGAGAGGTGGGATACGTACGGCGTACATGGGACTAGTAGGGGTATCGTGTTAGTTGAGTATGGTATAAAAAGAGAGAGGAGATGTGTTATACCAGCGGTCCATGTTTGCGAAGAGTTCAGCGTCCATTTTGACTTGACGTTGTATGTGTTGTATAAGGTTATACAGACGAGATTGGAGCGTGAGTGAGAGTTGTCATAAAAAGTATGTAGATTGTCAGCGCGAAGCAGTAAGGTAAGCAAGGACTATATAAGTTTTCATGTCAAGCTGCAGACAAGACTATCACACTGGCCAAGATTATGCAGTGTTGGCTCCTCCTCATTATTACTTTCAGCCGCTCCGAGGGTTGGCTGCCTTGGAATATACCAGGCAACTACAAGAGGGGTTTGTATATGTAGATTGTTGGTTGAGGATCTGACACGGTCTCTGTAGGCAGAAGGATAAGGGTTGTTGTGAGTGGCTGATGGCGAGGACTGTGAATATGAAGTGAGAAGCGAGATATAGAAGGTTTTGGTGAGGATGAGGAGGCCTCTCTAGTGAAGAGTTGTAGTGTTATTGAGTAGTTTTCTATTCAATGTATACTCTGAGTACAGCAGGCATAAGTGTTGTTCTCGTGATTGTCCGCTGGGATACGGAAGTTGAAGTTTTGGCATTTCTGTGCTTGTCATTTCTAGCAACAGACAACAGTTCAATGCATGTAATACCAGGGGTAGTTTGACCACTACAGACAATGGTTTACATAAACACGTCCGATTCCTTCTAGGTTCTTTCTGCTCTGAGGTCCATGGATTTTTTATTTGAACTTGTAGGTCTCTAACGTCAAGTGATATGAGATGTTGAGTCTGAGGTTAATATAGTTGAACTTGGCTACCACTTCGCCATCTGATTACCCTACATCGGCCGGAAGAAGGCGGTCACTTACAAAAGATAATGATACTTGACTATATGTTAAAAAGCATAAATATTCCCTCTCGCAAGACTAATTAGTAAGACCCATTGTTAAACAGGATTCCATCTTCTTTATCAATCAATTCGTGTACCTCCTCCGTTGATCTTCGGAAGTTCGGCATTCGTCAGCCACAGGAAGTTGTCGTCATCACCTGAATCGAGTTCCGGAGTCATGGCTATGGATTGTTCCAGATCATCGTGTTTAATGGATAATTCTTTGAGGATCACGTTCGTGGTGAGAAATTCACATAAAAATGCCATAAAAATTACTCCGTGATTAAAGCGCTGCAGGGTCTTTTACCTCCAACGTCATAAGGTGAGACGCCCAAAAGTGAACGTTTCATATTGAGCAAGATGGCTTCCACTAGTTAGAAGCAGTCTGTACACTATTAATAACCACACTACGGAGGACACAGCCCTTGGAGTAGTCTACCCCGGATCTTCCGTTCATGCAACCAAAAAAGTAGAGAAAAAAACATCTGATGGCCCCGGCCACGCGGCTCTAGTATGTAGTCCAAGGCCTAGTGTACTTCTCTGAGGAGATTTGGAGGTTTCCAACATGTTTCGGATATGCCATGTGGACTATGGGATCGTACGGTGGCCTTACTGTGTTATTAGATGAAAGGAGTATTTCATATTTTATAGAAAATTATGTTATATACTCAATGCTCGTGAATATCTGCTCTTGGAGATGTGCCATTTCGGATCTATCATTCCCTCGCTGTATCCGAGTTCTCGCTCTCCCGCTCTCCTCGGGCTTACCGTGCCGAAAGGCGGTGTTCTCAACTCTAAACTACTATCTCTGACGTTGGCGTTGACGTGGGCGTTTAGAAGGCAAAAGGTGACGCATTTCAAGGGTTTCTTCCTCCCACGCGGAAGAGCGGCAGTCTCCTCAGATCGAATCTTTATCTATGACCGAGTGACACTCGTGGCTGATGGATGCATGGGCTTGGGCTTGGGCTTGAGACAATATAAACTCTCCAGCGTCTGAGGTCTAAGACAACCAATTCCTGGAGAATCTCGGCACATCACACTACAAAGTTTCTTACCAAACCATGAAGACCAATCAGTTGCCTTCTTTACTACTGTTCTCTCTCCTTTCACTCGCAGATGCCATCAATCTCCAAAAGAGACAACATGGGCTTGAGCCGAGGGTTATGGCTGTTAGTATCCAGCGCCGCGAGGTAGCTGACCCTATTACCCATGATCGAAGGCGTCTCAGCAGAAGAGATGGTACAGTAAACGTCGGAATAGACAATGAGGTTAGTTAATTTCTTCCCTCATAGTATCCGATCAGTCATACTCATACTCACACTCTCTAGCAATCCCTCTACTTCCTTAATGCAAGTTTAGGAACACCACCACAAGACTTCCGTCTGCATCTTGATACTGGGAGCAGTGATCTTTGGCTCAATGTCGTGGGCTCAAAGCTCTGCGAGTCTCATGCCGGAATTTGCAGCGAGTCTGGTCTGTACAACCCCAACAAGTCGTCGACATATCACTTTGTGAACAGTGACTTTAACATCTCCTACGCCGATGGCTCTGGCGCCACTGGTGATTATGCCACTGATACCTTTAGCATGGGAGATGTCACGGTCAAGAACCTCCAGTTCGGGATTGGCTACGACACTTCAGACAATGATGGGGTTCTCGGTATTGGCTACAAGACCAATGAGGCTATAATTCAGTACGATGAGAAGCCGTACAACAACTTGCCGGCCAAGTTGGCTGCTGATGGAATCATCGCGTCGAATGCATTCAGCCTGTATCTGGACGACCTCGAATCTGCGACTGGAACGATCCTGTTTGGAGGAGTAGACCAGGAGCATTACATCGGCGATCTGATCACTTTGCCTATCATGCAGATTAATGGCGCGTATTCCGAGTTTTACATCGCCCTCAACAGCATCAGCGCAGACTCGCAAACCATCGTTGAAGACCTCGGCCTGGGCGTTGTGCTCGACTCAGGCTCAACTCTCTCCTATCTCCCCGCCAGCGTCACATCAGACATATACGACATCGTCGGTGCCCAGTATGAAGAGGGAGAGTCGGTGGCATACGTGCCCTGCGATCTCTCAAGCGATTCAGGCAACTTGACGTTCAAATTCAGCAACCAAGCCGAGATTACTGTCCCGCTGAGTGAGCTGGTGCTTGACTTTACCACCATCACCGGCCAGAGAATGTCTTTTGACAATGGCCAAGCCGCATGTACTTTTGGAATTGTACCCTCCACATCAGACATATCCATCCTCGGCGACACATTCTTGAGAAGTGCCTATGTTGTGTTTGATCTAGCAAACAACGAGATTTCCCTGGCGCAGAGTAACTTTGACGCCAACGGATCGCATATCGTCGAGATTGGCTCTGGCAAGAATTCTGTTCCCACAGGTACTGGATCAAACGGTACTGGATCATCGGACAACAGCGAGAATGGCGCTGGAGCACTCTCGCCACTGGGAAGTGATGGGGTCACGTCTATGCTTGCTGGGGTTGGGGCTCTTGCATTTGCCTGGCTTCTTATTTAGACATTGAAGAGTTATGATGTATTTATGGTTTATGATCAGAGCTGCATTTAGCCGGGGTTTCAATCATGGCCGGGGAGTTTGGATGGTGTTTTTGCTTGGGGAACCTGGTGTTGGGCGGTGATGAGGTGCTATGGGGTAGGATTGCTGGTGCATTGGGCTAAGATAGACATGAATTGATGACTTTCATTATTAAAACATTCTCTCTTATCTGAAAGAATGTGATTTACATGTTAATGATGTCGGATGTGAAGGTAATCTCACCTGTATTTGCCGATTCGGTTCCGTTGTGCAGATTATCCCCGTTAAGCCCGACAAGACTACGAAGTGAAATATATATGGTGATAGCCTATTCGTAACTGCGTTGATACATGTCTGAAGTGTAAATCATATACACCCTTAATCAACTATACGAAATGACGGCTTATATCGAAGTAACAGCCAGTTGGCTCTTCAAAAGCTTCAAAGGCCGAGACGCCAAAGCATTCTTCACGACTCCAGCCTTTGCTAGCCATCCTGAACCTACACTCCCAATCATTTCCCCAGACTGTGGTCCAGATGGCGCAACTCTGGAGAAGGATTACATGGCCGGAGATCAAGCAAGATTTCCAGAGCTTACTTGGGATTCTCATGAGGGCGTGAAAGAGTGGTTGCTTGTGGCTGAGGACCCTGATGCTCCGTTGCCAACACCAATTTGCCACGGGTAAGTTAGATTTTGTTAGATTTTGACTGCACAAGAAGAGCAAGGCTGATCTAGTAGAATATACTTGGGTATATTACCTGAAAAGACGAGTGTCTTCAACAATGACTTCAAACCGGTCGACAAAACCTCGACTCGGCTTGAGGGAGGCTTCTACCACGGAGCAAGTCGCAGTGGCTCGATCTACATCCCTCCAAGGCCTCTTCTGAATCACGGCATCCATCGATGTGAGTACCTCTCTCCTAAATTCAGCTTATGAGTAGTGAGCTGATCAGTATGTAAGATTGGTTTGAAATCATTGGCTTGAGTGAGCCGTTGGACGAGAAACTCGTAACGTCAAAACCAAGCAGAGATCAAGTTGCCCAGGCTATACAGGGCAAAGTGGTTGTTTGGGGAAGATGGACGGGGCAATGTGAAAGGCGATGGAAGTGAGTTAGTGAGTGAATGACAGAGTAGGATGAAGTGTCGTTGCTGATAAATATTCTATGTTATATGAACGATGCCCTCCTATGCTCAAGTCTATCGTCTATAGCGAACCTGGCCTCCTCAAATTTTCCCAAAACTCCAAATATTCAACCCAGTCTTGGTCCCCTCATGCACAGGCAATCCAGCATGCCACGTCTGCTCATACCCTCTCCCATCCGCCGCAAAATTCTCCCAATACACCGCATTCCCCGGCACAACCTTGAACACCACGCCCGTCTCACCACCCTCACCCTCGTCCTGTCCATCCTCCGCACACTCAATGAACCGACACCACGTCTTCTCCACAGGCCTCGTAATCAGGGGAAACTCGGTACCGCCCCCTTTGAGATTATCAGAGCCCTCGACCCACGCCATCAGGCTGCTCACGCGGCCCCATCCGCGCACGTTGGAGCTCCAGTCGTAGTGGTGGTTGTAGTAACCGCCGGGGCCGTAACGCTGCGTCCTCATGCGCTCGATCCAGAGCTCAGGGCGCCAGCCTTGCAGGGCGCGGGCGCGGGCCTCGATGCAGCGAACGGGGTCACTTCTGGGGATGACGGCGACGTAAGAGTCGCGGACTGAGGAGTCGCGGTGCGTGGCTTCGCCGTTGTTGGTGACTGTTGAAGGGACGAAGATTGGTTCGCTGTAAGCGTGAGTATATCATATCAGTCTATGGTGTGACCTGACTTGGCATGATGTGATGTATATTCACATACCTTATCTCCAGCAAATGGCTCCTCTCCTCTGGACTCAAGAACCCCTCAAGATAGACAATCAGAGGCTCTCTGCTCACGATTCTAGCTATGTATCCATCTTGCACACATTCAGGTGCTGTCGCATTCGGCGCATCAATAGCTAGCAGCGACTCATTGAACTGTGGACGTGGTGAGAGCTCGTTAATGCGGGTGGCACGGTCTGGGTAAAGGAAGTCGCTGATGGGATTTGAAAAGACGAGAAAAGCGGCTACGAGGCCGATGATGTACTGAAACATGGTTAATCGTCACTCATTGGTATTCAATCAGTATATTTGTATTTTTAGAGATTGGTGAGTGGTGAGTTGAAAGGGCACACGGGAAGTCATGATGAGTGGAGATGTAGCTTTTCGTCAATTCTGTTACAGGGGGCTCAAGCTCGGATAAGACGGGGCATTAACTACCTATAACAAAGGAACTCGACTCAGCAATTATAGTAGATCACAATAATTGACTCGTGTAATAAATATCTATAAGCCTTTTTATTTTATTTTAAAAAGGCTCTTTTCGAATTGCCTATCGCATCTAATTTGCCCCCAGTAATAGTACAAGAGTTGTGTGTCATATGGCGTGGCCTATAAACCAGCTCATGGGTATACATTGTATAATATCTCACTCAAAGACATGTTAAAAAAGACCCAGTCCAAAAACTCCAGTCATGACCTAATAGTACAAAGATTCAGCAAGATCTTGTAATCAATTCCCAGCCGGAAGACATGCCATATCCCAGTTCAACTCGCCCACGTTCAATATCCCCCACGGATCAGACTCATCAGGCATTTCATTCGAGGCCATCTGTGTAAAAAGCGCATCTTCAGTGGATTTCCATACCGGCGTGGATATTCGTTCCTGGAAGGCTCTCAGGTCAATTCGATTCTCTTCTGCACTGTTACCAAGGCCGATGTCGGGCGAGGTATGGCTGCTTCCTGAGGTTGTTCTCGTGTAAGAACCAGGATTCGAGCCATGATTAACGGGGGAAGATGCGGTCGAAGAATTTGTGCGGTCTGGGAGCGATATGATACCGGAAGCCATGCGAGGCGAGAAAGACGCTGGCCACATTCCGTTTCCCTTGAAGTTGAGATTCATGTTCAGGCTGAGAGGACCGCTGGTTCGTAGTTTGGGCATCATGTCGGGCCCGGGGCTTTCGTTCGTCCTCTTTCGTTTGTTCGTTATTGAGTCCGGCCCATCCGCAGGCAAAATGTTACGATGAACGGAGCCAAGCAACGCCTGGAAGCAAGGTTTCCCTATGTTTACACCTATTCCTATGACCCGGGATACCGTTTCCAGCCGCGTTTGTGCGGCATCTAGCTCCCTCTCGGCTGGGGATACGATCGGTGATGCCCCTGTGTGTTGCGAGACTGAGCTGCGGGCTACCATAGGTATGTGTGACTTTGCCGGTCCGAAAGCGTCGCGGTACCTCCTTAGTGAGGGCATCTGAATGACAGAGCCGAGCCCGTTCTTTTCAATGTCGAGACAACACTGATGCAAGAAATTTCGGGTGATGACGTGGACGCGTGCGATGGCCTCCATGGATTGGAGGACGAGTTGCAAGTTTGATAAGTCAACTGTGCTTAGGCCCGTCGCTGGGTTTTCCTTGCCCATGTATATGTAGACTGTCGTCGTGCAGTACAACGCTAGAGCGGACAACGGGCTCTTCTATTTATTGGTTAGCCGCATTTATGATACTGGTAAGTAACAGTGCACACTTACAAAGAACATGGTCACATTCGAGGTGAGTCGCATGGTGTTGACAACCTCCTCAGCAGCTGCTCGAAGGCGTGCTACACTGCTCTGCTTGACTTGGGCTGGAAGGTTATACCTGTCGGCCTTCTCAATGGCGGCGTGGTGCAAACAGATGACGGCTGCGTGTAGGTTGAGATTCAGATGCAGTGCCGATACATCGCGTATATTCTCAGGGAGACGAAACTTTTCAGGAAGAAACATGAAAAGACTGGACAACGTGTTGTCCAAATCGCGGTGTCGAGTCCAGAAAGATCCATGCATTACATCTTCGCATCGACTGTCGGGCTTGGAACGGTTAACATGGCGCAGGATCATTTTGTTGATCTGGCATGTGACGATGGTTCCTGCAAAGCCTGCATACTGAGCACCTTGGATTGCATCGTCCAGGAAAGGAGCTTCCTCTTTGCGATCTTCGTTAAACGCCTCCTCGGAGGCAGGGAGTCTTGTAGCAATCTAGACGCTTGTCAGCACATGTTAAAGGGGGGGGCAAAGCGGGTCATGTACATCTTCACAGTCGATCAAGCTTGGCCATCCCGTGGAGATGGAGCAATGAGCATCCGCAGCAAACACTCCCCAGAAGATCCTCCTCCTTTCTTCCAGCTCGGCCCAGGTAAGAGCAGGTCCCAGTGCTGGAGGCATGCCAAGAGGGTCTCCGTCCAGACGGTCGAGTCCTATCATATGACAGAGACGAACGCAGTTGGCTACGCTTATGGTTGATCTGGTGAACAGCAACATTCTTGCTTCGTAAAAGGCGATGAGGCACCAGGTCTGCGCATGCTGGACGGATACGAAAGCATCGCCATGCCCCTTCATCATGTCTACTTCAACGTACTGTCGAGATCGACGATAGAAGATCTCGTGGTATTGGTCGTATTTGGCGTTGCCTGCAGCCGCCAGAGCCCATATGGCATATCGTAAACACATGGGGGGTTTTCTGGAGACGGGGCCATAGAAAGATTGCATGTACCTCTCTGGATGAACGATAGGTATCATTCGATATTGGTGGGCGAAGAAGATGGAGTTGCTGCGAATGTCAGTCAGTGTACGTGTTGTAAGAACTGAGTATGGGTTCTCACAGTTCCTCCATGACATCGTCCGGCGGCAAAGGCTCAGAGAAGCCCATGCTTATCAACTGTGTATTAAAGGGTATATCACAATTATTTGACTGCTGTGTAAAGTCTGGTGAGGTGAAGGAGGAAAAGTTGGCATCTGATGCGTTGTTGATTGCCTGAGGGAAGGTTGATGAGAAGTCAACATCGAAGAAGTTGGCCTCGGGCTGAGTTTGGTGAATAGGACTGTCGTCATCTGTCTTTCCCTCTGATGAATTCTTATTAACCTCTTTGAGGTAATCCTCGACTTGGGCTGAGATATATAGTCAGCAACCTGTGTCTTGTCTATCAAGTAAGCACGGCAAGGAAGGATAATAAGTACCGAGACGAGCCTCAAGCTCTTTAACGTTTCTTCTTTTAAAGGTTGGCTTCCTCCTTGACTCTGGATATACACACTCATTTGAAACCTTTACACAGCGAGTGCAGGCCGGCCTTGTGCGGTCACACTTCAACTTGCGAGCTCTGCAGGAAACGCAGGCCAAAGGCTCCGTCTTTGCAGAGTCCGTAGGGCCGGATGGAGCGGACTCGGTCGTGTCCGGGGGCATGTTGATAAGCGAAAACAGTCATCCAATATACGATACGATAAATAGTGTGTTATCCTCCTCCTCCTCCTTCTTCCCCCAAAAAGGTATCAACTCAAGGGCGTGCTGTGAGGTGCAACGCGTGGTGGATTCAGGGCCTTGTCAGGCTGCTGTGGAACGATGCAGCGACAACTCATAGGGCGACGTAAGAAACAGCACGATTATCGAATCAATTTTTTCGTTATACCGAAGAATAGCGAAGTGCGTAAGAAAAAAAGAGAATATCTCCAACAAAGGGAATTTCACGATGGAGAAGCACTTCGCAGGCATATACGGAGAGAGAGAGTTACACGTAGTCGGGCAATCGACGTCGGATATCTAAACTGTCCGAAGGCCGAGGGGCTTACAATAGCCAGACGTCTACGGATACGGATTGATGAGTCAGGAACATTAGAATGTAAATTCGCGCGAAGAGCGAAGACGCGAGTAAGACATGGATGGAATCTTTTCTCAGATGAAAGAAATATCAGCAAAATAGAAAAGAGATTCCAAAATCAACGAGTTTCTAACTACTGCTGTTGGGACTCGAGAGTAGGGGGGAGAGACTATGGAGTAAAAGATGCATAATTAATAACCTTGTTCAGTAATAGAGTATAGAGGCCTTGTCGCCTATTGACACCTAGACACCCAGGCACCTAGGCACCTAGGCATTAGACGGACCGCTCGGCTCTTCTATCCTACAAAGGCTGCCCCGTATTTAATTTTCAATCGAGAAGCTCTATCCGCCTCGCTGTGGCGCAGGGTTGGGACAATCAGCCACACCTCCAATTCTCAATGCTTGTCATCCTTGTCTCATGCAAGGCAGGAGTAAGGCGCAAACGCATACCACTACAGTACGTATCTCCTGCCATCTCAATCTCAACTGTCTCGCATGTCGACCTCTCGGCTCTTTCCCGTAGCCAAAAAGTCAAAAAGTTTCCTCAAGGGCTTTAGGCTATCCACTACTAAACTTCATCTTGACATACTTACCTACAGAGTACAGAGTCCAGCATCATCATCACCGGCCAAACCGTCCATATCCATCACACCCACCGGAACAAGATTAACCGCATACTTTAGCACATGTTTATGCTTGTTCGATCCACCGGCCAATACCGTACTGTCTAGCTGTTTATGCAGTGACCATCGATATGATAGTGCTCTTTCTCCTCTGCGTTGGCCCCGATGACCCTCGGCCAACAATATCTCGACTTTTTACTCCTCTGGGATTACTATTAAACCGTACCTGTCTGTGGTGGATGGATGGGGGGGGGCATGTCACTCCCAGGCTGAGACTCTCGGTAATCAGATCTTCATGACTGCACTCGCCGTAATTATTATCAACACCACCACCGCTAGTACCCGCCCGCCCCCAGTCGATGGCCTGGCTGCTTGGCTGCTTGGCTGCTTGGCTGCTTGGCTGCTTGGCTGGCTCTCGGACTTCTCTTCCAGGGCGGAGATCAAGGGGCAAAACTTTCATGTTTAGTTAACGTTCTCGGCCATGCGTGCACGAGATCCAAGCACCCGCTCACCGACCTGGCCAATTGTCCCATATCACCCATCGTCATGGCTAAAATCTTGGAGACTTTACCAACGCTTGCGCCGTTCTCCCATCGGCACTTGTGTCCCAAGCGTACACAGTCGTGAATTTGACTTTATCGATACAGATTGACTTCGCAATAATGTGTCAAGACTGCATCGTCCGCCACCTTAAGCTCCAGCTGTGACAATATGTATTCCTTGAACAACAACACGCTTCTTACCTCTTTGGTATTGCCGCGCTACCGTCGGGATGAGACGATGTCACTGAGGCCGCCGTCATGACGGTCCTCTTACACTCACAGGACGGACCGCGCCACTCAAGGACAGGGGACAATAATAGTGGCTGTTCCTCTGTTCATCGCTTTGACAGAGGTGTCCTGGCAGCCTGGCCCTGGCAAGCCTGGTGCCGAACGAAACCCAAAGAGCACGGACTAACACGCCCCGTTCAATTCTTTACTGCGTCGACGGGAAACGAAGGCTTGGAATCCGAACCGTGCTTGCCCCTCTTGGCGTCAGCTAGTCATTCCATCAACCAGAGCTAGAACTTTGACAGGGCTTCTCAAGTTGCCTTAACATCCGACAGGTCCACCCTTGGCGACTGATGTGGCTATGTGGCCCTTACCCATCAGCAAGCGCCGACGATTGACAGCTAGGCCACAACGCTATCGCTGGTGCACTGACGGTCCAGAAAGGACCGGCCGATCTTGGATCGACAACAGCGCCGAGCTTAGCGGCAGTCCTGAACTGGCTTAGACCTGACGCCGGCCATTAACAGGCCACACTTTTTGATGAGGTGGCGGCGTTCAGTAACGAGGCACACCCTGGTAAAATGGTTTCTCAGAATTACGGTAATAATAGGGGACTAGCGGCCGCGGACAGAACGGGAGACATGTCACAACCCTGAAACGCTCAGAGCATTGGTAGAAATGCATTTGGTGGAGCGGCGCTCATTCGGACATTATCATCGCACCCTCTCAATTCTCCCCCATTACCTATCGCCAATTATTATTACGGAGTTCATGGTCCAACATCATCTCCTTTCATCCAGCGCATCAAAAAAATAGTGAATGCTGTCGATTATGTGAGTGGTGGTCAAGGATCTCCGGGATTAGCAGGGGACACCAGACAAGAATGCTTCCTCCGTTATTAGCCCTGCCTTTTACAATCTGCTTTACTCCGTACCGCCTGCCCTTATTATTGTGCTTGTTGCTTCTCCTCGAGAGGCTCAAGCCTCAACTTACGGCATCCGAGCTTTCACAATAGATCGCTAAGGCTTCCTAACACGCATCTGACTCGGATGAAAATCGTCAGATTAGCTATTATCGAGTTAAGTCATTGGTTCACGTACGGTTCGAGGGATGCACAGGCACGCACGCACGAGCCATACCGAAAGTCAATTTGGTTTTCTGGGACACTAAACTTAGAACCGAGAAGTAACGTTCATTTTGACATCGCGTAGGGGCGGCTCCGGAGGTCCCAGAGATCGACAGTAGGGCCCTGAACATCCCTGCGCCACAGCATCAGAGCATGATGAGGCGCTTTACATCGCAAAACAAGGCTACAGTACATCTCACTACGTTGCGTTGCTGAATTCATGCCGCAGACTTGAGTGCGTCAATCTATGGGCACATCTTTGAGCAATACGTCTGCCACGCGGAACGAACCCCAGGTTGTCTCAGACCTCTCTCTTCAGCCTCACCGCAGACATGACAGTGACGACCAGAAGCTGTGTCTCGGTTCAACGGACTCAAAAACGAGCCTGGTCTATTGGTACACCCCGCCTTTTCGTGTCTCCCATTGTGTTTGACACTTCGTTCATCGTGGATCCAAAGACATGGAGAGAATAAATTGCCTGGGCGGCATGAGGTTAGCAGGACAAGTATTGTTACGCATTGATCCGCATTCGCGAGTGCCTCTTGAGATACAGCAATGCTAAACACCACAATCATTCCAAACACATCCTGACCTTGCCTAGCCGTGTCAATGGATAGGGTGCTTTTTTCAATTCATCCAGCCCCAACATCCCTCGAACCATGAACGACGAAAGGGTGCTTTCCGGGCAGCCACCAGGTCAATCCTAGTCCATCCGCTAATGGCACAATATTTTGCTGAAAAACAAGACAATACTCGTTAGTTTGATTTCAAGATATTCATAAGGCACCGCGGATTGTTGATGGTCCGAAAATATTATGCCAAGTTTCAGGTTGAATCGAGTTAGCTTCCCTTACGAGCCCAAACGGACGGTCGCACTACAAAGTCGTTTCTGCAGCTAACCTCCTGTTCACAGACAAACATGCGAAAAAAAAGGCACGCCACGCAGCTTATTACCTGTCAACTAAATCCGCCACATATTGTCGCAGGCACCCCTCAGGACCCACCAGCCTTTTGCCGCGGCGAACGCCCGTTTTGTGTCATTTGTTCTTAAATCCGAAAGGAACTTCCGTTGAAAGACTTTGGTCGATGATGACCATTGATTCCTGGAGGCTGGACATAAGAATAATACAGTGTTGTGGGTTTGCCGTCATGTGAGATGAGATTCGTTGAAACAAGTCGATCTAGCCAACGTCTAAAGTTTATGTCAAGGCACAAAATGCTTAGCCAATTTTCATATCAGGGACAGGCCATAGTTACCCAACTGGTTGTCTTGTTATCCACAACAAAACATGGAGTCGAGCCAGCCCTTCGTCCGCTGTCTGATGGAGACTTCGACAAACGTCCACAATTACCAGGCAAAGAGGAGTCGATGATTACCTCTGACCGGTGCAATAGTGTCGACCCGTCGTACTGCCATGTTCTCTCGAAATCGTGGAAATCAGCATAAACGTACAGTGCATCTACCATATGCTCTAGGCCGCTTGGTTTATGCTTGTTTCTGTCCGTTCGTTTTCCAACTTCCCTGGCAGGATTGGAGTACTAGTCAAGACAAGGAAGAGCAGAGAGCTTTCAGGTCTTTCTGCATATCATTGGGTACCATGCCTGGACCGGTCACAAGAGGCCCTGCTCTGTCTATCTGCCTGCAGCAAACACCCCCTCACCGGTCAATTTTGACATATTTTATGCCCTGGTCCCAGTCAGTACGCTCTGCACGCGAAGATCGGTTGACTGGCCTGACTGCCTAGGCTGGGATTTTGCGAGGCGACGTCCTTGCGGCATTCATGGTCAAGGACTCGTTTGAATGCTCGATCTAGTTTTTGCAAGTGCCGTTCACCAGAAGTCCATGACCTGGTCGTGAGCGCATCACGACCGTTTAAAGACCCACACAAGACATGAATTGCTCTTTTGGGATTGCAGACACCCGGTGCAGTTGTGCATGCAGCGGCAGAGGCGCGCATGTCGCTGCATGTCGCTGCATGTCGCTGCATGTCTCCAACCATGAATTATCGACTGGGTATTTTACTATCAAGTATTGACTTATACGGATTAGAAGAGGCCTAGTCTCCTGGCAGATGCTCTCTTTTCTCTGATAGGACATTAGACACTACTCCTTTCCTCTCCAATAGGTTTTGTTGTTTATTATTGTGCTTCTTAGTTCCATGCATAACATAGTTTCTACGTGCGAAGTTATGGGTCGCTTGTCCTTATCCAGACATCCGAAGTTCTATCCGTGGCACAAGAAAACACCCACATACTTTAGCTGTCTCGTTGTTTGATATCAAGACACTCGCCATGTACCAAATGATCCAGAACGCAGTTTAGATGGAACCGGTCAACCGGCTCACTTCACGTTCAGGATCCCTACTAACCAACACGGACCTCAATCTGATCTCAATGACGTTACCAGAACCCAGTTCCCTTGCCTCAACTGACTTGGCGGACGTTTATCACCGGCTTCAGCTTCATAGCAAGTGAATCAGTAGTTGGCTCCACGTACCGAACCAGTGGCCCCAGACGTGGGCTAGCTGCTGCCGCTATAGAGGGACGGCGTCTTTCTAAATGCCCCCACTAGGAATCCGCCTCTCCATCACCTCCACTCCAGTCCCCTAATAGATCTGCACTGGTAGAGTGGGAAGTTGTACGTATAGTATTAAGCAAGCAAGCATATTGATGTTCGTGTTAGTGCTGATGATGGCATCGGTAAGGCTGCCGTCCTACCGTTCCTAAGATTGTTCAATCAGGGGTAAGAAATTCACAGTATTTGATATTCCCACCGAGCAGCCCAGGAGTAAGCCGACTAGTGAATCTGTCCTACCAAGTGTTTCTATTTTCACTTACATTTACGCACAGACAGCCAGTCCTCGATAATTTTCAATGCTCTGCTTGTGATTTGATATGGTTTGATTTGATTTGACTTGGCTTGACCTGATTTGACAATAGAGGCGTCTGGTTCACCTGTTGTCCAGGTCGTCTTGAACCCCTCGATTATCATGCATTGCCAACGACATGTCTAATACTTGCGTGATAATCCTCCTCTCAGAGACATATCCGCCGTGTACTCCGTACTATCTATTCAAACGCTGTTGTCGTATATCTCGCGTATTCTTCATTGTGACGTTCATAATCACTCTTCATCTTCATGCATTGTATTCGTTCCTGGAAGATCAGCGCCCAAGTAAGTAGCTGAACTGAGGCCAGGAACTGAGAAAAACACCGTCTCCACTTTAGATGACCCAAGAATCTCCGTGGGTTATCTCGTCGCTAAACGCGTTTGAAATCTCAAAACCTCAAACATCAAGAAACAAGACTAAGAGCAAGAGCACAAAAAGCCGCTAATCCCATGCCAAACCCGTTCGAGGTCGTCGCTCCAAACCAGATAATTATTCAAGCAATGGAGGATGCAGATCCAGTTCAATATTAGACACTGCCCCTGCCCATAGTGCCAGGCCTTTGCTGGCTCAGCGCCTCAAGCTCTTCGTCGTAGGTGGCGCCCTCCCCGTCACTTAGAGGTCCGACGGGCTCTCGCTTGCTGTGGTCATAGTCGCCCCGTTCTGTTGTGACAAGGACTTTCATGTCACCAACTCGAGCACCTGTCATGGCATCTGTTTCAGCGCGAGCATTGTTGATCATGGTCGGCAACTGACGGCGCCGTGCATTGATGAACCAGTTGGAAATTTGATCTGTAGGTGACTTGGTTAGTTCAAAATCTTCGATAATGCAGTGCTTGGCAAAGCGGAGTTGAACTTACTCATCTGCAGGCCTGTCTGTCGCATGAGGTCTTGTTTCTCATCTTCGGTGGGATATGGGTGCTGTAAATGTGCCACAAACCATGCCCTGAGTTTGTCTGTGGTTTCTTTCGGTAGGTTACCCCTTCGCTTTCGTTGCTTGTTGTCACCGCTCAAGCTGGCAGGGCCCATTTCCCCAAATCGCACAAAGTCTTGGTAAGGCGTGTTGTATGCACCTGGAGTAAATGGCGTACGATCAAAGGAGTGAGCCGATCCTGTGGAAAGCGACTGGTATCGTGCAGGGTGGTGATAATGGTATCCGTAGCCGGGCTCACGGTAAGGCGAGGCTCTGGATTCAGTAATGGGGGTCCGTGAGTGTGGCATTGGTTGCTGCGAAGGTCGGAATCCTTCTGCAGGTGCTGGCCCACGACTCACAGGCATCGGTTCTCGTTCTAATGAACGTGGCGGAGGAAGACTGGGCAATGTTGGTCGTGACTCTATTCGCTCGTTGACTTCCATTAGACCTGTGTGGGGGTTTGATCCGTTGGACAGATACGGGCTTGTTCTCGTGGGAGCTGTCCAATTATCCTGTGCTCCTGCCTGCATAGCTAGATGGGGCGAGATCTGTCTGGGTGATGCTCGGTCGGGACTGTAGCAAAGGCGTGGTACTTGACGGACTCTTTCATTCTCCACTTCACGTTCCATTGATAATCTCCTCCTCTTGGTAGAATTAGGGGAGTGTACATATTGAGGAGATGCTGTGGCCAGTGGCCCTGTACCAGGTGGCTTTGTATGAAGATCATGTGGCGATTGTGTCTGAAGTTGCAATTCAGGAAATGCCTGTGAGTTGTTAGCTACGTGATAGCATTGTGGTTGCTCAGCCTCGGCGTAGTCTACCTGTCGAATGGAAGGAAGGGCAACTTTATCGTTCTCGGTCCGCGGTCGAAGTGAGTAGTCGGGACATCGGTTGTTTTCCCATTGGCGTTGCATACCGAAGGATGAAGGGTGAGGAGAAGGGGATGCTGTAGCAAGCATAGACATCTTGGAGAGTTCGGAAGCTGAGTTCTGCGGTTTCGTTTCAGACTGTTTTGACAGGAAACGACTATGTTCCATAACAATACAAACAGTATGGTGGGGATAAACCGCACAGCGGTTGACGTGATCTATCGTCCAGTGCTGATAGCTGGCTTGCTTCCCAACTACAGCTTGACACCGTTGTACCGCTAGATATTATACAAGGCGAACCCGAGGTACAGTTGAAGTTAACCGTTCGTCAAGCTGGGGCGTTTCAAAGTGATACAGTTCGAGACGATAACGATGTTGAGTAAAAGAGCGAAATCCGTTAAGCCGTCCTGGAATAAGGCTAACAACACGCAACGGTGCAATGATTGGGAAAGGGCAATGTTTAAGAGAACAGTGGAGGGTCCGGGATCATGTGCCGTTGGTGGGAAGTTCAACCCTTTTGTATATCAGAAGATGCAGTGGCGGCTTAATGCCTTGACGGTTGGTCCAAATCCCATATAGCGGGGGACACTTAATCGTAGGGCAACAGACAAGAAATGCCAGAAGAGAGATGCAGGGCCATAAACAGTCTGAGCGGAGAATTTCAAAGTGGTCGGGGCTCAACTGGAGAAGTTATAGTATTAGTGAAACCAACTCATCCAAGCCACACGACGACGTGGGAACAAAGCGTTGTGGACTGGGATACCGGGTTCTTAAAGCAAGACGTTCTGGCAGAGACCTCGAGGTGTGGAGGAAACAACCTGACGGGCAGTCTAAACCTGAAGGGTTCAGGCATGCGAGCTTGAACAGGGTACACAAGGCGATCAAGTGGCCAGGGGGGGATGAAGAATGGGGCAAGATGAAGAAACAAATGGTCTAGGTTCAGAGAACCTAGCGTTGTATCGTTCAGGACAAGAGAAACGTCACCAGTCCCAAACCACTCATGGAGCAGCTTTGACAGGCTCGTGGTGGTTGCTGGGATATGCCCGCTTCTTGGCTCAGGGGTGGTTGTCGACATTGAACAGGGGCTCAATAAGAGGTCAAGAAGTGCTGTCCAAAGCTCTTAGTTCTCAATTTAGGAAAACCAGTTGGAGAAGCAGAGAAAGGTGCGACTAGTTCGATGGTGGCTGACACACCATGGTGTGGGTGATGGGAGATGCTAGCAGCCTTCTTGATGTGGAGTGTGGAGTGTGCCAGTTTTCGCCGCTTCCACCCCTGGCTGCATGTCCCTTTTTATGTATCCGTATGCTGTGTATGGACTGCAGTCAAGGCGGTTGAGAACGTGCGATGAATAGGATTGTCCTACACAAGGGCGAGACCAGACCTTGGGGTATCATTGCATATGCAGCTGAATTTGCACACGCATGCCAGAACGGATGTGGACATATACTATAAGCTTGCTGTCATATCTGATGCTCTGCCCTGACCTGACCAGACCAGATCAGACCAGATTGGAACATGGACATAAAATTATTCCAAAATGGATCTGCATCCTCCAACGTTGTCAAGCCTCCGGGTCTTGGCATTAGATAGCCGACTTAACTTTGGTCGTATTAGACGTTGTAAAGCAAGAGGCCACTAACACAGTCGCTCACCACCACTTGTGAGGAGATCACGAGATTGAAACGCTCTGACCCAGGCCGATGGGCTTCGGGCTTGTGGTGCCATTAGAGTTCAGAGATGACGGTTGTTGGACGCTGGTAAGTGCCGTTAAACTCCTTTTCGGCTTGCCGCTGGCTGATACAGCCCAGCCTTGATATTTAACGGGTTGGCATGTCCACAGTTGTTGTGGCTAATGCCAGCGCTAGGGCGGCTACGGCACCCACCACTGACAATGGCATCTGCAGCGTACAGGTAGTCCATGATTCAAACGGGGTCCTCAATTTCGCCGCCGTCAAGCAAGCAATTACACGTCAGTAACGCGCTATATTTTGGCTTTGTAGGCGTCACTCTCATCAGCGGTAGGCAGGTAACAGGGTTATGAGGTCAAAGGGGATTGTCATTATTACCGCATATCCTGCGGTTGACATTATCCGTCAATGCTTCGAGGCTGAACCGAACCATCTCAAGAATGTGCCCGTCCAGACCATGGGCTGACGGCAGTCGTTGTATCTTCGGTAGCCGGTGTGGGTTTGTTGAGAATGGCCAGGAATGCCTTGCTTGCTTATTGTTTTGTGCTGTGCTGTGTTATGCTCTGCCGCTATGTTTGTTTCTAAGATTCCCAGCAATCCTGAAAGGGGGTGATAAGCCCACTAACATCGCTAGAATCTCTGACTGTGACGCGGCTTAAGCGGGTACAGAGACGGGAGGCCCGTGGCGTTGACGGTCAGTCCAGGCCCGAGTCCCTGGGTCATGGGCTTTCCAAGAGGATCTAAGGATAACGTTCAAACGCCTCTTTGGGGTCAAAGACACACACTGGCAGCGAAGATTGACTCCACACCACGAACGCTTGTAAAAGTTCAATCTCCTAATATTTGAGCCTTTCAGATAACCCACAAACCAACGATTGAGCCGGAGATATATTCGCATTGTGACAGCCCGTAGCTTAACCTGGCACAAAACGGCAGGGAATAAATCGCAGAAGTTTGTCAGCGAACCCTTTCTTGCGATTGGCTTGTCAGGTTGCACGATCGTCGTGAAGATCGCACGGCGCCGGGTCGCATTAGGACCACCTCCGGAGCTGGGATAGCCATTGCCCAATTGCCCAGGCCACGATTGGCCCTGGAAAAGACGTTTTGGACGGGATTGCATGGTACATGTAGTGCTCGGCGCGGGTGCACTGAAACAGCAGGTATTCCAGCATATATGGTAGCATTTCTAGGCTCGATATAGTCTGCCACCGACGACCGTCAAGGTTATGTTTGGTCTTGGCACCTAAATGAAGTTTAAGTTGTCCGTTTTTTTTATTAAAAGCATTGGGATCAGAGACATTAGACGAACGTTACACTGAAGCAATGAGGCTTGCTGGTACGTTCCTGTCCCTGGAGTACCTGAGCTCGGCAGATGAATTCATGGGCTTACCCAGGGTAGCTGGGCAGGAAACTCTTTTCTCCCCTTTTTTGTTCTTTTTTGGTCAAGTCAGAAAGTCGGATGTTAGGGATCCATGACCATAAATGAGTAATGAGTTGGTAGAGTTGCATTCACCGTTAGAGTTGACATTGCCATTTACGTTTATTACGGAGAAACAATCCGATGGGCAGACATGATGCTATTCCAGGAGAAGCGAGCTAACAACACCTTCCCCACTTGATGGTCCACATCACGTTACTTTGCACGGGTTTGGAATGGAAGGAGGTCTGTTCAAATCAGTCAAGGAAGTAACATTGATTAGGTATCCTGAGTGATGACCACCTACATAGGTAGACAGGTATAGCATAATACACATCTCAACCCGGATTCTTCATCCCATATTGAGACATCATCCCAACTGACACCAAATCACTTGATCTCTTTGCTGCAACACTGACCAGCACAACGTTGAGAGGAGGTACGTGCATTGCAAGCACCCAGCTCATTCCCTCCTCAGCGGCCTTGAATCAAGATCACTAATCCAACTGGCAACTGGATGCAGATTCAGGCCACATCGGTTACAGTACCAGGGTAATCACTAGCGAAACCCTGGTCCAGAGAGTTATTTCCTTGGCATCGGCCGCCCGACTTAACCTCCGCACGGACAAACACAGGATACTATTGCTCCATCTCATTCTACTATAGTCCCTTGCCCAGGGCTGCGACTCAGCATGCCTGCTAGGATCAATCCACGCTGGCTGGCTGGATCTGTCAGAGCTGGTGTGTGCAGTGCTCTTCGCCCCATTCTCAAGCCTTCTGACATAGGTACCGGGTGCACCTTGCCAGGGTTACCCACATCAGTATCCCGGCGCGTTGAACCGACCACTCATCTTTCCGCTCGGAGTTGCGCCGGCCTCCTGTTGCCGATCAGCTTTTTGTCAGACATTTCGGCTATGAATAAATCCCTACGGCAATCCTCTAGCCTATCCACATCTGTCAAACTGCACAACGGAGACCTCAAAATCCTTCCGAATCACATTGCTACCTACTGACAGTAAGTTCGACTTCAGAATTGGGTTATTTTTTCAAGGACGAGTATCCTTACTGGCCTTTTGACTATCGAGTTCTTCGGATATTGGCGCTCTGGTGTCAAGTCCATGGAGGAGTTAATACTCATCCCGGATCTTTCCTTTGCCACTAATACATTCCGGATAGCCTTGAAGCTTTCCAGGTTAATTATGGTGCAGCCAGAGCTGGGTCCGCATCTTGTTCGCACTACGTATGCAAAGCATTCTCCTAAAGAAGGTTGTGTTGTTGCTTGCTGCCATCGACAACAACCTGGCCCACCTCGTTGTGCTTGATATGCAAGATATGCAGGCCATATTCAATCATTCACACGCACAACGCTGGATATGGTCATTTATTCACTTACCCACACCTTATTCATGCGAACCCTAGTTGCTCGACAAGACGTGGTGGCTGCCTCCTGTCGCACCCCGCATGACCCCTTGGTGACATCTTACCCGGAGTGAGACAACTCCAGTTGTTTGTTTACGGTTCTGTTTGTGACCGATACACATATATCGTACTCTGTACTCCGTCGTTTGCTTACCTTCTCGGTGTCAACCCTAATCGGAAACGAAGGCATCAAGGGTGCACTCGCAAGACGGGCTACACTAGGAAGAAAGCCGTAGCCTACCCGGCACCCCGGCCTGTCTGGTTCAAAAACCTCCAATCACTCGCCTGCCAGCGGTCACAAACAGCAACAGTTCAACACAGCGGCAGAGCCCGTTGGTCGGGAGGGGCTTTCAGGGCACCCTGGTGCGACTACCAGCTCCTGGGACCTGGTGGGCCGCAAAACCAACAAATCTGACGCCGAGCAGATCTGGCTTTTGACATATTTTGCGGGACACCCCAGTCTCATCTCTGTGTCACCACCCATCACGTCTACCAACGATCGATAATTAAGCACGCACTACAAAAGAAAAGTCTCCGTCTAAGTCAACATTTATACGTTTTTGCTACAACCTACCACCTTGCATGCGTTAATCCCTCTCACTATACCGGATCTGGATCGGTGCCACGGCATAGCTAATGAGTCTCAAAAGTATTTCGTATTATTTTGACAACGTGGGGGCGTTCTTCATCGGATGTGCCAAAGTCTCCATAATGGCTACTGCTCCTGACAGCAAAAAGGCAATCCGGCCACCCACACTCCCACAGCACCATAGCATACGGACTAATGTCGCCCCTTGCCGCTATGGCTCAGGATTGAAAGTTGTCTTAGTTGTCAGTACCTAACCGATTGGGTGTCGTTCACGACTACGCCGTCGCTTATCTTGCGTTTGCCAGGTTGTCCTCCGTCATCATGACCTGCATGTGCTGGCAAATATACCATACTAACGGCTCCATGCATTGTTCAATACAGTACGATCAAAGGGAAGAGTCTGGCTTCCAGATCTATCATTCATCACACTACAAATTCTTGAATAAATTATATTTTATTATCTGGCCATGCTTACAATCGTTTTCCAGCTGTCCGTGAATACCCGGGCTGTTATATGCATGGAATGACCTGTCACAGTATGGAAAGCCTTCACTTCTCATCCTCTTTCAACAGTGAATATCATTCCCGAGGTTGGGATCAACTTCTCCACAACATATGGGTTCATATGTACAGGTAAATGTGCACAAACTACCATACGACTTTGTCAAACTGCTACACAAGGAAAAGCGGTGACGGTGATATACCCAGTCGAACTCTATGCAGGTTACTTTGTTCATCGCGACACCGAGGTTGATGAAGTTGACCTTCTCCATTCAACTCTGATTTGATAACCTCGGAACTCTACTGACTGTCCATGAGTATAACGTTCACATGTCAACCTTAATCACGCATAAATTGGGAGCTACAAAAATGCCGTGCAGGTCAAGACAACCTGGGCAGAACAGAGTTCCGTAGTCCATGACTCGCCTATACAGTATTCGCTTGATACCACGACGAGCAAGACGACTTGACCGGTGACAATGGTGCCCTGCGATTCAAAACATCTGGCGCAGTTGAGAGCAGGGGTTATCCCGGTAACGCGAGACCCTCAGCGGCAGGCAGTATGAATGAACTGCCACATCGGTTCCCCTGCATCTGGCCCGACAACAACATACAGCTGATTATAATCAGTTGTCTGCTGCGTTTATTCTCCGTGGCCCTAGCAGCAAGTCGGGCCAGGCAAGGTTGACCGAAGCTACTAAGGATTGCCGTAAGAGGGTTGCAACATAAGTTACTCAACTCCTCATGATTACGGGAACGGGATCATCCTGCCTGGATCGAACGGTGGTTGCCCCCGAGGTCGCACTCAGATTTGGTTGAACACTGTCGACCAAAGGTATCAGTGCAATGGTGCATGATCGCCGGAATACGCCTCTCCGTGCCCAAGAAAATCTCTTTCCTCACATGTATGCAGAACAGGAGCTGCATGGCACCTGTCATAAGACTATCGTTTATGCAATGCTCGCAGCTGACCGGTACCCTCAGATGCATCTTGTGATGCTTGAGCTTTTGCCTTCCACAAAACAGCAGAGTGCCCAGCGTGGATATACTATGCAGCACGAAACATAATTGACTACTGATTGGTGGGAGGCGCCAGATACCAAATCGTTAACGTAGCATGATTTGCAGAGAAATAGGGATTCTTGTTTAGTTGTGCGTTTCGCAAAACTGTCTTTTGTTGGAATGTTATCTGATCTCCTAAACGCCGACGCAAGTTCCTATCAAAATGATATTTGACCAACAAACAGCCTGGTCCCTGTCAGATGTGTTTAGCGAAGAGACAAGGTTTAAGTCAACCAATTGTGAAAAAAACAAGAGCGACTCCTGATGTACTGGTATCTTGACAAGTTTCACACTCTTTACTTTTTCTCTTGTCACCTTGTACGGAGTATCTGATTATTCAATTTTGTCTTTTTGCTTTCCATCATCCGAGACGCACATCGTCGCGTACGCCGTGCACAGTTAAGGGCAACTCATCAGAAACATTTACTAGTTGCTCTATTCGTATATCGATCGACCTGGCTTATTCGATGTCACTTGTTAATTGCTTAGACTGCCAACTACAATTCTGGACTAGAACGATCGAGAAATGCAACGACGCCGGCATTGTGAAACTTGGAGTTGAACAGAACAGGGCTTATGTTTACGAAGACGAGGCCGGTGTGTCATTGGGGGAAAGTTTACGACTAGCATGTCATCTCTGTCTGTATTGGATATTATCCGAATGGCACATCCCCTCGAGTCGACTCCTTTTCCCAGCACCAGAGCAATGCAGCCCAATATTTACAACTGACAGCACAGCCGAGGGGAAAAAGCAACTATCTTCAGGGTTGACTGATTTCGACCCAATGGGGGTCCACATCAATGGCGGTCTTCCGCTGAAGTCAACCCAACTCTCAAGTAGAGGCCCAAAGGCCATTGAAAGATGTGCCTTTTACCTCTTACCCATGGGCTGTGATACGATACCGTATCCTGAGGTGGTCGGCCCAAGCGTCCTGTCAGACGGACCAAGCCCATCTTGAGCCGCCGTGGCCGGGCATCCTTTAGCTCAAGGCCACGGGCCCTTTCCCCGGTTCGGTCACTTGGTCGGCCATTTTTCTCCTTCAGCTGTGCTCCGTGCCCCGCGCCAGTCTCGGGATTATGATTATGATGGCGATAATTGATAATTGATAAATGTTACCTACATATTCGCACATACAAAGTACTAGCATGACGGTGCTACTTTGCATTTTGCTGTGCACTCGGGCGCTGTGGGTTGCCCGTCCCTGGTCCTCGATTGCTCTACGTGAACTTCTGGCCTTAGGAACCCCCATGTTATGTGACCTGTACGGTTGTGCTGATGAGATATGGATGCCAGTATCGTTTTCCCATTTAAAATCCTTCAGCTCAGAGCATCTTCAAAAGCAACATGAGGTATTGTTTTTGCTTGACCACACTCCGCACATCCCTGGCACACATTCTGTGTGGTATAATGCCATGTCGCAGTTGTCACACGCCGTGTGACCCTTTACCATGGCCGAAGTCTCCTCTTGTATTCTCTTTGATGGTGTCCTGACTTCACTCCCTCGCACGCAGACTGCGCATTGTTACACTAAGGTCCTCGGTTTCTGGAAAGTCGCGACAAGCTCTCTATTGGGCAGTTCACTCCCTCGTTGAGTTTCACAAACACATGCAAAGATTACTTGTGACGGTTTGGCGTCGTCGGTTGGCCGCATGAAAACGAGGTCTTGCCGCTTTACACAACGGCACCTGGTGCTGTATCTAGGCTACTGTGCAACGAGATAGACCCGTCAATTAGGAGGTGTAGAACAATAGAGAAGACCAAACGTCGATTGGCGCAGGTGTCGTCGCTACTAACATATGACTTGCATTAATTACGGCGGAAGCATACAGGGTAGGTAGTGTGTAAAAGAAATTCACGAAAGTATAGTGGAAACAGGGGAGACGAGATGTATGAATGATTTCAGAGGCTACCATGCTGTCTCTGGAAAGTAGGTATCGAGTCCTATATAAGACTGAGCCGTCAAAAAGGTAGGAGTTGGTGCTTTGTGCAAGCCGAGACTGATCACAGGTGCCTAAACATACTGGCTTAGATTGAAGTTCTAAACAGAACATATCATGAAGGTATATTGTGAATGGTTTTCTTGTAGAGTCACGACTGCCCCCCCAAATCGACTCCTACCTCTTTTACCCAGAACGTATACAAAATAAAACCAACTCCAGAGTTGTCTCAAACAGAACCCATGTATTTGGCATAAATCATAACTCATGTCCCCTCTATGCTATGTTCTCCTGAACACTTTATTCAAGAGTCCCCCTCCTCGCCCCCTTCGAGATACTTCGTCTGGGGATGGCATGACCCGAATTTCCTTACCCTTACCCGCCACTTGCGAGTCCCCATCTAATACTGGTCCGTCTCCTCGACCAACCTCAACGTACTCGTCCGATTCTCGATTTACATTTGCGTGATCAAAGTAACTATCGGCAGTAAGTTTGGAATGCCCAGGCTCACAAACAGTAGCCTGTGCTTGCGGAGTTTGAGCATCTCGAATCTTGGTTAAACCGCGATCCAGGTATTCCACCATTTGAGCTTTGGTCACAAAATTTTCATCATCTGATCTCGCAGCGCCATGCACATCCTGTGACTTCCTGAAGAGTGCAGGGAAGTGGCTTTGGAACTCATCCTCAAGTGTTTTTTCCTGTTCTGCCAGTGCTGTGGTTCGCTCTTCGTTGTACCCGGGAGACGAGCTGAGTTGATGCGTCTGATCCTCGTTTTCCAAACGAGTAAGGAGATCAGCAAATCCTCTATCGTTGCTTGCCGTCTCTTGGTTAGTAGCTGATCCTTTAAATACGCCCTTTTCGGACTCTCTGTCTTGGGCACGGTATATGTGTTTGCCGAACGAACCACTAAACTCCCTGTAGTGGCCTTTCAGGATGAAACATTGGCCTCTCCAGCCACAAGCCCACAGTTTCTCCAGCAAAACTTCTGCAGATGGGCATTCCCACTGGTGCTCGAGTCCACGAGAGTAAAAGATAATGCACCTTGCTTGCTGCCAATGTGAAAATGCTCTTCGACTCTGTGCGTCGGCAAAGGCTCGCTCAACCATGTCTAGAGATGCTGGGCGCAGGAAAGATTGAGGAGCGCGTAAGTGAATTGCACCCACAACATGAGACCTTTGGAACTCCGTTGACGATCTAAGATCCAGTATGAGAGTCTGTCCTGGAAGCGATATGTCCAAGAGTTCACTAAGATTCGCTGGTAAAATCATGCGTGGCCCATTGTGAGCCCGCGTTTTGGGTTCTTCAACCCTGAGGGAGGCAAATCGCTGGGAAAAGGCATCTCTCTCTCTCCGATGATGGAACCAAACCTCGACATGCCAAGGTTCTACACCGAGATTGGAAGCAAAAAATGCTTTTTGACCATCGTTTGGCAATGGTTCAGTCTGGTAATACTCCTCTAGACGTTTTTCCACGTGAGGGGAAAACCTCTTAGGTTCCGGTACATCGGCGCCAAAGGTTGTGCGCCGTAAAGATTGCTGCTGATTCACGATCATCTGCCTTGTTAAGTTTCCACCAACAGCCCCTAAAGATGAGGAAGACTGCTGTCTTGGTAGTGTTGTAAGCGATGTTGTGGAGTGCATCGGTCTCATAGAACGTTGCGGTGGTGATCCAGGCTGCGATGGCATATGTAAGGGTGACAGTTGCTGGATGGGCGGTAGAGTATTTCTGACTAGAGGGCCGCTTTGCCTACCGTACGCAGGGTCCCGAAAAGCCCCCATTTGTCCGGCTAGTCCTGTCATCTCTGTGGGCACAAATGTTGTGTCAGAAACACCAGAGACGAACGAAGCGCTGTCATTTTCAGTCGGATAACGGTTTGCTGGAACCAACGTTGGCACTGATTGGTTTCGGGGCTTCTGAGTCATAAGGTTATTGGAACGGATAAAGGCAACGAAAGATGTGGCATGGTCTTCTGGAAGCAAATCCCAGATCGAGACTGGCATTGAGACTAGGAGCATTGTTGAGTGACTCTTGAAAACGCCCTGGACCTTGACGTATTTAGCCATGGCAGGAAAGGCACCCAGCCATTGTTCCCACGCGTTAACATCAAGCCTCTGATCGTCCTCCAATGCCAAAGAAATCATTACGTGAGGGGTGTCTTCGTTAGGTTCGGTGAACATGTAGTCATTCTGGGAAACATGTGCTGAATCGGATGCTCGGCCTGTCTCATGAGCCACCGCAGGCATTGGCAACAACTCGGGAGATGGCAGGTTATCGCCACGGGACATTCGAGACATTTCAATGCTAGGCGCTTTGTGGTTGGATGTCATCATGAAGTGTACAGGGGTTGACCGAGCCTCAAAGTATTTGCCGTTGATAGTGATGGGTCGAGGATGTTTTAATCGAGCGAGAACCTCGGCATGAAGCATAGCAGCGGAGAAAGCTCGAACACGCCACTCCTGAAGGACTTCGATGAGAGCATTGGTAAAGGAATAACGTCCAGGGTCAGGAGCAATGGCATCCCAACTTGACGCTGAGATAGTCTCAGTAATACTATCTCCGCTGGGGAAAGTTGCGCTTGCGGCTCCAGCGCAACAATCTAGTAGAATGAGAACATCGGAAAGAGAGCGTTCAAGGAGAGTTTGAATTGCAGACCACCTAGAAGATGGTTAGATATGTGGCTATAGGTTGGTTAGGAATGCCTTACTGAAGCCATGACGAGTTCGCTTCGCGAGTTCTAACAAACCGTTAATCGATTCCCTTGATAGTATAGTGTTGCCAGCTACTTACGCGCACCAGGTGCTCTGTCTGGATTCATCAATTCTGGCATGCCCACCATAGTACACCAAGAAAAGGGTGTCTTGAGCCTCGTGGCCCTTAATGAGTTGGGCAATACGCATCATCAGCTCAAGATGCGAGTTTTCTGATGGGATTGCAAAAATGTCAGTACTAAAACCATAATCCTCGCTCAAACACTTTTCGAGGTCCTCCAATTCGGGAATAACAAAGAGATCGTCCGAGTTCCAGTGCAACAATAATGCTTGTACATTGCTGTATCTGGCTGAAGATCTTCCACGGTTGGGGAAAGCACGGGCTGCGGACTGTACAGAAATTTAGATACTACTTCCACGATGAACAGCAAAGACTCACGTTTTCAAGCGTTTGGGCAAATTGACCGATATGTTTCACGTGGAAACTGGTACGGCTTGTGTCATGGGTTGTGGACCTGGCATAGTAGTCTCCTGCACCGGATATAGCCTGGGTGGCATGGTGTAAGTTACATTGTCTTTAAGTATTGGGAAGGCGTGACAAGATGGGACCAAGGACGAGACGTACAATGGGAGGACCAGTACTTCTTGAACCAGGACCCTCAACAGGTCTCCGTGACCGAATAGTAACATATGGTTGATGGTCGGCCATGGTATCGAATGCGCAATTCTTGTTCGTGACTTTTGCCAGGCCAGCCTGACTGAGTAGTAGGCCCCCACTTTCGTAACCTCGCTCGGATCGCGTTCACGACTATAGTCAAGAGGGCTAAAACTTCGAATCAAAAGAGAGGCTTTTGTTATCGCTTTGGACGTGGTATCGTGCTCTGAGGCTACAGTGGTTATTGCCCTCGCTCGTAAATGCGCATGGCCATGTCGTATAGTCTAGCGAATCGTATCGTGTCTGTCGTTGGTAAGGCCTAGTTCTAAGGTGCCTACTCTCGAAGGTCGCTTCACGGAGGCAATAATGAGTGTGTAGGAGGAAGAAGTTCCAGGCTCTGTTGTTGTATCATCTCGACAGTGAACATTACGGGACGAAAGGGACGATCGTTGGGTGACTTCCTTCAATTCGCGACCGAGGGGAGGCGCACCTCAAGTTTGAACTGATCAAGCGTCGGTCCCCAAAGGAGTTTAGCGCAAAGTCATTGGCGGTAACCAAAGAGGAAGAGTAGGCACAAGGAGCAGGGGGCCAGGGGCTGTTTAGGTACTAGAGGTACCTATCCGTAGGCACCTAATTAGCCCAGTACTAAGTTGGGGGTATTTGGTGACGCCAGCCAGTGCCTGATGATGGGAGAATCCACGTGTGCTCACTTCTTTCCTTCCTTCCTTTTTTTTGTTGGAGCTCTGACCAACCAAACTCTAGCTCAAGGTTCGGTCACCAAATACAACGTCACTTTCTAGAGCTCATTGATCAAACACCGAAGCAACCAAATATAAGACAGAAAGCCCTGGGCTCGCTTGTTCTTATTGTCCATTTTTAGCTCTATTTTTAGGTTTCCTCCGATAGGCCAGTTGATAGCTCTGTACCGTAGCTACTAAGCCAGTCGACTACAGCTCTCGCACACGCATATACACACGCAACACAGCAAAGAGTGTATAGCACACACCGCTATAATGCGTGAGCGCGTCACCTTTGTCCATAGGGACCATACTCTTAACCCTGAAGAGTTGGATAACCAAGAGGCTGGCCTATTGGGGCCACAAATCGAGACAGTCCGCCAGGATAAGCTCACTGTCCCTTTCAGTGAGCTACCTCTAGAGCTCACTGACATACTACAAGAGTATGAAGCTGTTCACATCAGATGGGCCAGCCCCATAAAATCAGAGACCCTTGATCCTTTGACCTCACGTATCTCACCGGGTCTTCATGTCTATGCCACTCCGACCTCAGCAAGCTCATGCAACCCGTATGCTACCTTATCAGCCTCATGCAGTATTGTCAACTGACCTACTATCTTAGGACAAAGTTATGCGGTTGGCTTCAAAGGTTTGGTCCACTGGCCTGTATGAAACCAGAGGTACGCTCATTCACACACATCGACGACTGACATGCTCACCATTGCCAGGCTTTCACCGAGTTTCCAAACAATAACTCGCTTCTATCTGGTTTCTCCTTCTATCAAGCACTTGAAGACTTGCATTCTTTCGTGATCACTAGCTCGCAGGAATTCTGCCCTGAGGCCGATACTGTCTGCCACGCTCGACTGCGTAGCTTATTGACCGCCACCAGCGTGGACTTATCCTTTGACAATACTGCAAATGCTCTTGTTCTCTCAGCACTATGGCCTTTCCGCCCTCAAACAGTTGCTGTCTCTGCATCTCTGGAGAGGAGGGTAGAAGTTGGTATCTTTGTCAATGACCGCTCCCAACCAAACATGAAAGAGAATGAGCTGGGGGTCGCTGGCGTCTTGTCCGTTCTTGGCGATCAGAAGAAGCCCTCGCCAACCATCTTCACCTTCCCCGCCCGACATCGCCGAGACGAATCTGTTTTCAGCTCCCGGTTCCTTGCGCCTACAGGACTTCACCCCACTCTTCAGCTAAGCCTCAACTCCAACAAGGTCCCAAGCGCCGAGGGCGAGTGTGCGCCGTATGCCTTCCTGACGTTACCCAAGACCATATTCGCGGATCGTTATCAACTGGGAGACGATTTGTTCTTGGCCTCGAAGAACCTGACTACTTTGCGACACACGACTCTGCCCGTCGACCTAGAAGCGCCAGCATATACAACTGAAACATGGGGTTCCAGTGTTCTGCTTCAGCTCGCGCCGCCTGATCCCAAACAAGAGCAGCCGTGGAGTGTTGAGATTCCACTTCACCTGCGATATCTCAAGCCTTCAGCTAGCGGTCAAGCTGAGATTGAGATTCCATATCCCACTGTCTTCTGGGCATGTCAGGTGCAAGAAGAAACACTTGAGAGCCCATTTGATCGCCTGCATGTGGGATATGATGATCTCTTCGACCGCCACACTGTCTTTTGGCACGTCAGCCCCCAGCCAGAAGGTGGCAGCAGACTCATGAACCGAGTCGCCGTACCTGTACTCAAGGAGGAAGGAATGGATTCCATCAGATCAGGAACGGCAATTGCAGTTACGTTAGGCTTTGCCTGGGTTCTGTGGAAGTTAGTTAGTGTCATGCTAAACTCTGACAAGACGCCGGCCAAAATTGAGGAAGAGACTACTCCAAAGTAATTGAACTAGGTAGATTAGGGGGGGCTATTTATTCAACTCAGGTTCGTTGGCACAGGATCCAAGGCCAAACCAATACGATAGAAGAACTGTAATATCAATGCAAGATAACTCGATACATGTTACCTAACTAAGCATGTTTTATTTATGCTTGTATTATACCAAGCAGTGATTGTAAGTTGTACTGGTCTTGGTGCCTGCCAGCCTGTAACAGCCATGGCACACGTGACGTCAGAACTCAAGATATACCTAGCTAGGTCAACCCAACCATCGGACATTTAAACTATTCCCATCTCAATCAAGATGTTAATTGACTAATCTTTTGATAATTTATCACACGTCCACTTATTAATTTTAAACCTGAATATTAATTCCACGTACCTGTAGACGTCCTAGTGGGTTTACTATGCAACATAATGGCTCCAACACCATCTTCAGAAGAGTCACTGCCGTCAACGTCTGGCCCAGGCTTGACACGAGCGCCAGACTCGCCTCAGAGCAGGATTAGGAGAAATGTGGCTTGCATCAGTTGTCGTGACTCGAAGGCGAGTTACGTTGTTCGTACGGAGCTGAGTTGAGTACAGTTCATGCTAAGTTTGTAATAGGTGCGGTGTAGAGCGAGTACTGTCGCGGGACAAGCGTGTCAGCGATGTTCTAAATTACAGATATCGTGTGTTTACGATAGAGCGCATAAGAGAGTTACGAGAAGAAGGTAACCAAACAAAGCCTATCACATTCATAAACTCATCCTCGTAACATAAGCTGACAACATGGATAGTAAACTTGAACTTCTGGAGCAAGAACTAAGATCCATCAAAGAAGCTGTGCAACCAAAGAGCAATGCCAATTCAACTCCAATTTCTCAAACAAACAATACAGTATTCCCTATGCAAATAGACCGTACACCTTCAACTACTAATGGCGCTACCTTCACATCTTCAAACCACCTCCAACCCCCCCAGCAGCCCCAGCAGCCCCAGCAGCCCCAGCCTTTTGTCCCATCAGCTCCATTGCTCGAAAAGACAGAGGCCACAAAACCACGTATAATCAATGGCCAGTTGGTATCTGGCCAAGATATTGACTGGTACTTTGAAAGGTAAGACTCCCTCCCTTGTCGTGATGCCATGAGCGGTGATCCTCACAACTTCAGATACCTAGAATGCTTCCACCCATATCTACCAATTCTGAGGAAGAAAGACCCTGACCAATGTTTTGAGACATCCCCGACTCTCTTCTGGACTATCATATTCATTGCTTGCCGTCGATACGCCAAAGATCAGTTGCTCGTCACCGCCCTGCTCAATTCTCTCAACCAGGACATTTGGAAATTGCTCCAAGCTGTAGTTTTGGATCTCGAGTCTATTCATGCCCTCTTGATCATATGTTCCTGGCCATTTCCAACTATCAGGTTCGTGACGGACCCGTCACCCACATACATAGGTAGCGCCCTTAATGGGTGCATGCTGCTGGGTCTGCATACCGGTCGAGGATCCCACCCCAGCTTCTTAATCGGCGGGCGTCAGCATATGGCCTGTACGGACTACGAAGCATCGATAACATGGATCTTCTGCTGCATTCTAGCTCAAAGGTTTGTTTATTCACTCTGTGTATAGACCGAATATCTAACAATGTATTTAGAGTTTCCACGGCCAATGGATATCCGCCGCCATTCTTACAACACAACGATACCAAATGCAAGGATAATGTCAAAGACGCTCTTGCACCTGAATTGATGACTCTGTTTGAACTGCAGAAGTTCTCAAACCGTCTTCATACAGCTATGGCGGCGCAGATTTCGTCAAATAATGGAGTATCTGATTCTGTTGTACGGACATGGGAAGATGAGCTTGAGCTCTTAAAACCAATTGTTACTCATGCCGAAACAGGTAAGAATAAGAACCGCATTTGAAGTTAGCTTACACCTTCTCACAATTTGTACAGACTGCTCCCGATTTATCATTCTCATAGCTCAACTCGAAGTCCAGGCCTATTACTTTGTCTCACCACCTGACCAACGACCTAACTTCATTCACAATGTCCTCCGTCTATACAACACCTCACAGAACCTCATCAACATCGCCCATACACTCGAATCGACTTCTCAGCTCCTCACACACAACACGCAATGGATCTACCGCGCCCTCGTCGACGCCGGTTGCATCCTCCTCTCCATGCTGCACTCCAATGCTTCCCCACAACACATCTCAGAACCAGACGCCGATGCCATCGCGGAACAGGTTCTATCTATTCTACGGACTTGCTCAGTGCGCGAAAACGACCTCCCAAAGCGCGCATCCATCATCCTTGAGACGTTTTGGTCAGTAAGAAGTGTGCTGCCAAAGTGGGATATCCCCGTTGGCGCATACCCCGATCGCTTAGGAGCCGCTACATCGTACTGGTGTCTCACACGCTTCAAGCATGCGTTGCAAGAGGCCAAGAAGAGTACTGACAGTGCACAAAGGGGTCTTGATGTCTTTAGTAAGTCCAGACTGATCGTCAGGTAGCGAGATTACTTACATGTTGTGTCCAGTATCAAGAACTCCGCTGGAAAACACTAATAATCAAAATAGTGTCAGCATTAATGCAAATGCAACTAACGTACAGGACGAGACCGTCGACAACGCCGTTGATCCTTTCCAGGGAATTGACTGGTCCATGATTCTTGATGATTTTGGATGGATTGGTGAAGGCCCTGTCTTTCTCGGACCAGCGTAATAACCTTGGAGATGAGATGCCATCATTATGACTCGAGGGGTTGGTTTCGAAGAGTATTTGTGAAATACCCAAATTTTTCGTTGTTGCCCAGCCAGGCATTACACGTAGAGAAACATTCATAGCACATCACATAAGCGAACAATATTAATTTGACTTTTGGTTCCGTTATGTAAACAAATACATAGTTGTAACCCATTATAAAAACACTTAACTAAATACATGAATTTTCAACACCAATCTTGACATGGTGCTCTAGCTTTGCCATGCGTCGTTCATTCATCACTCGCTCAGACAATAATATCATCCATACCATAGTATCTCCCCAGTCCTTATTCGTCGTTTAGTCGTAAATATCCTGATCCATATCATCCACCAACTCATCAACTGCATCTTCCTCATCTACCATGTCTTCATCCTCACCAAGCTCGCTGTCGGGGTGGTTGGAAAGCACAACAATCTTGCCATCAATAAGTTCAACACGTGCGTATTCGCCATCGCGGATGTTGTTGCGTAGGATGAGGATGGCAAGACGGTTGAGCACCTCCTTCTCAATGAGACGAGAGAGAGGTCTGGCTCCGTAAGCTGGCGAGTAGCCACTGTTGCCAAGATAGTCCTTTGCTTCATCTGAAACGTCGATATGTACCTTGCGGCCGTTGTCCTCGAGTCGTTTCTGAATTTCAATAAGACGGATGTCAACGATCTTACGAATCTCCCTGCGCGTAAGACGGTTGAAGATAACGACTGAGTTAATACGGTTGAGGAACTCAGGCAGGAAGTAGTTGCGAAGGGCGTTCATGACCAACTCTCGAGTGCCAGAATCGACACGACCCTCCTTGACGCCTGGTCTGACAAGGTATTCTGCACCGAGGTTAGAGGTCATGACCACAATACAGTTCTTGGCGTCAACGACTCTGCCTTGGCCGTCAGTGATGCGACCGTCATCCATAAGCTGGAGAAGGACAGTGAGAACTTCCTTGGCAGCCTTTTCAACCTCATCGAAGAGTAAGATCGAAAACGGCTTGCGGCGGAGAGCCTCAGTCAACTGACCACCAGCATCATGGCCGACATATCCAGGAGGGGCACCAATCATACGACTGAGTGCGTGTCGCTCCTGGTACTCTGACATATCGAAACGAATCATCGCCTTGGCGTCGTCGAATAGAAATTCGGCCAAAGCCTTGGTGAGAAGGGTCTTTCCGGTACCCGAAGGACCACAGAACAAGAAGCTAGGTGGCTGGTTGGGGTTGCTAAGGCCAGAGCGCTGGAGTCGAATGGCGTTGGCAACAGACCCCACAGCTTCCTTCTGACCAACAACAACCTTGCCAAGCACCTTTTCCATGTGGATGAGCTTCTCCTTCTCCGAAGTGCGCAGACGGGTAACCGGAATACCGGTCCATCGTGAAACAATCTCGTTGATGTTGTCTGCAGTGACAATATCTGTGACCATAGCACCACCAGCATCGGTAGTGGCGTTGGCATTGAGAGCAGCATCAGCCGCAGCCTTGCGAGCCTCGAGCTCTTTGATCATAGCCTCCTGTTCGGGGATGGCACCGTACTTGAGATCAGCAGCCTTGGCGTGCTCAGAGTTGTTCATTGCATCCTCAAGGCGCTTCTCGAGGTCATCAAGCTTCAGCTTGGCTTGGTGAATCTCCTCACTGCGCTTGATTTCACTCTGGTACTTTTCGCGAAGTGGCTGCAACTCTTCTTCGACGTTCTTGGCATCCTTGCGAGCTTGCACGAGACGGGTCTGGGATGCTTCGTCCTTTTCTTTCTCGAGAGCCGCGATCTCGATCATAAGTTGTCTAAGCTTACGCTCGAGAGAATCGATGATCTCAGGCTGGGATTCACGAGCAACTCGAACAGCGGCAGCAGCTTCGTCGACAAGATCAATAGCCGAATCGGGCAGTCGTCGAGACGTGAGGTAGCGAGCAGCCAGGTTGGCGGAGGCTACAAGGGCGCTGTCGAGGATGGTAACACGGTGGTGACGGTCATATCGCTCTTTGAGACCTCGAAGAATGGAAACAGTTTCAGTAATGCTGGGCTCCTTAACGATGACCTGTTGGAATCGACGCTCAAAGGCGGCATCCTTCTCAACGTACTTGCGGTATTCGGCAAGAGTAGTGGCACCGATACAGTGTAGCTGGCCACGGGCAAGCATTGGCTTGAGAAGGTTGGCAGCGTCCATACCACCCTCACCAGACGAACCAGCGCCCATGAGAAGGTGGATTTCATCGACGAACAAGATGATCACATCCTTGGACTCAGTGATCTCCTTCAGCACACCCTTCATTCTTTCCTCAAACTCTCCTCGGTATTTGCTGCCTGCGACAAGGGCACCCACATCAAGTGAGAGAAGCTTGCACGACTTTAAGTTGTCAGGAACATCGCGGTTGACGACTCTCTGAGCCAATCCTTCGATGACGGTGGTCTTTCCTACACCAGGCTCACCGATGAGGACGGGGTTATTCTTGGTTCGTCGGGACAAGATTCGTACAACTCTTCGAATCTCTTCTTCTCGGCCGATGACGGGGTCCATCTTCTTCTCGCGGGCCATCTCAGTCATGTCAATGGTGAACTTGGCCAGGTTTTCATTCTCCTCCTCTGTATCGGCCGTCTTGCTGTCGACTCTCTTGGTTCCTCGGATAGCCTGTACTGCCTCTTGGATGAGCTTACCCTTGGGAACGTTGGCTTCCTTGAGGGGTGCTTGAATAGTTGCCTCCTCTGAAAGCGCAGTGATGAGGTGATCCACGCCAATGTAAGTATCCTTCTGCACCTTTTGCAGGTCCATAGCCTTTCTCAGCACATTGTGGAACTGGGGTGCCAAAGAGACATGCTCGGGTGGAGGATCTTGGCTGGGGAGTCGGACGAGGGTTTTCTTGAGGGCTCGATCAAAGAGTTGAGGGTCACCATGTGCTCGCTCAACCACTTGTCGGAATAGTGTGCTGGTGGGTGGGGGACCGTTCTGTTGGTCCTTTGAGGGATCTGGGGGGGGGATCGAGCAAAGAGACGGCGAGATGAACGGGCACAAGCTGAGAATGGCCGTATTGTTCGGCCAAGGCCATGGCATCTTCCACAGCCTTTTGGGCACGGTCTGTGAAGTCCATGCGGCTATTCATGGTTGCGGTGTTGTGATGGTTGTGATGTGAATATGTAGGTTGGTATGAAACAATTAATCAATGTGTAGTAGTGTAGTAGAATAGTACAATGATTTGGCCCAATTAGTTGGATGTAAGGGAAGGGCTCGCTGCGTTGTAAAGGTAAGATTGGGTATTAATCGTTTGATGTAGTGGGGTATTTCTGAATGCTATGCAGTAGAAGAGAATAGTCGGGAAGGCAAGAGGATCAAGAGGTGAATTTATTCACAAATTGAGTGGATCTTCAACAAGAACCAGATTATTCCACGGAAGTCTCTAGCGGAGACAATCGTCCGACGTGAAGTATCTCGATCTTGATGGCAGAATCTGGTAAGTTAAAGTAGGATCAGGAAGAGCTCATGGAAGCATCCAGCCTAACTGACCAGCTTCTGGTAGCTTCCGGTTTATTCTACGTCACTGCAGCCAGGTCCAACCCGGTAATTGTGCCTACCAAGGTTTAGTCGTTGTACTTATCTATTATCTTATCGTCACCTGATGATATCAGTGGTGATCTGCACTTATATCTCCGAAACAGGTACACACTTCCATCTTATTCAGTTTGAGAAGACGCTGTAACGTAATTGTGAGGATTCAAAATTCATGAAAACGTCAACATTCTATAAACTAGGCGTAAGAATAACTATACGCTTTATACCTTGCAAACCTTGATACAAAATACATCGATTCGCAGTCGGGTCCTGACAAAGTTACAACTTGTAGCTGCAGACTGCTCACAGCATGTTGAAAGTGTATCCATAAGGATATGACAATTCTGAAAGTACAACAATGGAACTGCTACCAATGATCTTCAATTCTTTAGCCTGTGTCTCACTTGTACAGGCGATCAGCCGTTGTGAAATATCCCCAGAATAGCAACATCCCAAATCCCTACTTCAAACTCACGTGACCCCGCGCTCGCCCGTGATTGAACCGCCGATACTGGGGGATTTTTTCCCAAGCCGTCCCTCATTATCAAGGCCATACCAACCTCACAGCGGGCGACCATGAACACGGCACCGACATCTCGACTGGGCCAATTGCCCAGCTACGTACGGATATGGGTGAGACATGCCCATTTCGGTAAGAAGAAGACGGGCAGGAATTTCCCCGCGCCTGAGGGCCACGGCGAAGATATCTGGGTGTATGGTCACAGGAGAACGGACCAGATTATTTACAGCTTTGACAAGACACTCAATGTGGGTTTAATCCTGTATAGATGATGTTTGTAGATAATCGGTGGACTGACGTATTATCTGTAGGGCTTCCACGATCTCAAGCAGCTTCCTTTCAACGGCAAAAAGACAAAGCCCGCCAAGCTTCGCAAAGACTACTGGTCCCCATTCGCACACATCTCCTTCCCCGCCGGCAAGGGCTCCATCGGAAGATCTGTTTTCCAGAAACTGCGCGAATTGAAGCACCTGCACGAGGTGGCATGGGACAACGAGTTCCGACACAAGCGTCCCGAAGAGTACACCGCCGCCGACCGCAAGCGAATCGCCGAGGAGGAGGAGAAGGGCAACAAGAACTACCGGCCCATCCGCACAAAAGAGGAGCGTGGTGTTGCTCTCAATGCGCAGAAGCCAAACTCTATTGCCGATATAGCTTCTGTGCTGAGCGGTGCTGGGCGTGGCAACAAAATTGTTGTGTCTGAGGAAGCTGAGGGTGCTGAAAGGAAACTCTTGGAGGTCAAGGTTAGCTGGGCAAATGATCAGGATAAGCAGTACGCCCAGGAGTGGTCTGGAAACGTCGCACATGGACTATTCGAAAAGCCAACATACGTCTCAAAGCTCGAGAAAAAGGTAGCCGAGCCAGAACCAGTGGTTGAGACATCGTCTTAAAGAAGAATCAACATGACAGAAAGGTTAAAGAGGGACCATATTAGGGAGATCACAAAAACGACCAGATGGTTCTTCTAAGCATACGGAGGCTCTTCCAACAAAGCCAATAGGTGTTACCCCCTCAAATGTACAAAACATGTATTTTGGATTGGATCAATGTTTGATTACTGTTGGGGAATCATATCACGAGGTGATTGAAAGTCGAAAGAGGCAGTTCGTCACAGCGAAATTGGCCGAGCATTGTAGATGCGGATGCAGGTATATATTCATCAGATGGCGTGGTGCCAAGTCGTTGTACGATAATAGATGTACCATTAACGAAATTCAAAATGTTCATAAATCATTCCATAGCCCCTGTTTGTTTCCAGGTGTCGAAAATCCAATCTGATGTGGGGCGAGAGCGCAAAAACAGACCCAGACCTGCAGAGGAAAACAATACTCAAATAGCAGAGCGAACACGCAGCCAAATTAATTTAGATGGGCAGCGCAAACTGCTTCAGGTACTCGTAATCGGTGACGTTATCCTCAACGGTCTTTCGAATCACCTTTTGCGCCTCAGCGCCATACTTGGCGGTCCAGTCCTTATCTTCTGACTCGGTGGTCAAGGTCTTCTTTAGTTAGCAATTTATGTCAGCCTATATTTCACCCTACCACAGGAAGCGCGAACGAACAGCCGGTGTTGTTGCAGACAGTCAGGTGGAAGGGCAAGGAGTAGGTGGGAGATGGGCGATTGTAAGAAATCGTTGCCAACGTACCTGGTGATGAGTGCGGGGCCTCAGAGCTGAGCTCTTGATGGCATCGTTGTGCCAGCCATTCCACTTCTGGAAGGCAGCAGTGGCGTAGTCGCAGTCCTCCTCGTTCCACTCGAGCATCTCGGGCTTGAAGTCAATGCCCGTCTTCTCGCAGTAAAGGCGGATGGTTTTCTCGGGGTTATCGAGAAGGTCGTCGGCGTCAATGACAACGAGGTTGTCTTTGTCGACAATGTTCTCCTTGATCAGATAATCAAAGAAGCGCACAAGCTCCTTGTAACCAGCCTCGTTAGGCATGAAGTCATAGAAACCCGTGACTTCATCCAGAGGTGGTACCGTGCAACGGTAGTATGAAGGGATAGCTCGGCGAGGGTGGCGGATGAGGAAAGTGAATTGGAATTGCTTCAGGACCTCTAGTGGCAGCACGGTTGGGTTGCCAGGCTCTTCCTCACTCAGTGACGGCGCAACCTTGGTTGGCTTGTCATCAGGGGCCATGAGGTAGTAGGCCATATCCTTGATGAAGATTCGCTTGTCCTGAGGAACGTGTAAGTATGATGCATTGATTCGATAAGTCGGTCCCCCATGATGTGGTGTAAGCCAATAAGGTGAGAATTTATGATAAGGATACGAAATGTGATATCGACTGCATGATCATGATGCACCAATCAATTGCGTACAATGCGCAGAACCTTGGTAGTGGCACATGCTTCTTGTTGGATATCATATCCCCCTCATTCGAGAGCGCGGGGTGTAACGGGGAGTTCGGGGAGTTCGCGACGATCGCATGAACATGGGGGAGGGGAGAAATTGTACTAACATCTTTGCCCGCATCCATGACCTCGTTGAGGACATCTTTATAGGTCTTTGAAGAGAAACCACTCGACTCGCGAGTGGCAGCATCATTGCTGAAGCGCTCACTGAGTCTCTCGGGACCGTAGTAGAAGGCATCGCCAAAAGGCTCGTGAACGCTCTCTAGGATATCGCGGCGGGCCATGAAGACCTATGATGAGTAGTTAGCATTGGAACAAAAAGGTACAATTGTGTCGCGGGCCAACAATGGCAAGACGGCACAGTCGTGAAGGTTCAAAGGATTCAAACATACTCGCTCAAAAGCCGTAGAGCATGCACGTGGGTGTGTGACAGTGAAGATAGGGAGGGGCGCCATTTTGGGTGAAAGAACCAGGATGAAAAGGGAGATATAGCAGATAAATGTTGTCGCTTCAACATTAAGCTAGAGGAGGTAGCAGAAGGGGATGAGAAGAAGAGTAAATCTCGCAGGGTCCGCAGCAGCAGCACAAGCAGTTAAAAGGTATTTCCAAGCTACTCAGAGTTTTGCTCCGAGGGTCCTGGAGAGCTCCGGAGAGCCAGAGAGCCTCCGGACCATCGCCCGATTTTCAACGTTGAAGCGATGGTCCGTAGACTAGCGGCCAACTTGGCTAGACTCTCCCACCATGATCCTGGGCGTGTGGCCCATTGTTGACCATTAGTGGTCTTCTGGGTCTCCTCTCGAGTATTGCGCATGCGGCGAGTACGTCATGGTGGTCAATAGTCGTCTCCGCTGTTGCTACTAAGACGAGATATGCCTCTCAAGTTGCCGAGTTTTCTCGCCTCTCATTGATGACTTTTGCGCCCACCCACAATCCCATCCCACAATGTGACAAGGCTTTGTCCAGGCCTGGCTATTTCTGTATTGCCATCCCTGTCCTGAACCACTTTTTGCAAAGATTCCGAAGGGTCAGTGTCTCCGGTTGACCCCACGCGTTCTGATACAGCCCTGTCCAAGCCAATCCTGTGGCCCCAGAAACGCATGTCTTTTCCTGCTGCTGTGAGTTGTGTTCTGCAAGTGCCTCAATTGGAATTTTATGGCGTAAACTCATTATCACCAACAGGATCGCGTAGTCCGGGTAGTGGGGGTTTAAAGTCTCTTCTCCATGGATGTAGCTCTTGGCGAAGCTGGTACCTTGGCAATGGCCCAATCAAACATTCTGCTGTAGAAATTGATAAGCGACCGATATTCCGTTTTCAAAAGAATTATACAAAAAAAGAAGGGGGATAAATATTGCAACGTTTGACCGCGTGGTTATCGTACAGTAACGGTATCGAACCTCGTTATGGCCATGATTGTGCCGGAGACCCTGTACCTGTCATGGAGACATTAGACAACACAAAATAGCCCAGCCCCACTGACTCACGGGGAGTTGCTCAGGCCATTTGAACTAGAGTTCCTGTCCCTGGTTCGAACGGGGAGTTCATATTGACTTGTCATGATGGCGTTGTATCATGGGTGTGCAACAGACACATGGGTAATTATTAGAATGGATGCATGAATATTGCTCTCATTAAAATTGAGAATTATTCGATTGTTGTTGGTAAGTTTATGTATGCTTTTCCCAGCTTCCAAGCCACCTCCAACTCTCGGCCACACGGCCAATCTTGTCCAGCGCACCATTGACGCGCCCTTCTGGGTCGTCGTACTTGTGGCCCTCGAATTCGACGAAGAATATATATTGAAAGGGCTGCACAAGGCTTGGGCGGCTGTTGATACTGGTTAAGTTGAGGTTAAAAGCGCGGAAACAGCTGAGTGCATCCGCCAAAGCACCCGGTGATGTGTGAGGCACTGTGAAAGAGACCAGTGACTTGCTTCCCTTTTGAGCTACGGCTTGTTTGGTTTTTTCCAGGTCTTTCGGGCCCGCGGCGTTGGTTCCAATCACCAAGAAGCGAGTGGTGTTATCCTCTCGATCTTCAATTGATTTACCTAAGAAATCGAGACCGTGAAGTTGACCAGCGAGCTCACTGGAGATGGCAGCCCAGGTGCCTGTTGTATCCTTGCTCACAATTTCGGCTGCCTTGCTGGTCGAACTAACCTCGAAAATTTCGACACCCTTAAGATAGGTGGAGATGAAAGCTGTACATTGACCGAATGCTTGAGGGTGCGAGTATAGCCGCTGGATGCGCTTAAGGCTGGCCAGGGGTTTGGACCGTGGCCTAGAAGGTGAAGGGGCCGTGGCTGTGGGTGTGCAAGTGCCGGATCCCTCAGCTGCATCCTCAACGACTGGTACAGTGCTCTTGTGACCAACAAGGCAGTGGCGTACGTCCACATATGTCTCGCCATCAACGGTAATGTCCGGATAGCGATTGGCTCTATCAGCTAGATTGTCCAGAGTGAAGACCACGGAGCCATTTGTGGAATTCTCAAAGGGCACAACACCAGCTTGTACCTGGCCATTCTGGACTTGTTCAAAGATATCTAAGCCAGAGGAATTAGTGATGGGCAGTCTAAACATAAAGCTTCATTGATGACCTACCGTCTATGGTGACTGCAGGATGGAATTCCCAGATTGACTCAGAAAAAGCCTGACGAACGGCCTACACAGCCAAATCGGCTCAGGTCAGTGTCATGCGATCTGCCGCAGGAAGAGAAATTCGACCGTGGGGTGAGCTTACTTGGTGGGTGTACGAGGCAACTGGGCCAAGGAAGCTGACAACTGGTTTGCGTTGGCTGGTCATGATATTGTAGATTGGATGAGTGAAAGTGAAGCTGAGTGAGATATGATATAGTTGGGCAGGAATGGGTTCAATTGGCACGATTTAGAACCTTGCCACAAACGTTGTCGTCGTTTATTCGTCAAAGATGCACCCCGGATATCAGCTGCCTCTTGAATTGGACATGAATGTGTACCGCAGAAGACGACGATGATGTCGTGATCGTGGGGGGAGTTTGAATAAAGTAGTTAATGCTTTCTAGGTTCCAAGGTTCCTTTGGGTTGTGGGATGAAAAGTCGCAGCGCAGTAAGGTACCTAGGTATGCACTAACAGTCCCCCATAGTGTGGTTGCTGGTGGCAAGATAGTCAGCGAGCTGTCCAGTCTGTGGTGGGGGTTTATGCGGGGTTTCCACTGGACTGCGAGATCGGCCACTGAACGAAAAGAATGGAACGAACAAAATAGTTCACTAGCTTCTGTAGATATATTTGTACAGTGTTCAAGGTTAGAGAAGTCTAACAGTGGTAATGTATGTTATTGAAAAAATTGAGCATGTGAGTTAGGTATCCTTACTTCAGAGTGAACTTAACTGCCAGGGTAGAAGCCAAGATCCCTAGATTTCTTCGCTTAACCTATATCACCATCATATCAATCCATGCATGATTCAATTAGAGAAAAATATTGTTACCAGTATACATGCTGTGTGCGTGCCATCATAGACCAAGCTAGTGTCAATAACACATGTCTCTTGCTCTACTCAACCATGACTATCAGTCTCCCACAGCGCAAATGAAAGGATTTCATGAAGGGATCTGGTGTGAGTTTGGAACTGCTAAATTCGGGGTTGGCTCGGGGGGTGTAGATTAAGTCATATCGCCTTTATTATTTACCAACGATAAGAGACTATCTCGATATATGATGGATATATCATATACCCCAACTCTTTTGGACCTGTCCACGGAACCAAGTAGAAGCAAGAAGGAGCAAAAAGCAGCGGCTATTCAACATGGTTCACCCTTTTATTTCCAACTCCAATCTGCTTCATCGTTCCTTTGCTCAACGACCCGAAAAGGCTATTTCCACCTCTGGTGTCTCTATCTTTCTAGAGTCTGGCCGAGAGGTCCTCGATGCCTCAGCTGGCCCAGCCGTATCATGTCTTGGCTTTGGACGCCTTGAGATAACTAAGGTGGTGGCAAACCAGGCGAAACAGCTTCCATACCTCTATTCGGCTCACGCTTCAGTTGCAATACCACGGAAGACCTTGCGTCGATGCTTTTAGAGGGACACCCCGGTGGTTTATCTAAAGCCATATTTATCACTTCGGGAAGCGAAGCTACCGATGTTACTACAAAGCTCGCAACGCAGTACTGGCATGAGCGCGAAATGCCGCAGAAACATCATTTTATTATTAGGAAACAGAACTATCACGGAAATACCATTGGATCACTCTGCGTGTCTGGTCATGACTCTCGTTGAGCCATGTACCGCCACTGGCTATCTCACAATGTCAGCTTTGTCGACCCTTACTTTACTTATATACTGAAAGAAGATAAAGATAAATCTGACGAAGCCTACGTTAAACGTCTTGCGGATCAGCTAGAAGCTGAGATCCTTCGTATTAGTCCTAAGAATGTTATAGCCTTTGTTACTGAGACCGTCAGTGGAACTACTCTGGGCTATATTCCCGCTGTGCATGGCTATTCGAAGGCCATTCGACAGATTTGCGATAAGTGCGACATTCTCTTGATCTTGGATGAGTTAGGTTGATACAGCTGTTGGCCAAGTCTTGTTGCTAACTTTGTCCAGGTTAGATTATTTGTGGTATGGGAAAAACTGGTACCATGTATGCTTGGGAGCAGGAGGACATTTCTGGGCCAGATATCCAGATGATAGGCAAAGCATTGGGTGGAGGGTTTGTGCCATTATCAGGTTTATTGCTCCGTGACAAGATTTTCGATGCTCAAAGCACATATCGGCCTATTAGTAGATTGAACATCACCCTCTCATTCGGTACCCTATACGCCAAACCTGAGATAATGCGTAGGGAGGGTCTTGACTTACACCTACGAAATAAAATACAACCGACCAATCACGTATCTATTAACGATGATCTACCCCAGGGTGTTGGCACCCTGCGCACCCCATATCACCGATGGGAATCGATCGGAGGTATGAACCTGAATTTCCAATGTCCAGTCTCGATTTTGGAAATCAGTTATTCATATAACTGCTAATGATATGTACAAAAGAGCCATGGCATGAGACACGCGCTTGTCGGTTTCGAATCAGTTCTTAGGTGTCACGGAGGAATACACTGCAACTATCCCCAGGCGCAGCCATAGGCCTATCACCTGAGTATGACGAGTTGGGTTCAGAGAGCATCGGATAAAGGAGAAAGATGAACTATGACCCGCCACTGTACTGTAGCACTCGTGTTACTGCTTATTGCAAATTTGGAGAACAACTATGTATGTCTGTCATGTGGATGTGCACTATACCAGGTTCCTATCCTAACCCTCACAACTTGAAACAACTCAAAGGAAACGCCAACATGGCTGGAATACACAAAGTACTGCTATAGCTGTAGAAGATTTTGGGCAGGAAAAGTCCTAAGATATATATAGACTAAGCCTCTGTCCTATGTCGATGCCTTCTGAAGTACCAGGCCTTTGATTCCGAGAAAGCTCTTGAACTTAGAGCAGACCTCTCGAATCGGGCTGTGAAATGACTTACATCATGCAGGACCAATGCCAAAAGCAAAGATTTGATACATGAATATATTTTAGGGGCTTCTTCAACGCTCCATAGTGAACTATACCTTGTATCTGGTACACATCCATATCTATATGCCTTCATTTGTTGGACATCTCCGTACTTCTGACGCAGTGCTACTTCATCTAATAGCCAAGTAGTGTATTTTGTTCTATCTATCTGATTTAGATACGGACGATTAACATCGACGATGGCGTTGATATTTGGCGCATGGCAGCTAAAGCACGGGACATAACGCAGTGGTAATACTCCATTACTGGCTTCGCATTAGCATTATAAACAACACGATCGGATCGGACGGCCAGCAGGTGGTCAGTGCCGGTATGCGTCTTATGTATATTCCGTACACTTCCTTGAAATATTTTGATCCATATAGCTTCGTGGTGCTGGGTTCGTTCAGCTGCTGGAAATATTGGATGCATTCCTCATCCGATCCTCAAACCTCAGCGCTACCCCTTTACTATCCGTATATCACTAGCAGATATACAAGATGGGGCTGAAGATGTTGGGTTATTACCTTTAATAAGTTGCCCACTTTCCGATCTGTAGCCGTACTATTATAAAAATGGATTACGAGGCGACATGCCCAATGCGCAACCACGGTCTGCGATTAGATTGGAGGCAGCCTGTGTGACCTGGTAGCTGTAACTTAGATACTGATCATATAAGTCTATAGCAGGCAATATATGTCCATCTATGGATCATGACAGGAACCATAAACCAAGACGCGAGGCCGTAATTAGAAGGTATATCCACATGATAACAAAGGACAACAGCCTCCATACCAGAGGCGAGCGAGGTTGAGGTACTGTAAGCAATTGTAAGCAATTATTAGATTCAGCCTTCTTTTTTGTGGGCGGCCACTAATAGTCTGAGAGTTTGCCGTAAGCATATTTACATTCCGGAATTATTTCTCGAAGATTTGAAGAATACCAACACGTGTTTTTCTTGGGTGTATAGTGTTTAGTTGAAGCGCCATGATCGTCATATGTACAGTCATCAGTCATCAGTCTTTCTCTCTTCTTTGACTGTTGCAGTTGAGCTCTTTATTAACCCGGACAGCGTCATCCGAGTGGCCCCGGTCGAAACACGGTCTGTTTCATCAAGGACAGGGTTCTGACCTATCATTGGGATTTACAGGCGCCCCCGATCCCAGGATCCAGGGTCTAGGCTCACTTGTTTCATGCTCCGACACTCCACGAATCAGCATACGTTAGCCCTACAGCAGACAGCTACAGGCAGGCGGTGACACTGGACTGAAAGGCGATGCTTCAGGGCATGCAGTGTAATCTGTCACTACCCGTCAGGTCTTTGTCCTTCCATTCCATAGTACCTAGGTATAGGTACCTAGTTTCAATGGAAAGCGCTAAATATTAACGCCGGGCCGTTAGTCAACACTTCTCTATCTTTCCATGGATATCAGATATCCAATGTTGAAATAACATCAATTTCATCATTCTTGTTTCGTGGGCGGAGATGGTAGAACGAGTCTGAAACCACTTCATCTCTTGTGCATGACCATCAAGCCCAGCACCAATCATGCTCATGCTCTGCTTATGCCACCTCAGAGTCAACAAGAATTCCATACCCCATTTGGGTAGCCCGATACACGAGACTCTTTGCATACAAGTTTAGCGGCGGCTCTGCCCTTGTCTTTTTCGTCACGATCAGCGTGGCATGTGGAACTCTCTCTCTTTGCAACGCCGTGATCAGATTGCTCAAACAGTCCAACAAGCCCCATATTTTGCATTTGCAGTTGCATTTCATTGCTTCTTTCAAAGTCTGGGGATCTTTTCGTGCGAAATTTCCTCTTTATGCTCTTCGTGGTGGAGTTCTCCCTGACTCTCGGGCCCTCCAACCATTAACCGTTTGTTCCCTGGACGGAGTACTCTGTACCTTGGTACTGATAGCATAACCCAACTGGAGGTCAAGCATCCTCACAATATTCCACGCATTGATCAGACCCCCGAGTCAAGTAGCTCATTCAAATCACTGGGCGTCTATTGATTCCTTCATCACAGCGTGATTATCGCTACAGGGGGTTATTTCTCATCTGCGGTGTTCCAGGTCCAGTCATCCAGTCGACCCAGAGCTGGTAGGTCTGGGCCAAGCCCGCCAAACCTGAACCAGCACCACCTCACCGTCTACAAGCTACCAGCAACAAGCTGCAATCTGCAAGGTACCTGCACGTCTAGTTGTTACTCGTTAGCTACTTGTCTTTCGACTGCTCGTGCGCACGACGGATGCGCACTAGAGTGTTCTAGCTCATGTACCCGCTGTCTTTGGTGGTACCTTCGCCGCAACCACCGCCAGTCCCCTGCACCAGTCCATCCTAGAGGTACTATGTACTATGTACGTCCCTACCCGACCTGCCAAACCACCCCATTTTCCCCTCTGCTTTGGCTGATAATTTGTATACCTGACGGGCCACTTGCCATTTGTCCGCCCATCGTCACCTTTTCCCTTCTTCAATCCTCACCTCAGCTTGGCTTGGCCTCTCCCTATACCTTCTTCACTTCTTTGTGAATTGCTCCGCGTTGATCGCTGTTTCTACTTGTTTGCCTTCACGTTACTAATAATATAGGATAGAGTATTTGCTCTAGCCCCTCCTCCATCCGATCGCTTCGCACGCACTTCATCGATCGACTCAGCTGGGTCTGGGTATCCCACCTCGATTTGGTGTCTCAGGTGCCGCCGTTTGGCGACGAACAACAACCTCGCCCTCAACACTTGCAAACACCCTTGATTGCCCTCGACACTTTACCCACGAAACCGGTCGCCTTTCACAATGACTATGTTGGCTTCAAAAGCGTCGTTCCCGGCCAACATGGGCCCTTCTTCTCTCACTCCCGTTTCCTCCCAGCCCGCAATGGCCCCGCCTCGAAGAGCTCCAACGATGCCTTCTACAGGCGGTTACGGCAGTCCAACAGAATCCGAAATCACCGAGAACGATCCTGCCGAATCCGTCAAGAACTGGGACGAAGAACAAGTATGCGAGTACCTGCGATCCGTCAAGTGTGGCGAGTATGAAAAGATCTTCCGAAAGAATCACATCAACGGCGAGAACCTGTTGGAGATGGACAAGGACGTGCTCAAAGAAATGGGCGTCGAGAAAGTCGGCGATCGCGTCCGCCTTTTCCTCAGTATTAAGAAACTACGGACTAGGGCCTATGCCAACGAGAAGAAGCGGAATCGGGTAGGCTATAAGCGATTGTCGTCTCTGCAGTGCTCACAGACTGACCGTGACTGTCTAGGACTCATTCGGCGGGCTCGATATTCATATCACGGCGCCCAACGACTCACCACGAATGCACACATCACGAGGTGTCCCCACATCAGCATCTAACAAACGGTATTCAAGGCAAATAGACTTGCATGGTGCTCTGGACAATGGCAAGACATCCTCGAGGCCCAACTCCCCCCTGCCTGGCACCGACCTGCGCAACATGCGGGCCAGAGGTAAAACATATGTTACCACTCCTAATGCTCAAGGGCAAAGGATTGTGATTACCAACCCGGATCTTCCGGCAAACCGTCTGGTAACAACCCATACCAGGAATAACTCCAGTATGGACGGTTCACTGATGGCTGCCTTACCACAGGGTCAAGAAGTTATTCGCGTTATATCGACTGGCGGCGTTACGAAGGTCGTCAAGATATCCGGATGCAACACTTGCGAAGAGGTCATGCGTGTGACGCTTCGAAAATTCGCCCTGCGCGAGGATCACGAGAGAAACTATTGCTTCTGGGTTCTGGCCGGTATCGACCCGGATCCAGGCCAAACTCGACGACTGGGCGACACGGAACTCTGGCGCATAATCAAGGACCAGCGAAGACCGGAGAGGAATCGATTGATACTTAGAAGAGTCCCGGCAGGCGAACCAGGTGAGGCGGAATTGCAGCGCGCTGCAGCCATCGCCATGGAAGAAGAGCAACAGAAGCATGCCCGGGCCCTCGAGACGGTGGACAAGCGAAGCCAACTCAAGGTTCAGAAGATGCTTGGGGAGAAGTGGAATGACCAGCTCCAGTCTCCGTTATCGCCCATCTCATACCAGGACCGCGAGCGAAATCTGCACAACGCAGCCAAAGATCTCGAGCGTCCTGCTGATGAAACGGAATCACGACCAGCCCGACGTGTTGGCGCCCTCCGGCAATTTGGAGGTCTCCGACCCCCCAGCGAATTGATTGCGTCTGATCTTACTTCTTACTTCCCTGACCATACCAGAGAGGACATTGACCGTACAGCTCGACTTTCTATGCGAAGGTCGACTCGCTTGAGCAAGGTCAACAGCCGACTCAGCGTGGCCAGCAACCTCAGCTTTGCCTCTAGTATTCAGGATGCGCCCCCTATTCCAACTATTGCTGACTCTTGGCTCAATGCCAACTCACAACTGGCCAAGGTGAAGACGCGTGACTCCCAACATATCCGGGTTCCTCAGAATGCGTACAACCGCGATTCAGTAACGTCATCAGTGCTCGATACCCTACAAGAGGAATCCTCCCTCGAGCCCGACCGCAAATCTTATGTCTCGTTCACCGAGAGTGGTTCTGACTCAGCCGCTTTGAGCGTCACCGACCCCGAGGGCAACACCACAGCTACGAGCTACTATGATGGTGACAACTCAACAGGTTCTGGGTCGTTCCAGGAGCTTCGTCAAACGTTGACAAATGACGGCGACGACGTGGATGAGGAGCTACAAAGCTTCCTGGCTGGAGAGTCATGGGGTGAGGATAAGTGGATGAAGGGAGCGCTCATCGGCCAAGGATCATTCGGCAGTGTGTATCTGGCCCTGCATGCAATCACAGGCGAGCTTCTAGCTGTGAAGCAGGTCGAGGCACCTGCTCCAGGAGCCAACAGCCAAGGCGATACTCGCAAGAAGAGCATGATCGATGCACTCAAGCGAGAAATAAGTTTGCTCCGCGATCTTCGACACCCCAACATTGTGCAGTATCTTGGGTGCAGTTCGTCGACAGAGTATCTCAACATTTTCCTCGAGTATGTGCCTGGTGGTTCAGTTCAGACTATACTTAACTCGTATGGTGCTCTACCAGAGCCGCTGGTGCGCAGCTTTGTGCGACAGATTCTGACTGGTCTCTCATACCTGCACAACCGGGACATTATCCATCGTGATATCAAAGGCGCCAACATTCTGGTTGATAATAAGGGAACTATCAAAATTTCCGATTTCGGAATTTCCAAGAAACTGGAGGCCTCCAATATCCTGAACGGTGCCAACAACAACAAGCACCGTCCTTCGCTACAGGGATCCGTGTTCTGGATGGCTCCCGAAGTAGTGAAGCAGACATCATACACTCGAAAGGCGGATATCTGGTCGCTTGGGTGTTTGGTGGTGGAGATGATGACCGGAAGCCACCCATTCCCCGATTGCAGTCAGCTACAAGCCATCTTTAAGATCGGGGGCGGAAAGGCGGCTCCCACAATCCCAGAGCATGCGAGCGAGGCCGCCAAAGAATTTTTGGCTCAAACCTTTGAGATTGATCACAACCTAAGACCTAGCGCGGACCAGCTGATACTCAGCCCCTTCTTGATCCCCATCACCTAATAGCAAATGCGACCAGGGTTTCTGGGGTTCGATTTGAGTACGAAGTTGAAGTTGGATGACTTATGATTTGCTCAATGTTGCTATTAGACAGGATCGGTATTTGAAAGGCCATGCAGGGGAGTTGGAGGATATGGATGAGCTTAATGATTGAGTTGGACGAGTGGTAATCTATCTACTCAGGGGACGAGTTGAAGGAAAGGAAAGAGAATGAATGCATAATTTTGAAGAGGAGATTATGTTTGATGATAGTTTTTGTTTTTGCTTTTTTGCGATACCACATTCGCTCTGTTTATTTAATTGTTACCCTGACTAGAGAGAGGATTGCATCTGAGGGTTAGGAAGGATTGACAGCATTTTGCGGTTAGAGAATGGGATGGAGTTTAGTAGGTAGATGAGGGGAGGCTATAATGTGAGCAGCGTTGTAAGGGCGAAGAAGGAATACAGAAACGGAGAAAGACGGAGAAAGACGGAGACAAAGAGAAAGAGAAAGAGACAATCAGAGAATCTCAAGAGACAGGGGATTATACCAAAGTTCCATTATACACAGACTCTCTCCCTCTTTCTTTGTGACTCAAAAGTGTAGACAATAAATTGTAGTGACTGGTTGAATTTGAGGCGGAGCGAGGCTTGAGCGCCTTGCTGCCTATTCACAAGCCAGCCCAGCCCCTAACGTCACAAAGTTCCGTTGTCTTGAAGCGTTAGGTCGCCAGCCATCAGCCATTCATGCCTTGATATTAATCTTTATACAAACCATTCGACAAGAAGAAATTAACGCTGATATCTTGAGTCTACGCCGAAGAGTCATTGCCGTTACGCTACGTTGGTAGGTTGATCATCCATTATTATTATTATAGGTCAAGGACATACATCACTTGCACGGACGGTGCTTATAGTCTATATAAGCCAACCACATCTGAGCCGCCAACCCTCAACTATGAGCTCCCAGGGAGACAGCCAGCCTTCACAGGACAGCACCATGACTCTGATGCAGGAAAACCTCTCAGAGGTCCTATACTTCGCCTACGGGTCAAACCTCTCAACTGAGCAGATGCGCCAGCGCTGTCCATACTCTACACCCGTCGGCCTGGCGTACCTCAAGGGCTGGAAATGGATCATCAACGCCCGCGGCTACGCAAACGTGGTGCAGCTGCCCATCGACTCAGACGAAGATACCCCTGATGCCGAAGAGAACAAGCAGCTCACCACCCGGTCAAAGGGAAAAGGAAAGGAGAAGGAGAAGGCCGATGATGAAGACGGTGTCTACGGCCTGTTATATCTTGTCCCGCCGGAGGACGAGGAGAGGCTGGACGGGTACGAGGGTGTGCCGTGGGCATATCAGAAGTTCCAGGTCGACGTCAAGTGGGCGAGCGCCAAGAAGGACGAGGACGAGACGTTGAGGGCGCTGGTGTATGTTGACAGTGAGAGGGTGGAGGAGGATGTGCCGAGAGATGAGTACGTCGGGAGGATGGAGGAGGGGATTGAGGATGCAGTTGAGAATTGGGGGTTGGATGAGGATTATGCGGAGAGGGTCATGAGGAGGTTTTGGTATGAAGAGGAGTAATCGTCCTTTATTTCGTTTGGTCTATGTCTTTCTTGTCTTTGTCTTTCTCTGGTTGTTGGGTTGAGGGATCAGGTATTGTCTGAGCTTGCTCTGCAGTTACTGTTTGTCATTTTCTTATTTCCTATTTCTTTTGTCATGGCGAGTTAGTTAGTTTTGCTTGACATTTCATGATGAGATCAGGACATTATGATTGAATCACTTTGATAGTGAATACACAAACAACCTTACTCTTCAGCCGCAGTTGTAGATGCAAAGTGAGACTCCCGTCCCTACCTAGGTAGACGAGGTCAAGTTTATAGTGCATCACCCACTAAAAGCTCAGCGCCTTTAACGGGCCGAGGTATCGGATCTCCGAGCTACACCCGCGTATACTGAATCCCAACATCGACTTCACTTATACAAGACACTTTTATTTATCTCAACCCCAATTTAATCACTAAATCTATGAACATGGCAGCTTATACTATATTATCACGTCATTTTCTCCGTTCAGCAAAACTCCCACCGTCATCAATCCTCTCATATCAAACCCGTCTCATGACATCCTCAAGTTTTCCGGCCTGGTTCGCCAGAGGAGGCACATCGAACGGTCTTGTCATCCACCGCGAAGACCTCCCTCATGAATCCCAATGGAATCAGGTTCTCCCTTCGGCAATGGGCTCGCCTGATCCGTACGGACGACAGCTGAACGGGATAGGCTCGGGCATCTCATCGACCTCCAAGATTGTCATCCTAGGACCACCCTCGCGAGAGGATGTTGATGTAGACTTTACTTTTGTGCAAGTTGGAATCAAGGATGGCAGTCTTGACATGGCTGGGAACTGCGGGAACATGTCCTCTTTGGTTGGCCCTGCGGCGTGGGATAGTGGTTTGGTCTCACCGAAGACTGTCGAGAAGGATGAGGATGGTTTGCAGTGGGCGACCGTGCGGTTTCTGAACACGAATACCAACAAGGTCATAGCATCAAAGTTTCAAGTGGATGGCGAGTCTTTGAGATACACACATGAGGGTGAATATGCTATGGATGGAGTGCCAGGCACAGGGTCGAAGGTGATCATGAGCTTCCTCGACCCGGCTGGTGCGAAGACTGGGAAAGCCCTCCCAACAGGGAACGCCGTGGACACACTCGAGCTAGAAGACGGTACCAAAGTCGAGGCATCTCTTGTTGATGTTGGAAATCCTGGTGTTTTTGTCAGCACCGAGAGCTTGGGACTGGCAGATCATATGGCCCTCACGCCAGCCATCGTGGAAGCAGATCCCAACCTTAAGGCCAAACTGGAACAAATACGCCAATCTGGCGCTCGCCTAATGGGCCTCGATCCCAAAACCGAGAGCGTCCCCAAGATAGTTCTCCTGTTCCCCTCGAGTAGCTCATCAGATGTCGATATCAGATGCCTCGCCTTGTCGATGGGCCAGGCGCACAAGGCCGTTCCATTGACCCTCGCGCTATGTCTGGGAGCTGCTTCTCAACTGAAGGGCACTGTTGCGTCTGATCTTGTGGGAGGCAACGCCAAGGATACGGTTACTATCGGACATCCGAGTGGGAGGGTTGATATTGGGACTGTTATTCGAGATGGGAAGATTGAGTCTGCGCAGCTTCTGCGGACTGCGAGGGTTCTCATGAAGGGTGAGGTGTACTACTAAGAATTATGTTTATACAGTTGTACTTGTATTTGACTGCTTGTACTTTATTATGTTCATTATTATGCTTCTTCAAACCGAGTTGGTTATCTGATCACAGACAAGGATATGAACCCACCGCGACTCTTGGTTCAACATCTGCCTTTTGTGACAGACTTGTACGGTTGACAGCACTAAGCCTTCTCACATTAATTGAAACAGTTGAACAAGACATGAGCATCGCTATCGCATGGTAAGAATAACTTGCACCTCTGGAAGGCCATCACGTGATAGACAAGGGGTGCTAATTAAACCATCTCATCAGAAGTCAACCTATATTCTCTATATTCTTCTTGAGCGTCGCCAACAGCAAAAAACAGCCAATTGATCAAGATATTGCTAAAACTCTCTCATTCGCAACAAAGTACCACTGGCCTATCTTCATGTCTTCAAAACTCCACCACAAACTACATTCATATTGAGCAATGGCGGACCCTAAACACCCATACTTCCCATTAGACGCCGTGATCCCAGGCTATATCCCCAACATCACCGGAGTCACAGAATTGATAGTTACATTTGGTGCCATAGTCGGTGCTGTTGTCGTCTCTGCCCTGTGGCAGACTACACGTACTCAGAAACCAGTTCGCCCTATTGATCGCTTTGCTGTTGCTTGGTTTGCGCTCTGTGAGTCATAACTAATTATGCATCTGCACGAAACGAGAAGAGCAAAACCTAACTTGGATCTCGGATTATAGGCGCTTTCTTGCATGTGGCTTTTGAAGGTGTGTTGAAGCTCAAGCCTCTGGTATCGCACGGCTCCAAGGGTCACTGACTGATACCTTCAAAGGATACTATCTCGTGTATCGCCATCAACTACCTAGCATGTCAACTCTCTTCGCCCAGCTATGGAAAGAATACACGCTCTCAGACTCCCGCTACCTCACACACGACATCTTCACCGTGAGCGTAGAGACAATCACATTTGTAAGTCTCCCTCCTCCCCCTCTCTTTCAATGGTTCTTCCACAGTCTCACACAACTTGTCCCCCTCTCTGCAAAGCTCGCATGGGGTCCCCTCTCGCTCCTCACAGCGGTCGGCGTCCTCAAGGACTGGCACAGCCGCCACGTCGTGCAGGTCATCGTGTGCACGGCGCATGCGTACGGAGTCGCCCTCTACTACCTGACCAACTGGAACGAGTCGAGGGTGCATGGCGTGGCGTACAGTCGCCCCGAAGCACTGTACTTTTGGGTCTACTACGTGGGTTTCAACCTTCCCTGGGCAGTTGTGCCTCTTGGTAAGTAACGCATGATGCTAGGACTGGGCTGTAGAGGGGAAGGGACAAGTACGTGTGCTGACTCGGCGTATAGTGCTGCTGCGTGATAGTTGGCAGCAAGTTTCCCAGGCGTTTGCTGCTCTAGAGGAAAAGAAGATGGAGTGACTAGCCAACAAGGTCAGGCATAGACCGGTTGGTAGCATCGCTACAGAGTGAGGCTTGTTACCAGTTTCAGGCGATAGAGTCGTTGCAGTAGACACGACTACGCAGTGAAACACAACATGTTGAACTATCGACTGTTCTAGAACTCAGTATAATCTGGCACCACAGATGTGTATACCAATACCAAACATAGTGCTTCAGACCTCTGATCGTGCATTGTGTAAGGCTTAGCCGACCTATGATATACAACACATATTCATATTCTTCAGCAGGCAACTTCCAACAAAGACAAAGCAGAAGCTAGTACGCCTTGTCACATCTTGCCATGGCATCAATGCGGTGTATTGTGCCAGTGACAGGCAACACCAGCTGCTATATCTACGACCTAAACTACAACAAATGTACTCTCCTCCTCTTACACTTACTTACACCTCAGTCTCAGCCTCACCCCCAACCAACACCCCCCATACCCTGCCCTACCCTACCATAATCTACCCTTATCAAAACCTCCCCAAACCCTCATCCTTGCCTCTCAGTACCTCCTGGCCTGTAGAAAGGTCACTACAAGCCTAGTATATATCACTCCCATGCCGCCCCTCGCCTCGTTTCCATGCCCACCCCGTATCGCCCCCCGTGCCATGCTGCCGGATTCCGAACGCTGTGAGCCGCTGCAGCGGTAAAGAGTCGCAGGCCTCATTTATCTGTCCAAGGCTTCAGCGTCAGAAGGAGCCCTATACATAAAGCATGGGTATTGAAACGGTCACTTGACTACCGTATGCTCACTCTCATGTAGTTAGTGTATATACACAACTTCTCTCCTATTCGTGATATCTCATGTCGTGAGGCTGGCAACATCGGAAAACTGCTTACCAAGGGCCTCCTTCTTTCGAGTTTATTACGCCAAGTAACAGTCACACCGCATCCCGACGGGTTGGACGCTATATATGGGCGTGCATGCAATATTACATATAATATTACTCAAGTCGGTGAAGAAGAGTGTTGATGACTGTGGCATTCATTACTCTATGAATGCTTCGGAGGAATATTATACGCTCAACTATTCAAAACAAATGTCATAACACGTGTATAACGAGACTTGATTATATACACACTTATATCTATCCTGTGATATCGTCAAGTGGAATATGATCGTCACCAAACTATCCAAGCCACAACCCCTGTCTCCCGTGTTATTAACCCCTGCAATTGCTACACACTACCTACAGTATTAGCCACACGATTCTATACCGCCTCATTAAGCAATACCCAGACAGACAATGAAACAACTCCCGGCTGCTTCATCACCTCTAAATGGCCACCGACATCAGTCCCACATCGTCTTGTAATAGTTAAGGGAGTCAAGTTTCTATCATAATCTGGTCATTTGTCGATAAGTGAGGCGGAAGCTGAGAAAGCTAACGAAGATCCTAGTATATCTTCTGACTGTAGCCTCCAACACTAACGCAGAGTTAAACGGTTGCACTTATGAAGATCAAACCGCAATACTACCAGTCATTCTATCATCAGAGGGGTCCGTGGGTTACACACGTGTAAGCGCCAGGGGTAATACAGTTCCAATATGCAGAAAACACTTTAAGCTTTGTTCCAAGGCAGCCAAATATGCACCTGTTCGATTAAGCTAATCCCATCACATATCGCATGCCCTTTTACCACGAACAAAAGGTGTAGATAAGAGGTAACAGACACAAAGAATACATTCTACTCATGACGCGTTGATGACCGAATGCGCACAGTTTGATACCCTAAACTCCCATGTCCAACCCCTAGTCAAACATACCTATGATATTCCTGACCTCCTGACCGATTCGCCATGCCCATATGCCCACTAATGCCTGATCAAACCCTGAAAAAGACTGTACGGTACTCGTTTCAAGTACCTCTTGAATAAAGAAATCTTCTTCTACTGTGTAGCGTTCTCAATCCGCAATGTCGACGCTGCTGCGGGAGGAAGCAGCCGACACAGGACGTGGCGGTGGTGGCATTGGAGGAAAAGCCGCCGTCACAATTTCAATATCGAACTTGGGGATGCTCGAAGTGCTGCGGAACAAACCAGTCAAGTCGTTGCCAAAAGCCGCCATCTCGTATGTGTCGTCCTCGCCCAGTGTAACACGACGGACTGTGGCTCTGAGAGCTCCGTTACCATTGTTGCCACGACCTGGTAGAGGGTGGTAAGGTGGCGCAGAGGGGTTGGAGAATGACATGGGACGTAAGTTTGCCTCGTTCGTTGCAAGGACCTGCAGGCAATGAAGAGTTGGCGTCACGTTCACGAGCATGTTTCTCTTGCCGTTGCCAGGCCAGTTGACGCTAAGACGTGCGGAATACGTCTTGCCCATCGGGTGTGGAATGGGAATGTTTCTGGCGCCTGGTGGTGGTGGAACCATCGAGGGAACTGGTCGAGCACCTGGAATAGGGGCAGGTAGTGGTGCTGGAACTGGCACTGGAGCTTGCATCGGATGGCTCCATGCTTGGGGAAGGTTGTGCATATGCATTCCGGCTGGACGATGAGGGAAACTCATCCCCCAAGGAGGACTACGACGACGAGTGGGCTCATCGCTGTCGCTAGCAGAATGTGCCTCCTCTCGCTCTGTGTGTGTACTCGCTGCTTCATTAACTCCTCGGCTGCTGCGGTGACCACGGCGATGAGATCGGCGGGGAGGAAGTACAGAATCGTCAGAGTCAGACACAAATGCCTCGCTGTCAGAAGACCCGCAGGCAATAACATCTGGTTTCACTGAGCCACCACGCATACCACTTGAAGGTTTGGAGGTGGTACTGGGAGGGAGATCGTAGCCGTGACAGGTTACATATTGATGAGCCACACGCGCCGAGGCCTCGTGAAGCAGCTCGAGGGCACGATCGGGTCTCGATGCCTTGTTCTCAAGAATCTTTGAACGCTTTCCACCTTCTGTCTTGAGAACAAAAGCGTACCACTCATCACTCGAGTCGATCCGGGTCAAGACGCTGAATTCGGCATCTTGGCCTCCAACGAAAGCACGGCAGTTTTCTAAAATACCAGGCCGAGTCAGCTGTGTATCTTGAAAGTTACTTAGAGGAATCCTTCACTCACGTAGAGTAAGACTCTCCAGGTCTAGGTGAAGAGGTGCCATAGCTGACTGAGATGGAAGTGCTGGATTATGACAGGCTCGACGCAACAGGGTCATTGATGAGAGAAAGAGCTTTACAAGGTATCGTTGAAAGTGTCGGAGAGAGGTGATAGTAATGATATAGTGAGTATAACTATCAATTGAGAGAGAGGAAATGCAACACCTTTATGTAGATAGCATGCAGGGTGAAGACGGAGGGTGTGGCTCGAGAAGAGGACTGAGTATAACATCCCATAACCAATTGGCATACATCAACCAGGAAGGAGATTAGCAAGTTGATAGATGACGCCCCCACAGGAGTATAGCTGTACCAGGGCGAGGAGCCAGCCGGCCACTAATGTGTCTATCCAGAGTTGTAGGTATGTATAGCCGAGAGATAGGTACAAACCTGGCACCATATTCCAAGCATCCGTCCACAAAGCTCTGCCGCTTTGAACCCTTTTGTCACCGAAGTCTTTTTCGTGTTTCACAATGTGTAAAGTCAGGCAAAGCTTAACGATAGACAATTCGTAATCGTGATACCACCAAGGTGTTGAGCCGGACCTCAAAAAGCAGACACGTCGTCGAAAGCAGCACAACAACGGGTTGCAATATCGTGGCTACCGCATAGGAACCAGAGTGTTGTTCCCAACAGCCAATGGTTGATACCAGGTACAGGCACATTGCATTCCCTTTAGGCCAGCCACTGTCTAAAACATCCTATACCACAGCTGCATTTAAGGCAACATATCTAGCCTGTCTCAGCCAGTGGTTTTGAATCAATTCAAGGATCTTCCTTTTTTTTTTTTTGTGTGTGTGTGTGTATGTGTGGTCAGCATCGTTCGCAACCATCCGCACCGATGTATCCGCCTTGTATGTTGCGTGCCTTTTCTTTTGTGGTACATATACCACCTCAAAGCAGCCCGCTTTCTTTGATTTCGTGCTTTGTTCTGGGTTGGAAATTAATAAAAGCATGCAAACTAGAATAGAAACATCAGCAAACAACTAATGAAAGTAGGCAAGCATCTTAGCCACATAAACAGTTGATGGGCTGACGCTTTCGGGGTTGGTTGTCTCTCTTCGCGCCTTGTTTTTGTGATTGGACCACAGAGAAGCATAAACCAGCTGGTCGCTACTCAACAAAGCAATATCTATGCTGATAGCAACAGGGGTCGCGAGCCTGATGAGGTTTTCAAGGAGTTAAGACAATGCCATCAATTCCTGTCTCCGTTATCATCAATTGCGCTTTCTTTTGTTCCAGGTTTACCACTCTTGGCTGTTGGGCGCAAGTGGATGTGATTGACGTGTGGATGCTATCTTGACGATCTCGCCTTAATGGTAGCCTCACTCGTCGTCCAACTCAAGGAAAGACTGTCTTAGTTTTTGGCTTTGGATGCAATTGAAAAAAAGGGTTAGCACAGAAAATATATTCAGGGAACGACGAGTGAAGTTCGAAATTCGAAAATCCAACCGGGGATACGTCTTATTATACTCTTCAGGGTCGTAGGTATCGTACATGTTTTCAGCTTCAGGTATTGGTCTGCAGACGCTCCAATCGCGCAGTGACAGCTTCCACCAATGCTGTTTCTCTCGAGAGCAGCCCTTGAACCTGCTGCATCTTGGCCCGTCGAACCTCATGCGGGATCCGTAACTCGGCCGAGGGTGTAGCGGGCCCATCCGTGTCCCCTGTCGCCTTATTCACGGCCTCCACCTCGGCTGCAAGATCGGCCTGCAGGTGCTTAATGTCTTCCAGACGTTTCCACAACTGTTTGGCCTGCGCCGGTGACGGCTTCGCCTTTCCTGACGCCAGCTCTGCATAATCCGGAGCTGACATGCTTGCTTCCATGGATCTAACCTCTTCCACAAATGCGTGCTCCTTGGCGCTTAAGTCACGAGTTGTCGCCTTGCCTACAATCTTGCGCAGGTTTTCAAGGCGTTCAGCAAGCTGACCCTGCCGGTCCTTTGCTGTTGCGACTCGTCGATCATACATAGCATTCTCCGCTTCTCCATCGCGATGCGACCCGTTAATTGTGTCGATCTTGCCCTTCACTTCATTGGCTTTCATGACTTGCTGCTTTAGCTCATTCTGGAGAAGCTCACATCTCCGGAATACTTCAGCCGCGGCCATTCCAAGGCGGTGCGTCTCATCTGCCAAGACCTTGTGCGCATCGGTAAAGATCTGCAGTGTAAGTGGACTTAATCTCACTTCCTGGTTAACGACCGTCTTGTGCCGAGATGTACGAAGCCTCTCCAGTAGAGTAGGCAGGGCAGAACCCTCGTCGAATGCATGCGATGGGTTAAACACAGGGCGAGGTTCGTAAAAGTCCAGCGGCGCCATGCTGGCCTCGCGTTCGTATTGGGGACTTTCCTGGCGAATCGGCGCAAGATCAACTTCGGGTGTATCGAAGGTCAAGGCAATAGGTTCATAAGGAGTAGCTGAGAGGAGGAAGTACCCAACATCAGGATCCCGCAGGACATTGCATGCGGCCAAGGGAACTGCAATATCGGCAGTGGGCTGCGAATAGATACGGTCTCTCGATGACTGAGAGTTGACAAGCAGGCCAATTCTGAAATCAGTTCCTGCTTCAGAATCTCCATTCAGCTCACTCTCAAGGCGGAAGATCCAAGAGGTGAGAGATATGAATGTGATAGCGGCATGATGGGTGACGAAGAAGTTATAGCGAGACGTCACATCGGTACTGAATACTGGCCAGCTCTCCTCGTTGACTTCAACTGGGCTCATTGTGTCGATGGCCTGGAAAGAGAGGAGAGAAGGGGGATCAGATTCGGCTAGGAGTCGACCGAGCTTGTTCTTGTTCTTGGGAGGCAACCACTGAGCCTGGATACCTTCGAGATCGAGATATACGCGAACTTGTCCGCTTGTCGACAGAAGACAGACCACAGTAAGAGACAGGCCTTCCTGGTCCCCATCATCCATATCGAGATCTTCTTCTTCGCCCATCATGAGCTCCTCCGTCTCTGTCTTCTTTCCGATCACAAGCATATCAGTAACCGAAGTATCCAGCTCGTCGCCAGTTTCAGGATCCGACTGAAGCTCAAACGGTCCTTGCAGACGGGGAATGATACCAGGTCGGTTTGGTCGTGTATAGATTTCTGTGATAGGCTCGCCAAGCGGTCCCTCGACAATCGTCGGCTCTTGAGAGTCCAGCTCGCCCATCCACTCCAATTGCTGTTGAGCGAGGAGCTTCTCCCGCTCTCCAACCTCAGGGTCATCCTCGATACTAGCAACAGTAGTGACGATTGAAACTGAGAGGGAGGGAATCAAGGTAGGGGGGGGTGCCCATTTTTGAGGCAGCAAAGGACACAAGGCGTAGACATCTCCCTCTCGCATGGCTATCCATAAAGTCATAGAGTTCCAGCCACCAGCCCCTTTAGTAGAGAAGCTGGCCGTAGCGACCTCCATCTCAAACGAGTCGGGTGAAAAAGCTATGTTGGTGGCCGATGTCGAGGCAGAAAAGTCCTGATCTAAGGTTGTACCATCCACCAGTTTCTTCAGGTCGACAGACGTACTAGGTGTGTCGAATGACCATCGATCGGTAGTGGACAATTCCCAGACACGTACGATAGCGTCAGCAGTAGTTGTGACAATGCAAGTGCCAGAAACTCCCAGAGGATGCCATAGAGCAGAGGCAATGGGCGATCGAGAAGTAACGTGGGTGGTAGGTCCGAGGGTGAAAATCTTGGGCTTGAGAGGACCAACATCTTCGCTGGTAAGGTGAGAGGGGTCTGGGAGGACGCAGATATGTACAGTGTAGGTCGTCAGAATGGCCAAAAGGTTCGAGTTCGGTGAGATGATAAGCTGTCGAATGTCTTCGGCGGCAGGCGTCTTGATGGTCTGCGCGGTGATGAGAGTTAGTTATCCATATGTAAGTCGAGATTCTTAGACATACCCTCATTCCTGGAGCATTCTCTACATTCTCGTCATCGAATGATTGTGTCGAGTCCTCGCGCTTGACACGAGGACCTTGCGATGACCTTCCTTTGGAGCAACGACTCGCCCATTCATCCTTCAAGTAGGCAAGATCTCCCCAGCGAATCTCACGGCCAACAGCAACAAATATTTCAGTGCCCCGACGAGCAATGGTTCTGCGGGGACCAGGGGGCGTTTTCTTCTTGGAGGAGTAGGTTGATTCTAAACCGCGAGACTTGGAGACCTCGGTTGATTGCTCGAAGAGGCGATGACCGGGAGTGTTGCTAGACAGCCAAGCTGCCGAATAGCTCTTGACCTTGGGCATGGTGAAGGACCAGAGTCAGAATTCGCCGGCAGAGATTGGCGTGTAGCTTCGCGATGCTCGTGAGATTAAAATGCGACCTGCGTGAGCTACGAAAAGTACGTATAATTGAGTGTAAGTCGCGATACTCAATGTTTTTGTAGAAAAATAACGAGGCTGAAGATCTGGGGCTGGCGTAGTATGCGTCGATGGAAAGCTTAGCGCCTGTAACCACAGCACCAAGAAGCAGGTACTGGGTATGAAGCCACTCGCACCGCCACAGTTACCTCCATGGCCCGCTCGCATCGCAAGGCTACTTGAGCTGCGCCAACATTCACCATCACGAGCATTCAGCAACCACAAGAACTACACCCGGGCTTTGTCGCATACAAAATCCACGGTTTATCCTGAAATCTCCAAGATCTATTATAGTCGTCTCTTGCTTCATATACCCGAATAAGATCAGCAACAATGCGGCCAGGCGTCAGAAGTACTGTAGAGCGCCTGGATAGGCCCAGCGCCTACTATCAGAACCGCGTATGGCACTTTTCCACGCTCCGTGTCAATACATACTAACATCGTGCCAGAGCAAGCGGAGACGCGATCGTGATGATGACAACGATCAACCCCAAGAGCCCCAGGTCGATCCTTTAGCCAATGCTACAACCCTTTACGTGGGCAACCTGTTTGTCTCCCGAACTTCAACACTTTTAATGCCACACCCGCAAGTCTCCAGATGCTAACTTTCTGTGCTACTAATAGGTCCTTCTACACAACTGAAGAACAGGTCTATGAGCTTTTCGCAAAGTGTGGTGAAATCAAGCGCCTCGTCATGGGCCTCGACCGCTTCAACAAAACACCCTGCGGTTTCTGCTTCGTCGAATACTACACACATCAAGACGCCCTCGACTGTTTGAAGTACATTGGCGGCACTAAGCTCGACGAGCGCATTATCCGTACCGATCTGGATCCTGGTTTTGAGGAGGGACGCCAATTCGGCCGTGGCAAGTCTGGTGGACAAGTACGCGACGAGTACCGCGAAGACTTTGACGAGGGCCGAGGAGGAGTTGGCAGGGCGATACAGGCTGATGAGCGAGACGAGTACGCTGAGGGGAAGTAATCAAGCAGAGAGAAAGAAGAGGTGGTGCCGGGAGCGAGATTCGGGCCTCGATACCCTTAGATTTAACAAAGAACTTTCAACATTTGGGAATTTGGACTGTATTCCCTGCTTTCTATGTGCCTTTCTGACATTCCTTCCTTTGTCTCCTTTCCCAATACGCGCCCTTGGTCTATTCCTACACTGGCACCTAAGACCGCCGCGAAAGCTTTTGTGTGGTAACATCTTAGCAAATGTTGTCGTAACATCATCTCGCAAATTCGTAGTTGAAACAAAGGTTATTGTTGTACATGGACCCCAATGCGGATCCGCCTGCAATTCCCGCTCTGGGATGAATACGCCGTTCTCCATTCGATCCTCGGCTCGGTAATCTTCCTCCTCCTCCAATTCGGTAAAATCGAGCTCTAGTAACCGGGTGGGTTGACTCGCTGTGACACCCTCGTCCACTTGGGCAGCTCTGTTTTCATGTCAGTACCTGGATCCATTCAATTGGGTGGTCTGAGCATAGGAACATACTGTGAATGCCCTTGCGGTAACGCTTGGCCTTTCGGTCAAACATGGTGTACTTGTCCTTGGGCAGCATTTCCGCCTCGGTAGGCATCTCGGCCTTCCATCGCTCAAGGGCCTCAAGAGTCTGTCCCTTCTTAGCGAGAGCAGCGTCGACGGTCGCTACAACACTGTCGACGGCTCGGAGACGAAGTCGGTGGCGGCGCTTCTGGAATTTGGACATCCGCCAGGGGATCTTCCATAGAAGACCGCTCGATAGAGGATTCGTGATGCGGAATGCGCCGAACATCTTGGAGGATTATGGCGGGTTAAGAGACACAGTCGGAGGAGGGCTTTGCGGAGTATCGAATGGAGGTCAACTTTTTCCGGGTAGCAGGCGGCTGTGATAGACGCGGATGCGCTTAGTCTAGCGCAGAGAATATGGTTGGCCAAATTAGCGGGAAGCCAGCGGAACATTGTGAGACCCGGGTGCTAAGGGACGGTCAGTGGGGGGGCTTGTTCCAGTGGGGGAAGCTTAAGTTACCGTATAGAGCTGCGCAAACATTCCGTTCATTACTGCGCGTACTGCAACGGACGAACCGATCGATACCTCTATAACACATCTTCGCGACTCAGCATTGCCAAACAATATTCCGAATACATAGTCTATGCGGTACGCCACATTATGAGTTACTACTTTGCCATCGTTGGCACCCAGGACAACCCGCTGTTCGAGCATGAGTTCGGTACCTCCAAACAGGGCGGCGACGGCCAGTCGCGCTTCAGTGACCAAGTCCGTCATCTGAACCAGTTCATTCTTCATTCGAGTCTTGATATTGCAGAGGAGGTGCAATGGTCACATGGACAGATGTGAGTAGTCTAAGTAGAGCTGAGAAGGATGGGTTAGGAGTAGACAACGATGCTTTCGACTGCATATGGTCACAAGTATACCGTCAAGAAGCACAAAGGCTGACAACTTTCTTATTTAGGTACCTAAAGTGTATCGACAAATTCTTCAACAACTATATATCATGCTTCGTCACTGCAGGCAACGTCAAATTCCTCCTGCTCCACCAACCCATCGTCCCGACATCAGGGGCATCATCACGGTTGTCAACCGCTATTGGCGCCAATCCTACCAGTCCAGCCACTGAGGAAGCCATCAAGATGTTCTTTACAGAGGTGTATGAGAATTGGGTCAAGGCTATCATGAGTCCCTTCTACCGCGCGAATATGGAAGTACGCAGTCCTATCTTCAGGACGAGAGTAGCTGCTGCAGGGAGGAAATATCTTTAGGTGCAGATAGAGTTACGTGTTCTGATGATACCATGTCTGCATTTGGAATAAGTAGACTCGAGCCTTAATGTTTACTTCTTAATACATGTGCCTGAATGTTTTATTACTTGCAGCGAGAGATAAGGTGCAAGCCGTTACAGATTATGAGCATACACAGAAGGTAATGGGGAACTATCATTTGATCAATGTTCAATGTGGTATTCATTTCGCAAGGTCGTCTTCCATGACGCCTAGTGGTAATATCATATCCGTGTTTCCCCAACGCCATAGTCAAGTACATCCATCCCAGTGCTTGTAAACGTGCATCTGTGTAATCCTTCTCCGAACCAAGCAATCCACCTAATAATGTGGAAGCATCGCTTAACCACCGAAACCGTAAAGGGTGCGGCCCTGTCGCTTGAGGGCGTAGACAACATCGAGGGAAGTGACGGTCTTGCGCTTGGCGTGCTCAGTGTAGGTGACGGCGTCACGAATGACACCCTCGAGGAAGGTCTTGAGAACTCCACGGGTCTCCTCGTAGATCACTAAAGAGTTGTGGTTAGCATCCTGCTGGTTTATAAATGTATGGGTTTCAACTTACTGGCAGAAATACGCTTGACACCACCACGACGAGCAAGACGTCGGATAGCGGGCTTGGTAATACCCTGGATGTTGTCTCGCAAAATCTTGCGGTGACGCTTGGCACCACCCTTGCCGAGGCCCTTGCCGCCCTTTCCACCTGTGAAAAGTTAGTATCGTGAAGCTTATGGAGTTGAATGCATCACATCAACGCGTCATGATCGTCGAAGACAACCATGCAGTGACGGCTGAAGATGCATCATAGAGGAAAGATACTTACGTCCAGTCATGTTGATAGATGAAAGTGATAAAAGGTTTGATGAAAGAGATGAATGTGGCGCGTTATCGCGATATTGTAGATGACGTTGATTTGTAGAAACGCGTTGATGCGGAGTGAGTAGTAGAAGGGGGAAAAGAGGCGGTGGGGAGTGAGAAGAGGAGAAATAAATACGTGCAGGCAATCAGTAAAAGCAACAACTGCAAGCGCCAAAAATCACTGCTAAAATGCGGGCAGGATCAGTGGGAAAATGGGCTCTCCAAATTCATTGTTGCAGTGCGCTATTCCCGTTTCGGAGACGCGCGTGAGTAGAGGTGCGGTTCGATTTTTTGATTGGCTGATTTCATAGATCACTCCCGTCCCGCCTTCTGGGCTGCAGAACTGAGGCGGGGGGTGGATCATGTTGAGTCTCTCTATGCCAGGTACAGAGTACAACCGTACATCTGCTTTTGGCTTTCATTTGGGTCACACAAAGAACTTAAACGCGTTTACTTTCCTTCCGTTGCAAGATCTGATATGGCCATGGACCTGGGACATGTCGTTCATTATATATATTACCGACTGTTTACGATGTCGCTCAACTTTATACACTTTATTATTAGAGACCAGATCATGATCAACACATTCGTAAAATGTTGGACTTTGTTCTAATTCACATACTAGTACCCTACCTGAGGTATTACGCGTAGTGTGAGCCGTATCTCCGTTATGGCATAACATGAATCACAGTACCTTGGGTAGTTTATAGACTCGCCTCAAAGTTTCTTTTCCAACAATCGATACTCTGAACACAAAGTTTCATCCCTTCTCAATCATAAAGGAGCTTCATCCAGTTGGCGCATGATGGTCATCGGGTTCATCAGTTCATAGATATTCCTAGCTCGGTCTCTTCACTCTGACTATCAGGGTATCCATACACCAATTCCACGCCTCTAAAAGTCCATCCTCGAATCCTTGTAATGTACAAGTACTACAACGCGTGGATGCTCGGACTACATATACACAAAAGCGAAAGCCGCTCTTCCATTTGCACGCGAGAGTTCAAGCCGCTCAACCAGCCTAATCATACCAGAAAACGCCAATGCCATGCCCATGCTCTTGTACCAAAGTCAACAGTAGCGCCGACCCCTCGGCCCCCTATGCCATATATTCGTCCCTTGCCGTCGACCACTGGCACCGCATTCCATATACTTCGTAATGCTGATCATCCTAAAACCAAGGCTACCAAACGCAAGTGCGGACTGTAAAATCGCAATGCTCATGATAATCATCACATCATCGAGTCGTCCATCTCCACGTCGTCCTCAAAACTCTCAATAGCTTCCTTGATCTGTTGACTTGCCTGTAGTATCGTTAGTATCGACTTGCCCGGCTCTGAAAGATTCGAATAGCTTACCTTGGGATCCAGGGCAAGGGCAATAGTAAAGTGCCGTACCGAGAGCTGCTTTTCGCCCATGCTTCTATACAGTTTGCCGAGGAGGAAGTGAACTGTCGCCTCATCAGGCGCCAAGTCCTTCAGTATCATCAGCTCCTTCTGTGCCGCTTCTAATTGACCAACAGCAAGGAGTGCCCTGGCCTTCTTGTACCGCGTTTGGGCGGCACGAGGCGCAAGCTCTACTGCTTTGCTGTACGCTTGTAGAGCAGGCATGATTTGTTTCTGCTTCTCCAACACTGTTCCGATGCAAGTGATTAGAACCGCATTATTAGGGTTGATGCTTTGAGCAGCATGGAAGTGTGTGTACGCCTTGTCATATGCACCGAGACGCTCCTGGACTCTTCCGATACCATAGTAAGCATTGTAGTGGCGTCGGTCGGCTGATATCGCCTGTCGGTATGCTGTAAGTGCCTTATCGTATTCCTCGTTGGTAACATGCTCGTGTCCCTGCAGGGTGAAGGCATATGCAAACTTGGGGTCCAGCTGAGTTGCTCGCATAAAGCACTTGAGTGCTTGTTCGTGATCGCGTGCTAGTGACCAGGCATTGCCTAGGGCGCACCAGGCTTGAGGTGAAAGCCAGGCCGCGTCAACTAATTCATGTGCCAGGAAAGACAGTTCTGTCTCCCTCCTCAGGTGCCACAGTGTTGTAGAATACACCTCCATATCTTCAAGCCGGGACGGGGCTTGCACTCTCATCTTCCGGAAGAACTTTTCGGCCTCAGCATATGAAGCTTGTTCATAGTGAGCTCGGCCCATCTGCGCGAGCACCCAAGGCGTGTTTTGATGAGACATAGGAAGTGACTGGAAATGCTGGAGACTGTCGGTACATTGAAACTGCGATAATGAGTAGTATCCGCTTGCGAGCTTCCTTGTAAGCTCCAGTATCCACTTGAGTCCATCTTCGAGTCTTTGAGAATCGAGCTCAAACGATTTGTGAACAGGTGGTGGGGGAGGAGCCTCCTTGGCTCTCGGTGCCTCGCCGTGATCAACTTCGGGGTGGGCTTCTTCCAGAGGCTTGCGGTTACCGCTGACCACGCGGCCGACACTAGTAGAGCCGCTGGATCCAGGTCGACCCAAGCGAGAAATCGGGGGTCTAGCCTTCTTTAACTCCCGGACACCCGTCGTCCCCATTGTGGCCACGCTCGAGTTTGCTTTGGATGATGGTCTAAACATGTTGAGCCGTGCACTACGTCGGGTCATCGCTGGTTCCTCCGGGTTTGTCGTTCGTTGTGCTGGGTGTCCCGAGACAGTTCGTTTCCTCTCCACTGCTGGTATTGACGACCGCAAAGATGCCGAAGGAGCCGCATTGGATGCATCAGTCATCACGTTTTCTGTCGACTGCTCTTGTTGTCCCTTGTCTTGCGCCCGAGTCCGTCGTGATCCAATGCGGTAGTTCATTCTTGGGGGCGCCTCTTGGCCTTGGTCAATGGCCTGAGCATGCCGTGTTCTTCGAGGCGGCGCCTGAGGAGGCTCGTGGGTTTGACCTTGGCGGGAGGAGGTTGTGAGAGAAGATATCGGACCGGGACCAGGCGGTGTCTCCATGCCGTCGAAGCCAGAGCTGCTGTTAGTTGATGTTGCATAACGCATACGTCCCTCCTGTATCTTCTGCATAAAGTCGCTCTTATCGCCTTCGTGAGCCGAGTCGCCATTAGGTAGCTCGTGTCCAGCAGGAGGATGGCTCGAGCTAAAAGGATCTCCTCCAGCGTCCGTTGCCACATTTCGTTGGGATTTCTTCGTCGGCACGTCTGCAACAATTGGGATAGATCCTTCTCTTGATCTTGTGGGGTTTGCCTCCAAATCGAAGCTATGGACAAGCGTGTCGTTAGGTTTAAAGATGTTGGGTACGCGAACGGTGACGCCGAGGTCGCAAAGAGCCGTGAACGCATCCCACATAAAGGGGTTGAGCTGCAAAGCTTCTTCGAAGCATGCGACGGCCTTTTTCTTATCATCGTAGCCACGATGAAGTCTTCCCAGAAGACACAGCACTGCAGGCGCATCAGGAAGAGCGGTTCTAGTGGTTGCGCTATGCTTCCCCAAACTAATATTTGATGCCCAGAAACTCCGAGCTTTCTCCAAGGCGGAAATGCCATCTTTATGGCGTTCAAGAGCCAGACAAGCTTGGGCGAAGACCCAAGCACAGCCCAAGTGGACGCCGCGATAACCTATGGGTTTGCTGGCGTCGTAGGCGGAGCGAAATTCGCCTAAACGCAGATGACATAGCGCATAGAGATATGAAGACTCGCTGGACCTGGGGTCCTGTGCCGTCAAGCGTTCGGAGAAGAAGAGAGCATTGTCGTAGGAGGCGTTATCAAGATGATAGTGTATCACTTGTCTTAAAAGGCCATTCGTGGCCGTCGGAGTGGGCGCCATGCTGAGGATTGCTGTTCAGCGACAGGGCTTGAGGAGGTTGGGGGTTCGGTAGGTGATGGCGCTGATGGGGTTGCCTAACGACGTGTTCTGGCCATGAGACGGTAGATAGGGGCAATCGACGTAAAGGGCTGAATGACGATTGACCTAAGGATTCGCGACTGAGAGATCGGTCTGGTTAACTTCAAGTGTTTGTTGTCGGTCGAGGCCGTTCGCGTGAGTGGCGGGGACAGCCAAGTCGAAAGAAAACAAAGCAGCCGTGGGTCGGTCGCTAGGTGGTCGCAGTGGAAATCGACGTCGCCGAATGAATTAATGATTAATAAAACAACAAAAAGGTGAAGTCCGCGAAAGAATCTCTTTGGCCAAAAGTATCTTCACGATATTGCAGCCTAGCAAAGGAACAAGGAGGTCGTCAAAAGTAAGTCGTCAAAGTCAAGCGGCGACAGCTCGCTGCGTTTCGTGAACGGTGGTGGTGGGTCCTGGAGAAGGAGCGAGCGAACGAGGATGTTAATGAAGCTGGGACCGAAGGAGTAGCTCAAAAGCATACAAGGGATGAAGAAAGATGACAAGTTTTCCCTACTACCAGCTAATACAACTTCGATTTAAGTTGTGCATGGTATGGGTTTGCGAACTCGGCCTGAGCTTCAAGAGGTGTGGTGAGTAATGGAAGGTGCTGAACGTTACTGAACGAACGTACTTGCGTGAAACAGGCTTGAATGTTTGGTGGTGACGGGTTGGCAAGCGCGCGGTACCTAACAAGGATGATTTGGATGTTCTGATTGGTCCAGCGTTGCGCCTAGCAACCAGCTTTGAAGTATACATACTTGCTACCAGCCCAGAGGCTGGTGCGCCTGAGGGTACCCGAAATATGAGGTCTCAGAGCTCCTAGCCACTGAAATTTGTAGTTTAGGTCTATACCTGCAGGCTTAAATGGCCTCCAAATTTACGTGCAATCCTCAACGACGAGCATAGAACGAAATTATAGGACATTGGATTTTGGATACATGCTGTAATGTGTGTTGCAGATTTTAGCACTTGGAATCTTCAAATATCGCATTGTCTTTGTACCCCCTCTTTGCTTGGTCAATAGTTGGGATGGCTGCTGTAAAAAACAGCTGTCAGTGACAGCTTATTTCAGTATATAAGTGCTACATACATGACCCTTGATGAATTGGGGCTAGACGCTTTACCAAAGTATATTTAATATGCCCCTGTCAACAAATTCTACAGTATAAAAGCACAGTACGTCAAGATGGTTGGCGTAAGTCAACATACTAATATATCACGGCGATAATATATAGACCTAAATTTGAATGGCGGAACACAAGGTTCCCAGGAATTCGTTATTCATGACTGAGTATCCTACATCCACCACTCTTGCTGTGGGCAAGATCCTGATGTTCCCATCATTCTCTTCCCTCACAATGCCAGGACGTAGCCAAGCATCTTGACCACTGACTAGGACCGAGTCCACATTTAAGCAGCGATGGTGACCTCAACTTCAACACCGGCCTCGACTATAATATGATTAGGCACTGCGCAAATATTCCAACAGGACGGGATCTCTTACTGTTGACGATGACGGACTTGACAACCTCGGTGGGGGCGTGGAGGTCGATCAGACGCTTGTGGACGCGGAGCTCGTAGCAGTCCCAGGTCTTGGAACCCTCACCACAAGGGGTCTTGCGGGTGGTGATCTTGAGGTTCTTGGTAGGGAGGCGGACGGGGCCCTTGATGGTGAGGCCCTTGCTGCGGGCACGCTCAATGAGCTCGGCGCTGACCTTCTCAAGAGACTGGACCTTTCGGCTGGTCAGGGTGATGCGGATGCGGTGGCTCTTCTGTTGGGGGGATTAGCATCGTGGCCCAGACGATCGCATTCGCTGTCGCAGCGCGGTGTATCAACGTACGGGAGCGTCACCGACGTCCTTCTCGTTCTTCTGGTGAGACATTGTGAATAGGCTGGGCTGTCAAGACTCGGCAAAGGTGACTGCAACGGTAACGTGATGACGGCCTGGGAAGATTAGAGGGATAGATCTTTTTGTTGTAAAAGCAGTTCGCGATTTAGCCCCAAATTTACAAAAGTTGTGCGCTTATCGCTTATCGCAACTCCCCCACCATATCACACGTGACTGCGGATTGGTCTGATAGGTGTCTCTCGCTCAAGCCTACAGGAACGGGTCGAATACCGGACAGAAAGGTAGGTATTGTAACTTGAGTACATTGCAAGCAGTAGATAAGATTGAATACTTAGTAGCCTAATTACAGATCTTCTATTAGAATTACAGAAAGTCTGATTTCTTCTTTAACTTTGCCCAGTCTGCAACTTGAGCAAGTGATCACAAGGCGGAAAGTGGAGGTGCCTATCAGATCGCTGCAATTGAGAGCGATCCCTGTCATCAACATCCCACTTCGTAATTCCACTTCTCAAGTCAACAGTCAAGTTTTACTGCTCCTGACTTCTTTCCTATCGCCAATCGCTTAATCAGGTTCATATCAGCTCGAAACCACTTACCCGCAGCTGCAATGGCTCAAAAAGCGAAGAAGGACCGCGCCAAGTCTAACGCCGTGGCGCTCAACAACCTTCACATCGGATCACTCATTATAAATGCCCTCTTCATCCTCGCCCACTTCCTCTTCCGCACTCGCTCCATCTGGCTCTACGGGTTCCTTTCAGCACCCGCGTTTATCTGCGAGTATGTTCTCGAGTACTCCGGTCGCCCCAAGTACGACCCGAGCACCCGCGCACTGCGCACCTCTGGCGAGGATCTGTCCTCTCCTGGTCTGACTGAGTACATGTTCGACGTCATATGGGTCACCTGGGCTACAGTGATTATGGTTATTTTCTTTGGCAACAAGGCATGGTTCTTTTGGCTCGTCCTCCCTGCATATGGCGTGTATCTGGGCAGTGGTTTGCTCGGTATGGGAAAGCAGAAAATGGCCGAGTTCCAAGGAGCTGGTGATGGCGCCGGTGCTGGTGCAGCCCCCCCAGGTAATCGCAGGGCGCGCCGGGCTGCTTAAATGGATCAATTGGTCTATGGGCTTTCTATCTACCTCGATATTTTTGGTTGGTCTGTCTAAGATGTCTGGTTCGGGCGCTCTCCAGTCCATCGCTTAAGGGTGTCTTCGTCCACATTGTGGACCAATACATGAATGTGTTCCAAAGCGCGCACACTTTGAAGAGCCACCCAATTCTTGAACCACAGCACTCGGCTCTCGCCGTCTGGTCCCAGAGCGTCAATAAAGGTCTTTTTGACGAAAGATTGAACCATTGCCCTGCTCTCAGGCGTCATGTCACCAGTCTCAGAATCCGTAGGAATTGTTGTGTGCAACCATACGACAATATGTCGGATATCCGGATCCAAACCATAGGGCCAGTCATTGATCAGGATGCGGTAATCCGAAGGGTCTTTGAAAGGGGTAGTAGATACGGGCGTGAAAGGCGGGTTGCCCCATTCCTTTGGCAGGCGGTTGGCAAGTAGGTAGTTTGTCATGGAGCCGTACTCTGTTTTTGTCTCAGCAGTCCATGCCATGTACCGGCGAAGGTCAGAAGGTTTGCGTTTTAGAACAGACAGGTTATTCGTCTCTACTTGTTATTAGTGGCTGTTCTCAGAGCAGAACGTAAATATAGGGCAGATAGTCAATTAGAGCCGCCTACCAATGATCTCCTTCAACTCCTCCCAATCATGTTTGTGAAACTCCTCGTCTGTTTGCGAGAGCACCCATCTGTCTACAGCAGTCAATGGGAAGGGCGCTTCTTCTGGCAGCGTCTCGCCCATCTTGTACAAGCGGGGTGTGGAAGTGAAGAGTCTCGTAGGCGGTCTTGGCTGAGTATAAAAAGGATTTAATATTGACGATTTACGCTTTGAAATTCTGACTTTAACAGTAAGAAAGTGTGATATGTTGGCCAAAGAGATGTTTGAAGACTCACTGATTCGCACAACCATTCTGCGGTGAGAAGTTGACCCCAACCAGCTTATGTCAGCCGCTGCGAGGATGCGAGCCGTTGACATCTATATTGACGTGTAACTTGAGTCCTGGACTAGGAATATTATTTGGTAGTGGAACTGGTTAGAAACTCAACTTTGTTTATCACATGCAAGGAGAGCGGTTTATTATTAACCGTTGAAGTTGGGCATGCCCAACGTTTCCAAACTATTGCCGCCAACACCAGCCCCTCCATCATCCATCATCCATCTCACAGAGGGCTTCGTCAACGCGTCAGGGATCCTGAAGATCTGCTGAAATCTAAGCCAATTAGAAGCTTAATTTGTCGATCCTTTTGTCGACAGTTTCTCACTCGCTACTGATATCGATGCACCTACTTTGGCATTGAATCGCATCTGCCATTCACTTCTATATCTTATGAATTGCTTGTCCTGCCAAACCAAGGCTCGCTCATCATGATCCTCGGTCCCATAAGTCTCATTGATTGCGGAGTCTTTCTCATCTTTCTCGCACCTCAACTAATATGGAACGCTGGATTTTTTTTTACCTTGTTCACGGCTATCAAGGCTCTTCCATTTCTCCGTTGGTTATCCCTCTCCGATATCCCACCTCCGTATACCTAACACGACAAACATAGTGATCCAACTTCCTTTTGATTTCATCACAGATCGATATCTGACTCACCCCAGTCGGCAACTACCATTCACACAGACAGCTTCAGTATTTGAGGATTTTGTGATACGCTGTGTGCGATATGCCTTCGCCAACATCCCCGCCAAAGTTGGGAGAGTTTTCTTTAGCAAGCATGTCGCTCTGCCATTTATTCGATGGCGCATGCTTCGGCATGGCTATATCAGGTCCCCTGTTCACCACCAGGAATACACCATTGGAACAGTTGGTTTCTTGATCTGATTCATACATTCGAGAATAAATGACTAACTAGAGGCAGGGCGATGTCCAAGCGAAAGGTACTTGGATCATGCATCAGCCAGAGCATCCTCCGGATTTTGTCCTATATTATGCACACGGTAGGCTACGGAATACGTACGAATCATGTAGCTGCGTGACTGACCATTCTAGGCGGTGGGTTCTTGATGGGCTCAACCTATTTTTACCTTGAGTTCCTCATGGCCTGGCATCACCTCCTTGTCGACGCCGGATTCAAGAATCCTGCTATATTCGCGCTCGAGTACACCCTGGTGCCCGATCAAGTCTATCCAAGGCAGGTCTTGGAGGCGCTAGAAGGCTACAGGCACGTTCTTGAGGTTGTCGAAGATGCCTCCAAGGTCTGCGTTTCAGGCGACTCGGCGGGTGGCTCGCTGATTCTTAGTATGCTTCTTGAGTTGGGCGCTCAAGCTGGTAACCAAGAGAGGAAGGGTGTCAAGATCAACATTCAGGGTGGCCTTGCAGTTTCAGATCCGCCACATCTGCCTCTGCCCCGAATGGCTACACTTATTTCGCCATGGATAACACTCATGTCCAACTTACACTACAGCTCCAAGAGTGACTTCTTGGACAAGCGTACCTTGTGGAAGTATGCACAGGAGTATGCGGGTGAGGACATGATCCATCAACAACCAGCTTCCCCTGGGAATTGTGTCGATGAAAAACTTTGGAGGGCGGCCAGTCCAGAAAGGGGATACTTCATCATCTTTGGTGAAGAAGAAGTTTTCGCTCCAGACGTGGAAGATTTTCTCAAGCGACAGGCTAAGATTGGCATTCAAGCCGAAGGACAGAAGTTTGACGGAGGAATCCATGCATGGCCAGTCGCGTCACTATTCCTGTCCAGTACAGAGGACAAGCGCTTGCAGGGACTTCGAACTGCTGTCAAGGAGATTAGAAGACGAATGCTTGAATGGGGTACGTTGAACGTAGATAAGGTATAAAGGTCAGATTAGATCAAGTAAAAAGTCATAGACAAGGCCTACTGTTGGCGAATCAGAAACCATAGCATAGAACTCGGCTTCGTCCTCGCCAGGCCATCTCAGGTATTTAATGCTCAACTTGTGTCATCACTAGAATGCAGGGGTGGAGTAAGAGATGCTGGTAGGAAACAAAGAAGACTTGCCTGATAGACGCGGATATATCTGCCTAGGGGAAAAGCAAGAGTGTCGTGTCGTGTCAGTGACTACTCCGTAGTAAGGTAGACCTGCCACTCAAAGTCGGTGGTTCTGAGTGTTTACAACTCAATACTGGGAGCCTGGAGCGAGTGACCCAGGGCCGCAACAAGGCATCCAAATCATCCATGCCAGCCGCACTCCGAAATCTGAATCAGCGCTGAATTTCAACGTGTTCGTTGGAGAAGGAGGAATGGACTCCACTCGGCGTGCATGCGTATTATGCGGCTGATATTAGGCATAGCTTGAAGTGTGTTCAGATCCAAGGCGATAGTGATTCCGTTTTGAGTGATTCAGCTGACGGAACAATATCGGGATGGGACTCGTCGTCACTTGGCGGGCTTCTATAACGGGTGAAGGAGCGAGTCGAGGAAAATAGTACACGCAACGCGTCTCATGGAGCAGAAAAGTAAAGAGGATCATGAACCAAACATGTAAAGTGTAGGTATCCATAAATTAGATCTATACGCTCATCTATGGTGTGGGGCACACGTGGTAGGCTTGGACAGTCTAAATTAACAGTACCTTACCCAGCTCGTTCCTGCCCTGACTGCCTGAGTGTGTGGTCGCATGGCGCATAGAGGTAGGTAGGTAGTCTAGTGTAGCGCGGGCAGGAAGGTTCCCCTCCAATGGTTCCTGAGGTATTCGCCCATCCCCTCCATCTGGTATCATCCTGGAAGGTCGAGGGCAGGAGGGATCGGCTCTGAGACGACACCGTCTCTGAGTTGGGGTTTGGGCGTTCCGTTAGGTCACAAGTACACCCTACACGCTCCTTCCCCCCGCGGTCGTGCATATAAACGGCGGCATTCCCTCGTTTCCCCCGCCTGCCTGCCGCTTTGACAACACGACTGCCGACTTAGTACCTACACTGTACCGTACCGTGCATGGCACTCAGCTACAGGACTAAAGTCTGATCTGATGCTGACGCTTCTGACCTTGACGAAAGCGATTCATGACAGCGATCTCACCAAAAGATACAGTCGTTGTTTTTATCATTATCATTATTATACCGCCTGACAATTGTTCATCACAGCGAGCAACTTCTCTCATTATTCCCATACCGACGCTTGTTCATTTTCACCTCCACTTGTACGCATCCTGATTTCCGTTTCAATATTAGGATCTTGCTTGGTCTTTATACAAGATATTGCTCAATCATATTCGACTCTAGCTGAACGAGATAAACCATTCAATAACGAGCTCCGAAGAGCCATATTCTATCTCATACTTTTTTCAGCGTCGCCAACCAAGCTTCTTTCATTTCACAACTCCCTTGCTCCCCCTCCTCTACGGATAACTTGATCACAATTTGATTGAGGCTCAGCTTTCTGCCTGTTCAGATTACACGCGCATTATTGTCTTCCGACTCCCGAGCCTCGTCTCACCCTTGTACTGTACTACCTCCACTGGGGGGACTTGAACGGACAGAGTTGAATCGCCGCCATCTCAGTCACAAGGGGCTGTCTTACATACAGTAGCCTCTGGCAACCCGCCCCTCTCATTGCACTGCAACAAACCTATATTTGATGGTTGAAAAGGTAATGAATTCTCTCTTTTCCCTTGCCTATCCACAAGCCTCACCACCGTTACTTGGTATTGTACAAGATGCGGTCCTAAGCCAACCTTCCTGCATTACATGTGCTCCACCGTCACGTCAATCAAATCATATCGTCATCCCCAACCCTAGTACGGGACGGGAGCTGGAGCTCGCTGATTTCATTCGTGAGCTAAACTCCTTATTTCCCCTGTCCACTTACGCACGGCTCTTGTTAGCACCCGATCAGCTGCAGCGGCCTTGCGGGCAGGTCAGTCACTCACAGGCTTGTTTCAGTAACTACAGTTGTTTGATATAACAACACAATGTTCTTTCTGTTTGTCGACTTGTCCATTCTCCTTGTTTCCGTATCCCTTACTGCAGACACACCTACCTATACTTCGTCATTCATGTACCCTTGGCTGACCAACTAAGCAAGCAACCCAACTTGTACAAATAATCAACTCGAGGCATCCAACAAGACCTTGACTATTTGCGACTTTGTCATATTTTCTTTGATCGAGTACGGACGATTGATTCCTGGTCGTCTCCAAGCCAGCAAATCACATACGCTTCACACTTACAACAACCTTGTTCAGTGACGCACAGTTCCATCCTACAGGCTATTTTTGCATCCGTCACCCCGCTGTTCTTTCGTCTGTGCCGCCAAGCATCTGCGTTATCCACAGAACATAATTAACAGAACACACTATCAAAGACGAGCGATTCGCGTTTGCAAAGACTTTAACAATATCACCCCGGCCGGCTCGGCGTGCTTGCCCCACCATAATCCGACTAAGAGCCCCGGCCAAAAAAATTATTTATTATGTCTGCCGACGACGGTTATGCCCCCAAATCTCCGGACCTCTCTTCTTTTTATTCAAGTGGCCCCACTCAGGAAGAGCTCCATCTTCCACAATCAGAAAGTCACTTTAGCCCGACATACGAATATAAAGTAGAGTCCCCGACCTACGCCATATCTGCCTCCTTTTCTTCTTACGTTCCCCCCTCTCTAAACTTTAACAACGTCAACCACGGTACATCCGATTCCGCATACCAGCCAGAACTCGACTACCAGCAACGTTCTGCGCTACCAAGAACCGCAAGGCAGGAATATCCGCCGTACCCGTCACGACATTCTTCTCTAAAGGACCACTACGTCCATGCCACAACAGATCAACGACTACCCCTGAAAAATAGCTACGAGGAGGTTTTTGCCTATTCGCGCCCGAACGAGCAACGCCAGTCTCGAGCGCAAACGTTGCCATACAGTCAAGCTTATGCAGAGCAAGTTACGCTCCCTAACGCGACTACGTACGACTCAACCTACACACCAACCTTAGGAACCGGTGCATTAGAACAAACTTCTGCATTTGGTGCTGCGCCCTTCAACACGAACATGCCTCCACGCAAAGCCGCGCCGCCTGCGGCCCCCGCTATCGACCCATCACCTGTCCGAACCAAATTTCCTACAGCCAGGATCAAGCGTATTATGCAGGCTGATGAGGAGGTTGGCAAGGTTGCTCAACAGACCCCGATCGCTGTTGGGAAGGCTCTTGAACTTTTTATGATCCAGCTCGTGACAAAAAGTGCCGACGTTGCCAGAGAGAAGGGCTCGAAGAGAGTCACTGCGCCCATGCTCAAGCAGGTTGTCGAGACCGATGAGCAGTGGGATTTTCTACGCGACATTGTCAGTCGCGTCGAGCATGAGAAGGAAGGCAGTAGATCCAAGGCCAAGCAGGAGAGTTCGAGCGAGGAGGAGATTGAGGAACCCAAAAAAAGAACACGCGGTGGCAGGAAAAAGAAGGCGACATAGTGCGCCTGTCATGAACTCTGCATGGAGATTTCTAACTGTGTGTTTTTTTGTAAAATTTGGAATGCGTCATGAGGGTAACGATCAAATGGATGGCGTTCAGGAGACTCGTATCGAGCCGGTGTTTGGTGCTACAGTAGACAATTCGTCTCGTGGCTTTTGGCGTATCACTTCAAGCATTCGCACGCGATGCTCTACTTCGGTTGCTTGTGTTTTATAGCATCAAATAGGTTTCGGACATATGTAGATATTTATTTTGACATGTACAGGGGATGGTGTCTGAGGCCGTCATATCCCCGTCATTTATTACCTTTACCATATTATGACGCTTTATATGGAATGAAGCTATCTTCGTTCTTTTGGTTGCATATCGTAGGGACTGGGTTGAAGTGTTGGTTGTGCATGTTACAAGTACCAGTAGGGTAAGGTAAATCAGTATTTCTGATGATATCAGACATATATTGGGGATTGAGTCTCGCCACAATTGTGTATTTATCATTATCACTGCGCTGTGACAAGGACAAGCCCCTGGGGCTAGTTGTATCATTTCGGACATTTATTATGCATTGCAGTCACAATGACACGAAAGTAAGGTGTGGTCTGCTTGCCAGATCGATTTTCCCTGGGATTACCCTGGAGCACTACGAACCGCATTACCCACTGACGTAGGTGTGACTGACGTCAGCATGCCTCAATTATAGAGATAAAATCCTGAGCTTACCTAGAGTGAAGCCGTTAAATACAAAGCCTCATAGTGGCTTGAGGTACAGGATGTTCGACAGCAGGTGCATATACGATCACCAAGGGTGGGTGGTACATGTCTAATACATATCACGATTGTTGTAAATGAGACAATCTCAATCCGAAAATGTGGAGAAAGAGACTAGCACTCTGAGTCGTCGCCAAAAGGGTCCATGCCCAGCCTGAAGGTCCAATATTTTAGTGTTGCTCAGGGTGGCAACGGACCTTTCCTATTGGGCACCGGGACGTTTTCCTTTATTTCTCTGAGGTGAGAGCTCCTTAGCTAGGGGCCGGCTATCACCCACCGCTTGGGCTGCCCGCCCCAACTCTCTAGCCATATCCACTAATAAGACGCACCTATTCGCTGCGAACTCCTGTAAATCCGCTGAAGAACAAACCTGCCTGTGGCTTGGACGGTTTCGTCAACATCAAACATCAAAACCAACTTCAACAACGTCGGTCGCTCGCCCGCATATGAATGGCCCCTTGATTTACTCTATTGCATTTTGCGTCCACTTCTAGCTCGCTTGACACGATATCCCGTATTTTTTCATTCTTTTTATCTTTTAACCCTAGATGACGAACCGCCAGCTGTCCCTTACAGGCGCTTGCTCCCCCGCGTAAACCAATGTCGTGGGACTTGCTTCAGAGATTCCTTGAATCCGACGTCTTCAACTCCAACCCCTTTCTCCCCGTCTCATACCTCTCGTGAGTCTCCTACAAACCCCTGCAGACCCTACAACAAGCATCGATACAAACCTGCTCTCCACGCCGACTATGTCTCTTCTACATGGCTTCCGCCGTCTCCGACATCGCCAATCGCTAATGCCACCTGTCGCAACAGCCGCTACGCCGACCACGTGGGGATTCACTATGTCCTCTGCCAGAAGCTGCGCCAGTTCCCTTACGAGGACATCGAGTTCTTTCTGCCGCAGCTATGTCATCTTATAATCAGCGTGCACAATGAGTCAATGGCATTGGAGGAGTTTTTGTTGGACTTGTGCGAGGAATCCGTCACAGCTGCGCTGCTGGTACGTGTGATGATACAGCCTTTGAGATGGAATGCGCGAGCAATCGTGCTATCGGGGCCACGTCGATGGACTGGGTAACATTGAAAACTGACAATTGCATGGCGCAGACTTTCTGGCTTTTTCAAACATACCTTCACGATCTATCGTCAAACCCGCAGTCCGACTCCTTCCAGACATGTCGCCGTGTCTACAACAAGGTCCAGCATATTGTGTTTGGACTTGCCGATGCCGGTCGCCATGAGAAAATAACGGAAAACGTCCTTCCAGTCACGGTCCTCTCCAGTTTCGTGCTTGCCAGTGTTGCGCTGCCTATGTTTCCTCGGTGGGCTGGTCCTCTCGCAGTCGCCCAGGCCCGTAAGCCTCAACCTATCACCAATGAAATTCAGGACCCCAAGGAGAATTCCAAGCCTACAAGGGCTCGTACGGTCACGACGGGGAATTCACGATCGCGACGTGCTCGAGAGAATACACGCACCTTTAGTGCACCCGACCCCAAAGGATCCAGAGAACCTTCACCCAAGCCTGCTCGCACCACTCCTCGGCCGCCGTCAGTAATTATTCCACCGTCGAGATCCAAGACCCCCATTAGCACGACCCGACCATCTGCTCTTGAGTTGAGATCACTGGAAGCCAAGCTTAGCACATCGTCTCTTCCACTTCCGTCTCCTCAGCCACCAACTAGACCGACGACTCCAGTATCAGCAGGCAACGCGCAACGGTCAGCCGACAACTCTACCAGGAGACATTCGCATCACGCCAAGGCGATTCTTGCTGTCAATGACCTGTCACCGATACAGAAGACAAGGCTTCTGAGACAACATTATTTCAGGTCGCAAACTCAATTTCTAACGGCTTTAGAGGGTATTTCAAACCGATTGGTTCTGGTGCCCAAGCCCGCTCGTATGAGTGCGCTCCGAGCAGAGTTAGCATTGATATCGCAAGATTTGCCTGCCGAGGTTGATATCCCGGTCATTTGCCCCCCGACTTTGGTCAATGGATCACCTGGGCAAAGCCGGCATCATCGTATTGTGCGAGTGAACCCTGCTGAGGCGACAGTACTTAACAGCGCTGAAAAGGTTCCTTATCTGATCATGGTGGAGGTCTTGAGGGACGACTTCTCGTTCGATCCTGATGTGCCTGAGAATGACCGACTCCTGAACAGCTTACTCGGGGGCAGCGTTAGAGCAAAGCGCATATTTGATCTTTCAGACTCACCTCGCCTTTCGCCTACAGTTAGGGCACCAGAGCCTGCCTTGGATAGTGTTTTCGAACCTGCTTCTGGTGATTTGGGCAGCTCACCACTACTGAAAGGCATCGACGAGTCACCTGTCAGAGCTACTCCAAAGCCTACGCAGAACCATAATATCCAGCGTCTTCCTAGTGCAATCACACCCTCTTCCTCAACCTTGGACTTGACGACGCCGCGATCATCTGGCACGGGAACCTCGCGATCGAACAGCCCTGGGCCCATCTCACGAAGAATGACTATGCCTATACAGCGAAGTGCGCCAGCTGACCAGCCCGACTTTTCTGCCCTGGCCACGCATATGCGGACTGCTTCCCAAATGCTTGCCCAGCTGGAAGCCACTAGCGGAAAGCGACCAAAGCAGGAAGTGGCTGCTATCAGAGCCAAGATCATTGCCAGCATGCAGAGTCTAGAGGAGAAGAGTTTTGATGTCGATGAGCAAGGTCCAACTTTCGACACCATCATCGCCAAATCTAGCACAACCCCGATTCCTGTCAACAACCCTGATCTCGAGGAGGATGTCCAAATCGACCCAAACCTCAACGCCAGTGCAGGCCGTGAGCGAATGGAGAACGATATCAAGACTGGTGGTGTCCAACGTCGTGGTGATCGTGATGACCCTAGTGCGGCCGTCTTTGGAGAGGCCTGGGAAGCCAAAAAGGAGCGAATTCGCAAGTCATCACCTTATGGCTGGATGAAGAACTGGGATCTTGTTAGTGTGATCGTCAAGACAGGAGCAGATCTTCGACAAGAGGCATTTGCTTGCCAGCTCATTGATGTGTGTCATAAGATCTGGGTTGACGCTGGTACTGATGTCTGGGTTAAACGTATGCGAATTCTGGTGACAGGAGAGTCCTCGGGTCTTATCGAGACTATTACGAGCGGTGTGTCCCTGCACTCGCTGAAGCGAAGTCTAACGTTAGCTTCTGTTGAGTCTGGACAAAACCCTCGCAACCGCATCGCGACACTGAGGGACCATTTCCTTAAGGCTTTTGGAAAACCTGATAGCAAAGAGTTCAAGGCCGGTGTTGATGCATTCAAGAAATCCTTGGCGGCGTACAGCATCATTTCCTACGTCTTACAACTCAAGGATCGGCATAACGGTAATGTCCTGGTGGACAGCGAGGGCCATATCATTCATATCGACTTCGGCTTTATGCTTTCCAACTCTCCTGGATCAGTTGGGTTTGAAGCTGCTCCATTCAAACTGACGCATGAGTATGTGGATGTTCTGGGCGGGCCCCTTTCTCCTGATTTCGAGGACTACAAGAGGATGTGCAAACAAGCTTTCCAAGGTAAGTTGCATTATTGATGTCAAGAAGGGATATATTGCTAATATCACATAAAGCTCTGCGCCGCTCTGCAGACAATATCACCGACCTTGTAGCAATGATGGGACACGACTCCAACATGCCTTGCTTTGCAGTTGGTATTGCACAAGTTACAAATACTCTCCGGCAGAGATTCCAGCTTCACCTTAGCGCTGAGGAAGCAGAGCACTTTGTCGATGATCTCGTTACAAAATCGTTCGGTAGCTACTACACTCGACTGTGAGTTTGACCCCATTCTTAATTATATTTCCACCTCACTGACTCTTTCAGCTATGATACTTTCCAATATCGTACGCAGGGTATATACTAGATCAGTTCGACATAAAACAAGGGTCAGAAGACCGGGAGTAACTAGTTTCAACACGAAATAAAGAAGAACAAGAGTTGGAGGTGGCATTGAGATAGTTCGAGGGCATATGAGATGGCGTTGTGGACGATAGACATGGCTGAATCGCCATATTACTTTACTGATGCGAGTTTTGTATGACAACTGATGAATCGCACATGCTGGGGAGAAGGGCGAAGAGCGAGATATATCATTTCTTTCTGTAGGGGGTTTAGAAGGGGTTGTAGAAATGAAAGAGGGGGACGAATGTTTGAAGATGCTTTGATGGCAATGGCTATGTATACACTGACTATGGGAGCTTTGAGTATCATCCATTGCCTTGTTTACAACATCAAAGCGTCAATCATCTTAAGTGCTATCTGTGTTCTCCCCAACTATCATCACAGTCAACACTTATCAACCTCACCCAGAACCACAAACATCACATATAGTGTAGCACTCATGATCGATTAGTAGAATAGTCCTCAATTTAAAGACTCTATTAGTTATATTACGCATCGTTATCAGGACGGTAGAAAGTTCCTACCATCTTGGTACTATGCGTGTGTTTTTTCCTCCTTGTCGTTCCATAGCCCAGCCCAGCCCTGCTTTACGTTAACCAGCAGGACCCAAGCTGGTATCCCAACGAAACTGGATGTGATATATTTTTTAATGCAACCGCCCCTTGCCTGTCCCTCTCCTCTTTTTTTTGTTACTCGTACATCGTTCCATATGTCTTTATGGTGAGGTATGCACCGACCGCCAACCAACACCTGTATGTGATGAAAACAGAAACCCCACTTCCTATCTATCTCACCAAGTGAGGAAGGGAGAAGAAGTGAGGATAAGAATAATGAGAACAACATATCTCTCATTGTCTCCGCGACCTGCCAATGTGCTTCATCAGGGATCGTTCTGGCTTCTAACCCCATCGATCACCCTCCCTTTCTGCCTCAAGCCTTCGCATCCTCTCTTCCTCGTTACCGCCACTGACGGCCTCGCTTCGCCGAGATGCAGCAGCAGATGTTGCAGATGCGGTCCTGCGGCCTTTGCGTGAGCCTGAACTTGCATCATCGCCGTCGTCGCCGCGATTGCGCTTCCACCCCGTTATACTAGCGATACGTTGCGCTTCTTTAAGCAGACGCTCGCGATTACGGGCTTCACGCTCGAGTGTGTGAGGGTCCTTGCTTGAGCTTTCAGTTCGGCTTGAAGAGTTGGTTTTCGTGTCATGACTGCGAGAACCAGAGGCAGGCTTGGAGTCCCTATCATTAGATGTAGCCCCGGCATCAATGGACTGATGTCTGCTGCTATATCTTGAATCGCGGTCTCTGTCGCGATCTTTGTCCTTCGCTCTATCACGATCTCGGTCGCGATCACGTCGGTCCCTATCCCTATCCCGATCCCGGTCCCGATGTCGATCTTTGCGGTCCTTACGGTCTTTGTCGCTGCGATCTCTATCTTTTTCCCGGCGTCGCTCGCGGTCGTAGTCTCTATCTCGATGCGAGGAGCGGTGACTAGACTTTTTGCGATCATCACTACGATGTTCGTCTTTATCCTTGTCCTTGTCCCGGTCTCTCCGCTTGTCCGAGTCTCTATCTCGGCGGCTGCGGTGGCTGGATCGTTTGGACTCGGCTGGCGATGCTGAACGGTCACGATCGGCGTGTTTCTCATCCTTGTCTTTGTCTGTGTACTTGTCCTTGTCCTTGTCCTTTTCCTTTTCCTTTTCCTTGGAGCGCGATGTGTCTTCATCATAGTGACGGCGACTCCTATGCGGCTTGCGTCGCGAATCATCGTCGTAGCCATCATCCTCGACCGACTCTGAACGATGGCGTCTACGTCGACGGGAACTTTTATGCCCCCTGCTCCGACTACGACTCCTGCTGACGGTTCGAGATGCTGATCCTGTTCGATCTTGCTCGCGGTCATGGTCGCGAGATCGCACTTTGCTTTGCTCACGATGGGAACCACGGTCCTTATCCTTTTCACCAACATCGGCACGGCTGGGGGCTCGAGAAGTACTCCTGGATCGGCCTTGCTCAGCTGGGTTGTCCCTTATTGGAAGAGTTGGTTTAGCAGGAGGGACTTCACTTCCCACATGATATCCACGTGCTCGGAGATGATGAAGACTGGTGTTAGGGAGTCCCTGTCTCATAGCTTTAGGACCTGTAGGAGCATTCAGGGGAACATCTGGAGCTGTAACTGGACGAGCAGCTCCGGTAACGTTGCTCTGGACAAAGGCTCCAGATCCAATACTAGGGGTTAGTGAGGAAGCATCACCAGCAGCCTCGTTGCCTATGGTCTCACCGGGCCCGTCAATTTGTCCGGCACTCGAGGTTTTAGCCTCGTCGGCTCCTTCAGCAACGTCTCCTTGAATAGCCTGGCCATTCTCGTCAACTTGCTGGCCTTCGCCATGGTCGATACTGCTCTGGCCATTCTGGTCCGATCCGTACTGAGAGAACTGGCCCTGGTCCTGATAGTTGGCGTTGCCTCCGAACTGATAGCCTCCGCGACCGTAGCCTCCGTAGAAACCTCGGCCGCGGCCACGACCACGTCCGAAATTGTTGCGGCGATAGTCATTGAATTGACCATAATTACCTTGATTGTATCCTGTCTGGAATCCTGAGTTAAAGCTTCCATAATCACCAGTTCCCATGCCAGGACCATTTTGATTGTAATTATTCTGGTCGAAATTCCATGACTGAGAACCGTTCCAGTTATTATTGGAGCCTTGGCCAAATCCACCTCCAAAGCCACCCATGCCGTTCATGCCCATGCCTTGAAAGCCACCGTTCATGTACATGTTCTGCATCGTCATCGGGTCCATGCCCATGCCTGGCATACCTGCGAACAAAAAAAGATTAGTGTTATTCTCATGTGACGCGTGATATAGCATCTTGCCAGGACTTACCCATCATAGGGAAGCTACCGAAAGAGTTCGGCGCCATACCGTTCTGCATAGCCATCATCATTTGCATCTGGTTGAAATCCCCAGATCCCGAAAACCCGCCGTGTGGGACATTGTCATCCATAGACTCGGACTCGGGCTTCTCTTGATCGTCACCGTCTTCGTCGTCGCCTTCTTGTTGTTCTTGGTCGTCGTCGCCTTCGCCGTTGGCTTCGGTGTCTTGATTCGCAAGGGTCTGCTCGTTGGGGTTCTCGGTGGTCGGTGCCTCTGCAGTGCCTTCGGGGGGAGGTGCATTCTGGGCGTCACTTGCCTCGTCCTGCTGGGGAGCTTCGACCGCGCAAACCTCATGATGAGCAACAATCGCCTGGGATTTTGTTAGAGTCATATCATCAGGATCTTGAAAATCAGTGGTTACCTGGTCAAAGGGCTGGGCTGGAGCGCCATCGTCGGTATTGTCGGCGCCATCAGGCTGTTCTTGTACTGCGTCCACTCCTAGAGTTTCTCCTGTAGGCGTCTCAACGACAGGCGTCCCTGAGGCTGGAAGAGTCTGCTTCGGTGCCTCGACCGGTGTCGCAGGTTCCGAATCTTTGTCTTCCTTAGATCGACTCGCTTCACGCTTCTTCTCCGCAGTGCGCAAAAAGACTCTGATCGTGGTTCGTAGTGACTTGTTCGGATTGCAATCCTCGGCCGACAAGGGCGAATGCTCACAAACGGGACATGACGCGGGTAGATTGGATTGACCTTGGCGCATTTGTTAGTATCGTTCTGCATTGATGGTTTTCGAGGGGACAGTCGCGTACATGATTCGCAAATTGCTTGCTCGCAACAGGGCAGACGGTAGGCGTTGACCGCGAGTTTACTGCAGATCGCACATCGCAGCTTGATGGGAATGTCGTCGGGAGAAAGAGACCTGCAAGAGAAGGCATTAGTGCATGGATTCAGCGCAATTTGACGGGCCCGTGTTACATACTGAATCAGCTCCGCTTGAGCTTCAGTGATTGTTGATGCCATTGCGAAATCTTGATAACTGGTCAAGAAGCAGCCGCAAAGCCAAGGACAAGGCCTAAGAACGTAGAGAAAGCGGCATGGGCGGGTTGTGTGTCGGAGGCAAAGAGGAGAGAGAAGAGGAGGAAGATATGCTCAGGCAGATATGCAGCAGGGCCAATCTTTTTTTGACGGTACTGGTGCAACACGATCACAGTCACTGTGGGAAGACTGGCGTGACGTGACGTGTGTAAGCCAATGGGCTAAATAGATGAATACTAGTCCACCTCAATTAAAGAGAGAAGAGACAATGATTAAGCAAGATATGTAGGTAGAATAAAGAGAAAACCACGCCTGTTTGCTTCTGACGCAGAGGTCAATAACAGCAAGCGGCCTGTGATGAGGTTCAAAAGCGCTGAAAAAGAGTGGATCAAAAGTACGGATACACGCTAAGAGGTGCCCACTCAGCCACTCAGCCACTGGAGTACCTAGGTAGGTAGGCACCGTAGAAGATCACGTGGCTGATAGATGGTCTCATGACCTGCATACCTACTATGCACTGTAAGGCGAGGAGAGCAAGATGTGCACACATTGACTTACTTCTGGTGACAGTATCAATAGGAGGAACAAATTGTGTTAATTTATAAGACGGAGGATGAAACTACGAACTAGAGGGATGTTTCATCAATGTCAACACTTCCATGTGTATACAAGGACGTTGCTTGGCTTAAATATAGTATGTATCCGCACGGGAAACTTTTCACAAGTGACAGCGACGTTGTGGCGGCTTATACAAGAACATATATAGACACTATTCCAATTAATTACAGTAACCATGCAACCTCCGACCCTCTCTGTTCGTCTGTCGTTAGTCCCTGCCTTGCAAATGGTCAATCAAATACGTAATCAGAGCAGTTGTGAGCATAGGTGACCGCCAATGTCCATTCAAGCATCGACAAAACTTTGCTAGGCACTAACAAGAAAAACACATAATCAACTCCCAGATGCTCCCTTCGGCATCAATCCAAATCAAACGGCTCGCAGGAAAAGGGCAGAATAACGCACAATACGAAAATAATCGTTGTCTGTACCTCCTACTTCATCCTCTCACCAACACATTAACCAGGCCATCCATCTAGCAGGCGCAGCTGTCCTTAGCACCAACGTCCTTAGGGCCGCCAAGGTTCACTCTTTGCTCCTCGCCTCCTCGGCTGGCAGCATTTGTTGCGCCAGCTCCCCTCGCACTCTTCAACGATGTCTCGGGTATCGCATTGGCGATGGCAGTGAATACCTCAGTAACGTTATGTCCACTCTTGGCACTGGTCTCAAAAAATAGTAATCCCTCCTCTTCTGCGTATGCCTGAGCCTCTTCTGTCGGAACCTTGCGGGCATCGCCGGTGTCATCTCCCTCTTCACCATCCTCGCCATCAACGGCAACAGAAGAGTCGCCTGTAAGATCCAGCTTGTTGCCTACCAATGCGATAACGATACCAGGGGACGCTTGTCGTTGCAACTCAGCCACCCAGTGCTTGGCCTTGATGAGTGACGTAGGCTTGGTGAGATCGTAGACGACGAGGGCGGCCTGGGCGTTTCGGTAATACATGGGAGCAAGCGAGGCGAAGCGCTCCTGGCCAGCAGTATCCCAAATCTCAAACTTGATTGTCCGTGTGGGGAGATTGCATTTTTGAGTCAAGAAGGCGGCTGTTGACAAGCAAGTTAGCGATGGGATGGGCCGACTGAGGAAGGGCGAGATACATACCACCAATAGTAGGTTCCTTGTTTTCTTGAAAGTCGTTGTTAACGAAGCGCAGAACGAGAGACGACTATCACATTTCAGTTAGTACATTGAACGGCTGTTTCCTCTTAGATGCTCGTAATGATCGCACCTTTCCGACGGCGGCTTCACCGAGAAGCACAAGCTTGACGCTGCTGCTCGGCTTGGGGGCGTTGGCAGAATCGGCCATGATCGCGGGATGGCTCGGAGATGAGGCGAAGTTGTATGTGTTAGTTTATCGACGTCTCGAGTTGACGAGTGAAGCGGCAATTTTGGCGGCCAAAATTGACTATTAGCGTAGAGACGGAAGTTGTCAGAAGTAGAAGTAATAACGGAAAGTCAAATGGCCTTGATGAAAGTAAGTTGCCTGGAGTGGAGGAGATAAAGACGCGACGTCAGTAGATTTACAGTCGTATGGTTAGGTAGGTCGACTTGGAGGTCGGTAGTAGTAGCGGCGAAAGCCAGTGGATGTTGCAGGCGGGTTACAGGCTCCTTCAATGGCGGTGATTGGCTGGTTTTCTTGATGACGAAGCCACAGGGCACCTCATGCAGCGGCGGGGGCTACTGTACCGCCAGAGCTGAAGCTGCTCGCAAAAAGACTAGTATATGATTGGCCATCAAGGGTATAGTGTGGGCATGCTTCGGCCTAATATTTTACCGTCCTCCGACTCCCCGCCAAATTTTCAATCTGGCAGAAAAAAAGTTAAGCAGGCGCAAAGAAGCTCTCATTGGATCTTGGTCCTTGTTGATGAAAATAGTTGTTGCTTGACACCAACTTTCTTCTTGCTACCACTTTTTTAATACACGACCAATCTCCACTACCACTTAATTGTGTGTCTCTTGGAAACCACATTCATCATGGGGAAAACCACCGAGGACCCCAAAAACTCCAGGCGCAATCTCCTCGACGATAGCGACTCAGAATCAGAAGATGGAGGTGCTGCTATTGCTGCGCCTGACTTCAAGGTGAACGAAGATTTTGCCCGCCGTTTCGAGCACAACAAGAAGCGAGAAGAGAGGCAAAGGCTGGAGGAGAAGTACAAGAAGACCGGAAAACAGCCCGACGATGATGACGAATCTTCTTCCTCCGATGAGGAAGAAGATGAGGCAGGCTTCCTTGCTACAGAGGACCTCGACGCCCAGATCTCTGCAACCCTTCAAGCCATTCGCAACAAGGACCCAAAAGTCTACGACAAGGAAGTCACATTCTACAAGACCGATGATCCCACCGCGATAACACCCGACAAGGAAAGGAAGGAAAAGCCAGTCTACTTGAAGGATTACCACCGAGAAAAGTACCTGCGAGGTGATACAGGTGCCGAAGATGTTGAAGAGGATGTTCCCATGACCTACAACCAAGAACAAGACGTTCTCAAGAAATCAATTGTAGCCGAGATGCATGCCGCTGTTGACGACGACTCTGACGAAGAGGACGGTGGCTTCATGAAACGAAAGCCATCAGAAAAGCCAAAAGTAGACTCGAACGGCCTACATCCCTCTCGAAAAGCGGCCATCACTCTCACCGAAGTTGACATTGCCAATGCCGACAAGGATCCCGAGAACTTTTTGTCAAATTTCATGAGCGCACGCGCATGGGTCCCACCGGATGGCTCCAACTGGAAGGCTTTTGAGTCAGACGAAGGAGAAGATGATGATGATCGCGCCGACGAGTTCGAGCAGGCATACAACTTGCGATTCGAAGACCCGGAGCGAAGCAACGAATTCCTTCGATCCTATGCTCGTGATGTTGCCGCGGCCAAGTCGGTCAGACGTGAGGAGAAGAGCGGCCGCAAGCGCCAGCGTGAGCTCGAGCGTGAGCGCAAGGAGGCCGAGAAGAAGGAGAGACGGGAGGAAAAGTCCCGCCTAAAGAAACTTAAGCTTGATGAGGCCCAGGAGAAATTGCGCAAGATCAAGCGCACAGCTGGGAGTGCAGGCAAGGATCTCACTGACGAGGACTGGATCAAGTTCCTCGATGACGCCTGGGAGGACGACAAATGGGAGGAAGAGATGAGGAAGCGATTTGGGGACGACTACTATGCTCAGAAAGACGATGCTATCGTGTCGGATCAAGAGGCAGAGGAAGAAGATGGTGGGAAGAAATCAAAGCACCCTAAGAAGCCAAAGTGGGACGACGATATCGATATCAAGGACATCATCCCGGATTTTGAAGACGAGGTAGAGAAGCCCAAGATCAGCCTGAGCGATGTCGAGGGTGATGTCGCGGAGGAAGAGGAGGACGAAGATGAGGACGGCCCAGCCTCTAAGAAGCGCAAGACAGATCATAAGAAGGCTCGCAAGGAATCTCAGAAGCAAGCTCGCCAAGAGCGTGCCAAGCTTGAGGCCCTCGTTGACGCCAAACTTGAGCTCACCGACCACGCCCTCCTAAAGCAGCCTTCCCACGCCCCATTCCGTTACCGCGAGACCTCCCCTCAATCCTTTGGCATGACTGCCCGCGACATCCTTCTCGCCCCCTCAGACGCCGCTCTCAACGACTATGCTGGTCTCAAGAAGCTCGCCACCTTCCGAGACCAAGAGAAGAAGCGAAAGGACAAGAAGCGTCTTGGCAAGAAGGCTCGTCTCCGCCAGTGGCGTCGCGAGATCTTTGGCCGGGAGTACGAGCGAGAAGGCCCCACGTATGGCTTTGAGCGCTTGATCTCTGCTGACGATGAGGCTGGTGGCGCTGTTATTGAGCCTAAGAGTGACAAGAAGAGAAAGCAGAAGGCGGACGACGAGGACGGCAATGTCGTTGGCGATGTTGGCGAGAGGAAGAAGAAGCGAAAGAGATCCAAGGGCAAGAAGAATGCTTCTGCCGCCGCTACAGCGGAGGAATAGAAGGAAGTATTTGGGGACATTTCGAGCAAGATACCACTGCGCTAGCATAGTGAAAGTCAGGCGTTCCATGTTGTATATCTATGTAGGGTTTCTTTTATAGAAGGATCAGGTAAATCACAAAAGCAAGATGCGTTTATCTCAATGCTGTTTTTGATGGAATGAGAGTCTCGACTTTTGGATGTGAATTATCTCAATTCTTGGCAAACGAATGTCAGCTCATCTTTAAGTGAGCATGACGGGTATGATGGTATCTCAAGTGCTGAAAAACGCAATTTTCCTTCCCATATCCAACAACGTCCCCCTTTACAAATTTCAATATGCCTCTTCGCCAGTATCCAACCATGACTATTCATGCCTTGAAATCTGATGCTGTTCGCCCAAGTTAAATACAGAAATGAAAAACAAAAGTAATATAGAGACCTCCTTTGATGGTCCCTGCAAGATCCAGAGATGGGTCTAGAGATGCTTTCTAGCCGCAGTTGTGAGAACATTGCACGAGACCACTATAGATCAGTATCGTTGACCGGTGAACTTGTCTAGTCGCAAAGGTCTTCGGGAATATGGTGTTACACGGGATAACCACTCTGACAGTCCTTCCTAAGGACCCTGTTGCTGTAGCCCACCCATTGCACTCGGTGTCGCCAAACCACTGCCTCCGCCAAACACTCCCGTGAAAGGATCAATTCCACCCATATTGAAGCCAGGATCTTGGCTCATCTCTGGAGGCTCCATGTTGAAAGGCATGAACCAGGCGGACGATGCTTCTGGTCCACCTGGTCCCGCCCCGTCAGTCATACCAGTCGCTTGACCTGTCATGTTCGTCTTGACTGCAGGTCGTCTGCCCGGTAAGCCTCCATCCTGCTGAGCACCTGAGGCAACGGTATCCCAATCGATACCACCCATCATATCTTGTTCACCCAGACCCGTCGTAGCATCCATTGAGTACCCACCGAAAACAAGCTGACGATCAAGCGGGTCGATGTTTCCACTGGAGCCCTGGCCAAAGTTCATCGCAAATAGCTCGGGTGGGAAGAACGTCGGAGTGTGCGCATGGTGGGAAAATGCAGCCATATTGGCCGGGCTCATAGGTGACATGGCCGTGCTGAAAGTTGGATTCTGTGGATTCGATACTGTGAGAGGATTGAAAGCAGCTGGACTACTTGTCTGTAGTCCTAAAGCACCCGAGAATCTGCGGTTCTGTGCCCCCACTCCGGCGACAGGCTCCGAGTCGGTGCCGTGCAAGGACTCAAGATGCTGACCGGGCGGCACTGGCAAACCGGCTTGTTTCTTTCCGGCATGCTTTCGTTTAGGTGCTGCTGCACGAATTGTATCCTTGTTCTCAATGCTCTGTGGTGTTGGAAGCGTGGAGAAGTATTCTTCCACTGATTGTAGCTCCGGCTTTGCTTCGAGGACGCCATCTGCCCCTGAGTCTTTCCGCTTGTGAGTGAGAGGGTCCATGAACTCGGCGTCAGAAAGGCCATGCGGGTAACGGTTAAACCAGTCGCCGTACTGGAGAAAGGATGACTGCGTGGCACGCTCTTGAAGATTTGCTCCAGCCCTCATGGAGTCCAAGGCATTTCGATACTGAGTGCGAACATTCTCAACCATCCAGTGAAACATGCCCCAATACTTCTTCATTTTGTGAAGATACTTAACGTTGGTTGTCAGATTCGTCTCCGCTGTTGGTTTGATAGAGGGGTTGCCAGAGATAACACCTAGAATATGAACTGTCGTCGAGGAAAATGCACAGTAGCCAGCGAAGGGTGCCGAGACAAAGCATCTGGACTGCTCAGCTTCGCGAAGAAGCTCGGATATCCGGTTTGCGGCGTTAAAGGTGCGCTTGCTCGCTTCAGAGAAGAAATTATCATGTGCGCTCTGTTGTTTTCGTGCTGATATAGCGGCCCGGCTCACAAATAGTATGTTATGCTGCAGACAGATATGCATGAAAAGAAACTGGCTTGCCGTGTTCTCCGTCTTGTGGACTTCGAGGTTCTCTGCAGAGTATTTAAGTGTCAGAGGTAGGCTAGCTTCGAGGCCCACAACATCATTGAGATGCTTCACGTAGTGAGACTCGTCTTCCCACATCGGATTAGGGTCGAGGTCCTTTCCCCCTTGACTTAGGTATGTGATGATTCGGCCCCATAAGGCAATAGCCCGAATGAGGAAGGCCGCGACCCCCATGTTCTCTCGTGCATCAGCAAGTTGTCCATCATTGGGTGTCGCCGGATGAGGCACTTGACCATCCAACATCTCAGTAGGGGCGGGCATGTCGAACTGGAAGTATTTCTCCTTCACTGGCAGTGGAATTTGAATGGTATCCTCCCTAATGAACATAGGCCGATCCGTGCCAGAAGAGTTGAAGCGATCCATAAGGAAGCAAGCCCACATTATGCGTCGTCGAATTTCTCGATCAATGAAACTGAGCTGCTTTTTGGTGCCAGTACGGCCCGAAGGATCGTACTCCAAGTCTTTATGAAGCTGAAGAGCAAAAGCCATTCGGATAGCTTGTCCGCCCAGAGCCCAGCTACGGCCACCTTGACACGTTCCAAATTCGTGTAGGCCCAAAATGAGGAGACATGTTAAGATTGTGAGGTTTGGCCATTCGTATCGTCTGGTGCAAATATCTCGAGCGTGTGACGCCCATTCTTCACCGCGTAAGAACTCGGGCCCTGAAGAGCTCACTAGTGGGTTTGACGTAAACCGAGCAGCCACAGCGCACACTGTGAGAACAAGCACTGGGGGCAATGTTCCATTTCTGCCGATAGTTAGTAGGATACATAATCATTGATCAAGACGAAACCTACTTTAGCTTTCGCATATAGCTTGGTTTGTGGAGAAGATGGTAGGATTGGCCATATATGTTGTCGAAAAACACCTCTGCGAGATGCTCCTGTATCTCCTTGGAGGGAAGAGCTTCGGTCCCTTCATGCTGCAACTTGTTCTCCTCTGTTTCTTGGACTTGTAAGCTGCTGGGCCTATCATCGCCATCAGGTTTGGGCTTCGAAGGAGCCTTGGCCCACGCTTCCAGGTCAGGTCCGAAAGCTTCTTCAGCACCACGCTTTTTTGTAGATTTATTGGAAGGTACAGTTCCTGGTATTGCTGGTTTGACAACAGCACGGGTTACTGATGATGCGACTTCCTGGTCTGATTTTGGTATGACTTTGATGATGCGTTCTTCCATACGTTTCAATCGCTTGTCGAGCATAGCCATGTAATCTGTTCGAGGCGCCGCCTTCCGAGTCGTGACCTTGTAGACGCATGGGATACGTGACCGCAGACAGTGTTTACAGGCAGGTTTCTCGCCCGAACATCGGATCTTCTTTCGGCGGCATGCGATACAGGCGAGCGGGAGGCGTTTTCGTTCCTTGCCAGCCTTGGTCTTGAGTTCACTCCAAGCGGGTGTGGCATCCGCTTTATCCTCCTTAGGCTTACCACCTAGATCGGTCCCATCAGCACGGTTACGAGAAGCCAGCCCAAATTCATCAGTGGTAGAATCTTCGAGGGCGTTGGATGCGGGAGATGTTCGGTCTGGTGGTGCATCGGAACCATCCATGCTCTGGCTTCGGTTACCTGCAGATAAGGCGCCAAATGGCAGACCGTTATGCGTAAGACCAGACATGGCCTGGTGTTGAGGGAACGCCGTGGGAGATTGCGACGGGTGTGTGTGATCTGCTAGAGAATTCAGAGAGGCTTGGTCGGGAAGGCCTTGGTAGGCGAACGCGAAATCGTCGAAGTGTGAGGTATCCATTAGTGCGCTGTGAGAGGGGGAAGACGCAGCGTGCAAATCAGGGACTTCGCGATAGAGTTGGTGGCCGGAACTGAAGGGCCGTTGGGCATGTTGAGAGTTCGAAACGGCACGGCCGGACATGACTCTGCCAGAAACAGAGTTGCGACGCGGGCCTTTCGAGGCCGCAAATCCTGCGATGGAAACAAATCTACAGGACTGTGGTCGTGACGATTGAGACGAAGTGAGGTAAACTGGACTAAGCAGAGCTTAAAGCTGCAATTGGATTCGGAGCGGGCAAAACAAGGGCTTTGAGGTTAACTGGTGCGCTGTTGTGCAGTCTAAAATATTGCAGCGCAAGACCGTTGTGGTGACCCGAAGCTGTCCGGGGAGTTTATGGAGAAGTAACGGGTACGTATGTTGTCAGTTGACTCCCCGCACTGGAGCTGGGGACAGTCTACGCCCCGGCTGGGGCGAAGGAGAGTTGGGAAAAGAGTTTGGAGCCGTTGCGGAGGCTGGAGTGATGCAATGGGTATCGGTTCAGGTCGCGGCTCGAGGATTCGCAAGGACAGACGGGCGTTTCTTCGAAGAGTTGCGAAAAGGACTATCGTTGCCTTTTAGGAGAAATGCGAGAAGAAGAATCGATAGGAATTGACCAGGCTCCTGTGGAAAGAAGTGAGTCGCGGAAGCTGGGGGTTTAAAGGCCTAGAAGAAGGGTGGGGACGTTTTGGTAGGAAATCAAAAAGCCGCCATCACGATAGGTTAGATAAATACTGCTAGGTAGGTTGTATGGATGTATGCAGTATGGTAGTGCACGGTCCTGGTGTGTGACTGTGGGGTAGACTGTAGAGAAACAGCAACTACCTACTTTTGGGTGTTTTGAGTGTCTTGGATGCTGGCTGTGAAGTGTTTGGTTCAGGTGTTCTGGGGTGTTTTTGGTCTCATCTTCTCTTGTTCCCTCTTCCATGCCATGCCTGCGAGAGACCAGAGAGGGTCCGAGAATGACTAGATTTACCAGGAGGTAGGCTGTGGAGCCGTTGACAGCGTGGTGGAGGCGGCTACTGTAGGTGGATGGGTGTGCGAGTCCCCTAACGTTTAGTCCCCTAGGTAGTTACTTACCTAGGTAAGGTAGTTAGCAGAGGCACAGTCGTAGCTATCTGTGGTGACAGTGGCAGGTTGGTTGCAGTAGCGGTAGCCGTAGCCGTAGCAGCAAGCCCGGGGTGACGTGATGTGAAGGTAGGCAGTGTGGTCTGTGTTGTGTTTGAGTTCATGTGTAAAATGACGTGTAGAACTACAGCCTCAATTGCACAGTATCCGAGGCTGCCCTGCATCGTTGTTTATCATTGTAACCATTTGAAGTTGAGTTGTGGTGGTTGAAGCTTTGTTGGAAGAGATTGTTACGCCTATCGGATTACGGGTGTTGGATTGAGATAGACGAATGTCTTGCTCATCTCCCTTCTTCCTTCTTCGTTTCACGTCACATCCACTGTCAACGACATATGGTGGGCAGTCAGCAGTATATCAACTGGGAAGGTCCATCCAGCTTCGCCAAAGAAGGAACCTCCGGCCAGGATCTGTCCGATCCCAACATTGCACGTCGCGCGCCGCACATCACCCCAAAACAGGCCTGTGAGGTCGGCACGTACCAACCCTACGGGGCTAAGTGTAGGTTAGTAGGTAAACGCTGAGTCGGTAACATGATTTAGGTGCTCCATGGGTGCTAAGGTAAGGTTAGTACCTATGAAGGTGCGCTGGTAGAGATTGCAATTCTGGTTGCAGTTCGGACCATGTTATGTTGAACATGCTGCTTCCTTGAATGTTACTGGGGGGGAAAACTCAGCATCGTCCAAGTGAATGGGATTAGCAATTAGCGTACGGATAGTACCGTAAGAGATAATACATCACGGCTCGTTCGGCTTAGCTGATCACTTGTCTAAACCGCCAAGCATCGTGATCATCTTCATACTATCATTATCAGGTCAAAAGACAAGCCAAGGTACCGAGTGCGGTACTTCCCCGTTAGGCTTGGTGTCACTTGCTTTTTCAAGGTTTACACTGAGACAAGGCGCGGCAGAGAGAAGAGCTAACGCGGGGGGGGCTCCAGCCGAGCTGTCAGGGGACCCTGGAACCTGGAATTGACATTCTGGCGGGCTTTGGTTCTAGGCTACTCAGAGTCTGGTAAGATCAAATTGTGTGTCTGCAGCTGCCAAGGGCCCCCTGGCTCGAACAAAATCAGGGCGTACAGCATCCCCCCCCAAACATTAACAGAGACCCAACCTCAGCAGACTTCAGCTCGATCTGGCTGCTGCAGAATGCAAAATGCAGAATAATACCCAGACTCAAGAGTGTGAGTGAGACACGGCTCCTCCTTTTGCTTCCGCTGACATGAGCTAGCAGAGAAATGCCGAGTTTTGCCAGGGGTCCAAACAGACGACTACCGGGCACATCTCGTGTCGTAGCATCTTCAATCCCCTGCATTCATGATTCAATGTTCCATAACAGCGCCTGTTATTGATATTCTCAACAGGCTGTTTCTGCAGTGGCTTGAGTGGTTGAGTGGTTGAGTGGTTAAGTGGCAGTGATACTGGGGAAAAGAGGCCGCTTCATCTAGCATCACCCATGGAACTCGCGGCTCAATGAAAATGATCTGCGGTCTAAGGAGGCCTTTGGAATCACAGTTCTATCCCTGCCAGGATGGACTGAACTACTGTAAACTTCCTTTGAAACCACCATCCATGTCCAACTAAACGGTAACTTCCGAGAACGTATTGGGATGGAGAGGTTAAACTTCATGGCCCAATTACATTATCTTACGTAGACCTGATACCCAATGCACACAATAGGGGAAAATTCCATTGACATGCTTTATTATTTTAATTATTCTAAGCATTTTGGAGTTTGGACCAGTGGTAATATAATTTTCCATCGAATAGGGATGTGTATGCTGGTTCATAGCTCAAATAAGTGAGGCGTTCGTCCTGTTACAACAACAACAACAACAACAACAACAACATCCAACATACGGATACAAGCTCTTGAATCGTGTACCACACATACCTAGATCCTAGACCTAGACCCTTCTGCAGGAGGGGGGGGAAAGGCAAACTTGTGAGACCCCAAGAAACCGTTGCGCTCTCCCTTTGCACAGACATTTCAATACATGGATCCCTTGCCCTGCCAAAAGTTCCTTGACCTTTGCAGGTAAAGACTAAACTGTCCAAGATCCCCTAGGGCTGCATGGAGTTGGAGTGTTGCTCGTCACGATGTCATTCAGGCATAGGCATGATCACCAAATAACAAGTTGAGCATGGATATCGAGACCTCGAGCGCTTGGCGATCATGCCTGGAACTCGGCCTCCATCATGTCTCATTTTACTTTTTGCTACTCTGCATCCGTACACTCGCATACCAACCTCCATATGGATGAACCCCCTAGACTAGATGTCAACGACATCTAACATTAGTGTATCTGTACGAAGCAGATGAAGATGCACCCCCCATGCAACGCTGTAGACTAAGACGAGCATCATCCTCGTCGGCCCGGTACCTTTTCTCTTTTCTCCTTGTTGATTGATATGCCATGAATCGCTCGCTTCTGCACTGCCATTCACTCGCCTCAATGACGGGCGTAACAGCAGAGCGATCCGCCCGCAACGCTACCAAGTAACATAATGCCATTGCGTTGCATTGCATTGCCTTGAATTGAGGGTTGAGTTGTATCTGTGTGTTTGTGCCGCACCGCATCATGTTCGTGATCAAGAGAAGAAACCATGCATTGTTTCTGTTTTGGAATGAAAGTTCAGTGACATACAATACAATACAATGCAATCCGGTTGTTCTAGGCGTAAGGCACCAAGAAGAGAGAAAGAGAGAGAGAGAGACAACACACACACGCACATACAGCATAGCTCGTCCCAGGTTGGCCCATGTGGGATATAGTGGGATGATGAGTGATGGGATAGTAAGGATAAGGTGGGATAGGCACGTACGTATACGCGTGGGGTTTATTATAACGCGACGAATCGAGGTCAAAATCAAGGAAATTAGGTCATTAACTTATCTCACATGCTGCGTCCTGGTACACGGTCTCGCCTAAGCCCTACAAGGTGTCGGTTTAAATTAAAAAGGCTCATGGGTATCTCCAACCACAAGAGTGATGGACAGCAGACTATGTAACTTGGCCAACCTATGTATGGACTATGGAGCCAGATAAATACCTAAATAGGGTAATATAAGCTATGCCAGCATGTACCCTACACTCTACCACACTCTGCCACACAAAACTACCTATGCTCCCTCTCTTCCTATCTAGGCGTGTCTATCTATGCCTGTGCCTCTATGTCTGAGCCTATATTTGAGGCTTGGGCTGAGTGTTGAGCTTTTATCAATCTACTCTATATTAAACTACCCTACCCTAGGCCTGTCAGTGCCCCAAACGCAACTCAACACCTTGACACCTGCCAATTCCACGCTATAGGTAGACAAGCCAATCTTGAGTCTCAGAAAGGGTTAGTTTCCTCTGCGTTATGCACTGCACCTCCTTCTGGAAGGTATCACAAAATACCTACGGAGTAGCTACTATACCTAAAAAAGGTACTTAGTACTTTGTAGCTCAACATACTAAGCTTGGCACCCCTTGATGGACCAACCACTGGCTACGCTCACTTATATGGCAACACTTGAAGTTGGAACTGTAACATATCCAAGAGGCAAGCAAATCCTCGGTCCGTTTCAGTCAAGGCCCGATCTTGGGTTGCAGAAGTGAAACGGTTCCTGATGTTCTACCGCATGTCTAAGTAGCATATGATATCTCCCGACTGTGGCCAAGCACTTGGTTGTATTGTTCGTCAACAAAAAGTTTGAGTAATCAAGAAGCCGAGCCATACGAGGTGAAATCATGAGACCGAAACTAAAACGAACGCCTGTCTCTAAATCTTGAGTAGCATCCGCGAAGTTGATCCGTCTTCCCCTGGCCGTTAACCCCAGCACAGCCTCATGTTAAACTCTAAAAGACCAGACCAGACCAGACCAGACCCATTCTTGTTCATAAGTGATAATAATTGATCATCAAAATACACAACTCCTTCATTAATCTAAAATCAAACCAAGGCCCCCGAATAATCCAAACGCCAAGAAATGCTACGCCATGCTATCCATGCTATGCTACTCCCTCAGCCTCTACCAGCCAGAGAACGATGCTTTGTAATTCCGAACCATCAATCACTAAACACTACGCCCCCTATTTACTCGTCACCTCTGTGCTTGATGTACACCGGGATTCCATACAGTACCACCGCCGCAGCGTTGAGATACTTGAACCTGCACGCCTCCCTGGACCGCGCAACCGCCTCGGCTAGTGACACGTTGCGCATCACCTGGCCTTCCTCTTCCGACTCAACAGTCGTGGTCTCGTCCTCGCTCGGGGCCCGACTCTTGCCCTTGGCTCGCTTATCCTCCTTGAACGTGCCCTTGGGCAACAGTCCCCATTCCTCAAACGATCGGCCCGCGAACCGATCAATGTCCCTATCCGTCACGTCCCATAGCGTGCCCACTACCGCTGGGCATCCTGCCATCATGTAGTTCCACACAGGGCCGTAGCACTCAAACTCTCCGGCTTCCGTTAGCGACGCTGAGCTGCAGCCCATCAAGAACGTAGCTGGTTTGCACTTTTCCAAACGGCGAATAGTTCGCGCTCGGATATACTGTGCACCGCTTCCGTGTCCAAAGTAGAGGAGAATTTCAGAGTCTGACAACGCTTTCTCGAATTCAGTTTCTTCTGGAGCACGGTTGACAATGCCGTCCCAATTGCCCAGTCCCTTCATAATTGGCTCGAAGGTAGATTGGGTATTGACCAAATCTTTCGAAGGGTTCAATATGTAAGTACCTCGCTTAGCAGAAACGTAGTGGCCTTCTGGCGCATCTTTTGGAATATTGTCGCCCGACAATGGGTGTGATTCTGTAATGAGTTGTCTCAAGCAAGCCAGCGAAGGAACGCGTGAAATTGCGAGACCTTCCATGCAAGGCATTGACTCCCAAGGGAAGGCATGAAGTGCCTTGTCCAGGACTAGAACTGTGTGAGCACCTTCGGCTCGGTCTGATCCCGTCTTGACTGCATTGTAGTATCCGCGCAGTGCGTCGTAAGTTTCGACCACCATCGCATCAAAATCAATCTCATCATAAGCGTTACGCTCTCCATGGAATTGAAGAATGTCGACGACAAAGTAGAGCAAATCGTTAAGAGCCTCATCGTAGTCAGTGTCTGGATCGCTTGGATCGCCTAGACCGATGAAGAGGTCAAGGACACGAGGGTCAAGAGACACCTTTGATGCCTTTGTCGTCTTCTTGCCTCGGGCTTGTTTTCGCGAGGGCAGGTTGCTGTCGAGAATCTGCTGGAAACTCTTTTGGAAGCGCGCAAGGAGATCTGGTCGACGCTCGTGCTGAGAGAAGATACCCTTGAAGCCACCTAGCCACGTTGTCTCGACAGTGCTCAGCAGATCCTGAAGTCGTTCATCCAAAGCCTGTCTTTCAGACCACCAAGCAGCTTTCGCACCCTTCACGCTAAAGTCTCGACTGGCAGAGTGGCTTGTCTCGTTAGCAAGGCGAATGATTTCTATCATCTCCTCCTTACCATGCTCAAAGTTGAAGATCTCTGAGTCGGCATCCCGAGAATTGGCGCGCTCAAGTGGTAGTCGAATAATGAAAGGACTGTGGCCCGCTCGGAATTTAGTGATGCACAAGTCGTGGTGATTGTCGCTAAGAGAAACAGAGATCACGCTCCAGTTATGAGGTACCAACTCAATATAGTTCTTTTGGAACTTGGCCATTTCCGTTGTAAGTCCAAAGCTAGAGCGTTTGGAAGTGTCTGTAGAGTCAGGATCATCCGACTTGACATTTTCCTTGTATTGGAGCGTACTCTGCTCACGCTTCCAGGTGACGTTGCGGGCCAAGTCAACAGAGAAAGTGGCGAAACCCGAACCAGCAAGCACCTTGGACTGTGTCGTAGAGGTGGCAGAGAGGAGAATGACGGTATTTTGGAGCAAAGCTGAGATCCGATGAACCATAGTGCTATTAGCAGTTGATAGAGTCGAAGCGTGTGCCTCTAGAAGAAGCTCCTGAGCTCGTTTCAATGCTTCAGCGAATGCAGGTACACTCGCCTCCTTGGCACCTTTTCGTTCCGATGCCCCTGCCCGTCCTTTACGGGGAGGTGTTTGGCTTAGTGAGAGTCCTGCCTTGTCAGAAGCGGCGATTGCTGGGAAAGAGATGGTTGAATCTTGAATAACGGAGAAAACAGGATCATGAATCATCTGCTCCGTACTATGGCCGATGAGAGAAATCGCTGTCACAACTTGTTCTTGGGAAAGAGTACCAAAGAGCTTTGGCAGTTCTTTCGCATGCTCTAGAGTCGACAAGGCCGAAGCCCAGTCTTTCTGGCTGATGAAGCCTAAAGCCCTGGATAGAATGACCGAAGCCACCAGAGAAGCCTGGTATGCATCCGTTGGTAACTTCAACACCTCTGTAGTTGAAGGTTGAGTCTTGACAGTTGTCTCCCGCTTTCGAGTTCGTGGGGCGGGAGCAGGAGCAGCTTTGGCTCTCGTTGTTCTAGTAGCAGTTCGCGTGGCACGTGTAGTCGCCGCAGCTCGTGCTTTGGCGGCAACTGGGGCGGTTTTCTTAGCCTCGTTCTGGATACTCAATACTTTCCCATGATCCCCAAGACGCTGAGCAGTCTCTTCTGCAAGCTGAAGTAGCTCGCGAGCTTTGACTTCATCGCCAGAGTCACGGAACAAGCCGCCAAGTTGACAAGCAACTTGTACTCGAGAGACAGAAATATCTTGCGGCAACTCCTCGAAAGCCTCATTACCGAAGTCGAGGGCCTTGATCAGCTTACCAGCCCGATGGTAAACAGAACCTGTCCAGGCCAGAACTTGGGCACGGTACAGTGGTGATCCGGTGCTTTCCGCAATTTTTTGGGCAGATTCTGCGTAGTAGATGGTCTCTTGATACATGCCAAGGTGAGCATATACGGAGGAAACATGTAGGAGACCACGCAGGAGAGGGAACGCAAGTGACCAGAATCGAGGTCCAATCACCTGGCCAAGCTTGGCACCTGCTTTGACACTATCGAGGCTGGTTGTTGAAGCGCTCATAACGCTTGGGCTAGAAGCTCGGGAGACAGATGATTCGATCTTTGACCAGTCGTGAGAGAGAACTCGAACGCTCGATTTGACGCAGGTGAGAGCTTCCTGGACTTCACCACGCTTCAAAGCAAGGACCGAGTCAAGGAATGAGCTAAGAGCGAGAGACATGTTCACTTGAGACTTTGATAAAGCCCAAGATGAGGTCGATCCGTTGTAGATTGCTTTCGCAGCCGCCAACGAAGTGTTTCTAAGAAATAGTTAGAATGGTTCGAGCCTTTTCGTCCTGCTTGATAACTCACGCTTCATCGATGCTACCGATGCCAGAATAATACTCCGCTTGGGTCAGATGAAATCCAGCAATTAGCCCACGAGAGACGCCCTCGGCTTGCTCCAAGAGTTTCTTTATGGAATCGAGTGTTTCCTTAGCTTCAGCGAAATGACCAATGCTGAGATGTTGTGACGCAAGAAGTGTATGGTTGAGAATTACATTGTTGTACGTCGGTTCCGCCAGGATCTTGGAGAGGCGTGTCGAGAGTTCCAGGATCTCAAGCTGCAGACTGTGCTCGCCTCGAAGGCTAGCAAATTCACTGGCAGATTGCAGGTGTGTCACAAGGCCATCAGGATTATCGATTCTCTCGTAAATATCATTTCTTGACAAGCAGGACTCTGTCATCGATTTCCATGAAGCAACTGCATCTCTTAGGGCAGAGACAGGAAAAGGGGCGTTAGTGACAGCCAATGCCGACATTGACTTCTGCAATACTCTGAGATGCGGGATATAACGGACGAGCGAGCTATCTTCGCCCTGAACGCTGTTGTCCAGTTGCTCCATTGACTCTTCAGCCAGCCGGGTTATCTGCTCCATCTCTTTCTCTTCTCCAATGGCCTGGAAGAGCAACTGAAGCAAAACCCGGAGGCGTCGAATAGGGAAGCGTTCTGAAGTATAAATTCGCAAAAGAGCTTGAATAGATGGATCATGCAACTTGAGCGGCTCTCCTCGAGATGCTGTATCTCCTACAATTTGCATCAAGTGTTCGAGTACTGCAGCTCGCTCACACTCGGGTAAAAAGAACGCCCAATCGTTCCAAGAGTGATCAAGCTTAGCAATGGACCGCAGCGTCCGGGACAGTATCTGCGCCTTCTCATCAACACCCCAAGCAACACTAGGAGGTTGAGAATCGAGGGCTGCCGTCACTTTGACCAAGGCGTCTTCCTCAATCATGTTCGTACATATTGATCGCAGAGTCTTGATCGCGTCCTCGCTTCGGTTTGCAGCTTTGCAAAGATCCGCAAACAACTCCAGCTTTATGGATATTTGAGCCTTCTCTTGTTGAGCAATAGGCCGGTCCTGAATCATTTCAATAGAGCGACTCAAACACTGGAGAATCTCTTTGTTGATAAGCTTGTTTTTTCCAAGGTCCTTGCGCAAGTGGTTGTACCTGGCAAAGTACAAGCTGGAGATCTTGACGAAATAGCCGCTGAGCTGCTCTGTTCGTGATCTCGAAATAGTTGGGTCGAGGACACCATCAACTAATTTGCTGCAGTCCCTTAAAACCTCATCCATTTGCTTCCAGGTGATCGAGTCGGATTGAATGTCGCCATTGAGAACCACCAATGCGCCGTCAATAATCTGATTGATCGTCTGCATCAGAACCTCTCTTCGTTGGTCGAATTGTAGAAGGGCTTTGGCCGAGGAGTCCTTTCCTGGGGCAGCTCCCAGCCAACGGCGACTGAATCGCGGAAACTTCGTAATGAACGTCTTCATGTGTTCCAGAATCGACCCGGTGTTCTCCTTTGCCTTTGCTCCATTCGAGTTACTCACCAGAAGTCCAACAGCTGACCGTCGAGCGAGGGAAAGACTCTCCAGCAACTCATTTAGATCGGTGGCGTTGCCACTCAAGGTCCCATCGAGGCTCTCTATGAGTTCTTGAATAAGCTGTTTCGTATCTGCGTCAAACCGGGATTGTTTCAACAAGGCAGCAAGCAGACGTGCCGACACTGAAAATACGCGAATTGCCGATTCCTGTTCAGCGTCGAGTAAATCCTTCAATGTTTGGAACCACTGGCACGCTGCATCGTATTGGCGATCTGTTTGAGCAGCAACGCCCAGAAGCTGATAGAGCAGAGTAAGGGGAGAGTCGGATGAAGTTTTGGCTTGTGACTTTTGGGACCCAATTAGGTCCATGAGATCCCGAAAAGAGGCAGCAATCGTTTCGTATGTTGGCCCATTCGTAGGTGGGTGTCGGCGGGTATAAGCTCGTACACATCGAGAGAACGGAGAGAGAATATCGTCGTCAATGTTACCACGATGGCCAGCCATTTCCCACCATATGAGCTGGACCTTGAAACACAGCACTTGTAACTTGAAGGCTGAGGTAGGAGATGGGCTTAATCTCAATTCTGTCGCAACCTGATCTTCCTTGCTGGAGACGCTGGGCGCCAACGATAGTAATGTCTGAGATAACGAAGCTAGTTGTCGAGCCGTCTTCTGTGCCTCTTTTTCATTTCGAGCCCCCATCCTCTCAAAAAGCTTGATGGTGGAAGAAACATGTGATTCCTCAAAGAATGGTAGTGCAGCCTCAACATGACTTGGCTTTTTGGAATGAGAAATCCATCGCAAGACTTGGACTTGGCACCCCGTAACAACAGGTAGAAATGTTTCGGGAACGTTGTCGCCGTAGTCGAGTAAATCTGCAATAACCTGTGCGGCTGTTTGTCCTTCTGTAGATGCCGGTTTTATTGTCCTGTTAACTCCAGTATCCAGTCTTCGCTTCAAGATCCTTAGCTCCTTAAGTGCTTGATCCTGAAATCCAAGAACTAGAAGCTTGCTAATGAACGCCGACATTCCATTTTCTAGTTGAAAATCTGTTTGTGTAGTTTGAATAGGGCCCACGATAGATCGAAGACAGGTGAAAGCGACGCGCGCACATTCGATGATGGACAGACATGTTGAGGATTGAGACGCTGGCTGTGACGCTGTCTTCGAGGTGGTGCTGGGTGATGTCGCTACTCGATTCAGGGTTCGGGGTTGCATTGGTGATAACGGCGCGGAAAGGGATCTGCGTAGTGTTCTGGGTCCGGAGGCTTTCTTCAAGTCGCTCTGAGATGCTTGTCGTCGGCTGGGAGTCGGGGGAATCGTGGGTTTCGCTATTTCGTTGAGGGACTTGATGCAACTGTTAATAACATGCGTTGCAAGAGCAGCACGCTCTTTTGAGGTGAGCTGTTCGCCGCTGCACTTTGTTGTTTGAGCCTTGCTAGCAGCAGCCCTTTTTGTCTTGGTGTTAGACGCCGCCCTGGAAGTCGTTCGCGAAGTGGTCGTCGAGGAAGTCGTGGAGTCATCTGCATCGGGTAGCAGCAGCTCTTTGAGCGTCACGACGGTAGCAGTTGTGCATGTTGTGGTTGACGTAAGAGCAGTCTTGACCGCGTCGGCCTTTTCTTGTAATGAAGTCATTTAGATTATGTGTGTAAAGTAAGTTCGTTGTCATGCCGTCGTCAAAAAACAAAAGCTCCTTAAGATGGAGATACAATATGCAAGTTGAAAACGAAAGGCTGTAGTGTGTATCCGTAGTGTAGTGTAGTGCAGTTATGAAAGCCGCAATTGTTTAATCCTGGTCAACGTTAGCTCCGGAATTGGCAAACAACGGCGGTTGCCTGGGGCAACTATCGGATCCCGGGTCGGGTGGCCCGTGCTTTCAGGTTTTCGGTAGAAGATCTTTGAAAGTCTTTGGTCTAAGCCAACGACATCATTATTAGTACTACGACATTCAAGACATTCAATAATGCCGCCTCGACAAATTTTGATCCGGCCAGGCCAGATGCGAGCAGTTTTGCTTGCATTCAGAGCGACGCCCCTTTCCAGCTCGGGTATTCGTCACTCGAGCACCGCCCCCGCAACAATAGTCGATCGCGGGTTCTGGCAATCCCTTGTACCGAAACCATTGCGAAAGGAAAACCGCCAATTGAGAAAGAAGTCCAAGGAATGGAACCCAGCGACATTCTTCGTAGCTATCTTTCTTCTCATCGGATCGATGTCAATCCAGATGATTGCAGTGCGGAATTCATTTGACCGGTTTATGCGACAGTCAGAGGCTCGAATTACCTCGTTGCGCGATGTTGTCGAAAAGATACAGCGGGGTGAAACGGTTGATGTTGAGAAGGCACTTGGCACTGGTGACCCAGCAAAGGAGTCTGATTGGGAAGAGAGTAAGGGCAGCGCCAGCAAAGCAAGTCTGGCCTATTGCTGACAATTTTACATAGTGCTTAGAGCCATTGAACGTGATGAAGCAGCCCGTAAGGCGAAACGAGAGAAGGCAGAGCGAAGCGAGCTTGTTACTGCCACACCAGTCGCCAACGTCCAGGATACAGAGCCAGTTAAAGCCGCACCTACTAAGGCGAAAACCGGAAAATTTGGAAGCTTCTTTTAGATGTAAACTGGTCTATCCTCAAATCTGGGTAGTACTCTACAGATACACGGGTCTCAGGAAAGCATATCCTTGAAGATACCAGGATTTGCAAGGGATGCTTGCAATGAAGCTTGCGTTGGTGCTTCTGACGGCGCCACGTCGTTGCGCAGCGCAGAAAGAAGAGCTGGGAGAAGGTCGTCTGTCGACAAAGCGACCCTCACGCCCTGCTCACCCTGTTGATTTGGGTCCATACCCGCAAAGAATTTATCCTCGCCCCTTATTCCACCCATACTGATGAGGGCAATGGGCATGCCTCTGTCTTGGGCCCGCTTGGCGAGCCTCCAGGCTGAATATGTGGCAAGTGATGTGCCAACAATGAGCAGTTTCCCGGCGTTGTCGATAGCTTCTTCAGCTGAGTGCTTGACATGGCTGTCAATGCTCTCCCCAAACATGACCACGGCAGGTTTTAGAATGCCAGCGGTGCTGGGGAGCTTCCATGCCCCGTCTGTGTCGACCTGAACAATATGTTTGTGACCGTCGGAATTCTTTGGTGGATTCGATAAGCATTTAGGACAAGAGGGATATCTGAAGGTTGTGTAAGGGGCATCTGGCAGGTCTACATCGCCGTCAGGGTTCACCTTGAGACCTTTAAACCTGCGCTCGACCGGGTCTTCAGTATCCAGAGCCCCCGACTCGAGGGCTTTCTTGAGTAGCTCAGCCCATCGAGGGTTGAGTTTGGCCAGTTTCTCCTGAAACTCGTTTCGCGAAAACTCGTTCCTACAAGTGGTGCAGACAACGGCCCTCAGATATCCATGTAATTCTAGAGTTGGTAGATCAGAATGAGCTTTTGGATGGAATGAATCGACATTCTGAGTAATAACACTCCGTATCAGGCCGAGACTTCCAAGATCTCGAATAGCATAGTGACCGCTGTTTGGAGACGCCTTTTGAAGGTTTGTCCAGCCTAAAAAGCTTCGAGCCCAGTACCGTTTCCTAGATTCGTGGCTTTTGAGAAACTCTGGGTAGTAGATGGGCCGGTATGTCTTGTTGACTTTGTAAGTGCCCTTGACACCCCGGTAATCGGCCAGGCCAGAAGCAACTGAGAGGCCGGCCCCAGTGAGAACAACGGCTGAAGAGGGCAAATGTCTAGGAGATGGGGCAATGAAGAAGCGATGTAGAGCAGCGATTGCACCGGGAATCGTAGAAGCTGAAGCCGGCGCAATAACTGAAGGCAAAGGGAGGTCCGTGTAAGGGATCCGCAGCAAAGGTTTGCTCATTGGGCCAATGTCCTGAGAATTGCGATCCGAAGAATTACTCAATGTGATAATGCTTAAGGTGAAACTGAAGCTCAATCTTGAGTGGCTGACGAGGCTGTTTCCAATTGCTTGTAGAAGATTGGTGGGATATGACAAGGCCCTGGAGGCGCAGTCTGAAGATTGACCAGTGACGACAGGAGTTACGCAGGCTCTGAGATGTAAGGAGTCTAAGGACCGATATCGTATGAAATGCTGGCGTTGATAGTCAAACAGAAGATTGCAATTGGGTTTCGAATGATGCTGGTGAGTTTAATGACAGGGATTACTCTAAGAGCCTACCTAGTCAAAGAGCGCGTCATTGGTTTCAGGGACGCTTTCTCAGCCTTGTATCCATATTCTGTACTGGAGAGTTATTTCAATGCTTAGTTATCCCCCACAACCCGAGATTTGATAGCGACAAGGGAAAGAGCGTCGAGTCAGTTTAAGGAATTGCAAGATATCGGGATTTTGTAGAGGCCAGTCCTTGTGACTGAACTGAGCTATACCTAGGGCTTGATAGTTCTTATACGCCAGCTCAAGTAGATCCTCACCATAACGAAAAGATGTCCTAAACATACTCAACCACCCCCTGAAAGGTCCTAAAAACGACACCCGACGGTAAAGGTCTGCAGCGGTCAAGGGCAATTCCGGAGACCGGAAGCTTGCGATCCCTCGTCAGGCGAGCGTGTCGTAGTTAGTGGGTTCATCTCACAGCCCATCACGTCTTGAGCGACCAATTCTACCAATTGCCGCACCAAGTTTCGTTTCTTGGTGGAGCTGAGCTGAGCTGGGTTGAGTTGAGTTGCTCTTTTTGGTTTTGTATCTGATAATCTTGATAATCTTTCTTCTTCTTTTCTTCTTGTCTCCTTCTACGTTTCGATTACGGTTTTCTATCTTTCCCCCCCAAGCTTAAAGGGAACTTTGTATGGCCTCGCTTGGTCCGCTCCCGACCGAGCCAAATCCGCTCATTACAAGTTACCGATCCTGAGACTTGAATTGAATTGGCCCTCCGTTAACGGGCATAACGTCAAACAGCAACTACAACGGCAGGGCAACTCTCCCCCTGCACACAATACTCTTTATACTACCTACTTATTTACATGTCTCTTATGCTTCAGAAGCAACACGACATATGAGCAGACCGCGCAATCAATCCGAACCTGGCTATTTTCCTCCCACTTTCCCGTACTTCTCATCCCCTGCCAGCGACATCTCGGATATATGAGTCTCCCGCAGGCCGGGCGTCCCACGGGCGTAGGCGCAGTTGCAGGCACAGGCACAGGCGTGGGCACAGGCGTGGGCACTGAAGTGACGTCGCTAATAGCCACGCACAGTCGCAGTCGTGGCTTTGCCTCGTGGGGACATGCCGCGCGACAAAGTACATGTCGTCGTGGCCAGATGGTTCATTTACACTCAAACATACGGATAACTACTCCCCACGTCGCTTCTCTACGGTTCCGTCTACGCGCCCTGCAGACTGCCTCAATCGTCGCCGCACTATCCACCTGTGCATACCTCAGAGCCTCGTCTAAGCTCCCAACCAACCACGTACCACATATAACACTTCTCCCTCGCCCTTCGACGAATTCGCTTCCACATCTCGCCCCTTTTCGCAGCAAACTCCGATCACCACATTCTCTCGTTGCAGCTTCAATGTCCCAGATACGATCGAGTACTGGCTCAGGCCACGACCACAAGGATGGTCATAATCACAACCACAGCCACGATCATGGCCATAGCCATGGTTTCATGGGTCATCACCACCATCACGATAACGCATACCTAACATCTGGCAACAAGGACGACCCAGGCGTTCGAATCACACGCATCGGCTTGATCTCCAATCTGGGCATGGCAGTCGCCAAATTTGCTGGTGGATATGCCTTCAACTCCCGAGCCATGACTGCAGACGCTTGGCACAGCATTACAGATCTTGCATCCGATATATTGACGCTTGCGACCGTGACGTGGAGTCTGAAACCACCAACAGACAAATTTCCCATGGGCTTTGGCAAGGTCGAGAGCTTGGGCTCACTGGGTGTTTCAAGCATGTTGTTGGCCGGAGGTCTCTACATGGGTTGGGACAGCGGCATCAGTCTATACGGACACTTTTACCCTGAAGCAGCACACGGTATTCTAGAGCACGTCGGGCATGGACACGGTCACAGCCATTCCCATGGAGCCGCGGCACTTGGAATCCCAAGCATGCATGCAGCATGGCTTGCAGCAGGAACCATTCTTATCAAGGAATGGCTCTATCATGCCAGTAAGTTCTCCCTTTGCTTCCAAAATTCAGATATTTGGTAGTCGGTGTGACAACCAATCACCAATTTTAGATTTCATACCCCAACACAAGTCTTGAAGACTTGACTATTGAGAACGGAAACTGACTGATCGCAGCAATGAAGGTCGCGCGGGAACGCAAATCTTCTGTTCTCGCATCAAACGCTGTTCATCACCGTGTTGACAGCCTGACGGGTTTCGTCACTTTGGCTGCTATCATGGGAGCGAACGCAATGGAAAATGCGGCGTGGCTGGACCCCGTCGGTGGTCTTCTCATTTCCATCATGGTCATCCAAGCAGGCGCAGGAAACACCATCGCTGCTTTCCGCGAACTGGTAGATCAAGGCATCGATGACGAGGTCAAGTCTTCAGTAACCAAGCACGCGCACAAAGCCTTGCAGAACGTGGTAGAAGGCCACGAGGTTGCCGTACGTGAAGTGAGCGGTATCAAATCAGGCCAGAATTATCTTGTGGACGTGGAGATGACAGTGCCTGGTGCTTGGTCAGTCGAAACCACAAAGCAGGTGGAAGATGCGGTGCGCACACAGGTCGGAGGTAAGGTGCGCGGCGTGAGAAGGGTTCGCATCCGATTCTCGCCAAAGGAAGCGCCCGCCAAGGCCAAATTCGACGACTTTATCCCTGGGACTGTAGTCTTGCCGCCAGAGACCGAAGAGGATGCCTCTGAGGGAGAAGGCGAGTCGAACCACGGTCACGATCATGATCATAAGAGCAGTGGTCATGACCACCAGTCAGCCAGTAGCCACGGGCATGGAGACGGTCTCAAGAACAGAAACAAGCGTTAGAGTGAAGGATGCTTTGCAAGGACGTGAGACCTTACGCCTGGATTTGCAGCATCTACCATAACTCCTTGTTACATCCGCAGGTCCACGTTGTCGTGTGGATGTCCATGCCAACCTTGGCTTGGCGCCGGGGATGAGCCCGGCTCAGGGCGGCTTGAGCTGCGGGACAGTGGAGTCTGGCCGGATGAGCTGAAGGCATCTGAAGGTGTAAATGCAGCACGAAGTGCATATTCTCTTTTCTTTCATAAATACTTGCACGGGGCCAAAAAGCGGACGAGGAAGAGAAGGTACAGGAACGTGCTTATACAAGGAACAGACGATTTAGACGGACGAATGGGGGAAATGGCTGCATCTATACCCGGCAAGACAGCCTGTTAGATTTGGATTACATTACATATCCTGTGGTAAATGCAGATAAGAGAGAAGGAGATATGATATGTATGTACTTATGCAAGTCATTCCTGGTGGCGCTGCTCAGCTTAGACGCGCCCCAACGGGAGTTTAGCAGAAAGGAGGATGAATAAGATAAGATGATGGAGAGAAAGACAAAATTGTACATGTCGAAATGTAGTTTTCAAGTTAAGCAAGGTTGTCACCAGCCGGACCGGGAGATAGGCTAGGGAGCCAGGCCCCCATGTTTGAGCCTCATGGGCAGATGTAGCTTGTCAAGTTACATATGAATAATGTGTACTCCGTATCCGTAGAGTAGGTATGTAAGGCGGCCATGACTTGAGCTGGCATTTGGTCAAACTTACATTTGAGGAAACTCTCTCGTACCTGAATCAATTTACCACACACCCTGTCCCGTTTATCATTTACCGTATAAGCGCTGGTTGCTCATTGGCGATTATTGATGCTCACGAGGAGCAGCTAGGACGTTAAGGTCACGAGTTCCATTGGCCAGGATATTGAATTGAAGACGGGGGTGAGGTTGGAGTGGCTTTTGACGTATTTAGGCTAAATAGGAACGAAATTCTGGAACCGCTTGAAGAAGAGAAGAGAGTTGAAGAAAAAGATGATGCTTTTGAGTGTCTACCATTAAATTATTATTCATTTCTACATAAACATGAATACTCAGTCGTAGAGTTATAGAAGGGATCTAGGAAACCTTAATGGGGTGTCGATCAGTGAGAATTCTTCTCTCCTGGTGTTGCTATCTTCAGCAACGTTCTATCATGCTTCTTTTCTTCTTTTCCGCACCTCATGACCTGTGATCCTCTTCGCATTTCTCACGGGTAGTTCCCACACCTCCTTGGACTTGATCCATATCGTAACTTGTCTCACTGCTTATTTGTCTGGTGTTGAGCATCGTATGGTAGGTATTGCCCTGTAGTACATACTGCTTCATTACACACACCCTCTGGAAAGCTAGGCTGCCTTTTTGTCGATTTCAAGGGTCGAAAAACCGGGGTTCATGTTGATGGGACACGCAAAACCCCACGTTGATATGGGGGGATGGAAACCAAGAGAAAGTCTCCATCTTTTCTCAACAGTGACATCGTAAGTAGGTACCTAGGTAGGTAGGTAGGTTTGCAGTTATTGTGTGTACATGTCATGATGGATATGGTCGTAGCTATCTCTCGAAGAAAAGAAGGAGACCAAGATATGGTAAAATAAAACAAAAACCATTCTCATGCGACAGGACTAATCATCCAGGAGCAAGGGTAATATGCAATGCCGGGACACGGATACGGCTATAGGCCCCGGACATGGGATTGTGTTCATATGACCTCTGAGGCTACTTTGACAGCTCTTAGTTTCTATCTCTGGGTAATTGGAAATAGAGAGAAAATAGACCAGAACAGGACAATCAAACGCTTTGTGCTGCGTGTTTAAGCTGGATGTCCATTGGTATTACCTAGCATTGGTGCTGCCTGCTCCAGTACACACCTACCTACTAATCCAATTACTGCGTTCACGCCTTGCCTGCCCGAGTATTCTGATGTATGTTACCCACTGAAGACGCTCTTAGTGTGTCTATCTCTCTCTTTTCCCTGTTGAGGGTGGCGGTCTAACATGATGCAGTTGCCGCTGCCGTTGCAGACAGTACAGTACCTGCCTCCTCTTAGCCAAGCCAAGGCAAAGGAAGGTACAGAAAAAAACGAGTGTAAGGTACCTATAAAGCCCAGCTCGTGGCTTTTTCTGGTGTTTTCCCTGTCTCATTCAATTCAACCTTACTCTACCACTACAACTTCATCGCTCGCCTATTGATCGTTTAGTCCTCACTGCCAATCCCCACTGTACCCTCAGTAGCATCGTCTTTCGTCATCGCTGCAATCGACGTCGCCCTGGCCGGCAGCCTTGGATAAAGTACTATTCATACCTAGACTGGATATCTCGACAGCGGCAGCAACAGCGACAGCAGCACCATTTTTTACTAGCAGAAACTAGTCACAATGCCGTACCTCGCTCGAGACAACTCTCCAGACAAGCCCTCCGACTCAAAGCCGCTATATCTTGGCTTTGATCTGTCGACGCAACAGCTAAAAGGCATGCCGACCCATCCTGCTCTGTTCTGAACCAGCAACACAATTCGCTAACCGAATTTCCAGCTCTCGTTGTTGACTCAGATCTCAAGGTCACTGGAGAAGCAAAGGTAGACTTTGATAAGGATTTTGGCCATAAATATGGCATCAAGAAGGGAGTTCACGTTTACGAGGAGACGGGCGAGGTTTATGCGCCTGTTGCCATGTGGCTCGAGTCGGTAGATCTTGTCCTCGATCGCTTGGCCGAAGCAATGCCTGTTCCCCTATCTCGCATTCGCGGAATTAGCGGCTCTTGCCAGCAGCATGGAAGCGTATACTGGAATGGCAATGCCTACGAAGTCCTCCACCACCTCGATCCTCGCCTGCCCCTGGTTGTTCAACTGCCACAAGCACTCTCTCATCAGTGGTCGCCCAACTGGCAAGATCAGAGCACTCAGGCCGAGTGTGACGCTTTCGATGCCGCTCTTGGCGGCCGTGAGAAGCTCGCCGAGGCCACAGGTAGCGGTGCGCACCATGTAAGTCAAGCTCGTGAAATCACGAAATTGAGAAAAATACTAACCAACATCTCAGCGCTTCACTGGAACACAGATTATGCGCCTCAAGAAGGACCTCCCAGATATGTACGCAAAGACCGCCCACATCTCTCTGGTCTCATCATGGCTCGCATCCGTCTTCCTCGGCGCCATTGCTCCCATGGACGTTAGCGATGTTTGCGGCATGAACCTATGGGATATGTCCCGTCAAACATACAGCGAACCTCTGCTTGAGCTTGCTGCTGGTAGTAAGCGTGATGCTCTTAACCTCCGAAAGAAGCTTGGCGAGCCTTGCCTTGATGGCGCTGCTGTTCTGGGTTCTATCTCTCCTTACTTTGTGAAACGCCACGGCTTCCACCCCGACTGCCAGATCACACCCTTCACTGGTGACAACCCCGGAACTATTCTTGCCCTCCCCCTTCGACCCCTTGACGCCATCGTCTCGCTGGGTACTTCAACTACATTTCTCATGAACACACCAAAGTACAAGCCTGACGGCGCTTACCACTTCTTTAACCATCCCACAACCGACGGTCACTACATGTTCATGCTGTGTTATAAGAATGGAGGTCTAGCACGCGAAAGGGTCCGAGACCAGCTACCCAAGCCTGAGAATGGTCCTACCGGTTGGGAGAACTTCAATAAAGCCACCGAGAACACACCTGCTCTCGGTGCCGCAAACGAAGATGATAGACGTAAGCTCGGTCTATACTTCTACCTCACTGAGGTGGTGCCCAACATTCGTGCCGGCACTTGGCGATACTCATGCGAGCCTGACGGCTCTGATCTTCAGGAGGTTAAGGGAGGATGGGATAAGGAGACCGATGCTCGAGTGATTGTCGAGTCTCAGGCCCTGTCGATGCGACTCCGATCCCAGAACCTTGTTGAGAGCTCTCGACACGGTCTTCCCGCTCAGCCCCGCCGAATTTACCTTGTTGGAGGTGGTTCTCTAAACCCCGCCATTGCCCGTGTTATTGGCGAAGTCTTGGGTGGCAGCGACGGCGTTTACAAGCTTGACGTCGGAGGTAACGCCTGCGCCCTTGGTGGAGCTTACAAGGCTCTCTGGGCTCTGGAACGCCAGCCAAACGAGACCTTTGATGACCTCATTGGCAAGCGATGGACCGAGGAAGGTAACATCCAGCGGATCGATCAGGGCTACCGCGAGGGTCTCTATCAAAACTACGGCAATGTCCTTGGAGCTTTCGAGGGCCTGGAGAAGAAAATCCTCACTGAGCAGGCTACGGAATCAGACAACGGACAAAAAGAAGTACAGCAAAGCGCATGATTTAAATCGAGGGTATCTAATGTCTAAAAATGGGGGGTTGGGGTTGGGGGGGGGGGTTGTCTAATGTCATTATCTAACGTACTTGCCCATGAAACGCCTATGGAAGTCGGAACGAAGGAGATCCTAGAGGTCAAGGTTAGCGAGGGATGCTGTCAACTTTGGAATAGAAATAAACAGAAACATGATGCATATAACAAGAGAGAAGCTTGCAAAACGTGCAACGCAAAATGAAAGAATATTCCAAGACTTACATTTACAAATTCCTTCTTCTTGCCCTTATCCTCTGTGCCGCGCGCCTGGTTCTTGAAGACCACGTCGTCGTCCCAGCGGCGCTTCATATTAAAGTCTTGCTTGTTGAGAAGAGGATTTCCGAGAGCAATGTTTCGTTCTCGGGCTTCTTCCTCTTCTTTGAGTCGCTCTGCTTCCTGTGATGTGTGTCAGCCAAGCACACCCGATATAGAATTCGCGCGCAGACGCACCTCTTTCTTCTTCCTCTCCTCTCGCTCTCTGCGCACACGATCCAACTCTCTCTGCAGTTCTGCATCTGAGTCGTCGTCGCTGTCATCATCCTCATCACTGTCCTCCTCGTCCTCCTCGCTATCGTCGTCTGCATCGATGTCTCTCGTCTCTGCTAATATCCGTCGTCTTTTCGCCTCTATATCTTCTGCTTCATCGCCGTCGCCACTTTGAAGCGCTCGCTTTGCGCCGCCAGATACGCTTGTCTCGTCGTCCTCATCACCGTCGTCGATCAAGGCAGGGGCGCCATTCTTCTTGGTGAAATGAGCGGCTTCGGCAGCGAGAAGCTCGGCAGCGAGATCGCGGGTAGGTCCTTCATCGGCAGCACCACCTTGGCCGGCCTGGCGGTACTTGAGCTGGGTATGGGCTGGGAGAAGGCGCTGATGGTAGGCAGGACCACGAAGGGCTTCTTTGCCACGGGCCTGTAGAGGTTAGTATGCGCTTGAATGGTTAGAAGTGGCTTCACAAACCGGATCAAATGTAGGTCTATGAGCGGTAGTCATGGCGATAACTCCTGGTTATGTTTTCTTGAGATATTAAAGTTTCAATGCTGATAGAAAGACTTGGATATGGCCGACGCGAGGCGCCGGGGAAGTAGGCGTGCCATAAGTGGCGACTCACCGCCCGGCAGAATTTCTTCAATGTTTGTCTCTGTCTATTACGCTTCGGCACTCTATATACACAGGCGTTGACTTTCACGACATATTCACACAAAAATAACGATCAATCATGCCTCGCGAAGCCGAACCTTCACTTTCTGAGAGGACTTTTCTTACTCAGGCTCTGGATAAGAATCTGCGGTTGGACGGGCGCAAATTCGACGAGTTCCGACCTCTTGAACTCACTTTTGGAGATGAATATGGAGTGGTAGAGGTTAAGTACGGAAAAACAAGGTAAATCACTATAGGTTGTTGCAATTTTGAATTTTTACTAACAAAATGAACCAGAGTACTTGCCAAGGTCTCAGCAGAGGTTACAGTGCCATACTCAGACCGTCCCTTTGACGGAGTTTTCACAATCACATCAGAACTCAGTCCCATGGTCGCCCCTTCATATGAGGTCAACCGTCCCTCACTCGAGGAAGTTCTACTCTCAAGGCAGCTAGAGAAGACAGTTAGGAGATCTGGAGCGTTGGATACCGAGTCACTATGTCTCATCGCCGGCCAAAAGTGTTGGTCGATCCGGGTCGACCTTCACGTCCTTACCCACGATGGAAACCTCACAGACGCTGCCTGCTTAGCCGTGGTAGCAGCCCTTCGACACTTCCGCAAGCCTGACTCTAGCATCGAGGGAGAAAATCTCACTATCTACACGCCCGCTGAGAGAGAGCCTGTTCCCCTGAGCTGGCTGCACTCGCCCTTCTGTGTCACCTTCAGCTTCTTTGGTGAGGATGGAAGTCAGGTTCTCGTCGACGCCAACTGGCTCGAGGAGCAGCTACGGGTCTCACACTGCACGTACAGTCTTAACAAGCACGGCGAGATTTGCCAGATCGCCAAACTCGGAGGAACCTCACTGGACGCACCGCTCTTCATCCAGTGTGCTCAGGGAGCGCTCAACCGGTCGAAGGACTTGTCAGACCTGGTGGATCGCAAGCTTGCCGAGGATGCGAAACGAAGGGACAAGGGAGGACTCATGGCAGAGCTCACGGCCGAGAACGATAGGTGACGCTAATGTCTAGAAATAATACCAGGAAAAGCAATAAAACCCGAGGAAAATAGAAACCATGATACCCCGCAGAATGATCGCCCAGTGTTTCCCATGCTCGATTCAAAATGATGTTTTTACATACTCCAATAGAACTCCAAATGCACACGCCAGCCAGACTCGTCCTGCCCGGTCGTTGTCGTCGCTCATTAGCCATCGTAGTTAGACGCAAGGATACTTTAGTTCGAACCAACTACCGCATCACGGGTGGTCGAGATTCCTTGTTCCATTGCACTCGTGTCCTCACCCACTCGATAGCTTCTCGAACTCCGTCACCAGTCAAAGCACTCAAGGCCAGCACACGTGAATCGCGGACAGCAGACCCCTTGTCTCCCTCCATGACCTTCTTGACGAGGCCTTCCTTGATACGTATTGTCTCAACGCAGTCCTCACGATCTTGCTTGTTTGCTAGAATGAGGAGCGGCACGCCTTCAGTCTCTGAATGCTGCAAGACGTCCTCGAGGACAAGTCGACACTCTTCCAATCTGCCCACATTCTCCTCATGCTCAATGTTTCCGTCGCCGATATCAGTGCTATCAATAATAAAGATGATGGCATGGCAGCTGGTGTAGTAACTCTGCCAGAGCTTGCGCAGCGAGTGCTGTCCGCCCACATCCCATAGCTTGAGGTACATGTCCTGTAGCGGTATCGTGGAGACGTTCTGGCCGACTGTGGGCACCGTCTTGAGTTTCGGGTCGGGCCTGTTCGGTAGGAACATGGATTTGACCTGTTCGTGGAAGGTTGTTTTGCCGGCATTGTCGAGGCCCAGCAGAAGTACAGAGTATTCTGGAAGCATGTGAAGTTAGAATTGGGCGGTCGTACTTGAGGGTAAAGACCATGGGGGGCTGGACATACCTTCTTTGCTCGTCGCATAGAGGTAAATGCCTTTGGCGAGATGATACATCTTGGTCGCGGGTGTCACGGCTGGCGATATATATAGTCGATGGGTTGATTCTTGGTGTATATCGAGGAGGCGACAGTTCAGTTGTTGAACGTTGAGAAGTTGATAGCTTCCGAAAGTGAAAGCTTCCATTCAGATCACCATATCAGATAGCTGGCCACTCGTCGCTCTAGGGGCTTGGTTCCAGTGCGCTTTAGTGGATGGAGCCACTGAAGAGCCTCATGAACCCCTGGGCCAGTCCCCCACCAACGACCCTGTCTTTGGGAGCCGGGCACGGGCGGATGAAAGCCCCGCCAGAGGTGGCTTTGGCTTTGGCTTTGGCTTTGGCTTTGGCTTTGGCTTTGGCTTTGGCTTTGGCTTTGGCTTTGGCTTTGGCTTTGGCTTTGGCTTTGGCTTTGGCTTTGGCTTAAGCTTTTGATAGCAATGGGAGGGTTTGACGGAAATGGCTTTGGTCAGTTGGCGAAAAGAGGGTTTTATTGTAAGCATGCTCAATGAATGGCACTTGTGAGTTAAAAGTACGTATCGCGGCGTGAATTAGTTGGCCAATCGGTTATAAGTCTTTGTTCTACATACCTGTCGAGGTTTATTCGAGGATGGGTCTAATGACCTCACCTCACTCAGTATTACACCCTAAATGTGACGACTCTACAGAGTATCATGACATCAATTGGACAAAGTAATCACGACACGCTCGTCGTCTTATAGTTAGAGAGGTCTTTATAATTCAACACGATTGGTCAAAGTGCTCTGAATTATACCTAAGGGTGAGTGTATGTAGTTCCTCGAAAGCAACTGAAAGCGTTCTGCGATTGCAAGAAAAGGCGAACCAATCAGAGTTCTGCTTTATTGAAAGCTGTCGCCTTTTTACCTGCACCCACCTTACCTAACTTAACGGCTTAACCTAGCTCGGGGATCTTAGCTTCAAGTTGCAGCCGCATACCCAAGCACACCAAGCTAGGCACAGCAACCTCAACCTCTCTTCTTCAACATTCCCTATTTTGCTGCCTGGATCTTGTTCCAAACAACGACGTCACCACCATCCCCGAATTCTAATCGGACCGCTCAAATACACCTTTCCTAGGCCTCTTCGTTCCCTCGCGCATGTCGCCATCGCTTCAGCTGACGAGGCTCGCGCAGGGGGTTTCCCACTCGATCGCAACCTAATCTCGAGCCAATTCGACGCCTTTTGACGCATCGTAGGCGCAATGTCTTCCGCAAAGCTTATTGGAATGGGCCTTCAGCTCCTTAGTACGCTCCCCGTCCTCGACGTTGTACACGACTTGACACAAAACTAACGAATCGAACATAGAGCGAGACGATGAAGAGTCCGATCCCGAGGGTGCGTTTTCCCGTTCGGAAAGAGACCAGCATATCTCGACATTGGAGACATGAATACTAACGACCATTTTCAGAGGGTGACTCTGCCCAAAAGGAATTGTTCGCGGCATGGGCGCTCTTCATCTCCATCATGCTGCTCATATTCGCTCTCTTCACGAGTTATATGCTTCAGATGAAGAAGGTCACTGCTATACACGAAACAGTTATATCCATCTTTGCAGGTGCGCTCACGAATACTCACATATACGCGATCAGTGGCTTACACTTCCTCTTACCATAGGAATGCTCGTCGGGCTCATCCTCCTTATAACGTCTGGCGACGGCATTCGCAACATTATCAGTTTCGACTACCAGATCTTCTTCAATCTGCTACTACCGCCCATTATTCTATCCTCGGGCTATGAGTTGCACCAGGCCAACTTCTTCCGGAACATCGGTACCATCTTGACGTTTGCTTTTGCTGGAACTTTCCTCTCTGCTGTCGTCATTGGCGTGATCCTATATGTCTTCAGTCTGGTTCCTGGCTCTCTGGAGATGACCTTCGTCGATGCGATTTCCGTGGGCGCAACTCTGTCAGCTACCGATCCTGTCACTATTCTGGCCATTTTCAACACTTACAAGGTCGACCCGAAGCTGTACACCATCATCTTCGGAGAGTCTATCTTGAACGATGCTATTGCCATTGTCATTTTTGAGACTGCACAGAAATATAAGAAGGGCGAGGCTGCTAATCTTGGCATTGTCAGTTTCTTTGAAGGTACAGGCATCTTCCTACTGGTCTTTTTCTGCAGTATGTTTATTGGCTTCCTTGTTGGTGTGGCCACTGCTCTGCTGCTCAAGTTCACGTACCTTCGTCGAACTCCCAAGATTGAGAGTTGCTTGATCGTCCTGATTGCTTACGCCACTTACTTCTTCTCCCACGGACTCCATATGTCTGGTATGTTACTCTAGTCATTCTTAACCCTTGTTACACAAACCCTAATCTCTATGCAGGTATCGTGTCACTGCTCTTCTGCGGTATCACTCTCAAACACTATGCCTATTTCAATATGTCGCGCCGAACTCAGCTTACCACCAAGTTCATCTTCCAAATCACATCGCAATTGTCTGAGAACTTTATCTTCATCTACCTAGGACTGGCCTTGTTTACCGACAACAACCAATTCCAGCCACCTCTCATCATCGTCACCATCCTGGCCGTGTGCGCTGCCCGATGGGTTGCTGTATTCCCCCTGTCTAAAGCTATTAACTGGTTCATCCGGTACCGCGCTGCCAGGCGAGGCCAGGAGGTTGGCGATGAGCTACCTTACAACTACCAGGCCATGCTCTACTGGGCTGGTCTACGTGGAGCTGTCGGTGTAGCTCTGGCTGCTTTGCTCACCGGCGAGAACTCACCCGCACTCCGAGCCACTGTTCTGGTAGTTGTTGTACTCACCGTTATCATCTTTGGTGGTACCACCGCTCGCATGCTTGAGATCCTTGGGATTCGCACTGGTGTTGTTGAAGAAGTTGACAGCGACGATGAGTTTGATATTGAAACCTTTGGCGGAGGTATTCAAGTCAAGCGCTCAGGAACTGGTATTGGTTACAACCCTCGCAGGAATGGCAGCGTCGCCCTTGGCAGTCTTGAGGCCGGCCAGTCTGCTAGTTATGTCTCAGGTGCCTCATCGCCGCACACGGGCGCCCGTCCAGGGGGTAAGATTCGAAAGAATTCTATCCCAGAACGATCAGATCTTCTACGCAACGATGATTCCGATATCGGTAGCGATATCGACGTCTCTGATCTACCTCCGCCAGCACGTCGGTCGCCACTCCCACGCGCCAGTACAGCACCTCCGTCCAGGGTGGACAGTGCATACGCAACTCCCACCTCGGAGACACCAGGAGGCCAACCCATCACTGCGGGCAATGCTATTCGACAGCTCTGGTCGTCGGAAGATCCTGCTAGTGTGTTCCACCACTTGGACGAGGATTTTATCAAACCCAGACTACTCCTCCAGAGCGACAGTTCAAGAGGCGGAAACGGTGGGTCTAGTTGAGCGGGAATATAGTCAATGATGGATTTCGATGAGATTCGCGTAAAGACAGGCTCTACAATCTTATGTGCATGAATGGCGTTGGGGTTTATTAGTATAGAAGGGACATTCATAGTCAAAGAATGGCTTGTTGAATATCTTCATCTTGCAACTTCTGTATATATATCATATCACGGGTGCGACGTTGTTTCATGATTTGTCTTGAATAGGAGGGTAGTGTTTTTGTATCGCCTTGAATAAGCAAGGCTAATGAGGTCGAGCGTAAAGACGCTTGTTTGTTTGCCTCGAGGGTGATTAATAAGATATCTATGAACAGATGATCTCCAACTCATCGGATGCCATCCCAAACATCCGCTGCGTCATACATAAAATGGATAAAGAAGAATGCATGCAATTGAACAACCAGGATCAGGACTGACTCCCCTTTTTCGCTTGCACGCTATTTCATGACAAGATAAACACCGTATTGATCGCTTCCCATGCAACAGCCAAACCCGAACCATGCCAAGCCAAACCCAATAAGCCAAACCCAATGGCTCCAGAACTCAAACAAGAAAAACGTTGCCTCGCCCGGCTTTTTCTTCTAGCCCGCTGAGGGTGTGGCGCTGCCGCTTGCTTGTCTCTGCTGCTGCTGTTGCTGTTGCTGAGCTTGATGCTGGGCCTGCGCTTGCGCCTGTGGCTGTTGTGGCAGCTGAGGCTGCTGTTGTTTCGCCTGTTGTGGTTGCTGGGGCTGATGTTGAGGTTGTTGGTGTTGCTGGAGAGGTTGTTGATGTTGCTGCCCGGGGCTACCGGCGGCTTGACTAGCCTGCTGCTGCTGTTGTTGTCTGAGTAGGGCGGCATATTGGTGGGGGCTTGTTGTAGCTGCAATGCTTGCAGCAAGCCCACCCTGGCCATTAGCCGTACCAGCAGCAGAGTTCATGGCAGATCGTTGCGCTACCATAAGGCGCGTCAGATGTTCAGTAGCCAAATGCCTAACCTGTTCTGGAGTGAGGTTGGGATTCTTTGTACGGAATTGTGTCTCAAGCTGCGCAATTTGAGCGGCGATGCTTGGTGGGAGTACTTGTTGTGGTCGTGGGGCTATCGAGCCTGCAGGGCCGGATGGCATATGAAGGCCGTTCGCCTGCGGGGAGCTGAGAGTACCAGGGTTAAATTGGGCCATCATGGCCTGGGCGTTGTTTATAAAGCTCTGCTGATTCATTGGGTTTGATCCATTAATGCCGTTGACATTATTTCGCATGTTTGTGGGAGGACTCTGCTGGGCGCCTGTCGCCGCCTGGCCTGGAGTACCAGGACCGCCCTGAGCGTGCTGCAACTGTGCAGCCCGTTGTTGCTCAGAGATACGCTGAGCACGCATCATCAAGTTGACATCCGGTTGTTGGTTAGGCATAGGCATACGGCTATGTTGTCCCTGCATTGCCTGTAACTGGGCTTGTTGGGCGCTTGTCAATTGGTTCGGCGGTACAAGACCACCAGCCATATGAGACGGAACACCACCCATACCATTAGCAGCAGGTGACTGCATAGGCATTCGAGGACGAGGTTGACCGGCGGCAGCGGCGGCAGCAACAGCAAGTTGGTTAGGGACATTCACACGGCCAACGCCATTCATACCGTTAGCCGCTGCTACAGCAGCGGCAGCAGCAGCGGCAGCTTGGGCAGGGTTTTGACCAGGCTGTACAACTCCGGGGGTACCCGCCATCTGGGCAGCTTGACCTTGAACTCTGGCTTGCATGGCAGCCTGTGTGGTCGTCAGATTTGCAGTTCCGCTGGGCCGTATTGTGTTACTTACTCGTCGTTGAGCTTCCTGCCTTGACGCGTACTGCGCCATCTTTTCTGCCAGAGCCTGGTCTCGTTCCCATCGCAATATGCTGTATTCCCTTGGTGTTTTTGTAGGACGTTGCGAAACAGGGTCGTTCACCTTCTTATTGGCCGCGTTCTGCGAGGCTGTGTGCTGTTGCTTTTGTGCGGTTGTCTCCCGTTTCTTGGCCAGCTTGCGCATGGCATCAAGAATCGTGAGATGCTTCTGGTTGCGTCGTCTCTCCACTCTAACGGGAGTCGACGCTGGCCGTCTTCGGCCGGGGGTAACCGCTCCATTGGCTTGATTAACTTGCTGTGCTATGAGCTGGTTCTGTTGTGCAATGACGTTTTGAGCTGCTCCGATACGACCTGTGTAGGCTTTGAAGTATTGCGTCTTAGCCATGTCTGAAGGGAGTCCCTCCAAAGCGATCCATCTCTCAAAGCATTCCCAGGGAGTACGCCTCTCGGCACCAGAATTAAAGACAGACCTAGGTGTCAAAATACTGGAGATAAGAGACCAATTGTAAGAATATTCCCGCACAAGACTTCGCAACTCGTCATCCTCCGAGATGGTCCACTGCGACGGGCTGCGACACTCGAAGAAATTCTGTGCGGGCATGGGATACTCAGAGGGCGGCCGAAACTGGTGTCCAACATAGAGACGATCACGAATGTGCTTCATCTCGGGGTTAAATAGGGCAACTTCGTCAGTAGCAGGAGGAAGAGGTAGGCTGGGCAGTGGATCACTGCTCACAAAACCAGCCTCGCTCTCATCATCGGAATCCTCGTTGAGGTAGTTATAACGGCTTCGTTTTCTTGGAGGTCCATCTGAAACCAATTTCATATGACCCTCGACATACTTGCTAAGTGGCAGAGCTGGTCGTCGCCAATGGGCATCCGGATCCCATTCAGGGCCCGTAAGGTCGAATTTAGGAACCTGAAGGGGCGTTCCAAACATTGGCAGTTCCTCCAGAAGTTGATCGGCAGCAGCAGTTCGGCGCAGTCCGAAGATAACATCATCTTCATGCATATTGAAGATTGCGGATGGAGCTACCGTTTGAGGGAAGTCCTCGGTAAGATCGTCCAGAATATCAATGGACTCGACATCTCCGCTCGAGACAAGATCGGGAGTCGGTTGATTCTCTACCTCAGCATCAATCATGGAAACATCTGTGGCTGGTTGTGTCTTTGGCGGTATCACAGCTGGAACTTGCATCAGTTTTCGTTCATCAGGGGTCGACTCGTGCCACTCTGCGCAGGCACACGCAAGATTCTTTGCGACGACCCTCTTCCACTTTCGCTCCTCTCGGAAATCCGTTCGCATCCATTTCACTTCCTGGAGCATGACATCCCAATGCGACGGGGGTCGCGTTGGCTCGGGGCATCGTTTCGGTTGTCGTAAAGACCATTTATCGTGTTGCTGTAGATGATAGACCCGTCGCAAAACCTTACATGCTTGGTGGTCCTGAATGGCAAGATTGGCGTCAGGGGTAGTGACAGTTTTGTTGGCGGTGTATAAGATTTTTTCGATTGGCTGCATCCAAGAAGAGCTTCCAGCGAAGCCTTGGACAAAGAGAGGGGTGTAGTAGTCCTCAGTTGGTGAAATTGTGTCGCGCTGGCTGGCCACCATGGTCTTTTCATCCCCCTTCTTGGACTGCTTGCCAAAGACAACAGTTGAGGGTTGGCTCCGGGATCTTTGTCTTCGATGGGCAGAAATATGGCGATGTCTAAGGCTTGGTGACTTAGGGGTAGACGTCAAGGGGGTCAATTGATTGTCAATGCTCTTGTCGTTCGACGTATGCTCCAAAGTTGGCGTTTGACGAGGTGTCTCCCCAACAATTTCACTGACAGACTTTGGACGCATGGCACCAGAGGAAACCCTAGTGACAGCGCGCTCCGCCTTTGGGGGCGATGCCTTTGGAATAGACTCCAACGTTGGTCCAGTCGATGGGGTCTCGTCAGCCTCATGTGTCTTATCAGCCGACTTTGAGGCTTCAGTTTGACTTTCAGCGCTGGCTTTAGGTTCAGGGGCATCCACATCAACATCCATCTGGTCGGGAGGGTCCTCCTGACTGTCTGGAATCTCCTTAGTGGCTGCAACTTCATCTGTCACATCAGCCGCTACGGCCGTTGCTGCACCACTATCAGAAATATGTTGAGTAGACTTTTCCTTGACTTCTTCCTTGGTTTCAGATGTAGTCGTCTTCCCAAGAGCATCGTCGGTACCAGACATATCCACATCTTCCGAGACTGCCGCGGGTATCTCGGATTCTGCGACGTCCGCCTCCTCTGCAACACTGGAGCGGATAGACTCTTGAAGAAGCTGTGCCTCAGCAGAGTCAGGGGGTGCTTCCAACACACGTTTTTGCAGATCTTCACTTGAAGTAGCATGAGTATCACCAATCTCCTTGTTATTCTCCTCTTCCTTCTCAGCTCCGTCAACATCACCTCCTGTCTTCTTCTCTTCCATCGGCTCCACATACTGTGATCCCTCATGCTCCGGGCTCGTATCGGTTGAAGCATCATGAACCGCAGGTGTGGTTGCGCTTTGTGCTGTTGATCCAGGAGACGACAAAGCATCGGCAGAACGAGTAACATCTGTGGCTGGCTTAATCGTCAAAGGGACGCCTCTAGCATTGGCTGGAACCCCAGGTCCTTGATCAAGTTTCTCAACAATCGGCGCTCGCGGCTCTGCATCTTCGCCTTTTGTTCCCGATTCGAACGTAACTTGAGGCTGGCGCGGGACAGGTGCGGCGCCTGCAACACTGGGAAGGTCCTCTTCGTTCAGTATCGGATTCGCATTGGCGGGACAAGAAGCATCGCGGTTCGTCGCTGGTGTCGACTTTACAATCGCATCCTTGGACGGAGGCGCAGGTTGATTGATTGGGGCTAGTAGAGGATCGGGCGTGGCAGTTGTAATTGATTCTGTCGAGGACCGAGGGCTCGGTGGTTTTGTGGGAGCAGCATCATCATGTTCAGAAGGTAAGTGAGCCCCGTTAAGTTGTTCTTTGTCCTCTGCATTCGTTACATCGGGTTTATTCGCATCCTCGGATACCTGCTTCGGCGCAACCTCCGCCGCAGTGAATATTGACTTCGCAAGGGACTTCCTGACGACATCGAGAGAAAAGGTCGGCCTCGTAGGGATGTTGGCTTCGTTCAACGTCTTACCTCTATACTAATGTTAGCATGATGCATGCACAGGCAAAACGTCACGCGCGCTAAACAATTGAAAGGAGCGTGTAATCGATTCCCAAGACGTACTGGATAATATCGTTGGCTTGCAAGAACTTCCATTCGGCGGTTGTTGTGGTCGGCGCGTCGGGGTTGGTCAAGACTGGTAGCGGGAGACCCTCGGATTGTGTCGCAACAGCGAACAACTCGCGAAGCTTGCGCTTCCGCGACGTCACAATTGAACTGAGGCCAGTTAGCACGCCAAAAGTTGTATCATCATGATCGGAAAAATCAGCTCTTCCATTTGAGCCCATACTGACCTGCACTCATTGCGCTTTGTTTGAAGCAGCCTTGATAGATCGGCGGCTCCGACCTCAGTCATAGCATCGACGGCCGCGACATCCGTTTTTGGACGAAACAGACGTTGCAAGATAATATTTGAGGTCGTCCGAGATGAATTCACAGGGTTTTGACGATGAAAGACGCTGGTGTTGATTGATTTTGTGGTGTCGTTGCTGAAGGCGACGTCTCAGGAAGGCGTCAAAATTTCTGTCTCTGGGGAGACGATACCTTGGCTGTTGGGTGGTTTACAGCTCAAAGCACTGAAAGCAGTGAGGAATATAGTTGGAAGGCGGGCGCACGGGGGACAGTGGGCGCTGGGGGCTGGGCCGGGGAGGGGAATTAGTGATGGATTTAGGGGGGGATTCGACCAGGCTTCAGGAAATAGTGGGTGTGGCGTGAGTGGTGGGCAAGAAGGCGAGGAGCAAGGTTTGGATAAGACCAAGGTTTATGCGGAAGCTGAGGGAAGAAAAGAGTCCGAATGTCTAATCGAAGAGGATAAAGGTGGGGGATCAGGTCAACTTGGCACTGTGCCATGATTCGTGAGTATTCGATGGAATTCATATTCCCGCCTGAAAACAGCCTCAAATACGCTAGTGTCCCATGGACAAAGGGGGGGCCATACCAACAGCACAGTGACGAATACTGTACGTAAAAAATACGGTTTATTACAGTCATTTCATAAATCTCCACAACTTTAGTGCCAACCAACATCATCCACCCTCCCATGTCAAAGAGTAATAAGTGTAAGTGTAAGTGAAGGCGCACAAGTATTCATTTCAAGACTACGAGGTTTTTCTTTTCAAGGTCTTTTCTCTCGGTATTTAATATACTTTAGCCAGTTTCATCCTCAAAAGCCTTCTTATGTTCTGCTCGATTCTCCCTGGTACTTACTACTCTGGATTTAAACTACCTACAAACAAAGAAAATGTTTCTGTCACCAAACCCCTGCAGCATTATCGTAATATTCTTTTCATACAGTCACAATTGTTCAACATTACAAATATCAGATGGAAACTCTAATTTTATAATGATTTGATTATTTCGTTTCCATTTAGCAGTCTGGCTTTCTTCATTTCATGTATGAATATCCGTACGGGTTACTCTGTTGTTTACGATTTTGAATAAGTTAGTACCTACTACCTATACCCAGGTACACAAGTATTGGGCCAAAAAGCCAACTTTTTAGCCACATCTCGAAAGTGACACCGCCACAGGTCGAACGCCACAAGTCGTATGCTGCCTGGACTGACGTCTGCAAGAAATAATTCCATCTTCCTGTAAGTGAACTTAAACAAACCCAACCCATTAACAACACTTATCCAGGATGTCCGAACAAAACAAACCTCCAGCACCACGAATAGCGATCAAATTCGGCGCGCCATCAAATAATAACAGCACGAAGAAACTTTCAAGACCAAATCCACCCTCCGCTCTTGGCAAACGATCGCGACCACACGCTTTAGGAGGCGGTTCTGACTCCGAGGACAATGACGATGATGGCCGTGGACAGCACGAGAAGATCACTGGCTTTGGAGTAGATGGCGCAGAGACAGAGCGCAAGGCGAGAGATGCAAGGACAGAAAAGAAGGACTATGTGATTGCCCGACAAGGGAATCGCGACTGGAGATCAGAGGCCAAAGCGCAGAGGAAGGGCAAGAATCTGCTCCCCGCTGAAGCGAGAGCGCAGCAAAACGGCACAACTTTTGAGACAGAACCTGCGGATCAGGATAAGGGGCTCAAATGGGGTCTGACAATCAAGGAGAAAATCGAGGAGGACACCAAAGATGCCGCCTTAGATCCGAACGCGCAAAACACACCCCAAGAGGACGACAACAAGGCTCCAATCTTCAAACGATCAACAGATGACGAAGCTATGGATGCGCTATTGGGAAATACAGAGGAGGAGGAAAAGGTCATCCATCCAACTGAAGAGGATGCCTACCGTCGTGACATTCAAGAAGCAGGGGAAGCATCAACGCTCGACGACTACGAAGCAATGCCAGTGGAAGAATTCGGCGCAGCTCTTCTCCGAGGTATGGGCTGGGACGGAAAGCCCCGTGGCGCAGTAAAAGAAGTCAAGCGACGGCCCAATCGACTCGGTCTCGGGGCCAAAGAGCTCAAGGGCGAAGAGGATTTGGGCGGGTGGAACCAGAATGGCAAAAAGAACAAACGACCACGCCTGGACGAATATCGTCGAGAGGAAAGCAAGCGGAAGGAGGGACGTCACCACGAGGACAGTTATAAGCGCGAGCGTGAGATGGATAGGGATCGAGACAGTAAGCACGGACACCGGGATCGTGACCGCGGAGGTCGTGATCGCGACAGGCCCAGAGACTACGACCGACATCGTAGTCATCGTGACCATGATCGAAGACGGTGAAGCACGCCAAGTCGAAATTTTCAATAGAAATCACTTATCGCAGTCCATCATCCGGCGCAATTTTGATTTACGGAAAGGGGGTTCCCAAGCACATCACTGGTTCTGGCATCGTTGAAGAACGCAGCAAATTGCGATAATTAATGCGAATTGCAGAATTCAGTGTTCAGAAGGCATACGCCAACAGACAGCTCAGACGCAATACAACGAACGATACCTTCATTAGGAAATTATAGGTTTTGCAAACTTATACATAATTATAGTCTAAAACAGCATGCTTGGGGTATATACTTTCGTTCAAGAACCACAACCCAACGCCATGCACTTCTGTGTGAGCAAACGATACTAGCTTGCTGGCACAGTTTGTCTACCCATTTCCGTAAGTCGTTCACCTCCGTTTCCGTTCGTCTTCGCATTCTCATCAGCGTCCACGACCGATGCAAGACGCTTCTCGTCCCTGGATTTCCTTGAAAAGTTAAACGACCGCCGGACTGACATGCTCCGTTTCCGGCCCGTGTTCGCACCATCACGACCCCGTTCTTCCTCCGGATCTATCACATCTTCTAAGGTCTTGCCCTGTTTGAGCGCTTCCAACGATTTCTTGGCTGTCTCAACGTCTTCGAAAATGACCTCGGTATCGAGAAGCACTCTGTCAATTTGGCCTGCGATACCCCGCTGCTTCTCCAGGGCCTCAATCTTCTCCCTCAGCTCTTTCATTATATGCCACCCATCCATGATCTCCTTCTCCAGCTGTTTGCGCTGGTCTTCTGGGAGCACACTGTACTCTCTTTGCCCTTGGGCGATGCGGGCACGCCGGATGTACTTTTGTGGTGTTTTGGATCGCTCGGCCTGCTTGACAACACCCTTGAGAGTATAGCCGACTGGCCCAACAATGGCAGAGAGATTCTTGAGAACTAATCCTGTCAATCCCATGCCTGTACCCTTGACAAATCCAATCGGACCATTTTCTTTTGCCCCACGGTATGGAAGACGAACGACTCCTGTGAAGCCATCGTAGACTCCGTACGCAAGCTCATGTCGAGCCGCCCGGAGGCCTGAGTGGAAGCCTGTTACTCGAATAGGCCGTCGTACTGTGGTGTCGCCATAGAGTCGAGGAGCGTTATGGAAGCCTTGCGCGAGTGCCATCGAAAGATCCACAGGTGCTTTAGCAATGGCGGTGGCAGTCCGTCCCATACCACTTGCTATGTCGCCAACATATTGCCCGCTTGTTTCCTCGGCCGTGGCATCTGTGTGCAATGAAGCACCATCAACTAGATCATTCGAGTCTGCTGCGTTGCGTTGCGCTTCGATGTCATTGTCATTATTGGCTTTCTTCGCAGCCCTCCTGCTCTTCCTCTTTCTAATTGACCTTGTTCTCTTCGCCCAATGGTAAGGGACACTTGCGACACCGTGAAACGCTTCACCAACTGTGCTAGCAATTGATCCTGCAATTCCTGTGACGGGCTCGCCAGGACCTTCAAAGTCGTTCCACTCCTTATGCCTGATGAGCCTCAGGCGCTTCCAACTCAGCAACCCCTTATCCACAAGAATGTCAGCAGCTAAAGCACCAAGCTTGATATTGGTGTTTTTCAACTGCCAGATGGCTACGCGGTCCTTGAGAAGGGAGCATCGTAGAATGCTAGGAGCCCCGAGGCTTAGCTGTCGGTGGAACTCCTTGACTGCATTCTCAGCACCATCGCCCTCTGCTGCAATTCGCTTCGCGATCTCTCCAGCGGCGGTTTTGGCCTCGTCTGTGAGACAATACTCAATGCCTTCGGCAAGCTTTTCGGCGTCCAAGTGCTTGTACGGGATTGGCTCGGGGCCAACATCTGCGCCGCTCACCATCTTACCCCAAAAGTTCTGGTCGCCAAAGAATGGAACAATCATTGTCGGCTTTCCGCATTTAAGCGCAATGGCTGTTGTTCCAGCGCCTCCGTGGATGACACATGCTTTGACTCTCGGGAAAAGCCAGTCGTGAGGTGTGTTGTCGAGCATAAAGATATTTTCGGGGACATCGTCGCATCCGAGTCCGCCCCAGCCCTTTGATACCAAGGCACGAACGCCGGCCATTTCTACGGCTTTGAAAATCATATCCGTAAATTTGTCCGCATCATCGACAACAATCGAGCCGAACCCGATATAGATAGGGGTCTCTCCAGCTGCCAAGAAGTCCTCCAACTCCTTTGGTGGCTCGAAGGTTGAAGCCAAGTCGAGGAACACGAAGCCAGCTACATCGACCTCGCTTCCCCAGTCCTCGGGCTTGGGCACCAGTCCAGGTGACCACAGGTATGTGAATGGCACATGTAGTCGATATGTTGCACCGGGTGCCCAGAGGGTCGAGACAGGATCTAAGGCCAACGTCTTGACACGGAACTCATTGACCAGATCTCCTAGGCCCTGCCATACCATCATCTCGACCAGTGGGTAAGAGATGAAGTTGGTATATCCGGGATCCACATTGGAGTTCTTGATACTTGCCAAGGGGTGCGGGAAAGCCTGTGTTGGGGTATAAGGAAAAGTAAACATGAGGTGGACGGGAATTCCCAATGCTTCGGCGCAGTGAATATGTGCAAAACTTGGGGGATTAGCAATAATGACATCCGCCACAAAAGGGTCTTTTGTGCCCATCATCTTTAGGTTCTGACGGTCCGATTCGTCGTCTGTAGCGTTGACACACGCTCGCCAAAAGCCATCAAACATAGTAGCCATAGCGGCTCGTCGCCTTCCAATGTCTCCAGCCTTGACTGTCTCGAGAGTTGGGATCAAACCCGGGTTCTTGACCATGAAGGCCATAAGTTCCGAAGGATCACCACCCACAGAGAAGAACTCGAGACCCGAGTCTTTCTCGACAAAATCACGGAACGCCGGGTGTGTGGCGATGCGTACACGGTGTCCGTAATCCTCCTTCAGAACCTTGCCGATCTTCAAGAAAGGCTGGGCGTCTCCCCGCGAACCAATAACCATGATAACAATGTTCAAACGTGCTCGAGGTACTGAATCCGCCACAGCTGTTGAAGAAGAGGATCGTCGTGGACTTTCAGGAATTTGCAGATGCGATGATTTGCCTGCAGGCTCGGGCTTCATTGGAGCTACCTTGTGGACAGCTGCACCCAGAGCCTTACTCAGGTATCCAGTGCCTGCAGTCTCGTTGACCGTGATCCTCAAGCGACCATCCTTCTTGACCTTGCCCGATGTCTGGTAGTTTTGATTACCGACACTAAAGTGGCTGTACTTGTCCTTGTCGTGGCTCTTGGAGGCCGCCTTTTCGCTGCCTCTCTTGCGGTTTCCGCTGCCTCCTGGAGACTCTTGATGGCTGATCGGATGCTCATCTTCATCGGACGACGACAGAGAGGTATTATCTGGGTTGGTTCTCGGGTCGCCAGGGCCTCCCCAAATCGCTTTGTTCAGATATGATGTACCGGCCCTGGCTGGACCGGGTCGGAAGTAAGAGTGGTGGCGCTGGTGCTCGCGGCGTGGCTGCTCGGTCTGCCATGACTTGATCGGCTTCGGGCGGTTTTTGTGTGCTGGTGCCTTTTTTGGTGTCGCTTGGCCTGCTGTCTCTGGTACAGATGCAGGTTGAGACTCAGTTCGGGTCTGTTTATTCTCTTCTTCTGGGATCACGCTCTCCTTGTCGCTTCTCGGGGATAATGGACTCTCAGGAGACTGAATCAAGCGCGGTATGGAGGAAGGAAACACCACATCTCCGTGGCTGTCCGTAATCAATGTTGTGCTTTGGCGCGCATCGTCGTTGTTGTTGTGCTGCTCCGACACCTGAAGCTTGAGGTCGTTGGGGTCTTCAGATCGAGAGCCCATGATGCTATAGTCACAGCTCCTCTATGGGAGCGAGTAGTAGGATTGGTACTGAAGTCCTCAGTTTTGCAAAAGAGTAAGTCGAAATAGGGTCGTTATCGTGTCACTGTCGCGCACGTTTCTTGGCTCGGGCGGTCGTAGCTTGGCGTTCTTCTAATTTGGCAGAGGTAGTTGCCGTAGTCGGGGATGTCAAACCATGATTTACAAAAAAGGTAAATAGGTAAAGAGGGAAAGGACATAAGAGAAGGACTCTATGATATGGGCTAAGACTATCCAAGGTAACACTGATAATCTCCCGTCTCGTTCATCAAGCGTCAGTGATCAGTGATCACGAGGCGTGTCTTTGTCTTGCCCATGTCTCTTTTTCAATTTCTGGCTTTAAAATGATGCAATGATGTCACTTGCCGTGTTTTCCACTGCGGAACCCCTTGGCGCTCGGGCTTTTTTTACTGGGTTCCTGCTCCGCAAGCAGACCAACAGGTCTCGATTGGATCAAGGAACAGGCGGTAATCGTCGATGATGGGCCGCTAATGTAGTCTCATTCGGTAACACTGCCGGGCTAAAACCACTGCAGTGATGCATTGATTTGTTGTCAAACCATCGTTTCTGAGTATCAATCAGTACATGAAACCACAAGTAGACATACATACTACTATGTGACAATAGCTACATACTCTCTAGTGATGTTTCTTATATACTAGTAACTAGGTACCGTACAATAAATATAAGCTTAATAAGCTTGTTGGAATGAGCCTCCTAAATCGCTTCCTACTACCTACTCTCGTGGCCCATGTGTTGTCATTGCAGACAATGGCTTCTGAAGGTGCGTGCAATACGTACGTAGTACGGATACAGTGGTATTGTATATACCTCGAATAGGCTACACTGTCTGTTCAGCACCGTCATACAACTAATGCTACTGGGTTTTATTCAGTCAATCCTTGGCAACGGGTGCAAGTCCAATCTCCCGCCTTTTTTGTCCCTGTCTCATGGAGGCGGTTGCTCGAGTCGTGTCTTGGCTGTGGCTGTAGCTGCGGACTGAAAGCTCCGAGCATCCAAGCGCCATCCTAGACTTGCACTGTTCTACTGAAAATTTGAGGGCAATGTCTGGGGTAAAATAAATTATTGAGTAGAAATGCCTGGTGTGGTTCACTCTTACACACGTGAAACAGATGAGATACACACATTTGATTGCGTGGCTTATGACAACGGTTGTGTGGTGGAAATAAGCTGCGAGCTTCGGTGAACATGGGAAATAAGGTACACAAGTGACGTTTAAAGGCGACACAACATAGAGATTCAAGAATCAAATCATGGCTTCAGGCATTCACCTCCCAGTCCGTCATTCAACAATCATCGATGTGCTATCCATATACATTTGCCGTACTCCATCAGACCTAACCTCAGCTGCAACGCCCTTAATAATTCACACCCATAAACCCTACTGTAGAGGAACACGCTCAAGAACATCCGTCAGAATGCCCAATTGCATCAATACCTCAGCCTCCTGCTCTGATCCTTCAGAGCTCTTCTTTACCTCTTCCTCTTTAAGACGCTGAGCGGCGGCCAGCAAGGGCTTCACATATCTATGCTCTATTGCTGCAGCCATTCCGGCAGGGGCCAAATTTCTGTAGTCTTGGCCACCAAACAAGAATAGGGCAAAGTTGGCAACCTGAAGATGGAACGGTGCGTTCTGTATCCAAAACTCCCAAAGCGCCTCCATGTCTGTTTCGGCAAGATATTCTAGATCCTGGAAAAGGGTGTACTGAAGCGTGTCCAGGCAGCCGGGATCGGCAAAGCGGCCCTTTGAGCCAGCTTTGCGGGCAGCGATGATCTCCTCTCGCAGCCATGTTACTGCACATGCTTGCAGAGATGAGAACATGCAGTTTTCCAACAGATCCTCCAGGATATTTAACCTGTCTTCATCATCGGGATCTTGGTGGAGGATATAACCTGCCAATACGGTAGCCGCGTTCCGTACCCGTATCGACGGATGGAAGACAGAGACGAGCGTCAGTAAATGGTGATATGACATGAACGTCGCGTCCTTGTCGTCAGCTGCCTTAGGTCCAGTTATCCGCTTTTGATCGTATAGCCATAGCGCAATAACAATTAATGCTTCGACAGTTCCGGGATTGTTTTCGATTTGTGTCTGAGGCTCATCTCCAAGGAATCGCTTGAACAAGTTGTGATGTTCAGGAAAGATGTGAGCGTCAGGCTGCTCGTAATCAGCATCAAAAATATCGGATGCAAACATTCTATAAGCAGTCAAGCAAAGGAAACCACCAGTCGATAGCTTAATGGCGTCGGGATGCCTGGCATCAGGTTCAACAGAAAGCGGATTCACAGCGAATGGAGATTGCAAAACCTTCTTGACCTCAGCTGATGGCAGTTTTGCCAGGCCTAAATCGCGAGCAACAGACTGAAAGGATTAGAACCATAACTTAACCGTTGTGCGGCGTCGACTTACAACTAACTGTCCAACCAAGGCATCTCTGGCCTGGAGCTCTTCAACCTGCTTGAACATTTGCAACATGGTTGGCTTCCCTGGCACGATCCTCTCTGGGTTGCAGTATTCCAAGTGCCTTGCAGCCCACTCTAGACTGTTTGAGTTGACGTAGGCCTCGAGAATGCTCGTGACAAATGACTGCAAGATGCGCGACACCAGCTCAGACTCGCCCTCGCCTGTTTGACCTGCGTCTCCCTCAGGGTCGGGTGCGCTCTTAGACATGTCGCTCTCTTGGAAAGGAGTCTCAAGCTTTGCGCTGGATTGTCTTGTAGGTAGCGCTGGTCGCTTTCTTCCGGAAAGAGATCTCACAAGATCAATCACTGCGGCCGTGGTCTCGGCGCCTTGGGGGTTATATGCTTGGTAAACGGTCTGTAGCGTAGTATGAAGAAATCGAGATGGCGCCTTGACCTGCAGTCTTCTGTGGAGGATGCCCAGCATACCAACCAGGGTGATGAAGTTTGCGCTTGCAGAGGCATCACCGGCCTCAGATGATTCCGAGTCGGACTCGAGCACTTCGACAACCTTGAGAATAACCTCACGGGGGTTTCCGAGGCGGGCAATGGTCTCAAGACAATTTTGACTCCCGGGGACAGAGATCAGCATCTCCACGAGGTCCCAGCCAATATCCGCCGTGAGTTCAGCATCTTCAAGGACTTCATGAAGGGCTGGAAGAATCTCGGGAGATAGGTTCGTTTCGATGATGGTAAGGTACGTGAAAGTGTCTGTGGCGGGGGGCTTCGACTCGTGCAGCCTCTGAACAGCCTCATCGAGGGACACCATGATGCCGAAAGTATGTATAATCGCTTTACAAGGTGTCGTGTTCCTTTGCTTCTTTAAGGAACGGCCAATTCGGTATCTGCCTCACGTGTGGACTGCTTGATCGACAAGGTCCGAGAGTTTCACTGGCTATGTTGAGGAGGGGTCGATCGTTCGGTTCGTGGCAGGTCTAGCGTAGCAGTTCTAGTGCAAGAAGCGAGTGTAGTTGAATGACTTGAACAGAATCAAATCAACGCAAGAGTGAAAGAGGAAGACAGAGAAAAGAAGGGATGAGATTGCACTGATCGACAGTTATTCTTGTGGTCGTTTTAGAAATGATGGGAGCACGAGGAGAATGAAAGCGAAACGTGCGATGAGAGATGACGAGGAGCTTTTAGTGGGGAACTTTCCCACCTTAGCGCGGGGCGTTTCGTCATCACGCCTGTAGACATGAGCTTGTTTTCACTTAAAATGGAGGCTCAAAAGCAACCCAGCAAATGGTTATTTGCGAGGTATCAGTTCTGCATCGTAAGGTATTAGAGGCTATTGTGTTTTTACTAATTTTCTGCGTGTGGATTCCATACAAAGGCTCACATAGTACAACAATCAGAACAAAACAGCAGCCTCAAACGTCGTCAGTCTTTCTGAGGTTGTTGATGCGCTACAGGGGTCAACCTTTAAGCCATACCTCGCCAAGCTCACTCCCGCTCACCCTATATTTCTTGCCTTTGACCTATTTTTCCAAAGTGTCAGCGTATAACAGCCATAGACACGCTTGATCACGGGAATGTATTAATACTACAATTCAGAGTAAGTGCGCAATAGAACACCGCATGTGCAACGAGCTACCCTCCTTTTGGATTTTCTCTTTGAACGCCCTGATAACCCATCGTCGAACCCTCAACCAACACCAAACCCAGATGCAATCGTAGACCTTCGTACAACCAAATCGCCGTCTCTGCGTGAGTAACTATAATACATGGTACAAACAAACAAAAGAAACATACAGGGCGTATTTTCAGTTATTGAATCGAAATCTTCAGTGTTTTTACATCCTCCAGTTTGCTCCAGAGCCCTTGTTTGAGTTCTTCGGCCACCCCCATTTGCTGTTCCTGTTATTGTCGTACCCATTGTGCTTTGTGCCTATAGCTTCTGATACCAAAATAGGTTCGTCCATCGGCATCAGCTTTGGATAAGCCCTGTATGGCAACACACTCTGCAATTCTCTCCTGCTTAGCGGCCTGTCCTTCTTGGGCGTTGCTGCAAGCCTGGCTTTTTGAACATCTCGCACGATATCCCGGAGCTCCTCATCTTCACTAACTATCTGTGCTTTAAGGAAGGGGAGTGTTTCTTGCGCTGACTCCTGGATGCTCTGCATGATTGGCACACGCGGAGTATACTTGATATGGTCCAACTTAGGAGCGTGCTTGGCATCGGGGATAATAGAAGGATCTAGCCTGGCTTCATCACCCTTCTCCAGAAGAGCGACAATGTCAATGCTCTCTCCAGGTGGGATAGGCGTTTGGTGACTAGGAGTAATGCATTCCATGTCCACTTCCTTACGCAAGACATGGTCAATGTCGACGGCAGAAAAGTATGCGCAGGACTGAGGAAGATCTTCAATGCCGACCTGCTGAGAGAACATGGCCCGTGTCCAGATATTGGCGACCTGAAGAGCGATTGACGTACGATATTTGTCTTCTTCTTTAACCAGGTATCTGATTTCGTCATGAACTGTAATAGCTACTCGAGCATTAATGTTGAACCGGCGAATCAGGTAGTCCATGGAAACAACGAGCAGATGAAGGTAGTCAACACCAGACGATTGGATGGCCCAGTTGATTCGAGATGTCAGATAGCCACCCTTGCTGATGTATTTCCCCATAAGAGCCTCAGTTATTCCGGCTCCTAATACTGGGGTCCTTGCTTTGTCTTGTTCAGCAAACTCTTCTAGTTTGTTGAACACGAATGACTCAGTGCCACCTCTCCAGAATAGACGCTTGTAAAGGACTTTGCGGTTGGTTTTTGTACCCTTGGTATTGGCATAGAGCTTCGAAGCCGTCTCCAGGGTTTGTTTTTCTGAGAGGTTTGGATTGAACTGTCGCAGCAAAGTCGCAGCAAACTTGAGACCGGCACCGTAAATTCGCCCATAGTTGAAAACCTTGGCGTCATTCCTGGTGATACCTAGGATGGATGCTGTGCGTGAGTGAAGATCGGTACCGGCAGCCTTCGTACCCTCCAAGGTCATAAAACCAACCGCATTTCCACCGTGAAGCTTGAATGTTGCATCGCCTACAAGACTGGCAATCCAGAGCTCCTCTGAATCGACATCCGCTCCCACAAAGCAGTAGCCCTTGGGTGCCTTGACCATTGCTTTGAGCTCAGAGCCTACCCGATTCTTCTTGGCGTTACTAGCAGTGAGCCAAGTATTCTCGACTGCTCTTCGTGTTATAGTGCCCATTGGAATGATTTGCGGCAAGATGAAACCATCTCTTTCGCCGTTGCTTTCTTCCCTCCCCCCGGGCAGATCCTTTTCGTAGACAACCATTTGAGATCTGATGCGATCTCTTGCACTTATCCAGTAAGAGCAAGATGCATTCATCTCCAGCGCTTCCTTCGCATATGAATACTCTGAAGACAAAATACCACTCTCGAAATATGCTAAGTAGCCTTTCGCCATTGGATTCGCACAGCGAGCAGTTGGGCCGTCCTTGTGAGGAAGTTTAAAGTAAGAGTGAGCGTGATCATCGCGTAACTTGATGTCAGTCTCGTCAAACTTGCACTCGATAGCTTGCTTAGCTATGTACTTGGGGGCTTCTGCTTGTGGCACTCGAAACGTCCACCCATACTTATCAGACCAAAATAATGGGTTCCCTTCCCAAGCCAGTCGTAATAGAAGAGGGGCGATTCTCGTTCGAACCGTGATGTTGATGGGTGCATCGCTAGATTGAAAGAGGTCCTTGTACCATTTGGGCATGCCTGGCTTTTTCTGCCTAGCCGCGGGCCTCGGGGGATCGTTCTTTTTTTTGCCCTTGACCATCTTTATTTCTTGACCAGACCAGTCAAGCTGCTGCATCCAAGGGTCGTTTTCGTACTCATCGGGGCTTTCTTTTATTTTCAAGGCCTTATTGGTAAGAGCGACAAGACGTTCCTGGACAGAGTCGGAAAGCTTGTGGTAGGTAGCCTCTGCGTTTGTAAGATACGCATCCCACGACTGATTAACTGGGAGAATGACCGAGGACAAATGCCGGAGGGCTGCGAAGCTGACAGGATGTGGACATGTCTCCAGAAAGTTGGGGAATACAATCTGATAGATACGATGAGTGACTGACACATCGGCAGCACAGTAATTTAGAAGCTCGTCCAATTTTGCCAGAATTCCTGCGTGGTCCAGCTCGCCAAAATCATTTCGGATGGCCTTGTCAATGGAAACATTGAGGTGGAACTTAGCAACATCTCGAAGAGAGTTAACAGAGCTTCGTTCGACCCAGAGTTCTTCCTCATCATGGATATTTGGGCTACTTAGTACCGTGCCTAGGTCGTGGTCTGGGGTTTCGTTTGCGATTCGTTCCCGCATCTCGCGATTCTTCTTGTGCTGCATCCAGGTAGGTCGTTGCTGGGAGCACATACCGTTGACAGCTACGTGCAACGACATTGTGTCGAGGAAGGCATTTCGGGTTTGCTTGATGTCGTACTCTTCTAGCACTCTCGCTCGGTCGAAACCCACGTTGTGCCCAACGATAATTCGGTCCTTGGTTGGGTCTCCCAATGGAATCAACTGCCGGTCGTTTTCGGTCTCCCCTAACAGCCATGGCGATAGCCATGCATACCAAGCAGTTGGACTCGATGCGCACGCCATCACAGCGAAGGGGCTTACTTTCCACATAACTTCAGTGTCAAAAGATAGCATTGCCTCGTCAGGCGACTCGACCTTCTCGGCGCTACCGTCAGGATAATATTTTGTCCAACCGCTTTGTCGTACCCATTTTCGAGGTTTTGGTGGTGGGTTTGCGCGAGCGAACTGCTTCGCATATGAGAGGAAGGGCTCGGCGCTGTCCATGCCGAGCTTGTGGAAGTGCTCATCGAGCGTACGCCCTTGTAGAGGTGGAATGTCGAAGGCTATGGGTTCGGATTTGTCGGTGTTTTTTCCAAGTAAGTCATGGCGTCGTAAATGATCCTTGGACAGCTCAACGAGCTCTTTTGGTGGAGGGTCGACACCATTGGGGAAAATCTGGTCGAATACATGGGAGCTGAGCTGCTGGACACCTATTTCGTTATATCGGGCTTGAGAGGGCACTGCGATCACTTTTAGTACTGGAAACTCTGCACGAGAGAACAAATTCGCCTTACAAGCAAGAGTATTTCGTTGTTTTGGATTGGCGTTATCAGCGACGGCGGCCAACCATCGCACATGAGGGCGCAAAGCATGAGGGCGAAAAGCCTGGTATCGAGCAATGCGAACGAAGCTGGCCGTCGGAGCGCGCAAAGGCTGAGCGGCAGCCGATATGTACATAATTAGATGCGGCGCGATAGCATCACGACTTTTGTTTCATCTGTTGAGGCCCCCTGCGATGTATCGGTTGTGTTTCGATTGCCCCGGGCCGTTGATTTGGTAGAAACGAGGTCAGGATGGTGAAATTGGCATTTGCATCTGGACTAAATTATGGAATCCCTGCTAAGTGGATGACGCCGTGCATTCTTAGTGGAGTCCTTCCATCTGCTTGGGAGTGGGGAATGGAAGGGTCTAAAATGGAGGGGCAGCGTTTGGTCTAACCTCTAAGTATGGATGGAGTAGGAGTAGGAGTAGGAGTAGGGCTCGTAAACCTTCAAGAGGAGATGGCTAGATGGATATCATGGAACCACAACATGCAGTCCACAGTGAGGAATCCATTTTGATACGTGAGTTAGCCGAAGATGGTCAGGATGATGATAAGTGGAATGAATTCTTGCGAGGGGTGGTATTGGATCCGATTACTGGTCTATAGTGATCAACTGCCTTAATTGATAACATGAAGATTGCATATCTGCATACGCCTTCTTCCAACTGTGGCAGTAGACCTGGATAGTGCTTCCCGATACGTACAAAAAAGTAGTAAAGAAAACGATCATATAAAGAATGAGGCCCACAGGCTGCTTGTCGCTGGCCTTGTTCTGGGTAACTCAGGTTCCTATACTCGCAAAGGGCAATATACAGGCTTAACCCCCTTTACATGAGATGCGTCTGAGGCCGAGTATCTGACTGCGTGCCATCATATGGTAATGGATAAAAGTATACGGCTGAAAAGTCTCTCAAAATATGGAAAACTCCTATTAGGTGACGTTCGGTAGGTGTCTTGTCGAGGACGTCGTTTGCAGTATGCAGTATGCAGTATGCAGGGACCCGACCATGTCCGAGGCAAGCACACTTCTTTGCACGAACAATAATCCTGGAAACCCCGAGAACAACACAAGCAAGAAAAGGCGTTTGATTATGTTTTAGAGTTTTGACGGCTAAGTAATCGAGGACAATATACAATTGTGTCGAAACTCTGAACTTCTGACTGAAGAGTTTCCCTCTAGCAATCTGATTGGGGTGAGTGTTGACGTACAGGAACAACAAAAGATGAGACGGAGCTGAAAGGAAAGGCTTGAAACTCTACTCTACTGTTACTTATGGTGCATTGGCATTGGACGGTCAAAAGCAACAAGAATAAGAGGCTTTTCTGCGCAGAGCCGAGACCCCCATGGCCCAGTCATTTCATCCCTCCCGGCGCCTTGTTGTGTTATTTTAATTCCATTCATAAACTTGGCATCCCCAACTTCTTCTTTTCTGTTGCATCTTCAGTCACAGCTGACAAAAAGAGCTTGCCCTTGTCACAACAACGAAAGCGTCTTTGTGTCTTTGTTTCGTTGCATTCGCTTTTTACCGATCCAAGCCCTCTACTAGCTACCTGGTAGGTAACTTGTACTAACCAATCCGTCGTCTACCTAGGTACCTACTACATATAGCCCAACCTTCACGCAGTCAGTCAGTCAAGTGTTAGTAGAGAGAGGTAGTGGAAGTCCCCGGGGCGTTTTACGCTGTTTCTTCTCTCCCCGTGACGTGCCCAAAAGCAAAAGCCCACCAACAATGGAGCAGGGATATTTGTATCCTTTTGGTTCCTTTTTCGCTCATGCGTTGCAAGGTTAGAACCTCTTTCTTCCTCTTCTTCTTCTTTACTCCGTACTGCTTCTTAATTCCTTCCATTCACCTTCTTTGCTGTCCTGCCCTGCTCTGCTCTGCCCTGCAGTCGCGTCCAATGTGCCTGTCACTGTCCCCACGTGCTGGTCCTAGTTCCTGACGCTCTCTTGTAAACGACTGAAATAGACAACTCAGACTTGTTCTGGTACCCTTTAAACGCTTACAACGCTCCGACTCCTCCGATTACAATCTCCATGTCCACCACCAGGATCGTTTCGCCTCCCGCAGCAGCAGGGATAGGAGTTGGAGCTTTGCTCTCAAATCCAAATTCTAATCCAAGCCCAAACCCGAATTCAGCTTCGCATTCACATTCACATCAGTCACGCTCACGCTCGCGTGCACAGAGACCAATCCACTTAGGGATCGATGAACAAGTTGGGGGTGGTGGTGGTGCTGGCAGCCAGCGCATTCGTCCAACAGCATCATTGCCTCTGCCGTTACCCTTCACTTTGCCTTTGCCACCCTTGATGTCAACCTCTCGCCGCCGCCATCGCCGAAGTTCAACTCCAACAATAACAACACAGCAACCGAGGCTCTCTCCTACTCCCCCTCCTCAAAATAATACTCAGACGCCACCCCGGTTAAGGTCAACGAACTTATCTTTAGCAAACGTCGAGCTCCCACCGATTAATTTCTGGGAGAGCGAGCCTCTGGAATCGCATCACGGTAGTGGCCTTGAGCCCTCTGGATTTGATGACAATTTTCTCCTCGATCTTGCTACCACCGAATTTTCGTCACCTTCGACATACCCGTCATTCACGGATTTCGATTCACAGCCAACTCAAGCTCAAGGCGTAGACCAAAGCCACCGCCGAAACCGAAACTCAACACTCCAGGCTCCCACATCGCCCGAGCCGTCTCGTGCATTTCTTAACGGTGCTTCCAACGCCCCACGTCGCCTCTCCACCAACTGCATATCCAACATTTTGGGTCCTGAACGTAGCACCACCCAGCTCTCCTCCACCACCAACACAACAGGCGAATCTCAATCAACTCTGCCTTTCTTCGACTCCCTCGAGGAGAACGACTTTCTGTTCGATAGCCCTGCCAGTTCCTTTTCTGACGCTATGCCACCTGCGACTCGACGAACTACTACAGCTGCGACAGCTGCTGCTCGGGCTGGCTCCGGGCACGCGAGTAAGCGACGGCGAACATCTGCCACGGCCGCGAATACGATATCTACGAGACCACCGTCGAGACAAAAAAAGACCCCAGCACCCAGCAAAGATATGGAGGTGGAAGAGCTGTTCGGACCAAGCCCTACGCGCACCTTCGTCGACCTTGAAGCAAAGGAGGAAGATATTGATACTGTTGACTTGACCGAGACGAACGAAGTACTCGACGACCCTAAGACACCGGAAAGGGATAACCGTATAAAGCTTGCCGCTTTCCAGTGCGTTATCTGCATGGATGACTGCGTCAATTTAACGGTGACACACTGCGGTAAGTGAATTCACGGCTGGCCTCTGCTCGCTCACCTCTGCGTTTATGTTTGCGTGGCAATCCACTGACATATCCCTTCCTAGGCCATCTCTATTGCGCGTCATGCTTACATCAGTCTCTTCATGTCGACGCCACGAAAGGGAAGTGTCCCATGTGCCGTCAGAAACTTGACATGAGGCAAAGGAACAATTACAATAGCAAGACAAAAGGATATTGGCCCCTTGAATTGAAGCTCATGACTGCTACTCGTAAAGGAAAACGGAAGGCCAACACATTGGCTTGATGCAATCGCCAGTGCTTTGTCATAAGCTCACATGCCTGCTTTCCTACTATCCGCCTTTCAACACCTCCGATTTCTTATTTCAGAGTTCTATTGCTTACTCTGATACCTCTGTCCTGCACTGCATAAGACCCTATCTCATCTCACTGGTACAGATGAAACTTGATGCAGGCAACGAGGTTTCTTAAACCACTATCTACTCTCCTGGCTCAGGCGTCTCTTTCTATTAGCATTACGGAGGGTGGATCACTTTGGGGCGTCGGAAGAAGATACCCAGCATTTACATGGATAAGGGGAGCATATGACTTCATTGATTTGACACGCAACCACGGCTTCAGCGTCGTTCAGGAAATGGCGCACTGGGAGTAATTGGGGAGGGACACGCGCCTATCATGCCACAGTTGTGTAGGGGTACACAGGAACAGCATGAGCCCAACCACTTGTTTTTTATCCATTTAGGTAGGGCACAGAGGCGTATAGACTTTAGATTCTTGATATGATTTGTTTTGCATTGAACGAAGACGTGTTGTAGATCATCTGAAATGGTGACTAATATCGGGATGTGAAATGTCCTGATCAGTAAATGACCACCTACGTTACAAGTTGGAGTTAAGTAGTCTAGTGGTGTGGGCAAAACGTTGAATAAGTAGATTTATTTTTGTTTGGATTTGGGCCAGATATTTCATACTTTGTTCATGACGCCTTCGGCTTGACGAAGGTTTGCCCGACGCGATACATCAAACGGCGAGATTCTTATCGTCAGTATGAGAACAGGCCCCGATGAGAGATCGCTTTTAATATCCTGTCTACTAAACTTGTCGATTATTTCACCAGTAACTAACTAAACCACACTCAACAAATATCCCATCCTTCCTGCCAACGCCACATAACTCTACAGCTTATACCCCATCCCCAGAGCGTACACATTTCTCCGTTCCAAGTTAAACTACAGGTGAGACACGTCTCTTCTTGTGACTGACTCAGTGGAAGAGTCCATGGTTCTGCTGCTTAGGTTCGGGAAGAACCTCATTCTCAAACTATCATGCTCTGTTAGCTGGTATCACTGAGGCTATGCTACAGGGAAAGCCTTACCTCAAGGAACCGAGTTGCTGCAATGATAACCATCAAACCTTCGGCCAGTTCTTCGATCTTCTGGTCGAGTCCCTCATCCGCGTTACCGCTTCCAATGCCGGCGCTACGCTTAAGCGTGTGGGTGACCAGCATGCGATGATCAGTGAGGAATCTGCGGCCCTGCACCACATTGTGACTGCCGCGAGAGACAAGCGCGGCGCCTATAATACGCACAACTTGAGCGAGCAGGTCATAATGCTGTTCAAGAGCACGTGGATTGGCGCTATCGATCTGTAGCTCCGGGTCTGCCCCAAAGAGACCAGACGTCTCCAGTGCACGGAAGAGATTGGAGTGTAGGATATATTTAGCTCCAATCCGGGTCTGCGCAAGTTCCAGGAGGAGAGCAAGACGAGCGTTTTGGTAGTTTTGCTGCTCAGATGTACCTTGGTAATGAAGTTAGCAGTGTGTTCGAGTAAGATTGCAAATGCGATACAGGGAACATACCTGATGTGAACACTTCATGCCATTCTTGCATAATGTTTCGTAGCGAATCAACCATGATTCCGATAAAGTTCAGTCGGTTGAGAGTCTCCACAACATGGTCTTCGTTCTCCTGGCGGCCCATACTAACCAGAGCGTTCAGAAGGATCAACGCAGCTGTCTGACACTGCGCTTCACCTCCGTATGCATCATCGCAGATGACGTTGATCAATCGCTCACCATATACTTGGATGGTATTGATGGTCTTAGGGCGATTGAGAGCAAGCGCCCCTTGATCAGCCATGCCGGTCAAGTAGCGGTAGCAGATGGCGTAATATATCGATCTTAGTTCTGGCGTACCAGCCCACTTGCCGATGGCCTGCAGACAGATCTGGAACAGCTGAAAGAGCTTGTCACTCACCAGATTACCGATAGTCGATCCTTGCTTGTCATCTGCTGGTGCTGAGAGATCAAGCTTGAAGAGCAAAACCTTGGCCAGTCTTGCAAGCTCAAAGGCTTCATCTGGTCGCTCAGACGCGAATGCTTCCAAGCTAGGTAGAATAGACTGCAAAGCCTGAAGGAAGAAAGAGATTTGTGCCGAGCCCTTGAAATCGTTGGATTCAATCATAACCAGCAGGAGTTTAGTCCATGTCTTCAACACCTTCAAGCTCTGGGTTATGAGCTGCTTCTGTCTGTTCGAGGAAATGAGATATTCTATTATCATACTCTCTTCACGTTCGATACCAATCAGGTCTTGGGCGGCAACCAACGCTCCAGATTCTTGAGCTTCGCCACGCTTGAGAAGGAGAACCTCTTTAACGCGCTCGATATTGTAGATTGGGTTGGAATCAGCGTCATTCTCTAAACAAGACGACAGGTCGAGATTTGTATAATATTGAAGAGGGGGTAAGGGAATCTCCCAGATGCCTTCTGGAAGCAAGAAGTCATAAAGGTCAAAGATGGTAGGAATTGGGATGGGTGTGTTTCCTTCTCCCACGACCTGACCATTCAGAGCCTCAAAAATACGCCTTTTAACACTGGGCATACGATTTTGGGCAATGCTACAAAGCTCCATGGCAATGTATTCTAGACTCATGCTTCGGAGTGATAAGAAGTCAATTAAAGCAACGGCTCCGTCCGTCACAGGAAATTGAATGACGGCAACATTCTCGCCTTCCCATGGCAGATCAGGGTTGATGACTGTCTCACGAAGCAAAAGGTGGAAGAGGATCTCATTCTCGCGAAGCTCCTGCACTATAACAGGCGCAGACAGGGGAGAGCTCCAGAGTATATGTAGAATGCGCATCACTCGCGATTTAATGGCGATAAGCCACAGTCGCATTCCTTGGGCATCGCCAGAGGGGGCTTCCAAGAGCAATCTCAGGAGTGTGTGGAAAAGAGAGGTTCTTGAAGCGAAAGCGCCCTTAGCCTCAACGGAGAGAGAGTCAATGCCACACTTCAAGCCAAGAAGCAAATGAGCAATCGTTGGCTTGCGAGGTGTCTCTTGTAGACATTGGTATAAGAAGTCAAGGATGTAGATCTTGGTGACATAGGCTGGTGAGTCTGCCTCGCGGCCCGTTTCCAGAGGGGTGATCAGTTCCGAGACGAATGATCGAGAAATTGACTCATGCTCGCCATTTGCCTCAAGGGCGACGATGGCCTTGTTGCGGTGTAATTGCCGGTTGGACCCTGACCAAACAGCTGTAATCTTTGACGAAGATGACATCTTCTCAAGGAGTTTCAGACATGCAAGAGTAAGGTCTGGGTGTCCAATACCACAGTAGTTACCGAGATCAACAACAAGGTTCAGTCGGGTAACTAGACCATCCTCGAACGAGGGGAAGGCAGCATTAGCTACTGGTGGCCGGCGCTGGTTCGACTGGAGCTTAATAATGGGTCGGACAAGCTCAAGGTAGGTAGCCTGGAGATCAAGCACCTTGCTGATAACCTCAACTGCACGCAAGATGCCAAGAATTAGGGGCGAGTCAGGTGCTGCATTTCCAACATCTCCAGGTTCTTGGTGAATAGTGCTGAAAAGACCTGCCATGACCTTGTCGTTGAACATCCACTCCATCACTCTTGCAAAAGGATGCAGTCGCACGTATGTTGCTAAATCAGTAGTAGCAATGACCCCGTCCACGTTGATATTCGTTTCGTTGGCCATGATGATCAGATCCTCGTTGAAGGTGTTTAGGCAGATCAGGATGAATTCTAGGCAGCTAAGACGCAGGACCCTAGTTTGGTTGACATCCTGAAGATCATTGGCCTTTGATGCAAAAACCAAGCCCATCACAAAATCGACGTAAACCTCAATACCGGGCATACGGGAAGCTGAGCCGAGATTCTCGGGGAAGGGTAGTCCATCGTTAAGGGGGCTGCTGTCAATGGCCGGTGATATAAGGGAAAGCAGGAGCTGGATGAACGACTCGGGATCTTCAAAGCCGTTGCTAATCTCATCAAAGATACGTTCCATAGAGACACTAGATGACTGCTGAACCTGACGATGAGAAGTGACGGGATGAGAAGCGTAACCTCCAGTAATCCAGGTATCAAGACAATTCCACATAAGAATGCCCTCCTGAAGCGACTTTCTTGACATCAGAGCCCGCAGAGCCATAAAGGTACAGCCTCGCAATCTAGGGGGTATAGGGCTGCTCGCAAGTTCATACAACGTCTCGACTAGGCTGTAGTTGGGGTTGTGAAGCAAAAACTGCCGTGTGATCTCGCTTTCGCTGGCCAGCTTGGACATTAGGCGGAGGTAACACTCGAGCATCATGGCTGACTCGGGTTCGGTCTCTGCTTGGTCACTGCTCATCTTCTCGTTCCGATAACGTATTGTCTGTGTTGGCGTTGGCTTTTGCCTAATCTTGGCAGAGAAAAAGTCCAGCTCTCTAAAGATTTGCGCCCATGTCAAGGACTGCGATTTTCTCATTTTCCCGGAAGAATGGTGACCTTCGTCAATAAGGAATTCATGTGCAGCAGAAGCGCACTCTTCGTTCTCCGAAATAGCTTGAAGCATCTCACAAAAAGCCGTCACCAGAGGTGTGGATGCTCTGCGAGAAGCCCAATGCATGAAGCCAGCGAGATTGCTATCGGGGTCGGACCAGAAGTTCATGGCAGCATCGGGTCGACCTTCGTAAGCATATGCAATAATTAGCAAGAAGCGCTCAAGGTCCAGGTCCTGCTCATGGGTCTGACTAGACTGGCGTTGCTCGTCCTCTTCCACACGAAGCTTTCGTAGAACATCAGGGAGATTAGAAATAAATCCATCAACGAACACCTCAAGCTGGAGCATGAGGGTCAATTGGAAGAAATCGGCGAACGGAATGGCATCGGGAGCTAGTGCAGGAGACTTTCGCTGTAGCCACTTGCGCATGCCTGCCCTGACAGGGTCGTGCCAGTCAGGAGATTTCACATCAGCAGCAATGGAGAGCAAGAAGTCGAAAGACCCGTCCTTTAGAGACTCCAGGAAGGCCTTTGACCGCTGTCGATCCTCCTCGTCCAAATCGGTGTGGGGGGGTATCGCGGCCTCTGGGGGGTCATCGACATAAAAGCCACTATATTCTGCCAACCACCAAGCACGAAAAGCGGCTTGTAGCTGGGATAGAGGCCAGAGAGGGCTATCTGTAGGGAAGAGCTTGCTATGCAGTTCTCGAGCCTTGATAAGGTCATATCCTCCTTCAGCGGAGCCAAAGACCGAGATATACGCTCCAATAGATGGTATGAGGTGAACCAACAGAGCATCGTATCTGTCAACTCTTTGAAGAACAGAGACAAAGTCGAGGAAGTCTTGTGTTGACCCTTGTCTCATTTCGATACTGCGGCAGAGAATGACACCCAATAACTCATGTTGTTGCATCAAGCTGACCCTGGAGAACTCAATGGTTTCCATTTGTTCAGAGACACCACCAGTTGTAGTCTGCCCAAGGGTCTGGGCCGCAGCAATCTTATCCCCTATCTTCTGTAGCCACGCCTTAATCTCTCTCATTGAAGCCATACACCTGGGTACTATTCGTTTTGTGGTATCGGCGCCCATGCTAGGCTGGAGCAAGCGTTCAGCGACATAGAGCTTGACGCTCTCGAGAGCTTCGGTGTCGGCAATATCATCGCCAAGGCCTTCTAATTCAAGGAGGAGTCGAACAATATCCAAAACATACTTGCGCTGCTGGTGGAATCGGATGATGGCGCATTCGAGGAGAGATCGGCCCAGGGTATCAGGATCTTCTTGTGATTCAAGTAAACATCGTGCGGATTCAAGCTCGTCGAGCTCTACTTCGTCAGAAAATGTTAGAACATCTTGCTGGAAGTTGTCGTTTATCGAGTATTCGTCGCCGTCAATAACAACCTTGCCTAGGTGAAGAGTTAGAAGGAATGATACCTCTCTTTGCGCAAACCATATCCTTACCCGATTGGACAGCATTTCTATTATCTCCCTTTCTCGCCGGCTTATCCCAGAACTTCCCCAGTCCTGTCTCAAAGATCTGGACCAAAAGCTCGTTGCCTAGTACCTCTGCGCCCTCGACGCGACCTTCGCGTAGTGATAGAAGCCCTTGGTGGAAAGCTTGGAGAGCATCTAAAGCGGTGATCTCGGCCATTTTTGTGGTTCAAGACTATCGCATGTTGATCATAGAGGCAACAGCAAGCGGTATTTGCTAGCTGCGAAGGTTGGACGGTGGTGCGTGACGTATCGCGAATACTGAATCTTTTTGTCGGTGGTTGTTAGTGACCGCGGTTTTGAGATTCTTCACTCCAGTCTTGTTGACTTCCCCAGTAAGAGAGCTCGTCGAGCTGGTTGATTGGCTAGCGACATTCCGGCTTAGGCGGTGAATAGCTTTCTGCCGCCTACGGGTTAGGGTGCTATAGCTGTGTGCTCTCCAGGCGACTGCAGGATGCAACCTGGGAGCTGCAGCATGGATGTCAGTTCAAAGAAGCGTTGATTTAGTTACTGTATATTCACGATTGTTTTTCTCTGAAATACGTCAGTCTTTGTGACAGTCACTCACTTACTTCTTTTCTCATACAGTTCTTGTTTCCTGTTCATCCTTTTATACTCGCAAAAACATTCATACTTACCTACCCTCGACTTGGTTGTCAAGCAAATAAGCTTAGACCATCCGTCCACAGTCGCGCTTCTTCACGAGTCTCCTCTATTGCTCACTCGGCCTTACCTTTACCTATGTTAGGGGCTTTTTAATGTTTCAATGACAATTCTACTGAAATTTGATGAAGGATTAAGAAGAATCCGTGACGGACATTCTTTCTCGTAGTCGCCCGTCATGTCGTCTCACGGATTCAGCGTTATGAATCTGGCGCGTCCGTAACCTATACCAAAACCCTCTTGCTCGCAAATACTGATAGGACCCAGGAGATGTAAAGTCTGCCTCACTCAGAGAACGAGAAAAGGCTGTCGATGGTACGATATACCTCTTGTATAACAATAGTCGTCGTCTCGAACTTACATTGTTTAGAACTGGCGCATCTTCTCAACCCACGAAATCGATCCACAAACCTGTGAGTGTAAACAATTACCCCTTTTCATCCTCTCTGACTTTTCACGAGTTCCGATCTCGGCGACAAGAGCTATCATGAGATATTCGAGGCAATCTTTAGTTTCGTGCTTCGAGAGAAGCCAGTATTCTACGATAAGAAGAAATCACAAACAACGTTGAATTCCACGACATCTCGGTTATCGAAATGTGCAGATGCTGTGCGCATGGCAGTGGGACGTGGCAACGCAAAGATTGGTCGAAAGACTCTACTTGCGATCGTGGATCATATTACTCAAGTCCTCCATGGACCTAACAACGACGAGTTTGTGCCTCCACTACTACAGGACTACATCAAAGCCTTGACCGAAGTTCTCTCAAGACCAGCCCATGTAGAGATTCTTGCTAGAAAAGATGGTCAACCTTGGGAGCTTTGCGTCGGGTTCTTTCTCGATGTTGCTCGGTCCTTACTCCCAGATGAAGGAGACGTTCCAACTCTGGCATTGGCTCGGGCATCACCAGCTTTGACTAGAGCATCGCCAGCTTTGACCCGATCATCGCCAGCACCAGGGTCAGGATATGGTCGATCGGGTGGGCGATCAACTCCTTCGACTCAAAGTCAGAGACGAGGTGCGCCTGGGGAGGGTGGTCTTTTGAAAGATGTTTTGGAAGGACTCTACTACCTTGTCATAAGTGGAAACGCGCCACTACTCCGGCATTTCAAGGATATCACACCCATCGTGCTTAGAGTTTTGAGCATGAAGCAGCTCAGTCTCGGCTCCTTGCAGACGCTGGCATTTGCCATCCTAAATGCCATATTCTCAGCCACGCATGCCGATGACCTGACACACGCCGGCTCCATGGTGCAAAGTCTACTGCCACTGATGAGCCACTGGTGGAGGTCCGAAAAGGTGTCGCAGGACGAAGTTATCAGAGCACTAAGAATTGAAATTTCCAGAAGCATTCTCTTAACATACCTTCATATCGAGCATCTGGTCATCAGTTCCTCAGATGAAACCATTCGCTTAGATCTCGAGGATTTGGTCGAAAATGTTTGGTCTGAATATTCAAGACGTGGCGAAGCCTTCCGCTTACAGATGAGCGATATTACTTTTGACATGTCCTCTTTGCCAACATATGGTTTGCAGCTTGATGTATTTGGTTTGCGCACACACAATGTCTACGGGGAAGGCCATTGGGCTACTATACAAAACCTAGCGTTTCTTGAACGCATCATGATACTGCCTCGTTCGAGGATACAGGGAGATGATGCAGAACAGGATGAGCAGCCGCGAAAGAGGAGACGTACTCGCCAAGACATGAGCCGAATCAGGCTCAAGCTCAAGGCTCTCGAAGTGACAGTTCGGAGGACTGCTCTACAATTGATCCCATTTCTCCTTGCAGGTAATTCATTCAGTCGTGATGAACTTCTCGACCTGCTTCCCGACCTGGTGTCTTTGGCAACTGACAAGAACCCTGTTACGGCTTCCTGGGCCCTAATAGCTTCTGCAAGGTATGATTTACCCCCTCACATGACGGATCTTTACAGCGCATGTTGTTGACGACACTCAGCTGTATTATGTACGCAAAGGAGTGTCATGCTGAAGTGGACATCTGGCGGCAATTCTGGCACCTTGCTACACGCTCTGTCAGTTTACCAGGAACAAGTCGCGCAGCCTGTATACTCCTGCACGCGATCGTTGAAGCAGACGTTCTCCCGTATCACACAATTGCCCAGGACATCAACAATGTGGTGACGACTGCAGATGTCAGTGGCCCCAGTGTTTTATGCGATGCCTCTATCAGTTTGATGTTTCATATTCTTCATCTGCGTAACGCAAGAATACCGAGTGCAAGTCAGAGTACTTGTCATCATATAATTCGATGGGTTTTCCTTCGATGGAACCCTAGTAAGTCTTCTTTTTCCTGTGGCTAGGGTTGTTATTAATAAGGTGACAGATGAATCCGCATTTGCATCATATCACTCTGTACACGTCCAACCGATTCAACTGGTGAATCTCATTCGAGCTTGTTGCGGAATGAAAGTTCTGGAGTTGAATTCTCACACAGCCGTCCCAGGAGGCCCTTTGACGGAGACATGGAGTGCTTTCAAAGAGATCGAGCCATTTACACGGTACACTCTCCTGACCAAAGATGAACCTGACAGTTCTGCTACTATTGGGGCTTGCTGCTTCGCAGGACCAACGAACCCACCTCCCCTGGCAGATGCCAACGCGCGTTATGCTTCCCAAAAGCTAACACTGGAGCTGTTCCATCCCAAGCTGGGTGAACTGACAGACCTCTGTACATCTTGGACCAAGAAGATGAACGAAGGCGGTATACAGATCTCATTTGACCGCTTTCAGAGTCTTCTATCAGCCTGCTTGACAGGCACATTGCTTTTGCCACTGCTCAACGATCTCAATTCGACTCAGTCCTCATCTCTCGAATCTACTCTAAAAGAGATTGTTGATAAAGGCTTGAGTTCAGCTTTGTCTTCCGTTGAACCTACTTCGTTTGTGGATTCTGTTTTGCGAGCAATTCGGTCTGTGATGCCTGATCTAACAACGGCGAGCCTGAACCAGCTGCAAGCAGCCAACCCTAGCCTCCTACATCTCTTCTCTAGACTATGGAGCTCAGTTGGAGAGCAAAAAGATCAAACAAAGCTTGACAGCAATGTCGATTTAATGGACATCGATGATGATTTTGATTCGCAAAGTAGCAGGGCAAGCTCCGTGCATGCGCCCGTTGCTGCCCCAAGATTTAATATCCAGATGAAATTGGACGCGCAGGCGTTCTATACCGAAACGAGGGCCCGGCTTCATTTCTTGTCTATCATTAGCGAAGATGTTGGGCAGATTGGTCTTGTCCCCGATATCTACGTGGAGTATCTCATCAACATGCCAGATGATGACTTACTGATGTGTCAGAATCTTCTGTTCGAGCTGTTTAGTTCTGACCTCATTGTCACCCCAGATAATGCATTAGCCATCATCGAGAGGCTTGGGGAATACGTTGGCCAGCCTGAATACCAGTGTGCTGAAGTTGCTTTGAGCACCTGTATTGGAGTTATTGATGGGCTTCATCCGATCTGGCTGAACGACAAGCGATATCTCTCCGAAAGAGTTGGCGATCTTTACTACCACTTCATCAAGGTTTGCCTTTCTTCAAACATATTCTCACCACGAGCTCAAACGTCCATGGTTCGGTTACTATTTACTCTTCTACGGACCAACACGGAGTACGGTAAAGATCAAGGCCTCGATTCACCACGAACTTGTCTCCTCTACATCCTAAAAAATGGTCCGATGTCGGTCAAGTACACAATATCCCAAAAGATTGCCAACGTATTCGACCTTTTTGTCCTCAAACTTCACGACGAGGTATTTGTGGATGTGCTCGATAGTCTACCAACAGATCCTTTAGATACAACTGGCATTGCGTTTCGCCTACTGGTCCTGTCAAATCTTGCATGCAGATGGTCGACCTTGCTCAGAAGATGCACCTACCATATCTTTGAAACACCGGGAAAGATCCCTGACTCAACCGAGTATGCGACTCGATGCTTGATCAATGTGTCCAGGACATTAAAATTGGAGTCGCCAAAGGCCCTATTCCGCCTATTTTCCCGCCAGCTCCTTTATACTTGGCTGGAGTGTGACCTAATAGAGGATATTCCGTTCTCCATTTTCGGGTTTGCCACCCTAGGAGACCTCCTCAAATCTGCCCAGTCTGAAGCCGTTGGATTGACTGTGATGAGAGGGCAAGATGATGCCTTTTCGGAGGTCTGTCGCGTTCTGGGAAGCTCTAAAGGCGACCTCGTTCGCGAGAGCTTCACTACTGCTATTGCTTACAGTATGATTTATGGTGATGCGAATGGAGGTGACGATAAAGATCGAGGTGAAGCCAACGTCAAAAAGCTGCTCGGAAGCAAAACATACACGGAGTTGATTTACATAAACTTCGTTGACATCGCTGCCCTCTTCTTTGACCTCATCGACCAGGAGAACTCTCTGGAGAAGGTGTTCACCAGATTCAAGCTCGATTACGCTGCTGACATTCTGAGCGCTGTGAAAACAATTTCTCACTCACCAGCTGAACTACCAGCGAATCAGCAACCAATGTTCAAAGCGAAATATCTCATCAGTGAACTTCACAGACTGTGCAAGAATACAGAGTTTCAGTTTCACGATCTGTGGACGCCCCCTTTGGTTGTATCAATTGCTCGCAAACTTCTCAATACTGTACATCCAGCTTTGGGGCCCTTGCATGCCTGCTCGGTGCTTCGAAAAGTTCGAGTCTTAATCTCTCTTGCTGGCTCAGTTGCGTTGGACTCTTACCCGTTAGAGATGCTTTTGAACGCAACGCGCAAGTTTATTACGGACTCAGAATGTGCGGATGATGCGTTGGGTATAAGTCAGTATCTCCTGGCGGAGGGTGCCAGTCATCTGAGTAATGCTCCTTCATTCCTTGCTGGGCATGCTCTGTCAACACTTGCATCACTTCGTGTTTTCCTGGAGTCAAGCCAGTCTAGCACAACCCAAGAGAGCCAGTTCAAAGCGACGATGAGCAAAGCAGAAAAGTTTCACGGATGGTACAGCAAGTATCTGGAGGAGTATGACTCACCAATGTTCAAGAATCTCGCGCAGAAGAGTGCCTTCAAGTCGATTACGCAGTCAGCCGCTCGTATTCGATCTTCTGGTAATGCTGAGCGAGGAACTGCAGAGAGCAAACTCCTGTTGGATATCTTGGACGATGGGGGCGCGGATCACCAGTTGCTCAACGATTCTTCTCGCCAGCTTGCCCTTGGTCTCCTTTGCGGAGACTTTAGCATCCCCGACTCAATCAAGGATGACATTATCGAATCCGATCAGGATGCCTTGAAGCATTCCACAGCTGTGTGGAAGAGCTGTGATACGGAAAGCCTCAGCGAAGAGTATCTGGCGTGGGCTGGGCGAGTTGTCGGGCGAGCCTTTTCAGCATCCGGCGAGATTCCAGCCGATATCCTTTGCGAATCATATCTTACCCGCTATCAGCAGATAGCTCCCGGTTCTAACGGCTCAGAGATGGGTATACTTTACCTTCTCCAGGACCTTACATCCACGCCGGATTCTGTCACTGCTGGGCTCGCTGAAGCTGCTTTGAGGTCAATTGTCTCTGATGCCACATTGCTAGACGATGAGCCACTGATTGTAGCATGCCAAAAGAGTCTAACAGAGTCTCTCCTGGTTACATCGCAATGGGGCACACATAGATCGCCTCCGTCCGACAAAGGTCCTGCAACCCCCAACTCTTCACCAATCCAGCAAGATGTTTGGTCCATGGATATCGCTTCAAAGGATTGGCTTCCGAGCCTCAGTGCACATCTAGCTCAGTCTGTTCCAGAGTCAATCATCCTTTCAGTTCTTGCCCCTATACTTGCCCGAGTTGAGTATTTCGCAGAAAGTGTGTTCCCTTTTGTCGTTCATCTCGCACTCTACTTTCCGATAAACCAACCACATTCCCCCAAGCGACAGCTCTCCGTGGCAATCAAAAGCTGGCTTCAATGCACAAATCCAATAGCCAAAGAAAATCTCAAGCTTCTTATCAACACGCTGCTGTATCTGAGGACACAACAGTATCCAAAGGAATCTTCAATAGCTGACAGGTCACACTGGCTGGAAGTGGATTCTGCATCGGTTGCATCCACGGCATCGCGATGCGGCATGTATAAGACAGCTTTGTTATTTGCTGAATATGTTTCCCCGGAAACCTCACGGTCATCAAGAAGGTCTTCAGCTGTGAAGGAAGTGGATATCAGTGAAACTCTTCTCTCAATTTTCGAGAATATTGACGACCCTGATGCATACTATGGACTACCAGAGGAGCCCAGCCTTTCGAAGGTCCTTGCTCGCGTGGAGTACGAAAACGATGGCCCTCGAAGTCTTGCATTCAGAGGTGCCCAATACGACAGCAACATCCGCCTTGGTAACCCATTGTCCCAGTCAGATGGACAAGCCTTAGTAAGAGCCTTGGGCACTCTCGGCTTGTCTGGTCTCTCCAACTCGCTTCTTCAAACACAAGAAAGTTTGGAATCTTCTCCCGCCGCCCTCGAGGACACCTTCGACACTGCCAGGAAGTTGGAGATCTGGAACCTACCGGCGCCCTCGAGTGACCATCACGCGGTCACGGTCTACAAAGCATACCAAAGCATTCATCAGGCAGCAGATATTGCCAATGTCAGGACTGCTGTACATGATGGCTTCGGTCGCACCATGAGCAGCTTGGTCGCACATGGTCTCAATGCTACTGCCCTGAGGAAACGGCTGGGAGCTCTGGCTTTGTTGACAGAGCTCGACGATGTTCTGGGTGTTTCTGACACTTCGGAGATGGATAGCCTCATTGAAAAGTTCAAAGGCCGAGGTGACTGGATGAGAAGTGGACTGTGAGTATCGCTTACGTCCATTATAGCATATTATTAATTGTCAATAGGTACGGCAGTGTTAGTCAGATCTTGTCTTGTCGTGGCACCACGATGAGCATGATCAGCCAACAAAACACCCTGCGAACCAACATTAAGCTTTCTGCGGCTGCTGCAAGACAAATGGAGGTCGAGGCGATGATTACTGCTTCCCAAATCTATCGTTACCATCAGGCAACGCAGGAAAGTCTCAATATATCGACCAGGCTCACCAACCTCATCTCGCCATGCGCAGCGTTGGACCTTCATGTAGATGCAGCAGTCAACATCGAGACAGCTAATTCTCTCTGGGATTACGGGGAGATGAGCACATCCATACGCATGCTTCAGGGCATTGACAAAGATGCTTCCCTGAAGAAGCAAACCCTTCCAGTCAGCCGATCCGACTTGCTGTCTAAAATTGGTTATCAGGTATCTGTCGCCCGCCTTGAGAAACCACATGATATCCAGAAGAACTATCTGGAGCCTGCACTGAAGGAGCTCAAAGGTAAAGGCCAAGGCCGTCAAGCGGGTTCCGTTTTCCACCAGTTCGCCATGTTCTGTGATCAGCAACTGCAAGATCCGGATGGGTTGGAGGATCTGACAAGACTTCAGAGTCTGAAGAAGGCCAAGAGTGACGAGGTTTCAGAATTGAAAACCTTGATTAGCAGTACAAAGGACGCCCAGCTGAAGACCAGATACTCGCATGTCCTGAATAAGGAGAAGCAATGGCTAGACCTTGACGAGCAGGAGTTACGTCGTGTGGAACAGACTCGCAGCGAATTTGTTCATCTGAGTCTTGAGAACTACCTCCTATCTCTCATCGCTTCGGACGAACATAACAACGATGCACTCCGTTTCACGGCCCTTTGGCTAGAGCGATCGGAAGAGGAGGCTACGAACAAAGCAGTCATGCGATACCTGTCCGAAGTACCAACAAGGAAGTTTGCTAGTCTCACCAACCAGTTGACATCTCGGCTGCAAGACCACGATACCACTTTTCAAAAGCTGCTGTTGGAGTTGGTCTACAAAATCTGCGTGGACCATCCCTATCACGGCATGTATCAGATTTGGTCGGGGACTAAAGCAAAGGCCCAGCAAAAAGACGATGTAGCGGTCTTGCGTGTCAGAGCAACAGATCGTGTTGCTAAGCGTCTCGCCGAGACACAGTCCGTGGCCAACATTTGGCTCTCAATCGACAAGACTAGCAAGTACTATCATGCCCTTGCCATGGACAGGAACCCGAATAAGTACAAGTCGGGTGCGAAGATTCCACTCAGAGATTCAACACCAGGTCATAACCTCGTCAATTGCCTGGCAAAATACCGTATTCCCTCACCCACTATGCATGTGGAACTGTCAGCTACAAAGGATTACTCCAAAGTACCAATTATCTCTAAGCTGGAGCCTACCATGACTATCGCTTCTGGTGTCAGTGCGCCCAAGATTATTACTGCCATTGGAAGTGATGGTGTGCGCTACAAGCAACTTGTCAAAGGAGGACACGATGATCTACGACAAGACGCCATCATGGAGCAAGTCTTTTCCGCCGTTTCGTCTCTGCTGAAGCTTCATAGGACGACTCAGCAGCGGAGCCTAGGAATCAGGACGTACAAGGTACTTCCACTGACAGCATCGTCTGGCCTGATCGAATTCGTTCCCAACACAATTCCACTCCACGAATTCTTGATGCCGGCCCATGAGAGATACTACCCAAGAGACTTGAAAGGATCCCAATGTCGTAAGGAGATCTTCGGAGTCCAGAGTCGAACAATAGAGACCAGAATTAGTACCTACCGCAAGGTCACCGAGAAGTTTCACCCAGTCATGAGATACTTCTTCATGGAGAATTTCATGGATCCGGATGAATGGTTCCTCAAGAGGTTGGCATACACGAGAAGCACGGCGGCTATATCAATGCTGGGACACATCCTTGGCCTGGGTGATCGACATGGACACAACATTCTCTTGGACCACAAAACAGGAGAGGTGGTTCACATTGATTTGGGTGTTGCATTCGAGGCTGGCCGTATCCTACCGGTTCCGGAATTGGTACCTTTCAGGCTGACGAGAGACATTGTAGATGGAATGGGAATTACAAAGACAGAAGGAGTCTTTCGACGATGTTGCGAGTTCACTCTGGATGCTTTGAGAGAAGAGCAGTACTCGATCATGACTATCTTGGATGTGTTGCGTTTCGATCCGCTGTACACATGGTCGATCTCGCCCCTTAGACTCGCCAAGCTTCAAAAGGCAAGACATAATGATGAAACTCTGATAGATGACGAGCAAAGCGAGGCCGAGACGAAGAAGGGCAAGAAAGCCGCAGGGCATGTTAACGAGCCCTCTGAAGCCGATCGTGCGTTGGAGATTGTGAGAAAGAAGCTCTCCAAGACGTTGAGCGCCACTGCTACTGTCAACGATTTGATCAATCAAGCGACAGATGAGCGTAATCTGGCAGTTTTGTATTCTGGTAAGTTGATATCTGTGAGACTTATACAAAGCTCTAAACTAATAATTATTTAGGATGGGCTGCATATGCTTGAGGGAGAGAGAGAGTGTTAGTCTTTGGAGGAGAAGGAGTAAGAAACAAACGCAACGTGTTGTTAAATAGAAGGTACCTGTATTATGATTTACTGTATAATATAGAAGCCGGAGTCATAGCGAATAGTGTATAAATAGTGATTCATTGTGCATCATGAGTTGCCTCGTTATTTATGTCACGCTTAAACCGATGACGCTTTTTAGGCCGGAGATAGGTTGCACTAGCTCCAGCTTCCGTTATCTTATCATTCAAGTACGCAACTGACAAACCCACCTCAGCTATTGTATTGTTTGATCTTGTCTTGCAATCTTCATCTTCATTCTCATCCTCATCCTCATCCTCATATGAACTCGTCTCTTTGAAACTTCAAAAAGGCCTTAATCTTTCCATTGCTTACTCCTAGCACCCGCGTCTCCTCGCCAATTCAATCGCCTGCAATCCTTCAACCGCACCGAATAATCCGAGAATCCGAGGCCTGCGCGACAGCTCTAGCAACAGTTGTTCCAGGCCTCGTTCTTTTCCTCGATTTCCATCGCCTGGGCTCGCTCCATGCAACCGTTGGCGTCAGAATCAACCTCTCCCTCCCGGCGTAGGCCGCGGTTAGACTCGTCCTCCTCAGCATCATCCCCATTTGCCACGAGCTCCAAGCGAGCGCGCTTCGAAATGACCACCGCCAAAGCGCGGGGCAAGCTCCCCGAGACCATCGACCTGACCCAGCCGCCTTCGGCTTTCAAGCCGTATACAGGTGCTAAGAAGCTGGTGATTAAAAACCTGCGGGCGCCGACGAGTCGAGAAACACAGGTTGCCGAGTACTACAAACGGACGGAGAAGGAGCTTGAAGATGCTCTGGTGGCAATCTTTGACGGGAGGACACCTGGTGTTCCTCTCGAGAGATTGTACAGAGGTGTTGAGGATGTGTGTCGAAAGGGAGATCCAGCAAAAGTGTACCAAATGCTCAAGGAGAGAGTTGAGGTGCACTTGCAGCGGATTGTGCTACCAAGGATTCAGAAGAGCGGGCGTTCTTCCAATCTCGAGACTCTGAAGAGTGTCCTCGCAGAGTGGAAGACATGGAATAAACAAACAGTATGCTATGGCTTGCGTCTCTCTGCCAATCAATAACGCTAACCGATTGCTTCTCAGATATTAATTCGATCTACGTTCAGCTTTCTCGACCGAACATATCTATTACGGGAGAACCTCTCATCAATAAACGACATGGCTATTAAGCAATTTCAAAAGATGGCATTCCCCTCCCAAGTACACGCCTACCAAAACTCTGTCGGAGTAAAACTGGTCGCTGGCATTTGTGAGTTAATCGAGAACGATCGGAGAGGAAACAACCAAACCGAGCCTGCTTTACTCAAAAATTCCATCATGATGCTGTACGTCCTGAGCGTTTACGTCAAATACTTTGAGCCTTTCTTCCTGGAACAGTCTGAAAGATATTTCAAGGAGTTCGGCGAGGCTTGGAGTACTTCAAGCCTTAAGGACTACATTCTGGTCTGTGAGAAGCTCCTGAAGAAGGAAGACTACCGCTGCATCCAGTTCAATCTCGACAGCACCACGGAGAAGCAACTTATGGATTCTGCCCACTCGCATCTCATTGGCAATTATTCGGAGAAGCTTCTTAATGGTGGCAACTTGGCGAAACTTTTGTCAGATAGGGAAGTCGAGTCAATGAAAGCTTTATACGACTTGCTTCGGTTGTCTGGCATTCAGAAGAAGATGAAGGCTCCATGGGGCGAATACATTAGAGCGACAGGAGCAGCTATTGTTAGTGACAAGGACAAAGGCGATGAAATGGTACTGCGCCTTCTGGAGCTTCGACGTTCGCTCGACCTCATGATTCGAGACGCTTTCCACAAGGATGAAGATTTCCTTTGGGGTATGAGAGAATCATTTGGGAAATTTATGAACGATAGTAAAGTTGCCAAATGTTGGGAAACAGGTACAGCCAAGATTGGTGAGATGATCGCCAAATACATCGACATGCTTCTGCGGGGCGGTTTGAAGACATTGCCAAAGGAGCTTTTGTCTGATGTGAAGGATCGAGCGGCAGCAGAAAAAGAGGGACAGGCTAGCACAGGTGACGAGGATGCCGAGCTCGACAGGCAACTCGACCAAGCGCTTGAGCTGTTCCGTTTCATCGAGGGCAAAGATGCTTTCGAGGCCTTTTACAAGAAAGATCTTGCGCGGAGGTTGCTTATGGGTCGGAGCGCAAGCCAGGACGCTGAGCGAAATATGCTTACGAAACTTCGAGGGGAGTGCGGCGCTAACTTTACGCAAAACTTGGAGCAAATGTTCAAGGACCAAGAACTTGCCAAGGATGAGATGGAGACTTACAAGCAATGGTGCCAAGGTAGCGCTGAGCGCAAGACTCCTATCGACCTTTCGGTCATGATTCTTTCAGCTGCAGCGTGGCCAACGTACCCTGATGTTCGCCTTAACCTCCCCGACGAGGTTGCTACGCAGATTGAGAGGTTCGATCAGTTCTATAAGAACAAGCATACAGGCCGAGTTCTCACATGGAAACACTCGCTGGCTCACTGTTCCATCAAGGGAAGCTTCGCCAAGGGCTCCAAGGAGCTTCTTGTATCTGCCTACCAGGCTGTGGTTCTCATGATGTTCAATAGCGTTCCAGCGGATGGCTTCCTAGCCTATGAACAAATCGCTACAGGAACTGGTCTTCAGGGTGGCGACCTCGACCGCACGTTACAGTCACTTGCTTGTGGTAAATCGCGAGTGCTTACGAAGCACCCGAAGGGTCGCGAAGTTAAGCCTACGGACACGTTTACATTTAACAAAACGTTTACGGATCCGAAGTACAGAGTCAAGATCAATCAGATTCAGCTCAAGGAGACCAAGGCTGAGAATAAGGCAACGCACGAGAGGATTGTTCAAGATCGACGCTTTGAGACGCAGGCCGCCATCGTCAGAATAATGAAGAGCCGTAAGAGCATGGGTCATTCGGATCTGGTAGCGGAAGTTATCAACTTGACCAAGAAGAGAGGTATGGTTGACACGTCAGCGATTAAGAAGGAGATTGAAAGGTACGTGAAACAACGCCACAACGTTATTGTGCTTTGGCTAACACAGAACGCAGTCTTATTGAGAAGGATTATATCGAAAGAGAGGGCAACGCATATGTGTACCTGGCGTAAGACCTTTCTACCTGTAGTAGGTAGCTATGATTTGTTTAATGGCACGAAGCGACACGGCTTAATGAATAGGGAAAGGTGGACAGCAGACCTATCTGCCATACCGACCGATGTATGGATACACGTCAATAAAACTGATTATTATTTCCAAATGAAAGTCTCATCATGAAGCAAAAGACAAGGCACGGGAATCGAACAGACAGCAAAAAGTAAGCGAAGCCAGGGGATGCCTTGGGGGACAAGGCAAGGTTGTTCCTTAAAACGGTTTGACGACTGAGCTACTTCGCTAGAAGAGAAGGGTATGGTTTTGGTATATAAGCAGGAGATTTATTATCATGGTGGTGGATGTTGATTGGTTGCGGTGATGGTGTTGACGTGAAGGGGGCGTTGATGCCTGGAGGGGGCTGAGATGGCACTCCTGTTGTGTGTGAGGTTAGAGGATACCTGTTGTTCCAAGCTCTCTTTACTCCGTTACTTATCCGTAGAGCCTTTCTGGGAGTCATCTACGTAGTAGGCTTTTCCTGGCCAAGAAGCCAGCACTACGCGTTTATGCGTTTATGCTGTCCCCAAGTCTTGTATTTGCCCAAGTCCAGGGTAACTGACTCTACCTATGCATTGACTCAACTTTCACCAGTTCTTACAGATATGGCACGTCTTCATGATTTAGCACTTTTATTGGGTATTGATTGTTCGTGAAACTCCTCTTATGGCATTTTGAGTCCTCGCAGCAATCTCCGTATGCAGCGTAATCAGACTCAATGCCTCAAAGTATAACGACAACTGTAAGTGTGTATACGTAGTAGACGTTGAAAAGGGCAACACAATAAACTTTCAAAGTCCTCTGGTCGCCCTCGAATCATGATTAATAATAAAAAACGAGGCATCCACGAGGCAGAAGTATTTGGCCGCCCGACTACAGTTGGGAAGCTCAAATGAGGGTGTGTAGTGTAGTGCAGCGCAGCGCATAAAAAGTGTATTCGGGCGTTCATGTTGGTGAAAGCTTGGCTTTGCATTGTATTCTCCTCCACGAAAAGAGAGGCTAATATGGTGTAACCTTGAACTGTTCAGCAGCGGCTGGTTGCCTGATCATCGGTTAATATCGTCTTCTGCACTTCTATTTAGTTAATTAATCAATTACTCAATTAGATGTCGCGAACAGGCCCGGTTCTGGAACAACGCTTGGTAGGTCACACGGCCACGAGGTTGGACGTTACAATTTGGAGATGTAAGTCTGAGACAAGATAGCTAACCTATACTATCTACAATTTCTCCGTCTTCAAATCAGAACGTTTATACAATTATACTTGACGAGAAAAGAGCCCTCCCAACATGAAACAACCCAAAAGCTCACCGTCTTCACTTTCGCCTCATTTTGATCTTGCATTCTCTCCAGCGTATAAGAAGCTTTACAAGGCACCCACCACCTTTGCCATGCGCCGCACGACCACCGCCCGCATATGTATTGTACAGTATGTGCAGTGCAGTATGTTTGGCATGGTCACATACATGAACATGGCAAATTTAGCCCGAGGTGGGCGTATTTCAACGACTGCTGACTATCAAAACGTCAACGTGTATGAGACACGGTAAAGGTAAAAGGGTTGCGTCGTGACGCGGTTGCCACCATTTGCACTTTAATACGGTCTACACTTCGATGCCAGTGGGAAAGAACTGCGATACACTACGCCATATCATGTTTCCAAGGCGTAGAGTCATTGTTGCTTCATTCCCACTCCGCGTGTGCACTTTCAAGCCCGGAATGAACGCACTGAAAGCCACCGCCTGGATAGATTCACCAGGCATACTACACTTCACCTCTTATCAACTCTCACTCACTAGCGTAGGTATGTATACATAGCATCTAGGCTCACGACAAATCACTAGCATACCCGTACCCGATCTTCCCGTGAAACTGTAGCTAAAGCCAATCCCCCGTCGGTCAACCAAAGAATCTCCAGTCGCATAAGTTGTTTCACACCAGAATCCTCCGATATGTCCAACACAGGCCCTGTCGCTCTGTCAACCTTTGCCCTGGCTCCTGTGACAGAGCGGGCAGCGCCCGATTGCACGATACAGTTTTCGATTGTGGCGATACGTTGTGTTCCTGTCCGAGGTAGTACAACACACGGACATATCCAGAAACTTCAACACTGACGCACCCCCAATGTATTCGTGGTGGTTTTTGAGTCCAAGTACTAGTAAGTCTGAGGCAATTATTTGATTCAACAATGCCTTGCCTCAAGGGACCTTTTGCACTGGGACAAGGTGTTACGCAGCGTCGAGAGATCTCCAGATCGTCCTTCGTCGCTGTGTCAAGCTTCCTCACCAGGGTGAAAGAGACATATCAACCAAAAATGCCAAGGCCACAAACTTGGACACCCAAGTGGTTCGCAATAGGCACCGCAGTAACTAACAGCGTATCTTGATAACGGCGATCGGCTCTCTGCATGTCTGGGCGCTGACAGAACGAGCTGTCAGTGTCTGTCGCAGATCGTCTCAGCGCAGCCTTCCGGAGACGTGCATCATCGTCGGTGGGCATATCGAGACAAGATGCGGTAACACATAACGGAGCTCCCTTTGAAACGCCCAATCTGAGTCGTTGACTTTTGTCCGTGAGTGACATGCACGTCACTCAGTGCGCATTAATCAGGCGATGGGCCGACCCGAACATGTCTGAACAAAGACTTGCCGAGTAGACTTGTCTCGGCTGAGTCTCCCAGCTTAATCGTGAGAATATGCCGTAACAACATACGTAGTTGACCTGCAGAGAGGGGCTGCTGCGTTGTTGGAGGCATACTGGCGAACCACCAAAACTCTGCCAAGGCGTGGTTCGCGATTGACCACGACTGTCTATTCCTTTGTTGCACAGGAATTACTTCTACCATCAAGCGCGTAGACTATCACCGTCTTGGGTTGGACTACCAAAGTTAATACACATCTTGAACAATGTCTCGGAGGGTTCAAATAGACCTCAACTCGCCCACGTTCCCACCAGACAGACAGAGACACTTCCATCCTCCAATGCAATAGAGCAAAGCAAAGTCGTCCAAGTCCTCGCATCCAGAAGTGCACGAAGCTTTCTCAACCGGTTACTTGACACACCTGCACCAGCAAGACTGTACCCCTCTTTAACCTTTAACCTCGCATCCACCCTCCATCTTCCCATTAGGACGCATCCCTTTGCCATCTCGGCAGCCTCACTTTTCCTCTTGCACAAGTCTTTGGACACGGAAGTTCTTGGCCCCTCCTGGAGCTGGGCTCACGCAAGCTCTCCATCTCCAGTCATATATATCATAGCCTTATCTTCCCTCTCCGCCGTTTCAATCCCAGAATTGGAATTCCCAACTCACCTGTCAAAGACCAATCCAAACACACTATGGCCGGTCCTCTCCCTGTTGGGGCTATGCCTTACAATGTCCCGGCAATCCTGCATCAACAACCTCAACCTCCCCTGCCAAGAGCTCCTATGCCACAGCACAACAGTGCCCCTGCGGGATTCCCTGCACCCATGCTTGCCAACACACAAACCTATCGCCATCCTCCTACCCCTCCCATGGATATGCATCGTCAAGATCCCATCAAGGTCCAGAATGTCCGGGACAGGGAGCCTCAGATATACAGAGCTGTCCGCCTAGAAAAGCTTCCCAATGCCTCCAGCAGTGGCAGGGCCCGTGATGCACGGCATGATTGGGAGGATGAGGAGATCGTCCACACCAATCATAACATGTCCCAAAATATGATCAGGGACAGGATTGAAGAGCTCCAGAATACAACGAAGTCTGTATCCAAGAAGAAGCAAGACAAGAGCGAAGCCATCCAGTCCCAGCTTGAGAGAGCCCAAACCGACTTGACCAGTCAGGACCTTGATGTGCGCTTCTACTACAAGTTAGTCCAGTTCGAATCCCAATGGCGAACAGCAGACGATCGCAGGCCCAAGGATGATAGAAGTGTGCGAAGCACCAAGAAACATAGGGGACACTCAAAACGAAGCAAATCCCCCAAGATGAAGAGGGCAGCAATCATTGCATACTTCAAACGAACGCCCACTGATGGTCGGCATGGCTTGAGACCTGCCGCTGCGCCTGTACCAATGAGACAACCAAGGCAGATCCCACAACCATATGTCCCTCAGCCACACATGGGGGGCTTGCCTCCTGTTCCTCTCCCTCAAGGATTCAACCGTCCTACTCCTGTAGCTCCTCCTATGCCAACACCTGCTATGGTCGACCCAAGGCTCAATGGCCAGCCACAAGATGCCACTGTCCAACAGACAGCTCGTCCTGTGCCACAAGCCCAGCCGCCTCGACAGGCCATGTTCAACAACGCGCAGCAGAGTAACATGCCGCCCATGAAGCAAGGCGGTGCGGTCCATGATGCTACGGGTAACCAGAGACCAGCCCCTGGGCCAGTACCAAGACCGCCGCCTACAAACTTTCAAATTCGCCCAGCTCCCACCCAAGGACCATTTCCTGTACAGAACGCTTCGCCATATATGACCCCAGCCGGTCCAGGTGTACCCAAGGGGACCTTCCAGACAGGCAACCGTCCCCAAAAGAAGATTGTGATAGAAACCAATCAGAATAATAGAGACCATGGTAAAGTGTATCATGGCTCAGACCCTGATTGTGAATCATCTTCGAGTGAATGGTCGGAAGATGAAAGCGAAGATACAAGACCATCGTCGATTAGCTCTGATCAAGATTTGCCGCAACATGGTCGGGGGCGCAGCCCAGGCCGCACATATCGAGATCCTCGGGGAAATGTGATCATCCAGAGCCCCAAACACATCAGAAAAGACGCCGAGCACATGCTTGACAAGCGTGCTTCCAAGCCTCCTCATCCACAGCAAGTGCATTTCAACTCTCCTGCCTACCGCTACCGAGAGGGAAGTCGCTCGCCAAGACGCGAGCATCATTCTCAGCGTCGGCACGAGGAGACACGGAGAGTAGAGCCACCACGCATCATTCAGGTAGCAAGACCAAGCGTCCGTCATGTCCCTATACTTCCAACTCGACGTGAGAGTTTTGAAAGAAGGCATAGTCGCGATGATAAGCCATTAGAGCGTGCGCGATTCGATGATGGTCATCGTGACCGAACCATTGGAAGAGACAATGATCGCTTCACCCATCTCGAAGAAGATGTTCGACGGCGCCGCGAGCTTAAGGAGAGGCGGGATAGCTGGAAAGAGCACGACCACAAGTATGCCGATTCGCCTCGTTGGAGTGATCAGAAAGCTCGAAGCTACATGCTTCAAAGCCTGCCACACCGTTCAACCCGGTATCACGAAGGGCGTGGGGTGGGCAGAGGATACATCGATTGATGGAATATGCGACAGTAGCTGCAGTATAGCTTGGGCTTCATTTTTCTTTCTTCTCCTATTCTTCATTTATTGGAATCTCTTGTTGTATAAGATTTGGTTTGGATTGTATCCGTATTGATACCAGTATTTGGCTATGGTTTGGCGTTATCGTTTTTGTGGTGAGGTAAGCGGACAGTAGTTGGACATCTCAACTGGAATCAAATAACTTGGTAGTTCAGGAAAAAACCGCCATAAATTCAATTTTAATTATTGCTTGTTGCATAGGTCTAATAGGCAATCTTATCCAAGTGGCTCACGTACTCCGTATCGGCAAATGGCAATTAATCAAGACCACGTGATAAAGCGACGGGGAGATAAACTGAAGGAGGGGTGTCGCGCGCCCAACGCGTTAGAGCAGGCACTTGAGGAAACTTCATTCGTCGTACCCGACCTGAATTCGAGACTTGGACGCGTCCTGGTAAATCAATCTGCACTTATCTAATATGACAGGGCCGTGGGGTAGTAGCTGATGGTATTGTTTCAACCAATTCAGCCTCGCGTTAATTGTTTCTTCTTTCCAATCCTGTCCTTCTCATCCTCCCCTCCCGATTTTTAATTCACACTCTCCTTGCCTTCAGCCATCGCCACCCAGCGATATTTTATGAAGGTTGGTATCAACAGCCTGCCTTTTCGATCCTCGCCGACACGGGCACTCATTCTCCGACAAGCTGTGCAACGACAACGACAACAACAGCAACAACGAATTCAGGTGCATTCAGCAGGTCCGATCTACTCACCAAATCTCGAAACAATGTTGCAGCGTGCGAGTAGCCAGTACCAGGCCAATGCTCCTCCTCCCCAGCGGAGCCAGGCCAAGGGTCAGCCATTCCTTCCTTCTAGCAGCCCAAGCACGCATCAATCCGATATTCGACAACTAAAGAAGCCAAACGCCCCTGCTGTGTCGGCGAGGACGACGCAACCCTTCTCCAAACCTCTTGAAAATCGATCCTCCAACATGAACCAGGCATCAAACAGTACCAGACCACCAAACGGGGTTGTCCGTGGACCGTTGGCTTCACTTTGCGGAGGATCAAACTCTTTCAGCGAACAAGCAGATGTTGTTGATCTTACTGGGTCTGACAGTCAAATAAAGGCACAACCAGGAGTGTACTTTCAAGACGGCGATTTCAGCGACGACGATACGCTGGATCTTGACTTCCAGCCGCCTTCAGCCCTACCACCTCTCCCTGTTAATACACCCCATAAGCGTATTGCAAAGGAAAGCATGCCACCACCACCCCCTACGTCAACACAAACTGACAGGACCATACCTTGGTCTTCATCACCTCCGTCACACTTCTTACCCCCCTTACGCAATGCATCCGTGACCTCGACAATGGCCAACATATCAATGAAGCGCGATTCTTCTGGAGATCGAGACGATAGCGCCGTTCCTGCCCCCAAAAAGGCCAAGAAGCGAGTACTGCCACAAAGCTTTAAGCAAGAAGACCCTGAGGATGATAACGAGCACTATGCTCAGGCCACTCAAACACCAAACAACAAACGAAAAGATTTCCTGAACCCTACAGCCAGCGCAGTCAAAGAGCAGAAGAAGCAGTTCAGAAACCAGCGTCAACAAGATCAACCTGCAGCCAACGGCGACTTGTCTATGGGAGAGATCCAAGAGGTCACAACTTCACATGCCAAGGGCAACTTTGCCATATCCTTGAGTGAAGAACAGAAACACGTCTTAGACCTAGTGGTAAACAAGAACCAGAGTGCCTTCTTCACCGGTGCAGCCGGAACTGGTAAATCCGTCTTGATGCGAGCCATCATCACGGAGTTGAAGAAGAAATACGCAAAGGACCCCGAACGAGTCGCGGTTACAGCGTCGACCGGACTTGCTGCATGCAACATTGGAGGTATCACTCTGCACAGCTTTTCTGGCATTGGCCTCGGCAAAGAGGACTGCCCGACACTGGTCAAGAAAATCCGCAGAAACCCCAAAGCCAAGAACCGCTGGTTGAGAACCAAGTGCCTGGTCATTGATGAGATTTCCATGGTGGATGGAGACTTGTTCGACAAACTATCTCAAATAGGACGAACAATTCGAAACAATGGTAGACCATGGGGCGGTATCCAGCTTATCATTACTGGAGACTTCTTCCAACTGCCACCGGTCCCAGATCATGGAGCCAAACGGGAAACCAAGTTTGCTTTCGATGCGTCTACCTGGACAACCTCAATAGACCATACCATCGGACTTACACAGGTTTTCCGACAACGAGATCCAGTGTTCGCTAACATGCTCAATGAAATGCGTCTCGGTCGTATCACCGAGGACACTGTGCGAGCCTTTAAGAAATTGGAGCGACCCCTCAACTTCAACGATGGTCTAGGAACTGCAGAGTTGTTCTCCACCCGAAACGAAGTCGAAGGATCCAACGAAAGGAGATTGAGAGACCTTCCTGGGACGACTCGAAGATACGAGGCTCAGGACTTTGGCAAAGAAGAAGTTCGTGAAAAGTTGTTGGCAAATATGATGGCACCTAAGGTTATCGACCTGAAAATGAATGCCCAAGTCATGCTGATCAAGAATCTTGACGAGTCTCTTGTCAATGGATCTTTGGGCAAAGTGATTGGGTTTTCGGATGAGAAGACCTTTGACATGGCCCCACCGGACGAGTTTGATGAAGACGATTCCATGGCTAAGGCCCGGAAGAAACTGCTCAATTCATTCAAACGTGACTCCGACGCAAGTCCGAGCAATGTCAAATATCCAGTCGTACAGTTCATGGCAACCGATGGCACATCACGTGTGATTCTTTGCCAGCCCGAAGAGTGGAAGGTCGAGTTACCTAATGGAGAGGTCCAAGCAAAGCGCACCCAACTGCCTCTTATTCTGGCGTGGGCTTTGTCCATTCACAAGGCCCAAGGTCAGACACTAGAGCGAGTGAAGGTCAACCTTGGAAGGGTATTCGAAAAAGGTCAGGCTTATGTTGCTCTCAGTCGAGCGACTACTCAGGATGGCCTTCAGGTGCTGGGCTTCCAGAAGTCCAAGGTCATGGCGCATCCTAGGGTTATAGACTTTTACAACAAGCTCTATAGTGCTGAAGAGGCCCTTGGGAAACCCAAACCTCAGTCTATCACTGATTTTGTTTCGAACCGTATGGGAGCAGCGCCATCAAAAGCCCCTGCGCCCAAGAAGCCTGCGCCCCAGGTAGTGGATTTAGACGATGAAGAGGAAGCAATGGCAGCGTGTGGGTACTGATTCGACCTTGTGAGGTCATATCCTTATGCTGAGTGTGTATCATTATTGCTACCGTTGTATGATACAGGGGAAGTAGTTCATGATAGAGATAGATGATTACGGGAAAGGCGTTAGAATGGCTTGACAAAGGAAGGCCAGTAGATATTTATACTCGGACGCTCCGAGATACGATAATACCAAATGACGAACAACTGTTCTTTAAAATGCTTACTTCTTCTCAACATGTACTGCAACTGGTAGAATACTTGTTTTAAAGAGACTCCTTTAGGCTGGTAGCGATATCGAGAGTGACTGTTATCACCGTTATTGAATTAGTCTCGCGTGATTAAGCTAACCCAAGCTTTTAATCGTACCTGTCAAACCAGCCATATGATATCACTGATGTACGTACGGTTTACGGATACGATATTCATTTTGTAATTCGTCAGAGCCATCACAAGTCAATGCAGATCACTCCAGGATCATCTCACGTAATAACCAGTTCTCTGTCTACATACTACCCTGGTCTTCTTTTTATTCCACAGCTCTGGGACATTGCAATGCGCGGGCTTTGTTTTTACCGTCGTGTTAGCCATCGTATTTTGTAAGGTTTGGTTAGGTCTCAATTGTGACGCACACCAAATGAACCATCCCCTTATCGATAAGGAAGTTGGCAACTTCCTTCCCACGCCCCATGTCAAGTGGAAGTTCTCCCACCACGAACAAATCCCCATCACACAACATCGCAATCCTGAGATCCGACGGAGTCTCTTAGAGCAAAATCTACTTGTATAAGATATACGAATTGTAGAGTTTCAGCTTCACCGCTATTATTTTTCGACCACCACACGACTTCATCGCAAAGCGGATCGACCTCCCCTCGTTTTGCCCCATCCCGCTGCCTGGAAACTCCATCCGTTACCAGTCGCCAGGTCGACAATCACAACTGCCCAGTCGCCTTATCTCTGCCCGGAGATCCGCTCTGTATCTCGCGAACACCTCGCTATTCGATACCCGAACACTCGACATTGCGCGCTTCCAAATTGGACCTTAAGACCTGTCTGAGTAATTGAATGATATCCAGGGCCTGACAACCTTCTTTATATACAACTATCGCAACTGGAAATACAACCCTCAACTAAGCTTATAACCCGGAAAGCTCTACAATTATGGCACAGTTCATAGGTTTGCACATGCGAGTTGTACTGCGGGATCCTCCTGGGAGTGAATTTACAGGGACAGTTGTGGACGTCCAGGCAGGCAGCGGGTTGACCTTAACTAACGGTATGCGCTACTTGGAAGATTGCCTTAGAAGAGCTGCTAATTTTTGAATCGCAGTGTTTTTGATTAACACCAAGCAATGGCTCCCCCACCTACAAGTTCACGCTGCCAACATTGCTGATCTAGCTGAGGTTAAGGACGATGCACCAGCAGCTACATATGCGCCCGCTCCCGCCGAACCTATCGCTGCGCCTGTTGTTTCGAGACCGCAACCGCCGCCGCAACCTGCCTTTGTCGACCCTGCCATTCTTAGTCTGGGACGGCCACCAGCACCAGCGACACCCTTAGGCTCTGACGCAAAAGGTCCTGCGCCTGGGGATGGCAGTTTTGAATTGCAAGCTGCTCCCGTAAGCGCCGCGGTTTCTACGCCAGGACGACCCACCCCTGATCACGACTTGACGGGATCTGTCAGTAACTTGGCCATCAGCGAAGCGGCTCCAGAGTCGGGCAATGGCCGCCCAGCTGAGAGCCAGGCAACTCGGTCTGCAAAGAAGAAGAACAATAACAGGCGCTCTCGCCAATCCAAGCAAGGAAAGGGGCAGCGGGCAGAAGATGATGGTCAAGCTGGTGAAAGCTCACCTGCTAGCGGAAGAGGCAAGGGGTGGAGACAAACGCCCATTCTACAGAGTACAGCGTCTTTTCAGCCATTTCACTCCCTGAAGAAAAACGTCAAGGGGCGTAAGGGCATGCTGGACAACGGCTGGGCGTCCGAGGAAGTCACAGAAGAGATGGGCGATTTTGATTTCGAGAACAACCTCGCGAAATTTGACAAACGTACCATTTTTGATCAAATGAGAAAGGAGGATCAAGTTGATGATGCCAGCCGATTAGTAGCTCACAACCTGAAGCCGAAACCTGGCACAGCCGGCGGTAAGAACCTACATTACACTGAAAATGTGCTGGATCTGCCGTCTGCAACCAAGAAGGATGCAGATTTCTGGAACAGTGAGGCAGATGACGGGTTAAACGAGGCGGAACGACTCTCGGGAAGGGATGCCCGGAGCGGGCAAAGCAATCGAAGAGCTGACAGCAAATCGGGGCCTTCGCGGCGATCACAATCACGGAAGGCGAGTGCGGTCGCGATATCTGGAGGTCTCCCGTTGAGCCGCGTCAACTCTGGCGTACGTGCAAGCCATTTATCTCGCCTGTCTATCTCTCGACCAGAGTCTCGCAGTACTAATAGCAGGCAGCAAGGCCACCCGCCCGGCTTATACCTTGTCCCCTCGCACAAACGCCTCGAAACCGTTTCTGCCCTACAGATGCTAAATCTCGAAAACATAGCTGCGAACGAGATTGGGTTGACGGAGCAGCTCATGTCGGAGAATGGAGGACGAGGTATTGCCGAGGTAGCTTTAACAGCCCTATCAGACCCTGCTATCAAGGTGCGGTTTGGACTTGCTGGAGCGAACCCATCCTCTAGCACTACGCTAAGTAGTCCGGCGGTAGTGATTCTAGCCGGTAACAATAAGTCTGGGATTCGGGCCATTGCGGCTGGACGCCATCTTCGAAACAAGAGTGTCAACGTGCTCGTGTGCTTAGTGGGCATTGAGCGAGAGAAAGACCTGTTGGAGGACCTACGGCAACAAATTCAACTTTACCGCGCGTTTGGGGGTAGGATCCTCAGCAAAACAGATCTCTTCGAGCACCTGCGTAAAGCATCGTCGTCCGGCTCACCCGTATCGGTCTCACTTATCATCGATGCACTTCTGGGCTTAACCATTTCTTTTGAGGAATTACGGACTGGAGATCAAGCTACGGTTTATGAGCTGATGGAGTGGGCGAATCGAAATGAGGCCTTTGTACTTTCAGTCGATGTTCCGACGGGTATTGATCCGACTTCCGGCAAAGTGGCAGTCATAGACGGAGGTCGCTTGTTTGTGAAGCCGCGATATGTTATTGCCATGGGCGCTCCCAAGCGAGGCCTTCTTGAGGCCGTGACACCACCAAACGAGGACAACCCCCAGAACATGAACAATGCAGGCCACGAGGATGAGTGGCGACTCTTCATTGCAGATATCGGCTTAGGTAGTGCCGTTTGGAGAAAGGCCGGGACCAAGATTCGACGAGGCATCGACTTTGATGAGAAGTGGGTGCTCGAGATGAAGTATCGAGATGGACAGCAGGACGAAACCGACTACGAGGAGGAATAAGATGGATAAAGAGCATTGCACGCGGCTTCTCTGGTACGAAGAAAGGAATAAGAAGCGAAAATCCAGCGGTTGTTTCATATGGGCATAACAAAAAAGAAAAACGGGAGGTTGCATTTCCAAGGATGCCTGGCGTTTGGTGGGTTTCGTTTTGGCGTGAAAGAGTGCATTGCAGGTGCATCGAGGTCGGTTGGCACCAAATACCCAGGAGTTTATTCAAAATTCATTTTCTATTTCACGTTTTGTCGTTATGCTTGGCATGTGAAGTCGTTTTCATATAAAACGGCTACGAGGTGTACGTATTCAGTCTGTGATATATAAAAAAAGAAGAGCCAAGCACGCCAAGAATCTGGAGAAGGTTGCGCAGAGACCAAGTTACAGTAGAAGCTAAGCTTTGCCAAGACGTTTGTGATTTCCTTGCACAAGCGCAGGACTTGGCATTTTATAAAGCTTGATTGAATTTATGCCAATGCTGTTATATGACGTGAGCAAACATGACAGGCGAACAGGTTTATTTAGCAACAATCGCTAGTAAAGAGTTCGATCTATTAGTCTCTCTGTATCCATATTCGGCGATTTCCGTGATCTACGCTTATATTTAGACTGTGGTTTACAATTGATGGGCTGATGCTGAACAATTTGGTAGCATCATACAACACGGTCGATTGGGTGAATCCGTTGCAGTCTGAGCACGAAGTCGGGGAATTCTATAGCTTACAATTTAAGTTTGAGTCTATCGGTTGAGCCGAGAGTTGGATCATTTAGGATTATTTAGTTTGTTTGGACGTTTAGTCGTTCAGCATTGTTTGGCCCTATTCCATGGGAAACATCGTGATGAAAGTGATTTTTGCATATACAGGAGAATGATACAGTGCAATGGGCAATTGTTGACTGGCGGACGATACAACCAAAGGATGGCATTGTCGCGTGTCAATCCTGATGTTTTGTGGAAAGGCATTGGTGATCTTTTCCACAGTTATTCCCCAGGTTGCATAGTGTGTGTGGCTGTGGAGTAGTGGTTTTGTTTAGCTTGTGTCGAATGTCGAATGCAGTGGTGATGCATTCCTCGAGAGGTGGATGAAATAATATGAAGAGGATTGACTGTGTTTTCTATATAAAAAGTGAAATTTAATTATAAAATTCGAAAAGGCAGAGTCCATCCCTCACACGAGTTTGCGATTCGGGCATTGTTAACATTTAAAGTGTCGTCAGCACTCTGATGCTTTGTTTCTACTTCTGCTTCTGCGGGGTTACACTAATGAAAGCGCTTCACCTTGGTTTGAGAGATTTGGGGTCAGTCATGCAGGGCATCGAATCCAATCGACAAAAGAGGATAAATAGAGCGCACATCAAGGCCCTTGACGTGTCTGGGGTTTCCGTTTCTTTCGTTTCAGTCAAGTCCACCCAATTCACACACTCGTCAGGCGTTCTGCCGCTTTAAATTATTGCCGTTGAACAGGCCGGAAGCTTGGGGATGCTTATGCCCGGTTACAGTTGTTCAGCCAGCCGATGGTCCGAGAACGGGTTTGCAGATGATTAATTGCATGAATTCAATACCAACATCAATTAATAAACCTAACTTCAACTTCAACTTTACTCAAGTGTACAGTACATGGCCCCCATCTGATACCGTGTGTTAAATGCCACCCACAGAACCCCATCTGACGCTATACCGTACAGTGCGTGTGTTGATGGCGACCAATCAGAATTAAGAATGAATAGTGAATGCGCAAACTGCCCAATTTCTCCAGTATTTCTCTCTCGCTACGGATACCTATGGATGTTGTTGTCTTACATGTCCCACGTCAACCTAATTTCTTTAGCCACGCGAACCAGGACGGACCAAGAGCTTATTTTGACTAATTCCCCTTAGCTCCGAGACCAGACTCGACCTTTTTTCTCCTTTGGTGCTTGGCTTCTTAGCATCGCAAAAAGGCTTCCTCGACCCTTCCAGATCGCCACGTACCGTTACCCGATCCTCAAGCCGGGTCTATCTGCATGCCAACCACGCGACAATCGACTCCCCTACTAACAGCCATAACTTGTGTTGTCTTTTCTCGATCAAATCCTCTATTCTGTCTGTATATAGGACTCCGTACTCTATACCGTACCGTCCCGTGCTTCTCAATCTCCGCGAGCTCTAATTCCACCCTCGACTCCGCCTCCTTCTCCTTCCCCTTCCCCGTAGAGGGCCCGCCGTAATCAACAACGCCCCTACCTCCCACATCTTACATCCGTTAGGTTTTCTTGTATCCGTTCGCTGGAAGTCGGAAAACGGGCCCAATCTATCAACCCACGCTTGAATCTTCCCGTCTGGCTCCATCCGTCCCCCCCACGATCACGATCACGATCACGATCATCTCCCCCAAATCGCGCCCCAAACACAATCATTTTCTCAATCGACAACCTCCAAAAATATTCACAAACACTCCGAATCGAATCGAATCGCATACGATCATAGTTAGCTACCGGTCGAAGTAACCGCGTCGCTTACTGCTAGAAACGTGCCTCTCATGGCGCCCGCTTAAGCGCACTCGAACCGAAACCCTCCCGTCTCCCAACTTGATTCGCGATTCTTGTTGCTCGCGGCTGGCCTCACTGCATCACCGGCCAGCCGCAATCATGGCCGCAGTTGGCATGGCTACCGCCTCCATCACGGCGCCCCCTTCGCTTTGCACGACGACTCTCTTGCCCGACAGCGGTGTTATGACGCTGGGACTCGATGGCGTGCCCACGATTCTAACTGAACCTGCGATCTACCAAGTGCCATGCCCGACCCCCGACCTCTTTCGACGAGACGACTTCCATGTGACAGTGGGTGCTTCAGGTGACGAGAGTAGTCTCACCCAGCACGATCCATCAGATAGCAGTCCCAAATTTTCAGACTTTCGTGACCCCTTCTACGCCTCTACCTTTCCGATATGTTACGCCCTCGCCGCCACAACCGTTACGGCGTACATGCTCGTCATTATGCTTTTCGTCACGCCACGATCTTTTCTTGATGGAGGAATTGTTTACCTAGGCAGACGATCCGCGTTTACTCATAGCTCGTCCAGCAGCGTCACTATCGGTGGTCGGCCTTGGCTGCAGAAAGTCGCCGCTTTGACTGTCGCTATCTCACTGACAATTGCCTCGGCCGACACATTCAAGGTGGCCAAGAGCCAGTACACTTGGGGAATACAAAACGCGAATCAACTGCAGGACGAAGTTATGAACAGCGTCGAACTAAAGGTTATTCGCCTCGTTTCAGATACGTTTTTATGGCTGGCCCAGGCCCAGACTCTCATCCGACTCTTTCCGCGACACCGAGAAAAGATCATTATCAAATGGGTCGCATTCGCGCTTATCACACTTGATGTTGTATTCAGTGCCATCACCAGTTTCAAGTACTCAGAGAACGGCATCAACACCACTGCGCGACCCAAGAACTTTGTCCACCCCGTTCCCGCGCTAAGCTACCTATTTCAGCTTTCACTTGGACTCTTGTACGCAGCCTGGGTTGTCTACTTTGCGCTTATGAAAAAGCGTTATTCTTTCTACCACCCTTTCATGAAAAACATTACCTTTGTCGCCATCATCTCGCTTATTTCGATTCTGATCCCGGTCGTCTTCTTCATTCTCGACATATCCCAGCCCGATTTTACAGGGTGGGGTGACTACGTGCGATGGGTTGGCGCCGCAGCCGCCAGTGTTGTTGTTTGGGAATGGGTGGAAAGGATCGAGGCTTTGGAACGAGAAGAGAAGAAGGACGGCATTCTCGGACGAGAAGTGTTCGATGGGGATGACACACTTGAAATTAATGCTTCCGAATTTCCTTGGCTCCGCAACCGCAAGAATCGAAAAGGAGGTGGCCCAGGAGGTGGCAGCGACTCCGAGCGACCACAGATGTCCTCGAATACCGCTAACGGTTGGCCCACGGTTTCCTCCTTTGCCAACAGATATCGCGGACAGGGCAATAGCGCCTTCGCTGAAAATACTGAAGAGCCCACTCAAAGAGGAGCGGGAAGAAGTCTACGACCTACCATATGGCCAGCTCGGCCAGCGCCTGCAATCACGCCAATCAGTCGGACAGATACGGCGAGCGCGGCGAGTACAGTTTATGCCGTGAGATATCAAGCACCCTCGGAGACTACCTCACGAACACCGGACCCTCTGCCTCAACCGAGTGTCGTTGATTTGAGTCAGCAAAGCAGCACTCCCCCAAGCCAGCAAGCGAATGATGAGTCCAGCTCATCCAACCAGGCTCCAGCCTCTGTACAAAACGGCCATGTTATGTCGCCAACCTTACCACAATCTATGGACCTAGAGGCAAACACGTCTACTTTACCACCCCAGGGCGGCTGGAGAAATCTCACCTTTGCTAACCCAATATTCCGTCGTTCAAGCGAGGAGGCATCGAGCCAGATGACCCAACGCTCTGATAGCAACCCAGTAGCTGATCGCGAAGCGAGGGCAAATAGTTCCAGCCGATGGGATCTCAAGGCTCGCCTAGAAGATTTTGCAGCAAATCAGGCTGAAAGACTACGGGATCATATGCGTTCAACGCCAAATACCGAGAGCCTCCCTGTGACAGTGATTCCAGCACCTCCACGGAGAGGAGCGGCATTGCAGCAGGTTCTTGAGGAAGAAGAGCTCAACACAGCGGAACAACAATCGTCGAGCAGGGAACGTTTTGTGAACCACAACAGCGGTACAAATAGCCACAGCAGCGTGTCAAGGGATGCAACAGGTGCCACACAAGGCAGGAGTCACAGCGGATTCTCGGGAAGCCAAGGTGATGGGCCGATTCCACCAAGCAACCCACCATTATGGCGGGGTGTTCAGTCGAGAACAACCCTTGATGATGACTACTATGACGATTCCGAAGATGGCTCATTATCGGGTAGATCATCACTGGACCACCGCAGACAAGATTCGGACTCTTCGGGGCTTCGCCGGGTGACTTGATGTCTGTTGTGAATACTTGTGCATCTAGCGAGGCGTTGTTTACTATTTTGCTTTTGGGAAAGGCCGGTGTTGCGACAAACATCGGATTGATTTTTGCGAATGATACCCCAGGGATGGCTGCATCATCATTCCTTACGTGTATGTGTATATGTATAGGATGGGACGGAGTATACAGTCAGGGCTGCTATGCAAAGGATAGGTCATGTGTTTATTACATGGGTTACAACCTATAGCAGGGAACGGCGTTATGAATGGATATGGGGAAAAGAACAAATCTTATCCTGAGGATATAGATTTATTGTATTGTCAGAGCAAACCGATATGGTTATATATGAATAGGAGTGACAGATACAAGACAATCAGAGTTTACAGTTCAAGGGTCATCATGTCACAATATTGTGATTATCCCTTGTCCCTAGTTGAACTGACGTGTTGATGTCTATTGAGTAGCCGTTCGATGTCTCGTGCATCCGGAACGATCTATCGAACAAGACCAAAGTGAAAGTGCCTTGTATTAGTGAAGACCGTTACATTGCTGACTGTTCAAATGAAGAGTACTCCGTAGTTTTCGGCATGACGTATTAGAGCATATCACCTGCAATTTAGAATAAGCTCTGGCTCAAGCGAGAACCAGTAATTAATTCTCGGCAAGCTCGGGGGAAGGAACCCAGGCAATGAGATGAGCCTTGAGCCATGATTCATGGCAGATGGGATGTTTGAGGGGGTTAACAGGGCCACCTCACATGTTAACTCGGTACATTAGGAGATAGAATTGGCTGGTTTTTCAAGGCCGAAGTTGTGGACGACAGACAAGAGCTTGATGAAATAGGGGACAGTGAATAGGGGAATATTGCAAAGCAGTCAAAATAAACAATTGCTTAACAAGCGATTCGATAGATTATTTCCGCGGGTTGCCGATGGCCCCTGAAAAGTCCAGTGTCTTGGGTGGATTATCTCAATCTTGGAGCCCGCGGAGGCCCTTTGGCGGTTGGCCTTCAGTTAGTGGCCCACCCTTTGAGGCTTCCATGCTTCTAGAGAACCTGTGGAAGAATTTCGTGTTGCGGATATAATGCAGTTTGAAATACGAAAAGACAGAGAAGGTGCAAACAGAGTTTCACGATAGACTTTGACTAGAATGGTCTGGTCTATATAAATACGGTATATCTCACTATTCCAACGATTTGAGCAGAGAGAGTCACGGAAGAGTTGCAGACTTACTCCATACTTACAGTGCTGAAATGGAGGTCCATTTCCCAAACAGGCCAATCATGAGCGCCCTTCCCGCTTCGGCTTACCCCCACTATCCACTTGCATCTCCCTCTAATACAAATCAATTTACTGACCACGCGAGAGACGATCCCGCACAATCCGCAGAGTGTGACACTTGGTTATTAACTTGATTGCTTTCTCTCTTCCCCTTCTTCTTTTTGTTCAACTGTAATACAGCTTCTGGGGAGAAGAGCAGCATAAATCGAGCAAGAACAACGATCCTTTTCTCCCGGTCACGACCTCTCCCTCCCCATTTGCGACTCCTTCCTTCACTACCTTACGTAGTAAGTATACACCTACCTTAGTCCAAGGTAGGTAGGTACGCGACAAAACTCCACTTCAAAACCTCGGTCAGAGGTAAAATAGGGGTGCAAACACCTACCACTAGACAAGAAAAAAAAGTTGCTGGAAACAAGTCGGCTTTCAAACAATCCCAACCCGAAAGCGACACGGCATCTCTCGTAGAGAAAGAAAAGACCAAGAATGTCGGGCTCAGAACCTTTCCCGCTGCTGAATACGGCAAACGATCAGCTTCATCAGCGTCGTCCTGCGGACAAAGCAGCATCCTCCGTCAGCAACACCACAGCCACCCAAGACGCCATCAACAGTGCCCGGAAGCGACGTAAGAGCAGTCTCTTGGGCGGAGAGATTCGAGGTGACACGGGTGCCCCTGCATTGGCTTCTAGTCGTGCCAGTCTCGAGGCCTCGGAAAACCATTCTGTTACTTATGTATGTTGTCTCCTTGCGGCGAGAACCACGCCTGCGTCACGCTTACTGACATGTCTTTGGTACAGTCCGACGGTCGCAAACGCCTCTCGAAACGACGACGTGCTCGTGGCCTCATTGCCCGAGCCAAGCAAATCATGATTAAGCATACATTCGTCCTCCCTGCGATCCTCCTCGCCTTGTTCGCCGTGGCATATGCCGTCAACCCTACCGAGTCCAACCTCATTCACCACTTTATCTTCCTCTCCTACAAGCTACCCCAGGATGACCCCAACGAACCTGCGCACTACGGAAAAGGTCGCTGGGATATCGCTCTTGTCGCCTTCTACACGATTGTTCTGTCCTTCACCCGCGAGTTCATCATGCAGGAGGTTTTGTCGCCCTTGGCTCGTTACTATAACCTCACCCGCGGCAAGAAGGCTCGTTTCATGGAGCAGGTTTACACGGCCTTTTACTTTGGTGTTCTTGGTCCAGTCGGTCTCTGGGTCATGAGCAAGACTCCCGTGTGGTACTTCAACACATACGGCATGTACGCGGATTTCCCCCACCGAACTCTCCTGGGTCCGGTCAAATTCTACTACCTCTTTGAGGCCGCATACTGGGCTCAGCAAGCCATCGTTCTTCTCCTTGGAATGGAGAAGCCCCGTAAAGACTTCAAGGAACTTGTTGGCCACCACATTGTCACCCTTGGGCTCATTGTCCTGAGCTACCGCTTCCACTTCACATACATTGGCCTGGCAGTCTACGTCACTCACGACATCAGTGACTTTTTCCTGGCCACTTCCAAGACGCTCAACTACATCGATTCACCCATCGTGGGCCCTTACTTTGGAGTCTTCATGATGGCTTGGATCTACCTGCGTCACTACCTCAACCTCAAGATCATCTGGTCTCTCCTAAACGAATATGAGACTGTTGGTCCTTTTGAGCTGAACTGGGAGACCCAGCAGTACAAGTGCCGCATTGCTCAGGTTATCACCTTCACCCTTCTCGCTTCCCTCCAGGCCCTCAACCTCTTCTGGCTTTTCTGTATCGCTCGAATTGCCTGGCGATTCGTTGTCCAGAACGATCTCCAAGATGACCGGTCTGAGGATGAGGACGATGGTGAGATGGATGAAGATGAGGTGTCTGCCCCCGCCCTCGAGGCCAATGGCCAGGCAAACGGCTTCTCAAACGGGCAAGCCAAAGCCCCTACTGTTGAAAAGATCTCAGAAGGCGTGCAGAGCTAGATGGATTTCCGTCTTGGGATAGTATCTGACACTATCACTCACATAGGAGTTTCTGAAGGGGAGAACTTTGGTCTAACTGCTTGCCGGGCGACCATGGAAGGAACGAAGATCGGGTTAACGAGACGAATTAATGGATCAGCATCATCTTATGACCACAGCGAAGGGGAACCGACGATCACGGGGCGCAAAGTTGCATCTCTCTTTTGAGAGCATGGAGGGAACAGGTTTGGGAATGGTAATAGAGTTCAACCGCGAGTGGTTGGACCTCACTGTCGCTTTTGTAGCCAACATGCCGGCGTTCCGAGGGTATCTGGCACAATCCGGATTTAATCAGCTGCTGTGCTGGGAGGTTGTCAAGTTGGATGACATACAGAACTTGGCGTGTCGTATTGTCCCGTATCAACCGAGAGACAGACGCCTCGAGTCGCTATGGGAAGAGGAGCATGTCTTCTGCCAAGCTTGTCAAGGCATGGTTGGAAAGGGGGGAGGAGGGTCCTCACTTATATGTGTGGCACTCCATCTGGCCTCAAATCACCCGCATAGCAGTACACCACCTTCCCTCGGGCCATGTATTTACACACATATATGTTCTTGTACACTTACACTTGTCACCATCTATACGAACACACACTTATTAATAATACTACTACTACCCTAACGCTCACCATCACTACTCCACAACTCAGGTGCTATTTACACTCCTGGCTCAACCCAACCAGAGCTACGCTTCTAGTTCATCATTTGCTCGCCGTACGTCTTCTATTTCCACTCCTCGACACGCGTCAACTTGGCATTGGCACTTTTTATAGTATCAAGGCCCAATTATTCATCTTCTCACCTGGCTGTGTTCTTTCTTAGACCGGATAAAGAGACCTCAGTTAGTCCATCATGCGGAGGCCCCGCCCAAACTTTGCCCCTATGGATACTTCTTGGACACTCAGAAACAGCGCATCCAGAGTCCCAGATGCACGCGTAAGCTGATACGAGAGAGCCCAAATATCTCCATGCGGTGAGTTAGCGTGCCTCGTGCATAGAAATAGGAAACAGGTCACGAAAACAAAAGGGCACTGGTTGCCATTCGTCTATTCAAACTGCGGACAAGTCTATTATGTAGTAGTGAAGTCCACTTGTTTGCTTAGCATACCAGCAAAATTATGGAGTCTAGAGGGTATGTATGCATGCGGCATGCTGGCATGCATATACACGCCCCTCTTGGGGAGAGTTTAAAGTAGACACATCCCCCGGAGACAAAGGGTTGTACATATGCATACTACTATGTTGACAATACAACTCTATATTTCAAGGACGGAGGTTCCGTACTCACAAAAGGATCTCCGAACCAATCTTACGCGACAATGCTATCCGTAGATAAGAAAAAGTAAAAAACAATTGAAGAGATTCGCGGAGGATAACCGCCAGGAGATGATCCTGCGCCACAGGCATACACCATACCCCAAGCAATTCAAGCAAATCAAGCAACAAACTTAGAATAACCGAGTGACCGAGTCTTGGACCCTTGTCCTTCCACGCCCCTTGCTTCTTGCCCCTTGCGCTTTCCCAGTGCCGTCAAGATCAATCAATTCCCTTTCAGGGGTCGACTACGGACTACGACGGTGAGGCGCTCTCCGAGTCCCCTCCGTGGATCCCGGGAGCCCGGGGCGGCGGGTCAAGCAGGGTGTGATGGGTCATGGAACTAAGCCAATCGTCGACCAAGCACAGCCCCAAGGTCATTGAATCGGCGGTAACACCACAAACTCGCTGAATTCAACACATCCTGGCCCCTGCTGATACACTATCACAGGAGTGTATCCTTTAACTTGCCGCATGTATTCAGTCAGTTATTGCCATGTGGAAACAGCAACATCCATCGTTCGAATACACAACCACGCTTGAGCACACTAAAAACCATCAACTAGAAACCAGAAAGACGTTGTCTGATTGCTCGCCTGCTATGCTATATATGCTTTGCTATGATGCTTCATACTTTGATATGCTTGACTCCGGTAAAATACCATGCAAAGCATATTTGCCCCAAATCTGACATATGACTTGGCGTGTTGTCTCCTATGAAATGGTATGCCCGGCTTCCCTATTGCGAGGTTTTGATAACAAGAGTCCATTGATTTTGTCTTCGCAATAACAAACCCCGTTTGCCTACCACCCAAACTTTAAAAAAGCAATTCGTTCCGTGACCATTTCCTCCCGCACGAGCGGTCCATTCGTCTAAGAGACCTAGAAGTCTCATTTGTAAAGACCTAGCACCATATCCTTCAACCACTGCGTTATGTCCTCTTGTCGACGATGTGTACAACGTCGCGTGTAGCGTCGAGCGTCGAACCTGCCGTCGCAGATAAAATACAATGCCAATAAATCCATATACCCCGTGTATTCGGCCTAAACCGTATCCCATCCCGAATTCCGAAAGCAAATCATGATAACCATAAACGCCGTGCTCCCTGTCATAATATTCACCATGCTATGCGTAGCACATACCAAAGGCTGAAAATGTTTGACTGCATTAGACCCACCTAAATATTGCCCTTGCTGATGGGGTTGAAAATATCAACTCGCGCACCTTTTACATAGGCTATTTTCGAGATTATTATACGGATTCGGGCGATCCGTTCCATGAAACACTAGAAGCAAAACTCCACAACGCCTATCCGATGCAGTCTTGATGCCAAATTCCTTGGTAATCGTCGTGGACGAGGATCGTTTCCGTTCGTAAACTGAGTATAGTTGATAGTGTGATAGAGTTGTGATGCGAAATTAAGTTGGTCAGATTGTGTTAACCTTCGAGAATTCTACCAAGTGACCATCGCTGCTGTGGCCTTCGGCAGAGAAGGCCGGGTTTTGGGTGAGTGGTGGCATAGCGAGAGGGTTCAAGGCAAGGGGCACTTCACTTTCGCTCACGCTCGCTGGAGTGATCCCCGCTGTGGCTTGACTCTGCGTCCGAGGATGACGATGAAGTGTGTGTGTCGTCCCCATGGCCTTGAGAGCCAGTGCCAGACAGACTTCCTGATGATTCAAGGTCGTCATAGCTAGCAATGGCACCCTCCGAGTTTCTCTTCATGCCCATCTTGGCCTTACGAAGGGCCCTTGCCGCTTTCAATTGCGCCTGAAGAGCTACGTTTAGTGCGCGCTCGGCTCTAATCTGCTTCTCCCACATCGAAGCATATCGTCCTTTGGCTGCCAGAAGTTCGTCATGTGTGCCCTTCTCAACAATGGCACCAGAGCTCAAAACGATGATCTGATCAGCATGCGTAATGGTGGAAAGTCGATGTCTATAATTAGGTTAGCTAAATGGAAAAATCAGTTAAAGCGTCAGTGGTCAACATACGCGATGATGAGCAAGGTACGGCCTTGCCCAATGTTCCACACATTGTCTTGAATCTCTTGTTCAGTGTGAGAGTCTAGCGCCGAAGTAGCTTCATCCAGCATAATGATACGAGGATCCTTGAGAATCGTTCGTGCAATAGCGACTCGCTGCTTCTCGCCACCACTCAGACGAAGACCTCGTTCGCCGACCTGCGTGTTGTATTGGTCGGGGAAAGAAAGAATGCGATCATGGATACTAGCGGCCTGGCAGGCGGCGTAGACTTCTTCATCTGTTGCTGACGGTCTTGCGTATTTGAGGTTGAACATCAAGCTCTCGTTGAAAAGGGTTGTGTCCTGAGGAACAACGCCAATCTTCTCCCTGACCGAGTTGATGGTCAGGTCCTTGACATCTCGACCGTCTAATTCGATGGATCCCTCGTCACAGTCGTAATACCTGAACATGTGGCGAAACAATGTCGACTTGCCACCTCCCGACTCGCCCACAAAAGCAGTCGTGGTTCCAGGCAGACACTCGAACGAGATGTTGCGTAACGCGGGCTTTCGTCGATCATACGCGAAGCTCACATTGTTCCAGCGCACATGACCTTGGAAGTCCTTTTCTAATGGGACAGCATGAGGTGTATCCACCACCGTTGGCTGGATTTTGAAGAGCTCGAGTAATCTCTCGCCTGAGATCATTGCTTGCTGCACAGTTCGGTAAAAAGTGCCGAAGAAGTTGAGAGGGCCTTGGAGCTGTGTCAAGTAAGAAACAACCATGAACCAGTCGCCTGTGGTGCGAAGACCCATAGCACACTGCCAGCCGCAGACCAATGCTGCAATGATCCTACCGAGGTTGAAAACCACGGTCTGACAGATGTTCATCATCATCATACCCATCTGCACCTTAGCCTCGGCCCCCTGAAAGACGGCAACCTTGTCTTGGTATCGTTTTGACTCAAAGTCTTCCGCGTTGAAGTATTTGACAGTTTCATAGCTGGAAATTGAGTCGTTCTTCACTGCCTCTTCTTCACGATCAGCATTGGTCATCTCTCGGCGCTGATCTGCTCGGGTCGAAGCCATCTTGATAGTCATGTACAGATACCAACAAGTATCGACAAGATTGATCTCGGCATATAGTGGTCCGTAAAGGGTGTAGAAAACCGAGATCGAGAGGAAGAGATCGATAAGCATGGGAAACACCTGGAAGGTCACTTGCTCAAGAAACTGGTTGATAGACGAGCCCTTGTTGAGTGCTGATAGAACTTCTCCGGTGCGCTTGGAAAGGTGGAAATCGAGACTAAGGGAGTGGACGTGGTTAAAAGCCGCTGTCGTTAGTCCCCGATATGAGTACTGAGAGACAGGAATCCAAAGAATTGAGCGCAGTGACCCAAGTAGTCCTGACTGGCCTTGGAGGATCCACAAAACTCCCAGGTTTACGAAATCTTTCAGTGGGAAGTTATCCATCGAAAGACGTTCACCAGCCTGAACTTGCTTGATCACCACCTCAAGACTGTTGACCACTTGTTTGACTGCTAATGGAACAAGCACGTTGACTAAACGCTGTAATAGAACCAGAATGAAGCAGATAAGGACGTTGATCTGAAGCTTGACAGAGTCCTTAGGCCAAAGGTAAGGGAAGAATAGAGAGTATCCCTTAAGATATTCCCACCATGTCTTGTGTGGCAGCTTCTCGGGTCGATAAAAAGCGGCGGGTTCTTCTTTCTTAGGAAAACTCGGTGTCTTATGTGCGTTAGAGATTGTCCTTCCGCGTGACCGGCGACCATTAACCTCTCGGCCGTTGGTTTCTCGACTATTGGGAACCTGACCGTTAGCCAATTGGCCATTGGCAGTATCGTACGACCAGCGGTGCCCGTTAAGAAGCGGTGTCGATTCAGCCGGATGAGCTTCTTCGATTTTCTTGTCGTCTGCGCCGCGAGCTTTACGAATCCATGCTAAGCTAAATACCCCGATCAGGGCAAGTAGATGAAGTATTCGAATGAAATAGAGAACGAGGTCGATCTTGGTCCAGTAATCAACACAGTTGCCGTCCTTTCCAGAGCCTTTGTTTCGAACGGAGCGAAAGAAGTGGCAATCGGCAGCAGCAACTGCAGTCGTGGAGAACATGACAACCTCGCCAGCGAAGCCTAGAATCCAGACAATGAAGTGAACGATGTTAGGGCCCTTACGCCAATCGAACAGGGAGATGAGGATATAGAGGTAGAAGAAGAGTGTTCCGGTGACGTGGACCTGTGGGATATGAAGTCAGTTCACATCACAAGATGAGTCGAGATGATTTAAGGATCGGAAGTCAACGTACAACGCTCCATTCACCAGCCCACGGTAGCCCCTCATTCGACCAGTGGTAGGGGTCTTCGAACCAGAAAGCATGGTAGAACATGAATCCAGCGCTGCCTACGTAGGTCATAAAGACAACAAAGGCGAGATAACGGAAGACATTTTTGGCGGTGCGGCCAAAGCCTGGGCCAATCTTCCGGTCACCGTCGGCGCGAGAGCGCTTCTTCTTGGTGATGGGCAACGGCTTGCCTCCAGGACCCTTAATTGTAGATTGAACTTGGTCCTCTTGCTTCTTGGAATTAACGACGCTGTACCAAGCCGCACCGGATATGAATGCTGTGAGTAGGATGAGGGCGTAAAGGTATTGGGTTTTCCGCAAAATGTAATCGACTAGAGGTAGATCATCGCGGTGCTTCCCACGAAGGAGAACGGCCGCGATGTCGTCGGAAGAAGCCATGATGGCGGACTAGAATTGCTGTGAGTGTCGGGTTCGTGTCGTCAGGTCGTCGGGTCAAAGAGCGACAATCCCATATGTGCACTGGCGAGTCCAAGTCAAGGACGGCGTCGAAGAGAGGAGGGAAAGGCCTTCACCGCGGACAAAGCATCGCCCTGCCCGTGGCAATTGACGGGACAGAGGGGCCGGAAAACGAGTGAGTGGCGGGGAAGTTGTGGAAGAGGCACGAGATGTAGATGTTGAAGAGTCAAAGACTTCAGACTTGAAGGCGAGTGCGGTCTAAGTCCTGCTTTGAGCCGACGACGACTCAGCAGGTGCCACTGCTAAGGTAGGTGCAAGACTGCAAGTGCAGGGGAGGTGCAAGGTGCCGGGTGCAGGGTGCCGGACGCCAGGTGCCAGCTGCAGCAGGGCAGGTGCCAACCTATGCAGGTTACAAGCAAGCGCGACCCGAGAAGCATCGCTCGCAGCGCCAGTCCAGGACAAGCAACCGGTGATGCGAGTCCCCAGTTTCCCGCAGGGTGAGGTGTGTGTGTGTAGGCGCGACTAACAGCACGTCTGGCAATGCGTTGAACAACATTGGTTGTTGGATGAGGTAAGGTACCTCCAGTACTGAATGAATTACTGAACAGTAGTGGAAGAGCAAGCATGGAAGTACATGCAGCACCACCCCCAATCAGCTCAGCTCAGCTCAGCAGGCACGACACACCTTAAGCCTTCCAGCTATTACGGACACAACAGCAGCATTGCCCCTCCCCAGCATCCAGCGGCCAAGAAAAGGGAAAAGGCAGTGGAGGACAGGTGCCCAATGCCAGTGCGTATCCAGGGCCTTTGCCTGGAGGGCAATAGCAGTATTCGGGGCCCTTTGGTGGGGCAGCTGATTTGGGTAAGTGGCAAAAGTCACTCCCGAAGGTTGATTGCCCTGCTCGTCGCCGTCTTCATTGCCTTGTCGGTCTTGGTCTTGGACTCGAATTGAACGGAAGAAGAAGAAGATAAAGAAAAGGAGGAATAGAAACGACGAGTACGTACCTTAGAATGTGATAATTGCACTCCGAAGCAATGGAATCAAATCTACTGTTGCTGTTGCTGTTGTTGTCGTCGTTGTTGTTATTCAAAGGGTCCAGGGGTCTCCTGATGAGAGTTCGGGACTAACAGCGAGTGTCCGTCCTGTGGTCCGTAGCCTATTTGGTTTTATATATCGCTTTGACGAACTGGGTGGTTCCTTGTTGGATGGGTTTGCTCAAACACGAACTGCACGTCAAAGTCGAATTTTATCTAGAAGAAGCGGTTACTGTGACAGTTACTGCTACAGACTGTTTTACTGTATCTACCTCAATTGTCTGATATTGTTTTCGAAGTTTGAATTCCGCGGGCGCTCGCCGCTGGTGGGCGTTGCTAGATCGTTGCTAGATCGTTGGTGGCACGATCGATAACTGCTATCCTCGACCTTGGAAATGGAGACCGAAAGAATCAGGTGGCTTTGATGTGAAAAGAAGCAATGTGTAAGGAAGAGCCGCTTATTTTTTCCGTAGGCCTCCTACTTCATGTTCTTGCTGCTTTTTACCTCCTCTTCTCTTTCACTAACTTATCGACTTATCAACTCTTGCTCAACCACAAGCAGCGCCCGCCTCTCTTCTAGGCCCTCTGAGCCTCCCGGCGTTCTCCAGAAGGTGGGGACACGCCTCAGGACGGTGTCTGATCCGCACGCCTCTAGCATAGCACACGCCCATATCCGTGTCCACGCCCACGCCCACGCCTTTCTCAAGTTGGCGGGCATGCTCCCACACACTGGACTTCGACTACCTGCAAGCAGCTAGTGCTAAAGCCTGCGGTAGGGTGGACCACCTCTTTCTGGTCTTTTGGTGGAGAGATCCTTCCCTGGCCTCTCTTTCACAAAGTCCTTTCTGGGGGGCGGCGGTTCATGGTTTAGGTGGCCCTTCTCTTGGTTCCGCTTTCTAGATATTCGATGGGGGTTTTACAGGGTTTCTAGGGACGATGGGAGCTCGAGGATCATGCGAATCAATGCTTGTCTGTCGTGTTTCCGTGCCGAGAGCGTGAATCATGATGGAATGTTGCAGCAAAGACGATAGATCCGCAAAGCCACATGGGTGTTAAGTGTTAACGGGCCTGCTTGACTGAACCTCCATGGCAGCTTAAAACGCTGGTGCCGCTGAATTCCAGGATACGGAGACGAAGAGGATCAAACGAATGACTACAAGTATTCCGCATTATGGGGAGGGACTCAGGCGTTTAATAGTCTGGATCTATATATATATATATATGTTGACTCTTAAAGACTCATCATACAGCAGTCGCAGTATCCGCAACACATGCACCGATTTGCTGAGTCGTTGATTAACGTGGGTCAACCAAGCTCTGCAACATGTGTTTAGAATCACTGATTGCGTGTAAAAGACAACAATGGATAAAATTGATGACTTTATTCTATGCTTCTTAAGGAAACGGGTCCTAATACAACCTTCACGCACGTAACGTTAGTACGTACACCTTGCTTAGTACCTATTGTTCCGCTTCAGGTGAGATCGGGGATACTTTAACGATTGGCTAGGTTCCCCTAGATGGCAGGTCAATGTGAATTAACATGAAGATGAATCGATGGCCAGAATAACATAACAACATACTCAGATTGTCCAAGGCACTTAAGTGTATTCTGGTACTATGGTTAATGTTGGAGGTGAGCAGAGTGCTGGGAGGTGAATAACCGGATCAGCTTACAAAAAAAGTGGTCATGATATCCAGCCAAAAGAAAAAGACTCTATTTCAACTCTAACTTGGCCAATTAGCCTCATCGGTATCATCATAGCGCACCACCTCAGCCCTGATGATGTCCCGATTTAGACTGTGTGTAGACAACGTCAACACCCTCACTTCCCGTGTCAACCCTCCTACATCATAGCTTCATAGCTCAAAGCTCAAAGCTCAAAGCTCAAAGTTCAAAGTTCAAAGTTCATCCTTCCGCGGTGAGTGGTCCCCTTGTAAAGTTTCGTTGATCCGTTGCACTGACCGAGCTGAAGGGCGCGCAGTCATTGGTTGGCTCGCGTGCTACGGCGCGGCGGTGCGGTGCGGTGCGGTGCGGTGCGGTGCGGTACGGATGGGTACAGTAGTTGGCGGCTTTACGCTTCTGTTCTGATTGCGAATTAATGAACTGGTTTAGTTACTTGGATATGCAGTCCACATGGCAAACCCAGAAAACTAATTGACATGGGACGAATTATGTTGGTTTACGTTCACAAAACCAGGTATAGGTCGTACGTGCATGCATAGTCCGTCCAGTACCCAGGGCAGGACAGGTCAGTGCTGTAAGGTAGGGAAGGGAGCAAACCCAAGAAGATGAAGCGGTGTGCACAACATGTCTTGTCTGGTCTGTCTTTGTGACAATATTCCTGACTTGGTTCCTATTGTTCGTGCCTCCTCAGTCACCCAGTCTGGAGCATTCTTCTCAGCGTGAATACGTCTAAGTGGTCACGGTGGCTACGGTGATGGCGATAGTGATGATGTAAGTGAGGGCCTTGAGTTCCATATTCCGTGCCTTAGCTTATTGTGATGGTTGCACAGAGACATGTACCCCGTACTCCGTAACTACTCGGTACAGCACGAGCAGAGGCCGCTGGAGGAGACCTCTCTAGACCTCCCACAGTGGCTGAAGATCACGTACCTGGCATGGAAGGCTTTCGCTTGAGGCCTCGAGCTTTGAGAGCCGTGGGCTTTGGGCTTTGGGCTCTGGAGGTGCTGTATCAGCCTTGGCATCATGACAATGATCATGACAATTCATCACCAACCTGTTGTTGCGCTTTGTTAAGATTCTACTACAATATGATCTATCGACTCGTGAGTCTCATCTTTATTTGTGTCTCACTTATTTATATTTCCCCGCTGAGAGTGAGTGACCGCTGAAGTCTTTGCTCGACCCCGTGCTCATTCCCCCATATTCGATCCCGGCTGCTAGATCCATCCACTTCACTTTCGTCGAGGGGAGATCTGAGCTCCTGACGTAGTTTTTTTTCTTCTTATCCTCCTACCCCCTTCCCGCAGCACAGCCTCCATTACTTTGTCTTCGTCATCCGAGTCAAGTCAGATGAGAGGTCGAGTCAGGAGGTCGTTTCTCGGCCAGCGACGGATTGCGCAAAGAGCGGAGAGAAAGAAATGGCCTGTAAAAGGATGATCAAGGTCGACTTTTTTTACTCCCCATCATGATAAGACAAGAGTCGCTTTTGAGGGGGGGGACCGTTGCTCTCCCGTCATAAAAAGAAAAGTGACAGCCCTCTTCACCGGCCGGCAGGTCATGTCGTATTGTGTCACAAACTTTAGACTGCAGCAGACGGGTATTTGATCTTTACCTTATTGCGCCAGCTACAGTAGATTCCTGCATGTAGGCATGTGTGTTGACGCAGGTCCCCTTAGGTGAGAGGAAAGAGACAACTGAGGAGCAATTGGCGAATAGGAGGAGTTGGTGATGCCCTCAGCCATTGATTGTTTGTTGTATCCGTACAGCATTGATCATTCAGCCAGGTGCCGCGGCACGGCAATGCGACGCGATATGATGCGGTGCAGCATTTCATAGCGAACAAGAAGCGGCTACACACCTCCAGGGCTACTAAAGTATATCTTATCCTCTTCCAGTATTCGCGGTCCGTGTAAGTCCAAAAACCAACTTACACAAGACTCTCCAAAGAACGTGCAGTTGGCTGTCTTCCCCCTGTTGGCTGGAGACTGTACTACACCAGACGCTTCTAGTCCCCTCTCTTCTCTTTCCAGGCTCAGATCGATCGTGTTGGTGGCAGAATGGTTGGCTGCAGAGTGCAGAGTGCAGTGTGCAGCTGTATCAGATAGAGCCATCCAATCCGTGCTCCTGTCAGATGTCGAATTCGTAAGGTGAAGGGAGGGGACAAGGCGAATGCAGTGCATCCCCCCGGTGTGTAAGCTAATACCAAGATTGGCGATGCAGCGTCCGATTCTGGAAACTGACAGAGATGGGACTAATCAAT